TGGCTGTTGTTACCATTGGCATTGGCATTGGCATTGCATTTTATCTTTTGCCGTACGTGCCTCACATTACCTGGCCTTGCCTTGTTGCTTCAGTTACTTACCCGTGCGTACCATTACAGTTTTACTGCCTTTTGGTTAGTTCCTGAGACCCAACTGCCGCTTACCTGAAGGTCGCGCGTCTTGTACGCTACCTGTTACCTGTTACCTACTACCTGCTACCTGCTACCTGCTACTCACCTCCTGGCGTACACCCCTCCCCTCCCCGGGCTTTCTTAGGTCTCTCTTCTCTTCTCCCCCTCCCCCTCTTCCTCCCCCCTCTTTATTCTTCTCAATCTTCCAGAAGCGTCAAGGACAGGGGCCTGACTGTACGGGCATTGGGGGCACATCTGGGATTTTGGGCCGACTGGACTGTCAGTTTTGTACGTGTACTCCAAGGTACCGTGCAACTCTACCTTTCTGGGCTGGGTGGATGGATGGAACATTTCACAGCTACCTTGACTTGCCTTACCTCTTCATTACTAAACTCGCCCTGACATGGGCATGACGGGCTCCCAACACCAAAGGGAATAGGTCCATCAGAGGGCACGGGCATCCACACATCCATGATTTGGGACCCGTTGGCGGGTACATTATCGCCAATGTCCCCCGGGAGTTGAGCGCTTTGTAACATTGAAGCTACAGTACCAGAAGAAAACACCCATACGATACCATACCATGCCCGTGGGCCATATCCATTAACATTGCCTTACCATACCGTACCATACCATCCATACCTTGCCCTGCCTCGTCTTCATCACCCTCGTCCCAAGGCTCAACCTCGCTCCCTCTGGCTCGCTCGCTTTGTTTCCCGTCGTCGTCCGTTTAATCTACTCCATCTGGCGTTGGCACTACCTTGTCGGCATATCCGCCTCGTTGCTCGTGCCTCTTCCGTCGTCTATCTCCCAGGCCGTTGCTGCAAGCCTCATCCCGGCCTTTACCATCCCGGCACCCGTTTGACAGGCCTTGCAAACGACTTACATCATATCAGACAGAGCTCTCTACCTTGACAATTGCAACTACGACTACGACTGAGGTGCAACTTCCATTCACACCGACATTGACTGAGAACATTGTCACTTTTCCCTGAATCCTCTTTTCCTTTCACAAAGTATAAAGAGCTCTGGCCCTCCTCCTTACCTTCCGTCTGATGATTCACATGTCGACAACGTCTTCTCCAACCACCTACTCACATTTTATCCTGCTTTACCTCAATTCTTACTTATTACACCCTCAACAGCTGTGTTGTTGCATTGCAGTGTCAACAGCTGACAACACTCCGCCTCTATCGCCTTTACGCTCCATACTACATCTTTCCTGTAAGTTCCTGAAAGAGCGGGCTAGGAGGTTGCTTTTTACATACTGCATCTTACATAGCTGCTTACAACCATGTTGGGTTGTCTCATGCATGCAAGGCTAATATTGTCCTCCCAGGAACATAGCCGTACCCAATCAGGCCAAATCTTGTGAGAGGGTTCAACACAACCAAGACACTCTTGATAGCATCTACACCTTTACTGTACCACATACAGAACCGCCACAAATTCCCGACAAGATGGCCAACGCCTGCGCTCATCAATTCCGGATGATCAAGTCGGACAACACTCTTGTCCAGTGGATCTGCCAACACTGTCGGTCTGGTCCTCACTGGATGATTTGGGAGTGCGCCTATTGCAAGCTTCATCTATGCCGGCCTTGTACGCAATCTGCTTAAGAAAAGCACTGATGTCGAGACAACGTTGGGCATACACATGCAAAAATGGGTGTGCTGCTGCTTTGTTTCGCAGTGCTTGTAGTTCATGTGCCAGCAGTTGGTGGTCATGAACTGACTTACATGACGCACAAGGGGAAGATGACTGAATTATCTCTTGGTCTCTGTGCAGGCGCACATGAAGAGATCAAAGAAAGGCAGTCTCAACAAGCCCAGGGCATTTGATTGCACTTGGCATGCTACGTACAGCGGAACGGCAGCCCGGAGCTGGCTCTGGATGCGCGGCTACCGAACCGTCACACACACCCCTCGCGTGCATCCATCACTCGTTCGCCTATCACCAAAGTACCACGAAACGTCACTTGGAATTTTATACGGTACCCACGGCCTCACTGGTTTGAGATTTTTTTTTTCTTCTATCATACATGGCATGGCTGAGCTGTGCCTGTAGAAACGACAACATATTGCATCGAAACAGACATTGGCAGCGGATCATGGCCTAGAAAACGGATACGGTATGATACACCTCCACTGTCTGATTCGTGTCAGCCTGAAGGTGGGGGATGGATGGGGATGGGGATGGGGATTCGGCCAAACGGTGGTATTGGGGTGACTTTGACTTTCCCCCCCCTCTGAGTTCCATGACGGAATAGTGCTCTGCACGTTCCACGTGGGAGATTCCATTCACAGGGACCTTTGGTCTGTTTTCGGAATTGTGCAGCACTAGTCACCCTCCCCCTAGTGGAAGCCCATCTCACCAAACACCAACAGGGACTGGGCTCGCTTGGCTCTAGTTACCTAGTACCTACCCAAGAACCACAACCCAACTCGAACACGCAGCGCAACGCAACGCAATGAAAAGCGAAATGGGAATGAATGGAATAGGGCGTTAAGACGTGTCATCTTCTCCTGGACCCCTCCTCCAATTACGACGCGGCTCCCAACCTCACCTCATGAATTCTGATCTGTTACAGTGATCACTTAGCTGGGTCTATTTCGCTGTTGTCACTTTTCTCGGTTTCTTTTCTCTCCTCTTATTCTTCTTTTCTTTCTGTTTGATTCTTTTCTGATACCTGACTTGTTTCTTGCTCTGCATACAAAACGGTGTTTTATTTTTGCTTTTTTTTTCCTTTTGCTTTTGGGAGGATTGCCCCAATATTGGTCTGTCTCCTCAGTCTACGGCCTGGATAGAATAAAGGGAAACGTCGCTATGATCTCACTTTATTGGAGCCACCATAAGCTATCTTTTAGCTCACGGCGCAAGGCAGCATACGATGAATTCGATGGGTTGGACCGGGTGTTTGGGCTTTGAATTGGTACTGGTTATGACAATAGACTATGGCTCAAGCCTAGCAGACACGGGGCGAACCAGAGGGTATCAAGCAGGTGAAGAAACACATCAGCGTAGTGCTCCTGTCACAATTGAAATCTTTCATTCCCATTACCTGCCGTTCTCCAAATGCTACGTGTTGATCGTTATCATCCTGATGGCGAAGATGTAAATGCATCATGAAACACGGCGTCTAATATTATTGACCTGCATTAAAAGTCCCCCCCAGTCAGTTCATCTTATTCAAGATTCGACGCGGCTGCCATACCCTCTCAACGAGTCTTGATTGGCCAGACGTGATCTGTAAGTTTACAACGTAGCTGCTCACTAGTGGTGCCTTCCATCTCCAATTGAACCTTCGGAGACTGAGGCGGGCATTAAAGGAAAGAGCCAGCATCCTGTAATCTCCTCAGCTGGCAGGCTCAAGTATTGGCTCCTGCCCTTCCTTCTATCGCCCGCCTCAAGCTCGTATCGATACCCTGTTTCCTCTGTGCACCCTCATGAAGATCCTGTGTTTGAGCACGATCCTCGTCTCTCAGACTCTCTCCCTCTCTCTCTACTTCATACACTTTCCTCTCTTCTCTTAGCACCTCGCTTGGACCTTGATAACCTGGCCAGTACGATCGCATTCCTCACAAACAACATTCAAAAGCTGACGTGGAAGAGACACATCATCCTCTACTGGGAAACCCGCGGCTGTGATAGCGACATGGAGTGTAACGGCCTGTGTCTGTGCCATGGCGCAGCAACAGCGATTCTAAGGGAACACCGAAATTGAACAGCCACCTCGAAAATACCTAAATGCTTCTATTCTGGGTCCATGACGCCCCCGTTGTGATCGACGCCTCAGTAGCGGCTCGCTAAAAACGAATTTCCACCAGAAGCCTTCCAGAACAACTTAGAAGCTGTCCCAAATTATTTCTAGTCTATGGAGTACCCACGGAGCGCTTTCACGCCTATTCACGCTCTAGCGGTGGAGAATTAATGTCGACACGCGAACCATATGTTTCATGTGACCGGAACCGACTAATGCCTGTTATTCACGCTCAACAGCCTTACGAATGCTTCAACAGTCAGCACATTCGATACGCATCCGCCATATAGAGTTCATTAATCGCCCGCTGGCTTGTTTCCACGGAAGCAGATTGAGTCATGCCGAGAACCTTAACAACTGTCACGAGGGACAACACGCCCCCCTTGCACCGGATCCGACATCCCGCCTGGCCGGCCGGCGGACACGGCCCCTCCGGGGAACGTACCCGGGGCTCTTGAGGTGCTTGAGGTATTGATCCGGTAGATAGGCATCGATATCGATGAAATATAGCTGGCCTCCTTCATTGGTTCGTTGGTTGTTTGTCTTAGGTTTGAGCTAGACTCTCCTGCCCTGTTTTGCCTTGTTTCAGCAATCACAAGCGCCTACTAACAAGCTCTCTCTGGAGGTCAATGTCACTTAACGATCGGGGTGTCAGGACCCCAGCTCTCCGATTGTACTAGGACATCTGTGTGACCAAGCCGCGTAACGACTCTGTCATACTTCGGCAAATCATAAGCACGGGGTGATGGAACGTTTCCAGATGCTCGGACAAGGTGTTATCGGTTGTGTGTTACTGTTCGCCTCCCCGGCCCTTTACGGACATTGGCAGGCCGAAGAGAAGCCGCTCCGTCTCGGCATCGGAGGTAAAGCCCATGATCCCAGTCCCCACCCTCCGGCCTTTCGGTGCGGCATATCGCGGACACTGGGCGCAGCGGCCGGATAGAAACCGATTTGGGCCAACCATGTGCCCAGCTGAACTGTTCTCCCCAAGACTACTTTACAGGTTATCAGAGTTGTCGAGCGGTAATTGGAAGATGGTTCGCCTATGAAGTGACGTTGCTGTATTTGTCACGGCTTCTGACACCTTAATAAGATACGGAAAGTTTTATTCAAGCGAGCAAAAACCAGCACGGTAGTAGACCCAGCAGAGCCGCAACTGTCAACCAAACCGAAAGGACAATAGGCAGGTTTGCTTTGGCGCCAGAGGAAGACCGATAGTATCGGGAAACGTTTGAGTCTTTCAACGGCCAGTCCCAGACGGCGCGTTCAGTCTTTCGCTCCGTCACCTCTACATTATCGCCGATAGATACAATAGCATTGTCATCAGGACCGCTGGTGAGAAACCCGTATCTGCCGAAAACTGGCGAATATTTGAGACCGGCATCAACTCTTCGGTCAGACATGAGCTTCTTGAGCACCGTGCCACGCTCTCCTTGGGCTGTACGGCCAGTGGTGTAGTCAACGTTGAGCGAAGTGCACCGGTTGCAGTTCTTAGTGAGAGCTACCTTATGGACTCCGTTGATGGACAGCTGTGCCCAAAAGTCCTCATCCCATGCATCCTCGCCATCCAGGACAATGTTGGGTCGCATAGCCTGCATGTCAACGCCGGATGTTGGCAGCCGGGCTCTGACATTGTTGAGGGACTCCTCTGTGGCAAATAGATAAGGAGCACAATCAGAAAAGGCAAGCCAGTCATCTTCAGTTGAAGAGCCAGAAATGTAGCTTAGAAGCTGTGTGAGCCACGACGGATGAGGATCCTGGGCCTTTGGTGAAAACGTTCCTAGCACAGGGCGTCGACCATCACCAATGAAGATAAGAGCGGTGTCGAAACCAAAGCATGCTGTGAACCATGCATCATATGCAGAACCCATGCGGTATGCGGTAACAAGACTCTGATGGAGATTGATGTCGGCCTTTTTCAGTTCTTTATGATCTGGCTCAATGGGAACATGAAGAATATTGTCTTGCGCTGGTTGCCATGGCACTAGAGGCTCTTCTGGTGTCAGATATTTAACCTGTATCTTGTCGCCGACGATTTCTGTTGCAAAAAGGCCACACTGAGGAAACTCGGACAGCTGGATTTTCTTGAGTTCACCTGATTCCCCAACCTTGCATAGCATGAAGCGACGATCATGTCGAAGTCCTTGTGGCCCAAGTCTGGCAGATTGGACCCGAATACCCCGGACTCCCTTGATGGGATAAACCCAGAGCTGTTGTCAATTGCTTGTCAGCATAGTTCTCCGCAAATTCAAAACACCATGGCTATCATCTGGGGATAAAGTTATCGTCAGTCTTACCTGTGTGACTTTCATTGCTTTTGATCCGGTCGATTGATTTCGCAATGTTGGTTGCTTGACATGCAAGAAAGGTAAGGCTGGATTGATAATCAGAATGAACAGCCCCTCGCTAAGTAAGCCACAGTCGACTCGAGCACTAACGTGCTCTTAGATTAGAAGGTGTTAAACATTGGAAAGTCGGCTATCGCTTCCGAGAATCCTAGGAGACATGCAAGTGCATCCAATCACTAACTTGATTGCCCTTCGAGATGCTTCAAATGCATGAACGTGTTATTCAGGTCATTCGGGCCATATCAGCAGTATTTACTTTCGGTCTGATCAAATTTGGCCAGTTTCTTAACACCATTAGAAATTCTCATTTATTCTCGGTTCTTTATCTCCATTGCCTTCATCTAGCTGTTTACTGGTTGTAAAGCACTACTTATTCGACTCCTCAAAGATATTCTCAGTAGCATCAAAGGACCTGTTAATCGTATAGGTCCGAATCTGCCCAGCCGATGTTGTGTTCCATATGAACCTGGACATCTGTCCATCCATAACTGTGTATGTTGCGTTCGATATCGGTAATGATCCCAAGCCATTGTGTCTCATCAGACTCATAGTCAACCGAAATGAATACGGTGACTGGGTTCGCGTCGGTCTCCTTCAAGAGGCCATACCGGAACAGAGACATGCTTGTCATGTGTCCCTTTGTCGCTTCGAAGTTCTCAAGTCGTTCGTGCACAAGCGCTCTAACGTGGTCCCAGGAGTCGGCTGTATAAGCGTCATCGCGTACTATTCCGATGTGAACTGTTTCAGTGAGCTGAGGCGCGATCATTTCGATGTGGATTTGGCCATGCTCAAACTTAAGGTCTATGGAGAGCTTGTGCAACCACACCGCAATATCGTGGACGGCCTTCTTCCACATGGTTTGCTTCTCCTTAGACCATGGCGCTGAGATGATGAGCGTCGGGACACTTGTGTTGGAAGCCCCCATCCTGTATTGATTGACAAGCCGAAGGTTGATTTCATTGTCGGTGTCTTCGTCTTCAAGGTCAGGCAGGCAGTCTTTGACGATTTCCATAGCTCCCTTCTTGATTTCCTCTACATGTGGCTTGATGAAAGAGGCCAGTGGGCCATTCCCAGAGAGTTTGAGTGGAAGGCGGCGGAGTTCAGGCCAAGCGGCACGATACCTTGCGGTGATCACTTCGATATTTGGTTCCTGAGAAGACGCCATTGCACTGCTCTGGCTTGGTAGAAAATGTTTGAAAGGAGACGGTAGGAGGAGGTGTGTTGTTGAACTTGTTGAACATTTGGAGGGATTACTACCTCTTCTTATACTTCTCTCGAGAGGGCATTTTGCGCCATTCGAAGGCATAGACTTTAGTGGCCATTTGGACCCAAAAGCTTAAGTACGGGCATCTGTGAGGGCATTGGAATATTATATCAAATCTGTGGAAGGTTGGTGGGGGAGGAAGGGATTACAGTTCCGTGCAATACTTCTAACACGTCAGCGTATGCGGCTTGTGGAATAATAGAGATATGCAAAATATGTAATTTTCAGAAGATTCTAAGCATGCCTCTACCTGCTCTCCCAAACTGCTGTATAAAGTCCATCAGAGAGAAAGGTGTGCCTGGAACTGCCACTATTGCAACATCTTGAGTATCGACCCCTAGGCCCAGGGCAGTCGTTGTAACAATCACACCACCGTTCCGCCTCTCGCGGTCAAGGAAGCGAGATTTGACCTCGTTACCTTGGTCAGCATAGTAGGAAAGCTATGTATTATTATTTGACAGTTCTTAGTATTGGTTGATAGAATAATAATAAATAATAGTTTTTATCCCTTTTAAATGACTGAGTGGTGTTATTAGCTTTTTGGCAGTGTCTTTCTGTTCTTCTTAGGTCGTCGTGTTACTATCGGTAATGAAGATTGGGTCGATTCGTTGACACTCGGATTACATTGCATTGGTCGATTATTATAACCTGTTTGAAGATGTCTTCGAGACCGACAGGAATTGTAGCATAATCTTAGGATAAGATTATAATATTACATAAAATAAGAAGACTCTATTACAACTGATATAATATTACATGAAATAAACAGAGTTTATTCTAATTTACCTAAATTCATGTAAAATATGAAAGTGAGGAAGTTGTCGGAACATTTACACGCCCACTGCGAACTCAATAGGGTTAACAAGACATCTATTGGCGTATAAGACAGATATATCTTGTTATAGAGTATGGATTAAAATCAAAATAGGAGGTGGAAGATAAATATCGCTGTCTGCCACATATTCTATGCCCCAGATTACAGATAACTGGTCCCTTGCTGCAGTGGGCGTAGGGCTTAGCGCTGCTTGCCACAGGCGCGGCTTATTCTCAGGCCACTATAGTGACATAGACGATAATTTCATCATCAACCTTGATCAACTTGGTTTGCTTGGGCATTGCTTGGTCAAGGAGGCGCAGGCCGAGGATGCAGATCCTATTGTGACTCCATGTCGAATGATATGTCTTCTTTGTCTCGATAGGATTGGCGAGTCTAAGTTACGTGTCCGTATATCTGCTTTTTTCGCATCGACACTCAAGGTAACATAATTGCTGACATGATGGCGCCGTCGCATTTGCCCAAGCCGAAAAGCGAGACATCAAGTGCGAGCCTTGAGAGGGAGATCCTCAAGTATTGCTGACACTGACACAGCCACGGCCATGGCCATGGGGAAATTGTAATGGGATCGTTCTTAAGCGGTTTGAGAATAGAATTGTCCCCAGGTTCCACCAACTAATGTCAGGGAAGATGAAAAACACAAGATGTGGATATTCGGATAGGAAGAATATCATTCATTGCTGACAGGATTTTACGATGAGACTGTGGCGCCGCAGCGCAGGATATAACCCTTTGGGATCATTTCCCTGAAACGTCAGCTTTAATCCGTCATAACCAGTTACAATAGTGAGAGAGACATTACGAGATCGCACTTCAGTACCTAATTAACGACTCGATCAGCCCTACCAATTCCCTTCATCTCGACTCGGTACTCCTGGTTCCGCTAAGCCTTAGCTCTCCACCAAAGCTGAGCCAAATGCGCCTCGGACTAGACTCTATCTGGGTGCACTGCGCGCGCTGACTAGCTGACTTAGCCTCTGATGTAGGGATTATCCATGGCCTCGGCCCAGTTGTTGAGGCGTTACCATCTTCAATTGCTGGTGTAATGGCTACGGGAATAGAAGAGCTGGCTGCGTTTCTTGGCTGTCCTCATTAACGAGGGCGACGATGAACACACCAAGGCAAGCTACAGCGCTACATTATACCCCAAATATCTCTGTCATTTGTCTCGTCTCGTTGGCCCCCAGTTGCAATGCAGAAAGATCAGCATTATTGACCGCCAAGATTGCAATCAACCAAAGCTCCCAAGCTCCGCCCTTTTGGATCTTCAGACCCTAGCTTCTAAGCACTCAGCATCCTTCGCGGGCACTAAAATCTCACAAACACTGCCTTTGGGTCCATATGGAGGAGTCTGATCCAAGAAGATTTTGCTGTTGATCCCGGGTCCGACCCTCGCATCGGAATCCCGTTGATGGGGTCTGAAGCATTAAGCAATAGTAGCATGATGCAAATATTTATGAGCTTACATGCTTACCTACTATAAAGATGGACTGCTCGCCCTGCTAGTCCTGCGAGGATGAGAGCTATTGTTGGTGTTCTATGTTTTTCTTCTCGTGAGAATTCCAGAGAACGAGTTGATAGCTGTTGTCGATACCCTCTTTACATCTTGATTTGGTAACGACACCACACAATGTCGCTTTCACAATATGGCGTCGACGACGCAGAGCTGCCACAGCAGCCTTTCCTCGCATACGAGGAGCCCAGAGGCCCCAGCTTCCTCGACACCACCGCATGTCTTTGCGCTCTTCGCCCACTACCTGGAAGCGACAAACTCGCCCTGGCCACGGGCAAGGGAACTTTCGACAATGGCGAAGCAGCATGGCAATGTATCGGAAACCAAACCCAGGGTGTTTACAACATAACAAGCGGGAAATGGTACAAGACCAAAAGCTCAAAGGGATCAATCGTTTTGCCTATGAACGACAATTCGAACCCGCCAGTGGGAGACGATCTTGTGTGGGATCGCAAAAGCCGGTCTCTCAAGCCCTTGCAAGACAAAAAGACACTCACTGTCTACGACCGAGACTGCACCGGTACAAACCGATCAAGCTTCTCTACAAGTTTCTACAGAGCCACCTCCCAAATGCGCGCGAAGCAACTCCCTTATGATGCAGCGCCCTGTTGGAGGCCTGGTGCTTTCCCTCTTCAGCTGCAGAACGTGTCGTCATGGCAGAACGAGGGCTGCAAGGAAGGTTTTCTTTGTAAGTCTCATCCTGGAACTACGCATAACCAGAGTTAACCATTTACAGGCCAAAACAACACCATCAACTCACTTCCTCAGTCATGTCCTCCTCTGCCGCCTTGTACTGTCGCGCGTCTCTCAGGGATGACTTGTTCGTTCAATGGCTCAAACATAGCCATGGGTGTCTTCGAGCCCATCGTTTGCCAGGCAGGTTATTATTGTCCTCTGGATCAGCAGGGTCAGAAGAAGATCCGCTGCCCCCAGGGCTCATATTGCCAGCCCGGTGCTTCTACCCCGACGCCCTGTCTTTCCGGTAGTAGATGTCCGGAGGGTGCCTCATACGAAAGATATCTAATTCCCGTCGGCGTCTTGATCATTATCGACTTCCTGCTTATTGTGGGTATGTTCGTTTTGATGTTCCGTACGCGATGGCAGAGAACTTCCAAGTCGCATGCCAGTTCATTAAAGAGGCACAAGACGATGAGAGCTGTCAAGGCGACAATTACCGGAAGTGGATATAAGGAGCTATCCGACGACCATGATCAAGATCACGAGATGGCACCGATGCAATCGGGCTATGGTACATATTCGCCATACGGGCGCGACTTTCGGGAAGGCCGCAGCCGAACTGGTTTCGAAGCTGCTCTCAGCCGAAACAGAAACAGCGTCTACAGTTCCGAGCAAGAGCAGAGAGAATTAGATGCCAACCCGCAACTAAAGGCCTTTGTTGAATCCATGCGAAGGGCAGCTGAAGCAACCAACTTTGGTCTCTCCTTTAGATACTCGGATCTTGTCTTCCATCCCAAGAAGAGCCCCAAGCCTATCCTTCAGAACGTGACAGGCTCTATCGAGCAAGGACAGCTAGTGGCTGTTATGGGTGGCTCCGGAGCCGGTAAATCGACCTTCGTCAACGTCTTGATGGGTAAAACAAGCAACACAGGCGGTATTGTTGCCGTCAACAATACCCCAGGAAAGATGAAGCAGTACAAGAAATTGACGGGCTATGTGCCCCAGGATGATATCGTGCTGCCCGAGCTGACTGTATACGAAAACATTGTACACTCGGCACGCATTCGACTTCCTCACAACTGGACAAAGAGCGAGGTTGAAAATCACGTCGAGGCTGTCATTGACTGTTTGGAACTGTCCCACGTCCGTGATTCTCAGGTTGGAAGCGTCAGCAAGCCCGTTATCAGTGGTGGTCAGAGAAAGCGAGTGAGTATCGGAATGGAACTGGCAGCCGCCCCCATGGCCATCTTCCTTGATGAGCCGACCAGTGGTCTGGATGCAACCGCAGCGTCATCCATCATGCGTACGCTCAAAGCCATTGCAAGACTGGGTATCTCTATTATCGTCATTATTCATCAGCCCCGAACCGAGATTTTCGAACTCTTCGATAACCTCATCCTGCTTGGTAACGGACAGACCATCTACGAAGGCCCCCAATTCGAGTCGCAGACGTACTTCGAGAGCATGGGCTTCCAGTTCCCCGAACACAGCAACCATGGTGATGTTATTACGGATATCATCACCGGTAACGGCCGAGAGTACAATAGTGCTGGTAATGTATCCAAAGAAGCCCTCATTGCGCACTGGGCCAAGACACGCCAAACCAAGACAGAGGAGGCTTATGAGCGCAGGAGCATCAGGTCCACGATGCTGGGCGACACGGGCATGCGTCAGGCCCTCAAGAAGCGCGGTGCTCCGTACATCAAGCAAGGATGGCTTTGTCTCTGCCGTGCGATGCTTCAGCAATACCGCGCAAGGGGTGCACTGTTTGCAGAGATGGGTCTTGCCGTACTGGCTGGTGGCCTGCTTGGTCTCGCCAACAACCCTAGGAAAGGTATCCTTTTTGTTGGTCTTTTCCACGAGCCCTATGCTGTCTTGTCCACCGCCATCGACTTCTACGCCGCGCCACAGTTCGCTCTTCTCATTGCCATTGCTATCGGTCTTGTTGCAGGTGCTCCTGGAGTCAAACTGTTCTCCGAAGAGCTGCTCTTGTACAAGCGTGAGGCGGAAGCCGGTCATTCCAGGATGGCTTACTTCCTCGCCAAGGTTATTTCTGTCATACCTCGCATGGTTTTGGGGTGTATGCACTTCACTGTGCCACTGTTCCTTTTGGCGGTACCTGTCATCGACTGGAGCCTGGCATTCCTCACAAACATGTTGTATTTCTACTGCATCTACGGCCTCGCGAGTGTCGTCAGCATGGTGGTCCGTCGGGAAGATGCACCATTGTTTGCGACCATGATTGCCCTCATCACTGGTATTCTCTCTGGATCCGCGCCGCCGTTACGCTCCGTCAAAGACTGGCACATGGAGTGGCTGTGGCGAGCGTCTCCTGCGACGTGGCTGGCAGAGCTGTACTTTGGACAGCTTGTCGCGCCTTTTGAGAACATATACCAAGTTGACGTAGCAGCGGAGGCGACAGGATACCATCTCGACCGTCTGTGGCTCAACATTGGTGTTTTAGTTGCCATTGGAACTGCGTATCGAGTGATTGCCTTTGCTGGTTTGGTGCTGGGACACGGTTTAAGGAGATAATAGGATAGGACAGGGGTTTTGTAATATCAAGAAGCGTGGAGCAAGTGTTTGAAATAGATGATTGAATGAATATAGAGTTATCATTTCATTGGTACCAAAAGTGCCCGTGCTGTTGACAAACCTGTGGGGTAGAGAGATCTCGTCTATCTAGTCTTTTCTTCCAAAGCCATAATTAACTTTATCGACGTAAGGGCCGTGTGTGTTTCCTTCCTTCTGATCATGAAGATGAGGTGTTTCCTAATTCTTCCAGCAGACGGCAAGAGCCAATGCGCAGATTAGAAAGCACTTACCTGCAATGCTATACCCCCACCCGCAGACAATAAGCAGTTTACGGTAATACCGAAGTAAATATGGATGTTTCAACATTACCACCATCTGCGAGAAATCAACCAATTGAGCACGGGTGATTATCATCAGCATTGACGTTGACGTGGCCGGTGAGTATGTGGTCTATCATTTGTTCACATGACCGTCATTTACATTCTCAGGGTCTTTTTCCAATTGCGATATCCCTACGAATCTTAACCGCGACAAACGTTATGGCGCAATGGAACGTCAGCAATAAAGGAATAGATCGGCAGTCGTCAAACGCGATGGCGGACAAAGAGTGTTTCGGGCCCATGCTCCGTGCTCCAAAAGAGTTTCACGGTTTGAGCGTTTCATGAGCGTTTCTTGGCAGTCTGAAGCATAGGCCCTTATTGACTGGGAAACAACCGAAGGAGTCGTGTGCATGAGACTGGGATCAGCATACAACCAACAGAACCTTTCGAAAATAGAAGGGACCATTGACCAGAAGCCAGAGGTTCCAACGAACGAATCTACAAAATGATCAAGCCGTGAACAGAAGCCGACGGCAAGTGGGAAGATATTCATACAAAACTTTCTACATATGCGGCTAAAAAGGCATAAAGCATAACGGCCAATATCCCCCGAGCGAATCAGTCACTCGTTATCCGTAGTTACGAAGGATTCGCGTCTTCAAGCGGCGTGGGCGGTTCGAATGAATCCTCGGTTGTTCCCCCACACCCGACGTCCATCGGTTAACTACTACATGCAGGTGGTAACTGCTCATCATCAAGTGCTTTCAAGTTCTTCAACCAGGGATATGCTGGGTACGTCAGCAGTGGAGTTTGATACAACATGAAGATTGCCATTTTGAACCACACATTGAAACTGTTCCGAAGTTGTTTCTCGCCATAACCTGCGAGTTCAGGGACGATCAAAGACCTGCGGTAAACACTGAGAAGTTGATCGACTGGCCGAAGGGATATCATGTCAAGATGAACTATTGGATCGGTCAACCGAAACCCCAAAGAACTATGACCGCATGAGCAAGATGGCGTCTAAGACAAACGGCGCCGGCACGGTTAGTGCGATGAGGAGGCACTGTTGTCGCGGGTCTAGACTATTCAGCTGTTGGAGAATCGGATTAACAGGCCCCTGACGATCCAGCTACGAAGAGCACTACGGGATATGTCGTGTTGAAACCGGGTGGCGAGCGTTGATTATCTCGTTATTTATCGTTGTTGGTGTAAAGTGTAAGTTAGCAGCGTTCGGTTGACGACTCTTATCACCCGATTATCGAAAGCTTCAAGCACATGAAGGTTGCAAGATTGCGAATGTTGGTTTGGGCCCAACGCGAGTTATCAGCGTGTCCACTCACACCTCACCTCGAAATCCAACTCATGTTCATGGCTCATGGCTCGCTCGGCTGCGTTATAACTTGCCCCGGGACAAGATGAGTCTTTTTTGTCAAAAATAAATCGAGGAGCTGGGGTCTAGACGAGGTCTGGTCAAGTTTAATTGACTTGGGTCGTCGTGTGCTCAGGCAATATCGATTTCAAGCATGGGCCAACCTGAACGCTACGGGTTTATAGGGCACAGCAGTACTGGAAACTAACCCTAACATGCTCTGGGGCTGCTCGCCGTCTCGGCTCCCCGCCTCTACTCGTTTGTTGCTGGGACCCAAGTGGAGATTGGGGGGCTGAAGGCTGAAATACCCCCTGCTGTATCATTCAACAAAAAGACGACACCTCAAAAGGCTCAAATGAAGCTGGTTCTTGACGATTGTGCTGGGTGGGGAAAGTCTTGGAGGATGACGGCACGACCGAAACACCAAGAGATAGATATATGGGAATGATTGGGTGAAGAGATGGAGATAAGAGAGGGGGGCTGCAAAGGTACAACATAATTGGATATCAAAAAAGAAAGATGCCGCGACGGAACAACGGTATGTGCATTTGCTTTGCAGCAGATGCGTACGGATACTCTCTGGCTCTGTACACCAACCACCACGTCGAATCCTTCTCGCGAGTCCAGGCCAACGATAATCGAGATAATAGCGTATCTTTCAACTCTGTCACGCAACCACCACCAAGCATTAACACCACCAACAATTACCACATGGACAACCCACCATCCCACATATGTGCTAGATGAAGCCAGTCAGTTGTCTAGCCTCCCACGACATGCACACGATATGCACACGCGGGTTCATACAGAGAGGCCAGTAGAAACAAGAGACTGAGACAAAGCCGCCGGAGTCAATAGCGACCAACAACCGTCAGGGATGAGCCAGGGATTCGACATTGCCCGCCGTGGACAGCGCCGCACTACGGACTCTAGATGCAAGGATCTTAATGCAGTGTGTCGCATTCGAAAGAGAAAAAGACGCTACGGCCACCAGAGCGTCGGGTCGTTCCCCAAGCCTATTTTTCGACAACTTGCAGGAGCTGACGACCCTTCTCGAATCTTTGAAATCTCTTCTTCTTCCCCCAGACTCGTCTCAAGCTATTTCTCTCCTCTCTCCCTCTTCCTCGCTTGATTCTTTGTTTGTGAAACATAATCATATCATCTGGACTTTATAATCATCTTATACTATTACTTCATATCCTCTTACTCTTCTCTCCAGTCGACTTTGTTTCTGAAGGCTGGTTTCCTTCCCCCCATCTTTTACAGAGTGCAGCTCTTATCTCACCTGTTCTACGTTATCTACTAATACGCCATATCCCATCATGGCTACCTACACCACCATGGAAGGTCCTCAGCACATCGCTATTCGAGAGCTTGACCTGAGGACCTGTCACCCGAGCACTATGGTCGATAGAGTTGGTGCTGTTCCTGTTTTGAAGACAAGTGCTGGTAAGTTTCTTTCATTCTTGTGTTCTGCTTTGTCTTCTCTTGTTGGTGCTGCCCATTGTCTAAGTCCCCTGTCACTCGGTTACCATGGCCACCATCAAAGCATACCCCAGTCTCGACCCTTGAACCAGGGTCCAGCATACGACAATGCATCGAATCAAGCTTAGTCTTATTGTTGCAATCTCAACATTTGAGCTTTGAAGCTATTCACAATGCGGCTCATCGCCTCCGGAGATGTCATGATGGGCCGCCTCCAGCTGTTTCCGTCGTTCACTATATTCAGTCTATCCGGCTTTGGAGCAACACCAGAAAAAATATGCTGCAACTTAAAACACCATGGCTAACACTACAACTTACAGCTTTCTTCTCATTCCTTCGCGCCAACCTTGTCCTCCACTCGGCAATGGCTTCAGCCACCAGCACCCCGCAATTCGGTCCATCTGTTCCTTTTTCTTCCTTCGTTCCGCCATCGCCTTCTCCGCTTGCAGCTTCGACTCCATACTTTGGTCTCGATGATGACGATGACCTCGAGCCGTTGTCTCTTGAGGTTCTCGACAAGCCCCAGGACAAGGTCGAGGGTATGCGCCTCGTCGCCGACTCAATTGCCCAGATGCGCCAGCGGGCCTCGCTGAACCTCGTTTTCCACCCCGTCTGTCTCGCCGGCCTGTCAGCTGCCCTTGCTGCGATCTACCATCTCGGCGGTGTTACTCGTGATTCCGGAATTGGCATGACGGTCTCTTGTGGTGTCATCATGAGCTACCTCATGGGCATTCGCTACTTGGCCAACGGTTATATCTCTTTGGCTGAACGACTGCGCTGGAACTGGCTGCGAGCTGACGATGGAGAGGAGGACACTCTGCTGGCTGCCCGTCTCAACCAAGATATTATTGGAACTCTTGTTTTGCGCCTTGAACCAAGCCCGACATCCAGTCATAGACGCCGACGATCGCTTTCCCTCCGAGGAGGCAAAGGTGTTATCCGCGCGTGGACCACCAACCTCAACTATCGTGGAAAGGGTGTCGGAAAGGATCTGCTTCAGGAAGCCGTCCGTGTCACCCGAGAGCGATGCGGAAAGGATGCCGAAGTTGGATTCGCTCAGGAACACGCCAACAGTGCTATGCTGCTTCCCGGTATTTTCAACGCTCCCTTCCGACGTGACGAGGTCCGGGCTACCAGGGCTTTGGACGGCATTCTGTCCAACTGGGACCTTGTCAAGAGGAGGAGGTAAACGAAACAACAATGCAAGCAACTAGGACTACACATCAGGGATATGATCACCCCTATCGATGAGTTCATCATCAACAGAATGCGATCGATACAGAATGATGATGAGAAGAAGAATGGAAGACTACGGAGAAGATTTAAAGACTACGATAAAGAAATACCCCCGCCGACAATACAGTCGACGGAAAGAAGACACCCAAACAGCAATCATACACAAACCACATACAGATACCACTAGAGGATGGGTCATGCTATAGTATAGACTCTGGGTTACAGGGGAAGATGGAACGCTACCAACGAAGGAAGCACGTAATGGCCGGAGCACACTACTCTTTACGTTTATTGTTTTGTTTTTTGTTTTGGATACCTACATGCACTGTCACTTGAGATACCCCATATTTCTTTCGTTTAGGAAGCTTATAATCGCTGGCCATGACCTCACTCATGGCCATTATCAATCAATATCAGATTTTCTCTCAATATGAGTCATGTTCCTTAATGTGACAAACTGCCTCTCACATGCCCTCAAACAAACTCATCCTTTGTCGAAGTTATCCTTGGTATAAACACATCAGCCATACAACAGTGCCGATTTCAATATCGGATGCTCCCGAACGCTCATAACACCGTAGACATCAAACCATGTACAAAAGCAATCATCGAAGTAGACAAGCGAAATTCTTTACGCAGTGATTTGCTGGTCGGCGCGAGTCTTCTTGGAAGGGTCATAAGTGTCAGGGTCAAAACCCCAGAGGGGACGCCCCAGTCGACCGAGGCTGTGGATTACCTGTTTGCTGGGTCAGTCAATGCTCTACAGCAGATATTATCGCGATACCACTCACATCTCTGACGGTAACAGTCTTTGCTTGACGATGCTCCACGTAGATCACGCAGTTCAACAGAATCTGTAATGGGTGTTAATATAGGGCCATTGGATTTCAACGTGGATTACTCACTGTTTCGAGCCGGGCTTTCAGCGCTGCACGAACATCCGCGTAGATGCCAGCAGAGATTCGCTTCACGCCTCCACGGCGCGCCAGGCGTCTATATTTCTCAAACGTCAGTACATTACCATTCATATTCATTGATGAGAACGAGGTCCGCTTACCGGATAGCGGGCTTGGCTGTGACGATCTGGTTAGCAGCTATCTCCGTCACGTTCTCGATATGAGTGTGTGCAACATACTGATGCCCTGAATGTTATCTCTCAGAATTTTTCTAAATAAAAAACGAAGATCAGTCTTTGTCTGTTCGTTCGCTTCTCATATTGTGATGTCTAACCTGTGGCGCTTTCCACCGAGGACAGTCTTTCCACCACCTGGGCGGACAATACCTCTTCTCTGAAAAGGAGAAACTTTTCCGCCGGTGTAGGTCGGTCCAGGCCGCGCAGTCGACGGACCGCCTCGCGAAGGCACAGATGGCATTGTTGACCTGGGCTTAGCGGAGTATGCGTATGTTTGTATGAGTGTGTTGATGCGGAAAACAAACGATTTCAGTCGCAATAAATATTCTTGGTGACAGAGATGAATGAGAAAGTGAAGAGTTCGGAACGGAACGCAAAAGTGCTTTGATCAAGTTGATGAAAGAGGGGATATGGAGGCGCGTTGTTGGTTGTGCAAGTCTGCCTCGCGATGCCTCGTTCTCGATGTGTTGAGTGCTGGGCGGGCCACGTGATCGTGACACAATCACTGTCAAACACTGGCTAGCATACCTAGGTGAACACTGGCAAGAATTGATCTAACGAGCAATCTGCTGAGGGATCGCAGTACAAGATTAGTAGTAGTTTCTGTAGTGTTTCATGTCAATTGAAGAGTTATCCATAAGCAATAGTTATCAGGTAGTGTCTTACTACCCTATTTCACGCTTCACATTTGGGTATCACGAGTCTCAAGGTACATACTAAGAACAAGCGATGGAAGTCAAAGTCTACTTTTCATTGCGAGAGCAGTTTAACTTTTGATAACCACTACGGTCTTCCCTCGTCTCTTGCAACCCGGGAAGCTCTAACTACCTATACTCTGCATTCGTATATCGATATTCGTCCACAAACCCGCGATTTTCATCATCCCATTAAAAACACAGTATGGTCACGGAGTATTCTCCAGTACCATAAAACAAAAAAGGCCATAACGCCCAGGACCTCGCCGCCCTTGCCGCTAGGAGGTATATCATGAAAGCAAAGCGAAAGCACCCGACGCCACTCGCATAGGGGGGTATAAATCAATGTGAGTCGTAACTTATGCCAAGACTTAAGATCGGTCTGACACCGCGTCTAAGTAGCATTCGACGGTGCGGAGTTACACGGTTTCATCTTAACCTCACGTATGACGTAGAGATTGATTGTCCAGTGTCCCGCTAGTCAGAAGGATTGCAACATCACTGTCTCATGTAGCTGCGATCGCGGTCGCGGGCGCAGGCGCAGAAGCTTCTGTGCCTTCATTTTCCTCAGAAGAAGCTTCGGCAGCGGCCTCGACGTCAGCAGAGGCAGTGGCAGGAGCATCAGGTACTTCGATATCCTCAGGTGCCTTGACTTCTTCTGTAGGTTGGGAGCTCTCGTCCATCACGGGCATATCAGGGTCAATGGGAACGTCCTCTGTCTCAGGAACAGTAGAAGCCTCCTTTGTCTCTTCAGAGGGCTCTACTACCTCGGTTGGTTGCTGATCATTAACGGCGGGTGCGGGCTCGGCAGGTTCGCTGGGTCTGGATGCTTCCGAAGCAAGTAGTGCTTCGGCGGCAGCCTCGATGTCCGCCTCCGCCTGAGTCTTGACGGGGTCGCTCAATGTACGAGGTCTTTTGGCGGGTCGCTCCTCAGGGGCTGAACTGATTCCTTGGTTCGTTTGGAACTCGAGTTCAAGTTCGTCTAAGCGTCGCTTCAAGCTATTCTCTCGTCGATGGCTGTCCTCGAGCTGCGCACGTAGTTGCGACTGCTCTACATCCGCGGCCTGCTGACCAGTTCGCGCGGCGGCCTCCTGTTGTTCCAGTTGGCTGAGACGGCCTCGAAAGAGCTCGATAATGACCTCCAACTCGCTGACCCTAGTCTTGAGGCTTGAATTAATCGCAATAAGCTGCTCGTACGTCGGGGGAGCATCCATCTTGCGTTCTCCGTTCGAGGGAGATGATGCGCGACCTTCTCCTGTTGCGACAAAGCCACCCTGGTACGGATCATCAACCATAAAGGACGACAAGCCATGGGCATACATGGAGGGTGTGCCGGTGCGGGAGATTGGGGAATCGGCGCCGTCGTGACCGTTCGGTTTGTGGGATGCTCGTCGCGCAGCTTGGGCAGCATGTGCGGCTGCCGCTGCCGCCTGTCCAGAAGGGTCAAACCCATTCGCATCGTTCGTTGCGAAGCCTTGTGCAGCTTGTTGCTGCTGTTGTTGTTGTTGCTGATTGACGTTAGCGAGACGCGCAATGCTGAGAGGCATTGAACTGACCTTTTTCTTATTTGCCAAGTCAGGGCGCATAGTCTTGACGCGGTTGCGACTCTTGATAACGTCGGTCTTGAGGGAAATTGGCCGGGGTCGGCCATGCAGCTTAAGGAACAAGCCACAGGCATTGCAAAGAACAGAGCCAAATTCGTCGCGACGCCATAGTGGTGTGGTAGAGGTGCTGCAGTTCTGGCAGGTTGGCTGCGTTGATCCGTTAGTTGCCATCATGGTGCCGGTTTTTGAATATCAATCAATAAGAGTATGAAGAGCAAATGCGAAGGCGGGAGGGAGAGCGATGATTATTATCTCGGCCACGATAAGAGGATGGAGTAAAATTCTTTGGCTGCAACGTAACTGGCTTGATAAGCCAGATAAGCCCGCGGCGAGGACCCACTATCCATCCCGTCAAGGCTTAGCCTGTCAAGGATTGGAGATAAGACACGTGATTGTATCAATTGGTAAGCGATAAGCCCGAGCAAACTGAGAAGTCTGCTAAAAATGGGATGCAGCGCGGCTCTGGAGATAAGATTGCAGTGATAAGGCGGAAATGCCGTAGACGGTAGATCCAACATAAAATGCAATTCTGGGGAAGTGCTGATAAGATTACGATGAAATAAAGACCTGGACTTACCATGGTACTTCCAGATCCCCCACTCGTTGCGGCAGGAGATGCGGTCGCATACATAGCGGGCGACGGAGCGGCCGATGCTCTACAGACAAGGGTTAGTTATATGCGCAATAAAGCCTGTCCAGTTATTTTATTCACAGGCCCGGTTGTCTCGAAGGATTTTGGGAGATGGAGGTTCGAGCGCAATTTGATGAAATCTTGCATCTAGGGTCGCATATCAAGGTTGTTGGTAAATCCTTACCTTAGCTGAGTTGTAGCATCCGTGGCCGCATTGGCAGCAGCAAGCGCTGAGATACCGGGCAGTACGTGATGTGGTAGCGAAGCTGATGCGGTAGTCGAGGTGGAATCTGGTCGAGAAATTGGATCGAGGCCTGTTGGCTGTAGAAGCTGCGTCCCGTCCTCCTCCATAGTGAGGTTGTATTCAGCAAAATGATCTGGTCGGTAGATGTCCTCCGCGTAGGTGCGCGCGATGATGGGCAACGTCGATGATTAGTGTGTAGACGTTGGTTTTTCGGCAGTTCAATCGTGACGCGCAAGGCTCTTCGGTATGTTCGTGGCACGGTGAATCGAATGTCGCTGCGGTGCTGAGCGAGGGTTGTATAGTGAGATTAATTCAGGGCAGGGCTGGTTGATGTAAATGAAAGAGGGAATAATGGATAGGTTGCGACAGGATCAGAAATCAAGTGACCCGACCGCGTCGCGCACTGAGTCTCACTATGACGGGCCGACCGCCAAGCGATAAAGTTAGAAAGAGTTTTAGACCTGCACGTAATGATAAAGTCGCTCTCTGATTGGTCGCCTTGAAGCCTGGTAATAATTTCTTTTGCATAGGTAGGTCCTTGTCACATAAACATTAACTTTAAGCACTCGTATTTATCTACCCGTGGCTAGATCCGAGATAATCGTGTTTCTTTATCATTGCTATCGATTGTCGGTCTTGAATCCGATATCTTATCATGATATGCTTAAAAACACTGACTTAAACGATCATATATACATATAACTAAGCACTAAGAATGAATATACCAACATATAGCACTCACACCTTCAGGCTCGACGAAAACATTGAAAGTATTTGGTTTGTTCTGACATTCAATATATATCACCTGTAAAACTTAACAATGAGGTAATGTTTACTTTGTGAACTTTCTTCTGGTGTGTTGATATTGACGGAACTATGAATCGAGTGCAGACATTACCACAGTCAGTAAGAACGTCAAGCCCACCCCCTCGGGGGTATCAGTCGCAAGAACAAGAAAAGGTTCATAAGCTATTCAGGAGAACAACTTAATTTCGAAAAGAATCATCCCATTAACAATCGGCCCATCGGGAACTGGCATGAACAGTTGATGCTTGTCAGGCAATGCTCCAACTTGATAGCGATGTCTAGGGTAAGCATGAAGCCAGGGACAATGGGACCATTGGACATCGAATGTGGACATGATTTTGAGATTAGCAGCGGCTGCTGATCTTATTAGTGGATTCCGGAAGCTACGGAAATATAGTGCAGTAAGGTACTTCATGTCCGATGTATATGTTTTTGTGATTGTCTGTAGCGCATATGATATATATCAAGTACAAGAAAGCCTTACTAGAACTTATACCATATTAACAGCAATACAACTATCAAAAGGCAAAGACGCGTCTTACAGTACGCGTTTCTAACCTCATCACACGTCATTCCCCACATCATCGATTGGACATCAGCCACAGGTACCCCTCCACCTGACAGGGAAAAACAGGCGGGTGCCCGCCACAACAACCAAGCCCAGCGGTGTGAAAGTGACATCTTTAGGACGGTACATGATTAGTGCATTGCAGTGCAGGCTGAAGAGTAAGGTAGGGACCTAACTACGGTAATTAAGAGGTCCCCAGCATCCATTTCAATTTCTCGACCCATCATCCCATCATCCTCATCTGCCCAAATCGAAACAGTTCCTATTCTGTTTCTTCTTCTTCTCTCTCCTTCCTCACACACTTACAACCTTCATAACAAGTCATCATGTTCAACTGGGCCAAACAACAGTAAGAAACGACCCTCAGATCCTTCTTAAAAAACCCCCACCATGAGACCATGGACCCTGGAGAACTTCACGGAAAAAATACTGACCGCTATAGACTGGCCAATGTCGCCGGCACTCAGGAGCCCATCTACGGCCCCTCTGCCATCAAGTCGGTCGCTACAGAGACTGAAAAGACTCCCTATACCGAGCTCGTCCGAGATGACCTGAAGTGGCAGGCCATGGACTCGACCTCCGTCGAGACCGAGAGCTTCTACATATTTGGCGACAACGGTTACATCGCCCTTGCCCAGGTACTCTATAGCAACGTTGCGTATGTACCACACAGCCTGTGCTAGGTAATAGAACTCTGCTGACACTTCAAAGCGGCATCCGAACAACCTGCCAGTTCAATGCAAAGGTCTTCAACTCGGACCCTGCCAAGCCCCACGTCTGGGCCTCATCTCCCCTTAATAACCATGATTTCAACGAGGACAAGTCGAGTTTTTACGCCGACGACTGCGCTGTCGAGCTGTCTGAGGATGGCAACTCCTACACCATCAAGAGCATGAACGATCAGAACGCTATTGTCAACCTTAAGATCACACGCACCGCTCCTGGCTTCAAGGCCGGTGCCACAGGGACAACTCTGTACGGCACTGACATGGAGAACCCCTGGGGATCCATTCGGCACGGTTTCTGGCCTCGCTGCACTTCCGAAGGTTCCATCACCACCAAGGATGGCGCCCTCGACTTGAAGGGCAAGACCTTCTTCGTCTACGCCCTCCAGGGCATGAAGCCGCACCACGCCGCTTGCAAATGGAACTTTGTTAACTTCCAGGGTCCCACCTACTCGGCAGTTATGATGGAGTTCACCAGCACTCCTTCGTACGGCTCAACTCTCGTCAACGTCGGAGGCATCGTCAAGGATGGCGAGATCATCACTGCGGGCGCCATCGGCACGGCTACTCACACCCAGATTAAGAAGGACTCGGAGAACGAGTGGCCTGAGCCAAGCGAAGTCAAGTTTACCTGGACCGGCGCGAGCAAAGACGGAAAGCCCGTTGAGGGCGTAATCGAGGGACCCCTCGGCGAGCGAGTTGATCGAGTTGACGTCATGGCCGAGGTCCCGGGCTTCGTCAAGACCATTGTTGCGGCGGCTGCCGGCACAAAGCCGTACATCTACCAGGTGAGTTTTTAATCTCCGAGAAACGTCTCCAGGCGAAGACCCCCTTGCTGACAAGATAATCTATAGTACCATCCTAAGCTCTCCCTGAAGCTCAAGATCGGCGACGAGGAGATCGTCGAGGAGGGCATCATGTTCACCGAAGCCACCTTCATCTCGTGAGGAGAGTAAGTAGAAGATAAAAAAAGACGTGAACCGAAACCGACCACTATCTTTCTTGGTTTCTCGTCTTTGGGGAGACACAATGTTTAATTTTTCAGAGTACGACTTTTGCATCACATTGGGTAATACAGTAATCAGATCAGACTTGATGGAGGGGAGACGGCGTTGGAGACGGACGGCTTGGTCACTCGCTTAGATACAACGATGGATGCCCTTTCAGCTTTTTTTCAAACTAATAGCTTTTAAACGAATGAACCCGCTGAATCATTTTATTTTGACTGACACGTCTCGAGACGCGTTGAACTTGTGGTTCGTGTTTTGTTGCTAACGGCGGGTCGAATATACGGACAATTGACTATTGTATTCCACCCCCTCGAGTTGCGTCAGTTTAAGCTAGACAGACTATACTCGTCCCACACAATGGAGCAGAATGGGCATATGTCTGCTTGTCTGTTTGCCTCTTTTCGAACCGAATGAACCGAAGGGGCAGCTATAAGCTAGGCCGTAGAGTTTAGTCCCAAGCGGAGGAGGAGGGAGAAAAAGCCAATAATATTGGCGATTTATCAGGTCTCTCCCCGCCCGCGATATCAAGGGATAGACTTTGAACCAACTCTGTTTGTTCAGAAACCGGCTGCTCCACTCCATCAACTCTTGAGACTCTTTGGAGGATCCTCATGTCTCGCTCGGTCCTCTATGTCTCGTCACAATCTCTTGGCCATCTTCGCTCTTTCGTGCATGTGCATCTGTAGCTGCAGCTCTTTCTTCAAGCCTCGTCCCCTTTTTTCACCTTTCTCCGCCCGAATATTGCTTTTTTCCCCTTCTCTGCCCCATAGTATCTAGGTACCTATCTACTGCACCCTCTTTCTCTTGCTGAAGTGTCTCTGGCGCTGCATGATCTGAGTCGTCCCTGTTGGTTCCTGACTAAATGTTAGCCTCCCACCTGTTGGTGGATTCCCGCTTCAAAAGGGTCGCGACTTACACGCGCAGAGAATGCATTCCTCTAACCCAGAATCAATGTTTTAGTTGGCGGATAGTATTGGCTCCAGCCCCTGGGGACGATTTTTCTGCTCTAATTACATGGCTTGGGGAGGATGAAGTGAGACCTCAGAAGACTAGTGTCTTTCCTACTATCTCGAGGAATTGAATATAAGGATTGCGAAGAATCCTCTCTTGCAGATAGTATCATTATCCCTCGTCCTTTCTCTTCTCCCTCAAGAGTTCTCTCCTGCCAATAATTCCATCTTGAACAATCTCCCTCGTCCTTTAGCAAGATTCATTCTCTTCGTGTCCAGCAAGAGGATCCATCGCATCAAGCTTGAAGAAACAATCCAATACAATACATACCGAATATAGCATCAAACAATGACTGCCTGTACCTACCGAGAAGCGTCTTCGTACGCCCCTGTGTTTCCTTCTCCTCTCAACCCCACAAACCATGGACCGGAGAACAAATACGGCCCTGCACGCATCGTACGCCGAAGACGCAGTCGATCTGGCCGAAGAGGACCTCCTGGATCGCATACCCTCACCCAACGATTCCTCCGTGTCAAGGCTGCCGATGCCTGGAGAGGACATGTCTTGAGTGCTCAGGTCGCCAAGTACGAGAGCGCCGAGGCATCTGTTATGGCTTTCAGTGAACCCAAGAACAGAGTAAGTTCTCATTACACAACCGTCATCGATATTCGCATACTAACACTACCTAGAACTGCTATCCTTCTATGCCCGGCCTTAAAAACCTCGGCCTCAACTTCTCCCTCTCCGACGCCCACCGCATCGCCAGCAGCATCCGTCTACCAGATCTATCATGTCCCAAGACAAGACGCATGCTCCTTGCCATGGGTCTCGTAGGCCTTCTGCCCGCTCTCAAGGTCCGCGACATGCTCAGAGCAACCGAGTCATTATGACTTGCATTGGACGGCGAAGACAAAAGTTGTAATAATAGTGTTCTTTTTATGGGAATTGCGATTGTAAAACGCCACCTTCTGGCGCGGCGTTATTGGGGAGAGGTTTCTATAGATATACCCGCGTACTTACGCCTGTTTTCCTTTCGTTTTCACTCCAGTCTAATACAACCAAATATATCTTTTACCATACCAAAAAAATACAAAGTCCGATACACCTCCCATACCCCGTGCCAGCTACGTAGATATCATACATCGTTTACTCATTGGTCTTTCTCCTTATACTTCTCCTCCACGGGTTTAGTAGATCCTGGGTTTTCCGCAGCTGTACCAGCTGACGTTTCCTTGGGTGGGCTTGGGCTGTCAGGGTCCTCAACTGAGTGGTTGACTTGCCATATAGCTCTCTCGAGCTCCACCTCAAGGGCTGGCATATCAAGAGTTTCTGAGAAAGTTTGAACTTCCTTCTGGGTTAGGAGAGCACGTTCCTTGTTGTTGGGCTCTTCAGCGGGTGGGGCATGTAGCGCATAGAGTTGGTCGAGCTTCTCACAAGGAGCAGATCGTAGTAGCTTGTGCTCCAGAAGCCATTGGAGATGGTTGCCACCTGAAATTGCTCGGAAATGGGACCAGGCTCTGTAGACAAGATAGAAGAAAGGTAGGTTGGGAACGCTATATGGTGTTAGTCAGCAGTTCAAGAACAAAAAAAGCAAAGGATACAGGGTACTCACATGGGTACTAGGGCAAATGGGATGGTAATTGGCATGCCCACAATACACCATACAAGCCGCTTCCGGTGCAGCGCCTGTCGCTCTGTCGCAAGAGTCTTGAGAATGCCCTCGGCCTTGTTAGGCGGTATCACGGAGCTGGGGAAGCACAGCTCGACCTTCTCCCTCCCCTCGATGTTGTTCTTATCGCGGGAGGACAGAGGCGGCACAGATTTGAGGCCCCATTCCTCGTAAGGGATACGTCGAAAGGCGTAGTTTCCATAGTCGACGACCTTTCGCTTCCAGCCAGACTCCATCTTCTCCCATGACGCCCACGTTTTGGCGGCCCAGGCGGTGCCCTTGTCGGCATATGTTCGATTCTGTGGCGCAGTCTTGGCCTCGACACGTTTTGCGTAGAGCAGCGTTCGCCGCGTTGAGAGCGGGAGGAGATATAATCTCATGGTGGCGGTAGTAGTAATGGTGTCTGGAGGCCGCAGCTTATGATATATCGGTGCGATGCGCCAAGCACGAAGCGAAGCTGTCGGTAGGCAGATCCCTCAACTGTGGTAGTCGCCAGAAGAAAAGAAGAAGAAAAGAGAGTCGTAGAAAGGACTATCGCAGCATGACACCCGTGATATGGTATGGTCTATATACAGGTTCGCTTTAAGCTTGTTGGCGCACGGATAGAAAAGAAGCCGGTGAGGAAAACAGCGAATTGCCTCGTTACCCTTCCGGATACTCAACAAGATACGCTTTTGGTTGGGAAATTCCGCAGGGGCTTTTGGGCTGGAGGTTGTGGCGAAGCTGACGACGATAGTAGGGAAAGTGGTTTTCAATTTTTTTGTTCAATGCTGAGATAGAGCTCCAGAGTCCAGACCTTGAATTTTGGAGTCGGAGGCCCCCAGGGCGACGGTGACGCACATGGTCGTCATGGTTGGAGAGAGAGAGAGAGAATACTTAGTACAACTAGGTATACTTGGTTAACACGTGCAGTTGTTCTCTGATATAACTTATAAGAGACTCTGTTACGCCACGAGATTATATGGTTGGATACTGCAGATAGTCGTACAAGACCGTTATTTATTATATGCATATGCGCCTACAACACCATCTGATTTACACTTCTCATGATTGATTGCAATTTGTACCTGGCCAAGAGATTTAACCCTGCACGATTCAACCTCGGCGGGGTCCACCAGATGAACCCCGCCACTCATCGACACCATCGCCAATTCTGATGATTAGCCGACATAGTACGAAAACTCGGATTGCTTATCAACAATTCCTCGGGCGAATGGTTTAGTGGTATAATACTCCCTTAGCAAGTTTCCTCCGAAACCCAAATTGGGAGTGGTCCAGGGTTCGATTCCCTGTTCGTCCAACATTGGCGGTTAGAATCCGCTGTTATACCTTCTTTTTGGCGGTTTCGCATCTGTATCTCAACTGTATCTTGTGCACCTGTGTTAACGTTGATATCATTAGAGGTAGTTTCTTTCTTTTTAGATGACAACTCTGCCAAAGCGTCCGATGAGTTGAAGAACCACGTAAAGATCTTGATAATATGGCATTGATCATCGTCCACTCTACGGATAGCCACCAAGACTCACTCACCTTCACCTTCACCCACTATCAACCACCACTCCCTGAGCACAATCAAAGCTCAATCGCCCAAAGCCTCAAACCTACCTTCATCCGAACTCCCAAACGCTCCTCCTCTAGCGTGACATCCATGCCCATGTCTCACATAGATCTCGATCTGAACAAACTATCAATCCGTCACGAACTCCTGTAGCCTTTCGTTGTATGCAGGGAGACAGAACCTTTCGATTAGTCTACCGCATCTCATCTGCCCACTTCCCCATCTTTGCTCCCATGAAGAAGATCATTTTTGACTCATCTGCACCTTTCGGCTGCAAGTCACACGCACATACATACAGACAAAAAAGTCAAAACCAGACGTTTGGGATCCGTACCTGAAGAGGCCTGAGACATGCCACTAGAAACTGAGACCTACAGCTTCTTCAAGCACTGAACTTTAGTCTGCTTCGTTCAAGTTCCGGTTTGTGGCCACGTCGTTTGCTTCGTTCTCGTGTATTCACTATTGTCCTTTCTAGATTCCATGGCCTTGGTATCAACCTGTAGTCTGACACGATCAACCCGCCTGTAACTAACGCCTTCGTATAACCTTCTATGCTTTATGTAAACCCGTCTCTTCTCAACTTGTAGCCATGCAATTCTGCACTTATAAAAGCTCAGACATGTCAGTTCATCTTGACCCTTAGCTCCCCCCACCATCATGCACGGGACTCTTCGACCGTGATGCTCCCTTGCCCACAATCTTCTCCGCCCAGTTCCACCCATCCGACGGCCCCTGCGCCTCCTTGCCCTTGTCTTGCTGATGGAGTGCCGACGGCGTTGTTGGTCCGGGTAGGTCTCCGAAGTCTAGATCACTCTCGCAGTCGCTATCGTGCCAGTCCCGGTCACTCCACGTCACGGATTCTGCTCGTTCTGCCTTTGGTCGTTGAGGCGTTGAAGCATCGCTGCCTCTCTTCGACTCTGATGCCTTAGGCAAGTCCGAGACCTTATCGAGGGCCTCCCGAGACTCGCTGTCCGTTCGGACCATGTCTGCCAAATTGTCTCGACTCTTCTTCAGCTCCGCGCCGTCCTCATCAGGTGGTTCGTTTACGTTGCGGGCCCGCTCGCGATTGTGCTCATCCTCATCGCGGAGGCGGGAGGCCGCCGAGTCGCTGAAGTGCGCATCAACCAGATGTTTAACTACAGGCCAACCATATGCGTTTGCAAACATGCGGCGGACAAAAACATTGTTGTGAGCATCAGGCTCGACCTTGACAAGGACCTTCCTCCAAGACAAGTCTTTGTGATAAGCCCTCGCGATCTTCTCTTCGACACGCATGTTAGATGTGTCAATGACTTCGTGAATATCCTTATCCGGGTTTGTGTTTGATGTATCATCATAGTCCTTGGAGGACAGTGTGCTGTCTTCGTGATTCACACCCGGGTAAGGGGACGAGCCTGTGCTGCTAGTCGAGGCCTGCCCGATTGAGTTCTGTCGTTGACTAGTCTTCCTCCTAACCAGTAACGATTGGCGCCTCTTCAGTGGCGGTCCCGGTATGTCAGCTGGGTGATAAACACGGTCGTGGAAGATAGTTCGTGGTCGTTTGGACGGATCAATTAAATACTCAACATCAGGCACCTTAGGGTTAAGTAGATCACCAGCTGATTCAAAAATGGTCGTTCTTGGCGGAGCTGACATCTCATCTTCGCCCTCGTGTCCTGTAGTAACCTTGGACTGCTGAGCTGAGGCCGATTCAGAGCTATTATCGACTGAAGCATCACCTAGTTCATCAAGCTTGAGAGTCTGGCTCTTGGAGTATATCCTCTTCTGCTTCTGTGACACATTGGGGGGCTTTGGCGGGTCATTGCTCTTGAAAAAGTTGAAAAAACCTGCCAATGGTCCACTGTTCGTAGAATCAGCAGAGTCAGACGGAACGTCGTCGCCGTATGGCGTCGCCACAGATCGCAGACTTGCTCTGTCGTCATCAACAATCACTGTGCTGGACGGCTGTGGAACCTCGCGCATATTCTCATGAGTTTCTCGAGGTGAAGAAGTACCGGACTGGCCCGCCGACCGTTCTCCCGACATAAGTTGCTTCTGACGAGAAGAGTTTCCCTGGTTCGAGCCTGTTAACTCAGCCCATCCGAATCCGACAACAGTCTCGACTAGGCCAGCATCTCGCCGAGCTTTCTCAACACGCCCAAGTCCCTGCCAGTCCAGGAATAGTAGACAACTTGTGCGAAGCGGGACAATGCCATCGTTGACCACGTTGGAGTATACTGTTCGGTTGCGGAATTTCTTCAGTGCTATATGTGCAGGCCCGGTTGGCAGGATCCTCAGGAGTGGTTTTGATTCAGGCTGTGTCTCTCCGTAAACCTTCTTGTGTGCCGTCTCGCCCAGATTTCCCACAATGGCACCCCAGCCACTTCGTGCAATCGTAGGCGCTCTCCATGTCAGACCAAGATCCTTTCCGGTCCTGCCAACAAGGCCAGAGTCCAGGGCGAATTTGACGTATAAGGGGTTTTCATTGCTCAGTCCCAGAAATGGTGTAGCCAGTGCAACAAAGTTGATCGGCTTAATAAGATCAAAGAATTGTGGTGAGTGTTTTTGTATATATGCGATGGCGTATGTCTGAACAAGTCCGCCGAGGGAGTGAGCAATGAAACTTATGCTCGTAATTTTATATGGCCGTTCTGCCTTGTGCAAATGTGCACCATCCTTGCCAAGGTGAATAGAACTGTGCTTGTGTACTGCCTGCTGCTGAGGATCGTTCTTGTCAAAGCTATGGGTCAGTGCATCACCCATTCCTTTTCCTGTTGGTAGAAATGGCTGATCTGGGTATGTCATGGACAGCACGTATCTAGCGAGCCTCTTCCCGAGATACTTAATCCCGCGCTCTGTCTTTGTCGAGTTGCCCGAATAACCCCGTACAATAACTTCCTCGTCGTCATCATCTTCATCGTCTTCACCGTCCACCTTGTCTATATCTTTTGTATCGTGCGAATCTGTTTCGACAATACCGTTGCCAGATTGTTTTCTTGCGGCTCGTTCCCGGGTCCGCCTAGCCTTGGCATCGATCTTGGCTTGCTTGACAGCTGCATCAATGCTCTCTTTCAGAAAAAGCATATCGGCGCCAAGATTACTGTGCAGACCATGCGTCAGAACCACAAGGTGGACCTTCTTTCTCTTCTGGCTGGGCTTCTCTGATTTTGCAGTATCGTCCTCCGCTCCGGGTTCACCAGTCTTGGCGACACTCTCTATATGTTGGTCCGGGCCTTTGCGACCTTCAGCGCGCTCTTCACCCTGATCATCCCAGCCTGGAAGTCTGGGAGTGTTCCACAGTGTTGCAGTATCTTCGACCTTGACTTGTACCGCCCGAGAAAAGACACCACGAGGCTGCGCAGGATGATGCCCATCCTTGGCCCCAACACCCTGTTGGTGGTCGCTGACCTTCCCAGGCTGCGAAACTTGGGCTTGGCCACCGACCATAGCACTCGAACTGCTCAGATTTAAGGACTTCTTGTCACGAGCGAGGACAACCTCGAAGCCGACGGCAGCCGAAGTCGAGAAGAGAATCTGTGAAGAAACCTCAACAATCCAACTAGCGCTCTCATGATCATGAGACGGACCCTTTCCAAAGCCTCCATGACTTCCTAGTCCAGCACTCTGCCTAATAGTAACAGGAACTACAAGCTCGCACTCCCAAGAGCCACCAGCCTTGACCATGGGCTCAAACTCTGGAACGCCATAACGCTCGGGGTATTCGAATTTCTCATTGGGGTCGAAAGCAGCGGGATAGGCGGCGGCGCTGAGTGTATACGGTCCGTGGACGAAAGCTGCGCGGAGGGCGATGGCTGAGGTGTTGCGCACACGAAGGTATAGCTTTTCGGGGGACGGTAAGATGCGATCTTGAGACGGTGTGTATGTGATGGTATAGCGGATGACCTCGCCTGTTTTGAGGCTGCCGACCTGGTGGAGGAGAAGCATCTCGGCGCCGCGGCAGAGGCGCAGGCGAGCGTTGGCTTAAGAAGTCGTTTTGATAACGTTGGACAGGAGGAGGAGGGTTTGCACGTGCTTGGTTAAAGGTCGTAGTTGGAGTCGTTGCTATATCAGAGAGCAGCTTTTGACGTCACCATAACTTGAACGCCCGTATCGAAAATGCAATATAGGGACAAGTTCAACAAGTAATAGCAGAATCGATTCAGAAGAAGATGACAGCAGAAGGGGACGTCAACCGAGGGAGCCGAGTTCGGAAGGAGTGGTGATCGTGACCGTACAGACAAGACAATACAAGACACACGAGACAGGAAAAGGGTTCTAGAAACCGCACATGTACTGTAATGAGTGAATGCATGTACAATGACGGTAAGCTTCGCCCTGGTCTCCCCAATCTCGCTCCTGATCTTGGCCGACGGGGTCCTTGTAGGCCAATCAACACTGGGCGTCGACATCACTCCTATGGCGGGGCAGCCCCAGGGCATTCTCTCAGTTGTTTTAGCCCCCGAGTTTCCCGTTGCCCAAGCACTGGACTCGCTGTAGCCTTTTTGTTATTAGTGATCAGCTGCTTGCGGTGGATCTTGTGAAATTCTGTTGGGCGTTCTCATTCCACATTACGCGACGATCACGAACAAGAAAGAAAGCGTCTTTCTTCATTCCGTTCCTTGCTGATGAGTTTCTTTCCATGACTTCATCTATCTGGACCCTTAAAGCTTGAATTTGGAAAATGCACAACTCGATGATCTAGTTGAAACGCAAACAAAGCCAAATGACATCAAGTATTTGAAACGCTCATGCTGTGCTATGCTATGCTATGCTCACGCTCATGCTCATATTCATGCATATATGCTCCAACCATCATGCCACACATATCTATCCATAGAATAGTCTCTCGTGTTGAGTTCTGTTGGCCTTTGCGCAACCCTGCTCCCTATCTTTATGCAATTTCCACCACACGTATGACCTAGCGAAAGAGAAACACGCAGGACAGACTGATACTATACAAAACATTCTAGCAATCTATAGACGAGATCAGATTATTCAAAAACATGATTCGTTTTTCTCATCACTCATCATTGTAATCTCATCAAGCAGACGATACAGCTGCAGCTAGTTCTCCCTCGGGATCACCGGGCTCGATGAACCTTCGCCAGCTCTCGACTCGTCCCATGCCTGAACTGTGTACACCAAGCCCGGCCAGCTCGGATGAACTTAGCGTGTCGCTGCGTCGCGTACCCTTTCGGCTGCGCGAGCTGTGACTGTAGTAAGAGTCGTCTTCGTCGTAGCTGTTTGGATCCCGCTCAACGATGAGAGGTCCTAACCCGCCACGGTAACCCTCCTCCAGAACTGGAGGTGGCATGCCCATGGGCGGTGGTCTCATGCCAGGAGGTTCCATCTCAGCATAAGGGTCTTCGGCATGTGGTTCAAGGACTCGTCTGTCCATGCGTCCTCCGTAGTAGCCTCCTCTACCTCCAGGAGGACCTCTCTCGAATTCTGCGCGGCTTGGAGAAGGAGGAGTACCACCAACTACTCTGCGGCCTAGACGCCGAGGGCTGTCGCCCGCGTAGTGTCCAGAAGGATCACCAGACCTTGGTACTTCCGGAGCTCCTCCAACAACATCGTATTCGTTGTCCTTGCCATAATAGCGCGGCCTGCGAACCAGTTCGTCGTCGCGATCGTCTTGTTGGCGTATAATAGCTTCCTCATCGTAAACATGCTGCCGTGACTGCTTTGATCCTCGGCGCTTTCGAGCAACTCGAGACTCCCCCTCCGTACTATCTTCACGGAAGACTGTAATCTCTCCTCGGTGTGTAACCGTTTGCCCATGATGGTCGGATTCCGAAGCATCAATATCGAACCATGGGCATTCGCATTTCTTGGGCTTTTCACCGCACGCAACGCAAAATTCGGCACCACATCGACTGTAAACATGTTAGAAGCCATACCCAGTGTTGAGAAGTTACTGGACTCACCACAAAGCATGATTATCGCCTTCTCTGAGCTGGGCTGAAGCACCGCATCTATAGCATCTCTTCTGCCCTTCACGTCTGGCGTATTCAAGAAAGATCGCCGTCTCTTCATCCCTGGGACATTTGCTCGCAAAGTGCCACCGACCGTTGCAAGTCACACAAACTTTGGTGTTGCACCGGTCGCAACGAGCGGCCTTTCGTCCCGTCTCGCGGTCAACATAGATATCGGCGGGCCGAATCCATTCCCCGCATCGTCGCGATGGACAATACAATCGGCTTCTCAGCGAGTGCTCTACAAACTTCTTGTTCCATATCTTCTTGAAAGTAGGATCAAGAAGCTTCTCAACGTGATCGAGCTCAATGTGATCGTCGCTGCAGCAAGTTGGAGGCATATGCTCGGGGTCTGTCACTGATTGCTTAAACCGCTTCTTCAGACAGCTATGGCACATGCGATGTCCACACTCAAGCTTGGGGCATTTTGACGCAGGAACCTCGTCTAGACAGCCTTTACAATCACGACTGTAGCATGAAAGTTAGAAACTGAGTACAAACATTTCAGATATGGTTCCTTACATTATACGGGGCCGCTCTGGGGTCGTATTTCTGGACGACGCAAACCCGCTGATTATACTGGGAGGACGTCGTGAAGATTCCCTTGAGATCTCAACTGTCTCTACTGTAGCTAATCGCCGAGGTCGGCCCTCACGGACCAACTCACGGGACTCGACCACTTTAGCAGTCCTGATTCTTCAATTAGTCCAGCAAATAAGAAAAACGTGCAGAAAACTTACCTTCTGGAAGCTACTGGTGGCCGGGAAGCACCAAGCACACTGTTAAATCGTGTTGGTAGGCTGTATCTAGGTGTGTCGGTGATCTCTCTTCTCAGAGAAGGTCTACGGTCTGGCGAGCCTCTCTCAGAAGAGGCTTGGCGATATCTTATTTCTCTCTCGTCAGAGGTGGATGGCGATGGCATTCTGTTTCGTCTCCGTGGGGTCCTTTTCTCATCTGGTGAACTGAGATAATCGTCCGGGCTGGGTCGTCGGTGGTGTCGACGATGATGTCGTTTATGATTGTCCTCTTCCGGTTCTTCCACCACAACCTCTATATGGTTATTGTCGTCGCTATCCTCATCGCTGTCACTGTCGCTGTCGCTTTCCTCCTCACTCTCTGTCGACGGTGTTGATTCTGGTGTGGGATCTCTCGGCTTCCGCACCCGCTGACGGGGCCGGGCTGGCTCCGGAAGTCTACCCCGTGGCTTCATGGGCGCCCAACGATCATTATCCTCATCTTCGTCTGCTTCGTACACGGAGAACTGCGGGCGTTTCTTATAAACATCTGTGGAAGCTCGCATAAGGTGTGCTGGCGGCATAGGCATGGTCATGGTAGGCGGGTATGCATCGAGGCTCATGCTCCTTGAATATCCTCTGGGTGTCCGTCCGTTGGGCCTTTGTAGTTCGTCGACTCGTGTCCGATGGGGCATTGGGTAGTAGGGCACGGCGTCGACGTCGACGTCACTGGGGCCATACCAATCGTGAGACTCAGGGCGGAGGGGCCTGCGACGCACGAGTGGAAGTCGGGCCTCTCCATCAGCAACGTCTCGATCGTATCCCAGCCTCATTTTGAAGGGGGCCTGTAAGGCCTGTAAGCTCCTAGAGGGTGAGCCTGTGAGGGAGGGTTCGCTCCTGCAGGACCCAGAATGGGCACGGCACAGCACAGCACAGCGCCTTCAGAGTTGGCGTCCAGGGCTGGACTAGTTTGTATGTCGGAATGCAACGGGCAGGCCAAAGTAGTCGTTATGACGAGCTGTCGGGCCAGTCAACGAAGTCCACGCTGCGTGAGCTATTGCACCCCCCAAAGTTGATTGGAGTCGGGGGGCTGATCATGCATGGCAACCGCAGCTTGCAGCGTCACGTCGAGTCGAACCGAGTCGTAGTTGGGGCGAGCAGAAAAATGTGTCTACTGTAAGGTATGGATGGAGTGTGTGTGTCTGGTGCCTTACAAGTTGGGCCGCGAGACGGGATGTCTCAATGGGGGTCGAAATTGGCCAGGCCTCAAGAGACTAAGTTGGAGGAAACCCAAGGAAAGAGGAGAAGAGAAGAGGAGGCCAAAGCGAGATATAAAAAGTCGGACAAGACCAAAATGATCAACAGCCAATCTCAAACAAGCCGTCCTGATTGTTTGGGCAACGTTTCCCAGCGTCTGCAGCTTGTTATGCTACCGCTACCACAGGATAACGCGGCAGACCAAGTTTGAGCGTGGTTTAAAAGGTCACTTCCCACCTCTCCTAACGCATCGGGCACCTAGAAACGAATCAACGAGCCCCTCCCCCGCGTGGGTGGGTTTTGAGATTGACCAGGGGGCTTGTATGGCCTGTCAACCGAAGTGATGTGTTTTTTGTCCGGTAGTCAAAGCGAACTGAGGTGAGGGTGAGCTCAGGCTGGTCCCTGCGTTCTCAGAGACAGGGGCAGCACAACGCCGTACGAGCCAGATTCAGATCGTACGAGTTATGAGCTATGATGGAAGGAAGTGAAGGACGGTAAAGGAGAATATTGTCCAACATTACTTTCGTGGGTGGCTGGCAATCCCAAGCCCAAGTTCAAGCCCAAGCCAGACCACACCATGGTCATTAATGTGGATGATCAGTTTTTTGCGGTGTGATGTCACGTGGCTGATCATGAGCCAGCCACAAGCTCAAACTGAGAACTGAGACAAGACACAAGACACAGACTAACGGCAGTTTATTAGCTCATGAGAAATGATTGTCCACAGGGTTTGCAAGGAATTTAGTCACTGTTCATTTTGCTGCAAGTGACAAATCCAATATTGCCTCTCTTCACATACTATACGAGCATGCATAATAACATCAGTGTGGCAAGATCTGACCTCTGTAATCTGCACAACACCATTTTCGACAGACAAGTCCAGCCAGTGACCAGTCAAAGGCGAGTCCACAAACAGCAGCCGTTTGACTCCATGATCATCAGAACTTGCAACTGTTCCCGAGTCAATTTGCGGCACAAAAGCAAGACTCCGCATTCCAACTCCGAATGTGGAGTTCAATCAAGACCGTGCCGAGCCACGCCGGCCATTAACACTCAATACGTGTGGGTCATGTCCTCGGCCCGGTCCGGCAGCCATGACGGGCCTCCACGGATAACCATGGCGGCCGTCCCTGCTGATCTCCAATGGCTTCGTCCAGCTGTATTTTGACTTCTTTAGCAATCTGCAGGGACCTTTCCCCCACACCATTATTCGCATGGTTGCAACATCATTTGTCTTGAGAGAGTGCACTTCACATGCTAAATCCTCTACTATCTCTGACCTTAAAAGAGAATATATCAATTGATTTATAACTTAGCCAACGAATAACAATAGTCTTTCTTCACTTAATAAAATAGCTTATACGTCTTCTCATTTTCTTCCGTCCCTGAAAGTTAATAGAACAATAGACTTGGTCATGGTCTGACCATATGAGCGACGTTTCATGATCAAAATCTTCCGTATCTACTCATGGATGGGTTATGCCTCATATAATACAAAAGTAAACAAATGGGTATAGATGCTATCATAAGAGACGTCATCATGCTGTGTCGAAACGAGGAATCCGTACGCCAAGTTCCCAGGGGCTCTTCAGCTAGGTTTAACAACTAGCTCGCATGTATAATTTCATTACATCGATCCATGACTCCGAGAGTAGCATCGTTGAAGAAGTATTGAAGCAAGCATGTTTGGAAACATCGGCCAGCCGGCCCGAAGAACCGTCACCAGGCTTGGGAACCAACCAATAGAGAGCTTGATCCCGACCACCGCACCCCAAGATAATACCAGCAAGAGCGTTCTCGGGGCGATAGCTGAGCTTACCTTGATCTTCGGGATCATATTGTAACCTTGTGGCGTATCTTGTGTCGCACAGAGGAGAAAAACCGGCGGGATTAATCAATAGGGCCGTGATCTTGAGGGTTGGAGAAGAGAATGAAGCACGCCAGAGTCGATGACGAGCTGACAGCTTATCGAGTTTGCTATGAGTGCTGTATACTAACACGGTCTAGATAACCTGGCACTTAGGGAGTACCAAGAAACGCGCGTCTTCTCACCTCAGCCTCCTTGATAATTTCGGAGGCCAGACTTAAGCTTGGAGCCAACGTTGCGTACCGCTCAACTTCCAGAACCACATCATTGATGATCTGGTCTAGTGCCTCACGACTAGGTACCAAGGTAAGCAAAATGCCGAGCAGCGATGGCGACATGCTGGCACCCATTATGAGTAACGTTTGAGAGACCATCGATAAAGCTCCTTGCCAGATGTATGGCATATGACCAGCATGACTACACATCAGTTAGTAGCTAGTATATGAACTGTGAGAGTAGAAAGATGACATACTGTTCGTGGATGTGCTCCAGCTGTCGAATAGAAGCTTCCAAGCACTTGTGGCAGTTCTCCCGCACCGCAGGATCAAGAACTTGCTGCTCATTGTCTAGCACAGCTAGAATATATGGCCGATAAATAATGGTGCGGCAGGCAAAGAATCGAAGTCGAAGTACCGTTTGCACTGGGTCTTGCAGAGCGTTTCGTGTGAAAGGAAACTGCAATGGTAGTGGTAAACTCTCGTACCATTGACTCAATTGGTAGTCGAGTTCTGCAACAACTGGATCCAGGCTTGTTGTTGTTGCGATCGAATCCTTGGAGTATATAAGTTGGCTTACTCGATTTAACAACCGGCGTAGAGCAATCTCTGCGAGGAAGTACCAAAGCTCATCTCGACCGACTTGCTCTGATTCATCACCTTCAAATCCACCAGGGAGGCCGACGTTTTCCTCGAACTGCACTACTCCCGAGTGTGGCAGGTCGAGTTCGGCGAGAAGATCGCTCTCGAAAAGCAAAGCGTTCCAGTAAATGCGTTCCACAAGCTCTCGTTGATGACTAGGAATACGGCTTGGTGCCATGAGAAGTAGCTGCAGCTTCGTGCTCGTAGTGCAAAGAAGATTCCATGCCTCCATAGGGCGCACAAGGTAGAAGTGGTATGCAGCTGCAAGGAGATGACACTGTGCCGCCACCACACTGTTGGCAGTCATTAGTCCTGGAAGTAGCGACCAGGCTGCTGTGAAGTATTGCAGGCCAGGAGGGTCTTCTTGGGGTAGAATTCTAGAAATGCTTCCATGCAAGCTTGCCTGGCCCAAAGCGAGAACAAGAAGCACAATGCAACTTTCCGGTCCTTCTCGGAACCCGTTGGATAAGGCCGTTCGATATTGGCTCCTCCAGGTATAAGGGTTAACGCAAGCATACCAGATGTTAACCCGCTCGAAGTAAGCCTCGATATAGGCCTGGGTATTTGACAGATCCACGCATGGGGTTTTCGTTAAAGTATGGAGCGGTTCTCGAGCCATTTCCAGTTGGAGGAGAATCTGAGGGTCGCACGGCCGTGAAATTAGATCTCGGATCAGAGGCCATTGCAGTAAATGCATAGCGGCATTAGTGTGGACTTTGGGCATGGTAGAGATGTTGGTTCCGGTCGGCTGGGCAGACCATGTCCCGAATCCACCATTGGGAATAGAGCCAAAAGAGGCGGCGTTGGCGGACATGATTATGTTGTCACCATCGAGCCCTGTACCATTACTCATCCCTGGCGAGTTTTCAGGCAGGCTGAGCCCATTCGCTCCTCCCACCATACTCATTTGGAGTAGGCTTTCGATACGGTTGAGGCGCTCCAGAATCAACTTGTCACCCGCATCGAGTTTGATGCCTGGCTCTCGATAGATGCATTCAGCACCAAGCTCTGTACACAGCTTGCACTTTGGTTTCGTTCCATCGCAACGGGATTTCCTCGAGCGGCAAACCTCACACTAGCGAATAGTCAGCATACGGAGAACAAAGCGAGAAGCGTTGAGCTGTAACGCACAGCAATAGTAGCCCTACGGCGGGGATAATCAACGCCAGTTTCGGTGTTTCGCCTCTTGAGCGGGTTTGAACCTTCGTCGCTTGAGAGCTTTTGTGCGCCATTAGACATGCTGTCGGGCCTGTTGTCAGAAGACTGTGATAGATGACGAGACTTTTGTGATGCGTTTAGCATGCCGTCTCTGCTAAAACTGGGTGTTCGTTGGTTCTTATAGGTTACAGGCGATTTGAGCGAGGTATCGGTCGACATCCCTGTGAGTGACGATAGTGGGAGCTCAAGTGAAAAGCTGTCGCGTGCAGGCACGGTAAACGGCCGGGCGGAGTTGATTGACATTGAGTGAACGGATTCGCCTGTCGATGATGGGGACATGGCTTGTTGGCGTCAAAACTGAAGGGGGAGCGAGGAACGATCTTAAGAGAAAGTTTCCAGTTGGGCTAATATGAGGTCGCGACTAAAAAGAGCTGTATATGCGAAAAACTCGGAATGCTATGTTTTCAAGGCGACATAATGGAGCAATGTCAAGGTTCGAAAAGGGTGAGATGAAGATCAGGCGATGAGATGAAAGCTCAAGTTTTAGAGCCGAGTCGAAGTTATGCCAGTGGAGTGATTAGCGACGGGATTTCTTGTGAGTTAACCCGTGTATATTCGCTGTCAGATGGTCAAAAAAACGTCAGTCTCACGAGCAGAACACAGGAATGCTCTCGAGACGTTGAACGTTGAAGGAGGCGTCCTTTCTGGTGGCCGAAATGGAGGAGTTATGGTTATGTATGGGGAGGAGCAGGGATAAGGTTCTCCAAAGCCCCATGAATGGTAGCTGCACTTGTGCTTAACCCCAGACCGTGGGCCGGCGGGCGGTGGAGCTCGGAGAGGGTGGTGGAGAAGCGGGCGGGAGACCAGAATCGACAAGGTCGGCCACCTGGGGGACTTCTGGAGAGATGATATGGATCATTTTATTGGTCTATCAGAGTCGGCCGAAGCAGCATCCAACGGATGGACTTGGTAGCGATGTACTCCGGCCAGTGGCCGAGTCGCTTGAGAAGGCGATTGAGCGAGTCTCTGGCATGACAAGGCATGGCATACAATAGAAGCCGAAATGACTTGTTTCGGGGCTGTTTTGCTTCAGGTGGTGGTGGCGTACGATTGATTTGCTGTGAGACGATTCGTTCCAAGCAGCCAGCAAAACAAAGAGGAGAGTCTGGGGAAGCTCATATTCGCTCTGGACTGTGAGAAGAGGACTAACTTAGTCCGTGTGTCCTGAAGCGTACATACTCAAGCATCGACTCCATGTGTTCCCCAGAGGATTGGGTGGCTCAAGCCAGTTGTTCTCGTCTAACGTGCCAGGACCGGGATAAGATTAAATGGAGGGGGGCCGATCTCAAGGGGGATTGGTGGGACTCCCTGCTGCAGCACCGTTTGTGCGTGGAGAAGCGAATCTTGGAGGATGAAATTCAATTTCTTCTCTGAGATTGGAGCAGTTCACGCATTCTCATGTCTAAGAGAGGCTTAGCAGTGGGGACAAAGAGAGCGAGGTTTGGGTAAAAGGTGCCGTTGTTCGAATCTGTAAGGCAGGTACGGGGCGGAGTATTGTATTATTGATGGAAAGAGCAAAATGTCGTCCCATCTTGCAAGTTAGGCAAGTTGTGCCTCCCGTACCGCGCTTGCGGTACTGTGGTATCGCAATACCTTAGTACCTAAGTGAAGAAGCCACGCATGAATGCTCTAATGCACGACACTCCTGAACATCACCACCGATAAACTCTTCATCCCTGTGCTTAGCAAAGTCGAGATTGTACATCTAACCACCGTATCTTCTTTGTACTGAGAATATCGTCGTTTGTGATCTTATGCACTCCCTACTATTCCTCAATACATGTTAGATGGTGGCACAATGAATCCCGAATAATGTGGCCTTACCACGATTTGACAGACAATCATAGCCGCCAAGGTCGCGATTCTGGGGTCTAGACCCCAGTGGAGGTCAATCGCCACGAGAACGTCTCTATGAAGTGAGTGATTGTCTCGGATGGCATCCGGGCCTCTCGCTCATGACCATGGGGCCAGCAAATTCTTAACTCTTTGTGGTAGTACTCGCGAAAGGTACTGCACCTGATGCTCACTGAAAACTCCACATCTTCACTCCAATTCTCAATGCCAAAAACAATATCAAATACCCTTCCCGAATCATCCGGTTTCTTAAGGCGTAGGTTTTAATACCAAAACGTGGCTTGGAATCGAATCTGATTCTAGCTCTGCTTACAATTGATCAGCTTGCCTCCAACGCTGAAGCTCACCCATCATGACAACTTGACAAGCCTCGCCCTCATGCGCCTGAGAACTAAAGGCCCGAATAGCATGCTACTTTCGTTCGAACCTCACAGCCCAGTCCAATCCAAACCTTAACTCGTGACCAGCCTTGGGACCGGTTTTAGCCTGCTCCGGTCTGGGGTGCTTGAGGGTGTCATCTCGAGTCGCCTGTCAACCTGCGGGGAAGCTTTGGTGGGTGTGGCACGTTCTGTCCGTTTCAGGCAAACGGCTGTCAAGGTTGTTTGATGGATCTTCCGGCTAATTGCGCTCGCGTTAAGTCACTAGGAACAGACTACGGCACCAACAGAGAGAGACCTGGGTGTTGAATGTGTTGGGAAACAATTAGCCCAGAGATTCGAATAGACAAATGGTACCTTCAGGGAAGCAACACACAGCTTAACAAGATCATCAACAAAGAAGGCAAATGACACGACAGGTTGGTTATATTACGGCTGCCTAATAAGATTCGCATTATGAGCTGCTAATTCCTCTTGCAAAGGATTGAGAGTTGCTAAGAGTCTGTGCCGCTACCCCCATCGATAATCTTCAGGGTCTTCATCATCCTGGCCATGATCACATCAAGCCTTGTGTAGAACCCGGCAGGCCAAACTTCGAGTCGATCTCCGAGATGGACAGTCGTCTAGCAGTACCCCCGGATTCTCTTTTCGGAAATCCGGGGGATTCGATGCCCGATACTACTCCGGTAAACATCGAATCCACTTAAGAGACTCATAATCCGGGGTTGGGGGACTATCCCGCGGCATCGTCTCATGCTCTTTTAAGACTGCTGCAAGATAACAATCATGCACACCATAAATGTGGTGTGCTTCGTAGTATTCCCCTGCATCACAACGCGATCGACTGCACTCAGGGTGACCGTCGCCATGGAAGAGGCCAATGTGTGTAGACAGAGGTGCTCTTGACACTGTAACCCACAACCTTTCGGATTCGAGCGCCGTCAACCCGAAATCCATAGTAGAGGATGGCCTAGTCCAACAGAAACAAGGTATCCAAGAACCAAAGCGACTGCAATGAGTAGGCGCTTTCTAACGCGCCGTACTTTTCATGTGCGATGAGTACAACTGGCTTATAGTGATACGTCATGAGGGGTTCTCTACCCGCTACTCCCAGTCGAACTGAAATAGGGACCGGATGAGTGTTGGCCGAACTGAAATAGTGACCGGATGAGAGTTGACCGAAATGACATAGGGCAAGACTAAAAGATCGATGAAACCGGGACTTGTTGAGCCGCAAACACCCTATCCCTCGTAGAAGATCACGGCCGTGACTTCACCTTCTAGCTGTGCATAGGCGATGAAATCACCGAGCATGCCTGTTTTGACATCTCTTTCAATAATGACGATACGGCCATCCATTTGGAGCGCCACTGCAACCAATGTTCCAGCTTTATTGATAGCAAAATGACGAGGGAACTTCCCTCCACATGGGACATCTTGGTGCAAAGCGAGACGTCCAGTCTCGCCGTCGATTTTGAAGTTGATAAGTGGATCAGAGGTGATGTTGGTGTTGTTACCAGCGTCGAAGCTCGGCACTTGAAAGGTGTTCTCATTTCGAGATGAGACTATGAGAAATTCTCTATCCGGCTATTCACAAATGTTAGGATCATTTCTTAGGACTACCTTGGAACTTACTTACTGATACAGCAATTTCAGCTGCTGCTGCACCTTGGGGTACGTCTTTGCCTTCTCCATGGATACCACTGTTCCAAATCTCTTTGAAGGCAATAAATTCACCACCGTATACAACCTCATACCCAGCAATAGTGTTGGCCAATTCGGTCACGAGATACATAAACGTCTTGGTTTCCTTTACAACGAAGGCCAGATGCCGAGGCCCGCTGCCAGGAGCAACGACCAAAGGATCAAGCTCGGTTGACCCTAGACCTTCGGCATCAATGCCATATATACGGATTAAATCAGCCCCCAGATCGGGGATGAGAATGAACTGCTTCGTTGGATCAACAACGGCAGCATGTGGATGGGCCGCTTCCTGTCTGGACGGATCCGGACCGGGCCTGGGGAGGTCGAACTCCTGAACTTGGACAGAGGTGATATTGGCTGGATCTTGAATATCCCATGCTGTAAACGCCGAGCCACCGCTGTAAAAGTATTAGACCTCTGAGATTGTGCTTCAAGTTGGGTTGGGGAGGTTCATACTAATGTGCCACTGCCAATCCATAGTCCCAATCGCCAAACATAACAGCACTCACCGGGCCGAGGATAGTCGATACCTTGGCTAGAGGTGTCAAAGTACCATTCTCACTTGTCTCAAAAGAAGCCAACGACCCATTCTTACCATTCCGAAGTCCCTCATCAAGGCAGTGCAGCACTCCCTTGTGCCAGTTAAGCGTAAGCCACGACGGACTCCCAGCACAACCATCCGTAGTCGCCAATGCTTCAAGTTCCACAGGCGTATCTCGATACCCTGCAAGCGAGAGATTCAAAGTTGTGACAAGCCCACTGTAAGACGAAACAAACAGCAACGAACTGGTCTCGCGAGCGTGAGTGATGGGGTCAAGGATATCATGGCTGTGGCTCCAGTGGTCACTCTTGCGATAGTAGGTCTGATATACGTAGTGAAGCAACAGCACGGCTATGGGCGTCGCGAGGAGGAAGGTAGAGATTAGCAGCCTGGTATTATTGTCCCGAAAGGGATTTCTGGAGAGTCTTGGACGGTTAAGGAGTTTCATCGTCTTTAGTGAAGGATATACGCTGTGCTGGGTTGACGCGCGGCCACGGATCACCACCGTAGAAGAATTGAATTAACAAGCCGGACCAAGGACATCAGATGTGCAACTACCGAGAAGATAGGATAGAAAGGATGAACCGAGGATGTTGAGCCTTCAATGAGATGGCAATTGAGGTGAAGATGTGGAGGTTAGAATAGTCCGTTGGGGTCAGATGTACAGCCTTGCACTAACGGTATGATGAAAGAGCGTATGCAGCACATCCATCAGCAGTTCGACCTAGTGCCGCTAAAGCCGTATTAAAGTTCAACGTCCATGCGCCGGCGCGATTTTGTTTCAGGGGCGGTTTCATCGGCCTATGCGTTTATGATAATTGATGCATGGTAGTTATGTAATAACGACCTTAGAATCATGTCATGTTCAGCAAAATACAAGCATCACCTTATGGTACTGGGGCTGACCTGTTGTACCCGACGAGTTGCGAATATTATAGGTCTTGATAGAAACATTTTCATAAACTACAGCGAACGCTACAAAAATTGTAGCCATGTAATAGTCTTAAATTGTAGCAGTCTCTTTCTAATTTATGTAAAGTCTGGTAGTACCTTAAGAAAAGAGATCCAGCTACGCCGTATCTTAATTAAATCTATAAAAATATCAACAATAGAGATCTCTATATAGACCTAAAAATAATAATATCTTAAATTTAATAAGGTTGCCTACCATATCAGCCACAACTCTATTTCTCAGAGGCATGAGCTGATAAGATAAGAAAGGTATCCAACAGTAATTTAACAGTAGTGCTTGTTGAATTAATGTTGGTTACCTTACCTGTCTTATTATCTCATGCCTCTGAGAAATAGAGTTGTAGCAGTCTCTTTCTAACACTGTTTTATGTTGGTATCTTAAATTCACTCCGGCGACCACCATCACTTTTCACCATATCCAATATAACTCCAAAGCCACCTCATCTTCGAAATATTCCTAGTTATCGAAATCAAGCTTTCTCAGATGGGAAATCCTGCATGCCAGGCGTAGTAGTTCCCCTTGATAGAGACATAGAATATGGTGCCTGTAATCTGGTTAGCTCTTGATATCACTCATATTCGACTTTGCACGTACCAAAACTTCTTTGGCGTTGCAAATTCTCCAAGCAAGTTTGCGAACGCTTCCATCTGCGGTAACGACAGGTGCCGCAAACTCAATGCCGAACATCTCTCGAATAGCGTAGACAATTCTCTTAGCATATTTCGAATCGCGTTCGACGTGGCCACCAAAAGGCTCCTCGGGCTTGTTGGGTGCAATATCTGGATCGCGATCCAGGCAGTTCTGGATTACCGGGAGAAGAGCCTCCTCAACGGCTTGTTCGTACAAGTGCTTGGCACCAAGATCGACATCCTCGTTAAATTTGCTAATTCGAATCTCGAATGGCTCCGAGATTGTCATAGCATGGTGATGTCCGTTATGATGATATCGGAACTCAAATACACCTTGTGTCCACCACAGCTTGTCACCCTCAAACAAAACCTCACCCTCGACGAGATTGGTTTCTGTTACATCGTCTGTGGACACTGGGTGCTCATCAATCAAGATGCTAGAATCGGCAGTTGAGTGATCATATGAACCCATGTTAGTAGGAGCCCAGCGTCCAAGAGACGAAACCTCAGTAGTCTCCCTCGAACGGTTGTCAGTGACCATATAAAGACCAATCCAATCCTTCTTGCTGTGGTTGGCAGGGGCCCTCCATTTAACACGCAGGGGTGCCCCATACTCAAAGGCCATGGTCTTGACCGGCTTAGGGAATCTGCCTGTCAAACTCTCCTTTCCAGTGTACTTCTCGACAATTGATGCGTTGTGTAAGTTCGCTCCTTGCACCGAGAGGGAATAAGACTTGGGATCACGACCTTCCAGATCAGGTGCAATTCTTGTGATGGTAAGTCGCGCAGGAGCCATATTGAACAAAGCTGAAGTATCTCTGACAATGGTCTTGACACCTGCTGCAAACTTGGGCCGAGCAGTATCGATGAAGTCCTCAACGAATTGGCTTGTATCATCCAACACTTTGTCGACACTTTCTTGCCATCCCTTGACAGGTGGGGGCAAAGATCGCTTGATGAACTTGGTAAGACCCGCTTCCTGACGAAGGCTGCGGCCATAGATCTTCTGCATATGGGGTCGCTCAATGTACGAAATGTAGAAGACAGTCAAGATCTGCGTGATCAGTGCCATAAGGAAGATGGATCGACTCCAGGTGATGAGTGCAGCACCCCATACGGCAGCTGTTCCGAAGAACCGATCAGGGTTGTTCAGGAAACGGTAAATCGACTTGTACGTCAGTTTAGCCTGATGATCGAAGAAGAAGTCACCGCAAAACCACCCGAACTCGCCTAGAGATTCATAAACACTGAAGGCAGTCCACAATTGCAAAGCAATGAGACTAGCACCTAGGACATGCTTGAGCATCACCAGACCATAGGCCCAGTCTTCAGGAGGCGAATACATCTTCCAGCACGCGGCGACGAAAGCCGTATTACACATGATCATGCTGATATGATGGAGACCCTTCCATTGGCGCCAGGCTTCACCAGCGCTTTCACCGAATTTAAGGAAATGGCGTGTCCACATTTTGTTCTTGGACTGCTGATCGAGGATGAGACCTAATCCGAGGTGGTACCAAATGCGCCACGCTAAAGCGTGAAACACAAAGGCCGCCTGCCAGGTGGCAGTGGAGGGTGTCACCAGAGTGAGGACAGCTACATAGAACGGCATGACAATAACGGCAAAGTCAGGGACGCGGAACAGATCAAGGTTCTTCAAACCGACGAGATTGTGAACCGGTCCAGGCGAGTCTTCGTGGGAGGGCGTGAGCGTTTGTTGGTCAAACGAAGCTTCAAGCGATTTGATATCAGCGGGCACGGCATCACTTTGGCTTTCAGAGATGGTTCGCTTGCGAGGAGGAGGTGGGTTGTAGGTCTTTTCGATGTGAGGGTTCTCAACAATCACAAGGAAGGCAAATTGGGCCAGGTGAGCGAGGATCGAGATGAAGAGAACCTCATAGCTGGCAGCCATCATGGAAATACCATAATAGCCAGCATACCCGATTGAGTACATGGGGTGGGGAGCCATCTCAAAAACACCGTCGAATGTCAAGTCCTGATCGATGAGATAGAAGAAGTCTCCCCAATACCAGGCAAAGTCTTTCACAACGCGATGAGCGTCCAATTTCACCCAGAGGTTGAAGCCGATGAGGGTGATACCAACAGCCCAGCGAGAGAAACCAATCAAAGGATTTTCGCCCTCTGGGGTGTGGCCGCACACAATGGCAAACAAGCAGTAAGACACAAAATCACACATGAGGATCAAATCAACGACCCTTCGGAAGACCAACCAAGTGTTGTACTCAATGGGTGCCTTCTCGAACTCATAGTCCTCTGGGATCTTTGTCTCTAGCTCGTTCTTTAGAAGTTTATAAAGCCATGGTCGCGGGTTGTTCCCAGTTGATGGATTCTCAAAGAGTCTCCAGCGCCGAGCCCAGGTGACCAGACGCCGATGGTTTGACTGAATCTGTAAAAGCACGCCAATGCCAATGTTGTAGCAAGCTCGCCAGAATAAGAAGACAGCCGCAAAAACAATGCGCTTAGAACCAGAGGGCAGGAAATAAGCGGCCAAGATGTGAAGACCCAGGATTGTCAAGACAATTGCGTCTGAAAGGTTCTTGGGCTGTCGAGGATCCAGAAGCTGAGAAACCATATCATGGGTTGTGGGTACAATAAAGACTACAACATGACAAGTCAGCCAAACACGCCCCAAAGCATCACACCACTCCAACCTTAACCTTAACATAAAATTCACATACCTGTGCCATCTGGAGTCCGGCCATAAGTTTTGCTGGACTTGTCAGACGGAATGGGTGCATCCGCCTCGCGACTGTGACTTTGTCCTGGCGGCTGGACAGGCGCATCGACCCCAGGTTGCCGCAGCCGAAGCCCAGGGCTGTCGGCTGGCAAATCGGCGGCAGTACTCATGACTGATGACGATGCAGCAGCAAGAGGGGGGATGAGGGCGTCTGGTGGGTTTCAATGACGATAAGTACCAGTAGGCAGTTGAATGCCAAGTTAAAGAAAAGAGTGAAGGGTTTTTGAAAACAAAAGATGAGGGAGATCGGAATGGAGATAGCAAATAGTCGGCTGTTTGGACAGTCGACGGTGGGAGTTCAAAACGACGTCAGGGCTCCGCTGCTTAGACAGAACAGACGGGGTCACTTGGTTGAGCTCTCGTTCGCTGGACCGGGTGTTTGGCCCCTGGCTGCTAGGTCTTGTTGGTCTGGGTCTGGAGCTACGGCCCCATAAGTCGAGGAGAGGAGGGATTTAGCAGGGGAACGAATGTCGATTTCCAGCGAGCGTTAGAGTATGCAGTACAATGCAGTGTGCAGGAAGCTACTGATTGATTGGTGAGGTTTGAACGCAGTGTCTTGTGTGTTGTAATGGAGGCTGTTGTTGATGTTGAATCAAGCAGCGTAGACAGGTAAGCCTTCAAAATGATGAAGAAAGAAGAGAGTTTGACGAGCGTGCTTTGAGCTTGGAAGTAAATAAGGTAAGCCCCGGTGCTCGTGAAACCACCTGCACCTTCTCTCTGAACCTGAGCCGACAAACAGGGCCACTCACAGGCCTGGCATTCTACAGAGGCTTGCCAGGGCGCGCCCATTTTCACGGCGACAAAAGCGCTAAACCCACTGTGATTACCGGGCTACTCCCGTCCTAAGAGTCTGCGTGGGGCTAGTCTACGCCGTTACGGTTAGGTAGCATGGCCGAGAGCGACGGCACGGCGGGGGAACTGTCACCTTCCATCATCTTCCCCCACTTGAAAGAAATAAAGCACGGGCACGACTCCGTCTGTTGTTAATGGCAGACCTGTTTAGCTCAGTAACAGTCGTGAAAGGTTGAATGCTGACTGGTCATATGCTAATAAAAAATTCCATCAGTGTGCTGCATGTCAGGCCTTAAATCTGCCGCTTGTTTCTGTCGTTGCAGCCCTCTTGAGAGACAATCTCTCTTTCCCCCACCGATTCTACCCGCTATTCTGCCTTGGGGTGCCGCTCACTGTGGTGCAGAAAACGGACTGCAGCCGGCGCCGGGCGCCGTGATGGAGGACGCCTCCCGATAGGTACTACGGGACTAACCCCACCCCGATAGTGGGGGCTACGGAAGCGAGTTGCTTGACCTCTCTGCTTTGATGAGATGATGTGCGCGTGTGGCTTGCTTTCGTACAGTCCCTCTCTTAGCTCTCTCATTTCTCTAACTCGAACGGTCAACGCAGAATATAGGCCCTGGTCTCTCATTCGATGGCGTGGGGTACTATCACATGCAAATCTGACAGCGAAGAAATGAAACAGAGAAAGATCCTAGCCTGTCCGTCCCAACAAAATAGAAAATCAGGGCTCTTTTTGCACCTTGAGATTATTACAAGGGGTTGTAGCGGTAGTACATTCAATGCATTCACTGACAAAAAATAATGAGGCACAAAAAGGCTTAGGGACTAGACATCACATGGAGAAAGGGAATAGCTCCAACGTCAATAAGGAGAGAGGTGCTATACCACATGTAAGTCACTTAGGTTACCATACAGTCTATCACATGCACACACAGAAATGGGTTTTTGGCAGGCCAAAGAGAAAATGGTGGAGTTGAACCAAGAACTCCTATGATAGAGTTCAAGCAAAAGGTTTGGCTGGGGCTTGCTCTTTCAGTTTTGCCATTGTGTCCTTGGTGCGGAGCCGTACGATATGCCCGAAGGCAGGAGGTGTTTACTTATTCCAGTGTATAAACTCAAGCAAGTGGTTGTGTCAAAGAGTTGGGTAACGAGTTAAAAGTGAAACCTAAACCAGCAATGGCTGCAGAATAAGCTATACAAACTGCAAACAAGTATTTAATGTCCACAATAGCACAACAACAATTAATTAACCTCATTTTGGACCCTCTTCAACTTGAGCACAAGACCATCACCCCAAATCGGAGATATCTCCCATGCAAGCATCAAAAGCCTGCCCTGAACGTGCAGCATCCAGGGTCTCGAACTACACGCCCCTTGCCCACAAGCTAAACGTTTCTGTTGAGATACTAGAAGGCCAATCGTTTCCTCGATCGTGTCATTTGGCGATTCCTCTTTAGGGAAACCCGAAGAAGCCCTGTTCGGTCGCTTGTAAGAAGTTGCAAAAGAGTTATATCCCGCAATGCCTGACCCTTGCGAATTGCGACTAAGCTAGCTTCGTATCTCGACGACAACGTATTGGCAGCCGGTTAATATGGAAGAAAAGAATCTAAAGATTGATCTTTGGCATTCTGGGTTGTTCTATGCATGAATCTAAATCGTACGGCAATCCAATCACAGTGATCTGTTGATCATGTCTCACATTGGCTGTGAATACCCTCAGTCACGTACGCTATACTTGACATTACTGAGTCTAAGCCAAACACTCCTGTATTTCTCTGTGTAATTTCGTATTTGAACAATACGGCCATAAGCTAGTCTTGAGAATCCAAGCTCCGGTATATACTCTTCTGCAATAAACCATCAGCTCTATGGGCCTAACACATGGTATTACTCTTGGTTAATTCTTGTGGTGGCCTTGAAGTTTATCGTCAGCTAATCGTTCATCACCAATTATTGAGGCTCAATTTAAAATGGAACGGAGTCAATAGCACGTCTTCCTGCGAGACCTTCGTGAAGATGGGAAGAAACTGTCCATACACGATGTTTGACACAAGGCTTGCCTCCCATGGCTTCCAGATTAGAATGTTGGTCCGCAATATGTACGACTTCCAGACTTCTAGTATAGGTGGTTGGCTTGGCGTTGGGCCTTCTTGGTACGAATGAGCCTACACCTGATCGATATGCAGCTTGGATGTAAGCCTCTCATTCAAGAAGAGATTGTCTCGGACTAGGCGGCGATCTCAAAGGTTGCTCTACTGTCAACTCTCTGTCTATTTGTCAAGAAGTCGCTGTTAAGAAGTCGCTGTTGAGCATATATATTCTTTCGGTAGATGGATATCCATGTATTCACTAGCAAAGCCGCAGCGCATGATCATATAAAGTTAGTTTATAAGGATAACAGTAGTAAAGCATGGAACAGTATCCGTTCTTCAAGAGCGCTTCAAATACCCCAGTGTCGTGGAGCGGCTCAAGCTCCAGACATCCAACCAACCTCTACCCTTGCCTCATAAATCTTGATTCGAACATCATGACATGAATATGCTTGGGATCAGCCCCTTGTTTAACAATTGTTCAATTGCGCTGTCTCCATTCATTCTTGCTTCATCCCTCATAGATCACGAAAAGACGCAGACAATCACTTTTTGCAGTCCCCCTGTAGACCCCCATATCCTGAAGATCGTTGAATCATGAGGTTGAAATTCCCCAACCGATGCATTACCCGTGCCCCTAACTAACCCGCGCAAGAACGATGCAAGCTTTACTGAGCCTTCTTGGCAAACTCCACCCTGAGAATGAGATGCTTGAAACCAAATCCGTCCATCTTCGCACAGGCCTTGACGGCGTCGCCGCGGTCTGCGAAGCTGATGAACGCGAAGCCCTTGGCCATACCGGTTTCTCGGTCCTTTGCCAGGAACACTCGGGTGACGCGACCGAAACGCTCGAACATATCCCGCAACTCTCCCTCCTCGGCCATCTCGGAAACCTAATGATAGTCAGTATTGTGTCGTGTAGGAGCAGCACGACGGCACTTACGTTGGTAACACGCAGTGTGGCCAGGTCGTCCCTCTCGCCAAACTTGGATCCCATTCTCTCGCCAGCTGTGCCGTTGCCACGCAGAGCAGGAGGCACGTATGAACCCTTCTTGAGACCAGTGCTCGCAGCAGTCGAGGGCTCGTCTCCCATACCAGCAGCGACATCGGCAGCGCCAGTCTCGCCGATAGGAGCCATGGTGTCCTTGTAGGGACATCGAGCAGTGAAATGCTGACCGTTACAGATACGACACTTGACTTGCTTGTCCTTAAGCTTGTCCTTCATGGACTCGGCGGCGTTTTCGGTGGAGTCATCCTTCTCGGCCTTTCGCCAGTTGACGCTTGGTCGGAAGATGATGTTCTCACCGACGGAGGTGGTGTCGGCAGCAGGGCCGGGGGCATCCTTTGCGCTGAGGCCGAACTTGGGCCAGGTCTTTCGGTCGGCGACGCGGGGGTTTACGGTCTCCTTGTGGGTGGTGTAGCGGATGCGGCGAGTAGTCTTGACCTTTCGGTTATCGTCGTCGTAGCGGAATGTGATGATAGTCTTTGTTCCATCCTTGTTGGAGATGGTCTGGGGCTCAGGGAGATCGGTGGATGTCTCCTCGATATCGTCGTCGTCGGCCCAGTCGTGCCTTTTTGAATGGTGGGGTTAGTCAAAGGATGTTCGATATATTACCCCAGTCGAGCACTGCAACTCACTTGGACTGGTTCGCAACGGCGGCAGCCATGATGAAATTCGAGCGTATTCGTGCGACTCGTTCAAAGAATCGATTTAGGTCTCGCGGTAGCGTCTGGATGCGTCGTCGTGGCTCGTCGAGGCGTCACTTCGTGATCGTGGGGTTTTAGTGATGGTTGAATTTATTCACTTTTTCCGTGGTGCGGCGGCCGAGCAGTGGTGGGGCAGCAGTCAAGCCACATCTCTCGAAGCGATAAGCAGATAAGGTCACATGATGGGCACTAGCCACAGGGCCAACTTTATCCGATCCGGCATCAGCATGATGCTACTTCTAGAGTTATTTTAGGAATTCTTTGGTTACGTTGCTGTCATTGAAATGCTAAGCGGCTCGGTGGATTTGTAACGTGGAAACATGCCATTATACGTGGTGACGACTGTCAATGGTTAAACGGAAAATCGGCATGAGCTGGGTTCGGATTCGGAGACGGCGGAAGACGGGTGCGTGGCGCAGTGCACTCGTCCTCGATGCGTCTACAAGACTTACCTAAAAAAGCTGCAAACAAGCAGGAAATAGGTAGAATGATCTTTAATGGTTCTTTTTTATTTGATAATGTTGGTATTGATGCCATTAATCCGCTTGAAATTTTGGTCCGTTGTGAAGATCCCTAGAGCCAAGTCTGCATCACATGAACATTCAAGTCTTAACTGTAAAGCCAACAGCTGAAGCTCGTTTCAGAGCTGTATTATACTGAAAGAGTTCTGTAAAGGTGTTATTTGTTGCTCCGTATCCATCGAAACACCAGCAACCACCACTTCACAAACGTGTCAAATACTGACACAAAGCTGTGACTCGGTAAATATCCTTGACATCCCCTTGTTGGGAGATGAACCTGTCAACGCCAAGCGACATGGCGCTCTGGCTTTCGCAGCCAAGCGTGGCGCAGCGTTTAACGCGCCCAATCCTATCCACGTAATCCCTTTGTGGCGTGCTAAAAGCCGGGGCCGGGGATGACCATGTGAGAGGGAGGCAGCTTGAGACGAGACCAACGCCAAACACTTTGACTTTACGAGCTTGGCTCCTCTTTCTCTCCTCACTGTCGTTTCGTTCCCATTTGTATTCCTTCACATCCACATTTTGTACTCTCATTCTCCATCTCTCACTTCTTTCTTTCTTCTCTCGATCACCGATATTTGTCACGCACTTACTTTGCGCGGACCCTTGACATAAACATCCACCTCCTATCCACCAGTCGCATAGCGCATCACCAAAACACACGATGGCCTACAAGCAAGACGAACCTCCGGCTTACGGCCCTCCCCCAGGTGCCCCTCAACCTACCTATGGTGGCTACCAGCAAGATCCATACCAGCAGCAAGGCGGCCAGCAACAGGGCTACTACCAACAACCTCCTCCTCAGATGGGCTACTACAACCAGCAACAAGGACCCTTTCCCGCTGGCCAGGGCCCTTATCCTCCTCAGCAGGGTCCCTACGGCCAGCCCCCTCCTCAGGGCTATTACCCCAATAATGACCAAAGAGGTGGAGGCGGCGGCGGCGGTGGTATCATGACTGGTCTCATGGCGGGTCTGGCATGCTGTTGCTGTCTGGATTGTCTCTTCTAAACGTCGCATCAACTACGACTGCAACCCTATCCACTACTCGATACCCCCGTCGGCGGCGAACCTATGAGCTTTCCTCGAATGCCTGAAGAAATGTTCACGTTGACAAACGAGACTGGCGACAAGCGCAGCGAGGCGCATCAGCGAATGGAAAGGGTTTTACTGTTTTATGGCGTTGGGGTTAGCTTGATTCCAGAGGTCTCATTCATGCTACGTGTTTCTTTGTTTCCGATAAAGTACCACTTATAATCACATAATCTTCATTCCCAGATGCAAACTTGTTCCTAGATGTGACTTGCGAAGACCAAATTGATATGTTATTACGTCGCGGCAAAGAGTGTCTCAAACTCGGACCTGACCTTTGCGACACAGTCGTTCGAGTAAATCATCTTTTGTACATCAGGAGACGTCCACTTATCTGGAACTGAGCCGCTGTTTTTGTGCTCCTTGAACATCCTGTCTCTCTCCTCTTTCGCTTTCCCTTCGCCCAGATGCAATGTCCGACCGGACAGATACGCCATTTCAACGAGATTCGACGTCCACTCTTTTCGAGACAGTTCGTACACCTTGAGGCACTTGGCGATAGTCTCAGGCCGGGTATCGGGGGCAAGGGATAACACCTCGGCGATGGTCGAACCGTCCTCAATGGCCATCGCTGCTCCTTGGCTGAGATGGGGTAGTGTTGGGTGGCAAGCATCTCCTACCAAAGCCACAGATCCTTGCGTCCATGTAGGCAGCGGCTTATACATCCTTAAGCGCCACTCGCAGACTTCACCTTCAGGGACTAGGTTGAGCATCTTCTGTACGAGTGGGCAAAAGGACTCGAATACGTCTAGCATGACCTTTTTCGATCCCTTGGTTGTGTATGTAATAGACGGGGCAGTTGCAAAGTTCTCATCTGGCTGGACAGTCGACAAGTTGTAGACCGACTTGTTGGCAATGGAGTATGCGATGATGTGCCGCTTCTCTCCCACCCACCGCACAACCTCATCGCTATCAACAAGGGCCAGCAGTTCCGGATCATGAGCCATATCCTCGCGCTTGATCATGATGCGATAAGCAGCTTGACCAGTTTCGGCCTCTTCAGGCTCGGCGCCTACTTGCTGTAGCAGCTGAGAGCGGGTCACACTCTTAATGCCGTCAGCGCCGAGGAGAATATCAGCTTGACGTGTGAAAGGCTCGCCTTCTCTGGGTTGGAGTTTGAAAGACACCCTGGGCGAGAAGGATTCAATCTCTACCAAGCTTGTCGCGAAGTGAAAGTTGATGGTACCCTCTTTCTTGCACGCCTCGTATAAGTGACCGGCTAGGGAAGATCTATGGCCACAAAGATGCGAGTAGCCATATTTGCCCTTCAGATCTGGCATGTCAACGTGGGCAAGCTCCTCATTAGTTGCTCCCTCTGAAACAAGTCAGCTCATATTCAACAGTGCAAGCTGCACAAACTTACGTCGGATGCTACTCCCAGCTACACAAGTCGACTCCCTTTCAATATCCTCCCAACACCCCAGCCTATCGAGGATTCTCCCCATGTTGGGCGCCATTTGGATGCCAGCTCCAACAAATCCGAGAGTACTAGCTGCTTCGTACACATCGATGTGTTTGAAGCCTCGTTTGGCTAGAGCAAGGGCAGCTCCCAATCCGCCCATGCCAGCGCCCATGATGGCAATATGCATTGCGTCTTTGGTGTCAGTCATGATGACAATATTTCAATCCAGTCAATGTGCTTCAGAACGAATGCAGAAGGAATCCTATTGAGATATGCTTGGCATTGAAGAGGTCCCGAAGGATTTATATCTAGACCAAGTCTTATAACGGTTGTTCCTTTATCCGATGTCGTTCATAGTGTAACTATCCCGAACTAAATGCCGGGGTGCGGGGACCGGATGTACATCTCTATATGGAGCTCTTGTTCTACACAAGGACCGATATAGGTCTTCTTTGGGGGTCGTTGATGACGTCTAATAATGATGGTTTTGAAGTGGACTTCCTTCTTTAGTTCTACATACATATTCAGATCGTAATGCTCCTATATCGGCGGAAACATTACGTATGATGTACAGCTCCAATAAGAGATACATGATCCCGTCGTAGTCAATACACTTTTGCACCCACTTCAGCTGTAAGCGCTGTCGAGCGACCTTCTTTTTTCAGCTAAAATAAGCATCTTAAGGGTTCCTGTACTGTAACGATGCATCGGGATTCATGTCTTTGCGGAGCACCTCTCGTGAAGTGGGCACGCAAACCCCGAGGCACGACAACACTATTGGCGTATTTCTCTATCACTGCGGCACATGCGATAATTTGACTGGTCTGATTTGGCTCAGAGGGTGTGTGAGTTCCTCGGAAGGCGATCGGACTCATTACTCTGAGCCATTTGCTGTAGCACTTGGAATCGATGGGCATCTTATCATTAGGGCTACAGGCGAGTCCAATTGGGAAATCAAGCTTTGTAGTTTCCTTCCCTTTCGTAAAACGCCTTCTTATACGCGGCTAGTTCGTATTCCTAGGATTTAAGCTTGTTTCTCAGGTGGTTCAGAAAGGCAAGGTACGGTTCAATGGGGCAGCTCGGAATACACCATGTTCTTCTCCCAAATCAATAATACTCATGAATAAAAAGGAGATGAAAAGGTTCAGTTAAAAGTCTTTTGCTAAGTGTATAAAATTATATGTAATTTCTAAGAATCTTTATAACAAAAATCCAAAAAATCGAACGAGTCTAAAGAAGAGAGGAAATTATCGGCACTTACTTGGGCATCACCGCTGAACAACCATGGCTGCATAATAACAATGGTTTGATATTAACAGGTACTATTTAATGACAGCACATGAGTATTTCTAATAACACAAAATGCAATAAGAACTTCAATCTAAGCAATACCAATCCCAATTAATATGTCACTCACATTATTGTTCCTATCCTTGGCATGAACTAATTATTTCCCTGACAATAGCATGATGGTTCAATTTACCCTACGCCCAGTAAAGGTAACCAACCACCAATGCCCCTCGAACTATAACCCCTGTCTCCTCATCCAATAGAACTACATCCTCGCAACACGAGCATCGTTTCACCTTCCCAAACAAAAGTGCTCGGTGTAGAACGAGGTTCCCTGCCTATGTCACTTGGACTAAAGTGGCAGGACTGTCGGCGATTTATTCGATCGACAATACTACACAAGAAGGCCAATTGAGTGTAGCACGTGCCCAAGCAGAGCTTTGCTATAACTAAGAAGACATGCCTGCCATGACTGTGAAAAGCAGCTCTTCTCTGCAGAGGAAGAATATTTGTTTGGCGATCATGGTTGGCTCTAGCTTGATTGGCCTCTTGGCTGTCGTCTTTCAGATATGCTTCGTCGAGGCGGTGGAAGTAGACGTCGATGTTTCTGCTTACACCAGCGAAGTTGAGTCCGATTGGACTGCTGTTTACTACTCTGATCGCAATCCCTTGTTAATTGGAAACGATGGAGGTCCCGATAAAGGAGGATTTCACGTCTACGACCTCAACTCAAAGTCCCCGCTGCAGGAAGTGACAGCACAAACACCCGGTCGCAGCAAGCTCGTCACTACAGTATACGATGTCGACAAGAAAGATATCCTTGTCACAATCGCGCAGCCAGATTCTGTCCTTCGCGCTTATGAGATGCCCAATTTTAAGCAGATAAAGGATGCAGCCTTCAAAGTGCTAGGAGACTGGTCTGCGCTGTGCAGCTGGAAGAGCGAAGCTGGAAACGACTATGTCTATCTTTTTGGCAAGGGACAGGCGGTTCAGATTCTTGTTCAAGAAACCAAGAAGTCCATCGAGTTTGTCGAGGTAAGTGACCGTCAAAGAATTTCATACAATTTGCTCATGTCTGCAGATCCAAACATTCCCCATAGGCTTTGAAACGTCTGGATGTGCTGTTTCGCGCTCCGAGTCACGCATGTACATCTCTACGGATGATGAGAAGAACGTCTACACTTTCTCACTCAAAGAGTCGACAACGGCGCCAAAGATTACCGAGTTTGGCAAAGCAGCAGATGATGTTACCGGTTTGGCTGTCTACGTGCCTAAGAAGGGCTCAGACTATTTGTTTGTCGCCCAAACGGACAAAGTCGCTGTATATGACCATTCATTCAAGCTCAAAGGCACGTTGTCATTGAAGGGATACGAGGATATTGAAGTACAAGGATTGAACATATTCCAAGGTGCAACAAGCAAGTACCCTGCTGGTGCTCTTACATACGCCATTGAGTCAGAGGAAGTCAACGGTTTCGGTGTATCATCTCTTGAAAATGCGCTCAATAAGCTCAAGATCGAGGCCAACACTAAGTACGAACCAGGAAAGGTCAAGACCAACACCAAGAGCGAGCCAATCTGCAAGACTTGTGAAGGCAATGGCTTCTGTGTCAAGGACAAGAAGCAGAAATGCGAATGCTTTGCTGGTTTTGCTGGGAAAACCTGCAGCAGTTTCACATGCACCGACAAGTGCTCCGGCCATGGGAAGTGCGTTGGAGCGAACGAGTGTAAATGCGACAAGGGCTGGGGAGGCTTACACTGTTCGTTTCTTCTCGTGGAGCCAACTTACGAGACCGAGTCACGTCTTGGTGATGGCGATGATCCTGCAATCTGGATCTCACCTGAGAGTCCAGATAAATCTCGAATCATTGCGACGATGAAGTCTGGAAAAGACGCTGGGCTTGGCGTGTTTGACTTGGCTGGCAGTCTTGTTCAGACTTTCACGGCCGGCGAGCCAAACAATGTGGATATGATTTACGGATTCAAGGCGGGTGATCGCAAGGTTGACTTAGCTTTTGCGGCGTGCCGAGCAGATGATACGCTGTGGTAAGTGAGATTGATCTTGTGTTTATGACAGTCAGCTAACAGTACAGTCTTTTCGAGATGCTTCCCAACGGAACACTGACTGATATCCCTGGCGGTATACACCCTGTCGTCGAAGACTACAAAGTTTACGGCTCATGTACCTACCGCTCTCCTAAGACCGGGAAACAATATCTCTTCGTCAACGAGAAATCAGCACGATATCTCCAGTACGAACTCACCTCGACGTCCAAGGGAGAACTCAAGACGAAGCTTGTCCGGGAGTTCCAAGGCGGCAGCGGTGGACAGGTCGAGGGCTGTGTTACTGATGAGGAGAACGGATGGATATTCCTCGGAGAGGAGCCTTCCGCCCTCTGGAGGTACGGCGCTGAGCCAGACTCTAAGGACGAGGGTGTCATTATTGAAAAGGTCGGCGATGGTAAACTCTATGGAGACGTTGAAGGCGTAACCCTTGTCTACGGGTCCAAGCCTAACGAGGGATTCATCCTGATTTCCTGCCAAGGAGTCAGCGCATACAACGTCTACCGCCGAGCCGAACCTCACGAGTACGTTACCACGTTCACACTCGTTGAGTCATCAGACGGGAAGATCGACCCCGTGTCCAACACGGACGGCATAACGGCTGTAGGAACAGGTCTGAACAAGGATTTCCCACACGGGTTGGTTGTTGTGCACGATGATGCAAACCAATTGCCTGGCGGAAAGACAAGCGCGGAGGCGAGCTTCAAGATGATCAGTTTGGAGAAGATCCTGGGGTCCAAGGTGTTGGGTAAGAAGGGTCTGTTGGATCAAGTTGACAAGAACTGGGATCCTCGGAAGTAAGGTTCCTAGGGCATAGAGAGCCTAGTTCAATAGAACATGCCGCGAAAAGCGTGGGCTCTGACAAGTTGCTCACTCATTTGCCTCCCCTTGGAGTCTGGTTCAAAGCCTATGGACCACCCCTGATGCTATTCATACCCAATTTTAGTCAACCGCAAACCTTCCAAACGTTTCACGACAAAGAAAACCAAACGAACATCCAAACTGTATAGATGGGGGCTTTGATGATCGCCAAAGAGATTGCTCTTGTGCTGCGTGATATGAAGTGGCCGCATATGAGTGGCGTTCACTTGGAGGGAGAACAGCTTCGATGTCCTCCCACTCACTAGTCAGTCAATAAGTTTGCCATTTTTTCAAGTCATTCATGGAATCGTAAGTGTATTATTCCTTGGGACTCGGTACGGTTGCTGTATGGTTGGTTGTTGCGTTGGTGGATGCTATAATGCTTGACACTGGCAGACGGGATGTGTCAGATATCAGCACAGACGAGCATTTTTATTGAATAATTATATCCAAAGTACCGTCGTATTCCTACGAACTTCCAGATATGATTGCAGTTTATCTTAGATAGATGCTTTGCTTCGCGTTGATATGCATTGGCCCATCTCTGGAGCTTGATATCACCATCTAAACCACCATTCAGAACCAGCAAAAATAGAAAATAGTAACATTACAACAGATACCTCCTTGAGATTTCCATATACTTTCCCGAAAGAAACTCAAAAAGCCAAGCGTTGTTTCATCCCCCCTCAACCGTTCGTGGGCTCCACCCGCCGACTTACCCCTTTTGGGTGTCAATAGAGCCTCAACAAGCACTGACATATATGAATAACCACGCCAACCCAAACCACCGAACACTCAAGAACAAACAAGTTTAGCTTTGAACTACCGCCACGAGGATGATCAACCTCGTGCATTCGCCTCTGACAGGTAAAGGCGAGGTAAAATGAATTGCAGATGCCACTTTACCATACTCGTATCTTGTACTTCGAGGCCAAGCCTAGGAACTGCCTAGGTAGGAGTAGTTTGCGTAGTAGTTTACATCTGTCAATAAGCCCCGGCGTACGTTCGTTTCCCCATGGCTAACCGTTGATATCTTAGTATCTACCTTGTGGCTAATAGCCTCTTTCATCGCCTTTGAAACTGGCGTTCTATTCAAAAACGCACCTCGTGCGCATTGCACTGACTGTTCTATTCAAATCGAGGGGCGAGGAGGGGGGCTTATCGACCCCACCAGCGTCAATAAGCTCAATAGACTCGTGCGCAACACCACAGCCAAGATGTTTGTCTGCACGGTCAAGATGGCTTTCTCTCGCGATGACCGAGTCTTTGACCATTATCATGAACATTGAACTCGAAATCTATAAAGAGATACACAAGTCCGGCCTTAAATACATCCTCTTTTCTTCTCCAGACTCGTTCTCCATCATCAGAAGGACTACGACAATCTCAAAGCCCCCTTACACACGACACTCAACGAGTACCACTCACTTCAACATTTACTTTTCACTACAATCTCTTCAAGAGACACGACGCCCTCAATCGATCATGAAGTACGCCTTTGTGACTCTGGCCATTGCGGCCAGCACCGCTCTCGCGGCTCCTCACCCTGATCCGGTCGCCGATCCTATGCCATGGTGTACCATGAAGGTCCAGCCCTGCTGGAAGGTCAAGATGGCAAAACGCGAAGCTCTTCCTGAGCCCATTGCCGCTCCCCAGCCCGACCCTGTTGCTGATCCTATGCCCTGGTGTACCATGAAGGGACAGCCATGCTGGAAGGTCAAGATGGCTAAGCGTGAGGCTCTCGCCGAAGCTCTCCCTGAGCCCCAGCCCGATCCCGTTGCTGATCCTATGCCATGGTGCACTATGAAGGGACAACCTTGCTGGAAGGCCAAGATGGCCAAGCGTGAGGCCGAAGCTATCCCCGAACCCGTCGCCGCCCCTCAACCTGACCCCGTCGCCGAAGCTATGCCTTGGTGCACCATGAAGGTCCAGCCCTGCTGGAAGGCCAAGGTTAAGGCCAAGCGTGAGGCCGAAGCCGATCCTTGGTGCACCATGAAGGGACAACCTTGCTGGAAGGCCAGAGTCAAGCGCGCTGCCGAGGCCGAAGCCGTCGCTGACCCCATGCCCTGGTGCACAATCAAGGGACAGCCTTGCTGGAAGGAGAAGGTCAAGGCCAAGCGTGAGGCTGAGGCTGATCCTTGGTGCACAATGAAGGGACAGCCATGCTGGAAGGCCAGAGTCAAGCGCGCCGCTGAGGCCGAGGCAATTCCCGAACCTGTTGCTGCTCCTCAGCCTGATCCCGTCGCCGACCCTATGCCCTGGTGTACCATGAAGGGCCAGCCTTGCTGGAAGGTCAAGCGAGACCTCATGGCATCCGCATAAGCAGGTCCGCTATCGACTTGCACGAGGAACCAGTAAGTTCAACAGATATCCATACAACATCTCACCATCTAACATGTTGCTCCAGGTGTCGATGATATACTCTCCGATCTGATCGTTTGCTTTCTTGGTAGCATCGTCGGTGATCACTTTTCGTCGCTCCTTTTCTATGGATATCAGCAAAAAGCGCTCAAAAAAATAAGAGACAGATGAACAGGGCACAGGCTATGCAGGGATACTATTCCCTTTTTTCTTCTATGGCGGCTTGAACATTGCTGCATATATTTTTGTATAACGGCAGGAGACGATGGAGTCTGCTGCTTTTTTATTATTAAGCGATCTGCCTTGGGCACGAGTCGCTGGACATGGCCAGAATAGCTGGGAAATAGTTCATTCAATCAACTGGTTGTCTCAAATGATATCTTGTCCGTGATTGTGATGTAGCATGAGTGAAGTAAACGGTTGGCCATGGGTATTTCTTCTGGCTATTGTCTCGAGAATCACTGCAGATTTTGCGGCTCTGTTTCTGTGGAGACAAGGTTGGTGATGTCTGCATATTGACCAATTCGACACTCGTGAATGTGATTTAACAGCATTGCGAGACTAATTACTCCGAACAGTCGTGGGCTATCATATATCCAGTCCAATGATAGAGAGGTACCATGGTGAACATAGGTATGTAGATGATATGTGGGACGGTGAATATACATGGTTGGTACTTCATCCGAGTGCAAAGTCGACCGTGGGAGATTAGCAGATGCTTAGGTTCATCACGCAAACATGCCTTTAACCTCTAAATCAGCACAAGTCAAATGATTCACGCGTACAGTAATAAAATACTACGTCAAAAGTATGTACGTTCAATCATTGCGCTCCTCCCCATCGTCGAGGGAAGCACCGCACCCAAGATTGTTCGCTTTTCTCTCCATTCTGTGTTCCTCGGAATCGGTGGTCTTGGGCGCAGGTCTTGCGACGCACCTCGCATCAATATACATAGAGAAACCTGAACGTTGTTTTTTGCGTTGTTCAATATTTTGAATTGGAGAGAAAAGAGAAAGAAAAGCAGAAGGATTTTTTTCGAAACTTCTTTTTCTACGCGTCGTGAGGTGGTGGGGCTCAATGTTGATGCCTTGGTGGCCTCGTGCGCTAGGCTGCCACTTTAAATCTGAGGGAATCGTTCCTGCCTTAAAGATCTAGGCGAATTAGGCAGGTAGGAAAGGGAGACATCTCTGGGTTGCTATGTGAACTTATATGATAAGTTTGTATGATATTACTGTTTTTAATATCTCGTACCATACTTTTATAGGTTCTAATTTTACTACAAGCCCAGAGTACCTACCTACCTAGTAGGTAGTATTGATGTTTTTAATGGTTAAAGAATTTGGTATTCTTGTCACACCTCATCCACCTGTTTGCTGCCTTCCTTTCACTCCTTCTCCACCCTAGAGCTAGCTCATACAAACAACAACACAGCACATCTGAGGGGAGTTCCTTTTCTTTCATCTCATCCCCCTTGTGGAAAAAGATGACATCTCGTTTTACTCAACTCTGTTCTTTTATTCCCCAAACGCCATTCTCAAACATTTAGTTGCTATTCCAGTACTCCCCATTCTATCACGCTCCTGTGAGCACCGGTCACAACGATGTTGAGAAACTACGAAGTGAGAGGTTACACTGAAGATTTTGTGACTCCGCGCTTTTCATCCATTCATGATGGACGACCTCGTAGGCCGGTCACGCCCGGACCGATAGCTTCTCAAGGTCAGGATACTGCCATCCCTTCATCAGCACCATACTGGCGTGAAGCAAACGTAGAGGCTTCGATTGGGCTCTTTATCAAGGCGAATGGAACCTTCTTCCGAAACTTACCCCCAGAAATACGCACAAAAATTCTAACATTCGCATTTGGGAAACGCACTCTTCACATGGATCTCATATATGGCCATCCTGTCGACCCCGGAACGAAAGAGCATCATCACGCCGGAGTCAAACAGTTACCGTAGTATGGTAGCCACAAAAATCCGGACTCTGCAATATCTGTTGTCGATACAAATCAACCAAAGAAATGGAGATGGAGGGGTTCTGTCTGCCATCGTTTGCCGCCTTCCGGTATGATGGATCCACGCGGACTAGGATACAATCCTCAGCCGTGCGACGACGAATGTGTCTTTGGATGGAACGGCCGCAATGGTTTCCAACCCCAGTGCGAGCATTGGTCGGGCAAAATGCCCGGAAAATGCTGTGTTGGTGTTATGGGATGGCTGCTATCCTGCCGACAAGCGTAAGTTCAACTCAATCCTAATGTTGAAATAATTTATTGATATGAAATACAGTTATCAAGAAGGAATCAACATACTATATGCCTCAAACACTTTCCACACATCAAGCAAACGGATGATATTGCGTATGCCCGCGTTGATTCAACAAAGACGACTTGACACTATTACGTCCTTCGAGATCGTCTGGGAAACTGCCCCTTGGCTTATAGTTTCTGCAGTTCAAGATGACAGAGGGGCTCCGCCTCTTTCTGATCTTGCATCTTTCGAGCTATTTATGGACATTATTCCCGACCTTTTCCCAAACATCAAGAAGCTTCACATCGCCATACAAGGAGATGTTTTGCCAAGATGCATACACTTGAAGAAAAAGCGGCGCAATGCAATTGTCGAAGAGGGAATCATTGACAGAGTCGACAAAATGGTCCGGCAACTGAAGCACCATGTCGACTTTTCCGTTGCCATGCCCACGAGTACCTACATTGTGCAAAAGAGACGTGCTCTTCTCCAGAACTGGAAGGTATTCCAGAGGCATGAGACGGGTGATATCGAGCGGTATTGGAGACCACTGAGATATTGCTTACCGAGAACTGGGTATTGGTTCTGTCTGGGAGAGAAAGATGTAAAGAGGAAGTCAGCGATGGCTGTCATCGGACGAAAAGCTTTGCCGAACCCGCCTGTTGGTGAAGAGTATGATGTTTTCTTCCGTCGATGAGTCGAATTGGTACGTGTACGATAGAAGAAAGTCTAAACTGGTTCGTTAGGAGAACTCTGTCACGGGCCAAAATGACAGGGGGAATTTAGCAGATTAGTGTATCTGTGGGAATAGTATGAAATAATTAATCGAGACTGCGGATAATTGACTGCAGTGAAGAACGCCTTATACTTGAATAAATTAAAGTACGATGAGACCAACCAAAGTCCCAAGAGCTTGGACTTGGGCTTGGACCTTTGTGGCGAAGCTCTTGACGTCTCCACAAAGTGACACGACGCAGCAAATAACAGTTCATTGTATGTGCTAACTCGGCTTGAAGTGCCGTGGGCAAGACATGGCAAGACATGGCGCATCCGGATTTGGGCCAAGGAGTTGAGGTTGATATCATTAATTAGTGTAGGTACGTCTGCGGAGAAAGGTCGAGTACCGCCAAGACAATGATCGTGGCAGTGCATCACTGTATATTGATTCTTGTTTTAAACCTTGGATTACTTCAAATGTGATTTTATTCTTGTTTTTATTTCTTGCTATGAGTAATCGCGTTTGTTCGGATACCTTTATAACTTATATCTCACGTCTCAATTGTTAGTTCAGAGATATTTCAGCTGAGCTGAGCTTACTTTCCCTCGGCTGCCCCTCACCTCACCTCACTTCTCTGCATCTGCATCTACATCTCACAACGTCATATCGAAATGGCTTCAGACCTGGCCGCTCGCATCGGGGATCTCAACCCCTTCGCCTCTAAAAACCGTCGTATCAACGATGAAGATTTCGGCGAACAAATCGACAATGACACCGTCGCTGGCGGTGGAAACAGCACCCGGCGCATAGTCACAGACCTCAGAGTCAGCAGCGCCCTGAGAGAATTCCTCGCCAATGAAAAGATGCTCTCCAAGAAGGAAGCCATGGTCTATTCGGAGGATTCATCGCAGGCCCTGCTGGACCTCGTTAGCAAGCCGCATATTCGCGTGCCGGCTGAGCTGACAGATAGATCGCATCCATTGCCAGAGTACTTTATCAGCTCGAGCCACAACACTTATCTTATGGCGCATCAGCTGTATGGCTCCTCTTGCGCGACGGCGTACGAGACGGCGCTTAGGACAGGTGCGCGATGTGTTGAGATTGATGCGTGGGATAATAGCGACGACAGAGATGAGCCCAAGGTGACTCATGGATATACTCTGGTATCCAATATTTCATTCCGTCAAGTATGTGAGACTATCCGAGACTCCGTCGATCGAGAAGCTGCCGAAGCGCAGACCAACCCCGCCTTTCGGCCCTCGCCTGTTCTGCTATCGCTGGAGAACCACTGCGACGCCTACGGCCAGATGCGCCTCGTCAACATCATGCAGGATGTGTGGGGTGATCGTCTGCTCAGCAAAGCTGTGAGACATCTCGGCCATGAAGAACAGGCCGGGTCGCATAAGCACGTTTGTCTGCAGGATCTGGGCGCCAAGATCGCCGTCATAGTGGAGTACCACTTCTTGGACGAACCTTCGTCCAGCTCAACCGATTCAGACGACTCGGAAGATGAGGAGGAGGAAAAAGCAGCGCGGAAGGAGTACAAGGATAAGAAGAAGAAGGAAGAATTCTCTGTCATCATTCCTGAGCTTGCTGAGCTGGGAGTCTACGCACAATCTGTCAAGCCTGTTGATAACTCGTGGTTCCAAGACGGTGAGCTCGCCAACGGACCTCACCACCATCTTATCAACGTCTCTGAGTCGGGCCTGGCGTCTCATCTTCCCGAGTATGCAGCAAACATCGGTCGTCACAACGCCCATCATCTCATGCGCGTCTTCCCCAAGGGCACACGAATATCATCCACTAATCTGAAGCCCGTCCCTTACTGGGGCATCGGCGCCCAGATCTGTGCTCTCAACCTGCAGAACTTCGGTACCAGCAACCAGCTCAACGAGGCTCTCTTCAGCGGCACGGACGGCTACGTCCTCAAGCCCGCTGCTCTCCGTGCTGGCGGCAACGGCAAGCTCAGCACAGGCCGCAGCAAGCGTCTCCGTCTCCACGTCGCAGGCGCAACAGACATCCCACTGCACGGCGACTCAGAAGCTGACTCGATCAAGCCCTACCTAACATGCACGCTGTACCACCCAGATGAGATCAAGGGCGACCCGCCCAAGCGCAAGACCGCTCCGTACAAGCAGCACAAGCTCGAGTTCCTGCACCGCGGGCCCAACCCGCCGCCGACGGATCCCCTCTGGGACGAGACGCTGACGTGGGAGTACGAAGACAACGAGCTGGTGTTCCTGCGGATGCTCATCAAGAGCGATGATAGCTGGACGCGGAACCCGATGTTTGCGGCGGTGGCGGTGCGGTTGTCGTATGTTGATCCGGGATGGAGGTTTGTTCGTATGTTGGATCTCAAGGGGCACGAGACGAAGTGTTCGGTGCTTGTCAACTTTGAGATTATTGATGCTTGAGGGGTTTTATATGAGGATATGATTTATATGTTTATGGTAACAATTAAGTTTTCTGTGCTTGAGTGAGGTTGTCTGCCTACGGGACTTTGTTATACTTGAGTGCCTTTGTTGCTGTTAGCGTGTGTTTGTTCAAGTTATGTCTTAGCATGGATCAAACAGTTTCAGTAATGTTCAACAAAAGAAGCGGTGATTATTGATATGCGGGTGTTTCGATATAGGTGTTTGTGGTTTGTCTCGTCTGGGCAAGTTTTGTAAGCAAAGCCGCTTGACCGAGATTCCGACGGGGTCCGGATGTTGAGGTGGGTACATCCGGCCCCGGAATCGACGGCACTGGCCGGCGACTTTTAGTAACACAGTAGACGAGAGAGAATAGTGCTATTTGCATTGATTTTATGCTGTTAACAAACGGGACTGTGCAATACTATGTGATAATTGCAGCGAGGAGCTGTGAGCGAACAATACATAAAAGGGACATGCCTGTTGGTGTCCAGCTAGCTTACAACGCTGAAGCACATTTACACCTTCTGCTGTAAAATGGCAGATCATGATTTCTAATTGCTAGATTAGTATTAGCAATGTCAGTGTTATTACAAGCTCGGAATACTTGTTCTATAACATCATATGCTACTCATTATGACTCCAAGCAACCTGCAACTTAACATCCGAAAGACATCGGATGCTGCTGACCATAATCAATCGTACACCTCAACAATGTAAGTATAAGAGATAAGCTCTAACAACATCATCCCAACTGACCTTTACAAGTCAATTTCTCTGCACCCGTAATTAAACATACCCATACTGTTTGATACCGATAATCCACCATATCGTAACCATGGCTGCCATCCTCGCACCGCTGCATCTCCTGTCTTTCTCAACTCTCCTAGGCTCCCAGCTCTACCAGACCTTCATCGTCACAAAAGTCGCCTTCAAGCGCCTCCCACGAAATCCCTACGTCAATTTCCAAAAGCACATCTTTCCCATCTTTTTCCAGGGCCAGGCACTCCTACTCTTCCTCACAGCCGTAACGCTACCGCCGTACGGCCCTCTCTCGCTGATTGAGCACAAGAGCGACTGGGTACCGTTTGCGGTATCGAGTATTATTTCTGGACTGAACGTTTTGGTGTTTGGACCGAGAACGAGGAAGTTGATGCTGGATCGTGTTGAGCAGGGTAAGTTGGATTCTTTGTTTCAGGATGGACGAATGCTGATGCGAGTAGGCACCGTAGATGCGAAAACAGCAAACTTAGAGGGACAAAGCACGGCGATGCAGGTTTTGAAGAAGAGGTTTGCGACGTCGCATGCTATGTGTATTCACTTGAACTTGATCGGTCTTGGGGCTCATCTTTGGTATACATGGAGACTGGCGTCACGCATTGAGACTTCGTTGTAACTGGCCATAACCATACAAGCTCCTGAGATATATCCATACACGACATATTCGATGTATCGTCATATTAAAACCCCCTTTAGATAGACTTGAAACTCTCTACTTCATTCCAGCCCATTACAAGTGATACCCATCAAGACGGCAGATAGACAATCATCTCAAGCCCTCCTGCATATGCAGTCGTAGTAGTCTTAAACCTATTCTTAGGATCATGAATATAGTCCAAAAACTCTTTATACAGCGCCTTGGCCATCTTGGTGTTATCAGCCAGGATGATAGCTCCTCTCTTCAGACGAGGCTTGATGATCTCAAGAGCTGGGAGTGCCAGCGGCGTCCAAACTGATTCCTATTAGCATTTTTCAAGGGAACATGTCGGTGCAGACTTACTGTCGATGAGCAACATGTCAATCTCCTCAGGCATACCCTCCTCCACCAAGAGCGTCTCCCTCAGATCCCCCTCCCTCAACTCAATCCACGGCTCAACTTCCTCACCCGCCTCACTCCAATGCTTTCTCGCCCTCGCCGATTTACTGCTCTCCTTCTCCGTACCGATGACCTTTCCCGTAACCACCTTACCCCTCGCTCTCGCCTCGGTGACGTTTTGTCCCACAGCGAGTGCGAGATACATAGTCGACACACCGAAACTTGTTCCTGCTTCGACAATGTTGCGAGCGTTGATGCTTCGTGCAAGGAGATACATAAACTGGCACTTGTCCTGCTCGAGAGCGACGAACTTATCCCGCATGTGGTTGTCAGACGCGGTGGACCATCTCTTGCCGGTGATGTAGAAGCCGTAGAGGAACTTGAAGTAGAACCAGTACTGGGAGTAGGATTTCTCTTGGGCTTCTGAGGCGGCGTGGAGACGCTCGAGGAGATCGTGGACACGATGACTGGCCTCGACGGCTTGGATGGCTGTTGCAGATGGCGCCATGATGGATTGGTGATGGGAACTGATGATGGGAGATCACTAGGAAGAGGTTTCTGTGTCTTTTATACATCTAATCTAATATGAGTCAAGTAAAGAGTTTTCGTGTTATGAATACGGTAATTAAGATCGGGACGAGATCGTGATTAGATTTGTTATCACCGAGGCCGATATATCACCACCGAAGCCCATCCCGTCAATACCAATCCGCGACTTCCACTTCTTAGCCAGTATACATTTAGCAGGTACTTCATTATGATCTATCATATAACTCAGATTTAAAATAAGGTTATTAAGATTCATTGCGACACTTATTTCCCAGGTCTCATTTACCAAATATCACGTGGCCTCAGCATGTTGGGTGGTATTGATCACACAGCAACTAAATATTGAGATGCCAGACTAAGTCATGGCCGTGTTATTAGTGAATGTTTTAACCATGTATATACGGCCCTAATAGAGAGTTATCAACCATAGTGTGACCATAATTGCAGTCCCCGTCCTTAAGCCCGAGGACGAAACCCGGTCTTCGGTCCCGGCCCCGGTGCTAAGCTTCCGGCATACATGACTCCCCTCCGATATCACCCCCGAGCCCTTCCAGACACACGGAACCCCTTCCGCGCAAGAAAGTCGGAACTTTGAGCTGCAACCACGAAAAGACAACGAGAACAATGCAATCACCCGTCATGATCTCTCTCCCATCTCACTTCCTTGCGCATCCACGGGGATACAGACAATAAACATCAAACACCCGCCCTCGCTCTTAAACGGGCCATGCCGCATCCCGGGCTTCCTGTACGCATACGCGCCCTTCTCCCAGCCCTTGTGCAGATTCACATCGTACAGATCACCCTCGACCATGAAGATCTCCTCGACGTAGTCGTGAATGAAAACGTCCTGCTGGTTGCGGGCGCCGGGCTGCCAGCGTTGCAGTGTCGTGCGCCTTCCTGTCTGCGTGTCTTGGTTGAGGACGAGCTCGTCTACGCCTGGCTCAATGGGGGACCAGGTGCGGCTGTGGGATGTGGTAGCAGCGTGGAATTCGAATTGCTCCATTGTGAATGATGTTCAGTCAGATTAGTTGTTATTGCTGCACAAGAGCTGCAAGGCATCGAGGCTTGGCCACCTCAGCCTTAAATCCTCCAAGAACATAGCCATTGCTTTGAGTAACGAGTACAATGATATCATTTAGTAAGCTGACGATGACAAATGAAGCAGCTACAAGCTACCATTCCTTCGTCTAAAACGTTAGTGAGAAAGCCTACAATCGGTGTTTGTCATAGAAGAGGCAGCCGGGGATATTTCGTAATGGTCTGCCTCATTCGCAGCAGGAATATTCTTCGAAATGGTATTCTGCACGGATTGCAGGCCACATTCGGGCGCAAGAAGCCACGTGAATTCAACAAGCACTCAGAATGTGGTCTGCAACCTGCACAGATTGCATATACTTGAATGCAGCCATCTCCGGACCCCAAATGCACAGCAGGCAGACAACTTCCCACTGCTGCATAGCGTCTGTAGCCAGTGAATGATAAGAAACCACGCCGAGAAGTGCAGGACTGAGATCCGCACTCAGACGGTATTGGTGGTTCTGAATGCCCACTAAGACATGCAGCAGCAAACGGTCAAAGAGGTCATGGGGAAACAAGAAAGCTCCATATGGAGTTGCATCTGGCAGATGGATATCAATGCATGTCTATCGTTTTTCATGTGGGCGCCAACCACAAACCCATGCCCAAGACTGCGTTGTTTCATGCCGCGGCAGCGACACTGACTAGTGTTGGGAAGACATAAGAAGGGCGAATCAGAAATGCATGCCAACGGCTTTGAGAAGGGCTAATGCATTCTTGTCAATCTCAATACGCCCTTACAACATGACAGAAGATGGGACTGTGAGACTAACCCGCCGATCCAGTCACTTGACTAACGGAAACAAGACGGATAGCATCGCTATAGATCATTACTGGTAATGCCGAAGAAGCGGGGAGATGTGTTACACAACAGGCAGAATTTCGTGAAAAGAAGAGACATGTCTGTCATTGTGGGGGAGCACAGTCACTGTCACGAGCATTCAAGGCAATATCCTCAATGGCTGACGAAAGCTTGAAACGTGTATACAGAATCTTGGAAGCCGTCAATGCCGTATATGGATCTCACGATTATACTTCTCGTTAACGACAGTGCTGTAGCATCAATGTGGAGCAGGATGCTGGCCAAACCAAGCGATGGATGTTATTATCCTTTGCGTTCTGTGTTAAGATCTTCATCAATTTAGCAACACATCAACTGACAAACGTTGCATCGTCAGAGGAGGGGGGACTCTGGTCGAAACTACAAACGCACCAGCACAAGTACAATGATGAAATGTAAGAAAACGGGCACTGGAATTGTGGCATATCAAAGTTCAACAGATGAAACGCATCAACGGGATCCAAGATAACCGGCGTCAAGCCAAGCCATTCTTAGCTCTTGCGGCTGAGATGCTCAGCGGTCTCTTTTGTCGTCCACCGCTAGATTGACGCTCTGCTCTCTCTCTCTCTCTCTCACGGTTAGCATAACAGAAACAAGTGTGAGCGGGGCAAGTAGTTGCCAAGAGCAGACGATGGTGGAACCCTCTTGACAGGACGGGAGAAAGATTTCCGAGCATGAACTCCAAGTCCAAGCAGTGGAACGAAAAGGAAAAGAGGATCGACAGCTGTTGAGCACAGAACCAGAGGCGTGCAGGACGAGGACGTCGATCAAGGGACTTTGGTCCACTGAAAGGGAACAACTCATGACAGAAGCCAATACTCTCTTTGTTCCATGGGGGAGGACCACAAGTTGTCGGCGGTTTTATTTTGTTATTTCCACAGTATCGTGAACATCCTCATGAGCGAAGTCTCTCCCAAGATGAGAGGGGAAACCCGAGCGAAACGATGCTACCTGTCACTTGAATGCCGTTGACAGGTGAATCGGTGCCCAACGCCAACGCTTCAAAACGCGAGTCTGACAGGATGGGCTCCCAAGCCCCCATACGACACCCAGTTTTTGTTCGGTAACGATATAAAGACCCCTACTCCGTATAAGAAAAACACAACCGCTCGGCCGAACAAGTGTCTCCGAGTGCTTCTCAAACCCGCACGCGTAGGAAGGGAAGTGTCAAGATGACGTCGGAAACATCAAGCCTACCATGACCAAACAGTTTCACTGTTTTGTGACATTGAGCGTATCGCCCGTTGCCCTGTGACTCTCGGCTAGGGAAACAAACACTCTCACGATGACTTCACTGACAGGTTCTGGCCTCTTTCCTACTACGACCTCGTTTCAAGGGACGGGGAATAGGTCCTGGCGAGAAAAGAGGGCGACAGCGGAGGGGTTTGGGTTGCAGTTATCTTGGGAACAGGGCTCCTGGATAACAAAAAAAGGGATCCCTCTCAGTCGGTTACAACCGTGAACCACTTTTCTTCCACTTTTCTTCCACGTTTTCTTCCATAACGAATATCGGTGCGACACTTTACTTGCCCAAACTACTCTGAGACGGTGCGAGGAATGATGAGAGAAAGATTGCGATATGCGGACCTAGGCAGGAGCAGAATGATGATCACTGATATTAAAGAGGGGCCGCGCAAAGTGCAGTGCTTGCGGCACAAACATAGCCGTCCGTTCTTGGGACTGTGCGGTTTTGAGAAAGTTGTGAGAGAATGATAGGCAGAGATGGGAGGTTTCGAAAGACGGTCACCGTTTTCGCTGACCGTTGATCTTCAAAGAATACAGTGCCATTGGAGCCTGCAAAGACCTGGTTTCCCTGGAACTACTGGTAGGGAAGTTGACGCGGAAAAGTGCAGATCCATGACATCAGTCCAGTTGAAGGGGTATATCGGTATTTCGGACCCTTGCTGCTGGGTACGCCTTGTGTATCCGGGGGCGGCGTAGACCGTGGCAAGCAATCCGCAAGTACAAAGAGCATCAAGGCGAAGTAAATTGATTGCCTCAATGCATCGAGGAGAGAGTAGGCTGAGGTCAACTGTGAAGTGTGATAAGCCCGGAGAATTAGAAGCACGTCAAAAGACTCAAATCAACAGCTAACCTGTTAGCTCTAACCTAATGTATGCGGTGTAAGTCAAGTCCAGGGACTAGAGGATGGTACTTCACGACACCCTTGGCCGCGTTTCCTCCTTGTCAGCCCGTCCTGTTGGGTTTCTGGTCCTTACTCGTTGACCGGCAGTGGTTATTTTCGGTCATGTTTCTTCGGTTAACGCTTGAGTAAAAGATTTGCAAGCAGAGTAACCAGAGTTTGAAAATCAATACCGAACTCGGTGCTCCGACCGACACCGCTCAAGGGTCTAGCTTAATAGCAACCAGCAATAAACAGTGACAGACACTGTATTGTACTAGCAGAACTAGTTGACCGGTATTGGATATTCTGTCGTAGTTGCGTTCAACCTGCGACAACGCCTCTCCTTTTGGTGAATCTAGTGGGAACGGACTTGGAGGGTCCAAAAACAACGGGAAACGGTCGGCTGAGAACCCAATCATGATAGAGCAATCTCAAGATGAGCTGCCACAGGCGCGTACAGAAAAACCGTCGATCTGTAACAAACAACAAAAAAAAGAAAAGGATAACTCGATTGGGCGCGTAATAATTCGAGGAAAGTTGGACCAAATACAGTAGCCCCGTGTTGTGTGAGCACAGCAACCGTTGGCCATAGTGGACAGGCCCCTAAATTATAGAGGGTTTGCCTCCGCTGAAAGAGCTCCGAGGCTCAAGGCGGGCCACTTGATAGGCATCCAATTTGTGAGCCCCCTCCAACCCGCTAGGTGACCCTTTCGTCAGGGGGGCGTCAAGCGGGCCTCAAGGCTCATCCCATGAGACCCCTGCAAAGTCCTTAGTCCTGCAAGGGCCAGCAATGTCGTCACGACTGAGAGCTGATCGGCCCAAATTTCGCAGGCTTTCTTCTCACAAGGAGGCTTGGCTTTGGGGGGTCTCTCAGTCTCTGAGGCTCGGATGGTTTCCCTGTGGCCGTCCAAACTCTTGGCCTCCTTAGCGGCGGGGAGGACTTGTTTGTTTTGGCTAATTAGTAGGGATTATTTTGATTGTCATCGGTCAACCAGGAGTGATATGCACCGTGAGAGGTTTCCTGTTTTTTCTTCTTCTAACGGCATTCGCTTGTTGCGTGTCGCTGTCGTCTAAAACGACAATCTCAATATCAATGCATCGTGAGGTCGGTCGCTGGTGGAGAGGACTTCCTGCCTACAGGTTTGCCTCTTTGGGGGCTGCCGAGTCGCGTGGGAACAAAAACTGGTGCCACCGTCATCCAATCCAAGGATGCATTGGGGCGCGACATTGAATGTCTGAGCTGGTACCAGATGACAGGTGCTCAGACAGGTATAGCTCAATGCAATCAAACCGAAAAGGTACCTCGCTATGGGTACTCTATGTCGTACCGGGCCTTGTCGATCTCGAGTCCCATGACTCCTTGTGCTGTCGTCACTTTTCCTCATCTGGTTCCATCGAAATCCATTTCCAAGGGTCCTCCCATTCTCTCACCCCCGACGGCATCTTGGCTTTTTGTTCCTTGACTGCCGGATTCCAAGTGTCATTGAGAAAGGCCCTAAGGAGCACCAGGTGGTACCTGCTGAGAGTAGCACTGTGCTGTATGCCCCGTACAGTACACTTATAGTGCACCTCAGCTTTCCAGCTCCAGCGAAATTATCAAGATGACGAGAAATCCACTTTAACATTCCCATCCCCATTTCGTCCATGCCCCCTTGCCTTCCCCTCTTTTGTGTCTTCCTTTTTCTGTTCTGGGTCCCGCTCCTTCTTTTTTCGCTGGGGCCGGGTTCTTCCTTCCTGCCACTGTCCGCCAGCACCCATTGCCCACACCTACCTACCTGCCACCTGCCAACCTTCCACGCCGAACCCGACCTAAACTCTTGCCCTGCCCTTGTCTTGCCCATTTCTCAAAAGAAGGGTCCTCCTGCAACCGTTGGCACATTCCTACTGCCTCCTTTGAACTTTCATCAACGTTTGCGCCTTGGAATATATTGCCACTGCCGGGGTTGGTTATTCTTGTGTGACTTAATACTTTATTCGTCATATTCTTTCCCAGATTCAATTAAACCTTTTTTTGACTTTTTGGTTTGTCTTTTTATTCTTCTATCTTCGCTGTTCCTCTATTATTACTATTACTCAAGATTATTCATCACCAAATCTGTTAGTTGTCCCACCCCCCTTCTTGCTCCCTCTGCACCTGTTGTTGGATGTGACGTTGCTCAATTTGCCTTCTCACTCGCCTTTTAATTCTCGTATACTGCTGTTGCCAATCTTTAATTCAATTGCCTTTTGCTGACACGCTCTTGCTTCTCGCAGGATCACCACCTTCCAAACTCAACACATATCCCATCACCTGTCTCGACTCATTGGCAAATCACGCTAGTTCATTCTCTGACCGCCACCTGCCGCCAGCAACTTCACATTCGCCGACGACATCATCTCAACCTCATCCTTTGCACGTTTCGATATAATCTACAGCCACTAAATCCACAACACCCTCGAAGAGTCGTTTCGCGAACGCAATCCGCTGCACGGATATTAAAGCCAAGTTTCAACCGCGATCTCGTTTCGAAGCGGCTAGTCTTATCGGCTTCTCCGCCATCTGAACGCTTCTAGAACAGAAGCCAGCCTCATCTCACCCCTAGTGGATCCAAAATCGCTCCCTCGCTCGCAACCGTAAATATTCGGAACTCCTGACCTTGTAACCACGTGGAACTATTTGGTCTCGACTTTCCCCTCTCCACAGCTCTCGACGACAAGAATACGCGACCGCTTACGACACCAACACCGTCACCGACAAATTATCCGCAATTAAGTCAGCGATCGATCTGATTCTTGGTGCCCCTTAATCACGATCTCAATTATCTCACAACATCGTTGATTTCGCGCGGCAAATAAAAACATTATCACGGATTCATCCAACGACAACACACACAACTGGTTATATATATAATATCATGGCTGTCAACGAACTCCCAGCTGCTCACCCGGAGCATCATCCTCACCCCATCGCGCGATCTGATTCTTCATCATCTTCAAGTCCTTCCGATCACAACGATAGCGAACCCGTCCTTCACCAACCAGTACCTATTCGACCTGGTCTTCCTCAGCGAAGAAGCAGTGGCCCACTAGTCGTTCCTCGTGATAGTTTAGCCGTTGGCCCCAACGAGCCCGACTTTGGTCCAGATGATGTTAGGGCAATGAGCCCAAGGAGAACGAGCGAGGATCTCGACAGGATCGGAAAGGCTGCACGGGAAGAGATGAGAAGGTAAGCTGCTCCACTTGCTATACCAGAGCGTCGCTAACTTCCCAAGACATGCCAAGGCATTGCAAGATTCTCTTATTACAATCTTTAACCGCATCGAGGCTGTTCGCGAAGAACACGACAAGCTTGATAACAACAACAAGTTCTTGCAAAAGTACATCGGCGACTTGATGAGCACTAGCAAGATCACAGCCACGAGTAGCCAACGCAAGAAATAAGAGCCTACCAGATGCGACTGTCAGGCATAATGTCCGTCTAGGGACAGCCGAGACATCAACCACTACCGATTCGAATGGCTAAAACACATTTATGCCAACCCTTTTAGAAGCATCGACATTACACCTACGATTCGCGACTTATTGGGGCCCTGTGTGGGCATGATACCCGCGCTTTGACAGCGCAGTTATATGAACTCGCCTTTTAGGGCTGAGCAAAAACCTTTTGCATTTCACTGTACAATAACGAACGCATTATGAAGCCGAGAGCAAAACTCTCACGAAGGATCATTGCACGGTGGGAGCACCATGGAGCTTTTGTTTTCTCGGTTTTGCATGATGCTGCATCATCTGCATTGCATTGCGCTACGTCTAGTTTAGGGTTGTTGAACTCCGTGCGCACGGATTGGCGTTTTGGTTCCAGCATAGGTTTAATGTCTGGTGTTATTGTATTCTACCACGGCATTGTTATACAGATTGCTGTACACTGTAGCTTCTGTAGAGGATTGAAGCGTAGTGACAGATACGGGGTTTGCCTTGGGGGATACGGAGTGAGGTTCGTAAAAAAGAGTATAGTTTTGAGTGAAGTCTTGCAGCATGATACCACCAATACCGTGATTTGGATAGCTCTAGTTCTTCGTTAATTGACCGAGATTCACCACAAGGCCCGATATAATTCTGATATTGATGTGTTTGACATGTACCTCTCCACCGTTTAACCTTGACCTGACATGACAGCTCCAACAACAGACTAAACCCGTTTGTTTATGCTTGACGTTCCTGCAATGCAAGCCCGGGTACGCCCTTGATACATTAGTGCCATGGATCCCTTTTTCCCACGTCCGGCCCGAAGACCTGACTCGGGCCTGCCCACCCGTTACCGCGAGGGAGGATCTGAGCTGATTCCGTCTAGAATTTTTCCTTTTCTTCCTCCCCCTTCTTCATTTCACCCTAAGAGATCGGAGCTAATCAACCGTCGCGGTGGAGAAACAAAGTTTTTCTCCTTACCGACTTCGTTTCCGGGCGCACGTTTTGTTTGCTTGTTTTTGATGGCGTTTGAGTTTTTTCGTGCGGCCTGGTTGCCACATGGTCGGCTGTACCGGTTTATGATATCACTTCTTTGACGAGAAATGTTGAGATGGAATGAGGTGTTGACTGTGGCAGTGGACGTGGGTGGATGTTACAGGGTGAGCAGGGTGAATATTTCCGGTAGATCGGTGAGGGTTAGTCTAAGTGGGGTTTTGGAGTATTAGTTTGCTTGTTTTATCTTTTGATTAAAAGGTATCGGGGAATAATTAGTCGAGTCCAGAATTTGGAACTATGTGGCTTGTGTCTGGAAGTTTGGAGAAGCTAGTCCAAGGAACAAGTCGGGGGTTGAGATTCGTCATTAATTGCAATTACACACACTCGAGTAGACCGGTTGATGAGACAAACTGTAGATGAACTTACCTATTAGCTCGTCGAGAAAATAAAGACAAAATTTGTCTCTGTACTGAGCAATGTAGTCCTCGTTTCATGTTCGTCTACGGTCTAGCGATGGCGGGTAAGTTGATCCTCAAATTCGACAGGTCGATATCAACTTCAATAATCTCACGAATTTTTATCCCAAAGTCCCATCAAACGTTTTGTGGCTGCTACATGCCTCATCCCCTTTATCTGTTTCTAACACTTCATAGGAACTAAGACGGTCTTGCAGTATTATTACCATATATGGACAACTTCGATACAGTGTCATATTAAAGGTTCGACAATGAGGTAATACGGGCTTAGTCGAATCACCATACAATCATACTAGCTTACACCGACAGAAAGTCCACCATTTACGTCCCAGAAGCGTCGTGATCAAAAGAGCATCAATTTCCATAGAATATATAGCTACGTTGTACAGTGTCATCTCAACAAATAATCTCAGCCCTCTTGGCCAAGTGGTAAGGCGTCGCACTCGTAATGCGAAGATCACTGGTTCGATTCCAGTACGGGGCATTGTCTGATCAACTGTTCACAACAGTTAGATCTTTTGGTTTTGTTGGCTGATTCGATTCGTCAAGCATATCTTTTTGTCCTGACGGTTGAAATCAGAATCTGGGGACGGGCTGCTTGTATTTCATTGGCTAGCCCTACCCGTTTGCCTTCTCATTTGAGTAACTTCAACGTTTCGAGCCAGGTTTAGATCTAAGCAGGTTTTTCATTTTTGTTAGAGGACTGGTCTTGACAACTGGTTACAATACACTGTCTCCTTATTGTCTATCTTCCGACTTCTTAATACAAGGGTCTCACTACCAGCTCAACATACTTTCACCTGGTGCATTGAGGAGGAGGACCGAGATAGAACAACACCATCATTCAGATTAACGAATTATATCAAACCCATAACCAATACCTCTATATCTACGCAACTATTCTCCCCCTCTCTCGGCTAGGCTCCTCACTGTCCAACACCAACGGGCCACCTCCAGGTCCGCTCGCATCCAAGCTCACCGTAACACCTTTCCTCTCACATACAGCCCGGATGGACTCGCCCAGGTTCCTGAAGTCCACCTCGCACGTCTGTGCTTGGTTCTCAACTCCGTCTTTAACCTCGCGGATTTCGACCGTAGGATATGGCAGCCAACCTTCGCGTAACGGGATCATGATAAGCGGGATCTGGGCCTCGGAATCCGACGACGATGAAAGCGGTTCGCGCTTGGAACCTGGAATCACAAAATGACCCTTACGACGTCCACCCAGAAGCCAAGTGTCAGCTGGGGCGATGACTTCGTAACTGTACTCTATATCTTTCTTGTGATTCATTTCAGTGTCCCAGATCTGTGTCCACTTAAGGTGAAGTGTGGCCGGAAGCATCTGGTTAATGGCCACAGTAGGAATCGTACCGGGCTTCTGGTCAAGCATCTCCGAGCGTGGTGTTTGAAGCTCTATATCAGCTGTATGTAAAATAGACAGCGAAGGGATCTCAACTGGTATGAGAAGGGTGCAGGGATCATCGTGTTGTGTCGTTGGGAGTTTGACTCGAGGATTCGATGCCTGCCACTCCTTGATAGCAACTGATATCTTCTCAGTCGCGTCTTCCTGTGTCTCTGGGACCCGTCCGATACCAGCAAAGTACTTGTCCCAAGGGACATCCGCCAGGAAGCTGGTAGGAACTGCACCCAGTAGAGAAGCTCGTTCGAGATCAATAGGCTGCAGAGACTTTGTCTCTCTCACCACCACTGTTGAGATGAGCTTGGAGAATGATTCCAGCGAGGGATCGTTGAGAGTATCGAAGATGGACTGGACAATCGCCTCTTCGATTTCCGTTTGGAGAACGTTGTAGTACAGCTTCAGATACATAGTCCTTGCAACTCGCTTGCTCGACCTAACATCGGTCTTTCTCTTGACACGGTAAAGGAGTGTTGCTGGCTGTTTTGAGAACACCATGGTAGTATCGGCAGGCGGAACACCAAATTCGGACTCGAACAAATCCGATGGTATCAGCTCGCTTTTGTATAGCCGCAGTGGACTGGGGCTTGCTGTCGACACGTTGAACCGGGAGTAAAGGGCTTGGTGCTTGAATACGTCTTGCACGTTGACACCCAAAGCCAGAGAGATGGGAATCACTATGGACTTGGCAAATGCGTACTTTTGGCCCATTTCGGTTGTGTATGTGACATCGACCTTGGCAGATACATCAGCCATGTCTTGCTCAACCGAATAAGGAAAGCGGAAGGTGACAGTCGTTTCCGCGGCAATCTGATTAAAGTAAAGAACACCTCCAGTCTCTGGTTTCTTTGCAAACTCTATAGATGAGTCGACGACCTTAGCTTCAAGGGTCAGTAGTCTCAAACCACCCGTGGTAGGCTTTACTCGGATTTCACAGTTCTTTAACGAATTCCATCCGGAGCTGAGTGTGAGATCCAACGTGTTGTTCTTATCCAGAGCAGTATGCTTAGTGGCTGTAAGCTGGACGTCGAGTGCGCCGGTTCTCTGGAATAGAACAACTTCAGGATGCCTGAAGACATCAGTCGTTGGTGAAGGTGTTTGATTGATGTCACGTTCGAAATGAAGGAGAAGATTGCTCGAAGACAGTCCTAGATGATCTATCTTGTACTTTCCAGGAACAACAGACTGTGGTTGTTAGCTTAGTCTTGAGCATTGAGCAGAAATACTTACCGTGCAATCTACTTTGACGCTGTTCTGGCCAGGGTGTAAGACAACATCTCCGGTTCTTGATAAGTGTAATTCCTTGGTCGGTCCTCCCTCAGATGTCGTGACTCGAACTTCCACTCCATCTAGCTTGATGTCATCTGGCAACAAACTCCAGAGATTGATAGTCAGAGTGCATTTGTCTTCTTTATCATAGTACTCAGGGGCACCCGCCACTTCAATATTTGTAAAGAAGTTTGACACATGTACTTTGACTTGGGAGGATAAGGACGAGGCCAGGTCAAACAGGTTGCCAACAACTCCCTTCATCGACATTGCATCAGCAGGTTCAGGCTTGCCAATCCTCGATACCCTCTTTGAACGTTGTTCTAACCTCTCTTTCTCAGCCGCACAAGACTTGGTAAGCAGCTTGAGAGCGACACGCACGTAGTCATCCTTAGACTTCATCTCGCGAAAACAGTGTAGATACATTACAAGCATAGATAACTCAAGTGAGGTCCATCCGCTTTCACCATAGAAAGGTGTCGCTCGATAGAAATATGAAGCAGCAGTACCGAATTCTTTAAGAAAGAAGTTGAGCACAGCAAGATCTGCCATGCTGGCTTGTACAGCATGATCGTGGTTTGCGACAGTATAGTGCCGAAGCGCCTTATCTGTCAGGATCTCATAAAGACGGTAAAAGTTCTCTGGGCTGTCAATCGCAGTCTGGAGAAGGTTGTTATTGACGCCAATGTCCAAGGGTGGGATATCCTCCGAAACAGAAGCATCTGTGGCAGGCTGATCAAGACTTATTTCCTCGAAATCGGCCTCAGCTTCTGCAATGATAGGCGCTTCTTGCCACCCATTGCTCCAGCCACGCTTCTTGCCAAGACCATCGAGAATGCTTCGAGACATCATATAAAGCTCGGCGCGCTTAGCAGCCAAATCTTCAAGGCCGGCCTTGAGAAACAGTGCATCATGATCGTTGCTGATCTTTGGCATACCCGGTCCTGGAAAAACACCAGGGCTCGGGGGAGGACGAGAACCATGTGCAGGACCTGTTGACACATGGAGCGATGAAGTCCTAGCGGGGTGCATCATAGTCTTGGGCTCAGGAATGGAGGTCTTCTGCTCTTGACTTTGGGGAGGAGTAAGAGTTGATGGAGGAATAGGCAAAGATTTAGATGCGGTTTGGGCAAGAATCTGCTGAGCAACTGAGAAAGCGAATGAGGCAACCACATTATCCATGATTTCGGACAGGTTTGGGTCGATAGGAGAGTCGTCCTCGTCGGATTTCTCAGATGCGACAGCAGTAAGGATATCTCGTCGCATGATCTGCGATACTGCTGGTATAAACTGTAGAGTCCTGCGGCATATTTCACCGAGACTGGCCAGATTCTCGCTCTCTTCTGTATGTTTCGGAGGAGGCGCTAAGGGAGCAACTCCGTGCAAGACAGACTCTTGTTGTTCCTTCAGCTTAGCCAGCAGATCATCCTTTGATGACCAGGCGTTTCCGAGCCGCAGAAGCAGTGCCATTTGACGCGCAAAGATATAACATCGGAAGTCAAAGACCGAGACATCATTAGCGAGAATCTTGTCTCTGTATGCCTTCTTGGTAGCACTGATAGGTATCTCATCAAACTGCTCCTTGATCGTTTCGTTTGACTGAAGGTCCACAGCCTCTTCGTCTTCGGTGTTTCCGCCAGGTGCTTTGGCGAGAGCAGTGCGGACGATTTCTTTGAGGTCATCGGTATAACTGAGCATTGCACCGCCGTGTCTTGTAGGCGACCCTTCATCAGCCTGCTCGTTCACGACAGAGTCAAGCCCAACGCTTAGTTCGTCATAGCCGACTAACGCATCCTCCACAAGTCCAACACTCTCAAAACCTCTTGCCAAGCCTTCTTTCAGGATAAAAAAGGTACAGAAGTTCCATCCTGGTAGACTTCGCTGACCGTCTTTTTCTTTAATATCCTCTTCGTACTGGGTTACACGTAAGTCGAACGAGGTAAGAATAAGACTCTTCAGCTTTGCAATGAGCTCTGCCCAAGCGTTTTCGGCGTCATGCTCATCTTCCAAGTATCCTGTGGGCACCGCAGGAACCACTCTTGGGAGTTGATCATACGGAAGATCATTGATTCCGATTCGGATTTGTGCAACTCGATCTGGTGCCGTCTTCCCAAGGCCCGAAAATTCCGTGCGAAGCTTCTCGAACAGGGGAGTTGAACCAGTTCGCCATCGCGGACCTGATTTCTCTGAAGTATCCTGCGAGCGAGCGCTTGTTCTGGGCTGCGTTGAGGCTGCTGTGTTGGGGAGAACCACATGCAAGATCAAGTAATCAAATGCATCATGTTTCTCCTGTTTGCTATTTCGTTTCGGGTTATTTGATGAAGGTATGTGAGTCTTGATCCATTCTCGAATCTCGGCTCGAACAGAAGTCTTGTATGTCTCGTTGTCGTCGCATCTCACTAGCAGCACCTTCAGATAGGGTGTTCGACGCAGGCCAGGGATTTGATGCCGTCGTTGGCTTCCAATTGCTCTAGATGGCAGTGACTGGGTGTCTATCTGATCAGCTGGAGCTGTCTGACCGCCAAAGTTCTGTTGTTGAAAGCCATCATCGACCGTGCTCCCTGATCGTCGAAGGGTATGGGGAGATGTAGCTGGTCCAGGATCATCCCCCTGAAGGAGCTCAACATGAAGTGTATCGATGGATCGTAGGGGTCCAGCATGCGATTGCCAGTTTAGGTTACGTAGAGGCAGACGAGGGACCAGGCCAGGGGCGAGGAGCTTGTAAACATCGTGAGGATCGAAGTACTCGACTTGCGACAAGGTGTCGTGTTAGCAGACAACATCTCAAGAGAGGGGAAAGGGGCACAAGAGAATAAAGCGTCAGAGAAGCTTAATACTTACCGGTCACTTTTGACGTCGAGAATGGCTGTTCCATGGCAAACAGCTTGAGTGCACTCTTGTCATTGCTGTTTGACCAAGTACAGTATCTCGAGATGGCGATGAACCGCTAAAGCTGTCCCGAACGAGCTCCAGTGGATGGCAGACCCCTGTTGACGTAGAGTACCTCCCTTAGCTCATCTTCATGCGCCGGAAGCGGCATTTGTCCGGTCCCAGGCGGTGAATGCACGTGCACTTTGTGATTGGCCGTTTGCAATGACGCTATTTTTATTTTTGACGGCGGGGTGGCGGCAGAATCTTGGAGGGGCAATCTTCGAGATCAAGTAGAATGAGGAATATCGAATTTCTTCATTTCATTTCGTTTCAGATTATCTCAAGTTTCTGGAAATAAAAACTCATAATGTCTACTCTCAAGGCTGTCAAATACTCACGAGGCCAGCTCCAGGTCCTCGATCAGCTCCGTCTTCCTCACGAGTTTCACTACGATGATGTTTCCAACAGGACAGAGGCTTTTGACAGCATTGCCTCCATGCGGGTACGAGGTGCACCTGCTATCGCGATTGTGGCAGCGCTTGGCCTGGCTGTAGAACTTCATAATGGAAGTATCACGGCTTCGAGCGCCGAAGACACCATCTCCCAGATCGATGAAGCTCTTGACTATCTGAAAGAAAGCCGCCCTACAGCTGTCGATCTCACCAATGCCATTAACCAGCTCAAGGCCACGATACGAGCGGTTGGCAGCACTGCCATCAAGGAGGAGGTCATCTCAGCTTTCATCGAAGAGGCTGAGGAGATTTTCGAGAAGGATCTCCAGACCAACCTCTCTATCGGCGACCACGGCGCTGAGTGGCTGCGATCACAAGCTGGTGCTTCCTCTGATAAAAAGATCTCTGTTCTTACTCACTGCAACACTGGGTCACTTGCAACATCCGGCCACGGCACCGCCTTGGGTATAATCCGAACTCTCCAGTCCAAGGACCTCCTTCAACACGCTTTCTGCACCGAGACCCGACCTTACAACCAGGGAAGCAGACTCACTGCTTTCGAGCTGGTCTTTGAGAACATTCCCAGCACTCTCATCACTGATTCAATGGCTGCATCGCTCTTCCGAAACCGGAAGCAAGAGAAGAACATCGCTGCTGTCATTGTGGGTGCTGACCGTGTGGTTCGTAACGGTGACACCGCCAACAAGATTGGTACATACCAGCTTGCAGTTCTGGCCAAGCACCACGGCATCAAGTTCATCGTCGCTGCGCCTACGACCAGCATCGATCTTGAGACCGAGACTGGTGACGGCATCAAGATCGAGGAGAGAAAGGCGGTCGAGCTTACACAGATCACAGGCGCTGTGATCAAGTCCGATGGTACTGTGGATGAGAGCAGCAAAGTGCGAATTGCCACCGCTGACCAACGCATCAATGTGTGGAACCCCGCCTTCGATGTTACCCCAGCAGAACTCATCGACGCCGTAGTCACTGAGAAGGGTGCCATCGAGAAGGGGCCAGACGGAAACTTTGACTTCAGCAAGATCATGCCGGAACGATGGGCGAAGATTATCGGTGCCTAAGTCAGCACCTGATTTACGATATCATATTTCATTTCAGCGTACGGCTATCATATCCAGCATTAGATTAGAGCAACAAAAGTTCGATTTCATTCCGACCAGGCAGACTATTGCTTCAAAGCATGAAGAATCAGCTTCTGATATCCCTCGACAGCAGTCTCTAGATCGGCAACAGTCAGGTTCTCCCGCGCGCCATGTGCCACCAGAATGTTACCAGGACCGTACAAGTACCTCTCGTGGCTGCCCTTAAGGTTGGGAATGTCGGTTCCGTAGTTGACGGTGATTTTATCGAAGCCTAAACGTGTTAGCAACACTCTTTCGTAAAATCTCTGGATCAACGTACCATCAACATCGCAGTTGGCCTCGACAGGGCCATAACCATGGGTGCAGTCAAAAGTGAACGCATCCTTGTCGACCTCGTCAAAAATAGCCTGGATCTTGTCGTGAACAGCAATGTGCCCGTCGGCCTGCTTTCCGCTGGCAACTCGCACAGCAAGGCCAACCCTGGCCTCCTCGGGAATGACATTGGACGCCACTCCACCGCTCCATCGACCGACGTTGACAGTGGTGTTACCAAACAGATCACTGCTACCGAGATCTGTGTCGAGAACCTTTGCAAATGCTCGAATCATCAGCTCATTGGCCGATTTGCCGAGCCACGGGTAGCCGCTGTGGCCGGGGAAGCCCTTGGTGATCACATCGCAACCCAGCATGCCCTTGTGTCCGCAGGCAAGCTTAAGCTCGGTAGGTTCTCCAAAAATGACAGCATCCAGGTTGTACGGGAGCTCCTTTTCCTCGAGAGCGGTGCTGAAGCGCTTCATGCCGTCGCCCTTGACCTCCTCGCCAACAACGAAAACGAGAAGAATCTTGTGTGGATCAATCTTGTCCTGCTCAACAAGGTCCTCGACCGCAGTAATCTGAGCAGCAACGCTGCCCTTTGCGTCCACACTTCCTCGGCCAGTAATCATGGTATCCTTTGTGACCTCGCCATCGTCAATTCCATAGGGAATATGCGGCGGAACAACATCAATATGGCTGCTGACAACAATCTTGGGATCGAAAGCCGACTTTCCATCAGGTCGCCAAGCTAGGACATTGAACCGAGGCTTTTTGTCGGGCGTGTTTTCGAAGGGATCGAGCTCCTGGCGCGACGTAGTGTAGCCCTTATTCTTCAGGTACGACTCAAGCCATACGCCAACATCATGCTCTGTTCCAGAAACCGAAGAAGTCTCAATGAGAGACTTGTGCAAGCTCAAGAGCTCGGATCGGTACGAAGGCGCGTCGGTGGATTTGGACTCGCTGGATAGAGGAGCTCGATCGTTATCTCCGAGAACCTGCTGCCAATCGAACGCGATGGCCAGAGAGGCCGATGCCAAGAAATTGGCAACTGTTGCGACACGCATCGTGGGGAAAATGTTGTGAAGCTTAAAGTTTGGTGGTTGGGGATTGAAGAGCTCGGTTCAATTGAGCTTGTTGTTTGGTGGAGAAGAGCGGAATGACGCAAGTGGCCCGGTCGCCGATGTCGGTCCGACCCGCGTTACCCTGGACCCTGGGGTAGATATGGTCTTGATAACAGAGGATAGAGATAGCTACCAATGTGATAAAGCTACTGCTGAAAAGTCTGCATTAGGCAGTTGATATCATGAATCTAAAAGGGCAAGGTTTTATGGTCAAGCTATCTTGACGAACAACACGCCGATCCATAGCTATGCCCTACTTCTAATGTGTCTGCATTACACACAAAGCGACATGTCCAGTGTACACCATTTGTATCATCACTTTCATGATCGAAGTACGGGGTTCTTCTTCTATGCTGTGCATAAGTTCAGCTTCAATGGCTGCACCGCTTATCTATTGGAAGGGCCACAACCCGTCATGTCGGCTCCCAATTCCGAGCAGAGCCGACTAATTTTCTAGTTTTGCAGACGATAAGTGTACTGCGGGGTTGGTTATTCTTTTCATAACTGTAATATTGGAAGTTAGGATATACTGTTTTTGCCCTTTTTGGCCTTTTCTCTATCAGCTCTTGCATCCAACTCATATACAGAACTTCGAAGTTGCGTCAGGCTGATATCTGCTAAGGCCCTTTTTTCAAAATCAGGTCTCAGCATTGGTTGATACTCTCCAAAAACTGAGGTAAAGGCAACCTTCACGATCCAAGTTTGTTTCAGAGCAACATATTTTCATGTATGTCAGAATGATGTATCGGAAACTGCTTATCAGAGTGGGAGTTCGCAGGAACCAACCCCGAATTTCCAGGCTCAAAGAACCGTTGCTAACCAACGCCGACTACTTAGCTTGACCGAAACGCAAGTTTGATTTGCGTGATTGCGACTCAAGGATTTATAGATTGAAAGCAGGACTTCCTGAGAAAGGGCTAGACTCAGTCAAAGTGAGTGTAGCTGAGAATTAAAAATCAGTGAAGGAAAGAAATCTGACAACCCCAGGAAAACTCGGTTAAACCCGGAGATAATATTATCTTGAACAATTACTTACGTTTGATGGTTCATGAACTTGACAAAATCATGGGCTCTCTAGAGAAAGACCTTTGGACAGGCACAGCCTACGTCCAAGGCAAAGCCTCAGCCAAGCTCCTCGCAAGCAACCTAGAGCTGAGCTTCTGGGGCGGCGTCGATCCCCAAACCAGCGAGATCATCGATCGCCACCATCCATTAAGCGGACAATACCTCCAGAACAGCATCCTAGCTATCCCAGGAGGTCGAGGCTCGTGTACCGGCAGCGGTGTGATGCTGGAACTTATACTCAACGGGAAAGCACCCGAAGCAATCATATTCGAAAGACGTGAAGATATTCTTACGCTGGGAGTTATGATTGCAGAAGAGGTTTTCAATCAGTCCATTCCTGTGCTGGTGCTGAAGAAGGAGGACTTTCGTCAACTTCTTCAACTAAATGGACAGATTACTTATGTGGATGATGGTTATGTGTCCACCAGTACACTATCGAAGCATCAAACGTGCTCAGTCAGGGATATAGACAGTGGTCTTATTCTCGAGACTACACCCACACTTGAAGGCATCAAACTCTCCACCCTCGACCAAGAACTTCTGAGGGGAGATTATGGCGAAGCATCCCGCATAGCCATAAGGATCGTACTCCGCATGGCACATTTACTAGGTGCCACAAGACTCATGGACATCACACAAGTCCACGTCGACGGCTGCGTGTATACCGGTCCCGCAACGCTTGCTCTAGCAGAGAAGCTCCGAGATTTGGGAGGCCAGGTCCGAGTCCCAACAACACTCAACTCTATCTCAGTCGATCAAAAGAGATGGCGCGCTCTTGGTGTTGATACGACTTTCGGCGAGGCTGCCGATGCGCTTGGGAGAGCCTATGTTGATATGGGTGCAAGGCCAACCTATACTTGTGCGCCGTATCAGCTCGAGAGTGCTCCGAAGCTAGGCGAGCAGGTTGCTTGGGCGGAGTCTAATGCTGTTGTGTATGCGAACAGTGTTCTGGGGGCGCGGACGATGAAATACCCAGACTTCCTCGATATCTCGATCGCTTTGACAGGGCGAGCACCGAAGGGAGGGCCTCATATTTATGCTAATCGACTGGCATCCATGTGTGTCGAGATGGTAGGATTGGAAGAAACGTCAGGACTCGATGACTCCTTTCCTCCTCTGCTTGGATACTACATTGGAACGTTAGCAACGAGTCGAATCCCTGTGATACTAGGACTTGATAAACTCGACCTCTCAACAGATGATCTAAAAGCCTTTGGCGCCGCCTTCGCTACCGTTTCTAGCGCCCCAATGTTCCACATCGTGGGTGTCACACCGGAAGCAACCACTCTCAAGGCTGTGGCGGCCTCTGAGCTTACCACGATCCAAGTAAAGCCAAGCGACCTGCGCATAAGCTGGGACAAACTCAACAGCGCCCCAACAAATCAGCCTCTAGATCTCGTCTCATTAGGCAACCCACACTTCTCCCTCCCTGAGTTGCGAAAGCTCGCCGATCTCTGCCAAGGGCGGAAAAAGGCAGACAGTGTAGCTGTTATAGTAACGTGTGGTCGCTCGATATACAAGCTAGCTGAGCAAGCAGGAATTGTTGATCGGCTGCAGAGTTTCGGGGTGCAGATCTTGACTGATACGTGCTGGTGCATGGTTACAGAGCCTGTTATCCCTCCCAAGGCGAAGACTATCATGACGAATTCAGGGAAGTATGCTCATTATGGGCCGGGGCTTACGGGGAGGGGTATGTACTTTGGGAGTCTGGCTGGGTGTGTTGATGCAGCTTGTTCTGGGCGTTATGGCGCTGAGAGGCCGGAGTGGCTTCAGGATAGAGTAGTTGAATAGGCAAGACTTAGACGATGTTCTAAGATTATCAGAAGTCATGGATTGACAAAGGCGTTGTTAGAGTATCAATCTATGACTGAGCTTTTGGCAACTCTCCAGTCATCCTTTCCAACATTGGGCTCAAAGACACGTCTGCCAGATGCATCGAACAAACAATCAATCCAAACCACCGTCTTCAAGACATCGCGCACACCATCCCACGACTTAACTTCCAAACCATGCAGAACCTCAAACGTCCATTCCGAAAACACATCATGATCAGAATCATCGCTGACAGTGATCTTCCAAAGCACCAAGAGCCATAAAAGCATAGCATCAGGTAGCCGCACTTCAGCTTTCCTCAACTCAGATAAAGCACCTCTAAAAGAACCATCCAGAAATGCCTGCCGCTGCTTCATCTCGCGCCAACGGAAGAATATCGCTGCAGTGTACGCCATCATCCCAAGACGCAGAGCATTCTCAACAGGAGATGAGGGATATGATAGGGCAAGCAGGCGGTAGAGTATAGATACCATGATCTCGCTGAAGGTATTGGGCTGGAGTTTTCGACCTGTTTGGCTGGCGAGGTTGCTGAGCGTTGAAAATTCTTCTAGATCCCTCCACACGTTCGATAACCTGGGGTCTAGAGTTTTGATAAAAACAACTATATCGTTGTTTCGTTTGTTTGCTTTTTTCATACCCCGGATTAGACCTTGGCTTGAAATGTAGGGATTCCAAGAGATATCGTCGTTGAAGAAAACTGGTCTACAACCAAAACGAAGGGCAAGGCCAAGGTCAACCCTATCAAATATCAACACCTAAAATATCTAACTGTTATAGATACTACTCACCTGCAAACCTTGGCCGGTAGTCTGGGGTTATCATATCTGAGCATCTCAAGGCCACCTCTCAAATCAACTATCCTCGCCATCCCAGCTACATGGCTCTCTGCTGCCGCTCGATCACCTATCAACTCAGCAACAAGGCCCAAGGTCACCACCACCATAATAGTAGCGTCTGAAATAACCATGGAATCATGCGGGTTACTGAGTCGTTCTTGGAGCAGTCTGAGTGTTTTTGAAAAGTGAAATTGTGAAAGGCAGCCTTGCTTTCTCCCAAGGATCATGTCGAAATATGCTTCGGTGGAGAAAATGACGGAGTGAAAGTATACTTGGTCGACGAGTAGATTGGTAGTCCATGATGATTTCGTTTCGTCAACCTGGAGGCATATCTCCGATGGGTATAACGCACCTCTCATCCCGTGGAAGCCTGGTGCTGAAATTAGTCTAAAAGAGGTTGATAGTAAAGATCAACATACACCGGAAGATATCATTCTCCATGTAAGGCTTCAGAGGCTCAGGAAAATCAAGCAAAGATAAGTTAGATCCCACGCGGCCTGGAATAGAACCATCAGGGACTTGTAAAGCTGTAGATGTATCTTTCTTTTTCAACATCCATGATTTAATATTCTTCTTATTACCGCGGGATTGATTCGAGCGAGCAGCATGGCTTCGGACCAGTTTTTGATTATCCTGGCTGGACTTAGATGCAGTTGCTACAACGAACGTCAAGGTTTGAGCTATAGGAGTTGTTAGTAAGAGTGTGTGTAGCCCGCAAGAAGCTTACTCTGAGGAGTTTGTCTCTTTGGGTTTGACATCGTGTTTCTCTAATGATCGGGGCTTATAATTATAGTATTATTGGTTACTAATACATGCTCATAGACCGTGATTTGGTCGTTTTGAAAAGGAGAGAACATTGATAATCCTAAGCTGAGGTGAGTCGACTCCCTGATATGATGACGGAATTCGGATGTCTTAACTCCGAGCGCTACTACAAAATTGGCCATACATGTATGTTTTCAGCCACAATGTGACTATAATCATGGAACTGACAGCGTCGCGAGGCAAAGGGGAGTGAGTATTTAAGTAATGCTAGCACTTGTATTGGGATAGTATACTCCTATGAAATAAGTTACAAATCGTACTAAAACAAAACAAAATCTAGTACAAAATGCCCTGGACGTTGTTACTTAAAGGGCAGAGACGATACCCTCCACTCCCGCAAACTTGAGTTCCTCGATCGTCTCTTTCCAAACCTGTTCCACCAAAGCTTCGCCTTGCGTATAAAACCAACCAGCCAGTCTAAAGCACGTCAGTCAGTCATAGTTCATGTCTATATTAAACCAAAGCCCACTTACGGTGCAATCTCACAGCTCATCAGGAAACATCCATGAGACTCTTTCCCGTGGCCATACACAGCATTAGCATAGCTCGCAGCACCTCTATCGACAGGTCTTCCTGCAATAGAAAAAAACGACCGGCCAAGCATCCCCGCTACTCCGGTGGTTTCGTGGTGTCCTCCCAGGTTAGTACCCTTTGTAAGTCCCGGATCAACCATGTTGATGATCACATCATCAGGGTTGACTTTCTCGCACAGTTTTGTGAGAAAGAGTTGGTTGATCAGCTTTGACACGCCGTATCGCTCCTGGGAACTCCACGGCGTGATGTCTGGATCGTCGAAGGATGCTAGGAGTGGTCTTTCGTCCCGGTTGGGGAACTTGCATAAGTGTGCTGTGAGGGAGTTGACAGTGGTAATTCGAGGTGGTCCATGGTCTCCAGCTTTAGTTTTGAGGATGGGGATGAGGAGAAGGGTGAGAAGAGCTGTGCTGAAGTGGTTGACTTGCATGCCGACTTGATGGCCGGTAGCAGACACGATTTCAAAGACCGATGGAGAAAGTCCAGCATTAAGAATGACAAAATCTATACGAGATAGCTCATTCGCGCACTTGTTTGCAAATTCTTGTACAGAGTCATACGACTGCATGTCCAATCGCCAAATATCGATTCTCGCCTTTGGCACAACAGCCTTGAGTTTCTGCGCTGCTGCCCTACCCTTCTCAAGTGACCTGACACCCATAATCAAGTGTCCGAGACCTAGAGAGAGTAGTTGTTTTGAGGCTTCAAACCCCAGGCCGGTGTTTGAGCCAGTGATGACTGCAACACTTCCCTGAACCTGTGGGTACTTCTCTTTCGTGGGTAGTTCGATGGTGGTACGGAATTGGTTCTTCCAAAAGACTGGCAGCCAGAAGTCAGGAAGGGGATTCATATCCCTTGACGGGACTGAAGTGTTGGTGACTGGGGGCTTTTCATTCTTCTGGCAAGGCATCTTGATGGTAGTATAAGACAAAGACTATGAGAGTAGGTGAGGTCGAGTTGATGAGAACAAAAAAGAGTAATGGTTTGATTATTCGGAGACTGATTTAGAGAGAACTAGAGGTTTTTATACTCAAAAACCATTTAGCTGGCGTTATGATTATGTCTATTGCTGTCAGTCTCTAACATGATCAAACCTGAAGCTTTCCCAAAGAGGAAATTGCAAAAGTCTTGGCATTCTTACAATAGCGTCACGGCCAATCAGCGTCCTTAGACTCTTCCCTGAAGACGATGTGACAGTCAATTGTACACAAAGCTGTACGAGAATAGAATTAATAATTGACGCTTAACCACAGTAACTGCGGAGTTAATCCTTCATATCCCCGTCCTTCCGGTATTATTAATATCATCCTTAGGGAGTTTGATTTGGTGATGACGATGGCTTGTGGTTCAGTTTGAGTGATACTGCCTGGGTACTTAACCTAGACCGGTGGATGTAAGTACAGTTGTTCTGTCTATATAGTGTAGTAACCTGTGAGTATTGTGCCATGATGTTGTAGCCTCGCTGTTGATGAGAAAATTCATTACTTTGATCAATTTAAGAAGCAGGCGTCACGTCATCATCCAAGTGATATATGTTCGCGAATGGTGTAATATAACTACTTCACACAGAATTGTTATACACCATTTCGCCCTTGATTACATGTACACACATAGCTAACATAACTTCAGCTATACTCTACCACCCATTCACTCTCCAGGTATACCTTTCACGTAATAACAAAATCCCTTACACCCTCTCTCTCTATCTTCCCTATCTTTGCCGACATTTCCAGTCTCCGATCACGCTTATCTTCCCCGGAATCCGCGGTGGATATGGTCAGATATGCTAACGACAGCGCTCCGCATCGGAAGCTACATCTACTACCGAATCCCTACCATTCTCTCACTGACTCGTTCTTCAACACACGCCCGTGCTCATGACATTTCTTTACCCCTCGTGTTACTTGCGCCCTACAAAGATAATGGCCCAATCAGCCATGTCAATTGTACTGTCCCTGGCTTGTCAAGTGGAACCCCCGTGTCATTCGTGCCCCGCGGTAGTTCGATAGCTGTCATGATCAATAGCCGGACCCTGAATACTTTAATATCCTCCAAGAACTCTTTCTCGAATATCAATTCAATTTAATTTCTCTCTTTATATCTTGTGAAGTAAAGATACCGCTTCCCTCACAATGACCGTCGTCACACTTCCCGAGCCTTTCGCGAGCATTCCCCGAGAGAACTTCCTCTTCGGCGCATCTCCCCTCCAACCCCTCCCCCGCATATCCGCCGCTCTCGGCGGCAAAGTCAACGTCTACGCAAAGCGCGAGGACTGCAACTCTGGTCTTGCCTACGGCGGAAACAAGGTCCGGAAGCTTGAGTAAGTCACCGCATTCAACAACTCAGAAGAAAAAATGTAGCTGACTAGCGACACCAGGTACCTCGCTGCTGAGGCGCAAGCCCAAGGATGTGATACCCTCGTCTCAATCGGCGGCGTTCAGTCCAACCACACCCGCGCTGTCACAGCCGTCGCTTCAAAGCTCGGCCTCAAGGCTGCGACGGTTCAGGAACACTGGGTCGACTGGGAGGACCCTGGCTATGAGAAGGTCGGCAACATCCAGCTCTCGCGACTCATGGGCGGCGACGTGAGACTTGACCCTTCCACATTCGGCATCGAGCACAAGACAACTCTCGCCAAGCTCAAGGACGAGCTCAAGGAGAGCGGTCGCAAGCCCTACTACATCCCCGCCGGTGCCTCAGACCACCCCCTCGGCGGCCTGGGCTTTGCGCGATGGGCCTTTGAAGTTGAGGCGCAAGAGAAGGAGCTCGGTATCTTCTTCGACACCATCATCGTGTGCGCCGTGACAGGTTCCACCTTTGCCGGCATGATCGCCGGCTTCAAGCTGGCTGAGAAGAACGGCTCCCCCAAGCGCAAGATCATTGGCATCGACGCCTCAGGCAAAGTGCAGCAGACCTTCGACCAAGTGCTGCGAATCGCCAAGTCCACAGCCGCCAAGATCGGTCTCTCAGAGGACGACATCACAGCCGACGACGTGATCCTCGACCCCAACTATAACGCCAAGGTGTACGGAATTCCCGACGAGACCACCATCGCGGCTATGAAGTTTGGCGCAGCGACGGAGGCCTTCATCACGGATCCTGTGTATGAGGGTAAAAGTTTGGCGGGCATGATGGATTTGATCAAGACTGGCAAGATCGCGAGCGGGAATGTGCTTTATGCTCATCTAGGAGGTCAACTGGCTCTGAATGCTTATTCATCTCTATGAGTTGACTTATATAATTATAAAGCGTGAATAGAATAATTACTTAATTCTGGTCATGTCAATGTGTTGGTTAACCTACATTAGCCGTTGGAAGAACACTAATGGGCAAGTCAAAGAACAAACGGCGTATGAGCGACCGAACATTGTTCAAGGCTTGTTTCCGGGGCCTTCAGATTCATAAACATAAGAAAACCATTTGGATAGTAGACGTAAGAAATCAGTTGATGTCGTCAATCATAAGATAGGATTAGGTATCATAGAACAACAAGAAAAAGCAATGGCCGCCTTACTCCTTGCTTTTCATAGACCCAGCGCAACAACAAAACACAAGACCAATACCAGTACCAGAAACAGAGCTCAACCCACAACGACCATCTCATCCACCATCTTCATAAACCTCTCCCTGTACTCAAACGGATCCGCCGTGATGCTCATCGGCCCCTTATGAGCAACCTTGTTGAAGATCTTGACAACCTTGGTCAACGCCCGCGCCTGGAAAGCTTGCTTGTTCCAGAAAAAGTCCAGCAGCACACATCGATACGTCCACTTCCCCTTGACGTCGTTCACGCCGCGTCGCCAGTTCCCAGCGTCGGACTCTACAACCGGTGCTTCGCTGCCCTGCGGGTAGCGCACTAGGAAGAGCGAGTAGTCCACTGCGTCGTGGCATGCGAGGAGCGCTGAGTCGGCGAAGAGCAGAGATGTGAGCTCGTCCTTGGCTTGGCGTGTTACGTGCACTTTGTCTGGGAATTCATCGACGAGACGCTCAATCACACTGGCCGGCACGAGGGCTCCGTCGGCGATGTCCCGCTCGGGGAAGAAGTAGTCGTTAGGCTTGAGATCGTACGTTTCCCAGGACTTTCCGTCGTCACCCTTTGGCTTTCCGTAGAGGAGGTTCTCCATGACGATGTGGTGCGTAGGCGCAGTACCCAACATGCCACCTAGAGAAGAATGCGGCGCATGCACAAGATCCGTGATACGAACGAGTAGGCTGTGAGGCTGGTTCTTCATATGTAACACATAAGGATCCAGCAACTCCTTCGCGAAGAAGTTATGCTCAAAGCGTCTAGGCAGGGACTTGATGAGATACTTCTCATTGGCGGTTGTGAAGAACGTCGAGCCGCTGTAGCCCAGATCCCCAATGGGAACCAGCTCCGCAGAGTCCTCGCCTTCTAGCTGGAACGAAATAAGGTACTCTTCCTCACCGAGCTGCCAGACTTCCTTACGCAGAGCGAGGAATTCCACAGAGCGATAGCGAGTGAGGAGTAGTCTGAAGAGGCGGAAGAAGGCGAGGATGCGTTTGATAAGGCCCTTCTTTGATGTGCCGTGACGAGTTGATATCGCCTTTGCTATTGAGACCGAGATGCGAGAGGAGCGGATCTTCATGGTTGCGTGTGGCTATTTTAAGGAATTCTGAAGTGAGTTCGGGTCTAAATTGAGCTAAAAGAATTGGTGTGTTGTTTGTTGTTCGAGAATGTTGAAGAATGAGAGGTTGGGATATCTTTAGCTCTGACGTCACTTTGTCATCAGTCGAGGATCGCGATCGGTTGCACATGTGATTCCCAAACTGTTTCAACATCACATATTAATAGAAGTAGTGATTCATACGTGAAAAAGTAGTAAATATTATTTGTATCAGCGCTGTATATCTTGTTTCATCCCGGTCATTACCGTTCCGTATCTCTATGAATATTGTGAATATGAAAAACATGTGTGTAAAACAATAAGAATCCCCAGACTCGCTCGCTTTGCGCCAGTCGCTTCCAACCCTTTATTTCTAAGTATAATAACAAAAATCGGAAAAAACTCAAATGAAATGCAGTTATTGCTTTTGTATAATCCGTTTTGACAAAACACTCTCTTGAAATACCACTCATCGTTTCATCCAAGTAGTATAGGTGTATAAAATGCAAAGACAAGAAAAAGGAAATTTGAGCGTGTGTGTGTGTGTGTGTGTGTGTAAAAGCTGTCCATGTTTAGAAACTGAACAGACCACTTCTTCTCTTACCCAACGGGTAGACAATCAGTGCACTCAAGAACAGGCCAACGCTGATACCAATGGCAACCTGGATGACCTTGAACAAGACGTTGAACGCTGTTCCTTCAAGGTTGCCCATTGTGTTCATATCGGATGCGATCTTGGTTCCGTTCTTGGTAATCTCATCCGCCATGGTGATACTGGCTAGTAGAGAGCCACCGGCTGCTAGACCAGATGGTACCTGCACGAAGATAGCAGGAAGCATAGCCGCTGCGGCAAGACTGTATCCGACCTTTCGGGGCTTCTTCTCGTGTTCTTGGTCCTTCTCTGGTGTGACGGGACGGGACTCGGGGTCCAAGATAGTGGGAATGGACCACTGGTCGACCTTCTTCTTTGTGTACCTGGGACGAACTCTGAGTTTCCACCAGTCGACAAAGTCCAACCAGCCGTTCTCGACGTGTCGTCCAATACGAGAGTAAAGATTTGCGAGAATACCAATGGTCAGGGCACCCAGCATGTTGGAGATCTGGCCGTTTCCACCAAAGTACTCGGCACAGTAGCTGTTTACAGACCAGCCAGCCAAAGCCATCCCGACCATAACGGGAGACTGCTTCCACTTGGCCTGATTGATGAGACAGAGACACATAGTGAACCCGGGCACGAAGAGGAAGTACCACCCCCGCTCCAGTGGTCTATCGCAGGTCGAACGACTCGATGCATTGCTGTCGATCATGCCGTAAAGAGAAGCACCGATGGTGATGCCGTATCCGAGGAAGAGAGTGTAGATAAGAGCGTGAACCATGCGGACACTACCGGCGACAATGTTATGGCTTTGAAGCTCGAGCGAACTGCAGAGGACCATGTAACCTGGGAGAATCAAGGCGATACTGCTTTGCGCCAAAGCACTGAAACAGAATAGCTGGCCGTTTTGAATAGAACCGAATGCGCGTGCGAAGAAGGATGTGATGACGGCGGCGGAAACCTCGAAGACGTGGGCGTATAGCTCGTTGCTGGGAGCTATGACCAATTGAAGGATACCGACGACTGAACCAAGGAGGAAAGCAATGGGCAAGTCGATGAATCGGCCCTGGAAGGCGAAGGGGGCAACACAAGCTGATGCGACGCCGTATAGGAAAACTCGCACCCAGACGTTGTACTTAGGCTTACGCTCATTGACCTCATCCAGTCTCTTTGTGGCCTCCTCAACACCGATCTTGTCATGGACAACCTCCTTGTAGATGTTATGCACATCCCGAAGACGTCCAAGATCGATACCCTGCGGCACACGAACGAGCTTAACCTCGGTTGTATGCGTGGTGCTATCGTCGAAGCTGATAATCATACAGCCAGGCAAGTAAAGAAACTGCGCTTCGATCTCGAGAACTCGCGATGACATAGTCATGTACTCTTCCAGCCGATGTGTAGGAGCACCGTACATCATGAGTGCCCGACAAAGCTTGAGCAGATACCGATGGCGTTGGATAATACCGGCGATGTGTATGGTGATGCGAGACTTATCTCGCTTCTTGGGTGGTGGTGGTTGTTGCTTGATCTTCTCGGCCCACTTGTCAGAGATGTTGGCAGACGCGGGAGCAGCAAACATAGAGGACGACTTCATCAGCTCCGTGAGAGCAAGAGAAGAGGTTGAGTGGCGGGACTTGTGGTAGTTGAACAAGCCGCTGGATGGTCGCGAGCGAGCAGGTGATCGAACAGGAGGAGTGCCGTTTGATGAGCCAGGCCTCGATATCGGAGGCGAGCCGCGTGGAGACATTAAAGGGGTTCCTGGATCTTTGGGCGTGTTCATTCCACTGCCAGGGGCTTTCACATCGTCCTGGTAGAGCTTCAGCAATGAAGAGAGAATACCGCCGCGGTATTGGTCGGGTCGTGGGACGTAGTCGTGAGCATAAGCTTGCTGAAGAACAGGAGTCGCTGTACCAGAAGCATGTCCTCCGTTGGGATGCACCGTGAACAAATCTCTCTTTCCCTTGCGAGTGTGAGATCTGACGAGGTTCTCAGCGGCGGCGTGGTGTTGAAAGCGGTCAGTGTCGTCGTTTCTAGGAACACGCTGTCGAAGTCCAAAATAGCCTGCGTCCTCGACAGTAGCCGACTTTGGCGGTGGTGTAATCTTGGGACTGTCGTAGTCCTCGATCAAAGGCTTGAATGACGGAATGTCGTCAAGTTCAAGAGACCCCCGTCGAGATCCTGGCGCTGAGAAACTTCCAGTTCCCACCGACACGGCTAATCGATCTGCTCTTTGGCGAGCGTCCGCCATGGATCTGTACTGCCGCTCCGTAGTCCTGGACTCAGCCTGGTCCGCCTTCTCCCTCTCTCCTGGATCGTCATAACTGGTGTTTCTGCGTAAAGCCGGTCTGGGCCTCTTGGGGCCGATCATATCTGGTGTATCCGGTGCCAGCATCTGTGTCTGCAGCTCCTGACGCTTCTTCTCCTGCTCAGCAGACAGGATCTTGGTCAGAGCGAGACTCAGCTCGTAAGCATCCGGTGCATTGGGCGGTAGTTCGCCAGGGGCAAGCTTGGGTGAGCCAGCAGGCGAGAAGACGCCTTCATCTTGACCTTGAGGACGTTGACTAGGTGCTGCTGGTGATTCGCTGCTCTCGCCAGAGCCTTCTCTGCTTGCGTGGAAACCTACTCGCTTCTTTTCCCTGCGGAGAGGAGTGTGAACCTGACTCGGCCGAGCGCTGCCGCTCCCACTCCCGCTTGCGCTGCCGCTGCCGCTACCGCTGTCGTTCTGTTCGGCCGACATATCGAAAGGGAAGGGAAGGGGAAGGGGGGAATATTCAGATAAGAATATTGGGTCCTGCAGGTGGGAAGCTTGGTGTGTGCTTTAATTTTTCTGGACTGGGACCGCAGTTCTTTATTAGAGATTGGCCCTGAGAGGGCTCTTTGAGCTCAAGGATGAGTAGGAAGGATTGGTGATCATGGCGACGATCGGATGGAGGGGGGGAGGGGAAATAGTAAAAATAGTGAGATGATTTACTGTGTTTCTCGCCTGCTTTGTCAACTTGGCCGTCTTTCCTCGACTCGCTCCGGGGCGAGAACAAGAAAACAACAAAACTGGAGCCTGTATAGGGTTTTCTCTCGTAGTGTTGTGGCTACTCTAGGGGGCGACAAACTTGCGTGATAAGGCCCTGTGGGTCGCCGAGAGCAAGCCCGAGACGAGACAACCAGGTTTTTTCCCGGCCACCTACAGTTTATCACGGACGGGCTATAAAGAGATATGATGATACGTATGATGATGGCGCGCTCATGCCTTGGTAGCTTGGCCTTTTTCCCAGGCTATAAAACAGGCGTCATCGGTCTCTGTGGTATGTTGTTGACTCTGTCTTGGACTGGCGATAACATTTTTGGTGTTTTTATCGAGTCATGCTTCAGATATCACACCCAATGCACAACTATCACACATGATTCATAATATCTGATAGCATTACACTTGTTTCACAGTTCTCAACCGAGATTTCAATCTTCTCAATTTAAGTTTTCTTTTTCTCTTTTTTCTTTCTTCCTTTTCCCCTTGTCCAGCTCAGCCCACGCAGGCCAATCCTCGCTTCATCATGTTCCATGCTGTCTCAACATGTTTCTTGTTCCTGAGACACAATTGGTCCGGGTAAAGAGGGCGCCGTCGTTATCATGAACGACAAAAGCTCGGATTACTCCTTCTGGAAGGGTGTGAGAGGAACCAAGATAGAGTGCTCAGGGAACATGGGTTTTGATAGGACAAAAAACCAATCTCTGGATGACCGGGCTACCGGTATTTTAGAGGCTCAATGGAGGCTAATAGCGTCCTCTTTCAGCGGGCTCGGGCTTCTGCCACCGCCACCGAAGCCGGGCCATGGGGGTGAAATAAAACACGGGCTGTGAGTGCCACCAAGATATCTTCAATTGAGTATAATAACATCAAATAGAATTATTTTTCTTTACTAGAGTATAGGATAATTATCACCAAAGCTTCTTCCAAAAGGTTATAATCTCTATGCTATCATTATCATACTAGTTATCCCGGCTAAAAAGCTCTGATATCCCATCTGATGAATTTCATGTCCATGCTTTGTCCCCCATGCCAGCTTCTTCCAGCGCCCACGTGCGGGCCGGCGCCCGTGAACAGGAATCGTGTACCGACCGCCTCGACCTTGGAATGCCCTGTGCTTCAGGGGACGCTGCAGCCCTGCAGCGATCGGTTCCCTCGGGGGCCCTCGGATGAGTGTGATTAGTTTGCCTCTAAGGTCGGGCGCTAGACGGTGCTGGAATTAGAATTGGAATTGAAATTGGAGGGAGGTTGAGGCTCTTGTTTGAGGCTCTGGCCATGCCCTTCTTTAGATCCCGTCTCGTAGACTTTTTTTCTCCCCTTGCTCTCTTCTTAGCTCACACCCATCTAGCCACAGCGGTGTTGTTCATGCATGGCTGGCAGTTGATCGACAGGCTTGGTTTCCAGAAGGGTGTGGTAGAGCATGCGTGTTGACGTGCAGCGGTCAACGTGCGTCTTGTTTCTTTTCTTTTGTCTTCCTTTCGACGTTTATCACGGATATGATGTGATGCAAGCTTGTGCCTTGCAGTCAAGCTCGTATCCTGTGACGCGTAATGAGCAGCCATCAAACGGTGAGTCAGCTAATAATGGGTGGTCGACTGTCGACTGACTATCGACAACTTACAACACCACCAGATATCACATTGCATGTCTCTCCTCTCCTTATCCCCCTGTCAGACCCATTGTCTCCATTGTTTCCATTTTTTGAGCATCACATGTTAGAGTTTGGAGGCTCTTGGGCTCCAATTCGCAGCAAGGGACTCACTCATCTTCAATCACATCTCAGACTCAGACTCAGAGATCCACCCGCTACCGGCCAGTCCGGAGCATCCACCATCAGCGGATCATAGCGTTGATAGAGAGATGCCAAGCTCAACTAGAAAGCTCTAGACAAGACTATCTCCATATCTGTACCATCCGTACCACACCATGCCATATCAATGGTGTTTCTAATTATTCCAATCTGACTATCAGGAAATAGCACATTCTTGTTCCTTTGTACACACGGCCCTATTCTTAGTAGAGTTCCATTAATCGATAGTTAATCAATTCACTATTTACAACTTTGGTTAGTGCATGATAAGCTCCCCCCCAAAACGGATCAATCAAGCTCCAAATGCAACGCACTCTTTTTACTGGGTCCTCCCGTAGGTCAAGCTTCAAGGTCAAGGTCAAGGTCAATGTCACCCCTACATCAACTCTATACCAGCTCAAGCCAGTCCTCACCAAAGACAAAACACCCCAATTCAACGGGTCCCGCGTCTCGACTGCTGCGAAGCGAAATAGCTTTGGGCTCGTCGTCATATGCAAACCACAAACCCTTGAATACTTCTGGGCATCAATAATCTCCCCTGTCGTAACCGTCGAAACATCATCATCTCGCAAAAGGCAGAAACAGAAACAATGGCAACGTCGCTATCCACTCAGGGGCGCGTGTCTACGTACACAATCCCCGATCGCATTGTCCCCATGCGCGTCATCGTCTGTGGCGTCCATCGCACAGGGACGTTGAGTATGTTTTTTTCTTCTTAATCTTTCTTTTCCACCGGCAGTCTTAAAGGGGTTATCCTATCCTACACATGTGGGTGACGTGGCGGTTGATAAACGCTCGCGCTTTGACTTAGCTGCGCAAATAGCTACGCGCAAGCCAAACTCGTGTTAGAAGATAGAGGAAACACAGGCTGAAACAAATCTGCAGGTATTCGTAACGCGCTGTGGCAGCTTGGTTTCCACGATTGTTACCATATGCAGACACTCTTCAAGGACCCATCGCGTGCTCCAGAATGGATCCGTGCTCTCGAAGCCAAGTACGCCGGCCAGGGATCTTTTACCCGCGCCGACTGGGACCGTCTGCTCGGTGACTGCCAGGCCGTGTGTGATGTCCCCGCTGCCTTCTTCGGCGCCGAACTCGCGGAGGTTTACCCGGAGGCAAAGGTCATCATCATGAACCGTGATCCCGAGAAGTGGTATGAGAGTGTGCTAAACAGCATCTATCTAATAACCACGCCCAAAGACCTCTGGTCTAAGTTAAACATGATCTACTGCTACTTCCTGGACCCGAATCTGCAGTACATAGCCAGATATAGCAAAACCATGAGGTCTCTAGTCCAGAAGTATGACCACGGCAAAGACAAGGACAAGGCTCTGGCGTGGTACAAAGCGCAGTATCAAGAGTTCCACGACCGCATCCCCGCCGAGCGCTACATCGAGTACACCATCACCGAGGGATGGGCGCCGTTGTGCGAGTACCTCGGTGTTCCGGTGCCAGAAGTCGAGGACCCCGAGACAGGTAAGATGGTGGAGGCGCCGTTCCCGCATCTCAACGATGGTGAGACGTTTCGTCGGCAGAGCAAGATTATCAAGAAGAAGACCAAGGAGAGAGCTAACCAGAACTTGCTCACTGCCGTGGGGAGGCTGGCGTTGACGGGTGTCGTGGGATATGCTGGATATCTTGCGTGGAAGACTCGCCTAGGCGGACGAGTTTAGGACTGTGATATCTATTGCGTTTGTGTTTGGGATGTTATCTGTGTACTGTATTATATGTGATTTTCTTTGGTGGTGGTCATGCTTATTGTAAAATATTAAAATATTCTCGTATACTAAGCTATCTCATGCTCGAAGGTCTGTCTGACTGACTGTTCTTCATAACCACATGTGATAAGAGTTGCTACATTCGCGGTTGACCCTGTGAATTATAACGCTGTATTTCTATTTGTCTAACTGACAGCCCTCACAAAGCTATATATAAGCAATTGAGAGTTTTCCATATCTATCAACCCCCTAGGAACCATCTATTCCATGTCCTGTAGAAGAAGGCTTACAAGATCACCAAACATCGTATCAGGCACATGCCCCCTCCCATCACCAACAAGACCGTCGAGCTCCCTAGACCTACTCGTGTTCTCACGTAGCCCTGTAATGATACCAATGCCCTCAACACCCTCTGGCTCAACAGACCACTCGCTCGCATATTTGACCAAACCCCCCTTACCATCTGCTAGTAACTCACGCATAACGGTGGCTAATGTCCAAGAACAAATTGTCGCTGAGCCCACGCTCTTGAACATTGGTGCTACGTGCTGTTGACAAGATGTAAACTATTATATATTGCAGCTGGCCCTCAGTTAGAACATACTAATGGACGTTTGGGCTTACAGCTTTATCGAAGGCTTCTTTAACCTTGGATGGGAAACCCCAGGCGGTGTAGTGCATGCCAAAGTAGTTGAATGTGAGCTTGGGTATCTCCTTTTGCAGAACTTGGGCGAGTTCGTCCACACCACTAGGAGTTTTTGAGGTAGGATCCAGCCGGTATATGTCATCAAAGCTCTCCTCTTTGGAGTCATGGGACCTTAACTCAAATTCCTTGCCCTTCAAGATAAGTCCGTTTGGACACGCCCATCGCCGTCCAGCGTTTCCATCTTCCGACTCTCTGTTACAACCGTCTAGGGTTCACAGTAGCGATGCGGCTATTCAGAGACAGATAGACCTACTCGTCAATTTTCATGTTTCTTGCATTACGCTCATGCTCATTTGGGTTTGCACTATCTGTTGGTGGCCCAGTTGGCAGTGGAAAGACCCGGGCTGAGACCGAGGTTTCTGCAAAAGCCTTTACAGTCCTTCGGGAGTTGCCGACGAAGAAAGACCCGTCTCTTTGAAATCTTCCAATGTTTCTAGATCCTCCCATTTAGATAGGCGAGACGGTCCTCTCACTCTAGGGCATTGCATAGCTGTGTCGTAACCATGAGACTTCCGCTGTGCTCAGCTGTCATGATGCTTGAATAGTGTAACACAGAGCATGTGATGGAGGAGAAGACTGCAGTGAGCTTGGATTTTGATGAAGGAACTTTAACTCAGGAGGTCTTGTCCCCTTCATGGGGGAGTTCTCAACAAAAAGCTCGCGCGCCCTCCATCACAGATCGTTCCATTGCATCGCAGCCTTGAGAGTATTCTTACGTTCCGTCTAATCAGGAAAGTCCATAAGAGCGTTTTAGAACTTGAGGCTCTCCTGCTTCATCTGCTCATTAACACGACTGCAGCGTTCTCCGGCGGCCTACATGATATCCACGTAGATCTGAGCTACCCACGACAGTCGAAGAGGCGGTATGTGACAGGAGGTTTGGAATTTTCCTTGTCTTCTTCGGATGCAGGCTCAGGAGTGATGTCCGGAGCATTCATGGCTTCTGACGGAGTATAGACGTTGGGAATATTGAACATATTCTTGACAGAATTCTTCTTCTTGTCGTCTTACTTCTAGGAGAGGTCTTCTGGTTGAAAAAGGCTAGCCGCTACGATGGGCTTCAAGTCGCGTACTTTCTCGGGTACCTCAACAAAGTAAGAGTGAGAAGTATCAGGGCAATCTCTTCTGACTCTACTGTCTTTAAGCTGCTGTGAGAAGGGCCTGCGCACTGATAGAATTGTTAATCTAGCTGCAAACCCAAGCTAAATTATAACACACCCAGAATGACTCCGAACCTCAAAAACGTTGGTCTCGGCGACATGCTTCGCCATAACCTCAAGAGTCCAACGTTGATAACATATTTACCTTGACTATTCTTCTACTCCCTCGCCCTTCTTGGGTGTATTTTTAGGGTTGGATGCATTCCTTGGGACTTGGTCGCCGTAGCCATGAGTATGTGCTGTTGTGGTAAGCCATGTGGCTACAGACTCCGTGTCGGCTTTGTATTGCTGACAGATGGAGTTTCGCCAAAGCCTATTATTTTATTTAAGTACATACATACAGCAGTCTAAGTCTCACTCTAACGCTTCTCCAAATATCATATACATATGAACCTGTCTGTTTTATAATATCAGGCATCATTGCGACAATTGTGGTCTATATAAGTGCCCGCACGACCAACATTGGCGAGAAGAACCACAGCCGGAAATAACAAGCAATGCGTAGATATAAATAGAAACCCAATTGCAGAGTACATTACCGTAAGTACCCAGATTCATAAGAACATGCACAACTTCTAATAAGCACAGAGAACAACCCCCACGTTGAGACGCACGTGAGGAAAATGGCCTGCAGTGGCCCGTCGTGCTGTTGATTGCCTTTTCAGAAAGTCCTTTACTCACTACGACGATCATATACAGCCTGTTCTCTCTATAGAATATTCTTCCATCAGTAACAATCCATAGTTCAATGTCTTAGTTCAGATCTCTCCCCATTGAACCTAAAAAGAATGTGGCCGACGTTGCATTGTCTGATCATAAGATGTTTCTCCCCTCAGCTCCGTCCCCCACGCCCAAAAAAACAACCCCAGATCCAGCAATTCAACCCGGGGGAGTGTTTCCCCTCTCTTTTTCCAACATTCCATCTTCACGTTACACGTCAATTGGAGGCGGTCATTGGCTGGGCGCAGCGTGGGGGTTAGTTAGTACTGGGCAATTGGAGTCTGGGGCTTAGGCGGTGTTGGCATCCTTGTTGAGATCATGGAGGGCATCAGACGACTGTGTTTACACGCTGTACCTGCTTCTACGAGGGTATTCTTTTTGTAATGGAGGGCAGCCCATATGTTCGACATACAATGACAGTCGTGGTGGCGTTCTCCAAGTTCTGTGTGTCTTTGCCCGTGTAAGTCATTAAGCACGACTCTCTAGATGAGCACCCCCACCGACTCCATAAACAACCCGTCTCTTGACTCAGTGTCCCCATCTCCATCAGACGACAATCCCCGGTTCGGGTTCGGGCCGGAGTCTCTCGGCCGGAGCACTCCATCTTCCCCGCCTTGACTCCGATAGACCATAGCCCATAACACTTCTGCTAAGTAACCCCCACGCTTTTCCCACGAGAGCCTTCAAGCCTGGGGATGTCAAGACTCGTAGCCTCATGACGAGTACGCCACTTTGTGTGAAACTGGGTTTCTGGTTGGACATAAAAGACCACCTGACGCCGGCCACTTTCAAACGATGATTCTTTCTCTCGTCAGACTATCCTTTTCCCCCTTGTGTGTGCTTTTTTTTATATAAAAGGCAGCGTGCATCCGTTTTCTTCACTTATATCCTTTTGTATCTTTCTATATATACATATACAACATATTCTGAACCACATGCCTTCGACATTGCTTGAATCTCCCACCATGGGCTCTCCCAAAGCATCTCAACTACGCCTCGGCGATGGCGTCTACGTCCCCACCCTTGCCTTCTTCACCCCCGAGGACGAAGTTGATGTTCCAGCTCTGGAGAAACACATCGTCAAGCTTGTCGAGGCGGGAGTAGCCGGCATTGTTGTCCACGGTTCCAATGGCGAATGCGCCCACCTCTCCCCCTCAGAACGCACCACCATTATTCGCGTTGCTAGGGATGCCATCTTCCACGAAGCCAGCGGTACTCGTGTTCCTCTCATTGCAGGCTGCGGAGCTCAGAGCACGAGGGAGACAACTGAGCTGTGTGAGGATGCTGGCAAGGCTGGTGCTACTCACGCTCTCGTGCTACCTCCTAGCTACTACGGTGGTCTTCTTCCTGATGAGCTTATCATCCAGCATTTCTATACCGTGGCCGATAAGAGTCCTATTCCTCTTCTGGTGTATAACTTCCCCGGCGCCGCAGCTGGTCGAGACCTCTCATCGGACACGATTCTCACCATCGCCAAGCACCCCAACGTCGTCGGCGTGAAGCTCACATGCGGCAACACAGGCAAGCTCGCACGCGTTGTAGCCGATTGTCCTGAAGGATTCTTCGTCAGTGGCGGCAGCGCCGACTTCATCCTCCAAGGCCACGCAGTAGGCGCCAACGGGACCATCTCGGGGCTCGCAAACCTCTGCCCCAAAGCCTGCGTGCGCATCACAGAACTCGCCGAGAAGGGAAACTGGAAGGAAGCACGACAGCTCCAGGCCAAGGTGGCCAAGGCTGACTGGACGGCTATCAAGACAGGCTTCGTGGGCGTCAAGGCAGCCCTGGGCCACTTCTCCGGCTACGGAGGCGAGCCCCGACGACCATGCGTTGCGCCATCACAGAAGGATCTTGATACTATCACCCAAGGGTTCCAGGAGGTGATGGATCTCGAGGCTACACTGTGATCTCCGAAGAAAAGGCTTATTTTGGTTGAGAAGCACGGAATATAAAACAGGTTTGGATGGGCGGGTGACGATGACGATACCTGGATTTCAAGCACGAGATGGTGTTGTGGCGTTGGTACATACACAGCCATGGCCACGGCCATTCAGGCTGTTCTTTTTTTGTAGTAGTAATTAGCATGTAAAACTTGACGAAAGCGTTTTGAGTTGAATGAGACACATTTGTAAATGATATTCATCTTGTTGACGTTATTTTACCCCATCGAAACTACCGTTCCCCGCAAAGTGGTCATGCATCCCCACGCTGTGTAACAACTCTGCAATAAGCATACATATCCCGGTGAGATCATTCCGGGAGTCGGAGAGGGCGAGAAATCTAAGGGGAGGCGACTTAGGGGAGAAAAGAAAATGAGTGTCTTGTGATCGAGAAGTGTGAGCCAATGGGGAATTTGGGGTAATTCAACAGGCACGTTTAACATTTCCGCTTTTGGAGCGATGCTTATCCGTGCACGGATGCGGAATCTTCGAATTAGAGCAAGTCCTCGTGTCTTTGGAGGGGGCTGGGCCTTGTACGGGGAATAATCGTGGGGAGATCCCCCACAAATGGGTCTTAAGCTTGTAGAGAGCAAGTAAGAGAAGATGGGTTCGTAATGCTACTAAAAGAGAACCTGCGGTACCTTTGCTCGCGTGCGTTAGGCAAATATAAAACAAGTACTTTGTAACGACGATCTACTTCCTGATTCTAGCATAGATATATGTGCTGGATGCACAAGCTGACCGGACTGTACTCCACGACGGTTCATAGGCTGAAAGATCAAAATGCCAAGAATCACAAGCAATACACAATACGAGAGAGACGCGGGAGTTTAAGGGTCGAATTCTTAAGAGCTGACAGATGAAGTCGGGAATGCATATCCACGTATTCCAGGCCTCGTGTTAAAGAGAATGCGGGGATGTTCACAAAGTGTCCGATGTGTGGAGAAGCGTGGGGGTCGGGCATGTTTGCATAAGTACGGGGACTGAGAGAACACGTGAAGTAAAGACGGTGAAATGCTGGCCTCAAATACATCAATTAGGACAGGCGGTAAGCAGGTTTTGAATCGCATGGTAGTCAGGTGTAAGATATAATCATTACGCTCGCTGAGGAGATGGAGAATAATATCAAAGGCTCAAAGCAGATGTCGACAACTATCTCGTTGAGCTATGAACGCTTAAATGTCCGCCACGTCAAAGTTGCGAATTAAATCATAGTAAAACTTGACAATATCAATATGCGAATCAATCCTAATCCTCTCATCCACGGTGTGAATGTTCTCCGATCCGCGCTGTCGACTTGGTGTCCAGCGATAAATATTCGGCGAAAGGTCTATACCTCGTTAGCACCACTCCTCAGAGATACACCTTGCAACTTACTCAAATAGTGTCTGGTGTCGGTGTTTCCAGTCATGATCTCTCCAACGGGTACAACCTTGCCTCCTTCGAAAGCGAAGCTGTGCTGGATAGTTCCTGAGAAAATATCCCAGATTGGGCCGGTCGTTGGTGAGACGGGAGTTGTGACGGAGTTTCGAATGGCTGTTAGTTTAAGATGGCCGTCATAGTCGTATCCTTTCTCAGAACTGATATCTGCGAGCGCCTCATCGCCCTCGTATGCGTTGACGCTGAGGTTGTACTTTTGCACAACAGCGTCAATGTTCTTGACAAACTGTCGCTGCACCTTGTCAAGACTATCCTGGGGCGCAACGCGGTAATTAACGCCTAGGGTGACAACCTCCGGCATGGCGTTGATCTTCTGGCCGCCTCGGATGATGTCCACGGCCTGTGTTGTCTGAACAATAAACTTGGCATTTGGATCCAGCCGGATGATCTCGGCGGTCAGCTTTTCGAGATCGTCCTTCTCGAGGAGGTGGTTGAGCTTAGGGTGGGCATCTGGGGAGTGTCGTGCCAGGCACACGAGATGGTTGTATACAGGACTTCCCTTGAGAATTGCAGGTGTGTATGGCTTTGCTTCCAGAGCGGATACAATCTCAGCCATGATGCCGATTCCTGTGTGAGGATGAGGGATAGAGCTGTGGCCGCCCTTGACACGAAGTTCGGCCCAGATATCAACTGCACCCTTTTCCTGCACCGAGGGCAGCACATAGAGGGTATCGTCAATAAGCTGGATTCCCGAACCGCCCTCATCCAAGATAAAAGAAATACCACCATCGCCATACCGCTCTGTCAAAAACTCTCCGATCTTGGCAGCGCCACGATGTCCGGAGCACTCCTCATCGAAGCCAAACGCCAGAATCAGAGTACGCTTAGGCGCCCACTCTGTCTCAGTGAGTAGCGTCTCAATCGCCGACAACAGGGCCGTAAGACTGTTCTTGTCATCAGATGAGCCGCGACCCCAGAGCCACTCGCCGTCAAAGTAGGCGTCAAAAGGCGGGTGAGTCCACGTTGAAGGGTCTGGTACGGGGACGACGTCTTGGTGAGCTGCAAGGAGATAAGGCTTGAGGGAAGAGTCGCTGCCAGCTAGTGTGTAGACCAAGCCGAATTTGTTGATCTTTTCAAGCCTTGCATGTTTGTATCTAAACTTGGTCAGTTATTTGAATTTTATTAATTCAGGATGACTTACACTGCTGGATATGTCTTGGCGAGAACATCGTGTAAATCGTGAAACGGCGCCCAGCGCTTATCCTCATCCACATCACCAAGGTCATCATAGCAGATTGACGGAACACGTACAATCGCCTGATGGCGCTTCACCTGTGTATTGAACGCCTGCTTCGACGAAAACAGTTCATTCGCCGAAGGAAGTCCATCCTCAGCAGGCGCAAGAACCGGAGGAAGATCGCACTTAAAGGCGTGCTTATCTTGACCAAAAGGCTTCTGCAGCGTTCCGAACGGCCCTATCGTGAAGCCTGACGCTCCAGCTATTGAAGCCAACACAGCGATTGACTTGAGCACCATTTTAAAAAAGCTTGAAACGATGGTAAACAGAAAAGATGAGAATGCGTTTACAAGGGAGATATAGCGGAGGGTTAGTAATGGAGCGGGGAATGGCATGGATAACATTATGGAGTCGGAGCACGACATCCGGCGCCGAAGCCGGAGCCGGGAACCCGCCCTGATAACGGTTTTCCTTTTTCCTTGTAAGCCTTCCCGATGAGGAAGTTGTTTCACGGACTTTTGAAGCGCTGTTTACAGTTGTACAAGATAATAGGTACGATTTGCGCTGATCATGCTATTCCCGGTAATGTCTCTTCCAAGGAGACTTTGTTCACTTATATGTAGATCGTCATGCGGATGCACACAGAACTGTACACTTGTCTATTCCTTCTCAGCCTCTTCTTTCTCAATCTGCTCCAATCTCTTCCCAAGCCAAGCTTCAAAGCCCGCGAACTGAGGAACATGCTTCCATTCCTCGCAGAACCTCTTCATAGCCATACCCTGCTCTCTCACCCAGACCTTCTGCTTCTCAGCCCGATCTCCATGGACAGGTAGCAACGGACCCAGCTCCCACGCCAACTTGGCTGAACAGATGGGACAGAGATAAGGCGGGACTTGGCCATCCTGTTTAACGCTGTTGACGCCCTGCATTAAGCATGCGTAGTATGGACAGTGGGCGAAGCCGAAACAGTGGCCCAGCTCGTGCGAAACTGTCACTGCGAGACGCGCGAACCAGTAGCTGGCTAGTTCATCCCGGGTGGTGAGTTTCGGGACTTTCCTTGCTGCTTGGACTGCGGCGCCGAGTGCAGAGTCAGTTGGTGGTTTTCCGTAGGCTTCGTTGTCTGACTTCTTTGTTCTCTTTGTTGCAGGTTCCTCCCCGCTGGCCGCTCTACATTTTTTGTCGACAAAGGCTTTGCAGTGAGAATTGGGCCACATGTGAGCTCGGTCAACATCGGCGGCTGCATCCAGTGCTGGGTTGTAGCGGAATGAAGAAACGATGGAAACTCTACTACCGCCCCAAGACCGCCCGCCGGTGAAATCGTCATCTTCATCCTCGTATAAGTCGAAGTCGGCGAGCATTACCACAGCATAAGCGTCTTTGGGCATCCTCGACAGGAGAGCATCTGTGACGTCTCCTAGCTGGAGCTGCATCCTTGCATGACCGTCCAAAGATGGCCGACATCTAACGCCGTATACCTCTGGCTCTCCGGGAGTTTCGAGTCCTATATTTGTTGCTTTGGATGCATTTTTGGATCTTGATTTTGCTTTTGGGGGCTCTTCCCAAGGACGCCATGTAAATGTCAAAGGGGATTGGATAACCTCCATGGGATGATAGAAAGCGCGAAGGTAGCTAAGCAGATCGCTAACTTGAGGCGATGCAGAAGTCCATTTATCCAAGCCCGGAGCAGCAGATCTGGGCAGGGCGGGTTTATGCCAATCCTTCATCGTCTCTTCCATCTCACTGGGGATAACAGGCGGTAGAATGACGTAGATAGTCTTCTTTCGCGTCGTGACTTCGTTTCTCTCATCTTTTGACACCCTTTCGCACCATTCCTTGAACGGATGACCTTCATCATCAGGATCCATAGCTAGGTCATCGTCCGGAAGTACTAGAGGGCCTGGGAACGTCCACGGGTCCTTTATAGCCTCTTCTTGAAGCACGGGGACGCCTCTGCTGCGTCTGCCATTTTGTGAGACTGCCAAAATTCTTTTTTGTATGTTCGGTCTTGTGAAGCCTGCATCTTGGGCTGCAGGGCTGCAGTCGATATACAGCGAGGTATGAGGGCACTTGACCATGGTTTGTTCAGCGGGTGTTTGACAGCTTAGAGATGGGTTTTTAGCAAGGCGTAAGGAGTTTAATAGAAGTGGGAGTGGAAGAAAGGTGAGAAAAATGGCGCCAGATAGAAATGAAGGCGGTTTATTTATACTGCATATTGAAACCTAAAATGAAAGACCAAAGTATTGCTTGTGAGATTATGGTCGGAGGAGTAAGCATAGTGCACGGTGCTACTTGTGCTTGGAATCCTTCGATCCGAAAAAATTACTATATTTCGTACTACTGTGGGGGTAATTCTGTCAACCACTTACACTATCACCAACGACATAACCTGCAGTAAATACAAAGTCTCCTTCCTATGATCGATTGATGATATTCATTCTATACGGTAAAAAGGAGTTTATTGCGTATTTGTTTAAATTTGGAGTGAGCTCGATATTTGACATAGTGCTACCTTTCCACAAAAAGTACATCGTTCAGTTCAAATATACCAGACGTTTCGAACTTGGGTGGGTTGACTATGATATTGTTCGCACATCATCGATCGTAGTAATGGAATCTAACATCTCCTGTAAGAAAGAGAAGAATCTTATTATGCTGCTTTCACAGGATGGTATCTTCCAAAGCTCTCGGATTATCGTACCTGGTATCGTATGCTTAACCGACTAACACTGCTCTGACACCCAAGGCCAGTGCCGCTTAATAGCCTGCGTTGTTCTAATGACAAGGCACTTTGACAAAGACTTACGGACTTATAAACGCTTAGGCTTCCTATGCATCAGTAGAGTTCATAGTGGCAGATACTCCTGAGCCTAATCATCAAATCACAGCATATAGACTAATACCACGTTAACGAGAAGTCAAAGTAACTCTCAATATACTCGCCCATATAGAGAATGTTTTAGACTTTTCAGTTTTCTTCGCCTTTTAAACAGATGTTATCCTTATCTATGATCGCGTGTTCTTGTTTGACTGTCCGTACACCTCACCTCGCTCTGTTGCTGAGTTGTTCTACTGTTCGAACTCCACTCACCAAGTTCCTACGCATGCCTTTCCTGGCACATTTCGACCTTTTTCATCCGAACTTCTTCTTTCTGAATGCCTTTTTATTCACTGGGCAAGATACCTATGCTTTTCATCTACAAACCTGATATTGATGCCTTCTTCTGCACACATCATCCTCACCATCATCAACAACACCATCTTCATCTTCATCGCGAAGGATTATCATCATCAACAACACCACCGCAACTATCATCAAGTCTTCTATTTTCCCTTCATCCACTCAACAACAACACATTCATCACATCACGATGCCTCGCTTTTACTACCTCCCTGCGGAGATCCAAAACATGATCTTGGGCTTCACCTCGACCTCTCCCTCGGTCGCCTCCTACGCCGCCGTCAACAAACACTGGCAATCCTTCTTCGAAGCAAAGACTTTTAAGAGCCTAATCCTTCACCAAGACGACATCAACGAGTTCTCACGCATCGTCAAGGGCTATAGGAGAAACTATATCAAGCATCTCTGGCTTCGCGTTTCCCTGCCGGAATACCCTACCGCTTTGTTTAAAGTAGAAGAAGATCCCAAGGTCCTCTGGGAAGCAGACTGCGCCTTTACCGAATCTGTTCACAACCTCTGGGGTGTCCTTTCAAAATGGGACGCCCCCCGACATGAGCGCTACGGACTCACTTTCGAACTGAGCGTTCATTCTCCCAGTGATTGGGCGACCTATATCAACGACGACGACTCCACCAAGATGGACGTTGATCTCTACAAGCAATACCTCGCAACCGGGTCCACAGAATCTTATAAGAACTCCGAAGACGTGCACTCAGCATATGAGACCCTCGGCGACACCTTGAGCAGTATTGGGATCCCGACTCCAATTCAACATGCCTACTGGCATGCCACCACACACAGCCTCCTGGGGTGGAAGCCCCTAAGCTTTGCTTTTGAAAAGGCTAGCTATGACGACGACTCGGGGTATTTCAGTGAAGACACAGCGACTCCTGTCGGTGAAGACACGACAGCTCCTATCAGCGAAGACACAGCAATTCCCATCAGCAAAGAAGAATCAGCAAATTATCACAATACCGAACAACAACTCCCAGCAGTACCAGTCATCACCAAGATGCTCATCCGCCGCCAACAGTTCCGCTGCATTGCACCCGAAGTACTGGGAACAATGACCGAAACCCTCCCCAACATCCAAGAAATCAGCATCGAAAGATGGCGATGCCAAGAAGCGATCGATGAGAAAGACTGGTGTCGATCCGCACATTTCACATTCGGCATGGGTCTACCGCCGTCTCTCAAAACACTATCCCTATATGGCGAAATAAGTGAGATATTCCATACATGGACATCCAAGGATGTCAAGGCCTTGAGCCTTGCGAAGTCTCTGCGGCAGTACACCAAACACCTAGAAAGCCTATCAGTTTCGCACCTCATCGATGCAAAAGAGTTCTTACGACCATTTTGGTCCGCCAAATCAGACACAGAATCACTACCTAAATGGGAGCATCTCAAGACCCTATCACTCACATCCGAGATCCTCAACACAGACTCCGAGAAGGAAATCAACAAGCTACTCTGTGCCGCTGCCCGCGCGGCTAGAAAGATGCCAAACCTTCAACTGCTGGAACTCTGGAATGGCAAAGATGGACAAGCAGGTGTATTCAGATATCAAGTTATTAATTCCAACGGAGAGATCAAATGGCGTGGCACTGGGGCAAACTACCTTGATGCGCAAGTCTTACAAGAGTGGAGGCAGACATCGATACTACATGGACAGCGGGACTTGCGAGAATCAACATCCAAACTCAGACCGGAAGAAATTTCCCATACAGGAGCAGTCCTTCGGCATTTGCAATCGAGAGAACGAGTATTACATCCTGTGTCAGGCTACAGAGCCAGTTGTGAGCTATGATTATGCAACCAACGAGGATGGCCATGGGTGAGAACACGGCATATGGTGTAAGGAAAGATGGATGGTAACGAAGACTTCATACATGGGCGAGAGTACGGTATATTGTGCTAGGAACGACAAATAGGAACGCACAGTTGAGGAGTAAGCTGCTGCTAGTATTATTGGCATTTTGGAGTTGGCCAGCGAGTCTTTTCATGTCATTTCACGATACCCAGCACAAGCTGCATAGATTTTAACAATAAAATAATCATAATTGATCTAACGGTTTCCAAGTTAGACATGCCAACTCCGGTATGCTAATTACGCAGTGACCAAACTATACACAACGCCGCGTATGCATCCAGTGCTTACACCAATATTTCCTATGCAAGCTAATTCTTTAAGCAATAACCGACTCAACTCTTGAGTCCTCTCCAGAGTGAGACTCGCTGTTCCTGGGCTTCTCATTGCCGATGCTGCGGAAATGGGCCTCGTCACGCTGCTCACGAGTGATGTATCCTGGAGGAACCCACTTGTGGCTGTTCCAAGGCTTAAGTCCCTCCTGGCCGTACATGAGATCGACGTTCTCCAGACTGAGGGCGCGGGATTCGAAGAGGAAGAACCAGACAAGGAGAGCGGCAGCCAAGTTGGTACCGACGAAGACGAAACCGTAGCCGTATGAAATACCGGCGGTGGCAAGAGGGGTGAGGAAAGCAATCATGACTATGATATTGTTAGGATCGAATCAAGAAATCGAGAATATGAGAACTTACAGTTTCCTAGCCAGTTACCAGCTGTAGCAATAGAAGCCTGCTTGGCACGAGTACGGAGAGGGAAACTCTCGCCGATGACGACCCAGGCCATGGGACCCCAGGTACTGGCGAAAGATGCGATGAACATACAGGCGCAGACAATAAGAACGATGCCGGAAGTGGAGTTGCTCTCGGGAGGAATGGCAAGACCAACGGCAGCAAAGATGCACAGCCAACCAGCTTGCCAAAGAGCACCAATAAATAGAGGCCAGCGACGTCCGAACCTCTCGACAAACCAGAGACCCATGAAAGTTGTGGCAACGTTGACAGCACCGAGAATAAGCTGGGTCTGGATGGGGTCCTCAATACCGGCAGACTCAAAGATGGAGGCACCGTAGTAGAAGAAGTAGTTGACACCGGTCCACTGCTGGAGGAAGTGGATGAAGAAACCGAGGAATGTACGCCAGACGAGCTTGGGGATGCTGCTCTTGGGGTTGAAGCACTCGAGCCAGCCGCCCTGGCCAACTGATTTCTCCTTCTCGAGGATATCCTTCATCTCCTTCAGATCGTCCTGGACGAGGGCGTGGTCAAGGTTGTGCTTCATGCCACGGAGACGTCCCAATGCCAGCTGAGCACCCTCCCAGTCGCCCTTGGAAGCAAGCCATCTAGGAGACTCAGGGACGACCAAGATACCGATACCAAGAGGGAGGGAGAAGAGGATACCGAGACCAATAACGATTCTCCAAGAGGCACTGGTGGTGTCCATCCTCTTGAATCCGTAGCAGGCGATGTTCGAAACGAGAATACCGATAGTAATCATGAGCTGGTAAGAGGCGACAACAGCACCACGAATCTCTCGAGGGGCACATTCGGACTGGAACATGGGAACACCAACAGACAGGTTACCGACACCGAGACCAGCGACGAATCTGCCCATCATCATATGAACCCACGAGTCCATCGCCGTAATCTGAATGACATTACCAATGATGAAGATGGCGACTCCGAATGTCATACTCTTTCGTCGACCCCACCAATCAGCAGTGTAGGCACCAGAAAGAGCACCGAGCAGACTTCCGATACTCATGAGAGAGACGAGAATGGATTGAATGATAGGAACCCATTCTTTGTTACCCGCAGGTCCCTGAGCGAATCGATCCTTGAAGTCTTCGAAGAGGACCATAGAACTAATTTGGCCAGTATCGTATCCGAAAAGGAAGCCACCAATGGACGTGATGACACCCAAGAGGATGGCTTCAATGCCGCAGTCGGCGCCATTGACCTTGATAGACCTGGAGGAGGAAGACAGTTAGCATTGGTCAGGAGGTGATGGATAAGAGAAGGAGAGTTGTGCATACCTTTGACCCAGCATGATGTACAACTACAACTGTCTTGCAGATGTAATGTTCTTGGGAAAGAGGATATAAAACTAGAATGAAGATCTGTTTCCAAAAGGCGTAGTAGGGCGGGAGGACGGGGTCTTTTATTCTTCGAGACAAAGACCTGGGGTATTAAGACATGCAAGCGGAGAACGAGAACGGGAGAGTCGTATCACAATCACAGAGCAAGCAGAAGCCCCATCCATGGCGCTAGAATTCCAACATCCTAGGGGAGGCAGGTAAGAGTCGGGGGCCCCGGTGCAGGGCCTGCTTTCTGCGATGATGGATGGAGACATCATTTGATAAACTTGGCAGTCGTCATGGGAAAAGCATCACGGCCGTTGCGCCAGGTGCAGATCACCTCAGTTGGTGCTAGTTCGGCCATGGACATTGGCATTTACTGCACCTGGAGGAAAACGGATTGCAGCAGAGCGTGGAGAGGTCCATGTGGTTGTTATTCTCTAACGAGTTTGAGGAGTAAAGGGCCGATGTCAGTGGCGTTTGTCGAATCCTTTTGTCTGGGGTTTCTCCAGTGTTCAGCGGTTTCTGGGCATTACGATTATGCCAATGGTGCTCTCTGGGCCGCTGCAAGGCGAGCAGACGAGCAAAAGCCTGGGGGTGTCGGTGGTGAGAAGGGCCTCTAGGTATCAAAACTTGGCGGCTCTAAGTAGGTGACGTTAATACTTGGACAATGCTAGTATCAATTAGGCCTGCTCTCTGTCTCATTATTCCTTACCTGTACGAATCAGGCTGTCAAGTTTCCATATTACCCCCTAGAAAACGAGCGAGTCAAGCCAGTGCAGGGGCCTTCATTTGAATGTGGACTCATACTGATTGGGTTTCTGGAAGAATGTGGGCACTTTTTCCCTTCCCCTTGGGGTTTTCCGGGGCTGCAGCAGAAAAGGTACGTACCGCCAACCTGAGCCTTGGTACGCGTTGAGTGGAATCTTGGCGAGAAATTCTGGAGTGGAAGTGGAGATTGTTGTGGTGTTTTGGAAAAGTTAACTTTTGGTCCATGACGTAACGTCCAAGGCACGACAAGGTAAGCTTAAACCCCGTGGATGGCCCAATTTGGCGACCCTAACATTGACCAATGTCTGGGCTTACGGCATCGTTCTCGGTGCGATATCAACGCAAGCCCACGTCGATCACTTCCATCACGCATCACGCATCGCCCATCCCGCGTCAGAAATCTTGTCTGACAAGAAAACGTTGCGAAACCTTGAAACCTTGATTGTGTAGCGAGATCCTGGGGTTTTTCTTGCGGAGAGCCGAGATACCTCCATTACCCTCTATGCCTCCTCTTTTCTTCCTATTCTCCAAGCTTTTGGAGTCTCATCCATCGCCAAGTCGCAGTGGATCATCGCGATGATGTCTTGGCTTAACTACCGACATAACAAGCGATCCTCTAACACGCTAACTGCAAAGAACAAATCTTTCCAGGGTTAACCATTAATCAAGGCTTCAGCTCGTCAACATTTTTTCTTCAGCCAGCGTGACCTCGCCTACAGTCATACAATCCGTCCAAACATCGCATTGATTCTAAGACCGTTCAACCAAAAACCAAAAAAGTCTGCTCCGGACCCGCATCATTTCGGAAGCTCCTCCAGACCCACACGGAGCCGTGGAGAGCCGGCCGTTTACTCGGAGCTTCATGCCTGTCACTGGGGAACGGACGACCACATTCACCGGGGCACAGGCAGACAAAGAGAGAGTAAACGGCCCGTTTGCCGCATATTAAAATATCTCATGCCCCTATTTTCACTTCCCCGGCCCAATACTACCGTGGTGACCTGTGGAGGAATGTCCTCTTTTCTTACCCCACGGCACCCAGCAAATGCACAAACTCCAGAGTTTCTGAAGCATTGGAGAGCCTGGGACTCTGGGGACTCCTCATTCCGCTCCGCATTCAACGCCCAGAATGGCGGAGATGAAGGACCTTGTGAAACGCCAGCTGACCGTGAACGGGCCCTTATAAGCGGCCATAACTCGGCGCTGCCATGCACTTTTCTACAGCGAGCTGAACTGAATACCCTGGATAGCCCATCACCTCTCCCGTATTTTCTTCTTCAACATCCGATTTTTGTAGAACTAGGGAGTAAACTCCTTCGCGTATGCCTTCCGAGAGGTGAAAGTTCCTGCCCGAGAAAATCTCGGTGAGTGTTGGCTAGGCAGGAGGAGTATCGGTCTGCTAGTATGTTATGACTTTGCAGAGCCAAGAGATACTGAAAAGGAGCGTGATCCGGCTTGACAATGGGGCTCATTCGAATGTTGGGCCATATTCAGGCCAAATTACCCCTTTGGATGTGAATAGGCAGCAGTTGGCCGAGACATGCTAGTGGAGAATAATACAAAGTTTGTAAATCAAGGGGTGAATCTGACTGAGATGGCTCCTAGCTAAACCCAACTGCTGTCACAGTTTTATGGTCTGAATTGCTGACTATCATGCAAGCTTATGTTCAATCAGACTTTAGCATACGTTCTGTTTAATGTTCCCGGCTCGGTCACAACTTAACATGAATGATGTCGGGAACCTGCAAGGGTTTCGTGTTGAAGGTTCTAAAGCACGTCAACAATGCAATGCATTTCTAATCACGCATTCCCAGAGGCGATAGCATAGGCATAATTACCTTCACGTCGCTCAGCTGCGAATCGGAATTTGTATAGAACTGGTAAGTCTACCGAGGATAGATATCGATTATCCTATCTTTCGATATCTATAGAGTAGTGCAACACTAATGCACCACGCCTCTATTGGCAGATCTGCGCCTTTCCCCCAAACTATAATTGATAAGACCTCGGGAAGCCAAAAAAGGAACTCCCGATTTCTGCTTAGAGCTATGTCTATGATATAAGTGGCATGCCTTTCGGACTCGTGTTATATCCACGGAACGAACGGGAGTAGGCGAGAAACTAGTCACGCACACTAGATATGAGTTCTTGATAGCGCTGCTAGGATTGCCCGATGGTATTTTCTGCTCTACCAAGTACCCCGTAAGCGATTTTGCAAATGACCATAGCTATATCCGTCGTATGTCCCAACACCAGCGTAAGGTTTGGTGAGGCTATCGCGGAGCAACGTAGGGTAGGCAGACTTTGACACCAACTCTGTTGATGTGTAACGCGTCAGTATCTAATTGTATTTCGAAGTTCATAAAGAAGACTGTTTACTCTCAATCTTGGGATTTGGGGCCAATAGGAGCATGCTCGCAAGAGCAATGATTTCTACGGAAGTGCCACCACGATAATATGAACACAAAAATTCTACCGCGAAGCTTTAGTTCATTTAATTTCGGTTCGGATAGTTCCGACGGCCCCTAAACTCCCCCAAGCCACTCAGCAGACTCAAGATCCCCTCACTCCCAGCACATAACAGAAACCCAGAGTAATCCTCAGTATGATCTACGATTGCGCCGATTGTGATAAGCTATTCTATGCGGGGAGGGTAGCCCGCGACCAGCATTGTCAAGCGACGGGCCATGCTCCACCACAGTTTGAATGCGACACCTGTAACTTCTGCTTCGATGACGAGCATGATCGCTGCGATCACATGAATCTGGAGATGCACTGGGGCAGAGGCGCGCCCGAGTGTAGATTCTGCTTCGTTCGTGCTGTGACGGATGCGGAGATTAAAGAGCATCAGATTACGAGTCATAGCTATTGCGCTGACTGTGATCGTCAGTTTATGAACTTGAATAATATTCAACAGGTGAGCTCTAGGGCATCAATTGCATGGATGGGGTTACTGATGGTCTCAGCACTTGAAATCCAAGATTCATCGCACAACTGTAGTGAACTGCCCGTTTTGCAGAGTACGATGCGGCACAGCCACTGGTCTGTCCCATCACCTTGAGCGAGGCTCTTGTCCTCGCATTCCCTTCAACCGCGATAAGCTCTACCGATACATCAAGCACCGTGATCCAGCAGGTCTAATCTCAAACAAAGAAATTGAGTGGTCTGGAGAGAAGACGTACAGTATCAACCCAAGAGCCGCATGGAACCCGTGGGTTAAGGCTTTCGAATGTTATCTATGTCATAAGCTCTACATGTCCCTCAACGGTCTGAGGCAACACCTCGAATCGCCTCGACACCAGCAGAGTCTTTATCATTGCTTCAATGAGTCCTGTAGGAAAGAGTTCAAGACATTGGCGGCTCTCATTAATCATCTCGAGAGCGAATCTTGCAGGATAATGCGCTTTCAGCAGGTGCAGACTACTATTTCTAATATTGTTGATGCGCGTAAGATGATCTCTAATCCATGATAGGATATGGGACCGTTGAATGTGCTTAGTATGTTGCAAGGTATAATCGCGACAGAGATGCGAGACAGGCTGTTAGCGATGAAACACATAATGCTCACTTGGGAGCAGCCCGGAATAGGTATCTGGAATATACATAACCACAGTTCTCAACCGAGGGAGTTGTAAGGTCTGCGAAAGAGAAGGTCTTATTGTGTTTCTGCTCTTTCCTATTAATACTTGTTCAAATACGAGTGTCCATTGAAACCTACCTATGTCAGGACATATAGTATCTCCCAGAGTCCTGATGTGGATGGTTTGAACAACTGTTGTTGAGAGCGCCTGTCTACTGACCTCTGTCACTCCTTGAACTCTTACACACAAAGGCCAGCGAGATACACTCAAAGTCGTGACTGTTATGTAGGAAGGTTAGAGATCGATTCCTTCCTTCCTGTGTTGCGTTCTCTATCACGTGCCACACCTCGCACCTCCCGCATCGATGCCTTCCTCTGAACTTCCCATTTCCTCCTTTCTCCCTCACCTGCATTCGAATTTTACTCCAAAAGAATCATCCTCACATCTTCAAAAAGAGTCGACTTTTGCTAATCAGTTTCCTTCCACAAAATGGTCTTCGTGTGCGGAATCTGCTAGAGACAGTTCCCATCAGGCTGGCATGCACGAGAGCAGCACTGTTATGCTACTGGGCATGAACCTCCCGAATTCGAATGCGAAGTCTGCGGTCATTGGTTTCACACCTACGAAGCTGCTCAAGACCACGAGATCAATTGCCATCTCTGGTGTTCGGACTGCGGGCAAGAGTTTTATGCCTGGAATGACATTGTCCAGGTGCGTGCTTCGGCATCTCTAGCCATCAAAACTAACATAGGTAGCATCTAAACTCCAGACGACATCGCCAGTCGGGTTCTTGGATATATCAAGAAGGCGTCGAATGCCCTTTTTGCAGAAAAGACTACCAAACCGCCACTGGTGTTGTTCATCACCTGGAGCGTGGTTGCTGCCCGTACGCTCCCCTAGACCGTGACACACTCTACCAGGAGATCAGGCGAAGAGACCCTGACGGCTTCATCTCCAACAAGTTTCTCGAGTGGCATGGTACAGTGTCATACGAAGCGACGGCCCTTGCTTATAATCCAGAGTATGGCCAGTATGAGTGTTATCTCTGCCACGACTTATTCCGACACTTGTCGTCCCTGAACCAGCATTTAGAGTCGCCCAGACATCAGCAGAATCTTTACCACTGCCCGAATAGATCATGCCTGAGAGAGTTCACGACCTTGGCTGGCCTGATCAACCATCTGGAGAGTGAATCGTGCCGGTTCATGCGTTTCGAGGCTGTTCAGAATAGCATCCGAGGTCTTGTGTCTTCGAACCGTTTGATTGCATTCTGATTTAGGCAATCTGTCGGTTGGGGCGGAGATGAAGCTTTCAGCACATTTCATTTCATCCATATGTAATTCTGTGCAAGTCGAAGAGTCATGACTTAGCTCTGGGAGGACTACGAGGGATACAACGATGATGCATCGATTAGAGTTCAGGGCATACCTGTGACCCACCACTTGCATGCCACAAGAAGTCATTTTTTATCATAGAGTGGCGTTGATGTATTTCACTTAGCACAGAGGCGTCAATGGAAATGGGATGATAAATTACGATATAATTTCTAATAAGGAACAGGAATAGATCTACGTCTAATGAAATCAATATCTGCGAAAGTTTCGTCTGGCGAATGATTTGGTAGTGCTATTAGCGTCGTCATTTTTGCCTTGCGTCAAGCAACCATTTGCCACTAACACTCGAACAGATATGAGGTATCATAAAAAGAATAGCAAATATTTTGAAACTGAGGCTGACTGTTTTACTATATACTAATATTGTAAGACTATTATAATGCCGTAACTTAGTAAAAACACTATAAAAGCTAGTGGCTGACGGCACCGACGAGAGGATGGCGACTGGGGCTACCAGATGTCTGACTCGTGTTAGTTGATTACTATATGTTATGACTAAAATCGAATGATGGCAATAGCTCCCAATGAAGTAGTGCTATAGGGCTGTGGGTTCATTTACAGCAGGGATACCAAAGCGGTATTACATCTAGCTCAGCCGGAGACTTCGTTCAGCCGCATATGTCATGGTTGTCTAACTTTACAAAGTAATGAGGGGACTGTCGTGACATGCGTGTAAATTGTACTCATGACTCGAAACATTGTACTTGAGGGCGGAACCTCCAGGTTAGACTACGTACAATTGGGCGGGCTGTCAAAGCAGTGTTTTGTTATTCCCGTGCCGTTTAAACTAAAATGTCCGTACTTCTTAACCGCTTACAGCTACTCTTCTTTGATGAGTACGCGGTTCGACAGGCAATTGGATAAAAACATACGAAGTCCAAGCGAGCAGATGTCACTGCGCACGGTGCGTTTCTATCTCGGCTTGGTAGGTAGTCTTATGTAAAATGTCCGTTGTACTGCCTCGGAAAATCTTTGATTATTGATCTAAGCCTTGCTGATTAGTTTTCAGGAACAAAGCCACTACGGACTAGAACCCGACGCCGTCCCGTCCGTAGACTGCCTCCTAGTGCCCGACAGCCCTGTTTCGGGAAACTCCTTAAACCCGTGGGACGGGGATAGAATTTTCGCTGGAGGGTCTGTCGACGTTGGCGTTGAGGTTGGATGATAGTCATGGTGGAGAGTGGATGCTTGGTCAAAACACGTCGAGTCAAGAGTCAAGAGTCAAGAGTCAAGAGTCAAGAACGCTTCGTGTATTTCTATTCTTTATCCTGATATTTCATCTAAGCATATTTGCTGACCATCTTGAGGATGGCCTCGTTAATCTCCTTGGGGTTGGTAGCGCTCAGGTAATGTCCACCTCCCTCAACAAAGTCAAGCGTAGTCTCAGGGCTGGAGGTGAAGAGCTTGATGTGTTCAGCAGGCACAGTCTGTCCAAACACATGGTCTTCGGTGCCCTGGGTAGATAATCACGGTTAGCGTGTGGACGAAGCCAAGGTTTTAATCGTTTCTTTTTCCCACTTACCTGGAGCCAGTAGACGGGGCACTTGACATCTCGCAAGCGAAGCAGGAGACCGTCTCGCTCAAAGAGGTTAACCACTGCAATGCGTAGCTTCTTTCGGCCCTCGTCGCCCCGGTACACCTGCTTGAGCGTCTCGTCCCAGAAGGAGAGCGTTTCAGGGGAAGGGTTGCTACCGAAACCGACGGATGCTACAAGGTTGCGCCAGACGTCGTCAACGACGAAGTCCGGGGTGGGCGTTGGGCTGTTCCAACTCTCGTAGAAGGAACCCAGCTGCGTCTTGGGGTCCCAGCAGCCCTTCTCGCGCGACTCAGCGGACTCGCAGTCCATTGAAGTGCCGAGCGGCAGCAAGCCGAGGATCTATTCAGTGCGGAACTGTGTAAGCCATGGTGTGGGGGAGTTAAACTGGATCGGGTATGCGAAGTGGCCAGTTGCCTTTGCCTCTCCAGGTATGGCATGAGATTGTATCATGACGGGAAAACGTACCTTTTCAGGGGCCAGCAGAGCCATACGAGTAGCGACCCAGCCTCCAGCGCTGGTTCCCAGGGCAAAAGCCTTCTTGACACCGAGAGCCTCCATGACCTGCAGGTTCATGATAGCCGAGTCCCAGTAGGTGAAGTGCTCAGACTTTGTGCTTGTGGCGCCATGGCCGAGCGGCTCGATGGCGAGCAGGTTGACGGCATCGGTCAGGTCCTTTGCAGCAAACTGAGGCTCAAAGAGAGACGAGGTTGTGCACATGGAGTTGACGAGCACGAGGGTGGGCTTGCTGGCGTCGATTCCAGAGCCCGAGACACGATAGCCGGCATCGATGCCTCCGAGGTGGGGAACACTGACGGTAGTTTTGGCGGCCATTTTTGGTATACGATGGTTTTGATTCGTGTATATTCGAAAAAGAGAGAGATAGAGAGAAGGAATCAGGAATGAAATAGCCAAGGTACTAGAGATTTTGTTGATATTTGGTGCAGCAGCGTACGATTGTCTATGTACATCCTTGTTGGCCACTCCCCCCACCGCAAGAAAGCGAAGGCGATCAGGGAGGGGGTCGTGAAAACCGCTGGGAACGAACTAGCATGTCCGCTGAATTGAGCTGGGATACCCGCTGAGCTGAGTCGTAGGTGGCCAGATTGGTCCGCGTAAGAAGGTATGAACTGAGTGAATTGGTTAGTGTCCATGGGCCGTTTCCGAGCACCGAGGGGGCATTGATTGGGCACAGTTTCAAATTAATACGGTGCTCCGGGAGATGGACGGTGCCGTTCCGCGGCGGCGGGACTCTGACTCTAGTGCTATTGCTATGTGCGGCTGAGACTGACCGGACCGTTTCCAAAATACGTAAAAACTACTTGCGAACAGACTGTGGAAGACACTTAAGAACGGGCCGTACCGGTCTTTATTTTCTACAGTTTTATATGTAAATATTCGTATTGCAACCAACACCAGGAAAATACCATGGAGTGTGGAATGTTATTCCCTTTGCGCCCTCCCACGTGTTTCCCCACTCTGTCAGAAACTTCATTGGTAAAGGATGCATCGCTTAGAGAGTTAGAGTGCTGACAGCCAGGGATTAATGACAACGCCACGATGCAGGGCCTGCCAGGGCGGAATAAGAATGCAAAAAGGAACAAAGATCTGTCTATGCACTCCTGAATCAATGCCTGCGAGTTCCTGAATCAACCCCTGGTCCCTTCCCTACAGATATTACCCTTTGCAGGCCTCTATCGACATCGACCTCGCTGTGATCGGCTCAGGTTGCCTTGGCAAGGGGATCCAGTCCGGACCCGAACATACGGATGCGCATGTAGATCACTCGACGCGTGTCTCACCATGCAGTCTCTCTAACTCTCTTACTCTCATGATCATATGATGCTGATTTTTCTTCCATCTCCGAGTCATTGTGGCCGGATACCAAGGCCAGCTTTGCCCGGTAGCCCGGGAATAAGAACCCACTTACACGTTCTCGCCAAGGTTTAGCAAAAGATCGCGTACATGCTAGAGCCCCCCCAAGAACGAACCCCTTGGCTAGTCACTTTCAGGAACCTCGTACGTACCGGGTCGAGTTCAGTTGTAGTCTGATTTTGGTAGGGAATGTGAGCTGTCAAAATGAGCTCTTGGCATGGGTGCTCGGATGGGTCGGTGGTCGGGCCACTACTATTATATGCAGGGTGAGGAGAAATATGATGTTCTCCTTGTGCAGAAATGTTATACCTTAAACCATCCACTCTTTTGCTTCCTTTCGTATTGGGTATTTTGTCATTTTGTTTGCGGTGTAGCACAGGTCCTGTTCAACATGTCAAAAGAGTCTCAGCTCCCTGGCTTGCCTGGCTTCGATAAACACAACATCCAGCCATGGACCGTCGAAGTCGTTGTCTCAATGACAGTCTTGGCCATGGTATCATGTGCTCTACGATTGTATAGTCGACACCTCAAGGCCCAGAAGCTCTGGTGGGATGACTATTTGATTCTCTTTTCAATGGTAAAGATGCCATATCGTTAAACTGCACGACGAAATGCTAACAACCACAGTGTTGGAACTTGATCGTAGTAGGCTTCATCTTCGCCATGCACTCCAACGGTATGGGTCTCCACGCCGACAAAGTCCCGTTAACTCAGATCGTCATGATGGCGAAGTGGCTCGTAGTGGCAGAGGTTCTCTACGCTTGGAACCTAGGCTGGACGAAACTGAGTCTTCTGCTCATGTACTACCGCATTTTCCGCGTTCCTTACTTCAAGAAGATGGCCTGGATCGTTGGGTCTTTCGTCTTCGCCTGGGTCATCACCATCACGTTCCTTTTTATCTTCATCTGCATCCCCGTCGCAAAATTATGGTATCCTGATCTTCCTGGACGATGCATCAACCAAGTCGGCACCTGGATCGCCAATGCCGCCTCGACCATTTTCACCGATATCGTCATGTTGTGTCTACCGCTTCCCCCTATCTGGAAGCTACAACTCGGAAAGTCTGAGAAACTCGGTCTAACTGCCGCCTTCGCGATTGGGTCCTTCGTTGTCTTTGCCTCAGCTTATCGAACAAGCGTGCTCTTCACCTACACCAGCACCGACCCGAGCTACACCCTCGCTCCGACAGTAGGATGGACCGAGATCGAAATGTCCGCTGGAATCGTCTCGGCAAACCTCCCAACCATGCTCCCCGTCCTCCGCATATTAGCCAGATTCACCGGCCTGAGCAGCCTAGCATCCACCGTCCGCAGCAACGTGCGCCCAACATACGGTTCCAAAGGAGACAAGACAATGTCAGCCAAAGGACTCAAGTCCCAGGATGGCACCAGAACCGGCAGAAGTTCCAACTCGGGGTCTACTTCATCAAATCAGTTTTACAGACTTCCCGACGAAACCGACTCATCGGGTCTTATCAAGGGAACGAACTATACAGAGACGGCGGTTCCGCTATCAGCGAAGCTGCGACCCGACACCGATGGGTTTGAACTTACGACAACGACATATAATGCGAAAGGAGGCGGGGGAAACGCGAGTAGCGACGAGATCTTGGGAATAAGGGTGCATAAGGAGTTCCATCACACAAGTTCACGGAAATTATAAGCGCGCGAGTTTTCATATTAACTAAATACCATGCTATAAGCATTTTAGAGGTTTCTTTAAACCGGAGTATATAAAAAGATTAATGACATCCCGTTCTAAGTTATACCGATTTTGGTCAATTCTTCTTTCTATATTCTCAATTATTTCGGTCATTTGAATCAGGGAAGAGGGAGCTACTATACGGTGTCGTCAGGCTTTTGTCCGTCGATTCTATCATCAGCTGGCAATCACACTGGTTAGTTCCATTATCCTCGTGACATTGATCCTCTTGCCCGGCACAAGCACCCATTATTATACCAATCGGTAAAATAAATCATAAACTTTACGCTACGCCGAAATATGACAATCCGCGTACCTGTCTATCAAAAGCCAGCCTTACAAATGCGCGATTCAGGGGACATTCAACATTCCAACCATATTTCCAGCTTCCGTATTCCCGACTCGGCATATTCCCCAGCTCTTGCGCCAGCATGCTGGTCAAAGCAGGGCTTGAGGATATCGAAGGTTCGTCAACTGGCCTGAGCGCCTGACAAGGCAGTTGTAGATCGTGGATGCCATGTGGGAGGAAGGGTTTAAGCGGATCTCGATGTTTTGTGAAGGATGTAACCTTTATCCACCCAAAAACACAAACTTTTATGCCTCGCTATACATCCATATGAGAACTCAATACTGGCTACTCTTTCATGGAACCTAAAACCTTAAGTATTGGCTCACACTATCGAAGGATTTATGCTCATAGACCTTCGATCTTGTAAAGCGTATTCTATCATTAATACCGCTCGACATAATATATTCTTAACAGCTATAACTGTGCAGGCTTTTGCTCTTTTGTTCCTGTTGTTATATCCTTGAACACATAACATCATGGTGATCAGATTTCATTCTCACAAGCAAACAAATTGAACGGGGTTAAACAAGCTGACTACTATATGAAACTCAAGAAAACAACTTCATTTTTGTGGCTACCATGTATGTGTGTCGCCGGTTAACACTCACGTCTATCGGTTCCGTGCTGGAATGCTGTATATCGTCACAAAATTCCTTGCACGCTTACGAACGAAAATACATATCAAAGACTTTAAAAGTATAACACGAGAAACAATAGGCATTGTTCAAATGTATCTCAAGTTCAATGACTTGAAGCTGTGTAACTTGGATTAAACCCGGCCCGAGACAAGAACGCTGTGTAGGGTAGCTGCATCACCGAGCCTGCACGTGATCTTGGGCAGCGGCTCTTCCCAGTCTAGCTGCACCGCTCTTTGATATCGATGCCCCTGGAGAGACCGCGTCCGTCTGCGCATTTCTTCGAAGCCGATAGAGGTGTCGGTATTTCCTTTGTTGACCGTGTCTTACCGCCTTGGAACGCTCTCAGATAAAGCTTCCCATTGGCCGGCCGCGCTCAACATCAACTCTTCAGCGCATCCTCCACAGACACGTCACGGAACGAAGCTCCCACCAAAACCTCAACCCGCCCCTCCCCCGCCGTTTTCTCCACGAACCCAACCGCTTTCGTATATATCCCCCTTTTCCAACCACCACCCAACGATTCACTGGCTCTTGAGACTATAAGATACGACACGACCTATCTTGAGAACATCTGCTCTCCTGAGCAGAGCGATACACCGCCATCATGAGCCGGACGTTGACGAGCCGGCAGGCCGAGGAGCTGTTCGTACAGGGGAGCTTCTGGAGCTTATGATTTGCCCTATCTGACCGTGCTGCAGGCATAAATCCATCATCGCATACCTCGCCGCAAATAACCTGCAAGATAGCGCAGCTGCCATGAGGACGGAGCTTGGTCTTGGAGAGGATATCTTTGATCCAGCCACCGCTAAGAAATACGAAACCCTGCTGGAGAAGAAATGGACGAGTGTCGTGCGGTTACAAAAAAAGGTAAAGCTGTGGTTGATTGCGATTTGACGTATCGTGGCTAATTGGGAATTTCTGTAGATCATGGATCTAGAAGCACAGAATCAGACACTCCAGGCAGAACTTAATAGCGCTACACCGACATCTCTCTCTAACCGCAGAGGAGATCCCTCTTCTTGGCTCCCAGCTGGTCCTCCACGACACGTCCTACAGTCGCATCGAACGCCAATTAACTGCGTTGCCTTCCATCCTATTTTCTCCTCCATCGCGTCCGGAGACGAAGATGCCACTATCAAGATTTGGGATTGGGAATTTGGCGAGCTTGAAAGGACGGTGAAAGGACACACTAAGGCGGTTCTCGATCTCGATTACGGCGGTCCGAAAGGTCATACACTGCTCGCATCTTGCAGTTCTGATTTAACCATCAAGCTTTGGGATCCCTCGAACGAATACCAAAATATTCGAACACTACCTGGCCACGATCATAGCGTAAGCGCCGTCCGATTTATACCGTCTGGAGCTCCTGGGGCACCGTTATCCGGCAATCTGCTCGCGAGCGCCAGTCGAGATGTTACGGTGAGGATATGGGATGTTACGACAGGATACTGCGTCAAGACGATACGAGGACACGCCGACTGGATTCGCGACGTGTCTCCGTCCTTGGATGGAAAATATCTACTATCGACCGGCAACGACCGAACAGTGCGGCTTTGGGATATTTCTGTACCGAACCCGGAAGCCAAACTCGTCATGATTGGCCACGAACATTTCGTCGAATGCTGTACTTTTGCGCCGCCTGCAGCATACTCGCATTTGGCTACTTTGGCTGGAGTCAAGAAACCGCCCCCAGCTAGCAGTACGGCTGAATTTATGGCATCCGGAGGCAGAGACAAGACGATTAAGTTGTGGGACGGTAGAGGAACTTGTATCAAGACCTTGATAGGTCACGACAATTGGGTGCGAGGTCTTGTGTTTCACCCGAGCGGAAAATTCCTTATTTCCGTATCCGACGACAGGACAATTCGATGTTGGGATCTAAGCCAAGAAGGAAAGTGTGTGAAGACTGTTGAGGGATCGCACGAACATTTCATCACAAGTTTGAGATGGGCGCCGCCTATCATCAAGGATAAGGGTCCAGCCGATGAGGCCAATGGAGATGTCGGTACTCCGAAGAAGGCGGCGGCAGCAGCACAAGATGTTCAGATCCGCTGTGTCATTGCTACCGGAAGTGTGGATATGTCTCTTCGAATCTTTTCGCGGTAGTTGAATATACCCTGCGCGAGTATTAGACACAACAAGAGGAAACTAGGTGCCGTAACGATAGCCGCCGACCCAGCGACGTGCAAGCAAGATCGATGCCGACGCTGGTTTCGCCCAGGGTCTTGCCGACACATTGACGGCTCACACCTTAACTTGACGGAGATTCTCTTCTTTCGAGCAGTCGGAACAATCGGGCGAAGTCTCGATCAACGCCGACCCGTATCGAACTTCAGTGGTTCTTAAAGGCGGATTCAGCTGTGCATCGCAGGAACCACGCCTACCCCATTATAACAAAACAACAAACTCCTTCTACCGATGGTCCCGCCGTCAACACGTCTGATGCATGGGGATTTTACGAATAATGTTTGATACCCAAGCGATTTAGGTATGGCAGCTGATCTGAAGCGCTTGCAGAGCTCGCGACTCTGCTTCGCGATTGACGATATCTGTCTGGGGAGAAGTACGCAGGGGAGGGGCACACGGTAGTTGGTTTAAGACGAGAGGAAAAACTTTGGGAAAAAAGCAGGCATAGACGTTAGGGGCATCATAGAACGGAAATTTTACGTATTTATTTTTAATTATTGAGCGAGCGTTGAAAGGATGAGACATCCATGTTGATGGGCCAATCGTGCTGACTGTGACGTTTCCAGACAACCTTTTCTCCCTACCACTCCATACCTACCGATGCATTAACGGTATAATTGATAGGTGCAATTGGATCTTTACTACTTTTCGTTTACTGTTAGTGGCTGAGGATTACGGTGGAATGCTATAACAATTCTGCGGCGATGATGACAGAGGTCGATTGCATGCACACATCAATGACGCCACGATGTATGAGTTCCACAGTTTGATTCACTTTGAACGCCCGAATATGTCAACAGAATCTACGATGGACGTCATCATTGATTTGGAACTTTTCTTCTAAAAAGTGCTTTGCTTGTCTGTCGTACCTGACTTTAGCATCTTTGAAATAAACAAAGAACTACATCAATCGACACTTTCACCATTGACGATACTACAACCCTTAACAATACTACTACTACCAACACTACCGCTATCAACACTACACTACGTCAACGACACTGCACTATCGAACATCATGTCTGCCCGCATCGTACGATCTTCAATGGCCTTGAGGCCCTCTATGCCTGCTATCCAGCGTGGGTTCCGCACAACAGCTCTGCGCCAGCACAACGAGAAGGAACCTGTCGGTCCCAGGTCCTCGAATAGACCCATGAGCAAGGGCGACAAGTGAGTGTTGTATTAAGAGAGCAGGAATATCTTTCTAACAGTGGAATTGTAGTACGCAAATGGTCTTGCTGGGCGGCGTCGGTCTTGCGCTTGGTGCGGGTTTCTTCATCCTCATGTCCTGGCCAGAGCAGGCGAAAGATGCGGGCATCAAAGGTGTCACGTCAAAGCCGGTGAGCCCCAAATAAGAAAGAAAATGAAAATGGGATTCGAAATATGAGATATACACAGAAGGGGCATCGGCGGGATTGATGCACCAAGGCGTAAGCGATATGTTTATTGAGAGGGTGAATTCATAAGACTCGATATTATAGGAATTGGCCAAATAACAACAATCCTCTTGCTTTCGTCTAACAACTCACTATTCAATTCAATCAGGCAGGTCGTCACATTGCGGCGTCTCCACAGACCTATCAGACGCTCATCCTGGACCCCTGCACTGTTGCCGAAGGATGTGATGTATGGAGTACGTAGCCTACACTTGCTTCGTACTGCGTATAGCCCCTCGGAAAAGAGGCAGCCAAGCCAAGCTGAGCCTCTAATTCGTCTGCGATGGGATCTACACGTGGTGTCGCAGTCGACGGGACCGCGTAATCTGCACACGACGCTTCTACCGTTTTTTATTATTCTCGTTCAGCCTTACGTAGGTAGGCGTTTTTCAGCCCTACACGGACTAGTCGACGGGGACGTTATTCCCAAGGCAGTGATATTCTGGGGTGAGAACAGGTAGAGTTGTTGTGTTGTTGAATGTGTTTATGTGTTTATATGTAAGCGTGGTAGTGGCCATAAATCCCTAGCTTCTCTTCTCCACGATCTTTCATTCTTAGTTCCCCATCCCCCACATCACATCACATCATCAAATCTCCACACAATGGATCGCGACGGCTTCTCGGTCATTTCACTCACATCGCTCGGCTCCACGGTTTCGCATCGTGTCTTATCCAGCGCCGAGGAACTCAATGAGTTGAACAGCACATTGAGGGTGCCCGATGAGCGCCTGTCGTCGTTTGCTCTTAGACTGTATCAGCTGCATCAGTACATAGAAGCTCTCGACGCTGCGCTAAACAGCGCGAGCGCCATCTCGGGACGTCTGCAGACTACGTTGAGCCAGAGTCTTGGATCGTGCGATGTTGTCTCTACGGTGTTGAATAAGCAGGTTATGCGATTGCAGGCCGAGACGCTGCCGATGCTGGATGAGGTATTTCTGGTGACCTACAACGATGCCGTGCTTGCGTTTACCCGACTGTTTGCATTTTTCGCAAAGGTGCTCTCCTTGTAAGTGACTCCGTTGTGTTGTGTGATTTGACTAATTCAGTGATTTTAGGTCGAACCGAGATGAGCAGGATTCGACTCTTGATGGTAAGAGTGGTAGAGAGGTCTTTGATCATGTTAGCGGAGCCTGCCAGAAAGCTTCGCAGACCAAGGAAATCCTCTTCACCCCCGGAACGCAGAATAGATCTTTCGCTTCGAGTAGTAAAGGGCCTCTTCCTGGTGATATGGAACCGCCGCCTTATGCGCCCGCCCAGGCTTCAATGCCCCAATCCCCGGGTGGTGAATCGTCAAGCAGCGGATCAGGTTTTGCTAAAGGTCTCTCTTCGCTGACCAGCTCGTTCAAGGCCATGACATCTGGTCTCTGGCCGAAACCTGACCCTCTATCCACAGCCCTCTGTCAAGCAGCGCTTCGTGGTGATGTTCAGCAGATGAGCGGACTGCTCGCCCAAGGCGCCAACATTAATGGACGCAATGGCGAGGGCAATGCGCCTCTGAGCTGTGCCATTCTGGCCAACCAGGAAGACGCTGCCAAGTTCCTTCTCGGCGCAGGTGCAGATGTCAACTCTAAGGATATGAAGATGCCCCCGGTGTTCCTAGCTGCATCGGTGGGAAGCATTGGTGTTGCGAAGATGCTCATCAACCAGGGCACATGGAATGCCAACGCTTCGAGGATGACCGGACAGTCATACTTTGTCGACGTGTGCAACAGCGAGAACCTAGAAGGAATCCAGCTTCTTCTCGAGAACGGCTCCAAGCCTAATGTGACAAACACTTCGGGAAGACCAGTCATCGCGCAGGCTGTCAAGAAGGGCAACATTGAACTCGTTCGCCTGCTGCTTCGTTATGGCGCTAATCCTGACTCTAGTGACGCCACGGGCAATTCTATCCTTGTCATAGCAGCGAGCCAGGACCGTATGGATATGGTGAAGCTTCTCCTCGAAAGTCGCACCAACGCCAACGCAAAGAGCCTGAGCGGCCAATCTGTGCTGGTGGACTGTATCAATAAGAGAAAGCTGGATATGGCGGAGATTCTTCTCGAGTACGGTGCTAATGCGAGCGCGAAAGACCTCTACGGCCACCCTGTTCTCGTGATCGCCCTACGTGATAGCAAACTCTCAGAGGCAGAAAAGAGCAGAGTGGTGAAAATGCTTCTTGACCACGGGGCGTCGCCGAATGTCTCGGACGGAACATGGGGTGTTGCTGCTATATGCTTCGCCATGGAGACAGGCAGCACAGACCTGGTGAGGATGATGCTCCAGGCCGGATCGAGCACGAAGAAGAAGATGAACAGCGGCGAGACGCTTCTGCTGTACGCTATTGATAACGGGAGACGGGACCAAGCTAAGCTTCTAGTCGAGGCCGGCGCGGATGCGAACGCGGTGGACAAGAAGGGTAGGACGCCGTTGATGCAGGCTATTTCCAGGAGAGACACTGAGTTGATCAAGATGCTCAAGGCACATGGTGCGGATGCAAACATCGGAGGATGTATCTCGCCAGCGGAACTGGCGCAGTCGATGGGTGATCTTGAGATTCTACAAATGCTGGGCTGTGGCACGTCCACACAGTCAAGGGCAGGGCCGGTTGCTCGCCCACACTCACCACCGCCGGGATATGATACTGCCATGGGCAAAGTATGAACGAAGTAACGATATAAGTAATACGGCCGATACCCTTAGCAACAATTAATTTATCTTCTTTTCTATGTTTCCCATAACGCCGTCTATATATATTGGTATCTAGTGCTGGCTCAGAATCTCCTTTAGCCACCACACGTGTATTCTCTCATCCTTCGTCAACTCCGGGTGAAAGCTAGTCCCTAGCACATTGCCCTGTCTCACAGCGACGATATCGCCTGAATCGTCCTTTGTATTAGCTTGTGATACGCCCGACTTCATCTTATCCACACGGCCTGGTAGTTTAGCGAGGACCTGCACCGCTGGTCGTTCATCGCTGGCTGAACCGATGATCTCCTCCACGACAGGCGCGCGGATGAAGACTCCGGGGAAGGGCTTGTTATCGTTTAGAAAGGGGAGTTCCAGACCAGATTCGAAACTCTCCATCTGACGACCAAAGTGGTTGCGGTGCACGCGTACGGCGAGACCGCCGATGAGTTCCTGGCCGCCCTTTTTCGTAGCATTGGCCTCGTCTGAAAGAAGAATGAGACCAGCGCAAGTTCCCCAGACTGGTCGTTTCTGGACCCTGCTTTACGTTAGTATATGAACATCTTTGAAATTGTCAACGACTTTGTGAAAAAGGTATTGCGTACTTGACGAAATCTCTAAGTGGCTCTAGAAGACCCGACTGAGCAGCGACGAAAGAGATGGTGGTGCTTTCGCCGCCGGGGATGATGAGAGCATTGCATTGATCGAGCTGTTCCTTTGTGCGGACCTCGATGCAGTGGAATTTAGCCTTGGAAACGCCTTCTGTGGAAGAGAGATATTCTGCGGCCTTGCGGACTAGGTCAATGTGCTCTGAGAAGCCACCCTGCAGGGCTAAGACGCCGACGGTGAGACTGATCATGGTGAAGTTGATGTTCCCAGCTGCTGTATGAGGGGATTTTGAGGTTGTAGTAGCGATGATACAGCCAAGAGCGATAACGGACGAATATGACAGTTTAATGAGTATACCAATTTGATGCGTATGACTGTTTAACATTAATGGCGGTTTATTTCGGAGACATGCGCCGAAGGCGAGAAAAAATAAGAAAGTTATTAGTCAAGCCTAAGTTACATGAGTTTCCCTACCCTTCCCCAGATTCTGGTGACGGGCGCCGGAGTGACCCAAAAGGGAATAAACCGTGCATTGGCGCCATGCAAAGCAGATGCAGGACGGGTACGTAGTGTACGCCCTAGACGGCCCAAGAGGAGAGGTCCCTCCGAACTACCCCGATCGTCGCCCGGCATTTGGACCCTCCGGAGGTGGCACTAGATCGAGTCAGATGCCGGTGGAAAGGGAATTGGAAGGTTCGACTACACGTTTTGAAGAACAATATATCGAGAAAAGACAATGGAAGAGAAACAAAGATAGAACAATATCTCGGCGGCTGTCGTGGCAAACTCAATGCAAGATAAGGTACTGTAACCCACGCAGATGATTCCATACATGAATGATATCACGGGCATCTAGAACAATGCAGCCCCCATGCAGCCCAGAAAAAAAAATAACCCCTCTTTTGGGAATCTCCTAAGAAAACATGTCCATGACATGCACGACTTGAGCCTCGTCTTCCCGACAATTGCCGCCACTACACCGCGGCACATGTCGACCCCTTCGACCAATAGACGCTCATAGAACTTGCTCGGTAGAGGGACCCGGAGCTCAATGCCGGGGTGTATGCATGCGTTAGACATGCTGCATGTTACATGTTCCCATCGGAGGCGGCGGATGCAAGTCCCTTGGAGCTCCGCACTCACGGCGCCGCATACCGGGGCTGGCGGCCGGAGTAGGCAGTGCAGACAGTAGCAGTGTAGCTTGGGAACTGGCGTGTTCTTTGTTCTTGTCAACTTCTTATTTGAGTAACACCTGGTTTGGTCATTGAGTTTCTGTGACTCAGCACTTTGCGAAAACTTAAAGACCTGCCCATTCCCCCCATATCGCCTCTCCCCTCTTCAGCTTCATCTCAACACCTAGACATTGGACATTCTACTTCTAATTCCATTTTCTATCCTTCACAATGACCAACGACACCTCCAACAACGCTTCCGCCTCCGCCTCCAATGGCGAGGCCAAGTCCTCCTTCACCGTCAAGGCCGGTCTCGCTCAGATGCTCAAGGGCGGCGTCATCATGGACGTCGTCAACGCTGAGCAGGCCCGCATCGCCGAAGAGGCCGGTGCCTGCGCCGTCATGGCCCTCGAGCGCGTCCCCGCCGACATCCGTAAGGACGGCGGCGTCGCCCGCATGTCCGACCCGGCCATGATCAAGGAGATCCAGGACGCCGTCACCATCCCCGTCATGGCAAAGGCCCGCATCGGCCACTTCGTCGAGTGCCAGATCCTCGAGGCCCTTGGCGTTGACTACATCGACGAGTCTGAGGTTCTCACCCCCGCTGACGACGAGAGCCATGTCGAGAAGAGCCCCTTCAGCGTCCCCTTTGTCTGCGGCTGCCGTAACCTCGGCGAGGCCCTGCGTCGTATTGCAGAGGGCGCTGCCATGATCCGAACAAAGGGCGAGGCTGGCACCGGTGACGTCGTCGAGGCGGTGCGACACATGAAGACCGTCAACAAGCAAATCGCCCAAGCCAAGGCCGCTCTCGCCGAGGGTGGCATTGTTCGCATCCGCGAGCTCGCACGCGAACTCGAAGTCGACGCCGAGCTGCTCCGCCAAACCGCTGAACTAGGCCGTCTGCCCGTCGTGAACTTCGCTGCGGGCGGAGTAGCCACCCCCGCAGACGCAGCGCTGATGATGCAGCTCGGCTGCGACGGCGTGTTCGTCGGCAGCGGAATTTTCAAGTCTGGCGACCCGGCGAAGCGAGCCAAGGCTATTGTGCGCGCGACAACGCACTTCCGGGACGCCAAGGTGCTCGCGGAGACTAGCACGGGGCTTGGCGAGGCGATGGTGGGCATCAACTGCGGCGACATGAGGCCCGAGGAGAAGCTTGCCGGTCGGGGATGGTAAGAAATGAAAGAGAAATAGATAGATTGGCTTGGGTTGGTTTGTTTATTGGCGTTGAGAGGAGGGATATTCAACATGAAATGATAGGGCGAAAAACAAAGATGGTAGGGAAAATAGGTGGGCTGAGAGGATCAAAATCTCTCGTAGATAAGCATGAATATTAGCGGGTGTTCGCACCATGATTTATGACCATTTGGCACGATGATACTTTGGTGTTGCAGAATCTTTGGTGATGACTTCATAAAAGCGATTCTGTGACTGGCAGATTTCGTTTGACAAGTATAGCAACTAATCTATACAAGCGGACGATAAGCTGTCCACTCCAGTACCCAGTAACATGGATCTTTCATCCAATGTACCCCAAACATCTCGACATCCGACTTGTTCATCTCGTAAGAAAATCGTCCAACATCCCTATATCCTGACCAATCATCATATATAGAAGGCAAAAGCACAAATGACACTGTCCAAATTGGACTCAAACTCGGCGGCGCTTCTGCGGTTTACCGCTCTCCTCGATGGGTGTGTCCTTCTCCGGATTACCGCCCTTCTCTGGATTGCCGCCCTTCTCGATGAGAGTGCGCTTCCGGTCATTACCGGCTTTGTTCTGGTCCTTGCGCTGCAGTTCACATCAGTACCAGGAGTGCCAGGGGGTCTTGGTTGACTTACACGAGTCTCGGAGACGGGTGAATTAGTAATTCGTGATACCCAAGAGGCACGAAGAGCCGAATGAATCAAGACCTTGTTGCACTAGCCATAGTGTTAGTATTCCTCTATGCAAAAGAAGGGGAGAACTCACTCGAAAGGCTTTCAGGATGCGGCTCTAGCGCTCTCCGAAACTATCGAACTCTTCCCACTGGGTTTCGTTATTGCTCCACAGAGGGACGAAGTTCTCGCCCTTTTGTGCGCGTATGGCTTGGTTCTATTCAGGGTCAGTATGGAATAGGCACGTAAACCGTGAAAACTCACAAGGATCCTGGAGCCGAGCAACTCAATCTCAAAGTCTGACATATCATAATGAATGACGTTCCTCCACTGTTCCTCGACAGGAGGCATCTTCTCAATAGGAGGAATGAGATCCTCTTCCGAAATCTCTGGGAGATTTTGTTCCTTTTGATGGGCCTTCACTTCCTCCATCCACTTCTTCGCAGCCGCCGGTCCCATCTTTGCCCGCCACTCTCGGGGACTGGACCAGTCGCAGATAGCCTCGAAAACCTCACGAATGCGATACTGGTAGTCCAGATCGCTCTTGGGAAAAGAATCGTCGTTGTTTGGATTGGTGACCTTTGCATTTTCAGGACGCGAAAGGTTGAGGTAGACATTTCCCCAAAAGGCAGCGGATTCACGGCTATTGAGGAAACCTTGATATTCACGCTTATGCTCCTTGAGCTTGCTGACAACGCATTCCTCTGGTGGGTTTCGGGCCTTGAGTTGAGATGAGATGCGGATTCTTCTAGGTAGTTTCTCAGCGTGGTGATCAACGCGGCGATCAGAGACTGGGAATGCGGGTGTGGCCGACCCACGAGTGCGATTACTTTGGCCTCGAGATGTTACCTGATGCTGAGCGGGATGAGCATGCTGGACAAGGTGGGTAGGCTGGAGCTGAGCCATCTGTTGTTGGGTAGCTTCAGACTGGGGAAACTGAGGCTGGAAGTACTCGACCTGGGAGGGCTCTTGTTGATAGGGGTGCATCAGTTGAGGTGCCGTTTGATGGGGCGGGGTTTGAAAGCCTTGCCCCTGATGAAACTCCTGGTGGAGGTAGCTCTGTGGACGTGGCTCCTCATTCATGACCTGAAGGCCGTGAATGCCGTGAGTATCCAAAGGCAGAGTGTTGGGGGTAGGATCCTGGTGAAGATCTTCGCCAGTACCGACACTTCCTTTAGTAAACTCGCTCAGGTACCGGAAACTCTCCTCCCATTCTGACCCAGAAGTGGGGGCGAAGGATGAGTTATCCATAGGCTCTCGGTCAAAGGAAGTTTGGTCGTTGTCGAAATGGTATTCTCCTGCTTGTCCGACAGTTACGCTGCGGAGTTGTTCATCGATCCACTGATCGAGATCGGATTCTTGGGCGGGGGTAAGCGTGTTGTTTTGGTTGCTAGACATACTGGCAGGTGGTAAGATGGTGATAATGAAGGATGATAGATAGATTGTGTTGGAGAAGGGATGATAAAAAAGGCCAGTGTGGTTGAGGGTGGCCCGAAGAAAGTGTAGATGTTGTGGAGTTGTGGAGGTTGTGGAGGTTATAAAGAGGGGGAAAAGTCAAGTTGTGGTTGAAGGATAGGTAGTTGCTTTGATATATGGCCCTCAAATTCTCTGGCACTGCAATACCCAGGGTCTGCTACGGGTGAATTTCTGTAGTGAGCTCCTAAGGTAGCGGTTCTACCTAGCCCTTATGGCAGTGAAAAGGCAGACAAAGCAGCCTAGTATTCAAAGAGCCAACCAGAAGAATGAAAACAAAGTGAACCATTCCTTTGGTGCTTTTGCATGTGGTTTATCGAGTACCTGTAGCTTTGTCGAGTCTTGAGTGCTGGGTTTTGTTGGGTCTGGCAGTTGGGCTGGGATGATTGCCTCGCGAACACCCATTGATGGATGCAGTTCTTCTACCTCAAAAGAACTGGGACCTGAAAGCTTGTGGCGTGGAATTTTCTTAGTAGGTAGAATACCCTCTGATAGTTGTGTTGTTGGGCCGACGAACATGTAAAAGAGGCAGTGTTTAGTTCTAGATGTGTGCCTGAGATAGGGGGCATTCTGCCTGAGATTCCGGTTTTGCCTAGTATTTGCTCCTTGCATGAGCAAAAGGGCACTACAAGCAGTTTTCATCACGGTCAAATCTAGGATTGTTACTAGCCAGCATATATTCACAGGTAGGATATCACAGGATACTACAATTCTATTTTCAACATGAAGTAGTGTTTAAATTATACGATCCAGCTACCGACAGGACAATGTCTTCCAGTTGCTGAAGAGTTCAACATGTATCATTATATGCAGATCAAGATTTGAAGCAAGGTAGAAATTGAGGGTTCAATCAGAGAAAGCAAAGCACACCTGGTTTTCAGATCTCTTTGTTCAAGTGTGTGGTTTTGGCTAGCAGGCTGGCTTTTGTAAGGCTGGAGACGTAAGAGGGCGGGATACTGCATGACTTTTTGTTTGTGCATGGAAAATATAAGATGCAACTAACTATCCAAAACCCTAATTATTATTAGGAGATATCCTTTCATTGTCCTTAAGTTCTTCTGATCTTGGCCTTTCCGCGTAGACAAGACCCAACTTGCTGTTCTAGTGAACATCCCTATAGTTCTGTGCGACGAACTATCAACATAGAATGACCGTGATACAACAACTAACTGATCATATTACGCTCAAAGAGTACCATATCTGCAACCTGATAGAAGCAAACATATGTCAACAAAATCCAGCCATAGAAAGTCAAGCGATACCGCATCTACCCGTATGCTAAGCTAGCACGGCCAATCATGAGAAGAGCAGCCTTGACGAGACAAGAAAGCAAACACTACCAAGGCATCGAAACGAAGAGGTCTTTCAGAAGAAACCTACCATGAGAAGAGTACCAAAGAAACAGAGAACAAGTTCATCTCCCATCTTACAAAGCCACCCCGTAGTCTTGACATCCACTAAACATCCATCTACCCTCCCTCCTCAGAAGCGTAAAAGCATTGACTCCCTCATGGCGAGGCACTCCATTGATCTCAACTACAAAAGGTGCCCATACCAAAGCCATATCTCCATGTCTTCGCACCTGGACATCATGTAGTTTCTCCCGCATGGTGATACCGCTCTTGATCATTCCCTGTAACCGAGCAATAGACTGCTCCATAGTCATAGATGCCGGCTCAGCAGGTGGGCGGTATAAAGTTACGCCAGCGTTCGGGACGAACCATTCCTTCAGGGTGGCCCAGTCAGGGTGGGAGAAGTCTTCCAGGAGGGCGTGGATGGGCTTCATAAGCTCTTCATCGGCGTTCTCTTCCTTTGGTATATCTAGCGATCTCTCCGTACAGGCAATGCCAGAGATCTTCCATCGTCCCTCGGTGTGAGCTAATCCAACGACACCCTTCTTATGGCTGATGATGCTTCCGTCGGTAGCGCGGATGGACCAACCCGTCCATGCCGCAGCGAGTTTTTCGTGGACGAATAGCTCTTGGGGTTCGTCTACAGTCCATTCGATTCCGGGCTGTTGCTCGCTTTTGTTGGCAAAGAGATCCTTGAGAGTTGTCCGCTCTAGGCCATTTGGTGTAGACTGGATGACGTAGGATGCTTCGAGATAAGTGCGGTTGTCTTGGGGATCGGGGATGGACAAGGTATTGAAGAAATCTGCTAGAGCGGACAAAACACTTGTTTCGGTTTCGTGAGATACACTCATGTTTTTCGGCTGGGGATTGATATGGTCGGGTTTTATGTGAGGATTCGAGCAGATGATTGTGAGAAGTGAGGGAAGCTGACGTGCGGACGGAGCTTGGTAAGTAAGTTACATTCCGGTCATGCCACCTATTGAGGGCCTCGAGTAGATCGAAGTACGTAAACAATGTTGGTAGATGAATACAAGACGACAGATATCCTGGCAATTGCAACGAGATCTAATAAGTCGCTGAAGAAATAATAAATTTGCGACGTACAACCAGCCTTGAGGTAAAATGGTAGCGAATAGCTTAGCCTTAGGGTATGCCAGTCAGCAATTGGGATTCAATATCTGACCTCCACAAAATTTCTTAGAGAGCACACACATAGTAAGCAATCCTCGACGATAATGCAAGTGTCAGATATACATCACATGTTGTAGACAACTAAGACAAGATATACTTTTATCAATTGGGTATCATTATTCATATCTCATACGCATCCTTAATCAACCACTCTCAACATTTCATATGCCTTGTGGCTAATCGCCTTCTGCACAATCTTAAGAGGCGTCATCTTCACCTTCTTCTTCTTCTCTGTGACGTTGCCCTCTTCATCCTTCTCAACAACAACCTCATCCTCCTCATCCTCCTCCCCTTCAAAGGAACCCCCATCGAGGAATACCTTGAGCATACCCTGGGAGTAACCACTGACGAGACATGTTCCTTCCTCATCAGACTTCACAGGCTTAGGCGCGATTGGATCTCCATCACCCCGATCACCACCTACATAGCCTGCCCTCCCACCTGCGAGGTTCCAGAAGACCAATTCCGGAATTTCGTATCCTGCTTGCTTGAATCTAGACTTGACGCGTTCGAAAGATGTGTTCCATTGCGGTATTGTCCCACCGGCGGAAGAATCTGAAGACCACGGATCCGGGTCACTTGCTTCGTTGAACTGCATGTCACTGAAGACAAAGACACGTTTTACCATGTCCTCTTGCTTCAGGTTGTTTTTGATAGCCATAGGGAGAATCAAGTCTTCGAAGACAGAGACGAAGTTGGTGCTCATACCCCAGTCAGAGCTGTCCATGGCCTCAACCTTTTCTTTCAAGGTCTTCGACAGGTCAATTTTTACAACAGCGGGTTTCTCGCTGAAGGTAATAAAAGTACCGCCGAAAGGTGGTTTAGATACCTCGGCGAGCAGCAGAGACAGACCAACCGCGGAGTCAATGGGTGCAGTTTTATCTGAAAACACAGGGGAACCCATGCTCCCAGACACATCACATACCGCGATGCTCGAGTCCATAGTGCCAGAGTCCTTGATACGCTGAACAAGGGTATTCCACTGGCCATCGACAACCTTGGACTCAATTTCAGCAATCTTCTGCTTGAGAAGCTGGTTTCCATCTGCCGCATGCCCAGACGCACCAGTTCGCACTTTCTGAATCAAGGTGGACGGCAACAGAGTGGCTCCAGAAATATTTGCCTTTCCTTCAGCAACCCTATCAAGGTACTCGCCAAATCGGTCGATGTCGTTCTCGATGAACAACTTGGAATACTGGTTCATGGCGAGAGACGGTACTCGGTCGTATTTGATGTTCTCGTACTTCTTATCTGTGATTTCTCTTTCAACAATCTCAAGGTGTTTTCGGAGGGCAGATGTATCCTTTCGGTACTCTTCACGAGCAAATCGCAGGTAGGTCTCTCGGTCATCGGTTGGTTTTAACTTTTCGTTGTCGATTGATTCCCTTGGGTACAGGATCTCTGCAATAGTACTGATGATGAATGTATGTCTGTCGTGAAAATGATCATGAGAGGGAGCCCATTTGCCGCATAGTGAGATTGAGCGCCTTGCTTGTTTGTCGTCTCCTCGAAGAACTTGGACATCTCTTTTCAACTGTTCCGCAAACAAGCGGGCAATGCTCAAGTGCAAAGCACGATATACTGGGTCATTCTTGAAAATGGTCACTGCAGTCTCGTGTCGGTTGGCTCTCGACTCTCGTCTGAACTCCTTTGGATCAAGCCGAATCTTCTTTTCGGGGTTTTCATCGTCGCTATCCTTTTCGGTTCTTGTATCCACGATATGAGAGCCTCGTCCACGTCCGATACCGCGGCCATGGCCACGAGCGTTTGCACGAGCGGTACCCCTGGATCTGCGACCTCCGCGACCACCTAGCTTCAGAATGCTCTTACCCCGGATAATCCCGGGATTCTCACTGTTCAACACATCCTTAGGATTGTCAAGAACGGTAAGCTTGTCGTTAGCTGCAAGAGCAAGAAGATTCAGAAGGTCCTTCCAGTATCCATGTGCAACTCCATTCTTCACGTTGTACTTGGTAAACTCATCTTCATTCCCGTTGTCGACGATCACGATGTCTTCGTCTTCCTTCTTTTCGACCTTCTTTTCGATGATTGGACGAGTTAGCCAGGGAAGGTTGGCAACTAGGGTCAAGGGGTGATATTGTGCTAGCCAGCCAGCACAACGGTAGAAGGTTGTTCGCGAACTCTTTCCAAGGTGGATAGAGCGGGCATTGAAGATGATTCTGAGAGTGGCGATGGGATTTTCTTTCCAAGCTGCGGAAAGAAGTTCAAGCAGACGAGGGCCAGACACGACGTCCTCGAGTTCTTGGAAAAGATCAACGAGAGCATCTTCGCTAGATCGGTACGCCAGGTCGCCATTCTCTGTACACATCATGTTCTCTAGATTTCTTGATGATTCCTCCTTTCCGTAGTTGATCAGGCCTTCCATGAAGGGATGTGACTCGGCGGGTTTGGCGTCCTCTGTTTTCGACTCTTGTGTTGTATGGTCGGAAACATCGATAGCTTCTAGTCCTTGTCGGATCTCACCCGAGGTCGAGTCGGAGACGAGTGTGAAGGTCTCAGACTTATCAGCATCGGTCATGGCCTGGTCTGCATCACCACCTTCGACTTTTGAGGTATCATGATGGCGGCCAGCGATCTCATGACGAAGATAGTCCTCAAACTCGGCCTGGGGTTTTCTCACAACTTCCTCGAAAGGGAAAAGAACAGGGCATGATGATTTGAGAAACCAAGGCATATCTGAAGCTGTTGGAGAAGCCATGGTGATGTGTTGTGACAAGTAAATTGCTTGCTGAAGAGGAAAGAAGAGTGTCGAGCTTAGGGATGTAAGTCGTGTTATATAGTTCTGGTGGCAAGGTCTGCTTCAATGATGGATAATCGATCGATGGTAGAAGTTAAACTGTGCATGAATACGTCGGTCAGTGAGTCAGATCCTGCTTTCCTTTCGACGTCTTACATTGGCCCCTCTTAAGCAAGAGGCTTGCATCATGGCTGCATGGGGCTGAGGCTTGGTGGATGCCTAGAGATCAGCCTGGGAGGTAAGATCCCCACTAACAGTAAGCGTTGTACTGAGTAAGTAGGACCGAGCATATTGGGGAATCGCCGACTAATACGAGCTGCTATGTATTCGATTTCGGTATCGAGAAGGATGGATTGCCCGAGGGGTAATTCGCCTGATTCCATTGTCGAATTGGTATGACGATTGATCCTGCTCTTTCACCTTAGCTGGCTGAACATGTCTTGGTCTCTCCTACCCCTGTATGTCGATCATTGATTCCTGCCACTAAGAAGGACGGACTCCAGCAAGGCCTGTCTAAGTTTGGTGGGATGGAAAAGCTCTGAGCAACTTCAGCGATGTCAATGATCTTTCCAGCTTAAGACACCCTGTGTTTCTGAAGCTCAACTGTTGATGCAATGAGGCCTGGTAGATTTAGATACCGAAGTTGGCAAAGAGTTTCTTCCTGCTTCTTTCATCAAAGGAAGGAACCAGGGATCTTTGGTCTGTGGGGCAAGAGTGTTAGTGCTGTACGGATAGGGACTGGCCGCTTGACTCACCCTGGGAAGGGAAGGTGGAGTTTAATGGAACTGGGAAGGAACGTCGTGTTGTCGTTCTCACGTGAGACCGTTAACCTTCTATTGTAACGACATCTTTCATTCCTGCTCCAATTGAGTTCCTTGCAATGTCCTATCGACACTGAGTGTTCTTTATACGACTTTCTCGTCGAGTGACGAATTCAACCGCTGTTCATTGTTCGTCAACTTCAAGTCCAAGCTTTCTGCCTTTGATGATCAACTTACCAGCCTGTTCAATGCTTTCTTTGTCGTGTTCCAACGCAGTTCCCCTATAACAGTCGTTTCCTCGGCTCGCGTGTATATGTGTGTGTTTCTCGCTGCGTCTCGAGTCTCGATGGATGATTCGTGGTACGGTTATGTGGTGTAACTCCTCGTTGGAGCAATTGCTTCAGGGGCTATCGGCAATGTCTTGATGTCTTTCCTGTATCTTTATCGAGTCTGGTCAGTGACCGCTCAAGTATGATGTCTATGTAAGGACTTCTCTGTTGGTTAGCAAGTGTTGAGCTTTGTCAAGTCGACCAATGCAATGTTTGGGTAGTCTGGCTTTGTACGAAGAGTTACTGGAAGTGTCTGAACAAGGAAATGAGAGCGTGATGGTCGTGAGGGCGCGATCGAGGGTATGTGTACTTTGCGTCTGCCATGCTATGGTCCTCTGGCGCTGTGCGTTTGGCTGAGGACCTGTTAGCTTCTGAGTATGCGTTCCAAGGGTATCAGAGCCGAGTGGCAGCCGTATCTTGCCTCGTTACTATGCTCAGCTGCCATCACTTTCTCGCCGCATCGTCGGTAAGATGCGATATGGGCCTTGGCCGTTGCCTAGTGTTCTTCTGGTCCAGTCCTTGATACAAATACGACCGAAGAAGTAAAGTTCGACTGACGATGATGGCCGACGCGCATCGCTTGCTTGTGTTCTCGGCTCGGGGGTGCTCGACGTGTGGCAAACACCACGAGTGGTGACCGATGATGCTATCACGAGAGTGGCTCAGCATGGCTACAAAATGTATCGTCTTTTGGGCAAGGGGGATAACGTTCGCAGTCGTGTAGGAAGATAACTGATCCTGGGTCCCGAGTTCCTCGGCGTTGAAGTGGTCGATGAACTTTTCGATATACGACTCAACCAATATTCGATGAACAAAAACAACAAAAAGGAGTATCGTGATAGCTGCCGGTTGTCGATGTGGGCCCAAGTTGCCCCCTAGTGGATGGGTGGGACGGAAACGCATCGAGTCTTCCAACAACACCAAGCCAGGATGACACTAGGAATATAAATCAAGGAAAGCGAATCAACCAAAGTTATATTCTTAGCAATATCTACTACCGACAATAGGCAAAATTTCAAGCAATGGTCTACAACACAAATATTGGCGGAGTGTCAAGGTGCAATTAATCTTGCAAAGAACATACGAACAATGGAACACTGGTCTCATGCGTCGCTGTGGGCTTCTGAACAAGATGATCGTTCTGCATCAAGATGATATATGTCTGTATGGCATCTTGTGCTTTCATCCAACCGCACTGCCGTCCTGATATCTTCTCCTGGCCCCCTCCATGACTATGACCACCCACCACTACAATGCTTTAGAACAACGAGATGATATGAAGGAATGCCTATCCCCTTACCAACGCGAGTCCGTCTGCCTGCCTGCCTTGCCCTAGAGACCCAATGCCCTTATACCAAGTACCACTGGCAATGCAACTGGCCCTCGTCTGATCACGTAACCCTAAGCTGTTTGTAAATCACGTTCTCCTATAGGTTGAGTGCCCTGACGCGTTGTGAGGTGCATTCACTGGCAGTGTCAGTCGCGCACATCTCGCTCTTCTCCTCGCTTCTCCTCCCCACCAAATTCTCCCCTCCACCACAACACCTCCCACTCCACCATCTCTCCCTCAAGCACCCAAAACTATCACAGAAACATACACAAAGCACTCCCCTTCACTCTGCTGATAGTCATCATATCTACACGGAATCCCCCTTGCCCTATTTCCCCTTTGCTACCTCATCATCCCCTATCATTTCATCCGCAGCTTTTGTCATCTCCTCTTTTGAAAATCATCTGCAGTCATGACACTCTCCCCTCCCCCTACCCCTACCCCGGCTGAAGGCCAGAGCGGCCAGTCTGCCCAAGCTCATGCCCAGGATTCTGACTGGGATCGACTCTCCGACCTGTCTTCCGATGGGTCTTTCGTAAGCATCAACTTCGACGATGCTTCTCTCCCCGGCAGCGACCACCGTGATCCTCTTCGCTCTATGATGGAGGATCTTAGCATGGATCCTAGCGATCTCAACCCCAACCTCTCCTCGAGTGACCTGATTGCCATTTATGAAATGCGCAAGAACATGGAGGTTGAGCAAAAGGTCCGCCGCTCCAAGATGTGCGAGGCAGACAAGACCAAGGTAAGTTGCTTCACTCAGAACTTGGCATAAAATCTATCATACTAACTAATTATCAGTTTGAGATCTGCATGGCTGAGCGTCGTGGCGAGGATGCCTCCGAGCTGACTGCCAAGTTGGAGCAGATCAAGGCCACTCTCTCTACTGCAAATGAACGCATCCTTACCTTCGAGGTTATGATTGCTGCCGCTTCTGGTAAAGCTGTAAGTATTTCTTCAACTCAGTCACCTAACTCTACTAACCCTTCATACTAGGGAGATGATGAAGACGCTGAAGACGACCTTGACGTTGCTTGGGACTCTGACGCCAGGATCATCAACACTCCTTCGGGGTCTGACAACGGTAGCTAGGGGCCCGTTCAGACTGCCCTTGAAGGACAGGCTACATCCAGCGATTCCAATTCTGCCGCTGGAGGCTCTCAGCATGCTTCTGAAGATGCCGACGTTGAATCCGAGGCTACCTCCGCGGGTTCTGAGGACTCCTCCGAGTACGAGTTCAGCATCACCACCATCCATTACCCTGTGTTGCTCGTTGAGACTCGTCGAATCTTGATCACAGTTCCCTTCTCGGTCAACATCAGGCAGATTGCCAATGGCATCTCCGGCGTTGGAGGAGTCATCTCGTTCACCATGCTGAACACAGCTGCCAGCCACACTGCAGTTGGCAACTTCTCAGCCATGGCCGAGTTCCGATATGCTGAAGCTGCTCGAGCCTACCTGATTTACTGCTCCCGCACTGGCCTTTGGTTCAAAGACTATCGCGGTATCCCCCATGGTGTCGGTGTTCTCGCCATCAACACTCTTTCCAACCCCCCTGTCGTACACGATGATAACCCTGACAACATGCGTGGAGTCATCATTGAGGAGTTCCCCGAGAGTGCCGTTTGGCTCTTGATGAATGAGTTCGGCCTCCAATTCTTTGTCCGTGTCCGTTTCGTGCACAAGAAGGTTGGCAAGATTGGCAGACTCGAACTCGAGTTCTGCAACACCTTCGAGGCTGCTCGATTCAAGAGACTCATCGCTGGCCCCGCGTACAGATGCCTCCTTTCCATGGACAATGTCAAGTTTGCCATGACCCGATCCGATCGCGTCGTCCATGAAATCAACCGTACCGTCGAAAGCGTTATCGACTACATTCCTGCCGACCATCTCGAGATTGACTGGAACATCGCCCCCTACAACACCTTCGTGCGAACTAGCAACCATCGCCATGGTAGCACTATCCGCCGTCGCCCTGTCCCCTCCAACGCAAGTGTTGTCTCCATCCAGGCTGACCCTTCTGACTCCATCGTTCTTGATGATTCCCCTGCCATCGTCGTTCAGAACGATGCTTCGCGTCCTGTCTTCCGTGTCCCCGAAAGCCGAGTTGCTATCAACCACATGATGGGCGACACCAAGTACGCTATTGTTGACGGCAAGATCTATGCCCTTGGATCTGACGATGGTGGTGTCTACAAGTACGTCTCCGGTGCTAAACTCCTTGAACTGAAGGAGACCACTGTCCATCTGACCCACTGGGCCACGTTCTGGGACATTTACTGTAAGGTGAACAACATCAACAACCTTCGTCGTTACTTTGAATACAGTCGATACGCCGCCATCCGACGTGCGGTCAACAAGGACATGGGTCTCGATGAAGGCGACGCCCGCACCGATCTGGCCGACAGCCCCATCCCGGATGTTATTATGAACTACATCAATCCTAGCAACAGCAATGTGGTTCACACCAACAACCAGTAGATTCCCTCCGGGAACTACCACCTCCCTTTCCTACGACACCGCCCTACAACAAGAACTTGGAAGAGACTTCTCTTACAGATAACTTAGTACAGTCTTTCGTACATGCGGCCTATGCTTGGATGGGAGAAGCAGTTCAGCTGCATAGAAGGATGATTGGACAAACGAGAGTTCAGTATGCTGCACCGGACACTGCATTCTACACATCAGTGATAGTTCACCATTTATTGCGCTCATCATAGTACATCAGCGAAACAATTCAGCAAACACGACGCTGAACACGACATCAGAAGGCGAGACGCCTCCTCAAGACTCCTAGTCTTCGATCAACTTTCATTTGTTTTATTTTGGTTCTGTCAACAGTCGACCCGAGCGCCACGAGACAGACACAATGATGCACAAGCAGAAGCATCTACAGCAACCCGAGTGGATGGATGGATGGAGGGTTGCAATATTATCGATGCCAAAGCCATATCTGCTATTTCACATGGGCAGATATCATCAAAGGCATCTCAAGCATCTGGCACAGGCGATGCATTTAAATCACAGGGGAATCAGGTAGTTTTAGGAATGTCATTTGTCAAGTAAACAAGGGTATCTCTAATGCTATGTCCGCCGTGAATGTCTTGAATAATGACGCCTCGCCTATGCTAAACCATCCATAAAAGCCGTATCCTCTCCCGAAGCTAAGTCTAAGCTCCCCATTGTCCAAACTCCAAAGTCAAGCACTCTTTTATGTCATGTGTAGCTATCCAGACCAAGCCCGAACGTATTCCACGGCTTCACGCGACTCTTCTTGGTCGGTGGTTCCTCCACGATAAAAAGCTCGTCATCGCTCTCCTGTTTATCAACTTGCGCCTCATATTCTGCCGCCATTGCCAGCTCATCGTCTTCGACGCCTTCAAAAGCTTCACCAACGCTCTTGTACTGCTTCGCAGGAAGACCCCAAGTTAGCGTCGTCTGTTTCATAGATTTCTTGTTTGATGTGTAAGATGGCGCGACGGTAGGTTGTTTAGCAGGTTTCTTGGCTGTTGGTCTATCTCGCTTCCTCTTCCCGTTTTTCATATACTTGCGGATGAGGTCTGGTGGGAGGTTACTCTCAGGCTCCCAAGACGGATTCTGGTCTGGTGGCCAGTCGCCTTCCCAGCGGACTTTGAAATAACGCACAGGTCCAACGCCTTCGACATCGTAGAGTTCCATATCCTCAATGCGTTTGACTTCCCAGTCTGGTTCTTCTGCCGGTTCTGCATCTTCAACCACTTCCTCTGGAGCTGGCTTTGGGGGGTTTGGTGTGTTCGAAACTGACTTTGACTTTTTTACAGACTTTTTCTGTATCGATGTCGCCTCTTCTATCAGGCGAGCCGTGACTTCTGGCTCAGGATCTGGTGTTTCGACCCCTGAATTTGAGTACGTAACTGACCCCGGTGGTGTCCAATCTGACTCTACAGCTTGTGCGCCGTTCAAAAGCCCATTCATTGCTGGTGTTTTCTTCAATGGACGGTGAGAAGGATGGTCTGCTCTCTTCTTCCCTTCAGATTTTGACATGAAGACTCTGGCCTTTGGTGTGCTCCTTTGACTTGAAGTTCCTGTGGATGGGAATGACTCGAATTGTATGGACCTTTGAGCCTCAAGTGTCGAACCGGGCAGCATTTCCAGCTGCTTTCCAGCAGGTATTTCGTGATCTTGGAGCATATCCTCCTCTTCAAAGCCTTGCTCATCCGTCTCCATGGAATCACCCGTAGTTTCCCACTGTAACTGTCTTGCCAGGCTCCCCTCTTCATCCGACGATTCATCAAAATCCCGTAATCTGTTCTTTGTTGGGGTGTTTATTGTCATGGCCCCCCGCTTCGGTACAGCAGGCTCCTCGTCGTCTGGCACTGCAACAACAGCAGTTTCTATCTTGCTGTGCTTCGGTGGCCTTCCACGCTTTTTGGGTTTTGGCGCATCACCAGCCATATCCTGTTTTGTTTCAACCTTCTCATGTTCCATCTGTTCTTCCGTATTCGCATATTCCCAGTCCTCCAGCTCGCGCGGCGAAACATAATCCAGCACATCCATAGCAGGAACCAGCATCTGCGCCGCGGGTAGATCATGCCATGCTACAATATATGTCATACGTCGCGGTAGAGGCTGTCCATCTGCGGCCAGGCCCTGCGAGGGGAGGATGATCCTTTCGAGGATATACGCGGTCGAGTCTTTGGGAGGAAGCAGGCCGATTCGCTGAAGAGGTGGTCCACTGCCAGGGACATAGCCCCTAGGCTTTGAGCGAAGCTGTACTTCTATTCGAGTTCGTCCGTGGTGTTCGGACTTCTTGGGACTTTCGGGCTCGGGCTGTTGGAATGACTCCATCGCGTTGGCGCACGAGCGAGTCCCGCGACCCGCGACGCCAGTTCAGGTGAATGGTACAGAACAGACGCCACTGCGATTGAGGGTGTGGGAAAGCATCAAAAATTGAAGAGATTATTTGCCAACAGCTGAATAGATTTTTAAAAGGGTATCGACACCTTGCGGAGTGTCTAATAAATTTCGGCGTCGAGCTGTCTTCCTTCAAAGACTGTGTTGAAGGTAAAAAGAGGCTGGTAATATCTCAGAGGAAGAAAGTTTCAACATGACTAAGCCAACCAGTAATTAACAAGACATAGGAGCATAACACAAGGGCTTCAAAGGGGTCTATTCCCCTCTCTCTAATTAGAGAAAGCGATTAAAATAATAATATTACAATATTTTAATACTATTATTACTACTTAAGGCTACTATAGCTTTTAATAACCTTTATAGCTATTTATAAGATATGATAGCCTAATAATGTCGCGATTATAAATTTTAGCTAAATAATACTATATAGCCCTCCCTCTTAGGGGGTGGCCCGGGCTACCCCCCGGCGACCGAACCTCTATTCGCGGCAGCGCTTGAGCGCGTCTAAACAAGCGCCAAGCTATTCCATCCGCCATGAGATCACGAAATCAAGCTCTACCCGAGCTTCAGCATCCCCACGTCACGCCAAAAATAACCGACGGCAAAAAAACGTCAACCCGCAATCTCCACTCCATCGTCTCTTGCAGTAATTGAGTTTTGCCAATTCGCTTCGTCTGGATTTCGACACCCAATTCAACTATGGCTTCTCCGTTCAAGACCTTCGTCTTGCGCATGCCTGCAACAGGTCTCGTGCGCTCATCGCCGAAAGCTCCCTTCTCGACTATCTCTGCCGCCCGTCCTGCATCATGCCTCTCGCGCTCGCCGCTCCGATCTCAATGCTTCACTCCCGCCGTTTCGATCCCCAAGACCTTCGCCCGCGCCATCTCGGATAAGCCGCAGTCGCAGGCGACCCCAGCTGCGTCCGGCACCGAGCTGCCTCCTCTGGACTGGAACAACTTCTTCAAGATGCGAGTCAAGCGCCGACGATACCAGCTTCTCTTCTCTATCACCAATGGAATGTTCGCCGGAAGCGCAGGAGCCGTGTTCCTCTCGACGGGTATGGCGGAACCCATCATCTCCCAGATTCCCCTCGACCCGTTCATGACGCTGGGACTTATGACGCTCGCCTTTTCGGGTCTCGGTTGGTTGAGCGGCCCCAGTGTTGGAAACCAGGTGTTTTACCTGTTGAACCGCCAGTGGAAGAAGCAAATGACGCAAAAGGAGGCTGCATTCTTCGATCGCATCAAGAAATATCGAGTTGACCCCGCCAACTCCAGCGCCAACAACCCTGGTAGGTTTTTACACTAGTTCGTTAAAAATACATGCGCCAATTGAAGACTAACACTACATAGTCCCTGACTTCTACGGAGAGAAGATCTCAAGTGTCGCTGGATATCGCCAATGGCTAAAAGACCAGAAGGCCTTCAACAAAAAGAAGACTGCCAATTTTGTATAAAAAGAAAGAAAAAATCACAATATTCAGGACCGAAGCCCTGTTACTTTCCTTGGCAAGTATGTTGTATGTAATGGCGCAGCTAACGGGTAGGAATGGAACTACCCTTGGTGTTGCAGTCCGGGTCAACACGGGCGTTGTATGTATATTATCAAAAACTCTTATCCAATACGAACATCCCTCATCTTCTTCATCTCTGATTTCATGCACATGAAAAGCGTCTATATGAAAGGCACTGTCGGATCGACAGTATCCTTCCATGACTTGATTCCGCCTGAGATATCGCCAATAAAACGCTCTCCGTTGTTTCCAAGCCCCAAGTCTTTGACTTTCTGAGCAGCAATTTGTGAATCGTTTCCGACTCGGCAAACGAAGTATATAGGCGTAGACGGCGACAAGTCGCTTGGCCAACCTTCGGGTGTGGCTTCTCCACGAGCGCTCATGAAGCGACTGATAGGGATGTTGACCGAGCCTGAAATATTGCAGAGATCGAAGTGCTCTCTTTCACGAACATCGACCAACAGTGTCTTCTTATCCTCCGACTTGGACAACGCCTCGTATTCCTTTGCCGTTACTCGCTCATTGGGCTTCAGCAATTGAACAGGCTGCCTGACACCACAAAACTGAACATAGTCCATTGACGTCCGCAGCTCCTCCAACGTCAAACCATTCTCATCACCACACGCCAAACAGGTCTTTCTTCTTCCTCTCATTCTCACAGATCGGAAAGGGGCATCTGCCGTTCCAGTGAAAAGCAACAGCATAGGCGTTTTAGCCTCCCCGTGAATCTCCAGATCACCTCTCGTGATCAACTTGATCGCCTCGAGTGCCTGCAACACACCCATCGTGCCGACAATAGGTCCAATGATACCGCCTTCACCACATCCCACCACGCTGTCAGGGGGTGGTGGAGTGGGGAATACACAGCGGTAACAAGGTCCTTTGCCAGGCGGGTTGTTGAGAACGATGAGTTGGCCGGAGGTTTGAAATGCAGATGCTGAAACAAGCGGTTTTTCGAGAAGAACGCAGATGTCAGAGATGAGATAACGAGAGGTAGGATGATCAGTACAGTCGAGGACGAGGTCATAGCCAGATACAATATCCTGCGCATTTTGGGGTGTGAGATGAGTGTTGTGAGCATGGTAAGTTATCGTCGGGTTAAGGCTTCATTAATTAGTCCTGAGTATTCCATACCGTATGAGTTGGGGGATCTTACTCTTTCAGATATGTAACTGCACTCTGCACCTTACTCATGCCCACCCTTCCCGTCGAATGCGCAACTTGGCGATGCAAATTCGAGACTTCAACTTCATCACCATCAACAAGGCCTATCGTTCCAATGCCCGAGCCAGCTAAATACGCAGCGGCGGGACATCCCAAGCCTCCGGCGCCAACGAGCAGCACCTTTGCCTTCCTTAGACGTAGCTGGCCTTTACACTATTAACACGATCAACTTAGAAATGAGATACTGATTGGATTCATACCCTGCAGTCCAAAGTTGGGAACAATCATTTGTCTGCTATACCTCTCATACTCGTGGTTGTCAAGAGGCCATTTCCAAGCTTCTTTGCCTTCCCGGGCTTCGGACTCTGCAACGGCGAGTTGTGAGCGCAAGTCTGCGAGTTCGACTTCTCGCTTTGCTATCTCCCTGCGGAGGTTGTCGATTTTATCCATGGTTCTGGGTGAACCTGTATGTGAGACTGTGTGAGAAAGAGTGATGTAGAGTTTAAAGTCATAAGAGGGTATCACCACACAGATACGGCATTGAACCCCACTATAGATAGATTCAGGAATATTGTCAGTCTTAGTTTTGTATGTATTTCTTTCATTGCACGATTTCGGCAATTATACGAGATTATTCTATAATTCAGATTTATCCATTATCTGGTGTCAATGAGACCTTTTGTTAAATGTCCATCACTTGGTGAAATGCTCTCAATCAACTAAAGTGAGTGCCCCTCCATGCCATTTCTCGGTGTACCCCACCACCCTCGGTGAACCACCACTCGCCGAAAATGTTCCCAAGCAACTTTCTTCAACACCAAAACCTGCCATCCCAACATCTTTTTCACAATCCTTCCACCACACCACAAAAATGGTACACCTCCTCACTTCTACCGTCAATAAATCCATACTAACTAATCCCAGGCTCCTCAACCACCAGGCCTCAAGAAGCCTTCCGCTCGCACCCTCCGCCACCAGCGCGTAACAGGCCAAATCCACCCTCTCACACCCGCAAAGGTCTTCCGCGACGACGCCGCCGTGACCGACTCCTTCCTGTCCAGCAAGCGCGACAAGCGCCTCATCAAGCACTCGTCCTTCGTTTCGCGCATCGCCGATTCCTCACGCATCTCAAAGTCCACCAAGCGCCGCCGCCCCTCCAAAAAGCTCGCCACCACGCTCGACAGCCTTGCAGATGCGCTGCCCGAGCTGGAGGAGGCTGATGCCGCGCAGCAGGGAAAGATTCGCCACAACAGTTTGAAGAGCAAGAGGGGTGCGCTCAAGAGGAAGGAGAGGGTTGTTAAGGGTGAGATGGAGAGGTTTGGGGTTAGTATGGCGCAGTTGACGGCGCAGGATGGTGCGAAGACGGCGGTTGTTAAGGACGATGATGAGGGTATGGTTGGGGCGGATAAGACTGCTCCTCCTGCGGCGACTGCGAACCGATGGGCTGCGTTGAGAGGGTATATCTCTTCGACGATGGAGCAGAACCCTGCATTTACGGCAAAGGACTGAAGGGCCATGCCGAGGAAATGAAAAGATACCAACGGGAACACAACCCGAAGCTGCTGTTTTAAAAGTTTTTCGATGTATACCGTTCGAAGAGAGGATCTGTCCAGGCGTTTATGGAGTCAAGGCTTGAAAAGACTTCAAAAATTGATAGAGAATTCACGATTTTAAGAATTAACCAGAATGGATTGTCAGAACAAATAATTATTCTTCATAGCTATGCTAGCACACACATTGCTATATCTTTTTTCTTATCCTAACCAACGCCTCAGTCGCTAAATCGCAAATCCCTGGCGTTGCTTATTACATGGGAGAACCATTTCAAAGCCAGTCAACAACGCAGACTTGTCTTTAACCATCGTCGTTTGCTACATGATGGCGACATCTTCCTTCTGCTCGTTACCAACGCCATATCAGAAATCATTATTCTCGCGCATAAAATCAGAACAAAGCTAATCGACCGTAAAGCATCTTTCGTGAACTTCATTACAGTGTGATCAAACACGTGCATCAGCGTGTTTGAATCACCTTGCATTTTTGAGCAGGCAAAGCTGTCGGGGAGTTGTGCAACCGCTTGCTCCGGATTTTAATGGGAGTTGATGGACTCGTTTGAATCCGGGGTTTAGAAATTCGATCAGATCTGCAAGCTCTGGGGCTAAGAACAGGACCCTGGATAACTCGTGTTTGGATCTGCTTGGGACGCACAAACTCTCTCATCCCAGCCCATGGAGGTATAGTTCTTGGAACAGGGGTCATTATTGTGGTTGTAGTAGTAGTGCCTTTGCTGCTAGGTGTCGTGTCTCTGCTGCTCTGTTGCGACACTGTGGGACTCTTTGCATGTTGGTTGTTGTCGCTCGCCTGACGGCGGTCAGGCATTTTGGCAGCCTTTCTCTCCATGATTTGTCTTAAAAGATCCTCGAATTCTTCGCAAGAGCCGTAGCATTCCGTTCTCTATTCGATCCGCGGCGGTGTCTTGTTCGAAAACGGGCTGGCGCTTCTCCTATCTTGATTATTAGATACGTCACAGAATTTACAGTTGGGAGCACTCACGATCGCCTTCGCTCGCCCTCCTTGCGGAGGTTTTCGATGATACGATACATCTCCTTGCGGCCACCATAGCTGTCGACCATCTTGCCGCCCATACTCATCGACACCTTCTCACGGGCATTAGCGCAGAGAAGACGCTTGACAAGAAGATGGCGCATCAATAGGCAGACAAACACACCACAGTCACTGCCATTCTCCTGCTGGGGGCAATCTTCGAGGTTGATGAATCGCAGAGGTCGTCCGAGGATACCAGCCAGCTTCTTTGTAGCCACATTGGCTTCGGAATAGTTGGCACCTCCTAGTGAGTCGTAGTGGAAGGCCACGCCATCAAGGGTTGAGACCAAAAGTAGCGACCAGTGACTACCTCCCTCAGCGACACTCACATTACGATTGTCGTTGATGGGTAGGAAGATGTGGGTGACCTTGGAGAAATCGGGAAGGGCGGACTGGATTGATCGCGTGTCGGGTTCCTTCATGAGAAGAAAGGTCATGCTAGGACGGAGGAGGATAATGCGAGCCTGGGGATATTTAGGAAGAGTTTCGCGCTCGAGGTATTCTTCCCAGAAAGCGATGTTGTTGTCGGTCAACCAGTCATGCTTGAGAGCCTTGATATCCTCGGCTGTGAGGAGGACATCGTAGTAGCTAAGATAGGGCTTCTCGGGAGCAAGCTATTGATTCAGGGCGTTAGCGTCAACGCCACTTAGACAAGTCGCATTCCGCGCAGATGTCACTGAATGCGCATCTCGACGACGGCGCATCAATGACAGGCATGTACAGATGGACACTGCGGGATTGCACATACCGAATCGCCAAAGTGGCGGGCCATTCTCTGACGAAACGGCATCCTGTGGTGTTTGGAGTTTGTAGAGGATGTAGTTGATGTCGATGAAGTAGATGAACGAGGTGATGCTTCGGGAGAGAATGTCGAATCAGCTGGTGTAGCCTCGTAGTCGGAGTTGGCGGCTAAGGTTGAGTCCGTAGTGTCAGCTGAGCTTGAGCTGCCTGGTCGTGATCGGCGACTTCGAAAGTTAAGTAGACCGTGCAAGCGGCTACAAAGAACAAGGATGTTAGACGACGGTTTATAGAGAAAGGATCGAGTACGCAAAAGATAATGACGCAGCGAGAATGGAAATATTTGTAGATTGAGAGGGGGGGATAAAGGTGCAAACGGCCAAAGAGTCAATCGGTGTCAGGTAAGTGATGCGAAGAGACGGATGCAGAAAGTGGCAGGCAGTGGCAGTGTAAGTGATAAACCAGACAATAGCAGAAATAGGAAAGAAGCGGGGTCAACAATGAATAACAGAGGCTAAATAAACCAAGGGAATTCATACACTAGAGATAGAGTCGAGCAATGTTGGTAAACCGAGGCTTCTAATCCTCGTGGAACGGCGGGAAAACTGGATGATTTTTGGGAGAGTAAAAAAAAAGTGAAGAGCGAGAAGAGAGAAAAAAACTGGAGCGAGGGCAGCGTCTGCGCGTACGACAGGAAGAGGCTCAGCCCAGACCCAGCCCGCGACGGATGAATTTAGATGGAGTGGAGGCGGGGCAGAGCTAACAGCCAGAGGTCGGCACTGAGCGACTAGCGTCAAATGCACTGGAGGCCCCCCTGCTTGTAAGAGACAGGACGATGCCTGGCTGTGACTCGACCAACTAGGTCATATGACGACAGCAGAGGTTGTGAAAAGGGAGGAACAGAGACAAAAATGAGAGACGCTCGTCTTCAAACGAACACCTAAAACAAACAAACAGAACATCCAAACGAAACAGTCGCACATACCCTGGTGTCGAATTCGAAATATGCCCCGCTTCATCAGAACCCATCATGCCACTCAGGTTTCAAGTTGTAACAGAAAAAGAAAGGCCGTGAGTAAAGTAAAAAGTAAGGGTCTGAGCTGCAGCTAGGATGGATGGGTCTTTAATATGAAACGTCGTCGTCGGGGATAGAGCAGACGAACAGAGACAATTAATTAGATATTAATCAATTAAAATGGTCAGGATTGTTGCGAATAGTTATAACAATGTAATATTCAGCCATCACAGCTTCTTCATCAGCAGACCTTGTTCTTATATGGATGATGCATACCTGCCTTAGCCCAGGCTTGATTAATTTTCGGACTTGAAAATGACCCCGTCCGCGCCACAAACCCCCCTACGTCACCCCAAACCACCTCGTCGGCGTCATCGCTCCCCGGCTCCGTCACCGCGCGCCTAGACACTTCCCCGGACCCAATACTCCATCGTTTACATCGATAGCCACGAATAAATTCATCAGGCAGATAATTTTCAATCGCGATGCCTAATCTCATGATGTGCGAGGATCGCCCTTAATACAGTAGCCTGCTCCGCAACGCTTATCTGGTCTTCGTCTATCAAAATTCGCATTCCATCCGACCATTAATCGCCAAGTATTCCTCCACACTCCTTCATACCAGAATGGATGTGATTCCCCCAATACCTAGTCTAACCTCATCTTTCACACAAGTCCGGCCCATTGCCCATTCATCCGGTGTCCCTAGCCAGCCATACTCTGCCACCAAACCTTGGATTCTCTTTTCTCTATACGGTAATTTTGACTTGATCGTCATGCAATCGCTCCAGACTTTGCCCGACAAGTCGATAATTAAGCAACAAAAATCATTATCGCAAGAACATCATTTCTGATTAAAGACACTGTCGACCTACCTCAGAACAACAACTAATAAGAACATCCACCAAAAAGACCGCTTGTAGTCCCAGCCAACATGAAACTGACCCATCAATCAACCTTTTACAAATCCCTGCCACCATTGAACCCTGATTTTCCCTACTCCAGTCTCCATCACATACCCGGGACCATCGACTAGCTCCAGCCCGCTTTGCTTTGTTCTGCGTGTCTCGAAATCTCAAGATATTGGGTAGTAAAATCCCAATCTTTGTATCTGTCAATGTCCATTCATAAGTCGCCCATGTAGTGCCCGTAGGCTTGTAGTCGCTTGTTGAAACAAATGACGCCGTCGAGCTGTCGTCTCCTCCAGTCGGATAATTGCCTCGTCTCGCGACTTTCCGTGCTGTTCAAGTGCGGCGTTCACTTCTCGCGTCCTCCGAACGAATTTATCTCCGTCTTTCTTGCACACTTCGCTGAGCGTTTGTCTCTCCTGTGTGTATCGTCGATCGATTTTACCCACACAGCTAATGCCGTTCTTACGATAGGCATCAGCTCCACGGTAGATAGTAGCTTCCTTGGTCCGTAGATGGCTCAACATCGTCTGGGTAGCATGTAAGCATTGAACTCTCAACAAACAAAAGACTTACCTCGACAAGCCCGTGGAGTTGCTCTGCCGCCTCTTCGTTTGGTCCCTTGGGGAGAATCTTGTTGGCCGCCTCTTTATCGTTGTGAACCTTACTCTGGTCCCTCTCTTGATCCTTGGATTGCTTATCGTCACATGCTTGTAGAGAGGCCAGGATCTGGGCATGTAGGTTTTCTTCGCCCTTCTGAAGCTCAGTCTGCATGCCTACTTCTTTAACATTTTCCTGCTTCCTCGTTTTTGTCTTGAGCGCCACTCTGGTCTTCTCTGGTTTTGGTTCCACCGCTGCTAGACTTGAGAGGTATTCTTGCTGTAAGTTGTTGCCATCAGGATATGGGGATTGCTAATCCACGAGTCTTCGAAAGCGACGGGACCTTCTAGGTTCAGCTGTTTGTGTATTATTCTCGGGAACCTTTGTCTGTTCGATGTCTTGCATGTTACTAGTACTTGTTCCATCGACCAGGTTAGTAGGTAATGGTTCAACTGGTAACGGACTACCTGCTTGGCTGATACTGAAGCTTCGAGACAGCTTACTAGCCTTGCGAGGGGGGCGGGAACTCTCCATGGCTGGATCTCCCGTCATGGCGGACCTCTTTGGAATTTTCATTTCAGAAGCATTGCGTTGAACAAGGCTGTTAGCATCGCGAGCTGACAATACCTCTCTAGAGCCAAGATGAATTGGCTGGTCTCTTCTATTCCTTGAAGAAGTAGCCTTGGCAAGGTCCATTTGGTCACCTCTGACCATGAGGGCCTTCTTCAGAACTGCAGGTTGTAGCTCAGAACGACCCAAAGGGCGTTGAATCTTGGGACTCTCTATCGGAGCAACGGGCTGTCCTTCGTCGTAATCAGCGCTATCTGATGGATTGTTTGGATGAGCAAGGTTTTCGGCAGGTGATTCGAGTTCTTGTCGCGGAGCAGTCTCTGCTGGTCGAAATGTTCCAGCGGGGATATAAATATCATCGTCAGAGAACGAGGAGCTCTCAGAGTCGCTAGAGACTACGACAGGGTCCTGGGTCGATCCTTGAGTTTCTTCTCTGGCCTCTGGAACGTTTTTGTCGGCGCCAGGTTTCGCTGCAGATGAATCTCCCTCTTTTGCCTTTGCTCTCGTTGTTTCCTTCTTGATCGCGGGTAAGGGTTCGGTGTCAATTTGAGCATTAAGAACATTGGGGTTTGCCTTCTTGTGCTCTTTATCATCAGTGTCGGGGTCCTCTCGAGGAACTTCACTCCGCAAGCCCGATCTGCGAGGCACCTTTTGAGCAGGCTTCGGTACAGACTTCCGTCTGGATTTCGGGGTCGCTTTCTTGACACTCGTCGCAATCGGGGAGACTGAAGCAGCGTATGACTTTCTCAAATTTCCCACGATGCTCGGGCGTTTAGACTCTTTCGTTGAATCGCTTTGTGGGACCTCCTTTACTTGCTGTGTCGTTTCGTCAAACTGAAAGGGTGGTTTTGCTCTTTGTTTACCGCGCCTTTTGTCCTTCGCTCTCGACCTTGTTGTCGTGGTTTTACCCGCAACTGGAGTGGCATGCTCATCGTTGGACATCTCTTGCGCTCCACGAGTAATCCTTTCCACTTTTTGGCGCTTTGTCGTCCTTTCGGGGAGTGGCAATGGCGCTTGCTGCTCTTCTCTTTCCTCTTCAACAGGCCCGATTTCATTCTCTAAATATTTCACCAGTGAGTCCTTTTTTTGTTTTGGAGATTTGCCCAACTTCCTTTTTGCTCTCGTCTGTGGTGCGTTCAGTTTCTCTGGTTGTTTCTCTGGGTGTTTTCCTGGGGGTTGTAACTGTTCTGAGGCAAGATTGCCAACCTCCTGATTTTGTGCTGCTATGTCGGCCGGATGGTCCGCATTCGACCTGGGAGGCGTGGCATCATATAGCTCGTCTTCCGGCAAGTGCTCCATGACCTCGACATAAGGGGAAACCACCATCTCAGGCATCTGGAGTGAATCAGGAATTGTGCTTGGGAGCGCAGGTAGAAGATTGTTGCCCGGAAAATCCCACGTCTCCCCGGCAGCGACTTGAGAGATGGCAGCTTGCGAATAATAAGGCGAACTTCGCCGAGCAGAAGAAGCTGTCTCTGAAAAGTCAACCTGTGCTATCTCCTTGCCTGCTGGATACCCAGTCAGAGGCTGTGGTGGGAGTTGCTGAGTATTGGGAAGCTTTCCTGGACCTGACTTTGGACTGGAAAACGCATCAACTACCGACTCTTGATTTTCAGATGGAAGTTGACCTTCTTCTTCTTGTACAGGTGAACTTCGGCGCGTCGAACCAACTTCAGACCATGAGAAACCTGGGGGAGGTTGAGCGGATGGTACGGCTCTGTCAAAGGCATCTAGCCGCATCAAATCAACATCGTCGACATCATTTTCAAATTCATCTGTCGAAGTTCGAGACTGTAGTTGGGCACTTGCAAGCTCGGAATTTTCGTCCTGGTTAGGTTGTCCTAAGTTCGACTTCTGAGGCTGGCCTCGACGTGGAGATTGCAGGTGACGGCTCGTTGGGGTAGTTTCGAGTTCTCCAACCCCATGTGTAGGCTGCCGTTTGACCTTTGCACGCTGACTGGTCCTGGCACTCTTCCGAGCAGGCATAACGGCGTACTTTTTGTGACAACGTTAGTGGGCGAAACTATGCTGGAGGTACTGTAGGGTTTGACTTACTCCTCCTGTGAGCCTTAGTGAAGTGAAACTCAGGCTGGCACCGTTTGATGACTATTGTGAACGGGCTACAGCCAGATAAAACAGGATCACGGCCATAAAGAGAGTATGGTTGGTTGGAGAAAGGCTGTGTTTGGTCCTCTGTGAATTTTTGGTGAACGACATCACTGGCACAAAATGGGCAAGAGTAAGAGACAGGAGTGCAGCATGAGAAGGAGCTCCCGCGTTTTACTTGCACCTGCCTGGTTAATACTGCAAATATCCACCGTCTTGCCGAAAAGGCAGCCACGAAGATGGCGAAATAGGGATATGAGCACCTGTAATTCGTCTGCATTTCATCGTGCAAAATCCAGATTCGATTAATTATCTCCAGTCCTCCACTACTTGTTAAATTGACGAGTTCACTACAAAAGCTAGGTATGGCTTCAGTCTCTGGCTGTCTTGTCAGTCCACAGGCAATACATAACGAATAGTTTACAAGCTGACTTGACACCATTAATAAGAGCTGTTGCATCGAAGATCGCTTAGCAACTTCAACCATGCCTACCTATTTGTCAGGTATTGTCTGTAAAGCCCGATGGTCCGGGCTATCCTAGTAAAAAGCGGACTTTAGAAGCGGACTGTCGGTCGACTCAGCTATCCCATCCCATGCTGTTTCCAGCCAACAAGGTATTATTCAGCATTCGGGGTGGGGACGCGCGGTATCTCCGCTCCGCTCTAATCTATGACCCGTGTCGTCGCATAGAACATTTGCATCTATATCTCTATGATTTCGACCTCTGTTTTGTTGTTTACTACTAATCTATCTGATCGCCTTACATGTCCCGTTTTGAACATCTCACAGGAACTCATCTCTGGCGACACCTGTGCGACGACCTATCACTCCACTGTAAGCTGACGAGCCTGTCACACTAAACATCATGTCAAATCAGACGGCTACCAGCGCCAGCGGCGATGCTGCCAGTGATAGCACCCTTGGCGCTGTCCTGCGGAAACTCACTGCTCTTACACAACGGCCCGAACCGAAGAAGTATCCTTCAGTTGCTTCCATACCTCGCACATCAGCTGAACGCCTGGCCCAAGCTGCTGAAGATCATGTCATCGATCGCGACCATCCAACCCCCAGGACCTATCTGTACCTCGCCTACGGATCAAACCTTTGCGCTGAGACATTCTTAGGCGTGCGTGGAATTCGACCTCTTTCGCAAGTAAACGTTTCAGTTCCGACGTTGGAGCTTACATTTAATCTCCCTGGAATACCCTATCGCGAGCCGTGTTTCGCAAACGTTGATTACAGAAAGCTTCCAGAAAAGCCTAAGCTGCCTCCCAAGATTCCCGTTCCACCTTTTGAGCCTCCGCATCCACCACACACGGATCAGGTTCAATGGGATGAAGGCCTCATTGGTGTGGTGTACGAAGTGACGGAGGAGGATTACAGCACCATCATTCGCACGGAGGGTGGTGGAGCGGGTTACAAGGAGATTGTTGTCCCTTGCATCCCACTGCCCCCTAAGATTTCGATCCCGGAAAAGCCATACCCTGATATTCCACGACCTTTTATGTCGAGAACTCTTTTTGCGCCACAAATTCCTGATAAGGACTTGCCTGATGATCCTCGCAAGCACAAATGGTGGTACCGCTTCCTCATCGGCCCTCAACGTGAGCCTGGTTATGCGCAGGCCAGTGCTCGTTACATGAAGCTTCTCAAGGACGGCGCCAAGGAACACGAACTCCCTGATGGATATCAGCGTTGGCTACACTCCCTACAGCCATATACGATTACGACCATGCGACAGAGAATTGGAGCTTTCCTGTTCCTTTTCTTCAGTGGCGTCCTGTTCTCGGGAGTCATCCTCTTGTCGAAGGTTTTTGCGAATAAATCTGGCAAAATACCTCAATGGCTAGCTGTCACTATGATCGTTATGTTCAGCGTGGCCTGGATGGTGTATGATAATTTCTTCAAACCTATCTTTGGTAATGGCGAGAGAACTGAAGAGGAGGATGAAAGCAAAACCCACACAAGAAAGCGCTCCTTGTCCAAGATTCTCCACCATTTCCCATCTGCAGATGAAGAAAAGGCAGCATTGCTGAGCGGATCTCATTGAGTTGCTGGGTAACATTGTAGTTTGGACAGTTGGACCGTTATCGGAATGATTGAGCGGATTGAATATGTGACGTTCTGCTTGCTGGCAAGAGAAACTTGATATAGGATACGTCCATGAACCTTTCAGATTGAAAATGTATAATAATACTTGACCTTTATGAATATGCAAGTTCCTGTGTTAAATGCATTGCTCCTCTAAACGGGTAAAAGGCATGAGTGAGATCATACGTTGGTTGGGGTAAATCTGGCAGCAACGACATGTTGTTGAGTGTTAGCGTCCATCAACGTGGAAGCAATCCAATGCAACAATACATCCTCGGTAGCAAATGATATCGTGGCGCGACTCTCTCTTCAACAACCTAACACCTCAATCCTTAAACCATTTGACCTTAACCTGTGATCTTTTACTTCCTCTCGACATGTGCCGTCACGCGACCGGGGATCGGCCCGCGGCCATTTAACTTACGGGGCCGTTCCTGGATTGCGCTGATGCATGCATTGTCGGGCCCCTTGTCTCCCGGCGATCCTAGACTTTGCAGAGTTGCCCCTGTATCCTTGCTTGGTGTTCTTTTTTTCTTGCTTACTTGACATGTGAAATCCCACTCTAAAAAGTTGATAAAAGTTATTGCCATGTGATTGCAGCTAGAATTGGTCAACGAGGTCGATTATTGTTTTACAGCAGGACATGTGTTTGAAGTATTTTGACTGCGCTCTACAATTTGAATTTTATCTAAAACATCAGCCTCAAATTGAGTTCTGCAGCCATGTCAATTGCTGCGACGGATTGCATGTGAAGATGCCCCTCGGCCGTCTGGAAGACGAGATTTCTAGAGCTCCATTATCACGGATATCAATGGGGTTTTGATGAGACGCTTAGCTTCTTAAAGCAGGCGGTGTCACAGATATCTTTCTGCCATGCGTCATTGTGGCTTGCTCCAGGGTTCAACAACCTGTAAAGCTGGTCCCCTTCGGCCATCAGCTAGCTTCTCGACGCTACAGTACCCCTCAGTCATAAAGCTCCTTTTTCCAGCCCAGCTTCCACCCTTTTTGCTACTCTTTCTTCGTATGTTTCGATCGCTTGTCGTGCGCTCTTCTGTGTTTACCAAATCTTCAAGGATACTCTCTTGTACACGCAGCTACTCTTCAGCTACATTCAGCAACATGGCGAGCTTGGGTGGACATTCAAAGAAGCACAAGGTGACCATTGTGGGATCCGGCAATTGGTATGGCTAGCCCTCTGTCTCTTGCTCTATGTTGTCTTGAGATCAATTACTAACACAGGGATTGTTCAGGGGCTCAACAATTGCCAAAATTGTCGCTGAAAACACACGCGCCCACAAAGATCTCTTCGAGGAAGATGTCCAGATGTGGGTCTACGAGGAGGACGTGTCGATTTCCAAAGACTCAAAGTTTTATGACGAAACCACCGGCGAAGCGCCCCGGAAGCTCACAGAGGTCATCAACAAGCACCACGAGAACGTGAAGTACCTACCAGGCATCGCTCTACCCTCCAATCTCATCGCCAACCCCGACATCTGCGACGCCGTCAAGGACGCCACCATCCTCGTCTTCAACCTCCCCCACCAGTTCATCGCGAACGTGTGCAAGCAGGTCAACGGACACATCCTTCCTTACGCTCGCGGAATCAGCTGTATCAAGGGTGTCAATGTTACTGATGACGGCATCAGCCTGTTCAGCGAGTGGATCGGTGATGGTCTAGGCATCTACTGCGGCGCCCTTAGTGGTGCTAACTTGGCGCGTGAGATCGCCGAGGAGAAGTGGTCAGAGACCACTATTGCTTACGACCCTCCTGCTCTGGATAACAGCCGAGCTCCCACTCCCCGTGGAGGCAGCCCCAACCCATCAATTGGCGAGCTTCCCGAGATGCATCACAAGGATGTTCGCGGCCGAACTTCCAAGACCAAGTTGACCGCCATGCCTGCCGATTACCCCCCTCTGGACCAGGAATGCTTTCGAACGCTCTTCCACCGACCTTACTTCCACGTTCAGATGGTCTCCGATGTCGCCGGTGTTTCTCTGAGTGGTGCTCTGAAGAACGTTGTAGCTCTGGCAGCTGGTTTCGTCGATGGCCGTGGCTGGGGAGACAACGCCAAGGCAGCTATCATGCGCATTGGTCTTATGGAGATGGTCAAGTTTGGAAAGGAATTCTTCGGCGAGACCGTTCACACAGCTACCTTCACAGAGTCATCCGCTGGCGTGGCAGATCTGATCACATCCTGCTCTGGAGGACGTAACTTCCGCTGTGCCAAGATGGCCGTCGAGAAGGGCATTTCCGTCCAAGAGGTCGAGAAGCAAGAGCTGAACGGCCAGAAGATCCAGGGTACCACTACCGCAGAGGAGGTGAACAGCTTCCTGAAGACACGCGGACTCGAGTCAGACTACCCTCTATTCACGGCTGTGCATGCCATTCTGAACGGCGAGGCCCAGGTTGACGATATCCCCAGCCTTGTTCAGGATTCTTGATTTTGAGATGGATGTTTCTAGCGACTAGGTTACTTATACCGTCAATATTACTGTGGCGTTTGTATGGATCAGTGTGGTTCTGCGGTTTACTCATCAGATTATGGGGTACTTGAATAGTAGCGTTTTGAAGTCATGACTAGTTTGGCGATACATGGAGATGAAGAACAGGGCCCTCTGGTTGGAAGGGGGATGAATATAGAAATGATATCTATTTTATACTTACAAAGGAGTCCACTAGACTGAAGCATGACAAAGTTAACTTGGTGTGATTGAGAGTCGAGTATGGACTGTGATGCAGCCTTACCTAGCTGTAGAGAGACTACATCTTCAAGAGAGGTAGAAATGTCAGCCCTTGCTACATGCCTGGGTAGTAGTGTGAGGATGAGAGGGGTAGAAGTTGCATACCTGTTCACTATCCCAAGAGATCTTGCAACGGGGCCTTGTTATCAACTGAAAGGTGCAGGAACTTTCGCAATCCCCTACTTAGAGTCGGGTAAAATGTCGTCATTTCGTAATAATTGCCTATTGGGGATTCCTGGGGGATTCTTGTTGGTCGTACTAACCCGTAGGTCGTGTAAGTAAGGCGAGGCATGAGACATCCACAGCAACCTTAGCCGTGGACATGGTATCATATCTTGATTCTATGTGACAGAATGGAGAATCCTCATGCCTGGTGCTCAATATCATCTAGTACGGCAAAACTTGGGCACTTGTGACGAAGTTTAATCGTCTTTCATTCGTTATGGGAATCGCGATGGGAACAGGTGTCGTTCATGAAAGGTACAAACCACCATTAGGAAAGACCAAAGGACGATACTGAAATGGCGGCCTTGAGAGTCAACGCCTCCAAACTCTGTCCAAACCTCACCATCCTCAACCTTTAGCCTCATTGCATTCCTGTCCCTAAGCCTAATCAACATCTACGAATCTCGCTCACCTCCATGTTCATTGTTGCAAGTCCATCCTATCCTAGAAGAATACTACACAACCTCTCATTTTTGGTTTACCTGGAATTTCACAAGCAAAGGAGTTGACAGCTCAGCAATTCGAATTCACCATGACGGAAACCTCCAAACCTAGTGGCAGGCCGGCTATGTCTCCATTACAATTGGACTCTCCTCGAACTGTTTCAGTTCTCGAGATTGAAGAACAGAGTAATGCCGAAAAATGTTCAGAGCCAAGTCCAAAAAAAGAGATCGCTTTTCGATCTCTTTCAGCTGCCGAATGGACGTTCTTTGCCAGTGGAGTTGGAGGCATTCGAGATGCGGAACGAAACGTGCCTGTTCAGCCGACCAGTCGAATTTGGCCGCCCAAGGGTCTCCCCCCAGGCCTGTATCGCGACACTGTCTACAAGCGCACCATGTCGTTATACATGTACAAATTCGCCAGTATCATCCGTTGGATCTTCTTGATCCTGCAGTTGATGATTGGTGCTAGTCTCACGGCTCTTGGCGGAATGAGCACCAGGGATGGAACACCCATTACGGTTCTCGGCGCGTCCAACACTGTCATCGCGGGGTTGCTGGCTCTGTTGCACAATAGTGGTGTTCCTGATCGTTACCGATACGACAAGGCAGAGTTTGAGCGGGTTGAGGACCACATCAGGGAACTTCTCGTCACGCGCTTGGTGCGTGCTGACAAGTCAGTCAATGAAGCTCTCTCCGATTGCTTCGACTATTATCAACACGCGAAAAGAACTGTGAACTCAAACATGCCCGCGGCTTATGTGCCAACACCGATAGTGCCGACCGCACAAGCCGTGGCTACGGTGCCAGTTTGTCACCCCCAGCCAGTACTTCAACAGCCGATGATGCAGGGAACAGAGCCAAAGGGCCCCATTTCATCCTTGTCTCCCAAGACACTAAAGACTTCGTTGGAGGAAGAGGAGGAAGAAGAGAAAAAGGAAGAGAAGGGTCCAGCCGCCGTCAAGAACAAACTAGCAACTGGTGCAAGCCAATAGAGGAGAGAGGTGTTGTCATTTCCTAGCTTTGCCGCTTATCAGATAAATTGCCTAGCGGAATCGATGTATCCTGCAATTAGGGCTGTTGTTGTACCTGCATTAGCTTGATTATTGGTGAAGATTAAATTACCACCCACCCTTCGTCATCCTGGTCTATATTCCGTCATGGCCTCCACTGCCACTTAGGAGGATTTAACATAAGCATGAATGAATCCTTCCATTCCCCGTCAAGAATAGAACTTCACAATAGAGGCTAGGAAATAGGAGTACACTGATCTGCACTTCCGTTACGGCTATCATGTTTTGTTTATAGGGCAGCGGGACATGAAACCCGGGGTCAAAGCAAAAAATGCCACTAATCAAACCACGGACCCCGTCACAAGTTTAATTGCTCGCCTTAGCCTTTCCCCTCTTTAACCGTTATTGACGTGGTGCGACCAGGGTTTAATTCCTGGGCCACTCTGGTTTCACGATGCGAATGGATGCTTCGAAGGATGGGCCATGTTCTCCACCCCCCACTACAACCATTCAATTTAACAATGCTGCAATGCAAAGGAACAAGCACATTGTCCGCTCCAGGGCCTAATTTACTTAAATCTCTCATCATGCCTCACGTTTCGTGAAAGCGAAACCTTCTTGTTTTTTCTGTACCTGCGTCTCTCTCTCTCTTGGCTGTTTATGGCGTGATCATGTCTTTGTTATAGCCAACACACTCATTTATACAGGTTATACCCACCCAAGTCACTCATTTTACTAGGCTATTCCAATCGGCAGTGCATTATGGCTATGATTTCTAGGCCGCGGGCTGTGCCACGCAAAGCCGTGCAAGTACTCGCTGTTATTGTTCTGGTCGTGTTCTTCTTCCAGGTAAAATGGTTGTACTGGTCGAGAACAAGCGAAGATACAGAAATTGCCATCACTGGACCTGTCCCGGAAGAGCAGTACCTAGAGCGGTTGAAACAGAAGATTGGTCTTTCGGATGAGACCTCGTGGACGGCGTGGAAAGTTCGTGCCTCGGAGCAGGACTCTGAGTTGACTTCGGTAACAACCATCGATACGGACTTCCATTCAAATCAGCCTAAAGTCATTGACACGAAAGACCCTGCGCGGAGGAATCTTGTTGCGCGCCAGGAACTCAATCTCCCGGTTGTTCGAGGGCCACGACCAGGCCAAATCGACGCTTCAGATTTCATATTTGCCATCTCAACGAGCTTTGATCGTGTCGTTAGAGACGACTACGCCGTTGCCAAGGATTGGGCGCGGTGGATGACTGGAGGAAACCAGCACGGCAACGGAGCGAATTTCATGCTTGTTCTAGACCAGGGCCATTACAAGCAGGTTCAGAAACTCACCGAGATTCTGCATTCTTTCGGTATCGATGCCTATGTTACCATCTCAGAGGGCCAGATTTCTCCCGCGAAGAGATACTTCAACATGATCGATGCTGTAAAGAAATATAGCGCTACGCTTGCGCAGAAGGGACAGATGAAGAAGTGGTACGGCATCTTGGACGAGGAGATCTTTCTGCCCAATCTATCTTATCTCCAGAAACGGCTCTTTGCGTATAATTCCGAGAAGGAACTCTACGTCGGGCTGCCGAGTGAAAGGGGTGATTGGGCTATTGGCGAGGGTTTCATGACTACGTACGGCGGAGGGGCTGTCTTCCTGACTCGACCTGCTATATCGCGAGTCCCAGAGCTGCCCTGCTTCGACGGCGTTTCTGACGACCCTACCAACAAAAAGAGCTGGGATTCTCTTCTGCAGGATTGCTTGGCTAAGAATACCAAGATGAAGATGCATATCCTTCCCAGCTTCTACTCGCCCAAGGATAACGATGATTACTCGTCTCATCTGGATAGCTACGAGACGGGCATCCACCCCCTTGCACTACACCATTACCAAGAACGACACCACCTCACGCCGAGCCAGGCTCATCTCGTCACAGATGTCTGTGGCGAGGCATGTTTTCTGCAACGCTACCGCTTCCGCGACAACTGGGTTCTCGTCAACGGCTACACGATAACCGAATACCCCGACGGCATCCACCTCTCTGACATGCCCCTCTCCACAGTCGGAAAGGGCAGCAGCTCGCGGCGCTCAGTCATCGGGCCCGTGAAGCTCAAGGAGGACACGACCGACCGCAAGATGCTCTTCTGGACGGGCCGGCGCAATGTGTGGAAGCTGATGGATTCTGTCACCACGACAGAGGGCGACGTGTGGCAGGCGTACGTCAAGCGGGGAGCTCTCAATGAGCCTACGCTGAGGAAGAGATGGGGCGAAGAAGGGCTGGTGCAGGAGGTCAAGGATAGTGTGATTGTGCTGATCTGGGAATCGGCGAAATGATGCTACGAATGAGGTTTTAGGAATTTCTTATGGCTACGTATTTATGTCTAGCATGTTTCACCTGACGGGGTGTTTTATATCAATTTCATTTTATGATTATCTATTGTCAATTTGAAGGCTCTTATACAGTCGAGGCTGGTGATATCTACTGACAATCCAACATCAACCCAATATTGAAAAAACGCCGCCAATGACTTCTGACTTTCGTGTAAGTTTGGCAGTGGCCTTCAACTTCGCACAACTAATGGAATATTGAAAATAGTAGGGTATAGTTCTTCCATTCTCGTCTAGTTAGTTCCACGGCTTTCGTGTGCTTTCAGTGATGTCTAAATCGCAATCAGTAGAGCTTATTTTGAAGTGGTAAGGGAGGGGTTTGAGGACAGGATTCAAAAAGGGGCGAATACCGGAATAATCATTGGTCAAGATAGGAGTATTTCCCACAAGGTAATGGAATTGACGTGCCTATCATCTTGCTTGTAGAAAGTCAAACTTCAAGATTCGGATCACATCTCTCCTTTTCGAAGCTTTACAGAGTCAACCAGTAGACCAGAGAAATAAATCAGTAACAGTTAGTCGGTTCAAACAGGAGAATTACACTGCTAACATGCTGTTCATAAATATTCTGACTGCACCCACAAAGACAAAGCGGTGACTTACACATCCCACGCACTGCGAGTTTCTCTCCTACGTTCCATTATCGTGATGCTACAACATCCCCTTAGAAACCAATTTAAAAATAGAACAGAGTAATCCCCAGATTGTTTCTGTGGCCTGATTAATAACTTTATTCGTAAAGATCCTGTGAGCTCCTGAGCTGCGGTTGGGTAACCTTATGGGATTTAAATTATCGCTCTCTTGTCTCTGGAAGAGTTCCTATTATTTATACTTCTGTATTATTTATAGATCTTCTAGAATCCTCTATTTCTCCATTGTGGAAAGCTTCTTCTGAAAAAGCTACGTGGACATGTTTCTGTCCTGATGCTGCCTCCATTCTCGGTCTATATAAAGCAGCTTCCCCCCTGATTTCTCATTCAGATTTTCTTCCTCCGAACAACTTCATTTTGAACACTTTCATATTTTGGCCAACTTCAAACTCTAAACACACACTCTCTTACATTACAAACTCTCTTACATTACACACACTCTTACACTACAGACAACACACACACTCTTACACTACAAGCAACACACACGCACAAGACACACACAAAGCACACACTACACATCTACAACATCATGTCTACCGAACAGAACAAGCAGGAGAAGTGCACCGAGACCTACTGGCCTCTCCTCAAGGAACAGTTGTCAAGCGGTAAGGCCACCTTCGACAACCTTGAGCTGACCTGTAACATATGTTATGATACCATGGGCACACAACCTTCCGATCAGGTCAACGAGGCTGGTACCCACGGCGCCAGAATCCTCCCATGCGGCCACATGTTCGGCTACTGCTGCTTGCGCCAAGCATATGAGGCCTCCCTGGATGCTGACACGAGATCCTGCTGTCCTACCTGCCGCGCCACTGTTATACACTCGACGTGTCGACATATTCATCCAGGTCAGAAGATGCCCACGTGCCTGGAAGACTTACACCGTGTGGCTGGCCCTATCAAGGATGGCGAAATGATTGCGAGCTGCAGGTACTGCATCGCCAGGGTGCATATGGAGGTTTTACGCGAATGCCTCGATATAGAGAACGCCTCCAATCCTGACCGCGACATCAACTTGGACCTTTGCTTCGGATCAAGAACCTGCATGTACTATACGTACCCAGCCCCCCAAGTCGGAGAGAAGGTACCAGTGCCCGAGTCTGTGGCGAAGGCATTCCGCGATATGTTCGCGTCGCAGAAGCGGATAGAGACCGGAGAGTTTCAGGCCGAGGTGGGCTATGAAGGCGTCTGGTCCGATGAACCACTGAGCGACAGCGAGTTAATATGCTTCATCACCGGTTCACCTTCTCCCAAGCCCCTCCCTTTTTGGGAGTTTGCCGACTACCAGAATCTTCAGGATAAGAGAGATGGTGTTGCACCCAAGACTGTGGAGGAGTTGCGTGCTATCTACAACGATGAGTACTAATGGGGCTGGCTTCGTTAGATCTGGATGGGTTTGATTTCTTTTCTGGGAAAAGTTGGTTTACTGTTTATTTCTGGTACTACCGATATTGGTCTTTTGAGGAAATGAGAGTTTACTCTTTGTTTATTTCTTTCTTGTACAACTGATATTGGTTTTACTTGTGTTGGACGTTGAGGGCATACATTGGAGTATTCTTGCTGAGATTGTACATATGCAAGAGTACGAATGATTAATGATTAATGACTTATGATATCAAAAGAACAAACTGATCTTGGTGATGCTCATTAAGCCAGACTTTGGAGATATGGTCTATTTATGTGTGATATTATAAAGTGCGAAGTTTAAAAGTGAGTCTATTGTAGAGACACGTGGCGTATAGTGAAGGGCCTAGCTGTGACAATTATGATAAATGACAAGTTTCAGAACATGAGATTCCATGATTCCATAATTCCATGATATGTGAATAAATGCCCGACTGACTGACATAATGGCTTGTCCTTTCGGGCTGATGCTCAGATGGAATGAACATAGCTCCAGGCCATAAGTCGCTGCATTCACTCGCTAGAACGTCGTATATCTGAACATTGGCAGTGTCTCTATATATACCATCTCTACCTCCCAAGCCGTTCTCTGGCCTCTTTCCCATCAAATCTTCCTATCAATCAGCCTACAAGTGTCATACCTACATCATGTCTGACTCCCACGCCAACGACCAGAGTGCCAGCAAGTCCACCGAAACATTCTGGCCCCTTCTCCGTTCAGCCCTGATGAGCCGTGAAGTCACCTTCTCCGACCTGGAGCTACAGTGTCCCATCTGCTACACCAACATGCCGATTCCTGCCGACCCAGCCAGTGACGAAAGGAACGATTGCAATCACGGCCCTGTCGTTTACCCCTGCGGACATATGTTCGGACGCTCATGCTTCGTAGAGAACATCCTTTACAACACTGACAACGGTCGCGACGTCTCCTGCCCTGTATGCAGAGGTAAGTTCAACTACACAAAGTGCAAGCATCCCCACTACGGACTCAAGATGCCTCGGGACATAAAGGGCGTCGAGGATTTCCCCACAATTGTTCCTCGGGGTGGTGTCGTCTTTGAGCTCTGCTACCAATGTCTCATCGAAGCCACCTTGAAGACTGCTGGCGAAAAGCTTCGCGCTGACCCTGACTTACCCGAGGATCTTCGCAATCGTGCTACTGTCTCTATCAGAGTCAATGGGCAGACCTATTATCCCCAGGACACCAGAGGTAAGCTTGTAGACTTTGAGGCCCCTGAGGGATTCAGGGGTTACGTCGCAGGACTCAAGGCTGGCCTGGCTTTCTATGAGGACAGTGAAATCCTCTGGATGTCAGGTAAGAGGCTCCGAGACATGGAGGTCAAGTGCCATAGTTGCCCTCATCTGCAGTTGGAAGGCCATGAGTAAGTCATACGATGATAGTCTGTGATTGGGCCGGGCTAATTCTGTGAGTTTTTTAGGTATTTTTGTACATTTTGCTCTGGCTACTACTCAAACAAAAGACAGCATTGTCTGGTAAGTGATACTTGAAAGCGCAATTCTGTGTTTATCATGGTATCGATATAGTAGATGAATAACCGCACGATATAGGCGGTTATCATGACTTATGGCAAACCTCGTCGAGATATAAAGGCTTGGAAGGCCGCCGAGTACTTCTTCGATACGTACATGTATATCATTCTCTTGATTATATTGATCAAATTGGCTAGCTAGATGTTTAATAATCAAGCCAATATTGTCAGTGACAGATAATTCACCACACAATTAATCGTTTTATGTGAGCACAGTGTCTAGTGAGAGAAACAAGACGTAGAATAGTAGAGAAATTGGGTAAACCTCAAATATAAACAGGATAGAGCCACCCTGTCTCAATCATCTCTGAAGTCCGTTAGTCTCGGACAACATGCCTTTCGTTTCGAGAGTGAGGCCCTCAACCTCAATTCTTTCACCACGAGACGTGATAGTAGCAATTATCACAGTTAGCCAGCTTCACACAATTTGCCTAATAGCTGGTTAGTCAGGGCAGTTTATAACATACATCACTAAAATGAAAGAAGACGATAGTGTTTTTTTTTTTAGATTGAGGACCTGCCTACCTATAAATCAAATGCCTAAATCAAACGCCTAAATTAAATGCCATCGTGTACCGCATACCAGATGCCCTATTGTACAATCTATGATCCCTGTTACCCAGCAGCCTTCCTCACTCCCATCTTCAATCAGTTTCTTACCATCGAACGACTTCATCAGTAAGCAAGTGACAGAATTCCGCCATGTTCACTCTAAAGGTGACCTGACCTGATATGGCTCCTCACCTGGGCATTTAGCTCGTGCCCAGATGACATTGCATGGCAGAGTCGCAACATGTTTGCGTTAGCGATGGATTCTCGACTCGCCCCTGGCCTCTGAAGCGCCATAGACACGTCCTGCATGTCTGATATCTGGCTGAGAAAGCTAAGCTCATCTAGTAGGGCTTCTGGACCTTGAGTCGGGTTGAGTTCAACGAGCGTCAGGTGAAACTCGAGTTCTGCCGTCTTGTCAGCGGGAATATCAAGCATCCTGGCCACGGTTTGTCTGATTCTCTCAATGGCGTTTCTCAAGATTGGCTGGATCGGTAGCTCCATGATTGTCGTCGTGTTTTTGGGACACGACAACGATTTGTATACCTTCTCCCCCCACTTGAGGAAGAGCTTCACGACGCGACGACCTGTGACCAAGTTGGAGAAATCGAATTCATTAAAAGCAATCATTGTAAGCCTGTGGGTGATGAAATCGAAGTAGCACGAAACACAAAACTCGTCCGTACGATTGCTGTCCAAGACGCTGATGTACATAGCAAGACGCCAGGCATTAGATAGGCGAAGGAGTGTTCCCTTGGTGTTCGGGTGTCCGCAACCACTGTGAATTAGATCAGCACGACAGGTAGGACACCTGTAGGTAGTTCCTGTCATTAAATCGTGATGAACGTGTTCAACAGCACATGACATACCGACGATGTGCTTGCAGGGTAGGACGAACGCATCGTGGCTGTCAGTACCGGGGGGATCGTTGCTGTTGTTGATTGTTATCGATTGCATACAGATAGGGCATTCTAGGTCCAGTCGTTCAGCTGCCGAAGGGTCTTCGGTGATCACCTTCATCAATTCAGGAAAATGGTTCTCGTTGACGGTAGACATGTCGAGAGTGTTTTTGTTGTTAGCTTGTTGATAGGGTAGCCGTTGAATGGTGATGATAGTGTTGATCAGAAATGCAACTGCTGTGTCTTGATTTCTCAGTCGAAAGTGTTAGTCTGAGGTGCAGAAGCTGTTGTGTGGTTTCATCACTCTGGTCTGGCAATTTCTCGTTGTTTAATAGTCATCATTCTACCTATCTATGATGTTCTGCCCCAGTGCTGTTCTTGACCAGTTCTATCGTTCAAGAGGAGGTTTGATGGACGAACAAGAAACGGTGATGGGCACATTTCTAGATAACATATCGAAGTAAAGGCCTTCAGCTGTTCCTTGCCATTTACAGAGCAAGTCGGCAGGTAACAAGAAGGGATGCAAATGTGTTCAGGCCCATGGGTAATCGAACAATCGAACTTCTCACTCTTTGTTCGGTGTGGTCCAGACGAAAGAAGGAAACCGTCGGTTTTCCACAGACTAGACTTCATATTCCAAGACCACGGAAGATAGAGCAGTTGAACAATCGCGGGAGATTATCGTACGGTAGCGTATCAATGAGAGACAGAGATTACTGTCTTCTTGAAGCGAGATTGAAAATGGCACTACGCAGAATTAGTTCCCCATTGTCTTTAGACAACATCTTGGCACTTTTGTTGTAATGTCGTTTTCGGAAACGTAATTTATTTATCGTAAGGAGTAGTAACCAAATGCTCGCGTGACTCAAGTTGTTGGCTTCCTCAAGCCTTGGGTCTTTGAGAAGTGCCGTGATTCAGATGTCCAGGGTAGCACTGAATCTTGTACCCCTGATTATCTCGATGTTTGGCCAACTTGATGGAGGCTCCTGCATATTGTAGCCGCTGACCCGACTATACCTATACGGTACTGACTCTGAATGGCCTGAGATGGCAAACAAAGAAAAGAACAAGTCTTGGCTACTTGGACATTGTCGTGCATATAAATAAGCCTTTGTTGGTTTGTAGCGCGCGGCTCTGGGTTGCTATTCTCGGTGTGTGTGCCTTTCGTTCTTCCCATTCAATTGCCGGCGGGTTCCAAGAAAGGCTGACAGAAATACTGAGTCTAAACTCAACATAAGAGCGACGCATAAATTCTGTTCACATTCAGATTGTAATTCTGACCCACTGACAACTTGCAGCTCACAAGGTGTGACCACAGCCAACCAATCTCTAACCGCTCACCAATTCTAGACACCAAGGGGCTGTTTCACTGGGTGCAACCAAGCCACTGATGTCATTGGTCTAGACTCATAGACTCATCTGCGGCGTATTGAAGATTGCTGGGATTATCCAGTTTTTGTCCCCCGCTTGGGGGACCTCCAGCAGCCTTTGTCCTGTCGGTTAAGCAGCCGTTTAGAGGAGTGCTCCAGTGAGCCCCTTGCCCGCCTCACTACCCTTATCGCGTGTCCAATCAGACACCGCCAACTTCCCAATCTGGTATGGGTGGCTGCCTCTGATGGCAGGGGCTGTCCTGCCATGACGCGACAGACAGCGGTTGGCCAAACACTGAATATCTTGGAACCAAACCTTCTTTTTTGTAACCCTCTTCACCTTGAATTCCTCTCCTCCCATGTCCTTTCTAACACCATTTGCTTATAGAAGGCTTGTATAGGAGCAGATTGCAATGCTGTTTCATACAGCACGGTTTTAATTATTCGAGATCATCCTAAAACATTATTTGAGAACAGGTCTTTTTCGTGCACTCCCCTTCTGGGGCAACCTCCCTCTACTCTCCCTCCGTCCACAAGTTCGACATTGTCAACGACCTCATTCCGACCATGTCATCTACAGAAGCCGATGCTTCTGGGTCGGCAACCGATTCCGCCACAGGGACAGCAGCATCAGTTACCAGCTCCATCGTGAGCTCTTTGATTTCCTCTGCTATCTCCGCCTCCGAGAGCTTGAGTGCTTCTGAAACCGCCTCCGATGAACCTACAAGAACATCAGGCGGTGGTGGCATTTCTTTACCTGCCACGCAAACCAGCGCTGCGAACAGCGACCGAGGCATTGGAATCGTCACTTTCCTCACAGCGTTGGGTGTAGCTGTCGCTATTTTTACTGTCCAGCTTCTGGCGTTCCTTTTCCTACGCAACAAATTGGCCCGTATCTTGTACGTCGCCACTTCATCTTGACTCTTTCAGCGACCCGTTACTAACAGCTTCCAGCAAACCCAAAACTTATCTTGTCCCCGAACGTGAACGAACCGAGCCACCACCAAGGACGATAGGTGGTATGCTAAAGACGTTATGGCACTACGACGATCGTGAAATCATTAACAAATGTGGACTGGACGCCTACTTCTTTCTCCGCTATCTCAAGACACTGCTCATCATTTTCCTCCCCATTTGCTGCGTTGTTATGCCGATCCTGATTCCTATCAATTTTGTTGGTGGTGTCGGTCAAAAGGTTGACGTCAATGAGGAAGATCGGACAATTGGTCAAGACGACGGTAAACCCACTGGTTTGGACACGCTAGCATGGGGAAATGTCAGCCCCAAGAACACTGGCAGATACGGCGCCCATTTACTCATGGGCATTCTCGTGATTATTTGGGTTTGTTGGGTGTTCTTTATCGAGCTTAAGGTTTATGTCAAGGTTCGACAAGACTACCTTACAAGTGCAGAGCATCGACTGAGGGCTTCGGCCACTACCGTTCTGGTCAACTCAATTCCTGCCAAATGGCTCAGCGAGGAGGCTTTGATGGGTTTGTTTGATGTGTTTCCTGGCGGTATAAGAAATATTTGGCTCAACCGAGACTTATCGCCACTGCTTGAAAAGGTCAAAGAACGAAATCAGATCCACGCCCAGCTTGAGCAAGCAGAAACCGACCTCATCAAAGCTGCAAAGAAGGCTCAGCTAAAACAGGCCAAAGCGGCCGAAAAGAAGGAGCGAAAAGAGATGAAGCTCAAGGCGCTTAGCAAGCAAGAAAGGGCTGAAAGACAGGCAGAGACAGATGCCGAAGCTCAGAGGATGGCAAACAGTGCCGGAGGTACCGCCGCTGGTGACAAGCATGAAGTCCCTCACAGTGTTGATGCAGGTGTCCGTGAATCTCGTTATGAGGTCGAGCACAACGCGCATAACCATGCTGATAATGAGGAGAAGGGGAAGCCGAAGGGCTTTAGAGTACCACTTCTGGGTGACCCCCTTGCTAAAGTCGGCCACGGCATTATGGGTGTTGTTTCTAAGGCTGGCAATAACGTGGATGAGACGCTGGAGACAACAAACGGTTTCATGGGCTTGGGCCAGACTAATGACCCCCGAGCTCCGTCTCGCGGCTCTGACAGATATCGTATTCGGCCTTCAGTGGACGAGGAAGAGCTTAACTCGCCTTCAGACACCCTCCGTGTACACAATAACTCACGAAACAGCGCTCGAGATTCAGCTGAGAGTACTGCTGCCATCAATCCGAAGTCAACACGCGAAAGAGCAAACAACCAAGGAAATACCGTTCGAAAGGTCGAAAATATCGATGAGATCTACACCAAAGAAGAGTCCAAGTGGTGGGAGTTTTGGAAGCCTCCTCCCGGTGCTTATGCTTCTCCAGTTCCCCAAGGACAAGTCGCCGCAGCATATCGAGACCAAAAGTCTAGCCAGAGCAAGCCGTTGTGGCAAAGAATCAAGTACGCCCTACCCTTTGTCAGCCCTGAGATAGAGGAGGGCCCCGTCGAGTACCCAGAAGCTTTCAACCCCGAATACAAAGAAGATGCAGAACCTGCGGCGTGGGAGAAATATCTTAAGAAGAAGGACCGCCCAACGCATCGTCTGCCTATGTTTGAAAAGACGTGGCTTTTCGCTATACCTTTTGTTACAAAGAAGGTTGACACCATCTACTGGTGCAGAGAACAACTGGCTCGTCTCAATGTGGAGATCGAAGAAGACCAGAATCACCCCGAACGCTTCCCGCTACTCAACTCAGCATTCATCCAATTTAACCACCAAGTTGCGGCTCACATGGCTTGCCAGAGCGTCATTCACCATCTCCCCAGGCAGATGGCCCCGAGAATGAATGAGATCTCTCCCAGGGATGTTATCTGGGACAACATGGCGTTCACGTGGTGGCAGGAATGGTTACGCTCCGGAATCGTCTTTGTCGCTATTGTTGCCATGGTCTTCTTGTGGGCCATTCCTGTTGCTTGGACGGCCGCACTGAGTCAGCTTGATAACTTGATTCGCAACAACTCTTGGCTTCATTTCTTGAAGGATAACGAAACACTTCACAATTTCGCCAAAGCAATTGCTGGTGTCTTGCCCGCTGTCCTGCTGGGTCTGCTTTTGTTCTTGGTTCCAGTCATTCTGGGCTTCTTCGCTGATTTCAAGGGCGCCAAAACAGGATCCCAGAAAGCCGAGTTCGTGCAGCGATACTACTTCGTTTTCTTGTTCATTCAAGTTTTCCTTATTGTTTCTATTGCGTCGTTCTTCGCGGCGTCTATTGATGCGCTCGTGGACAACGTCAAAAAGTTGCAGACCATTGGCGACGTTCTTGATCTTCTCGCGAACAATCTTCCCACTGCCGCTAATTATTTCTTCTCTTACATGATTCTGCAGGCCATGTCCACAAGCTCCGCTACTCTCCTCCAGCTCGGAGCTCTTGTTATGTGGTACGTCATTGCGAAGATGCTGGACAGCACCGCACGCAACAAGTGGTCTCGGAACACCAAACTCAACCAGGTCAGCTGGGGTCGATTCTTCCCCATCTACACCAATTTCGCATGTATCGGACTGGTATACTGTGTTATCGCGCCACTCATTTCCATATTCGCAATTATCACTTTCGCTTTGTTGTGGTTGGCTCAGCGATACGCCATGCTCTACGTCACACGTTTCGAGCATGATACCGGTGGTGTTCTGTATCCTAGGGCCATCAATCAAACCTTTACTGGCATCTACTTCATGGAGCTGTGCATGGCGGGTCTGTTCTTCATTACCGAGGATGAAACCGGCAAGAACACGTGCACTCCTCACGGCATTGTCATGATCGTTGTTCTTGTTCTTACTGTTCTTTACCAAGTACTCCTCAACTACTCGTTTGGGCCACTTTTCCGCTACCTACCGATCACGTTCGAAGATGAGGCAGTGTTGCGTGACTTGGCCTTCCAGAGGGCTCAGGATCAACGTCTCGGCCTTCTTGACGATGATGAGCTCCAAGTAGAATCTCAGAATGGAAACGAGGTTGAGAAGCCTAGTGAAGCTGAGAATGGCGACTCCATTGAGATGAAGAGATTCGGCTCGGTACGACGACCTATGAAGCAGGTTGGAACATGGGCCAAGGGTGGTGGGCAACAGCTTCGAAAGCTGGCGCTTGTGAACAAGGCGAAGGATAAGAACAAGAGGGCATCAGAGTATCGGCAGCAACATCGCCGTAAGGATGTCGAAGCTCAACTTGCTATAGGAGAAGCACTTTTCGGTGGCATTCACGACGAAATCGAGGACCTAACACCAGAGGAGAGAGACGCTCTCGTTAGACACGCCTTCCAGCATGAGGCTCTCCGAGCACGTCGACCAACAGTCTGGATTCCCCGTGATGATCTCGGCATTAGCGATGACGAGATTCGTCGCACACAGGCGTACAGCGAACACATCTGGATCAGCAACGAGGGTACGGCTCTCGACAGCAAGGTCCGTGTGGTTTATGGCCGTGCTCCTCCTGACTTTTCAGAGGTCGACTTGATCAACTTGTAAAACAAAAAGAGGAGGAGGTACACGATTATATGATATGCTTTTGTTTACTCTTTTTTTTCTCTTTCGCATTTTCACTGCGTGGCGTCTTGGTCGGAAAGATTGGTGCATGGCACTTGCGCGCACCTTGCAGGCAAGATGCGTTTTCTGGGGAACGAAGTGGTTGACGCATTTCAGGGATACCCGGCTTGAAGGACATTGTGGTCACTAAGAAACAAGTAGAAGAGCAGGGAGGATTTCTGTTTTCTTCTTCGTGATAGACTTGAAGAACGCTTAGCTTCAATAAGAGATTGAAAGTATTGTTGTAATTCTCATAGTAGAACTGGTAGCATTTATGAAAGGTGTTTCAGTCAGCCCATATCAGAACATTTGTTGAAACTGTTGCTCCGTTATTCTGTACTCAGACTCCATTCAGTGCCAACACAATGATGGTATTGCTAACCCAAGTCAGGCTGTTCCGAATTAAACAGGTAAACAGATACCAGACAGTCCACGTCGAGACACGATATTATCGAGTGTTGAACCGAGTATCATTGTTGTACAGTCTAGTAGTTTCCAAGCGCCATACTAGATAGGCGGTAAAGTAGGTATATGCAAGTCTAACAATGCAAGCTTAAACCCAATAGCAAATAAAAACGCCTTTCCCAACATCCATACATCATAATCCGTCAAAATCTGGAACATGCATAACGATATCGTGTGGGAGATGTGCCCCCCACTTATCGAATCTGTCCAACGCCATCCCGATGATCCTTCCATGCCCATTTCCTTCGTTAACACCCATAAAAGCACCTCGACCGGTACTAAGTGATCTAACGGTTTCTTTGTTCGTTTTCTCTCGTCTCCTCGAGCTCCTTGCGAATCATGTCGTTGAATACCTCGGGGTTATCGAGGTAGAGATGATGTCCGGCCTTGGGAACGAGGAGGACCTTTGCGCTGCCGTTTTCTCTCTTCCTTTCTTCCTCCGTGGCGTGTTCAAGGGCCTTTTGCTTCGCTTCTTTGAGCTTCTCTTGCGAGGCCATGCCGCCGGCGACGTCCATCCAGTCGTTCTCTCCGTACATGAAAACTACCGGCAGACCGGTTTCTTTGATGGCTGTTCCGTCGGGTTGGGCGATCGTTTGGCGGCCGACTTCTTGGATGCGGTTGATGACCGGTCGGCGGGCGTATGCGCCGGGGGCGAGGATGTAGGCTAGGGCATATTCGCCGCTGCCTTTTTGCTTAAAGATGGAGAAGGAGTAGTCGTGGAGAGCCTGGGACTCGGCGGGTGGGAGATGGTTGAAGCGGCGGAAACTCCAGCCGGAGACGAATCGTGGGCCGAGAGGACCGCTCATGCGGACGATGCTGAAGGGGGAGATGTTCTGGTCCCATAGCCAGACGAACCAGCCGGGTAGAGGTCGTCGTAGCACATTGGAGGCTGGTTTGTGTTTGGACATAGTTCCGGATTGTTCGGTGGTGCTCTGCTGGTCCTGGATGATCTCGTTCTCAATAGTCGATGTGTTGGGCTCGGGCATGGAGGCGTTGACGGCGTAGGGATCAGCTGGAATACCGACAGGTGAAGCCAGAATGAGCTTTTTGAGGCGGCCAGGATACTTGAGAGCGTAAGAGACTGCGAGGTAACCTCCGAGCGAGTGACCGAGAAGTGTGAATTGCTCAAGCTTTCTGGCCTTTCGCCATTCTTCTAGCGCGTCGACGAACCAGCCCTCAGCTTCAATAACCTGATCCTCCTTCTTCTTGGCATGGATCTTGAAAGCCGGTCGCGAAGAGTTACCACAACCCAGCATATCTAGCGCATAGATCTTGAGGCCCTTCATGCGTGAAATAGGCTCGAAGTTCTTGTAGAAGAATCCTAATCCGGCGCCATATCCGTGGATCATAACAAGGGCATCGTCGGTCTCTTCTCCAACTCGCTCAACCGTAACTTCGTTTAAAGAGCGGTTCTTGCCGGAAAGTTCGACCATTGATCGTCGCCATACTCGCGTGCCGTAGGGGTCTGGTCGTTCGGGGGTGTCGATGTTGGTAATGCTGTCGTTTGCTTCTCTCAGATGCGGCATTAGACTTAGAAGATTGCGCTCAACGGCCTGCGGCGCGAGACTCGTCCACTATTTTTTGCAACCGTTAGCCCGCAGACTCAATTGCGCAAAAAAGACTTGCGCTTGGGATGCTTACCCACTGATACGCAGCGTCTTTATAGCCGAGAGGGAACAGAAAGGCGTGCGAAGGCTTCAACTCAGCCTGTTGCTTGATCTCGGGCGCATCGGATACCCGCCCACCATGCGGCGGACGAACGGCACCGTCTGTAGTCATTGTGCGAGAAGAAGAAGAAGTACAGTGAACAAAGGCGGTGATGGAAGAAAGGCGCGATAAAGGTAGTACCGCTGATGGAGAGAGAAGCCTCAGCATTCCTTGCGGAGGGGGGAGGCGAGGTTTAATATTTGAAACCTCCCCAAGAAAACAATTCGATAGTATCTGCAGTAAGAAAAAAAAAGCACTTTAAGATTATGGATGACGCCTTGTTCTGTGACGCAAGGCCGGAGTTAAGACGGCTCCGGGATCGATAAACCTAGCAAATTCCGTGGTGAAGTCCGCGGCGGGGAGGGATTTGGGGTAAGATTTGCGGGAGACGGATGAATAGCGGGCTTAGAGTAAGCAAAAAAGGGCTGAGTAGAAGCGAAGAGATTGAGATGAAGTTGAATATGGCGAAGGCCTTGGTAATGATTTCTAGAAAGACGGAATATATCGGTTTAATCTGGGACAGAATGGGCGGTATTAATCCAAGTACTGGGTACATGATTCTGCCAACCGTGGTTCCCCAACGTGTTGGGGCAGCCCACTACAATTGGCGCTTGAACTAAAGTACCTGTGCCCTCGGGATCTAAGGATGATAGGTACCGTGCTGAAGAGAGGTCATTCAGCTGCTTCACGAGACGATTGGATTGATTACATATTTATGATGGATTTATGAATGACAGGAGAATAACATCCCCTATACGTAGGTAGTTTATATATTATTTTAGAATGCTCTTAGTCCAGTCTCATTATATGAAAATTAATTATCGTATTCTTATTCCACCCTGGCTTCCCGAGCTGGTGCCCTTCCGACAAGCCGAGCCTGGCAGGGCAGGGGAAAGCTGTTTGGAACTTTGGATTTCTGGCTTGTGATGACGATTGAAGCGGGCCAAACTCAAAGAAACGAACCACGTTCGACAAGAAACTCCTCTAAAAGCATCACATATATCAACTACGTTTAACGCTAAAATTCAAACTCTCCAACTGACAATAGCTACATTTCGCATGTTGGACAAATCATAATCCTTTGCTTCTTTTTCTCTCCCTTCCCTGTCGCTTATCTTACCGCCTGACAATCCAGACCCTCCCTAACTAGACTCCTCGTGCATGGCCTCGCGCTGTCTTTGACCGGCTGCCCCTCAGCCCTTTTTTACCTCCCCTACCACCACCCAATATGTCCGACGATGTCGATTCCATCGTCAAAGGCGCCTCTGCTCCTTCGCAGGGCGCCAAGGAGGTCGCCGGCTCGAGCCCCATTCTGCCCACCACCGTAAAGCAGGGCGATCCGCTGCACCACACGCCGAGCTCGCCGTCCATGATCTATCTCAACCTGCTGATCCTCGAAGCATCGCTGCGCGCCCAATTCCTCGAACTGCGCGCTAGGAAGCGGCACCATACTTTCTTTCTTACGCTCCTGTCCCTCTGGATCGCCGGCTTTGGATATGCTCTCTTCCTCGCCCCGCGTGAAGATGGCCGAGGTGTCGGTGGTTCTATCTACTGGGCCGTGGAAGGCGCCGAGAAGGTGTGCTTCATGGGCGGCATCATCACTGCGATTCTCGTCTGGGCAACTGGAATCTGGGAGCGCGGAATTCGTTGGCCGCGACGCTGGTTTGTCATTTCCAACAGGGGACTGCGTGGCTTCAACTGCAAGCTGATCATAATACGACGGACGTGGTGGGCCGAGACGCTCTCCACGATCGGATTCTTCCTGACGTATGGTCTTTTCTCACGCACCGCTAGCTCATCGTACCGATACGTCGAACCGAGTCTCCTGCGGGAGGTGGAGAAGGAACTCCAGATCACGAGCGACATGCATCCTACTTTGGTGCTGCCCCACGAAGATGAGGAGAAGGGTGGTCACGAGGAGGATTTGGCGCCAGGCGGTGACTACGTCAAGCTGCTACTCCTCGCTAAGCCATTCTCGGCCACGTTTCGAGAGAACTGGGAACTATACAGGACGGAATACTGGGAGAAGGAGAATGAGCGCCGTGCGCTGCTGCGGCGGAAGGTCAAAGAGCGCGATCAACAACTTGTTAGACAGCAGTATGGTTGGACATGGTGGTTCCCCGGCCGACAACCCCGACGACACGAGCCCGAGAAGATTCATCCTCCTGCACCACGACACATCGCCGTTGAACGAGAGCGCAGACGTCGCGGGAGCAGCGTGCGTCGTTCCTCGATCAGCTCAACGCGGAGTCCATTGCCGACCGTCGATGGAGAAGAGAACCCGGTGGTGCGACGATCCAGCAGCGGCTCCATTTCCAAAAGTCGCAAGAGGCTCTCTACAAGCTCCAAGCCGAAGAGGCCAGGCAACGACTCGCGGTCTGTCACGCCGGATTATTCGTCACCTCTGGCAAGGGAGAGCAGTGCCACGCATACACCTGATTCGGGACCTGAAGGGGGGAAGGTATTGAGGAATTCATCGTCGAGGTCAACTGTTGGGTCGAAAGAGCGTGATTGAAAGATAACATTTGTAGTTTAGACTATGTGATATCAACTGTGGAAGTTTCATGGCTTGTTGAGTGACACGGCGTTGAGCAGTGCTGTGGTGTTGATTTGAGGTAGTAACTGTGGCACCCAAGGTATGAGTTCCTGGGCTGCTTTTGTTTTTCCCTTCTTGGTGAGAAACGACAGCATACTATGATCCGATCCAAGTAATGAATCGCACGGCATGACATGATTAATATCCACCCCCAATTCAACCAAAACTTCCATTGACGAACATACCCGCTCATCCTCAGACACGAATAGCAGCCCACACCAATGGCGGTAACCCATTAGCATCTAGATCATTCGGTCCAGCATATCCAACCTCGATGAGCATCCTAACAGCTGAGATATTCGCATTTATCATCGCTACGTGAAGCGCCGTCGTTCCACAGGGTTGTAGTCCATGCACGTCGTTGATCTGGATAGAAGCACCGCGTGAGAGAAGAAGAGCCGTTATGTCCTCGAGGCGATGATGTATCAATGTTATGTGGTGAGAAGGTCACCATGGGAGGAACGTAGAAACTAGCCCTATCACCGAATTAAGATGTTATATCCGCTCTGTGATGCCGAGATTATCATGGAAGTACATTGACGATGCATTAATATCCCCGCCGTGGTCAAGAAGATATTGCACGATATCAACATGGCCATTCTTCACAGCTACATGAAGAGGAGTCCAGAACCAGCCATTGGAAGTCAGATCCAAAAGGGCCGATATGTTAGTTTCCTTTACTGCAGGCAAAGACATGGAGAGTCATGTAGCGATGGACATTTTGGAGAGTGGTGAGGATGCCGTGCTGCGCAGCGTGGAATGTAACATGGTGGTCGTTGGTGTCGAGTTGACGTTTGTAGAGGAGGGGTATTGTGGATGCGTAGAGGGTTTTGCAAGGATGTGCTAGAGAGGCTTTGGATTGGCCTGTAGGGCAGGATGCTATGATTTGGATGGAGGATTTCTGGGGGAGGGAGGAGATGTGTGTCATTGTATGAGGGTCATCAACATAAAGCATAATGAAACATCATTAACTGCCGGGGGACCTAAGTAGTTACGCTGTCTTAGAGGGGGTAGGCCTGCTCTGCTCTCAGATCCCCAGATCGTTACTGATCTTGGAAAGAATTGTCTTTGACAATACCCTATAAGTAGAGCACTATATTACAACATCATCTGTAATTAATATAGGTAGCTTTTATTGTCTTAGACGCAAGAAGTAATAATAGTAAAAAAACTCTAGACTGACTAAGTAAGTTAACGAAGGGGTATGTACTCCGTAGCCCTCACCTAGTACTGGCCCTCCTCGTTATTGTAATCTAACTACCCTGTACTCTCAAAAGAATTTATTATAAATGAATCAGGTTTGAATTAACAAGGCGAGGGGGGTTTGAGGGGAGGACTAGACATCCCTGAATTCGGACAAAACGACAGGCTGTGAGACCTTTCACTGCATTTTTAACCCTCCCCCGAAGCCTTCCTCACATTCACACACAATTTTGGTCGCGCTGGATCTGTAGGCTTGTGTCGATGAGTATCCAAAAAGGGAGTGCAAAATATATTAACCTATCTGATACTACAATCTCTCCAGATGCAAGAAGCTGCTCTCATTTCTATAAGGCAGAATGTTAGATTCTTGTTTATAATCTAGCGAATCTATAGTTACTAACGTCGGTCATCCCTCGACTGATTATCCCCCACAATCGACCACGATATATAAAAATGTGTCGTGCCTAAGGCTTATACACTCTTTTTATATATTAAAATCTTAAGTGGTCGGTCGTGGGGTAACCGACGTTACGGTACGTGTGAGTTCCTAAGTTGACTAAGGGGAAGACTGACAGTCCCTAGAAACCGACAAAATGAAGGAAATCTCACAAATAATTGGCCTACATAAGGGCGTTTATATGGATTACACGTGGTGATTACGGAGCAGATATAGGCAAATCGTCTATCCAAAGTCGCAGGGGGGTGTCAGTCTCTAGGGACTGTCGGTCTTCCCCTGAATCAATTTATCTAGAGTTCGGGAGCCTCAATTTCACTGCATTTTTAACCCTCCCCAAAGCCTCCCTCATATTCATATAAAATATTAAGGACTAATTCGGTACTATAGCTCCGCTGACAGACATTCAAGCCTGCAGATTCGCTAAATTAAAAATAAGGATCTAATAATCTGCCTTGTAGGCTAAATGGCAACCATTCACTGCATTTTTAACCCTCTCCCAAAGCCTCCCTCCCATTCATATGTAGTATGATGCTCGCCTATGCGAAATGATCCGATAGGTGCAGCCAAATGATAATTATTCGGACAAATAAGCACCGTATCTTATCTGAAATTCTTATCTCCTCGTACCATTCCTATAAAACACCGAGGGAAATATCAACCTAAAACCGCGTATAATAGCTTAGGATAAATCCATTTCCAGAACAAGCACCGAACGGCAATTCTTTCCGAGATCGGCCGCGGAGAAGGATATTCTTGTCTGCAACCAGAACACCAACTACAGATAGGATCGCATTTCAGATGTGTGAGTAGATGAGATTGACATTTGCGAGCTCAATTGAGAGAGGTCCTGTGATCAAAACACTTAATAAATACACGGGATATGGATCTTGGCTGCATTTACCAAGCATTTCACACTCGGGTGTTCTCCGAGTCCCAAGGTTCATGAGTCAAGAAAATAAAAGCCCATACGTAAAACCCGCATACCCTTCTTATATGCATGTATTACCGGACCCTGCTACCAAATACAGCCATCGCAAGACCCGCCGGGGGCCGGCGGCGTAGTATTTGCAGCTATCTACAGTGGAGATGTCGTTCGTTGCTGTTTCGGGCGGTTCGAAATCCGGGGTAAGGCCTTGTTCTGCGCCCGCTTCAAGTGCCGTTATCGCTCATGGCAATCTGTATTGAACTTAAAAATTTCGAATTATGCAAGGTCATCAGCCGAGATAAGAGACGATGCTAAGTAAAAGTGATAGATGGGAGACTTGGGGTGGTATTTAAGTAGAAGTGGTAATCTCGTGTTTTGGAGTTTTCGGTTCTGTGTAGACTGCTTGATAATTGCCCATCATGTTCAACTGGGATAAACTCCTCTCGCCGAAACCGTCTCTAGACGTCCCTGCTCTAGAGACGGTTGATCTCAATGACAAAGAGATGGAGAAGCGCATCGTGAGGAAACAAGATCTTCGAATCATGCCGTGGGTTTGTATAACATATCTTCTGAGTACGCAACCCCATCAACAGAAGAGAATGCTTTCTAATACGATTAGACTACCTCGACCGAGTCAACCTCGGAAACGCACGCACTCTCAACAACGACTCTCCAGAGCACAACATCGTGCAGCAGCTAAACCTCACTGGCCAGAAGTACAATGTCGCCGTGGCTCTCTTCTTCGTGCCCTATGTCATGATGGAGTTCCCCAGCAACATCCTCCTCAAGTACTTCTCTCCGAGTAAATGGATTGCCCGTATCATGGTATCATGGGGTATTGTGACAATCTGCACGGCTGCAGTTTCGACATACGCGGGGTTGTTGATCGTGAGGATCTTCCTCGGTTTGGCAGAGGCTGGTTTCTTCCCTGGGTAAGTCCAATGTCAGAAGGAAGTGGAGTAAGATACTAATCGGAGTAGTATTATGATGTATCTCTGCTTTTGGTATAAACCCGAGGAGCGAGCTACGAGAATGGCTATCTTTGCGTCAAGTGTTGCTGTTGCGGGTGCTTTTGGTGGTATTCTCGCCACGGGTATTTCGTTCCTTAACGGCAAGGCTGGTTTGGCTGGTTGGCAATGGTAGGTCCTCAGTACTCTCTAGACTTTCACATCTAACCCTCATCAGGCTCTTTGTGCTTGAGGGCATCCCCGCCGTCATTGTAGGAGTCCTAGTATGGTTCTTCCTCCCTGATTGTAAGTCTCCCTCTCAGTCAACCACTCAAGCACCTCCTAACACACCACAGACCCTCAAACCGTCTCATGGCTCTCCCCCGAAGAGCGCGCCTTCGCCGTCAAGCGTCTCGGCCCCTACGCGCCCTCCATGAACGACAAGCACTGGGACAGCAAAGTCGCCAAGAAAACTGTGGCCGACCCTTTCTTCTGGCTCTTCGCCATCGCCTACTTCCTCATGACCAACTCCCTCAACGCATTCGGATACTTCGCGCCGTCCATTGTCGCGTCGCTCGGCTTCTCGGGCTACAAAGCGCAGCTGCTTACTGTGCCCCCGAATGTCTTTGCGCTGTTCATCATCGTGGGCAATTGTCTGCACAGTGACAAGACCAAGGAGCGCTCGAAGCATGTCATCGCCGGGTTGACTTTTGTCTCGGTGGGATATCTTCTTCTTGCTGTTGTTAAGCACTGGGGTGTGAGGTATTTCGCAGTGTGCATCATTGCGTGCACCAATGCTGCTGTCCTCCCCTTTGTCGCCGTAAGTTCACTCCTCTTCACTGTGATATAGATAACTAACATGGTACAGCACCGAACTGCCACCGTACGAGGCTCAACCGCCACTGCTCTTGCGACAGGAGGCATGATCGCCATCGCCAACACGGGCGGTATCACAGCTCCTTTCCTGTTCCCTTCCAGCACAGGACCTATGTACTCTATGGGCAACTGGACCGTCTTTGCGTTCCTCATCGTGGCTGCCTGTATCACAGGATACGTGTGGTATGTGTTTGGAAACCACAGCGGTTACCGCACTGGTGATGCTACGGAGACGGGCAACTTTGAGGTTCTTGACGTTGGTGACAAGGATCCTAACCAGGTTATGGATCAGGCCATGGAGAATGAGAGGGCCAAGGATAAGTTGAAGGATATTGACATGGCTTAAATGTTAAGATTGGCCAGTTGAATGTCTAGATAGGTCTTCAAAGTTTTAATTGATGATATACTGATACTCTGTTTATAAAAATCCGTGTTTGATGTACGTCGAGCTAGTTTCTAACCAGGAGTTAGTTAGCTTGACGAGACAATGATACATTGAACACCGAGTCAACTAATAATGCCAAATTGCAGTTTCATGACTAGCAGAGCTTGCTTTGTACCTACAAACAACCTGCTCCACAGATCTTGCAGAGTGTTCATAGCCTAGCCAGGTTTATCCTCTCCGCAGCATTCCATCTCGAATCACTTACAAGACCCTGATGTCAACAGCAATATGTCACCATAGGCAAGGTAAAGCCTTCGCCTTTGGTCTTCCTCTTGGTCTTCTTCCTTTAGGGTCTCTTCTTCTTTGATCTTTATAGAGGGGATATTTTATAACTATCCTTCGGGGGGGCCTCCTCAAGTGGAGGGTAACTTAATCCCTAGGCTATGGCTCCGGAAGTGATATCGCAATAGCTTCAGATTTAGGCTTCAATTTTGGGAAGGTAGGTGTAGGTCTGCTATTATCTAATGGCCGAACGAATCAGCCAAATTGGACTAATAGCCGAATTCTATATCGGCCATAAAACCTTAAGGGCCTCACTTTAAAGAGGTAAAGCCGGAAGGTATACCTTCTTCACTTCGTTTGTCTAATAGTACTCTTTAGTACCGCTTTGCTCAATTATGCTTCACCATAGCATCAACCTCAAGCCTCTCCTCCTCTCCGTCAACCTGCACAACCACCTTTCCAATAATGTTATATCCCAGGCTCAAATACAGCGGCTTTCCCATCGGCGTAGCTAGTAAACTCAAGCTTTTCCCGTCTTTGGAAGCCTCCCTCTGACCCCATTCGCAGATCATAGTTGCAGCTCCGCGCCGACGAAAGTCAGGGTGAGTCACCAGCCGCCCTAGGGCAATCTGCTCTTTTCCGAATTGCCTAAAGTTTTTCTTTATCCCGTCTGATAAGTCGTGCAAGTAAGCTCTCATATGAGTGGCGTTCGCATCGCGTCTTTCGTGGATGCCGTGGTCTGAGTGGTCTATTGTGAGTTTTGGAAGGGATGTGGTGGGGGACTCGTACCTCCTGGTATAAAATCACTTGTGACTGCGATGTCCCAAACTCCGAATGAGATAGGCTGGTGTATGATTTGTCCATCGTCAAGAATTGGTGCTGTCACCACCAGAACGACGAGTTTATCAGGTCGATCGAAGTATTCCTCACACTCGACCTTGGACCATTTCCAGAAATCTGCTGGATATTTATCACGGTATGGGAATCTGTAATCAGTACCTGGATCATCGGGGGATCCATCTCTTACAATCCAGGTGATGTCGTCCAGGTCATCTTTGGTTGCTCGTCGAAGGGTGAGAGATTTCCCAGAAAGAGAGTTCAGAACTGGATTTATCGGTCCTCCACCCATTGTTACTGGCGGCGAATGTTTATGAGGCTGGAATTAGTGACTTGAGGGTAATATATTTGGGTGATGGTGTAAAGCATGACGGAAGTAAGATGTACCCCAAGATAAGGATTATGACTGCGCCTTAGCTGAGCGCCGAATCGAGTAACAAGAGAGGGGAAACTGACAGGCTCGATTCATCGAATTGAAGAACATTTCGTCATTGTGATGGACCTTACTGCTGTTGTTATATACATATCACTTTAGGTAGGTAGAAACCGGTTTGGTCGCTGAAGAATACATTGACAATACTAAATATTGCAGGTGGCGGTATAAATACCGGGTATAATAATTACGGCCTGTAACTGAGACCTCAGATTCGTCATGGCATTTCCATTCAACTAAAACCCACGTGGCGCCAAATGCACTTCTGATGAAGATTTCGATAAGTCGTCCATGTCGAAGTGGTTATTCTTGGACGTCCCGATTGTAGTCCCGGACGATGACTTCCCACCTATGCTCATACCATCGTCCTCTCGATCTTCACGTTCAATGATGACCTCGGTAGTCATGACGACTTCATCATCACGAGGCTCGGGGAGATTCTGCGATCTATCTTCGCCGCCCATGACATACGCTTCGTAGGAAACATCACCGGGAGGCTTGTCGGTGATGTTGCTGATGAAGGTATCCAGAGCAATGCCCGTTCTGGTGCCGGTGGCCGTGCCTGCGGTGTGGCTTCGGGGTCCGGAGCTGCCGTCCTTGTTACCAGTGGTCATCTCGACGAGACGATTGAGGATGGTGAATTCCAGCTTGAGCTTGGTGCTGTAGACGAATGCTTTGTAGGAGGTCTGGTACTGGTACTGGTCGGCGTACTCGAGGCCAAGGATGGTGACGTCGAGGAGGATGATGAGGATGTTGACGTAGATGAGGTGGTTCATGAGACGTCTGCTTCCACGCTTGTTGCCCATTGTGCGTTCCATGCGCATCAGCTTGATCGTCTCGATGATGTAGAAGCTCGAGATGATAATCTCCTGGATGAAGAAGACAGTGACCTGGATCTTCTCCATAATGGAATAAGGCTGCCGCCACTTGGAAGTATCACTCGAGAAAGAGCCATAAATCATAGGAATGACTGTCCCGTGCATGAGAACTCCATTGATGCAGATCATATACAGCACAGCCTTCAAACGGAACCTATTCCTCAGCACGAGATGTAACCGCGACCACAGCACGAGCGACTGGCCCGACACCATAGCGACCCAGCCAAAGGAGATGAACGAAGCAGCGACATAGCCAACAGCGGACGAGGCGTAGTACTTGATGAGAAAGCCGCAGTCGTAGACACAGATGCCCCAGGTGGAGACGAGGAAGGACCAGAAGTAGAGGCCCGAGTGTCGCTTGAAGGTGCCGAAGATGATAAAGGTCAATTCAATGACGTTGTAGAGCGAGATGGAGAGGAAGACCAGGACGACGGTTATTGTCAGCTGGGATATGCCTTCGAGGCCAGAGCCGAAGCCGTTGACGGCCATGTTGAAAAAGGAATGACTAGAGGGGAATGTACATGTACTGTTATAGAGAAATAGGGAAAAAGAAAAGATATGGGAAAGAAGGGAAATAGGATTCTTTTGAGAGCAAGGCTAATGTCTAGTTTTGTGCGTATGTATGTATCATGCATCAAGACTCATGATCCATCCACCACGTCTTTAGACCAGACATAAGATTCCCGTGTATCCAAGTACCGACGAATCTTTAGGGATATATCTACCTCTAGTGGCTCATAACTGTAGAAAATTACTAGTCTCCCTGACCGCTACGTAATCTTCAAACCAAGACGCCAAAAGAACAAAGTAACGGCATCTACGTATACCCGTCCGCTTGGGCCATCTCACCCCCGTCCAAGAGTTACATCACAATGGGAACTCACGAATGAGAACAATGTCAAGCCACCTCAGCGAGTCACGTCCCCTGAAAGAGCGAGCACAATTGGCTGCAGATGTCGGCGTGAGATCGACGAGGTGCATTAGGGATAACTCGGCAGGAGTCGTTAAAGTTTGTGCTACTCCGTAAGTGGAGAGTTCAAGTGCCGATCATTGAAGATTCTGGGGTTAGGGCGCGTGAAACGGCAGAGAGAAAGCCTGAGTCTTCAGTCTTCAGGTGAGAAGGAATGGAGAGTGCCATTGTGGCTTTTTTGTTACGCTCTTTTTGTTTCTAATGGGACTTTTTTTTAGTGAGCAAGAGAGTATTTGATATGTCACCGTGTTTTACAGTCATTTTTACTTTTATCCCTGACGATCGGGCTTTGTTCCAGAAGAACTCTATCATGTCTAAGGGCGTGAAAGCACTTTCAGGATAATATCTTTGTGCACCCTCCTTTTATCGGTCGGCCGAATGAAAGCATTATCAAAGTATAACCATTATAGAACTCACGCTATAGCTGAATCATACCTTTATCAAATAAAGAACTCACCACTATACCACCAACAATCTATTCGCAGATCACTACAGCTAACTAGGAAGCTGCTCAACTCACCAAACAGCCACCTCAAACCAAGATCAATGGAGTAAGTAGATCGTGGTATCCGGCACTCGCTTGGCTTCCCCGCGATGTGAGTGAAGGATCACCCTTGCTTGGCATTTATCAACCGTAATATTGGGATTTTTGTCTAGAGTTTGGCAGGGATTGTTCACCAGAGGTTACATAGGGCACACAAAGCAGCCAGCAGCCTTGTAGATAATTTTAGGAATGATCCTAGGCCTGCTGTGATTTAAGACATGCAGGAGAAATAATCCACGTGTACTAACAAAGCAAAGAGGGAGTCAAAGATGAGACATTCTCGACGCCAACATGTTACTCCATAGAATACCTTTTTACCCAGTTACCATATAGCAAATACTTCTTCACCCAGTTACAACATAGCAGAGCATTCCAGTACCACGACCTACAAAAGATCAAACAAGCCACAGACTGAATCGTTCAGGGGAAGTTCCAGGTTCCAACGTCAACGTCAACGTCTTACCGTCTCGCAAACCCAAAAACCGGAAACAGTGTCTCCCGGAAATGCTCCCTCCCCTACGGACGGATACATTAGACTACCGTTACCTGTGGCTTGGTCACTAACTCACTAGCAATGCTCTAGTCGGCCGCCATTAACGATCTACATTCCGTCCACCACCAGATCGGACCGGTCTTCCAGGAACCGGGGGCCTCTGCCGCTATCGGCTGAACTAGCTTAAACAGTCAAGCTTCAGGTCAGAGCGGGACGAAGAGATTGTCGTGAAAGCTGAAAGAGATGTGTTGGAAGGTGATGCGTGGCATGTGAAGCGTGTTTGGCAGGGTTTGAGAATGACTGGGTTGAGTTTATTCTTTACTTCACACGGGATCGTACCCTGGTGGTTTATGCATGCCTGATTCCTGGGTGTTGATCTAAATCCACAACTGATGCAGATCCGGGGAAGAGGACTGGGAATAGGAGCACATGCATATGGCGTGCCATGCTGAAGCATAGCTTTCGGGTTGCTTTTTACTTGGCGTTTCGTTGTTCTAGTGTGCCAAGGACAGTGAATGAAGTACTTGTTCTGCTGCTCCTGCGTTGGCTTACGGGGCATTTACATGGACAGTTCTGTAAGACCTCTTTGTTCAGTGTACTGTCAGTAGAACACATAGGAAACAAAGGGATTGTTCAAAGATATAGCTATTCATTGATGCAAATGCAATGTATTTAACAGACCCATCCAAGAACAATAAAGAAGAACAAACATCAAAATGTATATAAAACAAAAGACTTCATCCCATGAAGCCTCTCATCTCATTATACCAACCCAATCCTCCTGAATATCTCACAACTACCAACTCCCAAATCGCAACCATGTCTCTCTCGTGGGAAGGAATAACCTTTGGAGTTGAGTTAGAACTCAGCACCCCCTGCCCCAGCACAAAACGCCTCTTCAGCGCCATCGCCCCAGCATCCGCAGCCCGTCTCAACATGGCCGAGCTCCTCGCAAAGAACACTTCGTTCCCCGTCGCTTGCGCATGCACCCACAGCATGGAGAAACGCTGTCCCGTTTGCGAGACCATCCCGGAGGAAGACATGGTGGTGGATGGAGGTAGAGATGCAGGTATTCTCACCTTTCCTGCTGTGGCTCCCTGTAGATCTGTACTAAACCATTGCTTCCTCTTCAAGCCTGAATACCTCGATCGCGAGACTGTTCTCTCTTTGCAGCGTCAGTGGCCCGGTGTGGAAATCTGCACCCCGGTCTTTGGCGCAGGTGAGTTGGCTTCCGGACTTGTCACCATGAAGACCCTTCTTTCGAATATTCGCAACATGGGTCTTGACATCACTGCAGATCAGTCGTGCGGTATGCATGTTCATGTAGGTGTTGAAAGCGGTATGACTCTTCTTCTCGCGCAGAAGATCTCCACGCTTGTCGTTCTTCTCGAGAACAGTCTTCTTCTGCGCCTTGTTGCGCCTTCGCGGTGGGTAAGTAAGCACTGCATGCCCGTCTGTGAAGACTCTCAGGGAGCTAGACAAGGAGTTTCTAACGGTGATCTGAGGAACGACAGCCTTTTCGACCAGCACGTCCCTCCCATGACCACAATGCAGCCCGCAGAATGGAATGACAACGGTTCTGAGCGGTACTACCGCCTACTGCGGGCCATATGGCAGGCAAACACACTCGCCAGCCTCTCGTTAGCCATCCGAAAGAAAGACCGGACGCGTTGCGCTTTCACACTCTGCCTGCGTTGCGAAAAGCCGTGGCAGGATCCTGTTAATGGCTACGATATGTACCACGGCACGCCTTCGACGGTGGAGTTTCGCTACTCGCAGATGACGTTTGACCACGAGCTGCTGCGGAACTGGACAGAGATTGTCACTCGGATTGTGGTGCTTGCGCAGGCTGATGCGGCGACGTTCAAGAAGATCGCGGCGAGTATCATTCAGATTAACTACGCAGCTGAGGTTCAGGGTAAGGCGGCGTGGAAGTCGTTGATGAGGGATGTTCTGGGGCTGGAGCATCGTGTTGGTGAGTGGGAGGTGCAGCTTGGTCGGTTTGAGCGTGGGGAGTACATTTCTCTTCTTGATGAGAATCTTCTTCTCAAGGCTGAGTGACTGGGGTTTGTTCGGAGTTGAAATTTGGAGTTGGTCTGGTAAATTCTAAATGCTGGTCATTGGTGTGTGGTATTTGTGCGTCAAAATCGGAGTCTGAGATTGGTAGGTAAACAGTAAGTCAATGGTAAGTATCCCTTAAGACTATTTATCTCATGCAAGTAAATAAGGTGAAACTATCAGATAAGTAGTGATTTGTTTACGTCCTGACTGCAACATTCGCTGTCGCAAATAAGAAAATGATAAACACTACAGGGTAACCAGATTACACGTCGTGATCCTCAAACTGTCAACCGCACACTAAGATCTCAGATCTGCCTTGGCAAAGGCTTGCACATCTAAGTCAAGATTCAATTCTCTATTGATCCTTTAAGCCCCAGTTTAATCACTCATAGTAACAGTAGCTCATCCTATCAAAACTCCCCTGACCTTCATTGCATACCTCGTGGCGGGATGTGGGAGTTCCGTGATGTCATACATGTCTTAGAGATTTACACTACCATCTATCAATCACGGAAGCATCATGCATCTCATCGGAAACAAAAATTCACGATAAACCAATCATCGGATTCGTAATGGTAATCGATGTAACCAACCCTCATTGGGAGAATTCTCGATCCCTCAGTATCCTTTGATGGTTGAGCCTTGTTCAATGCGTCATAGAAATATCCTTGCCAATAAACGTAGGCCCAGGATGCTTGATAGCCACAGCTAGGGAATGAATGCATGACAAGATGAACTTTCCGGGGATGGCTTAAAATGGGGGAGGTTGTATATAAGTGATCGTACTCCTAACGTGAACTAAGCTGTAGACAACGCACCAGCATAACTCACAATCATGGCCCCTTCAGCAACAGACACCTCTTTCGCAGCCCACGTGGCGAGCCAATTCCAATCCTATGAAGAAGACCGCCAGGCAACTTCCAAAGAAACCGTCTACACCACAAGCAACGGCGTCCCTGTGGCGCATCCCTACGAAACCCAGAGATGCGGCGAGAACGGGCCCCTTCTGCTCCAGGATTTCCATCTGATTGATCTCCTATCTCATTTTGACCGCGAGCGTATCCCCGAGCGAGTCGTGCACGCAAAGGGCAGCGGCGCTCACGGCTTCTTTGAGTGTACGGACCCCCTGGATGACCTCTGTCTTGCGGATATCTTTTCGCAGAAGGGCAAGAAATGCTCTGTTAGCATGCGCTTTTCGACAGTTGGAGGAGAGTCGGGATCTCATGATATGGCTCGTGATCCTAGAGGATTCTCAGTGAAAATGCGCACTGATGAGGGTGTAAGTGAAAACCTGTCAACACCAAAACGTGGATCACCACTCGGATCTCCACACAACCTAGACCATCACACAATGTGAAGTACCAAATGACTTGGCATCACACAATTTGGATCATATTGCAACTTGGATTACTAGAATGATACTAACATGTGTACAGAACATGGATTGGGTATTTAACAACACCCCGGTGTTCTTCTTGAGAGATCCTGCAAAGTTTCCTCACTTCATTCACACCCAGAAGCGTGATCCCAGCACTCACCTCACTCACGCTGATGACTCTTTCGCCTTTTGGGACTACCTTTCGCAGAATCCTGAGTCTATACACCAAGTGATGATTCTCATGGGAGACCGTGGAATCCCGCGTGGATATAAATACATTCATGGGTACTCCGGACACACATTCAAGCTTGTGAACAAGGTAGGGTTTCATCCATATCTTCATTCAAATCAAGAATAGTGACTAACCGAGTTTGCGTACAGAACGGAGATTGGGTATATACGCAGATTCACCTCAAATCCATGCAGGGCACAGACTTCGTCACCCAAGAAGACTCTGCTGAATACTCTCCCGACTTTGCTCAGAAGGATCTTTACGAGTCCATCCAAAACGGGGATTATCCTAAGTGGAGTCTTGAGGTGCAGACAATGACACCCAAGGAAGCTGAAGAACTCTGGGAGAAGCAGAAGATCAACGTCTTTGATCTTACACACGTCTGGCCTCAGAAGCAGTTCCCTCGCCGAAAGGTTGGAGAGTTTACTCTCAATGAGAACGCCATCAACTACTTCGCCGAGATTGAGCAGATTGCTTTCAACCCAGCCCATCTGGTCCCTGGTGTTGAACCATCTGCAGATCCTGTTCTTCAGTCTCGCCTCTTCTCGTATCCCGATACTCACCGCCACCGTCTCGGCGTGAACTACCAGCAGCTCCCTGTCAACGCAACTAGAACAGCACAGAAGTCTGGAAACTTCCAGCGAGATGGACAGATGGCATTCTTCAGCCAAGGTGCACGACCGAACTACCTCTCATCCATTGACCCTATCAAATTCCGTCCCAGAACTGTTGATCTGGACAAGACACACGGCCATTTCACTGGCGAAGCTATCACCTTCCTTACTGCAATCAGACCAGAGGACTTCAATGCCCCACGCGCCTTGTGGAGAAATGTATTTGATGAGCCTGCCCGTGAGCGCTTCATCAACAATGTCACCGGTAAGATGAAGCTGTGCAAGCAGGAGGAGCCATTAAAGCGTCAAATCGCCATCTTCCGGGAGGTTGATCCTGAGATTGCCGAGCGGCTGGAGAAGTCTACTGGTATCAAGGGATACGACGGTATTGCAAACATGTCATTTAACGGTACCCACAACGGCATGACAACTGATGAAGATAAGAAGCTTGCGAACGGCATCATTGCAGAGAAGGGAAAGAGTGTCACAGCACGGAATGGAGCGCCTGGAAAGGGGATGCATGGGAGATTGGAGACCAATGGCAACTCTAACGGTTCGAGCGGTCACTAAATAGTTACATCTATCAAGATCAAATAAGCCTTTTCCAATAACGATGTTGGGCCAACACAATACAGCAGTCACCTCTCCAAGTATAGTCACTCAAAGCTCTTTGTGTCGATATAGAGAGGGTCATGTGGTGAGACAAATCTCTGTTTTCTGTATTAAGTTGGGAAACGTAAACCGTCAAAACCGTAACCCATCAACCTTACAATGTAATGGTAGGATGAGTGACGGCCCATGACCTCCTATGTAAAGATTGACAATGAAAGCAAATAAACCTAACTCCAAAACCCAATCCCTGATACATACAAGACAGCTTTCCTTGTGAGCTGTGCGAATAAGGCTCTGGTCATCGGCAACACGTCCAGTGTTGATCACCACCGGCCTCATGTCTCCAGTGAGTACTATCACCCTCATTCATCTCCGTCGATGTAAAACTTCTGTTACCGCGCAATCAATTAAGACCAGTTGGTGCAAAAGGTTCGTGGGGATTCGTTCCCATTGGCATCATTCCAATTCGGCGTACAACACAGCAAGGACAGCCATGAAGCCCTGTTCGTCGCCGCGGTCTTTGGCATCTCGAAGATTGTTCAACAGGGTGCTCAAACCCAAATCAGCGGAGGCGTCTAAATCGTGCTGCTCGATGTGCTTCAGTAGCTCCGCGTACTTCTGCTCTATTTCGGTCATGGGAGGCTCTTCGACGACAGATTCGGCTTGGGACTCGAGGGAACGGGTTCGTACGGGCATCTTTCCAAATGCCTATGATATGTCAGTTGTTTTTGTCAAGAAGTGTACCTATGGTGATGGCTTACCTTTTCAGAAAGTCCACAACGAGAAACATTCTTTTCGAGAGTTTTTGACTTTTTGTGAGTGTCACCGATAGGTGTTCCATAGCCTTCAGGTTCAAGAACCTCTTCACCAGGCCAAGATAGGCCGGAGTCAAAAACCCCTGGAGCTTGCTGGATCAAATCTTCGTCGACCTCTTCACCGTTCCACATGACCTCTTCAAGGCTTTGTTTGGAGAGATCTTTAGGCTTGTGTGTCTTGTCATAGACCTCTTTCGGAAGATCAACCTCCATGATCATTTTCTTCAGCTGGGGGTAGACAGAGGCATCGTAGTCTAATTTCAGATAGTTCTCAGTGCGTGGCTCGACAAACATGTTGTTCTCATCATCGCCATCGAGGCGTTCCTTGAGACTAACTGGCTTGGCAGGCCAGCCTGAAAACATGCCTTTGCCATGTTCGCGATGACCAATGGCGAATGTTAGCCCGTCATAGTAAGCAATGGAAATCGGTAACCCGAGAATAGACTTGTACTTCTCCCTGAGCTGCCTTTTCTGTTCATAGTGGACGTCGTTGCGATCCAGGATACATTTGACGACGCAAGCTTGGAAAACACATTCAAGGAAGATAGTCTCGACTGTGTCATAGGTTGGCCATTGGCGATTACAGAGTCTCCTCATACGTATGAGCCTTTCAGAAGATAGGCGCAACGCAATATTCCAGTTCCATTTCTCGGGGAAGCTCTCTGGGTGAGCAAAGTAGGGACATCCATCGTTTCCTCTACGTAGCTTCACACTGAAATAGTCCATGATCTCCTCGGCCACCCTCCGAACTCGAGCCAGCTCAGCCTCTGGCCAGTTGAAACGACCACCGGAGGATTGTATGAAATTGACACGGGAGTCAAGACGCTCGATTGAACGCTGAAGTTCAGGATGTGGCTGGCCAGAGATGCAAGGAGCGATGTCGAAATCGAAATCTTCTTGAGTGTTTCTTTTGACCTTTTTCTTGAGACGGCGATTTTGCGTCCAGCCGAAAGTCAAACGGATGATGCGTAGGCGCTTGGAAATCTTGACCATCTTGGTTTCGAGACTGTCAAGCTCAGCCCTGGCTTGGGGACCATGGATGTCGTCTAGGTACTTCTGTTCTAACCGAGTACGTTCATGTGTAAACCAACACACCATGGCCAAATACGCTGGGATCTGGATATGCTTTGCGTAGTTCAAGCCCTGGAGAGTAAGACTGATGTTTTGAGGACAATGGATTCTGTATCCATTCTCAGTGAGCCAGACAGGATAGGTCGCATCAACACTAGGTCGGTCATGTTGTGTTCGGGATCTGGAGGTAATTTCCAAGGGTAATGATTGTAATTTACCTGAATATCGATCGGGCCACGCAGAGCCGATTGGGATATTCGCTTTGGAAATGTCTTCCTTGTTTGGCCATACCTCTTGGATAGTCTTCATACATTCCTCGAGGTTCAGAGCGCTCTCAGCCTCCGTGATGATACCTCGACTTTTCAGCCTCTCCATTCGCAGCATGTGAGTAAGTTTTGATCGGATGTATTCCATCAAATGGCCACCTGGCGGACGTTGCATCAGATGAGAGTTGCAGGGTCTGCACATTCGTCGAGAGACAAATTCACTCAGGACAAGTTGATTGCAGATGAAAGATTGGCCACATCGCGCGCAAGGGTGGCTCTGAATGGTTGACATTTCTGGGGTACACGAACATGCAGAGGGGGGCTTCTCTTGACTTTGAATGGCTTGGTTGACACCATCAGCTTCTTCAGCTCCTCTTGTCCATGCTTTCAGAATATCAGCCTCCGTCAACCAAGTATCAGAGATAGTCTGCTCAATACTCAGAGACCAAGCACGGTCTGTCGATCGGACAATGATCTTGGGCAGCTCTACGCCATGGTCCTCACGGAGCCTTTTCTGTACTTGGAGACCAGGGTCGATATGAGTGCAGAATGAATCATAAGTGGGATTCACGCGCATAAGATTATACCCGCCGAATGTTCCTCGGCCGGCGGCTTTGTCACGATGAACCTTGCAACCGTACTTCTCCAGAAGATTCGTCCAAATGTTGTTGCATGCGGCGTTGTCGAGTATACCTCCTTGGTTAGTGATTGAAGCAGAATATAACCGGAGCAATCGTTCAGCTCTTAGAAGCGATTCCCTCTGTGCTTGATCAATCGGAAGATCTTCCTCGTTTGGCAGGAGCGATTCAAATGACGGAGGTTGGCCTGGACCCGGAGGCTGCTTGATAATGACCCTTTTGAAATCTCCGCTAGGATCGAACTTGACGAATTGATATCTGTCCGATAGCTCAGGGATGGGGCTTGAATTTTGAAGCAGACGATGGCCGGCAACCTTCTGATCAACCCTGATTTTGTATGTAGTGGGATCCATCACCTGAATCCCAGAATTGAAGCGAGGCTCTCTATTTATCAAGTCCTTGGATACAGGTTTCGCCGCCAAGAATGATGGAGTAAGGCAAACAATGCGTTTGTGAGGCAGTTGCTTATGACGGCAGGCAAGTATCAAGCGACTACCCTGTGATGTGCTAGCTCTGAAGCGTGCAGTAGGGGATGTGATATCATTTAGATTTCCTGGCCAACGGTTGAGAATTTCGATAAATGCCTCGCATATAATGGTTGCTTCTTGTCGCGTGTACTCAGCCTGCGAAAGCCTTCCAACCATGAGCAATTCACTTCGTCTTGAACCTTTGGCCATGAGGTTCCATGTATCTTTCCCGCGTGAAGTCGCACGTGGTCCTTGAGGTGTCGTTTGGTGAGACTGAACTAGATGCTGATATTCGTACTTCTTGGGCAAACTGAGAAGAACGTCGAGGGACTGTCGAATACCTTCTGTTCGCGGCGAAACCAGATCATTCGAGAGTTCGACTTGCATGCCTTGAAACGCCCTTTGTACTCTGTCCTGGTTGTAGGTCTCAAAATTCTGGAAGAGCGTCGCACTAGGTCTGACAGACTTTTCCTCCTTCAAACCAGTAGGATCAGGGGCGTATTCCTCATTTTCAAAATCAGCTTCAGACAACGGTTCACGTCGTGGGATAACCGATGAAGTCTTGAATCTCTTTGCTGGACGAGTTGAAGGTCCAGCTTCAGCTTCTTCCGACTCTGAATCCGATGAGATGTCGATAGCGACTTGAGGCCGCTTGGCTGGTGGGCGTCTGCTGGAACCAGATGAGGGTGGGCGAGAAGACTCAGCAATACGAGAAGGACCGGCAACTCTGGAAGTTGCAGTCAAGTCACCTCTTGACGAGAATGCTCTTGAGGAAGCTCTTGAAGTGACACGTCTACCAGCACGTCTTTGAGCAGGAGCTATGAGACGGCCAGATCTTGTGACTCTGGGCTGTTTGTCGGAAAGATGTCAGCATGAACTCGAAGGTCACATATTCAAGAAAGGAAAACCTACAGCTTCGGATGAGAGATCCAAATTTTCAGAATCACCACTGCTGGTTGACTTGTCGTCTTCATTTTCCTCATTGGAGGTGACTTTCTCTTGCCGACCTGGCTTGAAGTAGTCCGAGACCAGCCTCGGTGGTCTACCGGGCGGCTCACGGTCGTGGCCTCCGGGTTGGTCACTCGCAGCCATGTTTGCGGCAGCGATGAGGCCGAAAGGTTGATAGTGTGATGTAGTCAAAAAATTGTACGTGTCTTTGTTGGTGTTGAGAAAGCTTGGGAGAAGGAAACTTTGGTTCTGAAAGAAAGAAGGTGTGGAGGAAGAGGGATGAACAGAGAGAGAAGAGGGGAGGTGGAAGGTGAACAGATGAAAGCCTTTCTTAGGCAGAACAGAAAAACATTGACATTAACTGAGATTCTGTGGACAGTGTCTGCCACTGGCAGGTAATTCACCTGGATATTTAGGCACGGGTGATATTGACTGTTGACAGTGGTGGAGCACCGGTGGCAGGTGTAAACAGCCTCAGGCCGATGGCAGGGCAATCAGTAACATAGAAATATCTAGAAGTCAAGCCAAGTACTAGGTGAATAGAATTTAACAATGTTTGCTTATTTAGGTAGCCAGTGATCCTTCGTTTGGTCTATGCGTGAGAAAGGCATCAGGGTACACATATTCCTTAAGCAAACTTCAGAGTACTGCCCCAAGAAATTTATCAGCCTGTTGTAAGTTCATACAGACAGTTCAGTAATTTACGGTACTGTTGATATTGTAAATATGTGCGGTCACTCTGTTCTTGAATGTTAAGGACACTTGTGTTTATTGCCTTGAATGCTACAGAAAGCTCTCAAAAAACCCATTTTCACCCCCGTAGCTACCTCTCGAGTTAAGTCTCTAATGCATCGAAATACGAAAAATCCTGAAAACTCAAGAGCCGTAGCTCAGATCTTATCAGAATCCTTCTCCTGATCGTTGCCAAAGTTGTATCGGACAATATCAGGGAGAGGATCGTTGTCATCGAGATCCATAGTAATCACTGTGTTCTGGGAATCAGGTTGCTGAGACTCGGTACGCTGGGACTCGGTACGCTGAGATTCATCGGTCGTCTTAGCCTGGCTGTCAGGGATACTCTGGCTGCGAGATCCAGTGTCCTCATCGACCGCCCCGGAAGCCTCTTCTTCTTCAGCATCGAGGCGCTGATTCATTTCCTTGATCTGAGCATCATGAAGCTCATCCATCGTCATGCCGTTGTTACTAGGGCATATAGTTAGCACCATATTAATCTTAGTGATCTGTAATATCCCTACAGTTTCTTCTGGATCTCGTAATCGATCCTGGTCTGATCGAGCCGAGCCCTGTCCAACAGCTTGTTGGCACGGTTGAGGCTCTTGGTCACGCCCTCTCGCTCGCTGTCGGTGAGATCATTGCGCATAGAGATCTCGGTGAAGAGGCGGACTGCCTCTAGGGCGTGCTCTACGTAGTAATGAGACGCGGTTGACAGAAGCATATGCATGCCGGCCTGGTGAAATCGCCCGAGACGGGGTTCTTGGAGCAGTTCGCGCGCCATGAGCTCGGCAGCGTCGTTGTCCCCCTGACGCCAAATCGTCCAGGCTTCCTTATAACGGAGCTCGAACATAGCTAATCCATCGGTTAGTTTGATCAGATATATGGTATAGGATACGGGTATAGTGCGTAGGGTATAGTGCGTAGGATATAGTATGTAGGATAAAGGATATAGGAAGGTGAACTTACTCGAAAGTGGGCATAGTTCTTCACTCATTGTGGCAAGGACAGCTACTGCTGGTCTTGGATGGATGAGGATGAAAGTTGTTGTTTTTGGTCTACTGAGACCTCTTGGATGATATCTCCGTAAGGTTTATCGGGGCAGGTTGAGTTTTCGTCTTATTCCAAAGTTGCTACCAGACTCAGTATTGATAATGAAGAGATCATATCACCAGTTCAAGAAAGAAAGAAAGGGAAAGCCAGCAAAGCTTTGGTAAACAGGTGACCTCCTTACGTAAGGTATATGGATGTCGACCTGAGTTGTTTGACAGCTGGCAGCAACTGGCATACCTAGGTAGTACTAACCTAGATACCTTAGGTCTTTACTGCCTAGTACTAAGGTACCTAGGCGCCAGAAAATGTAAATGAATGCCTTATACAGGTACATGAGGTGCCTAATCGTAATATCACGAAAACATTGGACGGGCAGACATTCACTGAAGTTTCTACCTGGGGGTCCCGTGCATAAACTATACCTAGGTAGTAAGGGGAAGACTTCTCATGGGATTGCTCAGGTAGTAAAAATGAACTTCGAAGTGATAACTTGAGGACACCAAGCCGTACTTATTTTTACCACGATAAGGTAACTCTCATATTATACCTGTCAAGCTATTGCGGGTTTACCGGCAGACTTGTGATCATATTTCAAACCTTGAATATACAGATGAACAGGCTCCAAGGATTCGCTCTTTTACTCGAGAGTGGTGCAATTTGTCCACCTTGTTACAGACTTGTTGCTAGGCGCTCGCCACTCGATCTATGTGATGTGATCCCTAGCAATTGGCGGCTCTTGGCCAACTATGTAATGTAACCAGGCATGGTCGATCTTATGGTGGACGAGGTGCTCTTGAGGCGAAGTAAGCTGAAGTTTATGTAAGTTTCAGATAACTTCAGATAAAGTAAATATGAAGTGAGCTAATTTTTACATGACTTGACAAAACTTCAGACAAAGTAAATACGAAGTAAGCTCAAGTATAATGACTTTCGCATAATTTCAGATAAATTTGAGACAAATGATAACCGTAACCGCACAAACAGATATAAAACAGCGATCAACACTTAAACAGATTGCTTCAAAACACAACCCAATTCAGGTCCACCAAATTCAACCAACTCCCCATATAACACAGTCCATCTCCCCCGTGCAAACCTCACTTCCCCTCCTCCTTCCCCTCCGCCCTCGGAGCCTGCCACGTACAACTCGGCGGCGCACACGTCTCAGCACACTTGACACACGCCAGCTCACTCTTGCGATAGCTCCCCTTGATGATCCTCTTGTCGTCGAACGCGTACCGCGGGCAGTGCATCGTGGGGCCCGCGTTGCGCCCAAACAGTCGCCGCTGGTAGTCGCATGCCGAGCCTAGGTCGTCGACGGCGTAGAACATGTCGATGAAGTGGAAGGCCTCGCTGCCGATCATGGCGCGCCCGCGGGCCATTTGCGGACATTCCGGCCCTTTGGCGCAGCAGCAGACCATGCGTTGGAAGGAGTATGTGCACATTGCGTTATGAGATTCGTCTTTCAAAGAAACTGAACAACTAGAGTCAGTAGAGTAGAATACACACCTTTATATGAACATCCAATATCTCGTCCCTCGTCGGACGAAAAAGTCAGGATATATCAGAAACAAAAGAACACAAATGCCGGCTGTTACACTCCCGCTTCTCTCGGGTCCGCAAACCCGAAAGGGCGCTATGTTTGCCTGGGGGGGTTCTTTGCTCCCTGTTGTACCATGCGGCGAGCCGTAACCAGCAACGGGGGTCGTCGCGGGAGGGGCAAACATGGTCTTGGGTTTCTGAGGGAACTCGAGATAGACGAGACGGGTGAGTATCGCGAGTGCGACTAGCACATGGTGGACAGACAGGGGGGTTGGCATTGACATTGACATTGGCATGACTTCGCTCACTAAAACAATTAACCATCTGGCCGTGTCCTTAGTCCATCTGATCCACCGTTGTGGCATCTCCATTTTGTCCCTTGGAAACTCCCTCGATCTCCATGTCCTTGGGACCTACTGGGAGTCTCCATTTGAAAGAATCCTCAGCTCTGCCAAGTTGGATGTCCTTGAGGTGCTTGAGCAGCTTCTCAAACAGCGGGCCAGGCTCCTCAGATCCGTCTTTGATATACGTTGCGACCTCTTCCTTCCCATCAACACGACGCGTGATAGATCGGATGGGCACAAGAGCTGCGGCCGTACCAGCTGCAAAGACCTCGCTGAACTCCTTGAGCTCCTGGTACTTGATAGGCCGCTTCTCGACCTTCCACCCGTAGCTACGCCCCAGCTCCTGGATGCTATCGCTGGTGACACTATCAATGACAGCGTTGGAGTCGGGCACAGCAAGCGTGACATCATCGCCGTTGACCTTTGCGCCGATGAAGCCGCTCGTGCTGAACTCGTCAATCTCCTCGTGCCGCACACTATCGAGGTGCAGCGTGATACCGTAGCCTTCGTCACGCGCCTTGTCGCTCCAGCGCAGCACAGGAGCGTAGTTCCCGCCGACCTTGGCATGCCCCGTGCCATGCGGCGCCGCGCGATCAAAGTCCTCAAGGATGAGTGCCTTTACAGGATGCGCGCCGTGGTAGACACCCGTGGGGATGACAAAGACGGTAAAGATATACTCCTCAGGCGGCGAGAGTCCAAGCTGCGCGCTGGAGCCGTAGAGCTGAGGACGGATGTACAGGGCAGCGCCTGTCTCGTGGGGAGGCACGAAGCCTGCGTTTAGGGCGACGGCGGCGCGGACGGCGTCGAGGAAGAGGTCCTCTGGGACGTGGGGCATGGAGACGACTTCCGCGGAGTGCTGCAGACGCTTTGCGTTGCGGTCGGGGCGGAAGATGGTGATGCCTTCGTCGTTGGGCGTGCGGAAGGCCTTGAGGCCCTCGTAAGCCTGCTGGCCGTAGTTAAGAGCGGGAGCCATGCCGTGGATGCGCATGAAGGGATCGGCGACGAAGCGAAGGGGAGTCCATTTTCCTGTGCTTTTACTGTAGGTAGATTCAACATGGCCATTGACTATCGAATGTCAGATACGACCTCGTAACACCAAGCAATTGCTTACCTTCGCGGACCTTGAAGCCCACGTTGGCCCAGTCAATGGTATTAACAGGAGGAGGAGGAAACGTAGCCATGATCTCAACAGTTTAGGATAAAGATGAAGAAAATCTGCAGCCCAAAAGTCAACAGCCAATTCCCCCAAGCGCCCTTTATACCCTTAGAGACTCACATTTATAAGCTCTTTAGTAAAGATGCAAGCTGCTTTGACAGTCGGCACTAAAACGAACCAAGAATGGAGATGCCAAAGTCCCGTCCCGTCGCTGACTCTTAATTGGGACTTCACGACTCCCCGCGGCCGATGTCGCACTTTACGCGGGGTCTTTTAATTCTTTTTATTTTAGGGCTGTTTTGGCAGCATTTCATTCGCTTGTCTTTTCACCGAAGCTTTAAGGTGTGATGTCATGATGAGAGGAAATGGCTTCATGAGGAAAAAGCGGTTGCGAGTAAGCAGAAACGGAAATGGGCGTTTACCGTTTTTTATGGGAGGTTTCTGGTAAAGGCAGGGCGCAGGCTGACATGAGGCTTGAACCGTTGGTGTTGAGAATAAGACATGAATCAATTATTATGAATGTTAGTGCTTAGTCGAATTCCTTACTGTTGTCTTACTTATCTCAGCGCTATCTTCGTATGGCATCAATGAAGATCGATATACGTATTCACAAAGCAGCAACATAAAAGAGTTGAGAGGCTAACAAACCCTTTCCAGCAAGTCTCTAAAGTTATAAAGTAAAAGTAAATCTCGTCCTATAACGACCATACCCATCATAACATCTCTTTTTATGATATAAAACGAAAACAAATATAAATCGAACTATTTTGGTGTCATCGAGCTATCAGTGATGCTCCTTTGTACCCCTGCACCCGCTGACCCAACGCCAACGGCACAAACTCATGCAATAAATAACATACAATTCCACAAATCCCATAACTATTCAAGAGACGCAAGACGCTGGAGGCAGGAGAGGACACCTGTATATGTTAGTATTGTAGAGTGGCGTTTAAAAGAATGGAGAACTTACCACTGACACCCTGAGTAAGAGTGGCTGTCGCTTCGGTGTTGCGGTTTCCGAGACTGACAGTAACGACATTGTCTATAGTACGATCGTCTTGAAGTCGGTTTGCCCACTTAAACACCTTCTCATCCTCTCGTCCATCACCAATGACCATCAAGAAGTCAACAGGAATCTTGTGCTCCTGAGTAGAGCTCATCTCCGCCTTGAGAGTCTCAAACACCTTTCTGGCGGCTGTTCGCTTGGTCCAGTCAACAGGTTCGACAGCGATACATCCATCGAGAGCAATAGCATGTACACGCTGAGACTCGCAAGCGTCGTTGACATGGCTGGCGCAGTCTGAGGCTTGTCGTGAGGCTGACTCATAATCCTCCGCACTCTTGTAGTGGAAGATAAGACTGCAGCGGCGCTCCTCGATCTCAGCACCAGGAGTTCTCTCGAGGTAGTATGTCATAATTGGTTTCACTGACTCCTTCCAGTCCTTGACATGGGCGAGATCTGCCATCTCGATCCAGGATTCACTGCCATGGGTCTTAAGGAAGCATCCATTCTCAGCAATCAGACCCAGGTTAGGAACCCGGCGGAAGACGCGGTCAAGCTCTTCAGGTCGGCGACCGGACATAACGTAGACAGTGTTGCGCTCGTCAAGAAGCAAGTCGTTGAGCACATCTAGTGTTCGCTGGGGGCTGATGGGAATGATCTGGTTAACAGGGCCCCAAGCCACAAGTGTGCCCTCGTAATCGATGATAAATAGTCGACGCTGAGCCTTGTTATACTTTGTAGACAAAGCCGGGATGGACAATCGAGGAACGGATGTCTGATCTCGCTTGTGTTGCTCATCATACACAATATCCAGACGGCCAAGGAACTCGGTGAACCAGTGAGAGCCGGTGTGCTTCACTACACGTTTGTAGAGGTTCTCCCATCGCCTGTCCTTCTCTTCTTCACCCATCTCCAAAGCCTGCTTGATGGCGTCGGCACATGCTCGGTAATCCCAGGGGTTCACAGCAAGCTCGTTCTTGTTGAACAGAGACGAGGTACCAGTAAACTCAGAAAGGATCAGAGAACCGTGCTTCTTCTCAGGGAGAAGCTTTCCGTCTTGGCAGAAGAGATATTCGTGGGATGTCAAGTTCATACCCTCACGCTGGCTGGTAATCATGAGCGCATCGGCAATGGTCAATAGGGCAAGGTATTGGGCGTAGTCGATATCTTGCTTGAGGTAGACCACAGGCTGGTACGCGAGGTTGGCCCACGATGAGTTGACTCTGGTCACAATGTCGCTAACGGTGGCCTCGAGATCACTCTTTTCGCTGGATGATAGGGCAACTTGGATTAGAACAGTGTTTTCACGCCACTGTGGGTTCTTGTTGAGGAACAATTCGTAAGAAAGCAGCTTCTGACGAACACCACGGACGTGGTCAAGCTTGTCACGGGCAACGATGAGCCTCTTGCCCTTGTAACGATCCTGCATAACCTGCAGCCACTTGGCAACCTCAGGAGTATCAAGGTGATCACGAAGGCTGACAGGGTCAATACCAATAGCAAGATGAATGACATCGATGAATCGATCCTCGAGCTGTAGACCATCCGGTGTAGCCTCCGCACTTAGAATGCGACTACATGTCTGAAGGAAATGGCGTCCGTATTCGTGGATTTGGAAGCCAACCAGGTTAGCGCCGAGCATACCCTCCAGAAGCTCCTTTCGAACAGCCAGACATCGGAAGACTTCGGATGAAGGGAAAGCGACGTGGAGGAAGAAGCCAATCTTAGCCTCAGGGAGCTTCTTGCGGACCATACCAGGAACGAGAAGCAGATGATAATCGTGAATCCAGACAACATCACCACGCTTCCAGTTCTTGATAATTTGGTCGGCAAAAGCCTGGTTAACGTTGACATAGTACTTCCATGAGTGGTCCTCGTAGGCCTTGCTCTTGGGATTGTCGGGGATCTGGTAATGGAAGACAGGCCACAAGATATGTTTGCAGAAGTGGGCATAATGTCCGTCAAAGTCCTTGTCGGAACAGAAGACACTCAGCATGTTGTGCTCATTAGCCAGAACATCTTCAATGTCCTGCTTCTGTTGTGTACCCTCAAGAGCATCCGTAGGCATTCCCAGAGTGCCCACCCAGGTGATATCGTCGATCTTGCCATCGCGAGCAGCGGCGTCAGCAGCATTACGAAGTCCTCCGTTGCCCTGGTCGGCATTAACAACCATCCACCCAGCCGATGCAAAAACTCGATCGTGACTGTCGCTTCGAACGAGAGATCTAGGCTGCAAAATTCCCTGGCGACCCAACTCACGAGCCTTCTTCATCGTTCGGTTGTTCTCAGAAAGAGCAGGAGGAGGGGGAGAGGCGGCGCGAGACTTGGGCTGGTTAGCCCGGCTGCCCCAAGACTTTGGGCTGTCGGTGCTGCTAGAGCCATGAGGAAATTGTATCCTGAAGCCATCTTCGTTGGCGAACAGATCGGGAGGGTCAGCCTCTTCGGTCGGGGTGTGAGGAGGTGTGATATCTGCTTTTTGGAACAGGCTCGGTTGGCGAGCGAGAGGGGCAGGTCGTCCGCCAACTGCTGCGGGTTGAGGAGGCGGTAGAACAGGTTCTTTGACAGCCTTTGATTTTGGTCCAGACAGTGATGCTCGAGTTGGGTCGGCGCCGTGGGGAGGCGTACCGGGCAGAGTAAAGTGTATAGTTTTGGGGAGGAAGCTATCGTCATATTAGTTTCGTCATTCTTCGCTAAGCTTGGTGGGCTTAACGATGGAGGGGCAAGAGCGGGGAAACAGAACAAAAACTTCGAGGGAGAGCACATACAGAGAGCACACAAAAACCGTCATTTTGGGCTAAAGATTTATGAGAAGTGCGTATGAAGCCGAATTGTTGGTGTACAGGTCGTTTCGTATTGTATTCTGTCTTCGAATCTCCGAGTACTGAGAATACGAGAGCTCAAACGGGTAGTAGGTTGGTGTCGTTATTGGGATAGCTCGTATGACGACTTCATGTGGAAGTAAAACTAAAAATCCAAGTGGCAGAGGTGTAGCTTTTTGTTGAGGAAAGTAGCTTGTCGCAGGCAAAACGCCTCTTTGTCGCAGATGCGCTCAGCTGTAAATCGAGCCGAAAGTGGCGAATAGGACCGTAAGGGGAAGAATGCGCGCAGCAACGAGAGCTTGCAGGGTTGAAACAATCAAGAGACAAATATCTCAAGATAAGAAATAATTGCAACGAGAAATCTCCGACGTCGCCGTTGTTGGACCGTGTCGTGAGATTCGTCAGGTGTTTTATAGAGTTGCACGGCCAAACTTGGATAGCTCGGAGATCGTTGCTTTAAAAGCTCCTTTTGTTCTGTCGAACGAGGAGAGGATCAGTTGGCAATTGAAAGATTCGATTGATCGTAAAGAGGTATTTCCCAAGCAGGGGATAGCCTGTAAGAAGAGCCCTGTCAGTTTTAAAGTCTCGACTGTGATTGTATGGAGGGATGGAAGGGCAGGGAATGCGTAAAATGTAGCCAGTTGAGGTATAGCACTCACTCTGACGTAATGCAATGTTGCTCTACACCTTCAAATAGGCATGTGCTGGAATGATAGACCAGGGCAGTTTTGAGCCTCAAGCGAAGATCAGGACGGTTGGTACCTGATATAAATCAACCGACAAGTGGAGAATTACAGCAAACGAACCATGTGAATAAACGAGACAATTAAAAGTGACGAAGGGCCGATTCAAGGGCTACGATAGAAAGCTGCAGTACTCGTACTCTGTAGGTCTACTACAGAAACAAGAAAACATGACAGATGGTTCAACAGAAACATACATGCGCACATATAAAATAATACAACGTGACGTAGTTTGCGGGAAAGGAAATCGCGATCAGTTGTTGAGGATCTCGACACAGGAGAGTTTGGTCCGTGATCCACGACAGGAGTTTAATAGCTTGGAACAGAACAAGGTTGGAGGGTGTGGTGTAAGCCCGTACTCCGTAACGTGAGGTAAAAGCACAGAAGATGGGGGGAAAGATGGGGAATCACTCGGTATTATAACCCCTGTTGTTTGCTCGACTTAGCCAATCTGAGGCCTTCTCTTTCTGTCTATTTATTTTTTTACTCCGTCTGATGAGAGAAATTCATTACAAGCGCCAATAAGGAGACAAGAACAAGACATGAATCGGAGCGTTGACCGATGCACAAACGGCGTGTGGAGTTTTAGGCCCATGATGGGTCTGTCATTCATTGTTGTTTAGGCGGAGCTGGGCTGGATAGCGGGTAGGCTAAACACGGGCCCCAGAGGAAAACAGGGATGATGTACGGATGATGAAAATGGTGAAAAATGGTGCTCGAGAACGGCCAAGAATTTTTGAGATGGGCCTGTACCTTGCTTGTTGGCAATTATTACCGCCCCGGCCGGCAAAGTCTCTGTTTAATTGTGGGTGAGCCTGCAACGATGTGTATCATATGTGATATAAAGGTTGGGTGAACTGTAGCATCTGATAAACTTCGGCACTTGGTGATAAATCCGTTGATGAATGTGCCTGGATGTGTTGATCAATGGGGAAGGAGATGTACATCAAATTCCCGGTGCAACTCATTTTCTAATGGAGAAAATGCCTCCAACCGATGTGAGTTGGATGGTGATATTGGTGCGGGAGGCTCAGCAACCACAACCAATCTATCGGGCCTGTAAGCTGCAGTGCAGAGTTACCCCAATGGACATCTGGCGGCCTCTTGAATCGACACGCCCTCATTCAAGGTCTATCGTCGATCATGCACTTGGTTCAATATGCGTGGTACAAAAATCGCAAACTTGATCATGATACTTAGGAGCAATTGATCCAGTAGCCAAACACTTGGGCTGACAAACATGACCATCGTGCAATCCAACCCCCAAAATGGTATGTCGCCCCGGATGAAAAGATGATATCGGCGAGCAAATATTTTATAGTATGATAGAATCCGGGTCAAGCTGTACATGACGACCGGCTATTACCACGAGTATATTCATCCAGTGTGAGTGGAAATAAACCAAGTACAGCAATACTTTAGCATTTATCGACCGTACGCCAGGAACCCACTATCTATTCAAATTGATTACCACCATCAAAATCCCTATCATAACAAGGGTAGTTCAATGATTCACGTACAAAGCTCCCTCAAAATAAAGACAAGAGAAGTAAGATTGATTATCTTACCCTTGTCAAACCTGGCTGCACCGGCCCGTCCATTCCACCCCGTCTTACACGGGCCGTTTCTACTTCCCGTACTTCGCATCGGGTTGACTGGATTCTTCCTTTTTTTCCCGCAGCCTCATCGCGAACCTCGTGGATCTAGGATTGGGGATGCATGGGTCTCGTGATTGGAGAGGTGTGTAACATGGTTGGTGGCGTGCATCATGGCGGCCGTGTAAGTGTTACACACACCAGGCCTCTTTTCCCTCAACAGAATCTTAGGGACCTCCAGATTAAACACAAAGGATAAAACTCACGCAACGTGACTATCCTCAAAAGGGATCTCCAAGGGATGGTTTCCTATTTCTTGATGATGTTCTTGAAACTGGATGCACCCCGCAGCTTCTCCGTGGTGGAGTAAGTCTATGCCGCTTCAGAACCTTTGGCCTAGAACTCGGGATAATGGGCATGAAATGGATATGTGCCTGAACCAGGATGATAATGCTTGGGGTAATTAACATGTCTGTCTTATGTTGCATGGGAGCCTTGAACCAAAAGATTTTCTTTCTTGCCATAATAAGATGATAGCTGATTCAACATGGTACCATAGGCATAGAGAGAGGTCTGGCAGGGATTCTCTATATCTTATTTTATTCAGTTGTAATTATTTCCAAAATCCTATAATGTCTTACCCCAGTTTGGACAACTGATATTATATTATAAAGTCTTACACTTGGAACCTAATAAGAATCATCGTAAGAAAGTACATCCCGACCTGACTTGTTGTCTGACTTGCCTTCATCACATGCAATTTATAGCCCATCACCAAACTTCACAAGAGAGACATAATTCAGAAACAAAACTTGCTGACCTTTCCCCGTGTGGCCTGAGCAATCTGCAACCGCGTTACACTCGCAACCATATCTTTCTCCAATTTTCCAACGGCGGCCTTCCGCAGCATCACACAACATGCGGCCCCAGCAACCAGGGTTAGTCGGCTTCCACCTGAGCCCACAGCCGGCCGGAGTGCCGGGGCCCCATACACAGGATCGGACGGATGCACTTGATGGGGATATTTTCAGCGACGAGGAGCGTTATTTTTGTTTCTCTTTCCCCCTCTTCTAGGGTTACTTCTGAGTGTGAGGTGTTTGATTCTAGACAGGATATCAAGCTGGGCTATTGAGCTTAGGCTCGATTTTATTCCCCGCATGTAAAAACATCCCTCACTTTGGGTTGATCTTCACCCCGACGCTTTCCGGGGGTCGCTCGATCATGTCCATCCACTCAGGATCGGCGGGGCAGCCTCGTGGTGCTGATGGAGGCATGTAAGGGGCTTCGAGAAGAGCAAGAAACCAGGCTTTTATTTTGTGTGTGTACCTACATGAGAAATGCAATACCGGTCCGGGTCCGACATGATCCGACAGGGAAGTTGGATGTCATGCCTAATTTGCTTGCATACAGTGTGAGGCTGTAACCAAAGCATTAGCCACCATAAGAGATACAATCAACGTGTAACTACGGCTCCAAACCTATGATCATGAGAATTCTAGCGATTTTGACAAATTGGTAAGGTTTCAAACTTGGGACTTGGTGTGGATGTTGGGCTTTCGGTCCATGCGGGTTAAGGTAAATTAGCTCTAGCTGGGGTGATGTTACCCCACAACACCACTTTCTAGATATTTCCAAGGCATCGCGAGCTTCACTCCCACTTCCATCAACATATTTCCAGTATCTTCCTTGCACGTGTTCTGCGAATTCAGTACAAAGATTCTTTGCCCCATCGCTTACAAGCGAACCTATCAGCGTAGCAGTATTGTAACCCGTTGAAGTCTTCTTGTTGTCTTTTTGAGGTTGTTCCAACAAACGCTGTACCCGCAGCTTGGATGAAGCTAGTGGGCAAGATGCACCTCTGATCACAGGTCCAGAAGCTCCCAGCTCCCGTGTGTGCATGATCTGCTACGGGGCCCACTTCACTGAAAAGAGGTCGTCGCTGGAACGAATTGTTGCGTGAGATTCGGAAGTCTCCCGTGAGCATTACTACGCCTCCTCATGTAAACTTACCCAAAAAAGATCGCATTTCTCAAAGATAAGCACCTCTTTGCTGCGCCCTAAACCAAGACACATCTAGAAAAGCCCTCCAGTGAAACTGTTTCAAAAATGCACAGCGGATGAATGGCACAGCAAGCATGTGAATCACTTCGGGGTATCTTGACTTGTAAGAGTAACAAACACCATTTTCTTCGGGGTTCTAGTTGCACCAGAGCCGGACCGCCTTGTCTTTTCCACCGCTGCCGACTTTTTTGCCGTCTGGTGCCCAGTCTACCGCGTACACCTCGTCTTGATGGCCGGGCAGATCCACGGCCAATTTGTGAGAGGCCATTGACCACACCTTGAGTGTTGTGTCCTTGGATGCTGTGACCAGAAGTCTGGAGTCTGCTGAGAATGCGCACTGGTACACAGGAGCCACGTGTCCGCGGAGGGTATTGATGAATTTGCCATCTCTGAAAATTGAGTCAGTATTTGGTACTTGAGAGATGTTGGGGTGTTTCTTACCTGGCATTCCAGAGCTTGGTGTGGTTGTCCCAACCAGCACTGGCGATGAGGGAACCGTCGGGGGAGAAGGTGACATGGTTTACCTGCTTCTGATGACCCAGCATACGCGCAACAGGCTTGGTGCCCTGAGAAGGATCCCAGAGATACATGGTGAAGTCGTCACTGGCAGTGACAAGACGCTCAGCGATTCTACCCTGGAACTTGGCAGCCTTCTCGAACCTCTCCTTGGCCTTTTGTCGCTTTCCTTCCTCGGTATTGGGCACAGGTGTGTGATCGTAGAATCCAGTCCTCAAGACGAAATCTGTTGAGAGCGCAAGATGGTTCACCCAGTGGACGTGGGCCGACAGCGTGTGCACCATGGTTCCCTTCGCGGCATTCCAAACTCGGACCGTCTTGTCGTGACTTGCGCTGTAGATGAGACCCTCTCCTCCCCAGCGGACACAGCTGACGCTGCTCTTGTGCCCGGACAGTACATGCTCGGTTTTTCCTGTGTTGACGACCCATATCCGGACTGTTGAATCCTTGCTGGCACTGGCAAGTCGTGCTGTACCGTCTCTCCAAAGATGATAAGGTTCCCATACGATGTTGGTTACCCACTTTGAATGGCCTGTCCAAGGACTTCCAACAACCTTTCCAGTCTCAGGGTTCCAAAGACGAACCGACTTGTCCATACTTCCAGTAGCGAGTTGCTCACCATCGGGCGACCAAGCAACCGCGAGAACCCATCCAGAGTGACCTGCAAGGGTGTACTTGGGTGTTCCAGTATCAGTATCCCATATCCGCGCCGTCTTATCGCCAGATCCAGTAGCCAGTCTACTGCTGTTCTTGGGGCTGAATTGAGCTGCGAGAATTGCTTCGCCGTGGCCAGGGATCTTGTGGGACATGCGCGTTACGGGCTGAACCTTGAAAACGGCCTGCGGCTCAGCGCTGAGGGTAACAGTCGTTTCGAAAGGGTTCTCGATACCATGGTTGCGAAGAAGCTGGAGGAGATCGGTAGGGTATTGGTCCACGATGATTTCGGTACCGGGAATGTGAATTCGGAATCGATATGGGAGGAATTCTTCCTTTTCCTGTATCAAATCAACGCCTGTACGAACCAAGCGACATCAAGATAAAACATACCCTGGCAAGTAACGTATTCAAAAGAAGCGATAAGTTCTTTTCTGAAGCGTCGGCGAGGGGGACTTCGATCACATCGGCCATTTGCTGGCCATCTCCATCAAGAAATCGAGCTTTGAAGGAGCCTTCCGGCCCAGATGCAAGAAGTGTGACATCTTGCTGAACCTGAGAGCGCTCAAGCACTTCTCTCTTTTGTCTTTTAGACGGGGGAGGTACGATTGTCGCCATCGTAGATGATATTCGCTTTGTTACCTCGCAAAGTCTGGAGAATTTCAGCGCTGGATGGTGGGGCACTTGGCAAAATTTAGAAATTTTGGCGGTGAGGAGCTGCAGTGCGGCAAGTGGTCCAGTGTCAATCTATCGATGCTACTAACAAATTCGGCCCATAACCCCGCAGGATCCCGTTAGAGACATAACCCATGTCGTGCCAGCACATGTCTTTCGAAAACAAATAAATACACAATCCTGCGCCATTTCCCTAGGAACGCCAAAATACTCTACTGTTGGTTCTGTTGCCCACCTTGTGCAGGACGCCCACGCATTCTCTTAGGAGGCCCAGCGTAATGCTGGAACTGCGGCATATCCATGGTAGGCACAGGAATTGGGGTCTGCTGAGGGTTCTGTGGGAGATACAATTGTGACTGCAACATGGCTTGTGCCTGTGCTTGTGCCTGTGCCTGTGCCAGGCCTTGAACCTGTGCTTGAGCCTGAGCTTGAGAGGTCTGTTGTGGTAACGGGAGCTGTTGGATGTGTTGAGTATGCATCTGCTGTTGTTGCTGTTGCTGTTGCTGCTGTTGTTGCTGCTGCTGTTGTTGCTGCTGCTGTTGCTGTTGCTGTTGCTGTTGCTGTTGCTGCTGGTTTTGCTCAACTGCTTGCTGGCGACGCTGTCTAGCTCGCTGCTTCTGTGCAGATGACTGTCTCTTTGTCTCTTCAATCTGTCGATGTCGTTTGTCTTGAGCCTCCTGCCTCTTCTGCCTCTGCAAATCCTCGTTCTGGACGGCATATATAGCAGCAATGCGAAGTTGAAGTTGCGATAAGATTCCAACCCGTTCTGGATGTGTCATCTTGCGGTATTCGCTCTTGAACTGATGGAAAGTATCGCCGGTCAAGCGGAGGACTGCATTAGAGACGCCCGCGACCTGGATTGCAGCTTGAGTCTCGGCATCAGGTTGCGGCCCATCATCTGCCCATGGTGTCAGAAGTGGCGTCGCAACCGCATCCAAGCTTTGCTCACCTTCCAGGTCTTCGAGCATATTAGTTTCGTCCTCGCTTGGAGCATCGGGGGTCGGTGGTTCGGGTGTGCCAGGCTCATGGTTATGTTGATCGCAGGTAATTGTCAAGACCCATCCGCCCATAGTCTTGCGATGAACAGCCTTGGCTTTCCATGGGCAATCTGTTTTCTTAGTAGTTGTCTTGTGTTTTGTCGCCATGCACCGATATGGCCGGCCGCCTCGATCGCAGACGAGATCGCATCGTACTATATCGTTTCCTGGGATGTCGGCACCACCCACTTTGCCTCGATGTGATCTAGCCTTGACAATCTTGTATCCCTCCTTTTCCATGCGGTCGCTGAGCTCTTTGAAAAGTTCTTCATAGCTGTTGAATATGCCAGAATGGGGCACCGTCACAGCTTCGAGGATGCCGAACATGATGAGTTCAAGAACGCGATCAACGCGTTGGGAGCTCAACGATGTGTGGATTTGGGTGTTAACCGGTGTCAGGCGTGGCCGCGCGTAGGGTCAGCGGGGAGTGTTGAGGAATTTCCGTGGCGGATAAATCTCGGCGATTCTCTTTCCCTTGTGCCGATGAGGATCCAGTCAAGTATGAGTAAGCGTAAAGGCCTTTGATGCAATGACTCTTTACAAGTGTAAATGTAATTCTATTGACGGATGCAAATGAGTAGGCAAGACGTATACCATGAAGGTAATCGTACTGGAACCCCTCTACCCTCTGGGTGGTGAACTTCCATACGAAAGCCGCCCCTGTCTACCTACGTCACATTCGTTGATGCTGGTTCCTTCCTCTTGACTTACACCGGACTGAGCAGGAGCACTCCAGTGTGGTGTTTCCTACCAAACTTGTCTCCAGCATGGATTGTGTTTTTGCCAGAACATCATACGACGGCTGGTTCTTTAAGAACACCTACATTGATGCTTTGTGTCTTTGTGAACCATTTACAAATCGTCACTACAGTAGCGGTGCCATCCAAGTACATGAAGCGTATGATCGAAGCTAACATCGAACACAATGTCTCAATCGATTCCTTCTAGAATGGATACCCCCTCTTCATCCATCTACTTTACGAGCAGTGGAAGCCAGACACGTCTCGGAGACTCTGCAACACCTAGCACTCACAACAGAAGGCCACGGACCAGTCTCAGCCAGTATTCGGGTTACGCTCCTTCAGGAGCCAGCACGAGACCAAGCATATCGCGACCTTCTACCGTACGCCCCGCATCAAGACCAGGCACAGCATCAGGGAGAAAGTCTAGAAATGGTACAGCTTCTTCAATTTTGGGTCTCAGCGAAGCGCATAGTATTGTATGTGCTGTGAGCGAGGCTCGTGGTGTATCTCCCGCCGTAGGCGTGGCCTTTGTCAATGTTTCTATCGGTGAAGTCATCATCAGCCAGATTTGCGATAATCAATCCTACGTCAAGACCATTCATAAGATTCAGCTGTCAGCCCCATCTCGAATACTCTTCATGTCAACTGCGTGCCCCCCAAACAACCCGAGTACCTTGTTCTCTCTTGTGCAAAACCTCATCCCTGAAGCTCAAATTGATGCACTGGACCGTTCTGCATGGTCTGAAACAGAAGGTTTGGAGTACATCCATAACCTAGCGTTCAAAGATGACATCGAACCTTTGAAGGTGGCTACCAAAGGCAAGTTCTATGCCATCAGCTCCTTTGCAGCAGTAAGTGCGCTGTTAAAGAACATCAACACAAATGTTAAACATACCATAGGCAATGAAGTACATTCAACAGCACTTCTCCATCAACTTTGTGCCACACTCACTTCGTATTCAATATCGACCATCCGAGGACACAATGATGATTGACATCTCGGCCATTCAATCTCTCGAGATCATGCAGAACTTACGCAGCTCAAAGTCCAAAGAGTCTCTCTTCGGCTTGTTGAATCATACATCAACTCCGATGGGCAGCAGGATGCTTCGAAGTAACATTCTCCAGCCGCCTACTCGTCCCGATTTGTTTATCGTTCCTCGATATGATGCCCTCGAGGAGTTGACAACCAACGAGGAAATGTTCTTGGAGATTCGGAAAGGTACAAGTCACATAGAGGTTATCGATTTTATCTAACAAGAACAGCTCTCAAGCTCTTTCATGACACAGAAAAGCTCCTGACTAAGGTAATTTGACTGACAGCCGCTTTAAGACATTGCCAACCGTACTATAGTTGATCATTGTTCCCACATCTGCCGATGTCCAGCAAGTTGAAGAACAGATTAACCAAGTGTTGATGATCAAAAGCTTTCTCGAGTCCATTCCTGAGGTCTACACGGCATTGGGCCCTGCCACAAGTGTTTTACTTGTCAAGATTCGAGAACTTTGTCGCCCCGAGATCACCAGTCAAAGTCTCAACAAGATCCGGCAGACCATTGAGCCAGACGTCACTTACATGAAGTCTGCTCTAGATCTTCGCAATCAGAGAACCTTCGCAGTCAAGGCAGGTATCAGTGGCATGCTTGATGTTGCTCGGCAGACCTACAAGGAGCTCACGGAAGAGATTCATAAACACCTCGAAGCATTGAATGGTATGGACATCGCTACTTGACGTTACCTGACTAACAATAGACTAGAGGTACACAAGATTGAAGCTAGCCTTAGGTATGATAACGGGCGGAAGTATTGGTTGCGCTTGCGAGCAGCAGATTTTGATGACCGTCCTATACCTGAGCTGTTGATCAATGTGGTCCGGAAAAAGGACATGATCGAGTGTCAAACACTTGACCTGCTCAAGCTCAATCTGAGACTTTCTGATACAACAAATGAAGTTGTGATCAGAAGCGACAGTGTTATTCAGGACTTACTCAAGGAACTTCGTTATGATGTCCCACATCTGTTTCGTGTCTGCGAGTCGGTTGCGCTTATTGACATGATTTCGTCCTTCGCGCAGCTGGCTACCACAAGAGATTATGTGAGGCCTGACATCAGCAGCACATTAGCATTAAAGGCAGCGAGACATCCTGTCCTTGACAAGGTCAGAGCAAACTTTCCAACCCTGTTCATTATGCTGACTATTTGATGGGCAGAGTATGAGCGGCAAGTTCGTACCCAACGATTACTACTCCACAGAGCAGTATTGCTTCCACATTGTAACTGGATGCAATATGAGTGGTAAAAGTACCTACATCCGCGCGGTTGCACTACTTCAGATCATGGCACAGATTGGATCTTTCGTTCCTGCAGAGTATGCCGCCTTTTCCATGATTCATAGCATCTTCGCCCGTGTCTCGTTGGACGACAATATCGAGAGCAACCTTTCGACGTTCTCCGTCGAAATGCGTGAGATGGCATTTATCCTGAGGAACATCGACGACAAAAGTCTTGCTGTGATCGATGAACTGGGGAGAGCCACGAGCAACCGAGATGGGCTGGCAATTGCGATTGCCATGTCCGAAGCATTGATCCAAACCAAAGCATCTGTTTGGTTTGCGACTCACTTCATTGATTTGACAAAAGTGCTTGCGGATCGCCCGGGCGTTCTCAATCTGCATCTCGCAGTCACAAGCTCTACAACTGAAGATGGATTACCACATATCACAATGCTCTACAAAGCCACATCGGGTGCCATCAGAGACGAAGAGCACTATGGCATCAATCTGGCTCGGGCGATCGGCCTGCCTCAGAGCTTCATCGAGAAAGCAGAAGAGGTGTCAAAGGATCTCAAGAGGAAGCGAGAAGCGAGCAAGCGGACCTCAGAATCAGCTAAGCTTATAGCCAGGCGAAAGCTGATTCTCAATCTCCACGAGGCATTAAAGCAGGCGAAAGAATCGGGCAGTGAAGAAGCTCTTCCAGGGTATCTGCAGCGACTTCAAGAGGAATTTGTCTCCCGTATGGAGGAGATTGAGAGCATGTAGTCGGATCGGTCTCATTTCTCTTTGGTAGGCGGGGCATACATAATTGCCCTCAAGTGTATGTGTACAAAGCTGCTCTATATTTATCATGCTTATAACCTGGTGGGTATTTATACGCCGGGACGCTTGTAATCTAGTTCTCTTACTCGTTTCCAGACCTCTCTCACTGTTCGCTCTTGAGTCTGACGTCCGCTTTCTGTTTCTGAAGGACCTGCTGGGCTATAATGTGTTAGTTTATGATAGTCTGAGAGGTGTGGACAACTTGCCGTATCGCTAAGTATAATCGACCTCCAAGGTGGGCTCTTGTAATCTCGGCAGTCTCTATATCGCTGGGAGGGTTGGCAGTCGTCACAAGACCACCAGCCTCTTCTAAAATAGCGAAGCCTGCCGCAACATCCCTGTTGAAGTTAGAATTCTAGCCCTTCCAAGTTGGAGATGGGGATATACGAACCATTCCCAACATCCACCTTCCCACCAGATATCGAATGATCCCATGGCAGTATAAGCAAGATCTAATGTTGCGCTACGCAAAGTCAGTGTGGTTCTATGTTTAGGATGTTGATTGTCTCACCTCCCCAAGCTTCGCATGCCGTGAACCATTCCACCCTTGCCTCCTCGTCCATTCCGTTCCGAGGCGAGGTTTAGGAAAGACTCAACCTTTCGTGACATGTTTCCATCTGGGATATCTCGTCGGTCTTTGCCCCATTCACACGAGAAGGTGCATGCACTGGGCGCATTGGATGGCATGGGAGGGATCGGGTTTCGGATCAATGGTAGCCGTTGGGTCTCGTTGAGCCATGCGCCTTGTCCCGTGCAGGAAGAGAAGAATTGACGGAGGAAGGGGGCGTTGATGACTCCAATGACCGGGACTCCCTTGACGACGAGTGCGATTGATACGCAGAACATGGGGAAGAGATGTGTGAAGTTGACCGTGCCGTCGAGAGGGTCGACTACCCATGTTGGCCGGTCGTCAACGAGATAGGTTCGCGATGCGCCAGCAGAATATGACTCTTCTCCAAGGAAGCTACAAGCGTCAGTGGTGATGTGTGACAGGATCGACATGGTGACTTACCCATGATCAGGGTATTTGCTGGCGACGGTAGTATGAATGAAGTTCTCAACATCTGCAACAGTCAGCAGTGGAACAACAAAACACAATACGAAGAAGCAGTACCGTTGTCAGTCTTGGTAACCAAATCTACCGAGTTCTCCTTCTCGACATATGACACAGAGGTAGACGACTCGCCACGGCCGTCGATGCGGCGCTGGGCTGCAGCCATGAGCATGTCGCCAGCATCCTTGCCCAGCTGCACGGCGAAAGCGTAAATCTCTTTCAACTCTTGAGCATCCATGTTTGGCGAATCGTTTTTCCAGGAACGAAACCAAGACGGAGTAAAACAGAAAAATTCCAACGGTTCCAGAACGTCGAGACCTATTTTTGTTGATGTAAAAAGCCGCCTTGAACCGTTCCCCCCCTCCCCCCAGATTCTTTTCCGCACTACGGTATCAGATGCGCTGCGGGGGAAGAGTGAGGGGCAGATGGAGCTGTCAGATCGGCGGGGCCAGTGGGTGAAGCTTTAACCGGGTTTGTGGGGTGGAATCCCCAGGCTATTCGGCGCTGTAGAGATGGAGGTTGAAGCTTGAGATGGCGGAATTAGACTTTTGCGTAAGTTTGGTTCATAAATTGGTGATGCGCAGGTTGTCACCTAGGTAATGAAATAGAATCATCTCAAAGTCCACACCAAACAATCACTCACTCACTTCCACCATGTCTCGTCGTCTTCTCCTCGTCAACGGCCCCAACCTCAACCTCCTCGGCACAAGAGAGCCGCAACTATACGGCTCGACAACGCTCCAAGACGTGCAAAACGACGCAGAGAAGCAGGCATCCTCGCTCTCGGCCACGCTCGAGTCCTTCCAGGCCAACTCGGAGGGCGCGATAGTGGACCGCATCCACGCAGCGCGCGGGCACGTCGACGCCATCATCATCAACGCGGGTGCTTACACGCACACCAGCGTCGCCATTCGCGACGCCCTCGTCGGCGTGGACATTCCCTTCGTGGAGGTGCACATCACGAATGTCCATGCGAGGGAGGCCTTTAGACATCATAGCTATCTGTGTGACAAGGCGGAGGCGGTCATCTGCGGGCTAGGCGTTTTTGGATACACGGCGGCGATTGAGTATGCTGTTAAGCATCTAAAGCTGAGGACTAAATTGTAAAAAATAGTAATGAAATTATACTATGGTGGTATTGGCTAAAATAAATATAAATAAATGCTTGCTATGTATATGTGAAGGTTTGCTTAAAGCATTGCTTGTAATCTTGGCTGCACATCTGAAGTCCGCAGCCCAAGATCAACCTTCATCTTCTCAAACGACTCAGCCGCTCTTTTCGCTGACTCCTCAGGTACAATCTGATCCGTCTCCGTGAGCCTCCTGTTAAACACCTCGAAACTCAACCACCCCTCAAAGCCCAGACCCTGGACTACCGCCCGAAGCAGGTGCTTGCACGGGAGATACGCGCCATATGAAGTCTCGCCGTAAAACAGTCTTGAGTTGCGGGACCAGCTCATCCTCGCTGGCTGCTCTGCGTTGTAGAACGGATGACTTTCGTTCAAAGGCTGGCTGAGTCTCTCGCCGTCTGCGACCTGGAGGAGAAACACCTTTGACACGTCGACGTCGGAAAGGAGTCTCTTGGTCGAGTCAAGTGTCACTTGCTCGCAGTCGTTCGTTTTTCTTGAAGCTGTAGTCGGATCGGCGTAGATCCTCCCCAGGATGTTATAGCTGTCAAGACACAGTCCAAAGTTCTCCCTGTCAACCCGTTGGACGATATCCCAGCTGGCCTCCCACGTGTTGATCTGCGTGCCCCAACACAACGCCTCATACGCAAACTTGACAACTGGCGTCTGCTGCAGGCCCATCTCCGCCGCCACAGTAAAGTCAGACACGAGGGTATCAACGCCACCCGCGAGTTTATCCTCGGCGAGAAAGCTACTCGGAAACAAGATGAGATCCGTCTGCAGGGCGTGCACGAGATCGAACCACAGCCGCAGCTCATCAAATTGCTTGGCCTGCTCAGCGCGATCGACCAAGTTACCAAAGTGCATAAACGGCTGCAGACAGATAATCTCTAGAGAACGGGCGGCGCATAGGTCGTGGATTGTGCGGGCGGCTGTGACTTGGTTGGAGTGTGTGTCGCCGCCGGGGAGGGACTTTGCGAGGTCGACGAGGTCTTCGTAGAAGACTTCTATTCCCTGGAAGCCGTATTTGGCAGCCATGTCGAGTTTATGGGGGAGGGAGTGGCCGGCGAAGCACCGACCTAGGGACATTGTGCATATGCTTGGTTTGTGAGCCATGGTGGGTGATGTTTGACTGTGCTAGAACTGGAGGTCTTTTGTTCGTGTAAACTGATGAAGGCTATTCAAGACAGGATATGGTGAAATTATTTGTTCAATATGGGATTTGATCAATATGGTATTGAGATAATCAGTAAATAGCAAAGTACCACTGACGCAGTGGCAAGTTGATATAAGAGATACAAGCGGAGGATCCCCTGTATCTCGATTCAACAATCATTCATCCAGCACATTACCCCAGTCTAATCAGAGATGAGCAGTCGTTACCAAAAGCCGTCACGAGGCGGGAACAACCGCTGATACCAACCATGAAGATTATGCGTTCTTCCGCAAATGTCTACTTTGACGTTAGTCTCTACACACACTGTTGGACTTACATCATGGGCGACTTGTGTATTTGCTTACCCGGGACCGAGCTGGCTAAATCTTTATCCATGTGAGTGTGTGGGGGGCGAAACCCGGCAATTCGTTTTGCTCAGATGTAACCCCAGCCTCGGAGACGAATTAGCGTGTGGATATTCAGTGGGAAAAGCCTTGAACCGCTTGAACCGGACTTTTTGGGTGGTGAAGCTGAGTATTCTTCCATTAACTTCCCTCTCACTGGACAGCCGACCATCTGTAGTACTTGAATAGAGCCAAAGGACCCAGGTTATTCATCCTATCATATCATTATCACCTACTATCTCATCTCATTATCTATCCTATCATATCATAGCAATGTCTGTCCAAGAAGTCTCCTCCTCATATTCCTCTCCCTCTGGGGACTCCCTCCAGTCCAACCAGGTATCACAGCTGGAGCGGCACGGATACCTCTTTGGGAAGAAGTTGACAGCGTCCCTGTCGCCTTTTCTTCACAATGTTATTTATCAAGATCTCGGTCTGAAATGGGGTCAAGTACGTCTTGACTCGGCGGATATCGATGGGTTTTTGAAGTTGGCGCAACATCCCGACTTTTACGGTATGTCCCACTCACTCAATTGACACAATGAGCCCGCCACTGACATTCGACAGGCGCTTCGGTGACTATGCCCAACAAAGTCGCCATTATCCCATATCTGGATGAACTCACAGAAGAATGCCGCGACGTCGGCGCCTGTAACACACTGTATCTGCGCGAAAGGGACGGCCGCCGTATCTTCTGCGGCGCAAACACAGACGTCATTGGCATCCGCGACTCATTCTACCAAAACATCAGCAACCCCGACGCAGTCTTCCACAACAAGCCCGCCCTGGTAGTCGGCGGTGGCGGCGCAGCCCGTAGCGCCATCTACGCCCTGCGCAAGAAGATGCAGGCCCGCACAATCTACCTCGTGAACCGCGACGACGCAGAAGTCACCGCTGTGATCGCCGACTGCGCAGCGCGCGGCTACGGCGACGGTCTGTTGCACGTAAAGACCGTCTCCGAAGCCTCAGAGCTCGAAGCCCCCGGCGCCATCGTCGCATGCGTGCCGGACTTTGAGCCCGTTACAGCAGACGAGGTGCGCGCGCGTGCTGTGACAGAGGCGTTTCTGGACAAGGCGCAGAAGGGAGCTATCCTGGAGATGTGCTACAACCCCACGCCGTTTACGAAGCTGGGTGCCATCGCGGAGGAGAAGGGGTGGAAGGTTATCCTCGGCACGGAGGCGTTGATATATCAGGGGCTTGAGCAGGATAAGTACTGGACGGGCAAGGGATTGGAAGAGTTGCCGGTTGAGAAGGTGCATGTTGCTATCGCGGAGAAGGTTGCGCAGAGGGCGGAGAGTAAGCTGTGAGGAGTTGGATTGGGATGTTTATCATATAAGCGTGCATTATTTTCATTGTTGTTATGAATATCAAAAGAAACTACAGTTCACTTGATCATCTGCCCAGCGACGGTTGTTCGCTCATGCTGGCAAACCTTAAATATGTCATGCTTTTGGAGAGAAGTGAAGTCTACTTATGAATAGTTAACGTTAGATGCTTGGCCTGAATGGACTATTCCTTTTGCAAACCTTGAAGAATCGGGAATGATAATAGCCATCGTAGCTGACGATACCAAGGCAGTGATTGACGACCTGACACAAGTTGGAAATACTATTTGCAGGCTGGATTCTTTCGTAAAATAGAGTAACCGTCAGATGCTTTCGTAGAGCGTTGCGGTTAGACATGATGTATTCGTTGTACAAGGGGACAGTGCTCATGATGGAACTCGTCGATGGCATCTGTTATCAGGAGTATGTAATCTCCTAAGAAATGATTATATATTCAGTGAGCTTCAAAGGAGAGGGTGATTTAATCAAAAACCAATAAATCCTATAAATGTTTAATCTACCTATCCATTGATAAATTTCTATACTCTATTGCAATTCCCCCATTGTCCTCGTTGCTAATATGGACGAATGTCTGCCTGATACATCACTCCAGTATACTCTTGGATAAAGATGTAGTCTAAAGACCATACTTAGGGGGCAGGTGTACATAAAACCTTAAACTATTAGGCTTATTTAACAAATTTGGTTGTGTGGGTGAAGTAAAGCTTGTTTTCACTTTCAAACACCGATTTAACAACCCCTCCCCGTTCGGAGTCTTACTCTGATTTCTTTTTCCTGACTTACAACTCTTTTTGACCTATAACTCCTACTGTACTTTTTAAAACCACCATCATGACCGAGACGTCGCCCCCTCGCCCTCTATTTGTATACGGCACTCTTCGAGCCCTGCCCCTACTAGCCTGGGCCTTAACCGGAGATGCTACCAACACCACAGACATCGCGGCGATCGCCCGTCCGGCTACAGTGCACGGGTACGCACGATATGCTGTCCTGTACCGGGATTACCCTGCTGCAGTGAAGAAGGAAGAGCCCGGGCACGAGATTGACGGCTTTCTTCTTGTTCTCGAGACCAAGTCCCAGCGGAAGAAGCTGGATGACTTCGAGGGGGAGGCATATACACCTACGCCAGTCCTAGCCACCCTCCAAGACGGAAGTACTGTTGATGCAGATATGTACGTTTGGGAAAGTGACCTTGAAGCTCTCTCGACGGAACCATGGAAGTTGGAGGATTTCGTCAAGGATAGACTGGAAGATTGGATCGACCTGTTTGAGGGCATGGAATTGGTCGGGGACGACTCAGAATGAACACCTCACAAACAGTCACTGAACTCATCTTGATACAGAGAAGATTTCCCTAAACTTAGGACAATTATCCTAAAGATTAGGAAAATCGTTTATGATTTCTTCTCAGTTTGGATAAATTCGCACAAATCTTATTACAGTTTGGCTGGGTTTATCAGAAGTCTATAAACCTCAGAGCATATCTTTGGTAAGTTTTACCTTTTCCTTATCAGCTGGTCACTGACAATCAATTTGCCCAGTTCTTATCCCACCAAACATACACCATTCATGAGCTTGTCTCATATCTACTCCTTGCTCTGATCCTCTCACCAAAGACAAAGAAACACCAAGGTATGGGAGCCATCAAAACCGTACAACCAGCAAGAACAGTCGTCGCCCAGCCGGCACCAAGCGATTCAAACATTTGCAATGCGAACATCGGAAACGCAAAACTCAAAGAGTATCTACTCAACATCATCGCCCCAGACGCTGAAGCACCGTAAAGAGGACCATACGCATCCAGCATGAACAGATTCACGCCGGCATAGATCAGAAGACAGGCTAGCATCGTCATACCCTGGAAGAATATGGGTAGAAACCAGTGGATTTGGTATTCAGCTGTCCATCCGGCTATGAGGAGGCTGACGGGAAGGAGAATACTGCCGATCATGGCAGAGATTAGACGATGTTCTGGCGGTAGTGGTTCGTTGCTATGAGATTGATTCCATCGGAGAAGTCGTTTTTGGTAGTCGGAGAAGTCGATTAGGACAAAGGGAGCGCAAGCAAGAAGGGTACCGAGAGTAATTCCCAAATATGAAAGTGACTCGCCCGTTTTGCTGAAGCTGAAGTAAGTTCTGAAGATCCAGGGAACGGATATGATGAATGTATATAGAAGCCCAAAGATGAAACCGTTGTACAGACTGACCAGAGTGACGATTGGTTCCGTGAAAAGCATATGAAGCGGTCGCAGGATAAGAACTGTGAAAAAGTGCCGGATCGTTCTAGCCACGGATGTTTGCTGAGACGAACTATCCCCAAGACCCATTTTGATTGCTCGACGATGTAAAACAACCTTTTTATATGTCTCCCTGGTGAAAAGGACCGGGATGTATAGAGCACAAGTCACTACCACAGCAATCCACTGCGTCCACCGCCACCCCAAAGATCTCTGAACAAATCCTCCAACAAGAGGCCCAATAGCCGCGCCGAGCGATGGGATAGAGTAGTATATACCAAGACTCGCACCGCGGTACTGAGGTGCGCAGTAGTCCATGATCGTAGCAGAGGTATTGTTCACATTAGGCGAGGCAAACATCCCCGCGAAGAAACGACAAACAGACAAACTAACAATGCCCTCTGCAAAACCAGATCCAAGGAGAAAAGCTAAAAAGATGGGCGTTGTAGCAACATACACCGTCTTCCTCCCATAAGTCTCAGACAAAGGCGCACCAACGAGCGGACCGCACGCCATGCCGAGGTTATACAGCGAAAGAGGCAGAACAGCAGCTAACCTCCCCTGGTGGAACTCCTGCCCCACGGCTTCTTGAGCAGGGGCGTAGATTGCGCCAGCAAAGCAAGATGCCCATGCTAAGGAAGCGATGGAAGCGATGCTGAGGACTTTGGCGGTGGTTGAGAAGTTGCGTGGATTGTCTGGGTCGTTGGGGCCGGTCCAGTCGTAGGCTGCGTTTATGCGGGTTATTATATGCTGGGGAGTTGTGTTGTTGATTTGGAGCATTTCTGGGTCGTTGTCTGGAGGTGAAGGTGCCATTGTGTTGTTTGAGGAGTTGATATAGTTGGGTGAATTGGGAGTGACGTTGAGGATTGGGGATGATATACGGTTCGGCGAAGTGCTTGAAGTCGCCGATACAGTCTGGGGCGGTGATCGGCAGAGTGGTCGGTTATATCATGTTGTTTAGTCCAAGAAATACTAGAGGGTTTCTTTCGCCCTATGAGTTGACAACTTTTATAGTTGTGTTAATTTGTTGATACTCTCAGTATGCTCATGAATCAAGTGGTACATAGAACAAGACTGGTTTAAATCCCGGGACAAGTATAATAAATAGTTCCACACCTAGTACAATATCCTTGACCACTTGTTTGAAAATCGATTAAGTTAAGAATATTTATTAAAAGAAATTTAAAAACAAGATGTAGAAATGCTTAGAATGACTCTTTCCCGCATCCTATCGGCGAAAAATCTCAGAAGCCGACTGCTTACCTTGACTGATCTACAGAGCGGCTGCGTGGATATTTGGAGTGAAGGGCGTAGTTTTGACATGACCCTATGAAAGTTCGAAGTTCTCGGACATCAGCTAAACTTCAGTGAGTTAGCCAAGATGGATATCTAGCATAAATCCTCAGATAACTTCGTTGATATCTATCTTCATTCTAGTTAATCGTATAGCTCTTCTAACGGCCACTTATGCCGTAAGAGAATCACTTTTAACTTCCCACTTTTCCTCTGGATTCTTCAGTACATTTCTCAATGCATGCTCATAAAACTGGTTATATGTCTCCTCCCATGACTGGCTGTAGTCTGGGACAAGACCAGCAACCTCAGCAGGCGATACAAGACCCATAATGCCATAAATACTATCCATTGGGTTAGTAAACTCCCGGAATCTCATGCTGTGTACAGCGTCTAGGAGTGTAGCGTTCTGAACTCGACCGACTTGCCGGTCTATCTGTAGAATAGATTGTTCCAGAAGTTCCCTTATGGGCCGCATATCGACTTTGCTGCCTCCAGTTGATCGCCAGCTGGGCGAGACTTCGAGAAGCTTGATCCTGGCCAGGAACAGGCGCGCACTCTTCTCTCTTTCCCATGTAATAAAAAGGTCTCCCACTTGAACTTTAACGCAAGATGCGAGTGCTGCTTCTTGCACAACCCATATGCGACTGAAGTAGGAGCGTCCTAAAACATCTCGTAGACCCTCAGTGGTCTTCTGCATACTGTGCCTATTCCAGGGGGATCCCTCATCGAAAGGCAAGTCGCCAGCAAGGTAAGATAGAATCTCCATCCCGATCGTCGAGTCGGGGGTGCTATCGCCCAGCCAGCACGGGACCAACTTTCCCCAAGAATATATCTTAGTCATGAGGCTGACTTGCGTGCTCCTTTCTTGGTAATCGCTTTGGTTAATACAAATGAAATCCACCCAGAGCCTCTGGGCCGTTTCGGCTGATCGCAAGTGTCGAAGAGCATGCTCGAGATTGGGCGTGATAACCAACGAACTTCCGTCTATAGACATTCCTCTTGATGCATCTGGCATACCCCAAGTATATGAAAGTGCCATGTATGTTCCTTTGCTTGATTCAAGGGTTGATTCTTCTAGATTCCCGATTAGAGGATCAGAGTACCTTCCAGGTTGAAGTAGTAAAAGCCTTATACATCCATCTGGTAGTGCCTTATAAACCAACTATTTGAGTAATGCGTTAGAAACGCTATTGAGTGATGGATAGTCAGAATACCTGGTTGCTAGCCGAGGAAGGTTCTGTAATAATAGCCTTGTCTCGGGTGGCTCGAACCCAAAAACCAAATGTGATCCGCCATCCAGACCATCTTAATGGCAGGAACCATAGGTTGAGGGTTGTGTAGTAAGACCAGACCTTAGATATATGTGAAATAGGTTGTGCTGACATTGAAAATATGGATTAAAGGTGAAATATTCCTGTAAACTGGATATGAATAGTTACCTATTTTTGTAACTAGAATAAGTTAAACCTGTTGTAAAGTTGGATTCTCTCCATATTTGTGTGGAACCCACCTACACCTACAAGCCAATAGGTCAAAAGTACAAGACCAGTTCTCGATGCTAATTGGTGCTTTGAGATCGTGGCTAGGTAGTCTGCAGGTAAAGTGAGCATACTACGTGGCAAATGATTACTGGGCAGAAGTATAGAGCCTCAACTTATAGATTGTCTAACTAATAAGAGAGAGTACCTGTATTAATGCTGTATCTCTACTTAACATACAGACAAAAGGTGTCTTTGTTGACCTATGAAAGTCCTGTATTAAGAATAAGTAGATGATTCGCACATCAGTATCGTTGCAGCCTTACCTTCGCAGCGAGAAAACCACACCCTTTTCTTCATTTATGTTTTGATTCTTATCAATTTCTTATCTAAGAAAGTATCATCATGGTCATGGCTGCTCCTCGTATCATATCGATGGATTTCTCCACGACAGGAAGAGATGACTGTTATTTTCGCATCCTGACAGGAAACAGCGTCAAGTATGTCACCATTCGAGCCGGTGCCCTCGATTCCGACTCGCTTATGGATATGCCCTTGGATTTCCAAAATATCTTGCCCCAGTTGCCTTATGGTGAGAGCCATTGGAACACTGCCTTTATCTCACGTAATGTGGCATCTGGCAAGCTTGAGGCAGCCCTGGACAAGAAAGAGCTTCCTGCTGTGTCGACAGTCTGTTGTCAGAGAAAAGTCAACTTCCTGCATCTTCAGCGAACCGAACAACTCACTTTGCTTGCACAAGAGTGTACGATAAAGTCAGACCACAGCCCGTTGGAGAACTATGGACAGAATACAGTGGTCGCTAAGATTGCTCGATTCCCTTGGGAAATACAGTACATTGAGGCGGAGACCAGAATCTATCAACGTTTACAATCTTCAACAGTCAGCCCAAGCTTTTTAGCGCACATTCACGAAGAGGACCAGGTGATTGGGTTCTTGCTTGAGAAAGTAGAGGGCCGCCGGGCAGGCATAGCTGATCTGGAGATATGTCAAAGAGCTCTACAACGTCTCCATGACCTTGGTATTTTGCATGGAGATGTCAATCGCCACAACTTCATCATACCTCCAGGTCACGAAGCTGTGCTTATTGATTTCGAAAAGTCCATGATTAATGCGGATGCCGAATCATTGAAGAAGGAAATGTCTAGCTTGGCAGAACAGTTGTCTGAGGACACTGGTCGCGGTGGAGGATTCTTCGCTGTGCAGTAGCAACACGATGTAACAATCATCACTGGCTTCTTATGGTTGCATTTAGATAGACGGGCTCGTATTATAATCACATGAGTCGCAGGGAGGGGATATAGCTCGCTTCCAGCACAAGGAAGTGTACGAATCGGGAGGCAGTGAAGTGCCGAAAACGGATCATATCATGTGAATGATAGTACCATCAACAAGAAACCAGGGCACAGAGAATAAAAAAGTCACATGAAGCAGTAAAATTTATAGATCATATGTTCACTGTCAAGTTGGGCTAAAGCTTTCTTTCTTCATCCGAACATGTACTCAGGACCATTTATTCATTATAGAGTTGAGATGACCCAAACCCAAGAAGAAACCTGCAAACATATGTAAGGTATTCCTGTAGAATACTTCGGACAATCGACTTTCTACTGCTTCCCCTTCCACTCGTCATACACGTGATAAATATCCTTCCTAAAAACATCCTTCAAATCAGTAGCCATATTCATCGTCTCCCCATCAAGCGGCAAAGCCGCACAAACAGCTCCAATACCGCAAATATCATTCTTGCGGTCGATAAACCACGCCACCGTCAGCCCTCCTCCCCAAGTCATCGTATGGGACCCATACCACCCATCGACATCTTCCAAAGTAAGCACTCCGCCAAGACCATGGCCGACTTTGATGTCCTCGCCAATCCCCACGCGAAAGAAAGAACCCATGGGCCCGGCAAGCTTGGCTCGTTGGCCAGCGTGCGCTTCGGGGCTGGTGTGGTGCTGGAACATGCTGTCTACTGTCTCGGGTTTGAGGAGTTTGCCGTCGTTGGCAAGGAGGGATTGAATGATCTTGATGAAAATGGAGGCAGGCATTGTGAGACCATGACCACCGAAGCATCCTTCTGTGCGTTCGTTTATACTCGAACCTCCCCCCATGACAGCGCGGCCGTGACCCTCTGGATCATCGGGATTTAGTTCGACCAAACGTTCCCGCAAGTCTTCTCTTGTGACAGGCTGAAACTGCGCGTCGTTCTTCAAGCCAAGAGGCTTCAGAATATGTTCGTACAAATGCTCTTCGAGCGTGTTTCCAGTCACACGCTCGACAATTCGACCAGCCCAGTCCAGACCACTTCCGTACATCCAGTCTTCTCCAGGTTGATGTGAAAGAGGATAGATAAACGTATCCTCAACCGTCTTCTTGCCGTCATCCTTAGGCTTGTACTTGCTGCTCCATTTGCCGACGACTGGGTCTAGGAAGTCATACGAAGTCCCGGCTGTGTGAGTGAGGAGCATTTCAAGTGTAATGGGCCGCTTTGCCGGCTCCAGAACCGGCGTGTCGTCCTCCGCGTTGAACCCCGTGAGGACCTTCTTTTCAGTGAGTTCCGGTGCAACGTTAGACAGGTCTCCCTGAAGTGTAAGGAGGCCGTCTTCGACACATTGCATAGAAGCAATCGTGGCTATGATCTTGGTAGCGGATGCAAGACAGATGAGATCATCGAGCTGTTGAGGACGTTTCTCTCCGGAGACAAGGGTGCGTTGGCCTAGAGCTTTACTATATGCGAAGTCTCCTTTGGAGTTTATCGCGCAGATGATAGCACCATTGACTTTGCCAGAATCGATGGCGGTTTGGAATTTGGACTCGAGAGCTTTCGACATCGTGGGAACCGAGAATGGTCTAATGCCGGAATATGACTGGAGAACAAATGATCTGAGTGGGAAATATAATCTTTGAGTGATGAGTCTGCTTCTGAATATCATAGCTAGCAAGGAACAGTTGCTTGTTTGCCATTTATATAGCAAGCAAATGTAAGATGTAAGACGGGATTGATCCTTCGAGTCACGTGTATGGATAGTCACAGTACGTAGCATGTTGGTGCTTCGGCCAAACAAATTGCTTAGTTTCCGAGCAGACGAATAATCTTCTTAGCTAGTTCCACCATTTGACCGGTGACTCAATTGATCTGGTCTTCAGTCTAAGTCAGTTGTAAAATATTTTCAAACCAGCATTACGAAAGGGTAATGTGTGGCTGATACCTATAGCATACAACGGCTGCCACGGCCTAATTGTCTTCCTTGCTTATTGGTGGCTGACTGACATTGGTTCAATCGATTATGTGTGCAGCATATCATCCTGGCAGTAGTAGCTTACTTATAACTGGCTGTTGTTTGAGGTTAATATTAAGAGTCTTGATATGTAGTTATGTAATATAATTCCCGTATTCTGTGCCCCGCGTTTGGAAAACTGCAGTCATAATCTCCCAATGCAACATGACGGTGACTCACTTGCGGAGGAATGCTTTACCCGGTCCCTGCTCAGCTGGGATATTTATGTCAGACTCGTAATGTAACCGGCTCTTTCGTTCACTTTTCTCAACGATAAGCCTAAACGATTTACAATTCAAGTGCAATATGGTCCAGCTTCTTGACCTGCCCAATGAAATTCTGGATCTTATCTTTGAAAATGTGCCGCTCCGCGACATCTGGAGTTTTCAACAATGCAGCATCCTCTGCGAAAAGACTCTTGACGCCCAAATGCTGGCTCGACAAGATGCAGTCACGAACTTGATGTTATGGGGGTGTCATAAGGGCATTCCATGGGCCATCAAAAAGGCCTTGTCCCACGGAGCTGATGTCAATGTTGTCAGGAGAACCGTTCCCATCAAAAGACAAAGATTTTTCACAATTGCTGAGGCCGATCGTAACCTCAGCACAGTCGGATTGCTCCTGGATCTAGGCGCACGACTCGATTTAGATAACGGGAGAGAGCGTTACGTGCTGAGGAGGCATATCTTTAACCCTGACCACCCTGAGACACTGCAAGTTGTTCTTGATCATGGGGGCAAAGACCAAATCGAAAATTTCCAGACTGCCCTAGATGAAGCCCTAATTGACGTGTTGAGCGAAACATACCGCGTCGAGGAACCGACGGCACAGCGAATCTATGCAATTTGCAAGGCTTGGCTGGCATACGGGGCAAACCCTGCCAGATTGCTCGAGGAGCGTACAATGACAGCTATTGAAAGAGCTATCTCTAATTACGAAGATGGGCGGGATCCAAGAATGACGATTGCTCTGGTAGAACTCCTTCTATCTGCAACGACTGAACCGCAATCGCCTGCTGTTGAGGTTTACAGGCGCAAGGCAGAGGAGCCAAGGGGATCTGTCGTCTAATGCAATATTCAAGCTGGTTTCTACCAAGTCTTCCGTATCTCATAGTCACTTAGAATTACTGTTGTTTAATAGAATAGTCAAGATAACATTTACACATACAGGCGGGTCATCCCGTCGCGGTCTATTGAGCAGCAACCTCATGCTTACTGTGTAGTTCAAATTCACCGTTAACGAGGCGGGACAAACCGGCCGCGTGATAATATGCCAGTACGCGGCTCTCAAGAAGCACAAAGAAGGAATTGAAACATTAGAATCGAAATCTATTCATGCTTCCCCGTTATCTCTTATTCGTACTACTTTGTATCACGATCTAATTAGGCCTAGGCCTTCGCAGTTCCGATTAATGTCCTGTGTGACCCTTCTCAAACGTCATAGGTGAGCAATATGCTCGTGACTTATATCTAAGTTGGGAAGGCCAAAGTTTATTCTTATCGGAGAGGACCGACGACCCGAATGATTTGGTTCAAAAATGTTCATAGATACATCATTTAATATAATTAAAGTCCGCTTTCTACGTCAACACCGCCGAGAAGAGGACTCATTCTGAGTCAATTCAAGCCATTCATTTATCAAACCAGGCTTGTAAAGCCTGTATACCGAGGACAATGCCGACAAACCGAAGATCCCGTTTTGGATTACACTCATACCTGCGTCATATCGAGCCGTCATAAACTCAGTACGTGAACTATTCCGGTTTTAGGTGCGGGGGTTCGGGTATATAAACCATCAAAGCATTCCGCTTGGCGATGTGTATCAGACAATCACGATACTTCTTCAACGACCTTTACTACCAACTAAAATCTCAAAGACAACTACTATCGATATCATCATGGCTTGCGATTGCGGATCTACCTGTGGCTGCAGCGGAGCTAGCTCCTGCTCTTGTGGTCAGAGCTGTTCTTGCAAGGGCTGCGGAGTAAGAAGTCAATTAATCCTAATAATTTGATATCACGACTAACAATTACAAAGAAGTAAACCTTATAGCTTGAAGGGGGGGTTAGTAAGTGGCGGATCGTCTGTACAGGTGGATGTTGTATTCTATGTTGCCAGTGTTAGCTCTGTTTAACAATCAATCTTCGTCTTGAAATATCGCATGATGTTGGAGTGCAACTGGTGAGAAATATCGTGCACCACTGATAAATCCTGAATACAATCAGATCATTCGAATCTGTGCCCCATACTCGCCTACATGTAGGCGCTTAACCGCTTGTCAGTGGCGCTTATCAATAAACCTGATTACATTGGCGCCGAAGCGCTGGATTAAGAATAGATACGACATGATTAATAAAGAGATTACATTGTAAGCATTAACAATGAACTTGTCAACATACGCTCTCTAGTCTAATTTTGCCTGATGGACTCGCCAAGGATCCCTATCCTTGTCTCAGCGCGAATTCTATCTTTGTCATTGGCTGTGGTATATGCATGTTGGTTGTGTATGTTTCACCTGTGCAGCTAATTGTTAGCGAATACAGGAGCCTATTGGTACGCAAAACTGATACCCACTTATAAGGAGAGTACTTGCACCGACGCATGATAGTAGGGCGTTCTTGCTTCACGTTGATAAATAGGCAGACAATCTGCTTTCTGCGGTCAGCAGTCACTCAATTGTTCATTTTCCTCACCATTTATTCATAATGGCTAGCTATTCCCCTTGTCCACACGGCCAGAGCACGACGGATATACACCAGATGGAGCATAAACAACATGGAATCAGCGTCACCACAAAAGACTTCCAATCCACGCAAAAACCCAAACATGGCCCCATACGCTCCTGGCTGTGGGAAAGCTTGTCGCTCGTCTTTGCCATGGCCCTGCTCATAACCATCATCGCCGTACCAGCATACTACAACAACCAAATCTTGAAACAATGGCCCTACGATATCAGCCTGAACACAATTGTTGCTCTTCTCAGCACTTTCATGCGGGCGTCGATGCTTCTTGTCGTCGCCGAACTTGTCGGGCAAATGGGATGGCAGGCTCTGCGTCAACCTCGTCCCGTTTCCGATATCCACCACTTCAACGAGGCGAGTCGAGGCATACTCGGAGCAATCAAGCTATTCTGGTCTGTACCGCCTCGGCTGGTGAGCATTTTTGCTGCCATTGTCATTATCCTCTCTCCTGCAATTGCCCCATTCTCTCAACAAGCTGTCGCCACGGTTCCCTGTGCAAGGACAGTTGAAGGCTCGCAGGCTTCGCTCCCAGTCTCCCATTTTGTCCCAAGCAGCAAGTCGCTCTATTCATATACTCCGTCGGCTAAAGAAGTTTCGGGCGATACGAAGGCAGCAATGCTGAACGGCCTCGTTAATCCCACCGGAAAAGACACAGCAGTTGTGGCAACGTGTGCGACAGGGAACTGCACATTCCCAGCTTCGTCTAAAGGCGTCACGCATTCTTCCATCGCCATGTGCAGCTCTTGTATCGACACGACAGAGTTTATAAAATTGAACATCACAGAAGACAAATACAACGTCACCACATACAAATTCACCCTGCCGGACAAACAGTATGTTTATCCTTTAGGGAATAAATATCTCTCGGCTGACACTGGACCATTGGATTGGGCTTTGGAGGGAGTCGACAACGAGTTCTCCGACTTGGCCAATTTGGCCATCACGAATCTAACGGTTCTCACCACGAACCAGAGTAAATGCTGGCCCATAACGACGAGTGCCAACTTTACTTGTGAAGCTGACAGGTTCACACATCGCCTGGCCAGCCAACATGAGATCACTGTGGCCATATCGTGTGCTTTCTACCCTTGTATGAAAAAGTACCATGGCAAGGTGCAAGACGGAACTCTTATCGAAACAGTCATCGAAAGCGAGCCTGTGGACTACATTAAAGATGATAGCAAGAGACCCGGCGAGATTCCTGACTCGGACATAGCTCAAACAGGAAACCGAACTGGACTTGACCGAAACTGTCTGGTCAAAGGCAAGGAATACACCATGAGTAACTTCACTCAGGATTACACTCCTCGAACATCCGAATTCGCACCCATGGTCATTGACGGGACTAACTACACTATTCCGAACCAGTGTCTCTACAAGCTATCGTTCCAATATGCAAGGGCACTAGATAATTTCATGAGACTTGAGATGTTCGGCGGCACGTGTAATGATACTGTGACTGGCGGAGGCGGTATCGACTGCGGCAGCAAGTGGTGGCTTCTCCCGCTCTACAATTCAACCTACGAGTCTCTAGACAAGGCGTTTGGTCAGTTCACCACGGCCATGACCAACAACTTCCGCATGCAGGCCAACACAGGCGGCTTTTCAGACAAGCCAGACAGAGTTGTCGGCACGGTGACAGAGATGGCCATCTGTACTACCTTTGACTACCGCTGGGTTCTGCTACCCGCTGGTTTAATGGCGATAACCACGATATTGTTGATCTGCGCCGTGGTCCAGAGCAATAAGGACTCGGCGGTGCCTGTCTGGAAGACTTCGATTCTTCCGTTGATGTTCTACGGACCTCATGTGGTGGATGCGACGCAGGAAACGAATTTGGATGAGTTGCAGAAGGAAGCTGGGAAGATAAGGGTGAATTTTCGAAACGATGGGGGTGTTAGACTAAGGCAGACTGATAGGAGAGATGCGAGAGGTTAGGGACCAGAGAAGTCTTCCTAATTAGATACGATACCTAATATAACATATACACTTAAATGCTAGTTTCCGGTCTGTCCTATCGAGATAACACAGTCATTTTCTAGACATAATTTGAGGCATTATGCCCAATGTTATATAACCCAATAAGATACAATACATGGACCTCTCAATTTAGTCAGGTATAAACATGTGTATGGTTCCGAATTGGAATCGTAAAAATCACCTTGGCCTTCCACTCGGTGAGGTGTAAGACATCGTGATGGAATCATCCACAAAATACGTAGGATATACCTAGATAGGTAGTCATAAACCTCAGCTTGAATCATCTGGAAAAGAGAGCTAATATTCCGGAACCTCGTACGAACCAAAGGGACGTGCGAATGAAGGACAACGAAGGAGTACGACAAGAGACTAAAGTAATGTAAACGTCAACAGGAAATAGACATGAATACGCATACAAACTTCGATGGGAGTTTCTTATCTTTTGGGCAAAAGAGCTTATCAACTCGAAAAAAAATACAAGAAGCGTCTGCGAAATTAGTTGAAAAATGGGTTCGATATGTGTTAAGGAAATACTTGCATTTCCTTACCTCAATACGGCGAAGGAGAAGTTCCCTCGTATCAATCCGAAGGACATTTTATTGGTATTGGAGAGACGATAGGACGTTGTGTCCACGTCCCATTTAGGCCTGAGAATTCAGGCAAGTAGTTAATCGGGTGACCGAGTGCATGAGACATCTATTTAGGCAGCAAAGAGCGAGTGGTGATGAGTCAGTAATACCAACACGCAAGGCAAGCAACGATTGGTGGTCGGTTGACAACCCAATAAGAGACAAAGGAACGATGTGGTCGGTTGACAACCCAATAAGAGACAAAGGAACGATGTGGCCACGCCAAGACGAAGTCTGACTGGGATGGCGGAACGAGTATAAGAGGCGAGAAAGCCCCAGAGGAAAGGTGAATGATTTCTGTGAACTCTACATTCGTTTCCATGAGAAGTCTTGTGCATTATGAATGATCACGAGATGGATCACGAAGCTGATCGCAGCAACAGCGGCTACAAAACTCTGGGAGCTCGTAGTGATGTTGAGTCAGAGGCTGAGTCTCCCAAGGGGAGCAAGCAGCGTCCTGTCCATGGCAGGGCAGTCTTCATCACGTACACGCAGAGTCGCGTTGATGATCCGGAGGAATTCCACTCTTGTTTTTGCGCTTCGGTCAAGGCGTACATCAATCCGAAGCATCGTGAGGACCCGGACGGGCTTCAGGTGTATGGTGTGATGGACTTACACAGCGATGGCAAGCCTCGCTACCGGGTATTGATGTTGATCAAAGAGTCCGTTCAATGGAGGAACGCATGTAGGAAGCTGCGCGTTTGGATCACGAGGGACGGGAAGAGTGTCGTGGACACGGACGCCATCCACATCAAGACGAAACGGAAGGGTGAGCGGATGGAAAAGTTCATCGAAGATACGCAGGCGTCTTTTGTCAAGGACCTGGGTGCAGGTGCTGTCCTTTTTGGTAAGCGCATCGAAGGCGCTACGGCCTCCAAAAAGGAGGATCACTGGGCACAGGCGGTGCTGGGTACCGACGATGCGGATGAGGCGGAGCGAATCATCATGGTGAACTACCCTAGGAAGTATGTGCTGGGACACAATGGTATCAAGAGCTTCCTTCATACGAAGAGGATGAGGATGTCGCCCCAGCCGCACGTTCTTAATTTTGCCCCGCGTCCGTACAAGATGACGGCGCCGATGAAGAAGTGGTATAATGCTAATTTTGTCCATCATAAGGGTGGACAACACACAAGCCTGGTGCTAGAGGGTCCTCCAGGCTGCGGAAAGACAGAGTGGGCGCTTCAGCTTGCTAAGATGCCGGCCCGTTGCGACGGTGGATGGAACATGGACGAGTTCGTCAGGCCTGGCTTTACCCATGTCGTGTTGAGCGACATGATTCTCAAAGACTTTCGTTATGCGCGTCAGTTTTTGAGCTGCCAGGCAGAGGTAACTATGACGGGTAAGTACAGGAGAGAACGGCGAGTGAGGCTGGGTGTGCCTGTGATTTGGACATGCACCAGTGACAACAGCCCTCTCAGAGTGCCAGCTTTGAAGAAGTACATTGAAGACAACGGTGTTACTGTTGTAAAGATTAAGCCAGGACGTAAATTATTTTAGCATGAATAAAACCTTCTTTCATTGTAATCGTAAACCGCACAGAGCGAAAGCGAAAGTGTTGTATACATCTCATGAAGCTACACTGCCTTTAACTAGCTGGCCACAAGGCCCATTACTATAGACATATCGCGGCTGAGCCGGCTCTGCATCAGAGGTAATGTATTTGGCAAACACGGGCTGCTTCCCGTTCGCGCACTTGGATGTATCGTCAGTGAGAAAGATTGAGCAGGTCGATGCCTTTGTGGAAGCCAATCCGGCGATTCTTCCAAGCATACTGATACGGCAGTTTGGTCGCTTAGCGCACTCGGAACAACAAGATGTTGCTGAGTAGTTATCTCCGATGACAGTAGGCGTAGTATCTGATGTTGCATCGGCGATACCTACGACATTGCCGCCTTCCCCGTCGGTGGAGAGGATGTTGCTGGCATCGCAGGCGGCGTAGACGGTCTCTTGAGGGATTCGCATCTCAATGGTGACTACAAAGTAGTTAGACTTCTGTGAGCTGGATGGATATTTTTGGGTTATGAGTAAAGCTTACCAGTCTGAATCACTGTACTGGCCCGTGTGTAGACTGTCATAGTTGTCATGGTCTCTTCTTCAGTCACTGTAACAGTCGTGCTACACTCAGGGCATTCAGTAGTTGTTATGGTGCTGATAATCGTGGACATCTTGGTCTTGGTGACGGGCTTAAGCGTGGTTCGCGGTCCTTGAACTGTGGTGGTGACGACCTTGGTGGTGTAAGACGGGACCTCTTTGGTGCACCGGACACGTTGAGGATAGAGGGGGTCATTTTCAGTAAGAAGCTTCACAGCGGCAACGTTCTTGACAGCTCGGTCCTTCAGCTTGGCATTGTCCAGGATGGCTGTGAAACTAGCTTTTCTGGCTTTTGTCGTAACGAAATAGTCGGTCGAGACGGTGGTGGTTGTGCTTGTAGTAGTAAGGGTATTGGTCCTCCTTGCGGTAATAATCACATCCGCTGGGAAAGACGGTTAGCGTCCAAACGATAGAAAAGTATACTCGAAAACTCTTACTGGTTTCTGTGGAGGTCTTAGTCTCGGTTTCAGGACCAGCTACGACAATAGTCGTGGTATACTCAGTGGTCCGTACAGTAGTAGTCTTGGCTACTGGAACCACTACTACATTAACCTTTCGGATAACCTTCTTGACAACAGTGATGTGCTTCATAGTTGTGGCAGTTGAAGTAGGGTCATTTCTTTTGGACTTTGTTCCAAGGTCGGTTGCGCAGACCAGAGAGGGGCTGGCAGCCGCAAGGGTCTCGGCTCCAAGAGTGAGGAAGACAAGAAAGAATTTGAGAGAAACCATGATGAGTACGGCCAGCGAACGACAATGGAAAAGAAGGAAAGGAATAGACGCGGGCTGAAGTGATATACGCTCCGCCAGCAAAGGATATCTCAGCTGAGCAGGTGGAAATAAATGGACTGTGTCTAGATGCGGTTTGCATGAAAGCCAAGGCTAACAGTCAATAATCCAGGGTCTTGAACAACAAACAAGACTATCGATTATGGTGGGCCATATCCTTGCCCATTAACCAACACAATCTTACAATTGGCTACTTTCTCAAGTGCGATCAGATCTTATCCCGACGGGAATAGGCACTATTGATCCGGGCTGTCCAAATGTTTCTAACAAGTGTGCCGGAGAAAGATGTGGAGAGCTGAGATTGATCAAACTATTCAAGGCGAGACCGGTCGCTGGCTTCAAAAGGGCGGTCATACCCCAGTTCGTGCAGCATTAGAGCCAACAGCACGACCAACACCACAACCAACACTGTCAGTGCTCAGTCTCGAAGGTCAGCTTCTTGCTGTTTTTATCTAAGGAGTAGACAGACTATGAGACACCCACCAACGTAGAAATTTTAAAGTTTACAACTTTTGGTTTTAGAATTTTAGATTCATACCCAGAAGAAGACACTAGCTAATACCAATATCAACGAGTCTGATCAAACCTCGTCTTGGCCTTCACAGGCTCCAAAGGAATATCATCCTCATGCCACAGCCGTGTACTCCCATTATCCGCAGAACCCCGTCTACTGCTAGGAGCATATTCATAGTGACCATCATCTCGAGACGTCGTAGGACGCAGCATCGACCCCATCTCAGTTCTGGAGGATAATCCAAACCTTGAGCCTTTGCGGTGAATCTCAGGCGAGGAAAACTCAGTCGAAGCTGGTGGATTGATAGATGACGATGCGTTGTCTCGATATTCAAAGTTTGTGATTTTCCGCATTGCTGACTCTGAGATGTGGTCTAGTACGCTCTTGAAATCGTCTAGGAATATGACATCGGACGCACATTTGAAAACCAGAGCGAGCTGAATGACGTCAGTAAGATGTTGGTAAGTTCTTTGTACAACTCACCCTCCAAAAAGGGTTCATGCCCCCTCTCCTGGACACGACAATCATAAAAATAACATCCGTAAAGAGGAAGATGATGGATAGGAGGAGACATAGCAACATAATCCCAAATCTTGGACTCGTGCGGATGAGACCAGGGATCGTAAACTCGTAATTCTCGTTGATAGCCATAACCAGCTTTATGGTCGTGAAAACCCACCAGGGGTCTCTAAATAGTGGTTCAAGTAATCTTGACGTGTCGAATAATTTGCTACCAAGTTGGTTGTTGTACTCGAAGTTGGCCCAGGTCTCGAGAACCCAGTACGGCTGGACCATGAGCAGGGTGATGATGAAGGCTCTAGCACCCCATTTTGGGAGGAAGGGCCGGATCTTGAGCCATGCGATTAGGTTGTGGACAAAGTATGAGATGTATAAGAGAGCCGCAGTGCTGCTGAGGATCCTTTTGTCCATTAGCTACTTCTATGTGGTAATTGTGTGGATATATCATACCATCCGTACTCGGGCTTCTCAAAGAAGGAAAAGAAGCCATGGCCTAATGCGAGTAGCAACTATAGTTCAATTAGCGATTATCTCGCGGAGCTGCCAAGATGGTGATCATACTTCACCAATAATCAGCTTGTGGAGTAACGTCTTCCTCCGATAATTGCACAAGACCAAGAGAATCAGAATAACAATGCCGCCAACGTTGAAGCCCTGACTCCACGACTCTACTACAGCCTGCTCACGCGTGGTGATAGACGGACTCGGTGAAACAGACGACATATTGACATCGCGGTCGCATTTGAATATGGGAGATGATTGAACAGGAACTAGTAGTCCAGTTAACAGAAAAGGAGTGCGGCTGATGACAAAACAGCAGAGGCAACGTCACTCTTGTCCAACGTTTACCAGGATTGACTTCCCCGTAAATGCTTGTCCTTGAAGGTCGAATCACAGAAGGGAGAAAGTAGTTGCCTTGTCGGACGGGAAGGGTGTGGTGGCTGTGGGCACCAATCGGACGAGAGACCGTTGTTTGGGGTAAAATTACTTTTCCGGGTTGCATTACGGGACTCAGTGGAATTTCCGGGGTAATTGCCGTTCAAATAGGAATGGGCGGTCTGTTTTGTCCTTATTGGATATGAATTTGTCCCAAAGACTTTCTATGAGACAGGCTTCAAAACCAAGGACAGTGAGTATCTGCAAAGTATCAACTGATGTCAAGGGACATCACACGGCAATTTCAACATTATGCAACAGAATAACTATACTTATGTATCCTCATGCAAGAACTTTGTGGTCTTCGACAATCCTCATTGCTCGGCTAGGTTTATCATATTTTTCTTAAATAAATGATCTAGTCTTGCATGTTCATCCATCGTGGAAGTTTGCGTCTAACGTGAACGTTTGAATTCAATTAGTTTCTCCTTGAACTTACCTATTGGTTTCTGGGAGATAAATATATTCCCTAGAAGTCGTTTCTGTTGTGGTAAACATGGCAGCGATAATTCTAGGTGTTTAGGAGTTAGCGACTACCACTGATCTGATACCATTTTTGAAACACAATGGTGCTCAATACATACTATAGGCAATGGAAAACTCTTAATTAATTAGTAATTCGCATCGAGGTCAGTCGTTCTAACCCTGCTTTCCTATCTCCAACGCAATACTAAGCATACTCCCCGGCCACCAAGACTCTTTTGACCCCGAATCTCCCTGAAGGAGACTCTGATGGCTCATGTACTTTGTAATTCTTCCCAGCTCACAAGCCCCTATACCACCGATCCACCAAACGCCATCCAGTGACATAACCAGCACAAGCCAGTGGGCAAAGATATCCATCGCCAATCGAGACGTTTCAGATATATACTCGTTGTCACATTGGATACCTTCATCGGACCCTCCATCGTTGGCCGTTGAAATATTATCAAGTGCTGATTGCACAAGACTTAAGAACTCTTCTGGCACGCGGTTGAGAAACCACATAATTGTCCTGCGCAGCGGTTTCGGTGGTGTTGAGAAGGTTACGCGGGCCATGTAACTTCGCAGCCAAGGCGATACATCAGAGAGCTGACTCAACGCCGCCCAGCCATTCTCCAAGTCAGGTTGGGCAGACTCTGTCTGGGTGAAATGTTCATCGAGCTGGAACACCTCGGTCATGATATTGCTAAGAGCCTCTAGAGCTACAAGGCAAGCTTGGATCTCAGCATTTTCACGCGGTGATTCCCAGGAAGGTGCCAAGTGTGTAGCGAATTGCAAAGTCTGTGCCTTTGTCCTTAGCCTTTCAAGCGCAGAACCCGATGTAGCTGCGATGATGGGCATAAGCAACCTCTCAGTCTGTTGGGTTGGTCCATTCTCAGCCAACGGAGCCATTCCGCTTGTAGATTGGCTGTTCAGGGTAATTGCTGGCGGGCTCGCAGTAAAATCATCTAGGCAACTGAAGTCTTTGGCAGAGTGCAAAAGACCGGTGTACGCCAGGTTCGCCGCACGAATAAGCGTCATCCAGTGCAATTGCGCCGGTGCCAAATTCGTACTTGAATCTTGCTCGTCGTCTAGGCTTTCGGCTGATTTGATCCGAACGGCATGGTTTGCGGTAGCGTAGAGGACCATGAGAGGAGCATTCGCCACGACGTGGTCATAATGATTGGCATGGGGAATATCGGCTTGTGTCTGATGAAGCGAGGCCCTATGATGCTCATCTGCGAGAGCTAAAAGGTTCTTCACTTGGCTCTTTTTAATACTCATATGGTCTGAATTTGCAAGCAAATCATGACATTTGCGTACAGCCGCCAGTGACAGGATGGAGCTCATCAGAGGTTTACTGCGGAACGCCAGGTTAGGAAACCCTACCTGCAGGGCATACAGATCCTCTGCGTCATAAGCCATAGACCGAGCAGCGTGGGAGAGATAGTAACTGAAAAGCTCCAACTCTGTTGCACCGAGATCGAGCGATGGCTGGATGGTTTCTTGTATTTGCAGAGCAGCACTTAGAGTGAAATTGGGGCTGGAGGCGAGGTAGGGCGATAGACCGGGTGAGAGACTTGACGCTGAACCAAGACTGGCGCTGGCTGAGCGAGGGTAGTTATGCACAGGGATGGTGAGAGATTGGAGCTGGCTCCAGGTGTTGTCCCCTTGAGGTCTGGGTGATCGCACGGTTCGAGGTTTTGAAGAGCGAGGGTATTCACAGGGGATGTCTTTATCAGAACATCGTGAACATTGAGGGCGTTGCTCATCGCACTGCAAGAGTTAGACACTTGCGGCAATTAATGTTTGTTAAAGATTAAAGTTACCTTCTTTCTTCTCTGTTTGCATCCTAAGCAACCATGTCTAGACTTTGTATGAGATCTTCGTGATCGTGCATTGGAAGTCGGGCTTGATGTCTGAGCTGCAGCTCGTGTGGATGAACAAATTGATGTCATTTTGTAACTGTGCATGAGATTTGCCTTGATCATCACAAATTCCCATGCGGCATTGGAGTTATATACTTTCTCATCCATCTGTGCATTTAAGCTTACAATGTGACACTAGCTACACTCTGCCGAGCGCGGGACCGCGGATGCCTTCTCAGTGGCCGACACGAGTCCACACTGAAGCCGCAGTAAATAATTTGATATAAATCCCAGCCTCAGATCGCTAGCTCCACACTAAAGTCGTCACAAAAATGAATGGAAAATACACCATGCCCTGTTGATTTGGGGCATTGCGGTTGGAGACACGCGGAAGGCTGCGCCTCAGTAGCTCCGCCCTGATGATTTAGAATTTGGAATTTGGAATTCTTCTTAGCACGAAGCTGACTTGACGTTGCAGCCAGTCATGATTAAGACGGTGTAATCGTGCTTACTCACGTCGGCGAAAGCGAAAATGGACAAATACCGGCTACTACCTCGCATTGACGTGCCATCGAAGAGTGAGTCACTTGCTACCGTACCCTGATTGCTCTTGTTGCAGCTGGGAAAACCCGACTTTTTAGGGCTGAGAGGATCGACGCCATTGATATGAGACGCCCTATTCCAGATTTGGCAGTTATTTCAGTCATGGCTTGCTGCTGTGTAACTCTCTCATAACACGCCCACGCAGCCTGAATTGTAAGCCTGGCTGAACTGTGCACGAAAGAATTTTCAGTGTATCAGGGTTTTTTTCTTGGGCGTGAAGGAATGTCGGATAAGCCCAAGGTAGGGTCTTCACATAAAATCCCTAATATTGCAGCTATAACGATTGATATTGGAGGTTGCTATCAGCCAATCATTAGTCCCATCGTACTCCGTAGCGTCTTCGGTATTACTGCCTAAGCCCATAGAATCGAAACCCGCTGCTACCAACATGTTCATCGTCTCACAAACGCGCTGCCGTTTAGACGAACAAAACAGCCCGACTCTCTCCCGATACAACGGCTCTTTTGAGATCAATTAATACCTTTCTGGACAGGCAAGCCGTTCACCTTTTACCCAACGCCTAAGCCTCCAAAATGACCGCAGCGCCACGGTATGAGATCGAACACCATACCACCAGCATCCGGGACGATGATCGCGATGCACGCTTCAAGGTCCGCCGAAACGGCAAGGCCTTTTACCCCAAAATTTCGCCGTCCCAGTTTGTTAACTCTCCCATGATGACGGATAAGTACCTGTCGTATCTGGAGGTACTCCGATCAGGCGAAGAGGTCCTTGGTGACATCTACGACACCGACGTCTACGAATGGGTCATGGCCCCATTTGAGCTACTCTTCGCCGAGCTTGCGCCCAGTCCACCAGGACTCCCAGAGGACGTCAGTATCACTTTGAAGGATCATCTTTTCCCAGAGTTCTTCGTCTTTGCCCTGGATATTGTTGCTGAAAAGCTATGTCCACGTCGTATCGCAGCAGAACAGTCCCCTCATCGGCCGTCATTCGTCCGCTTTGATAACGACTTCCTTGACGATCTGGAGACATGGACAGCCTTCTACGATCCCGCCGGAATCATGTTGAGCTTCAAAGATGCCAAGGATGCGCTCTTTAAGCCGCCCAACAAGGTTCTTATCGATAACTGCCAGACTGAATGCTTTTTCAAGCCATGCAACTTTGTAGTTCAAATTAAACAGGAGCTTAAATCCTATAAGATAATTCACGCCGCCGGCTTGGATTCTCAACTATACCTATGTCATCTGTACGGCGTTGTTATGGATGACTCTAGCTTTATTCTCGGCCTTTTGTTAACTTACATTGACAACGGGGATCGCCCATTGTCTACGAGAATCCATCCTGACGATCCCGACGACCCCCCGGCTGGGATCAGAGAACGGTGGGTAGGCCAGCTTGATGATACCCTCTCAGGGCTGCACAAGGCTGGCATAGTCTGGGGAGACGTCAAGGCAGAAAACGTTTTGGTGGATAAGGATAACAATGCGTGGATTTCTGATTTTGGCGGTGGCTATACCGAGGGCTGGGTCGATAGGCAGATGGCAGGGACTGTAGAAGGCGATTTGGTGGGTATGGCTAAGCTGAAGAAACTCATCTTTCCCTCTTGCTTATTCCCAAATCTTGTATTAAACCAGAACCATGGTCCAGAACCTAGTCCCGCCAGTATTACGAAAACATTTGGTTCCTCTGATAGAGATGTCGAATGGTGAGAAGACGCTCTGTTAAGTGAGGGAAAGGTTTAAGGCAAGAGTTACAGTCTCCACGAATATTGTGGTGGGAAGATAACATCTGGCGAAAAAGCAGTGTGAACGTATGAATCTACTATGCTATCAGCATGTCGCACAGTTCGAGACAAGGGAGAGGAGAAAAGAGAAAACGCCTAGCACTTGCCCAGCAGTGCTAATCTTGTTTCAGGTAGTGTAACCATCGACCAAGATGTTTGCCAACCAACACCTACCGCCATTGGCTTATTTTCCCAACCCGCGTCAAAAGCAAAGCACGGTCTGCGAGCCTGGTCTTTGTTTGTTTCCCCCGCTCGTCGCATTTTCTCCTAGACCTTGCCCATTTCTTCTCACGATTCAATCCGCTGTCTTGACAAATCGACTTTTTCCAGTCAAAATACCCATTTCCTGAGATCGGAGGACCTGCCTCATGCTGACATTATGGACGACCTTATCGCAATGGCGAGCATCGTGCAGCGGCCCCACGAGCGTTGGCTCGATGTGATCAGTCGCATTAATTCCCCGGAGAACGTCGCGCGACAACAACGTCTTAAACAACTCGATATCGAGATTGAGAACATCCTAAAATTCTCTAGAGCCGACACACAAGGCCATGTTGATGCCGGGCCCATCAAGACTTTGGTCAGAGAGCAGAGCAGACTTGAGGAGGAGGTGGAGAGGGATACTAAACTTTATGAACAAGAACTCCAGGAAGCCAGGGCCGAAATGAACGCGGCTTCTCTCATCGGCGCGCAGTCAACACCTTCAATTCATCGGAATCTCGACATCCCTACGCCATCACGCAGTTCGGTCAATGAGAGCCAACGTAGCTCTCACCACCGTGAAGACTCGGGCGAGGAAAGCCACGGCAATACTAGGGAAAACAACAACGACAAAGATTATGAGAATGATATTCCCCAATACGACACTTTCGGCGAAAAGCAAAGTGAGGAAATTCTTAATTCACTGCCTACCGCAAACAATCGACTTACACGTTCCATTTCGCCTGCCCCGACTCGCTTCATTTCCCAAAGACATACTTCACCCGAAACTGGAGATTCGAAGCGACCAGCCAAGCGACACTGGCGCAGTGAATCTTTCTTTACACAAGGCCGTAAAATCGAATTTGACGCGGTTTTTCAGAACGGAACACCTCGCCAATGGTATAGGATCGTGCAATCTCCTCGTATTTCTGGCCATTGGTATATTCTGGAATGTACGAGCTGCTCCACATACTTCAGAAGGGAAGACGCATTTCAACAAGCCAAGGAACATCTTCACAGGCGTCATTCCAACAACTCTTATGTGTCTGCGGCCAGTGTCCTCGAGGAATTTGGTACGGTCGTTTTGAACTGTAACGCGGAGCTGGCGAAGAGGAACAACGCCGTTCTCGATGGTTTTCATTTACTCGCAAGCAATACAGAACCCATTGCAAGTCCTGAACCAGACGACCAGGATGAAACCCCCGAGGAAGAGCCACCGCCTCAAACTACAACCGCTACTCATTCCAGAAAAAAGAGGAAACGCGGCCGTCCAAAGGCCCCCGTCTATCAATGGAAGCCTCCGACCTCCTTCGCCGAGCTCGACCCTCGCATCGTCAACCTCAAGCCAGGCGACATCGTCAGTGTCTGGATTAAGAAGTATAGGCGTTTCGAGCCGGCTATGATACTCCCCTGGGGTCGATTCGACCGCCTCAAATATAGCCACACACTAGCCGAGGTAGAACTTGACGAGAATATTCCGAAATGCTACGACAGTGCTGAGAGCGATGACATGGTCCCTCGGCCGTGGGCTCCGGGATACGGCAACATAGGCGACCTCGCGCACCGTCGTATGCTTCCGGGATTGTACTTTCGCAAGGGGAAGGACTTTCCCTGCCAGTGCCAGTCGAGCTGGCTCGCGCTGAACCAGCTGAAGGTATTCGACAAAACGTGTCCTCACACGATCAACAAGGAAGCGGTTCTGGGATACCTCGATTGCTACGCGAAGTGCTACCCACAGGAAGAAGATCAAGGTACGGATTCTGTCCTTCCTGGCGAGGTGGTTTGAAAACTGAGGATTTGTAGATCATCACCCTCAGATTGACTATGGTGTTGAAGACGGCAGTGCTCGCGCTCATGGGGATGATGAGAATGGAGCGGGTGACGATGAGGAGATCAAGACGGAGTGGGGGGTTGGAGACCATGTCTGGAGGATGGGAAAAGCAGGTGTACGTCGTGTGCAGATCGTTCGCAGTGTTGAGCGTTAGATTCTAGGTTGGGCTGTGTATCAGAGACCTGAGCTACTGAGACTTGGACGGTAATGACACATAGGGGGCGTTATGGATTTGTACGAATACCAGTTTAAGAAGAAAGGCTCGGAGTATTTATCTCGAACAGGGCTATTTAATCAGTGCAGAGCTCATGTTGTCGTTTTCAATTAGGCCTACACAGAGTGGTGATAGCCACATATTAATACAGTGGATAGTTTACAACTTAAGTCATACTCATATTCCTATAACTGAACCTAGCGACATTCGGCCCGTGAACGCCGTCGTTAAAGCGATAAATTGGAGCATCTGATAGCCCGTTTTACATACAGTCTGTGCTTGGAACATCTAGAACATGTCGCGCTTATGCCAAGGGTGGAGTTTGCTATTCCCTTCCAAAATCCGGCTGCTTCAGCATTATTCAAAAGCACAATAACCGAGATGTAATTATTCTTTCTGCAAAGATTTCCCCAATCTTAAATACGGCGTATCTTCCAAACCCGCATGTGATTCTCGGTCTCCCTTCAACCACTTACCTCCATAAGGCTTAGCAAACTCTCAATTCCCACCAAATCAATCTAGGATCTCTCTCCCGCGCGGCAAGCTAGAGCCACAAACGGCTTACGGGGCCGTTACAACGCAATAAAAGGGGGGTGTTTAAAATTTCCACGAAGGATTTCTTAGACCCTATCGCCACGTCTAGTCTAATTCATGCGAGCTATCGTTTCATTCGCCTTTTTTTTTCGCATTCGCGCGCTTGTACTAATCTATCAATCCGCAGGAAAGCGGGGACTGCTTTTGTGGCGTAGATAAATAAACCATCGCCGCTACTCTAATCATTTAGCCTTTCTTCAAGGTTTATTCTTCGTTTTTTCTTATCGCAATGACCGATTCTTGGTCGAAATCGTCTTCGGACCCCGAGCCTTCGGCGACGATGCTGCCCGGGCAGACAGCCGTGGATAATGACGATGGCTTTCGCAACGAGCATCAGGATCATCTGGATATGCAGCGCCTCGGCAAGAAGCAGCAGTTCAAGCGCACGTTTTCGCTCTGGTCCTCGATTGGTTTCGTCGCTATCTACATGGCGACGTGGGAATTCGTGCTCATCTCGCTGGCGCCTGGCTTCACCAATGGCGGCTACGCAGGCGTCTTCTGGTGCTTCGTCACCACCACCATAGCGTACTCTGCCGTCGTGGCCAGTTTGGCAGAGATGGCTTCCATGGCGCCGACGTCTGGCGGGCAGTATCACTGGGTCAGCGAGTTCTCGCCGCCGAAGTACCAAAAGGTGCTCTCGTATGCTTCTGGCTGGATGACGACGCTGGGCTGGCTGGCTAGTTTCGCGAGTAGTTGCTACACCATCGCTTTCCAGGTGCAGGCCTGCATCAACGTCACCAAACCCGATTTCGCCTTCACGCCGTGGCAGATTGCCCTTATTATGTGGGCCGTCATCGTCGTTACCATTGCCTTTAATACTTGGGGCACTGCTTTCTTTCCGCAGCTCGAACTGGCGAGTTTGATTGGACATATCCTCGGATTCTTCGCCGTTATGATCCCGCTCTGGGTGCTTTGCGAAAAGAACGATGCACACGATGTGTTCTTGCAATTCACTGACCAGTCTGGCTGGGATAACATGGGCTTTGCCTACATCTCTTCACAGATCTATGTTCTCTGGTGCTGTTTCGGCTCAGACAGTATCGTGCATTTATCCGAGGAGGTCAAGAACGCGTCTATCATCGTCCCACGAGCCATCTGGTGGTCATACGTCGGCAACGTCTTCTTCGGCTTCATAATGCTCATCACCATGCTTTTCTGCATCGGTCCTCTGGACCCCATCATCGAAGCAGACTGGCCATTCATCGCCCTCTTCGACCGAACCGGCTCCCAACGTCTCAACCTCTTCTTCAACGTCATCCTATGGCTGCTGGTGTATCTCGGAAACATCACCACACTCGCAACCTGCGCGCGCGAGACATGGGCTTTCGCACGAGACCGTGGACTCCCTGGATCTCAGTGGATCGGGCACATGGACAAGAAATGGCACATGCCTTTCAACGCAGTCTACCTCATGTCCATCGGTGCCGCCCTGCTCAGTCTCATCCAAATCGGTTCCGATGTCGCCTTCACCGTTCTCGTCTCACTCTCCACACTCGGAATAATGAGCACATACCTCCTCAGCATTGGCTGTGTGCTCCTCAAGCGCATCAGAGGCGAGGAGCTGCCCTTTGCTCGATGGAGCCTGGGACGTTTTGGATTGGCGATCAATGCGTTTTCCGTGCTGTACAGCTTGTTCATTGTCATTCTGTGCTGTTTCCCTCTGACTTTGCCTGTTGATACGGCGACGGCGAATTGGGCGCCGCTGATTTGGTTCGCTGTGATAATCATTGCTGCGATTGCCTATGTGACGCATGGCAGGAAGGCGTATACTCCGCCTGTCAACTTCGTTGAGGGTGTTAAGATGCAGGGCGTTGGTCTGCAGGAGTCTACGTGAGAGACCTAATTTAATTGCCGTCATGGCATTGTTTGAATAGTTCAGTATATAATACTATGTGTTTCTGAGAAACATGACAGCTTTAATCCATTGCTTGAAAGATATATTTATGTCCTTCCGGGTAAGTTATTAGATGCAACGCCAGAACTAGCCGATCACAGCCTCTGTTGTGGGGGCATACCGTACCAGGTATTCATGCTTACGTTCCGTATTGAATCTATGATATAGTATTCTTTAGCCTGTTGTTTCTTGATGCTTACTGTTGCGAAAACCATGCCACGTCTTTCTTCCGTCACCAGGACCTGTATATGCAGCCATGTATCCCGTTGGCCCTGGATTTCCATCCTTATACTGAGCCTACAGACGTTGTCGTCTGCTGAGGAACTCATTTCTTTCACTAAAGCTTGGATACCAACCCATATCTGCGGTGCTGTAGACTCAGACTTTCCTTCAGAGCTTTCGCCTTTCTGGATTAATAGTATTGTCGGCATGTGGATTGGTGAAGGAAATTCGGCGAAGCTCGACCTGCATATACTTGCAACCCACAACACGTCGCTCATTTCTTGTGATGGAATAGATATATCACTTTTCGAGAAATCTTTGGAATTCCAAGTCCTCGGTTATCCAGTCGGCGAACTGGAATGCTTTTGGAGTGAATGCCCTCTTCCTCATACGGAGAGGCTATCACCGTAAGTACCACTGTCAAGTGACCAGGAAGCCTGAATAGCTCATTGAATCTCTTCAGTTTCTACTCAGACACGGAAATCTGCTCCTATCACATGATCTATAACTTCCAGAGTGCCCACTGATTACAAGCCTTGGAATCAACCTTTTCTTTCAAGGACAAAAGTGGACAAGAACTAGATTGCGCAATAGCCAAGATCACCCCAGACATGGGCAAACCAATCTATGCAGCCTTAACCTACACGCCCCTCGGTATCCTAGCGCTCGTGGCAGTGTCTTCATGGTTGTCGTATCAGCAGGAGTTCAGCTTCAGTTATGTTTTTCATCGTGGGTCTACCGTGGCTGGTCCACTCTGGCCAACAGTCCTTGATATAACCGGTTATCTTCGCTATCTCCAATTTGCTTTTATATCAGCTTCCATGTCGATGCAATATCCAGGGTTCTATGTCCCAGCTGTTGGAAAACTAGCCTGGGCTAATCTAGTACTCTGGGAAGGGCCTGTTTTCAAGCACCATACAGACGAAGGGCCAACAGGCGGTATGTACCCCAGCAACGCTTCATATGGCCTCAACTCCATGGGGCAAATGATTGGGTATCCCTATACTCTGGGCAGCCCTTTCAATTCGATCATCACCTTTCTCGACCTCACTTCACCCATACTCCTTTTTACATGTCTCTCATTCTGGATATTGTCACGGTCAAGTCCAGTCCAGCCGTCCCTTTTTTCAGTCTTCAAGAAAGCAACTATAACGACCATCGGGATTGCATTATGTTTGTTCACTGTTCCTCTTCTTTCATAACTCTCTTACGACCTAATCCTCGTAGGATACCTGCCTGACTACCGCATCGGCTTGGTCATCCTGATGCTGCTGATCATAATAGGAGCCAGTCACTTTCTTCTACGGATATTGGATGGCCCTTCAGAACTCAAACCAGCTCAAAGTTCCTTTGAGCCAGACGGTCCTACTTTTGATTTCCATGCAATGTGGAAGGTCCTCTCTCGACGTATTCCTCATAGCATGCCGTTGATGCAGGCCATCGGCGTTGGCAGTCTTCAGGACTTTCCTAGTGTGCAGCTATTTGTCTTGGTGACTTGCGGATCTGTTTTCATTAGCTTTCATCTAGCTTCGAAGAAAGACAAGCGAATAGCATCCTCATCAACATTTTATCTGTCGCTCATACGATTAATGGCTGTATTACCGATGGTTGTCTTTGTCTTGCCAACTACCTCGGCCGCCAAACAGTGGACTGGCTACGCCATATTGAGTCTTCATGGAGTGGTCATTTCGGTGGGATATTCAACCAAATCATTTTGGAAGTTGTATAAGACACTATCCAAAAGGTCAGTCACGGAGCCCGCAAATGTGACGAATGGAGTATCAAACTCTAATACTATAAGTTAACTCTATCTATTGTTGAATTCATGCTGAACTTCTCTCGACAGGTATTTCATCTTGAGCCCAGTTCGTCTCTATCATCAAGCAACCTACTTGAGCATTCTCGGGCCCATAGTAGGGAGCCTTCGTGGCAAGATCATCAGCAGAATCCTTCGTCTTTTTACCGCCCACCGCGGTCACCAAGTATTGCCCCTAGTCTTCAAACCTTTCGACCCGCTCCAAGTCTGGGGACTGTGAAAGGAAAACTTCCAGCGAAACATCCAGGGGAAGGGAAGTTCGACATGAGCTCAGATCTTTCAAAAGTCCCGCCAAATCCTGGTGTTGATTACTCCTTTCGTGAAGCCGACAGGTTCTACGGTATAGCTGAGGACAGTCTTCTCTACCCCGACTTCAACCCCTACCTCGAATTCGACTTCAGGCCTATCGTCAGAAACACCCAGTCCTGCGAGTGAAATTCCACTCCATGAGAGGTTGGTTGATAGGGTTACAAAAACATTTAGACAGCCGAAACGGAAGCCTATAGAAAAAGCGTTTCAAGTGCAACGGCCGCCTAGGCCGCCACCATAGTTATGTTGACATAAGAATTTCCAATCTCACATTCGTGAAACCTCGCGAAGTCTCTTAGATGTCTCCCACCAGTCTGATACCGCGCGGCGAGTGTTCTTGTTTGAACAGTGTAGCTTGTTCTTCGGCCTGTCTCTTCCCTTTGAACGATTTTCTGTAAAAACCACAAGATAATCTGTCTGAATTTGTGGATCCAACGTGACTGCCTAGACGATTATGAGCCTTTTTAATACCAGCAGAGGCTCTTTTTGACTTACATGGATACTAATGTTTGTTTGGCTCTTGAGGAATCGATCTAGACCACGGTAATAGCCTCGGAAATCATAGCTCCAGCCCATATACCCAGTATTTAGCTCGTAGGAAACGATGAATGACTCACCGAAGCCAAGAGAGATGGCCACGATCTTCTTTTGTCCCTTGATAAGGTCTTCAATAGTCTTTACAAGTTCAGATGAGCCCTTGCAGGACCAGGAGCCGTCTAGCCACCGGGCGTAGTACTGTTGGTTAGGACCAAGTGCACATATATCCAGGTTGCCAATCTCGAAGACCTCGATTTTCTCAAGCAAATGGGGATAGTTCTGTGCGAATTCTGGAGAGAAATCTGTTACTTGTTAGTCTCTGCGATTGTCGTCATCAAGAATTGTTTCATACTCCATGTGTCGTTCCCATATCGAGCAATCCATTCTCCGGGTTGCTCAACTGCCATACATCCGAACTCTATTCGTTTCCGGCGTGAACCTATATGCTCGAGGGGCGTGGATAGGTTGCTTTTCCGGTACTGTTAATAATAAACCACGCCCTTCGGTTCGGCATGACGTACCAAATCCATATCTCAGGGCTTTTTAGAAAATAAAGAGATCTGTTGAGAGAAATTGAGAACCATATCTCGGTTGGGGGATTCTTGACCTCTCCCATGCTATGGTTCTGCCCAGCCATGACCAGACTTGCACTCTCATTCTGGGGAGTGTTTGTATTTGACTGCGGGACTGTGCTCTGCTGTCGCTGTTTATTTTCATGCCTCGCGGACCTCTCTCTGTCGAGGGCTAAGGCCTGTTCTCTCACGAGCCGAAGGTGTTCCTTTTCTCTTTGTTGAAGATCACAGATCTCCTTTTTCATTTCGGCGAGTCTTTGATCTCTTTTGGCCATCATAGTCTCCATTGTTGCATTTAGCGCTTTGGTACCGTTCTGCGCATTTTCAAGCATCATTCTATTCCGATCACGCTCCACTTTCAAAGCTTCTTGTGTCATTTTGTCATGAGCCTTTCCAGCTGCTTTGATCTCCTCCTCAAGGGCTCTTTGTGCCTGGGTTAACTTTCTAATCTCTTTCCGAAGGGCCGCATTAAGATCTCGCCCGGCCGCAGTCTCATCTAAGCTGAGTCCGTTATCAACCATCTGTATTTGCAAGTCTGTGACGATCGGATCTCCGCGGCCTATCAATGAAAGGACGATCTGCCTTGCAGACTCTGGCGTGTTATTGTACCTGTGACAGGAGCTACCCTGGGAGAGCATCCATCCCCAAAAGTGGTCGGTCTCCTTGAGCTCCTGTTCACGCATGACTGCGTCTTCCTCGCGGGTGATGTCCCACATGGTGCTGGCAAGAATCACTCTCTTCAGAGCACCCTCGCCGCACAACTTATTGAAAGTGACCAGATTTCTTCGAGCTGAGCCTTGCATTTGAACATCTGAAATCCGATGGAGATATATAATCCCGTCCAAGCGAATATCGTTCTTGTACGAATCGGAGAGCCACATAGCAATTTCCTCAAGAACCTCGGTATCACTCTTGCTCGAATCATCAAACCCGGGCGTATCTATCAAATAAACAGTTGAGTCTGGTGATATCTCGTATGGGTAAACATCAACAACGGACGTGCCTAAACCTTGTCAGCGAACTCTATCTTGAAACCCCTGATATGGTCTCTGGACTTGCATGAATCCTGTTTGTGCCCCATAGTGACAAACTTATCGGAGCATTTAGATATAAAAGAACTCTTTCCGGATCCTGTTTGACCCATCACGGCAATGAAAGCATCGTTTGGTCTGTAAAATTAGCGCCCAGGCCATGTGTACCCAGCGTGATTGATGTTCTTACCTATGAGCATGACCACCGCGAAATCCCCTTGGATCAACATCTTCAGATGTCGTGAGCGGCTGACTGACAGCAGTCAAGTAGCCATCGTCTGATACGCTCGGGGCTTGGCTGCTGTCGGAGGCCTCCCTGGAAAACGCTTGTGCCATCTCCCGAAATTGACTTTTTTCTTCATCTACATTAATACATAGTTCGTAGCGTGTTGTTGGGATAACTAACCCACCCTATCTTAACCTATATGAGATTGATAATCGGGGGAAGGGGCTGTAGTGACGGTAACGCGGGGAAGTTCCAATCTGTTGTCTAGGACTTCTCAAACCAGGCTCTGGCCATTGAGTCATAAGACTGTGTTATATACTGGTCTGACTTGCCGTTGTGGGTTACATTCCGACACATCATGCAGGCGCCTTGTCTTGGCCAGCTGCGCCGCGCCTCCCTCTTGTCATGTATTAAAATGGTGAAGTTCACTTTCACGAGCTAGCCTGGGTATATACAGTTTTCAATTTTATTTACTAAGCGCGAGGTGCAACTAGTGCCAGTTCGATAGACGCAGACTAGAGATTGTTAGGGTAAGGATGCCTGGGCAGCATGGCCATCATTTGGGCGCTGGTTCGTCGTCTGACCACCTTTACCAGCCTGGTGAAACAACATGCTTGTGCAATATTCTTGTCAAGGGCCATTCATGGTGCAGATATAAGCCACATCTGCCTAGATGATCTGTGACAAGGCTTTCTTGAGGCATTTTCAGATACCATAAGATATCAATCACTTTGCTCATCCTTTCATCCTTAGACACCAAATATCAACTTTGGACGACATCTTTTCAACATGACCGGTATCATTGACTTGAGTCTTGATGCCGAAGCGCTTGTGGATAGGGCCGAGTCATTCAAGACGTTCTTGGGGCTTAATCAACCGCGACCAACAGATAGATTCTTCCTGGTGACCGGCATGACAGGCGCTGGGAAAAGCTCTTTTGTGTCGCGTTATACAGGCTGCAATGCGACAGTCGGCCATGGACTCCATTCTTGTAAGCAGACGCCTCTTACATTAGTCTCGTCCATACTGAATGAATGCCAGGTACAAAGAAAATTGACATATTCGAATACACACTTAAAGGGCAGCGAGTCTTTCTTATTGACACTCCTGGTTTCGACGACACAACTCGATCTGATGTTGAGACGCTAGAGATACTAGCTACCTACCTGGGTGCTTCGTACGCAAATGGCGTGCGCATACATGGTGTTCTTATGCTTCATCCCATTACAAACAACCGCATGTCCGGGTCGAATCTACGTTATCTGGCGTTTCTTAAAGCTATATGTGGATTCAATTCTTACAAAAACATGGTTATTGTAACAACTATGTGGCCCGAGGAACCGAGTCCAGCCGAAAAGAAAGACTTTGACAACCGAGAAAACGAATTGTTGACGCAACAGCGCTTTTTTGGTGACTTGATAGCAGAGGGGGCCAGTCTGTTTCGACACTATGAGTATGGTCATCGGGATCTGCATATCCAAAGAATATCAGCACAATCTATCATGACCTATATCCTTGATAGAACTGATGGAAACAAAATGGATGCCCTTCAACTGCAGCGGGAAATTTTTGACGAGAAAAAGTCTCTTGCCCAAACCACAGCGGGAGTTCTGACAGCTGATTATCTGCGACAAGCCCGCCAAACCCACGAGACACGATTGAGTGAACTTGTAAGCGAGAGAACAGACGCATCGGCAGATAAGACATACAAGCAGCAGCTGAGCAAGCTCGAGGCAGAAGTGAACATGGACATCCAGGGAGTGGAAAAAGACTGCCAAGCATTGACAAGAACGATTGCAGATTTGCACCAAGCTGAGGCAGAAGCTCTCAAGGAAGAAATCGCCAGACTTAACAGCCGATTCCAGAACGAAGTCAAAGCAAAGGAAAGAGTCCTTCAAGAAGCCCAAACTTTGTATCTCGCGCATCAACAAGAGGTAGCTCTGATATCACAGGAGCCTCTAAACCAGAAAACGATGGCACGTCGCACTACAAAGCAGTACCAAAATCTGAGCAAGGCCAAAAAAGACGCTGAAAAGGCCCGACGGGGCCGCAAAAGGGTTCAGGAGTATACCAGGGAGGTCATGGGAGGTGTTATGAATGGACTTGCGGCGGGTGCGATCGCTGGCGGTGAGTCTTTTTGTAATAGGAACGAAAGGCATAATACTAACCTTGTTTGTTTAGCCATGGGTGCTGCATGTGTAGTGATGTAACTACCTGAAAAGTCTTAGATGTATCGGCGGGCTTGAAGACACAGGCTATGATTGAGAGCGTCTTTCTTTATGCCGATTAGCAGGATAATGGGTAGCCAGATCTATAGAAGATGTTTTTACTATAAGCTGAGTATCTAAACTCATACTTCTAATAAAATATCACAACGTTTTTGGTTGGAGAGATTATAAAAAATAAGGAAATTTACTATACTAAAGGGAATCAAGTCTATAAAGCTTCTTTGAATAATATGAGTACATATAATGACTTAATTGCTATGCTAATGCCTAAATCTTCCTCGCTAATTAACCTCACTCTGGATACTAAGTAACCAAAGATGCATTACGCAGAACCATCCTGATAACAACGACCCTAACTGAAAGAACTCTCTGAAGAATTGAATCACGGGCGGCTATCTTTACCGCCTGATATCATTCCCAATATCGGCCCACCGGACTTCTCCCCCAAAGTCAGCATCGTAAACCGCCTTATCCAATTCCCATCAGGCTGTTGAGATGCATCATTTGCTACCCGCAGTATATCAGACGGACAATGACTCTCCATGTACACTTTCCTCTCCCGAACCTTCTCAGGACCTTCCGACGGAATCGTTATGAAACTCTGGAGCACATTTGCGTCGTTGGGAGACATGTGACTGACGATCTCCCGCAGGAAAGTCCTGGGTAGGTAGTAGCCTCTACCCTGGTCACTCAACCCCTTTTGGGCCATCAGGAGTGTCGCCGTTGCTTCTTTGGGATCTGAGTCTCCCGCATCAAAATTACTGAGCTTCGGGATTGATGTGCTTTCCGTATTCAAAGAGTTTATCTTGTTAAGAGCGAGGAATGCGAGCATGGCGAGAAATCGCGTTAGCATCATGTTGCCATATTCGAAACTATGGCGTAAATAGTGGATGCGCAGGATTGTCTCGAAATATCCTCTGTATTTTGACAGGGACGCTTGAAGATGTTCTTTGGGGATAGCGGAATGCTGGTGAATGACGATCTCGTAAAGCTGGACCATAACATAGCAATGCTGGAGACTATAGTGATGTCAATGCTTGTTCCAAGGTGAGCAGCTGCATAGGCTCGAATGTAGGTGTATGAGGTTTAGGATGCAGTTGGGGAGTACATACTGGAGTTTTAGTTGAGAAGGAAATACAATGTTTGCAGGAGATAGCGCCTCCGGCAAATTTTGATACCAGCGATCCAACTTCTTTGTGATAGCAATGATTCTGGTTGCACCATTTCGAGTCAAAAAGTCTCTGTTTGAATCTTGGTCAATTTCAAGCATGGCCTCGTTAAGAACAACACTAAAGTCCATTTTCGCCTTGAAAGTCACTCCACACTGTAATGGTACTAGAGCAGAGCCTGAAGGATACTTGAGCCAGATTTCACCAAACCAGTCTGTATCGTGTTCAGGATCAGGGACGTGACTCTTGGGCGGAGTATGTAACAAAGGTGTTGTCATAAGCTGGAAGCTCAGGGTGCTGATTTTGTCAGCAGGGAAATTCTGCGGATCGGGATACGTACCATTGCCAGTGAAAGAGTGACCACGCCGTCAAATCGTAAGAGTTTCGAAGTTTCTTATTCATGATATATGTCGTTGATTCGAATAAGCCTAGCTCCTGCGCCATCTGGGTAGCTTGAACAATGTATGCTGACGATAATGAATCCATATCAAACATGTTGACAACAGTGTTCAAGACAAGAGCAGCCTGTACGGTTGTCAAACTTTGCTGGTCAGTAATTTCCAAAACCCATAATCTCCTAGCTTCCTCGAGAAACTTGGAGCCGAGACTGCTGGGGTTCCAGAACTCTGCAGGCTCGGAGAAGTAGTTTTTGCATTGCTAGACGTCATTAGCAACGTAATTGTTCAACGTTATATATCAGGACTATCAACTTACACAGCCAACTGCGAGAACAGCGTTCACCAGAAGCGGCGAACAAAAGGTGTTGGACCCAGTGACCATATCGTCGAGGAAATAATCCTTGTGGAAAAACGTGAACCAGTCGTATTCTTGCAGGAAATAGGCCCGAATGAGCGACCTCATGATGTCGTCACTAACATTTACCGAAGTCCATTTGGACGGTACGATTTCGTTCAGCCTCGAGTCAATGATGACAGCCGCGTGGTGAGGTCTCAGATACTGCGCTCGTTGGCCTAGGTCTGACCCCAGTAGTCTCGGAGATGCAATACTGCTCGCGTCATCCCTGTCACTCCACTCGTGTATGAGAGATTTCATGAAAGGATTGTCCGTGGTCTGCAGATATGCTGGCATCAGAGGAGAATAGATAAACTGATATCGGGATCTCGTCTCGGGCTCCAGCTGTACTTGCAGGAGAAGATCGGCGCTTGTGAGTTGCCGCATCAAGGTTTCTGCGTCCATACCAGACTGAACACGTCGAACAATCTCGAGTGCTTCGGCCCGCGGTCTAGTCTGGATCGCACGGTAGACCACCGCAGCTGGATGGGATTCTATCAAAGTCTCATATTTTTCTCTGTAGTCAGTGTTGGGCGATTGTCTGTAAACACATTCGAGGTTCCTCACACGACATGGTGAACATGTCGGTTTGTCACCGTTGCACTAGACTTCCTGCTTAGTTGTATTCGTATAGACCCGTAAGGCAACGCGAACTCACCTTCGTCTTCCGCTGTCGACATGGATCACACGCCAGACTTATGGAGGGTCGCTTTCGCGTCAAAGGGGCAGACTCATGTACATGAGGTTCCACAGGCGGAGGGCGTACGGCTGGGAGAAGTTGTCGCAGATTGTTACCATGACTCGATTCATCAGAATGTGAATTTGATGCGTCCGAATGGCTAGGTCTTCTGTGTGGTATCATACTTGTCCAAGTTGGTGTATGATGTTGCTAAACAGACATGCATTCAGCTGCGAGAAGAACTCCACACATATAAGCCATAGAATATTTTCCACAAGAAAAACCGCGTATTACTGACCCGTAAAATCGTCATTTTCCTTGATTAAGGCGTCCCAAAGGGTACTTTTTGCTGGTCGAAGTATGATGTCATGGTGGCTCAAGGATGATGCCCTTCACACCGTGTGGGCAGCAGAGACTTGTAACATAGACCAATTGCCGTTTATGGTCTGAATTAGCCTGTCAAGTGTATGATATGATTGGTGGGCTAAGAGCATTTCCTATTTGATTGTGATTTGTGCAGAGAGAATCAAATGGTTGGTTGAGCCTTGTGCCGCCCGGCGAGTCGCCACTGAAGCAAACATGCCACCATTACTTTATATAGACATCAGGACGGTGTATGCCAGCTTATCAGATGTGATGGATATAGATCATAGCTCGTACAGATCGCATTATATCAACACAATGTCATGCAAATGCCTAATATAGCAGTGCCCCGAAAGGTAAAGAGATCTATGTATGTTCCGGTCTATTCATGCGAGAAATTTAGGAAGATTATCTTGTTATCCATAGTAAGCATATTCTTTAATAGTATACTTAGTCCTGCGTAATTCTTTTTTCCTTTTTTCTTTTTTCCCCCCTTTTTATTTTTGAAAACAGATTAAGTTGTTAATAAATTATGGTGATAGTTAAAATTTTGATAAGAATATCAGGACGTTAAGCAGAGGCTGCCTAGCTGGCTCCGCTCTATATATAGGTTGTTCACTTAAACTATATGAAATGCCGTCGAGATCAATCATAAATAACTTGGAGAATTTAAAGAATTATTGTCATAGCATTGCTATGTATAAGTTCTTTCGACCTTTAGAGGCGAAAACGTGGATATTTAGCCCGGGAATGAACTCAGATCCTGAACAATAAACCTTAGTATTCAACATTCACCTTCATTGTGACATCCAGAACCAACACCATTCACCTTCCAATGGGATCTTAGTTATATCTTTTAAATTGGGTCATTTATCGTTTTACGGCTCTAGAGCGGCAAAAGATTCCCAAGATATTGTCATTCAACCCCACTGGATCTTCGGTGGGACAAGCCGCTATTCCCAAGACGGTGCCACAGAGCGCTCTTGGGGCTCTTATCCAGGTGGCGATCAAGTCGCCTCAAAAATAGGTGTATGATATAAGAGAAACTTCCCTACTAAATGCATGAGCTTGCAGTCAAAATATCCTTTGCTTTGAAATTTGTTGCGTAAATTCCAATGTTCTCTTCTCTTCACGATGCCTGGAGTGCCCAAAAGCAGAGGCTGCAATAGCTGCCTCAAGCAAAAGAAGAAGGTTTCTATACCCCGTGAAGTACCCTTGTCGAATACTTACACAGGACTACAGTGCGATCAAGCCAAGCCTGCTTGTTCAAGGTGTGCTCGGCTTGGTATTGCCTGCATTGGCTCTGGCAAGCAGAAATACGTTTTCAAACCTGTGTGTTTTCCCAAGTCAGCGAATTCGGACGTTCGGAAACCAACAAAGCAGAAGAAAGCCAGAACATCCAGTGAACAGACAACGTCTTCACAAATCGAAAGTTCTTCCAAGTCTGCTCGAACATAACTCGGCACGGCTTTTGGGGTGTTCAACAGACATACAACCTGAACTACATCAAGGTTTTCTGAACGGTTCTCTTGATTTATATCACCAAGATATTGAATAAAAAAAAATTCATCCTTAAGCTGGGTAAGCAATACTTTTGTTTAAACCTGCGGGTGTCTGATACTTTCTATAGTCGGCTGTTTGAAAGTAGCGTGTTGGTTTACTGGAGGTTGTGTCTTCACCCAATCATTCAACGGATATATACAGAGAAGTCTGCGTGATCGATAACTATAATTAATACTGGGGAATTAATTCATTATTAAGGCTTAGTAGATAGCTATAATATTACTATTATCAGGTGTCATCGCCTTATTTATCCAAGTTCATCCGCATTATCATTATCCTCCTTGCGAAGCGCATCTATGATCAGAGGAAAACCATTGCACCGATCGCAACACCGGCGACACCAATCAAAGAGCCCTCCAAAGCTCGAGCCGCATTGGGAGCAGCGACTGGGGTAGAGGCCTCTGCCCTGGTCGACTGGGTTTGCGAAGGAACAACGGGCGCAGCAATAGTCGGCCCAGTCTTTGATACCACATCTGTATCGGTGGACTTCTCTTCATTTGGGGGAGTGTCTGTCTCACTTTCTACAGGTACTGTCTTCGTCTCTGTAGGCTTCTCATCATCTGGAGGGCTCGTGGTTTCGCTTCCCGTGGATACTGTCTCTGGCTCTGTAGGATCCTCTCTCTCAGTGGGCATTTCGTCATCCGGTGTACTCTCTGTCACGCCATATGTTGTGAGTTTGGTCACAACTACAATGGACGTAGAAGTAGGCTCAGCAGGAACGGTCACCACCGTTGTCGGGCCAGCGGGAGCGGCCACAAGAGTAGTCGAAGGCTTCCAGCACGAGAGATACGAAGTTCCACGAGTTTCAGTGCCGGTATATCCGGCGCATCCAGGCCCGTGCTTGGGAGGAGCTCGGCCGCCGCCACAGTCCAAAGGATCGCAGATCATGCCATCGTCGGGGTCGAACCAGTGGACGATTTTGTCCTCGCAGGTGGTGTAACTATGAGTTGAGCAGCCGAATCCAAGGACTTTCTCAGTAAGCATGAGAACTGGAATAGCGGAGAAAAGACTAGGTTTGTACATTTTGAGGTTTTTGTCTGGCGAATGAATGGTGTCTAAGCGAGTGACAATTTAACGAAGGACTAATGAGGTGCAAAATCCGAGTAAAATGGTAGGACAATACGCCGTATTTAAGGCAAAATGATGGGAAGCCTAACAGGGGTTTCAACACCTCGTTTGGGCAGTGCTGGTGACTCAAAACGTAAGCTGTAAAGTAGCATCGAACCATGCCGTTGGCGGCTGATTTCAGGCCCTTCAGCCTTAGAGCAACGGATACGAGATATGGTCAACGACAATAGGTTAGCTTCGTTGATAGAGACTGTGATTGGCTGCCAAGCCTCGTAATTTGACTGCTGCGCCATTTCTTTCCACACCTTAAGGTAGGTAGCTTACCGGTTAGAACTTCTTTCCGCTTGAATAAGTCAAGAATCATTTACAGGGATAGGTGGCTTCCACAACGGGGGATCGCCGAGTGGTTCAAGGGTTGAGAGGTGAGATCGTCCCAATACAAAGAGCTTCGCATAATAAAAAGATTTAGTGATAGGAAAATACGTCACTTTAGCAGTGGCAGAGCACAGCTCCAGTTTTGGTGTTAGTCAGGTACAGGTCGGTGATATCAGATTAAATGAAGTGAAACGAAATAAAGTCAATCAATATTAATCGATCTCGCCATGGAAAATAAAACCTCCGCCACGTCCTGACTCATCAACCAACTCGGCACGTAGACTCTCCAACTCCTTGCGCATTGACTCAGGACTAGCATTCTCCAGAAGGCATTCAAAGTCGAGCAATTTCACGCCCTCCTCCGTGACGAGAAAGTTATATCGGTTCACGTCCCCATGTTTGAATCCCAATTCGTGGAGTTTCCCCACAGCTGTTTCGCAGATGCTCAGATCCTGTGAGGAGGCAAAGCGTCCCTCTATTTTCTCTAGGAGAAACCCAATAATGCGCCCGTTCTCGTGGATATGACCGAGGAAGCGCGGAGCCAGCCCCGAACCCTCAAGCAACTGATATGCTCTTGTTTCTTGTTCAATGCGAGGTATTTCCCATTCGAAACGCGCTATTTTGGCAATTATGCTAGTTGAAGATGGGGTGACTGGAAGGACCGAATGTGAGACGGCTTCGAAAGCCATTGCTGTGAGCTGTTTGATCTTCTCCAACTCGAGGCAATCAACCTGAGTATGATGCCATCGACACTTGACGCCGGCTAGCGTTCGGTTCGCGATCGAAGTTTTTAAGTCGCCGCTGGTTTCGTCTCTCGAGATGTGGGCTACAGTCCATTCCTCCTGACAAGGAAGACGGGGTAGGGACGGGATAGGGAATGAAAGTGTATCTCTGTCAAAGGTTCCAGGAGAAATGACGAGATATTTGACTTGGTTTCCGATTCGGAGTCGGTATTCGTTTTCGAAGGAATCTTCATCGTCCACTTCCATGGATAGGATGACCGGGCTTGCAGTGCGATCTTCGGACATTTCTGCCGTTGGATCACTCACTATGAAAACGTCAGCTAGATTCTTTTCAAAGTAAGATAGAACTCGCATATTTATGCTTCGAGATTCGCTTTAGCATCGCTATGCCTTATCCTCTCTGCTAATTTAGAATGACTGTTGTTCATGAGAAGGGCACTTTCACGGTCAAGTGTTCAAGGTTCTGAGATTTGAATACTGACCAGTGCTTCTAGGCAACCAAATTGGCTCAGTGAACAGCGTGCAAGTGACCAGTTGAAACGTTCTATGAACATCAACCCACTTTTATCACCATCCTGATCACAATAGCGAAGGCTCATACATTTGTCCAATCACTATCCGCGGCTAGAGTGACCTTTGCACGACACTCCGAATTCAACAGGTGACCAGCCTTACAGAGTTCCCTGCAGTACCCATTTCCAGTCGTTCGAGTGCCAGGGCTTAATCGGTTTATTTGTTTATTATTTTATAGGTTTGGAAACATTGTCAAAACTGCTTGGAAAACAAGAATATCACAACCAAGAGGGGAAGAACGAATCAGCAAGGTTAATATAGTGTTATTATGTGAAGGAACATCAATTGCCATTATAGCGATTGTGAGCATGCTCACGTTTAGCAACGTCCATTGCGGCCCATGAATCGACCTTTTTCTGCATTGCCACAGAAGTCAAGGCCAGGGGAGTAGTTCATGTACCCACAGGCAATGGAGGAAAAACCAATAGAAGACGGTGCCAATGTGCCTGGCACATACCAGCCACATGTATTGGTGATGTGCGAAAGAATATCAGCATACCGAGTGGCATCCATCGGATACACGTCGTCAGTGCAGCAGAATGCAACCTATTCCGGTGTAGATGGTCAGAAAGGATACATTCATTTGTTTACTAGAAATGCAGATGCATCAAAGGAAGGGGATTGGAAATAACTTACCACATCACCCCAAATGGAATACCAAGCTTGAGTAACTTCGGCCACACCGTCCTCCTCTCTCCTAAATTGGTCTTTGAGCATGTAGACTGCTGTATCGCAATTTCCATGGTTCATAGAAAGACTAAAGCATTTGACCCATTGATTAGTTATCCACTCAACGGTAAGAAAGATGTTGATGTTTGTACATACCCACATCCGCAGTACGTCTCCGGATCATCACGATCCCATCCACCTTCATCTTTCACCTGACGAGCCTTGACCTGACGAGACGATACCTTCGGAGTCACGGTAGTAGTGTGGTCCACCGTGAGTCCATTGTAGACCTCAAGACCTTTAGCATTTGCATGCACGCTGTAAACGCCATTGGGCATTTTCTCTGGCATGGTAAATCCAGCGCAAGCAGCAACCGACTGCAGAATGAGAATGGGGGTGGCGGACTTCATGATGAAGAGGCGAATTGAGGTGTAAGAGGAGTTTTAGTATAGAAGAAGAGTCTGAGACTGGAATTGATGGGTGAGGATATTTCAATGTCCATGAGTGACAAGCTGAAGCTCTATATACTTCTTTTTGTCGTCCTCGAGGACGAAGAGTATCGAGTAGAGGTATCAATAGACTTACCCAGCTGAGATTAGAGCTATTCTATCGTATCCTATTTCGTCTAGGATTATAAGAAAAAGGTCCGCAGTAGCTGCGCTTCTTGCCTACAATCCGTGAAGTATCGTGCCGAGTTAGCCGGTTCATGGGTATATTAGACTATTCCAGCATACCCATGTGTTTGGATTGGCTGAATCAACCCCATGACATCCGCTAGCTAGTACAAAAAGTCCTTTAAAATACAGCTGTAATAGGTAGTGAGTGCGATTGAAGGGTTTGTTCAATATCTATCTAATCTAAACGCCTTTGTAGTGGTTTTGTAACCCATCATACCCATGTGGTTTATAGATTCATAGCCAGTAGGGCTAATTCAGTATGATACTAGCTTGTATTTAATGCCTTATGAAGGTAATTGGGTATCTAAAGAAAAGGGAAGGTGCCTATCCGGCTAAAAGACTGAAAGTTATCCAGTTTAACTACTAGGAATCAATCTGCCTTCCACATTAGTATGTAAAGAGCCAAGGCCACATACGGGGTAAAATAAATCATCTGCGTATGTAAGCCTTTATACTATGAAAATATCATGATATTCTCTTATGTTATAAAAGTAGTTTAGTAAACTAGGAAACTATTGTATTTTATTATATTTATTAAAAGTATAAAGAGATCCATAATTGCATTATAAAGTACTCTACTAGCCTGTGTTCTTACCCATTATAGTTTAACAAATATTTCTAACCTTAATTAGTTTCAGTGTATACAGAGGCTAATAGTTTTACATTCTTGTCTCATACAAGCCTTTTACCGCTGCATTATTTAAGATATTAAAGAAATATCAAGTATTAATAAACGTAAGATATGTTACTTAAAGCAGTTACTAGGAATCCTAACTGCGATAGTAAAATGGCTTAACCATCTCAATATCGTGTCATGGATAGTACATTGTTTTCTTGAATAGTATTACCCTAATAAAATTGAAAGTCTATATCTGTGGCATTTCAGCCTAGAGGTATGCCTTCCTATTTCGAGCCTGGTAGTATTCAATTGCGGACATTTCTTCAAATCTCGTGACATCGGAGCCGGCGAGGAACTGTGGTAGAGGCCCCACAGACGCCTGATTATCAGCCTTCACGAAAAACGGAATTGAGTATCTCCCAAGTACCACTCGGTCCGAAAGAGTTACATTGTCGGTGATATTTGGTGTTGGTGTAACAACGCGGTGTACTCCGGCGGCAATCTACTCATGCGAGATATCAGTAAACGATAACCTGCCAGTGATATTTGACAGAGGGAGTGCGTGATTCGAAAGATACCTCTCCATTTGTCCATCGCTCCAAAGTCTCACTGCTGTTGACAATGAGCTCGCTGCGGCGCCCGGGCGAAACCCGGTGGAATTGGCCTGGTTGAGCTCTGTCCTCAATCTCTAATCCACCTATGCTGTCCTGAAATAAGCAGGTTATGACTTCCAAGTCTGTGTGGGCCCATGCTCTGTTAATAGGAGATGAATCTGTCTGAACAAGATTTGGGTAGTAGTTGAGACGCAACTCTCCAGCTTTCTCTCTACACCTGTTCGTGAAAGATCCCGCTGGCAGGCTGAATGATACCTCAAGTGCGTTTAATAGCAGCATGGCTACCTCGTGGCATGTCGTAAAAGAATCCTCCAGGAAGGCTTTGAACCCAGGTATGTCCGACTCGCTCAGCCATTTGCTTGGATGGAGTGAGTCTTTTGGTGAACCTATGTCGAGATGTTCCTTTGCTAGTTAGACAGGGCTTGAAGTTGATGATTGTTGGGATTGGAGCCGTACCTTTGAGCCTGTCCTACTTGTATCACCTGCCTCTCCGTCCTTTCCACGAAAAGCATCAAAGATCTTGGCTGTACGCTCTAGACCAACATGACTCCAGCCTCGCTGAGGCCTCGGTCCGGGAGTATGCGCAATTTGCTTTTTAAGGTCTACAGGTAATTTGAAAAAATCGCGGGACTGCCACAAATGTTTTATAAGCATGTATGTCAAACTAGTGTATTCCAAGCTTACTTTGCTAAATAGCTGGTTTACTGAAGACTCGTCGATGCCGTGATTGATAATCTTGACGAATCCATGCTGTACCAGTGAATCACGGAACTGATCTGCAAATTCCTGTCTCGTAGTGTCTTGGAGAAAGCGAGACAGATCGAGGGTAGGAAGTTCAAATCGTCCTACAGAGTCCATTTTCTTATGATGGTTCTCAGGGTAACCGCATTAATGTCTTGAGATCATAAAGTAAAGCGGGAAGCAATTTATTCGTAGTGAAAATGCTGATAACATTATATTTATTTCATATTCAGGGCATCGCGTGTCCATATTTACATTCATTAGCTCAGTTGGCTCTAATACTCATGTGCCTGTCTTATCTCTTTACTTGGCTCTGGAGACTAGCTTCACAGCTTTTTGGTACTCCCCTTTGGCCCATATCATTGAGACTACATTACAATAGGTAGGAGCGTTTTTAAACCCTTGGCAACTTTGAATCCTGTCAGCTTGTGCCCTTCCTATTTAATGCTTAGCCACTGCACGGAGTGAGTACCTGGTTCTAGATTGTGAGACCCTTGCTTTGTTCAATCTATGGTAACCACTCCACTACTTTCCCTCACGCTTATACAGTGGAGACTTGGTAGCAATAGGCAGGAGCTTATTCAAAACCTAGGGAATCCAAATTCCTGCAACTTGTGTCCTTCCTATATCACATCTAGTAAGCCTGAATACTTGATTCTTAATCGTGGTACCCTTGGTTTGAAGAACTGGTGGCACATCCGCGGTATCTCCGCAAACCTTCTGTCGACTGTACCATAGCCATTGACCTTCTCGCGTAATCCAGAAACCATATCATTTCACCAGTGCTAAGCTTGTGATGAGACGACTTGAGGCTTGAAAATCAGATACATCCTATTGGTTGAGTCAACAGCCTAATTGTCAAGGGTTCTAGGAAGCAAGCTCCCTATTAGTAGATTTTGGAAGTAAGGGGTCAAGGCCGATGGTGCACGAAAAGACTTCAAAATCGAAACGGGGCCAATATCAGACACCTTTTAAATATCAAAGAATGAGACAAGGGCTCGGCCAACCACTGTTCAAGGCACCTGTTCAGGCAAGACGCGCCAGTGGAATACACGGATCCAGATGGGGATTGTGGAACTGCATTGCAGGCAAGGCAAGCCTAGGAATTTGCCCGCTTCTACACCATAGGTTCTAACTAGACATGCAGGTAGTCTGGCTGCAACACATTGCTGCACATATTTCATATCCATTTAATCTCTATTGTTGAAGAAGCCGCCTCTTCGAACAGCCTCAGATAACTCAGTTGGCCTTGTCGTGCCTTCGCAACTCGATCTCCACAGCAGCTGTGCCTGTTCACACCATCTAAAATGCTCCAGGAAGCCATTTCGCGCATATAATTTGTCCCTAGCTTCAGACGCCCACTTCTCACCCTTAGTACCGATGATGTCTTTTTCAAGAGCAAGTTGACACCCGGCACACGACATTCCGTGCTCGACAACACCGTTTAGTTTATCATAATAAGGAAGTGCGCACGATCCCATGAAGTTGAATTTTCTACTCCGTTCTGAGATTGTTATTTGGGCTTGCCCCAGGGCATCAGACGGCCGTTTGCAAATCAAACTAGCCTGATGATGAGAAACAATCGCAATGCGGGATTTGTACACGGATTCCCCCATCGAATATATTCCAGGCAAGGTCTTGAATGACCTCAATTGGTCTAACTCGACTTTAGTCAAGCGGAATTGTTTTCGGGCAGCGGCAAGAGTTTGCACTTGGATCTCTGGAGCTTCCTTAAGGCATTTGAAACAGCATCGCTTCCATGTTACGAGGGATATAAATCCACCAAATTCGCCGCAAAGACTACAAGTCTTGATACATAATGCATTGTAAAAGTCGAGTAGTGAGATGTAGCAGGCAAGTCGTGTTCGTAACAAGGCGCAGAGAAGGCTCAGTCCATGCAAGACTATTATCTGATACTGCTTGAGAGAGTCTACAATCTGTCTAGACCTCAGATTTGTTTGTCGAAACTTGAACAGAGAATGCATATCAAGACTGAACAACGTGTCATGCAAGAGCTCGAGTGGTAACCGCTCAAGGGAACCAAGTCCAAAATTTGAGGTCCGCCGGAAGGGTGTTGCTATTGAAGGTCGAATATCTACGTGGTCACTAGGCGAAAACCAGATCACAGAGAGGCAGTAGTCTTTGCGAAAGTAGGCGGCAGTTCGAAGGATATTATCAACCTGTTCTTCGCCAAAACTGTTTCGGTGACAGAGCGATATCGGCGAGGCATACGGGCAGCCGTTCACAAATTGGTCGGTTCACTTGACTGAGAGAGGCACGGGCCTTAGTAGAGGTCGTTGATAGGTGACTATCTCGATAAGACGTTCGGTCGGGGTTGTATATCATACGTTAAAGTATGGCACCCGCGTCTTGTCCCGCGGACGTCGAGTGATATCCTGTCTTGAGACGGAACCGCGCTTGGCTCGTTTCTAGGATCCGTTCACCCCTTGGATCCCGGCATCCCAATACGAGCAGCAGAATAAGGGCTGACGAAAGTAGCCGGGGGAGGTAAGAATGAGAGTTTACTGATTCTCTGGCCTAATACGTTAGGGTACACGATTAGACAAAAAAGACGCTAGGTTGTATGATCATGTCAAGTACCGGCAGCAAAAGACTCCGACATCGGCCGGTCGATCAATATTCCGGCGGGGTGACCGCATTCGCGACTCATTCTTGGCCGTTAGTTAACTTCCCCAACTAAAGCGAGGGGCATCCAAGAATTTTCCCAAACATCAACAAGAAAATCGCAATGGCCACCGACTCGACACATACGCAATCGCAGGTCTACCTCTCCACAAGAGGTGGCGACTACGGTGTACGGCACACCCATCTCCAGGCCTCAATTGACAGTTAGCTGACAAGCAAAAGCTTACCTTCGAGAATGTTGTCCTGAAGGGATTGGCTGCCGATGGCGGTCTTTTCCTCCCCCATGAGATTCCCGAAGCGACAGAATGGGTGCGTACGAACGATCCAATGCCGATCTTCTGCATATTTCCTAATGGAGATCGGCGCGCGACAATTGTACATTTTAGCGACTAACAAGAACATCAGCAAAGCTGGAAGGATCTCTCGTACCAGGAACTGGCCTTCCAGATCTTCAGCCTATACATCTCCCGCAGCGAAATCCCCGCCGAGGATCTACAAGGCATCATCAACCGAAGTTACTCAACATTCCGCGCCGAGGAAGTTACGCCTCTTGTCGACTTGAAGGATAACCTAAAACTCCTCGAGCTGTTCCACGGCCCTAGTTACTCCTTCAAGGATTGCGCTCTGCAGTTCCTCGGAAACCTATTCGAGTACCTCCTTGCGCGAAAGAACGAGGGCAAGGAGGGTAAAGACCGACATCACTTGACTGTTGTCGGTGCGACAAGTGGTGATGTGAGTTACTTATGGCCTGATGTTGCGGGTATATCCTAACATATGCAGACTGGATCCGCCGCTATCCACGGTCTCCGTGGCAAGAAGGACGTGTCAGTTACCATTCTGCACCCCAAGGGCCGTGTCAGCCCTATCCAGGAGCTGCAAATGACAACATGCACCGACGCCAACGTCCACAACCTTGCCGTCACCGGTACCTTTGACGATTGCCAAGTAGGTCCATCGCCTTCCGCGAGATAGCAGGCACTAACAGAATAATAGGACATCGTCAAGGCCCTCTTTGGCGACCCTGAGACCAACGCCTCTTTGAAGCTCGGTGCCGTCAACTCCATCAACTTCTCCCGAATTCTCGCCCAGATCGTCTACTACTTCTACTCATACTTCTCCCTGGCCAGGAAGGACCCCAACTTCAAGGTTGGCGACAAGGTCCGCTTTGTTGTCCCCACTGGAAACTTTGGAGACATCCTAGCTGGATACTTTGCGACTCGCATGGGTCTCCCCGTCGACAAGCTTGTTATCGCGACTAACGAGAACGATATCCTTGACCGATTCTGGAAGTCCGGAAAATACGAGAAGCAGCCCGCCAAGGGCCCCGAGGCCGAGGGTGGTCTTGAAGTTGATGGAGTTAAGGCTCATGAGGAGGGTGTGAAGGAGACTCTGAGCCCTGCTATGGATATTCTCGTGTCTAGCAACTTTGAGCGTCTTCTCTGGTTCTTGGCTTACGAGTTCGCCGCGACCGTCGGAATGGATGTTGAATTTAACAGAAAACAAGCCGGTCAAGAAGTCGAGGCTTGGCTCAAGGACCTCAAGGTCAAGGGAGGTTTCGGCCCTGTCTACGTGGATGTCCTCAACAGCGCCCGCAAGACCTTCGAGAGCGAGCGTGTCAGCGACCCTGAAACCCTCGAGACCATCAAGAGCATCTACGAGCAGGTCGGATACGTTCTCGACCCTCACTCCTCCATCGGTGTCACCGCCGCTCTCCGATCCGCTCAACGCGCCGAGGCCAACATCCCTCACATCTCCCTCTCCACAGCTCACCCTGCCAAGTTTGCCGGTGCCGTTGAGCTTGCTCTCAAGGACGAGAAGGACTTCAACTTCCAGGAGAAGGTTCTTCCCGAGGAGTTCATCGGTCTTGAGAAGCTGCCCAAGCGTGTCTCTGATGTCTCAAATGACTGGAAGGCCGTGAGGGAGCAGGTCAAGGCGCAGGTTGAGAAGGAGCTTAACGGAGAGCTTTAAAATTCAGAATAAACTAAAAAGGTGTTGTTCTTATGATTTTGGGGCATGTTGTTTAGAAGTTGGTAGCATGTTTAAAGAGACAAACTAGACGTATATTTGCAGGATAACCATGTAAATCGCTCCTTATATGGCGAGTTCCACAAAGCTTCCAATTAGCAAGCAATAAGTTTCAGTTCTAACTTCGATTTTCTGCCTCGGCAAGGATTGAACAGCACGTGGTCAAAACTCGTATTATGCCTGGTGTCAGTCAACAGGCAAGGCATTCACCGATTCAGCTGCCAAGACTGCCCCCTGCTTTCAGCTTTTGCTACTAGTCATCAAAGCGTCCACTCCCAAAGCGTCCGCTCTCAACCTTCGGAATACAACTCAAACCTTACATATTCCTACTATGAAGTCTCACATTGTTTTTTCGAGCCTCTTTGCCAGCGCCGCCGGCCTGTCGACACCTTCGCAGACTGAAAGTGGCTACCTAGCAACTGTTTCACTCGCACCCACGGCAACAGGCGCCGCTGCCCTCGATCTGGAAGACAAGCGGGCAGAATGCTTCCAGGCGTGCTATGAAACATACGGCAACTACAAGAGCTGCACTCGGGGAGAGGATAAGCTTGCTGAGTGCTGGTGCAATGATTCTGTTGATTGGGTAGAGAGGGAGGAAGATTGTGTGTGGACCATCTGTGGTGTTTCTGCATACAACTGTGAGTGATTATTTCAGAGAGAGGGAAATGATACTGACGTTAGTAGTGTACGGTGATGTTCTGAAACGCATCTGTCAGACCGTAACGGCGTCTTTTAGTACTTCGAGCGAAATGGTACTGATGGTAAGTTTATACCTCAAATCATCTTAGGCAAGGGTCTAATGGCGTAGTCGGAGGATACTTCTCAGAAGCAAACGTCAAGCGAGACTTCGAATCAAGCTGAGGTTACTCAGACGTCAACGTCTAAAGTTGAGGCTACGAGCACCGGTAGTAATGAAGCAGCGACTTCAACCGATCAGCCGAACAGCAGTTGGAAGATGGGTCCATCCACGCTAACTACAGCTTTCCTTGCTGGGACATTCATCTTTGTACATATGGTTGTTTGATAAAATGCTTGGAACTTAGATCTATCTCGTTGAGATGTTGAGTAAAGCTATTCAATCGCTAATAGAATGATATATTAGAATATCACGTTACCCAGAGACAGTTGTATCCTTTCGTCTATATAGCGAGGGCATTTCCGATATGGACTCGCCCTATCTCCTTTCTCGTCCAGTATCCTGAGTAGTCTCTACTTCAACCTGAGGTGACTCTGAGGGCGTCCTGAGGCCAAGACGGGTTTCATTTGTCGATCTGACTAGCATCAACTCCGATTGGCTGTTGATGTCAGATACCCTGTTCCAGAAATCACGTGTAGGGGACAAGGAACAGTGACTCACAAAGGATGCTTACGCGACGTAGGGTTTAACATACGGCTCTTGTTTGGGACTATAGATCATACTTTTTACTTTTCACGAATCGTGTCTTAATATGTCTCTATCTTCCCAACTCTACGTCTATGATATCAAGTCTGATGGCGGCCAGCTGAATCCTGCTTCCTTCGGGATGAAGGGAGGGATTCCATTTGAGCACGTCATTAAATTCCTTACTTCACGACTTCCCCAGTCTTTGCCACTTCTCCGTATACTACAGATTGGCCCGAAAGATGAAGGCGCCTTTCTCATCACGACTTTGCTTCCTCATTTAACGACGAGAGAGCCAGTGGAGGAGGACCCTGAAGATATTGATCCCGCATCAGTTTGGACTATGGCTTATGTCAATCGAGCCAACCATCCGGGGACCGAGATGTGGATATTTTCGTCCTTTGAAATGTGGCCCCTCCTTGATGGTTACGAGAATGTATCACAAAAGGCCCACGTGAATCCGTGGCAGCTATCTCTACCTTTTTCAAGTGAGGTTTGTCGACACGCCAAGCAGCAACTGCTCGCGATTTTCTCTTGCATACCGATATCGCCGAGAGAATCCGAAGTCTCGACCTTGAAGCAAGGAGAGCTTGAGCGATTTGGTCCATATCTTTGCGTTGGGAACGTTCATACCAGAGTCGCTTCACTCCTTGCCCAAACGCCGGTCATTGCAAAGAATAGCCCAGTGTACGGCAAGTACCTGTTTCGGACCGGAAGCGATAACATGGTAAAAGAGCTGGACTCAAGTACATTATCAGCAACTTTACCTCCTGGTTTCAAATTCGATGAAATCGATAAATCTGATTATGCCAAGGTCATGCAAGAAAACCGGACTATTCGTGGCACATCAACACTCGACAGGATCAGAGGTGTCGGAATTAGACGGGTTGATTCATCGTTCACAGAAGAACCTTCGAGGCTCGTGGCTTTCGCTTTCGCGGGAGAGGACGGATCAATTCGAACGTTGCACGTTGACGCAGAGTTTAGGCGGATGGGCCTTGCCAAAGCAGTCGTGCAGCGGATCATCAGTTTGGGATTATGCGATCCGCCAAGACAAGGGCCATTTGCTGCCAGTGAGGACATCCAACAACATTACGAAGGCTCTTCTCCCCTGGGTTTTACTGGGGTTGTGGAGAGCAATGAGGGCAGCATCAAGACATTCAAGGCGATTGGAGCGTACTGGGCATGGGACGTGTTCTGGCTATGGATAGATCTTGATGAAGCAAAGAAGTCGCACCAATGCCTACTCGACGGTGGTACTGTGGCGGCGGGTTGCAGTCAACAGTAGGCTAATGTTGGTACTGGGAGGTCTTCAACGTTATTGTGCAGCTCTAGCCATCCCCCTCTGTCTCCTTTGTTTCTTTCTGTACCACCGTATACCAACGTAAGCCATGATAAGAACAAGTGCCACGACAATAATAGGTACACCAATTGTTATAGATTTTCCCCCAGACCGTGGATTTGCATCGTACTTCCCATCAGGGATCTTTTCCCCGGGGGTCCATGTTGGAACCTTCATATCGTTGGTCAGGGTAGGAAGCTGCGGAGTCAGTGTCGATGTGTCTGTTTTGTTCCATGACACAGTCCAAGCTTTATGAAACACCAGAGATTCATTGGCTGGTGTGGTATATTGCGCGCCACCAGTGTTAGGCACCCAGCGTCCACAATCTTCGCCCCTATGGAACATGTCACCGTTAACAAGGTTCTCAAACTTGTCGCCTTGTAATAAAGTGCAACCGCTTCTCAATTAGCCTCTACCATGGAGTCTGGACGAATTCGATCAAAACTCACGCGTTGCAGCACCAGGCTGTGGATATATCATCATCCATTTGGTCGATTCCCATGGAATAGTAGACCCAGCCGCTGGGGCATACCGCTGGATAGAAATCGAAGCGACTCTCGAGTGCAGCATCCTTCCAAGCAGGTGGATAGCATGATGGCTTGGCTGTTGATTGAAGAACTGGCACAGTGTATGTTGTCTTATTGTTTGTTGACAAGGCGCTTGTTTCAGCAAAGTTTGACTCGCACGTGCTTGGTTGCTTGAATGGAGTCGTCGGGCCAAGAAGCTTGGTGGTTGTGGACGGAGGCGTGGCCATTCTGTATCTGTACTGTATCTGTATCGGAACTACGGAGTACGGAGTAGAAAAAAAAGATTTGTCGACTATTGACTAACTTATACCTTGGGCACTGCGGCCTGCCCACTGGCGAATCCTTCCATGTCACACAGTGATAGGGTTGTCTGGGCCTGGCCATTAGTTATTTGCCTGAAACGACACCCCACGAAGGACCTTCCCTTTCTATCCATGCGGCCGGGCCCTTTTTTAAGATTACGGCGCATTTTTATGCATCACTTTGAATCTCCAAAAATGATATGATTCGTTGATCCTTCATGGTTTTGTGGATAGCGACAGATTAAGCTTATTCCTCCTAGTCACTCCGGCACCTACAGGAACGAACAGGGTTAATTTTACGACAGACCAGTCGATTTGACCACATACTGTGCTACATATTCTATAGAAAAACTTACACAAGTTATACTAATAAGAGATGAGAAATAGAGAGGGGGGGAAACATAAAAGAATAGTAAAATAAAAGAAACACAATAAAAGAATGGATGGTAAAAGAATAGACAAAAGACCCAGAACCATCACCCTAGTTGCTCTCGACAGGGTCAAGTTGAGAACGGTCTTGCGAAAGGCCATTCAGGATTGCCCGCTTAACGGGTTCTAAGCCTTCTGCCCACGTGCCTGCGAGAGACATTTGAGATTGTGTGAGACTGCAAAATGGAGGGCTCAAGATATTATCCAGTAAGGTAAGTGGAGATGAATCCTGTTGAGAACCAAAGTCTAGAGAGTAGGTGATGCTGCTTTCTTATAGTAGCTGTGAGCAAAATCTAGGCAGACTTTGTGGGCAGTGCGCCGGTCCCCATCAGCCGCGGGATACAGTCTTCTTCAGGTTCTTGGATGGCAATTCAGGACTGTCAGCTAAGCACGATCAACCAGAGTTGGAGGGTGATGATTGTGAACACCCATGTCCAGGCGGCGAGTCACCGAAGATGAGGTTGAGCACCCCCTGAGCTCCGATCCATAAAGCGCCGATGATTTGTCGTCGATATTCTCCTTCTAAAACAGCCCTACCAGGTACTGGTTCTAATATTCAGGTTCTCAAATATGTTCTACAATGAGTCCATACCCCATATCGTATTGACACAGTTCTATCTGCACGCTGGAGGGATAATTCTGGTAAACTTGAGCTATCCGCGTAGTTCATGACTCATGAGCAGAACCAGATACAAAGACGGACAAATTATTCATTATACAGGGGTATGAGAGGAGATGAGTAGTTCTTGGCAGGCGTTACTCGCTTCTTTACGAGATCTTTGAAAGATGTCATGATTTCAGGCTCTCTCTCCATTGATTTGTCCAGAGTTCGGAGACGAAGCTCAAGTGATACGCGACCGACACGGGCTGCCACTTTTATGGCTCTTCATCAACCCTGCCTCACTTCCTTATCAGCCCAGAGAGGGTGCTTGCTGAGCCTTCGAAATCTGCCTTATAAGACGGTGAGTCTACCAAAAATACAGGATTGTATGTTGTAGATGGCGAGCGAAATAGCCAGACGGAAAAAGAGATGGTTGAACGAAACTATGCCTCCATTGAACTGTTCGTATTTATAAATAGTAAGTTTTATAAATACATATTTACTAGTATCCATCTAAAAGAAAAGGAGATGCCATCTTTCCACACTCAACTAGATGCCTGGATCTGTCGTATATCCCTCAATGTTATATCGATTTTCATCTGCATTCGCATTCGGTCTTCCTTTCTGCTCAGAGGATTCACCGTTGTAGTCTGGTTTATCGTCGCTATTGCTAAACTCTGGCCATCTCTGGCTGTCACGACCAGTTGTTAACCGACGCCTAGGTTGCATTCGTTCCCTGAGCAGCTTTCTGTAACGCTCCTCCTCCTTCTTCTCCTCCTTCTCCTCTTGTTCCTTCCGTATGGCGACAAGACGAGCTCTTCTATCACGGCGCTCAGGTTGTTCGACTAAATCTTGACTCCTGTTTTGAGAGCTTTTTTCAGACTTTTGGTCTGGGCTCGGAGGAGCTGGAGCGACTGGCCGTGAAGCTATCTTGGCATTTCTTTCGGCAATTCGCAGCTGCAGACGCAGACGCACACGCTGTTCAAACTCCGCCTCCTCCCGCTCGTCTTGTTCTCGCCGTCGTTGCCTTGCTGCTTCGCGGTTGCCTGAGAACAGTTCTGGCGCACTGCTGATAAGGCGAGTATAGCCCACAGTGTAAGGATTACGGACAGGTTCAGTCCCAACAGGGAGAATTGTAGAGGGCTGCTGATCAATAATGAGGGGTCGACGACGATCAGATATCTCGGATTCTGCGACTACACTATGTTGTGAAACGTAAAATGATGATAATTTTGTCACGCTTGGGGATATCGCTGATCCATCAGTCTCTTGTACGTTTGGGTTCACTGGTGACAGTGTGGGGGTTGGTAATTCCTCAGTTGCTTTGGCTTCATTTGTTGCCCAGTTGTCGAAGGATCCCAGTTGCCTTCTGGGCCGAGTTTCAACAATGGCTGGTGTGTTCTCTAGTCCTACACCGTTGCGATCCTTGCTGTGCTCATCATTGCTAGCTTCTCGCTGCTTTTCTTGACATTGCATGATGTGCTGAATGATCCTGTCATTCTGGAGGTTATTGGGCAGATCTTGGAAGGAGTAGGTGTCGAAGAATGAATTGGTATCATTGACTATCAGGTCGAGATCCTCGTAGACCTGATCCAAGAAGTTCGACCATGGAGCTTGAACCAAGGGTGGCCTCCATCGATCCCAAAACTCTTGAGAAGTGAAAAGGTACTGGGGCACATAGTCTTCGTCTTCCCTCAGATCCCTCACCGTGCTTCTGCTTTTGGGTCTGGATATGTCTATGCTGTTGTTGCCATCCTCATTATCATTAGGTATGTTTTCGTGGTAGCTTGGTAGAGATTTGAGGGCAAGAGAGCGTAAGTGTCCGGCAAGATGATCTTCGAGGCGAGCGTTAATATCAGATTCTTCTTTGTCGCAAAGGGGACATGAAGGAAATAGCTTTGCTATTTTACGACTGTTTTTGTTCGCCATGGCCCGAAGTCGTTTATCGCTTAATTTGCTCGCATGAACCTCTCGCATATGGGCTATGTAGTCTTCACCAGAAGAGAATGGCTCCAAGTCACGATGGGAAGGGCAACGCCAAAATCTGCGGTGCTGTTGCAAATGGCTCAGCCATTGGTCGCTATGGTTGTACAATACCTCTGGCTGATCACAGTCTTCAAAAACACAGATGTAGGCATCGAGGTCATTCTTAACGTGATTTCTAATGTACCAGTTAGCATACATCCGATGGTCTCTTGAGATTAGAAAGTTGAGAAATACTCACTGCCACTTATTTTCATCGAAAGCTTCCTCAGCTGGGAGAGTGCATAGACAATATGGGCATGTAATCTCCCCGAGGCTCTGGAGGTCATTTGCCAGTAGCTCCTGTACCGTTGATTTCTTGTTGGCCTCGCTCTTCTCAGAATTCAAGTTTTGCTCGTACTCAGCGAGTCTTTGACTCTTCAGTTGGTCATATCGCTTCTTGAGAGCGTGACCAGGCGCCGGAGGAAAGAGAAGGCTCTCGTGACTGCCGAAAGCAATTGTCTTACTTGCCGAGATGACTGAAGGGGTTGAGGCGGCAATTTTGAACTTGTCCGGAGCAAGTGTTGTCGCACTTTGGATTTGTGAAGGGGTTGTAGTGGCTGGCTTTGAGACAGTGCTGCTAGTTTGTGGGTGTTTAGACTTGAGCTGTGCGAGAGAAGCGACACCCTTCGCGGTTGGAAACATGATTGAAAAAGCAGGGATCGTATCCTCAGCTTTGGAATATACACTGTCTTGACGATGTCTTCTGTAAAGAATTCGTTTTCTCCGAAGAAGCATTGTGCGAGCCATCCTTTCTTGGATAGTCTCGCCTAGGTTGGGAAAACGATCATTGATGTGACGCTTGAAATTATCCAAAAGAGTTTCCTCCACGTTGTTTCCTTCATCGTCTTTGATATAGAACTTGCTGGCAGTCAGGGCTTGCGTATCTTTGCTGGCGCGACGAATAGTGTTTGAGATCTTGTTGAGGCGACCAATCTCAGCCGCTATCTCGTTAAGTGATTTTGGAAACTCCTCAGCGGGAACATATCCTTCGCCTGCTTCTAACGATTCTAAGATGGTGGCGAGTATACCTAGGCCTACGGTAGATTAGAACACTTGATCCGCATAAGAAACCGGGTCAAGAGACCAGACTCACATTCCTGACATTGAAAGTTTAAAGACTCAAGTAACCCGGTCACAACACTCTGAACTTCTGGCGCATGTCGCAAGCGATGATCCATGGATAATGAACCTGAGGCGAATACTCCAATACTAGTACTCCAGCTGGAGAATCTAGCTACCTGATCCTCTATCATGGCGAGTTCTTTAGGATTGACCAAAGACGCAGAGACAAGACATTCTTGGAAGGATTGGAGACACTGGTTAGCCGAAGTAGCAACTGTTGGACCTTTTGGTTCTGGGCCATCTTCTGCTTTAGGCATTGTCGCCAGTCTGTAGCACTGGGTTCGGGTCAACGCATGGAGCAGATTGTATAAAAGCACGATGAGAGATAGTCAAACATATCACCGTTATTCATTATCGTCGCACTGATCTGACGTCGCGTGATTGGCAGATCTGTAACGTAGCCCTAACAGATAAGCTTAAATGGCTAACAAGCCTAAGCAAAACTAAAGCGTTTACCCCGGTCATCATAAAGTTTGGCGACCATTTCCAACTAGGCGAGACATTGCTGCCTATAAAATATCTTATGAATTACTTGCAGCAAAGTTTTATCACCAACTGGAACTGTCTGCAGTATCCTGCTCTTTATGCACGTTATCAGATAACGTCCTCTTGTTATCTTGTGAGCTCTCCCCCGCACTCCTTCAGCCGCAATGCAACATCTTTCGCCGCTGACATATCACCCGAGAGAGCGTTGCTCCCTCACAACGACAACCTCGTTCAGCTCCTGGAATTAAAGCTGACAAAATGGGCATGTCATCTGACCCAAAGCCCGACAGTGAGAGTCAAGAGCTCCTACGACAAGCAGCTGAGACATTCTTAGAAGTGGCCAATATCGCTCAGCAAAACGAAGTTACCCCAAATGTCAGAAGATTCTACAGCCATTTGAGCTGCCATTGTTGTAGGCTACTGGGACAGTTGTCACAAGAACGGGAGACCTCCTCATACCTGGATGGAAACGTCATAAACGAAGCTGTGGCTCACCTTGGCTTATTGATCCCAGAAAGCGGGCTATCCGAATTTGGTGGTAATTCTGTCGCCCTTGAGACACGACTCAGGATGCTAAGCCTTTTGTGGAAAGAGACCAAAAAGCGGTCACACGAAGCCAAACTCGGTTTCATCAATAGATGGCTAAGATCTGATATCTCCACAGAGGAAAGAGAAGAGGTGGATACAGTTCTTGAGAGTTTAGCGGATAGGCTCGATAAGCAACAACCGAGACAGCCCATCCCAAGGAGCATATACAAAACCGCATCTTCCGATGTTGAACAACCGACCTTTGCCGTGTGGAGAGCTGCCAAGTCCATCTTCGATGCCCTGATAGACTGCAAAGGCTGTTCCTGTCCTTCACAGCATGCATTTAGGGCCAAGCTCGAATTAGGGACTTACCGCACACCTGGAAAGAACGTGGCTGTCAACCCTGCACGACGACGAGTTCGAAGGCCTGGCCCAGATGATGATGTGTCTGGCTGCCTTGAGATGAACATGTTTTTGTCTATGGAGCGACATTGGCACGAGTTTCGGGTGCAGGACGTAAGAGAGAAAGCTGTTCACTTCGCCTCTCCCTCCGACATATTACTACCCAGGGGAAGTGCAAGCAAGGGGAAACATGTCAAGGTTGAGATGCTGTGCAAGCCAATCTTCGAAACACGGGCGAAATCCCTACAACGCCTCGTTCTACGTCTAACTAGTGGGCAGCTCTATGAAGTGAGGTTTGAAAAGAGTAATATCGACAAAAATGCAGAACCGATCTCCCTCACTCAATGCTTCGAAGAGAGAAGAGACTTTTTCATGGATAAGACTAAACGCATCTTGTCCTTGATCATCGGCTACACAGTCCTTCATCTATACGGAACTTCATGGCTTCAGTCGGGATGGGGGTCTTCGAGCATCAAATTCTTCCACACAACGTCAAATACGATCCCTCTCCGGCCCTTCATTGAGACACAACTGCCCAATGACGGCGCTGCGGATGTGGCTGATGATCCTGAGGGTGATGATATTGATGCTATGGATGCTGGGCATTGCTGTCCAGAACTGGTAGCACTAGCTGTTGTTCTGTTGGAAATCAACTTTGTCAAACCTTTCAGCCAGCTGGCAGCCATGCATGACATCCAACTGATAGAGACTCGCAGTGGACGTATCACTCTCATGGACGTCGATCAAGTTCTTGAGGGAGAAGAGGGCGGCGAAGAAGGATGGCGATATCAGATCCCGGAAGAGTCTCTCCTGCTGGAAGCCATAGATAACTGCCTGGACCCAGAGCTATGGGAAGACGATGGACAACCCTTGGATGACGAGACACTCAGGTCACGAATATACGACAAAGTTGTCAAACCGCTACAAGATCATCTAACCACCGGCTTTGGTATTGAAGTTGAATCTCTCGACCAGTACGCCAAGAACTTGGACTTTTCAAAATGGAGCCAGGGCATCGCCACACAGGATTCTCATAGCCAGTCCCTCTTTCTTTCCCCAAAGACAGGCACGCCTTGTCGTAGCCCATCCCCAGCACTTTTTCCACAGCGAAGCAAGTTTTCAATCAGCACGCAGATAGAAAGATCGATGCAGCAGTATTCAGATTTGCGCTCTATGATGCCGTATTCAGTATCAGACTTGGATCCCACTACCAATTGTGACAGCCCACAGAAGGCTTTCCAATTTTTTGACGACCAAGCTAACGACGGGCCTTTGTTTGCAAACGAGTAAGTTTCCTGGCTTAATGAGCACGATACGGACTCATAGTGTGAAACAGGAAGGAAAAGTATAAAATCAGGAAACAGGATTACATGAACGTGTACGAAAAGTTTGTGGGTAAACGTCTCTCAAAGTCTACTTCAAAGCCAGTCAGGATCGCCATCCTAGACACGGGCATTGAAAGAGGTCATGCTCTTGTGGAACCTCGCGAGGATAGTCTCAAAGGCAAGAGGAACTTCTATAATCCTTTACAGACGAACGTGGCAGATACACACGGACATGGTACCTTTACTGCAAGTCTCACTATGGACTATGCTCCAGATGCAGACTTATACATAGCAAAGATTGCAGACAAGGAAAACACGAGACCCGATGCTAGTATCATTGCAAATGTAAGCACTGATCTTTGTTTCTGCTTATCTTCTCACTGACTTAGTTAGGCAATTCTACATGCTGTGGATGAGTGGCAAGTTGATATCATTTCCATGTCCTTCGGATGGCCTTCCTCCGATTTCGACGGCTACGAAGCTCTTGAAGCCGCCATTGACAAAGCATACTCCAAGAAAGTCCTCATGTTTGCCGCCGCTGCTAACAGCGGTGGTCGCCTTGCTCGTGCATACCCAGCAAGCAGTCCGCATGTTATCTGCGTACACTCCACAGACGCGCTAGGAAACGCATCTGACTTCAGTCCCACGGCTGATCCAAACTCGATAAACATCGCCACAGTGGGCGAGTGTGTAGAATCAGCATGGCCCACGTTCCTCTGCGACAGCTCGAATTATGATTGCGTCAAATCTCGAAGCGGCACGTCGTATGCTGCGCCTATTGTTGCGGGTATTGCCGGCTTCTTGCTACAGTATGGTCGTCTTCATTTGACGAGTGTTGAGGCAATGGCGATGAAGAGACGAGATAAGATGGAGGCTGTACTGAGACGATGTGCAGTGCGAGGCTCGAATTATCAGCCTAGGGATGGATATTTCTCGGTGGACCTTAGTTTGGACAAACAGAATCTGTTTGGAGAGAAGCTCGAGTGGGTGAGCTATGAGATCGCAAAGGCATTGCGTGTATGATTATTGTAATAATAGAATATCAGCCTATGTGACCCAATGAGCAGATATACCCGGTATGGCACTCTTCTAGTATCAGTGATCATGTGTCTCAGGCATCGGTACACCACAGAACACGACTTCATCATCTTCCATCACCTCCTCATCACCAAACCCTTCAGACTTTGCATCTGGCTCTTCAACACTGACGATAGAAAGGTCCGGTTTGTTCACTTTGCTCTCGCCATCCATCATAGCCCCCTTGCGAAATTCCTCCTCACCTACGTCTCCAGTCTTTTTCACGACAACTTTGCTCACACGGAAGGCGAACACGAAATCACCGCTAGCCTCCCATTTTGTTCCTTGGCTCGTGGTAGTTTTACCTTCGATTCCAGGACCGCCGCCGACTGGGACGGCACCACCACTCCATACTGTACCATCAACCTCTACAGCAAGGTTACTGCCTACTGTCCGAGACTCGAGGGTGTTCGCCTCGGCGCCTGTGACTGTTTTGAGTCCCGTGATGATGTAGATGGGCTTTCGGTAACGGGTAATTTCCAGGTAGCGACGCACAGTTTCGGCCTCGACGCACTTCTGAAGATACGCCGAGGTCGGTATAAACTGACTGGTCTCAAGAGTTTTGAAGAAGAATGATTCTTGATCGCTAGTATAGTAAGAACAGGTGTTACGTCGTCACTGCTCTAGACATACTGACCTCCTTTCGATTTCAGCGCCGACATCGATACCAAAGCCGAGAACACCAAGAAACTTGGTCAGGATGGAGAATCGCCCACTCTTCAATTTCTCCTTCGTGTACTGAACACTCTTCTTTTCCACCTTGGTGATATCAGAATCATCAGAGGGCGGATGATAGAAGCGGGGTCGATGAGGCTCTTTGACTGAGCTGATGACATTGCCTAGCTTAATTGGACCATTAGGAGGGTTATCCCATGTAGGTGCATAGAAATAATAGAATTCGCGGTTAGCCATTTTGCGTTGTAGATAGATGCCTCTCGTATTGTATGCTCTAGTGATAAAAATGGGTTTGAAATGAGAATGCACATGGCGTGGGGCTGAAGCCAATGGATGACCTCTGCCAGGGATCCTGACACCTCAGCCCAGGCTCAGCATCAAGTCAGCTGAGAGCGGCAAGAAATCAGCTCTAGGAATGGAAATGAATTTTTGTGTGGCTGAGTTTTGTCTCCAAATTATGTGGCATTCTCCTACAAACTACCTATTGAGAAACTAGCGAGGCGGCCAAGATTCAAAAAGCTTTGTATACAAATGACATAGCCCCTATGCCAACTAGGTATCCTAAACCACTCTGAAATCTTCTCCCGATATTCAATCCTTATCCCCAAACTGCCCAGGATGCACCTTCGATATCATCCGCCTCGTAGCCAACTGATCACAAAAATCCACCACTTTCACGACCTTTGATCCATCATCATTGAAGTCCAACGCCCAAGCATGCTCCATGATCAACTCCTCACCATCCTTAAACACCATCTTCGACACGGTCATAGCCGCAGATTAGCGAGCATCCACATCAATAGTCAGGTTAAAAACCTCACATGTCTTTATTGACCCATGCTCGAGATTAGCTGCGATATCAGCTTTGTACGCCTCGTCATCGTGAGACCAGTCGGGAGGAACTCCGAACCAGTCGCATAGAGAGATGGGGCGGTAGAAGCGTTTGCAGTCCGGGTCGACGTCACGGTTGATGATGGCTGGGTCGTTACGTTCTCCAGATTCGACGTAGGCGGCGAAGAATTGCCTCGTGGTGGTTTCAATTGCTGCTCTGAGATCTTTTGTAGTTGCCATATTTGATTTGTGTTGTCAATGTCTGTTCAATGTTTTGGTAGAAAGGTAGCAGGTGAGTCCACCACACTCAAGTTAACTCAAAGGAGTCTTTATGAATTTACAGGCTCATGTCCTGAAGTTCAGGCCGGGTCAGCTTACGACATAGGCTGATAGGTAGACTCGTGAGTGAGGTAAATTCATCACGTAAGCTTAGCAAGACGTTTGCCACACCGTGGCAACTCTGCTCGCCCAAAACCAAGTCTCGGCTACTCGTTCTAATTCGTATTTTGTCGAGGACCAATGTGGACTAGGTCTCACATCAAGATGCGGAATAACGTTTGCAGTTACTTGCACAAGCTTGGTCAACGAATACAATAAGTTTGCATCTCCCAGATCTCATCAAGACGAACATGTTGATCCCGAAAATGGCCATAGTGTGCATGTTTCCACGATAGTTAAACAAATTGATAGATCATTTGAATATGTTGCTTTAAATTCGATTCATTATCATGTTTCCTGCTCATCAAGCGACTGTAACCTGGGTTGCAATTCTTCAAAATTCGACTTGCCGTCCTCATCCGGATACGCCTCGAACACCATCCTTCTCATAATACGTCGCGGTGCCCTGCGGCCAGTAAACAACTCAAATTGAGCAAAACCTTGCTCTGGCAGCATGTCAAGACCATCCATACTAACCCATCCGCGATGTGCCTCCTTTCGAAATTGAGCCAGGAATGGTGTGTCCAAGGTCTTGTAGCCAAGGTCAATTGCGACACCACCTGTTCGGCTTCCCAGCCAATCGTTGGGGAGAGTAAATTCAGGAGCAGGTACATTGCCAATTCGATGGGTTGGGATACACGAAACAATAACTGTCGGCAAGCGGAACTCTGTAGGCCATGCGTCCTCCATTGACTCAATGACATGGAAGCGGGAGTGTTCGCTACCCGCACTTAGAACACCGAGGTCCTTCCTCTCCAGGACATGCGTGAAATGGGAGACCATTTTTTCAGCATTCTTGGGTGTGCGATTAACTATGACGATGTTCTTGATGCCGACCTGAAGCATCGCATACACTGTGGCCCTGGCCATGCCTCCGGCTCCGATGACAAGACCGCAGCTACTAGATATGACAGCATTGGCTGGAGATAATCCACGTCGAATGCATGAGCGAATGCCAATCCAGTCAGTATTTTCGCCGTAAAGAGCTTTTATTGGTCCCGATCGATTGACGCTGTCGAAAAAGGAAGCGCCTGTGGGAATTGTGCCGTCGTCGTTTAAGAAGCGGATGGGAATCAGAGTATTCACAGCACCAATGGCCCTGGCATGGTTGCTTAACGAATGGATTAAAGAAATGATCTCGACTTTGAAGGGGAGGCCAACAGAGGCACCGCCGAAATCCGGATCCTCAATTAAGTGCTTGATCCCTCGGAGGGACGCACAAGATACTGGCTCGTAGGTGTGTAGGAGCCCGCATGCCTTCAATGCTGCTCTATGCATAGCCGGCGACAAGCTGTAGCTCACGTTGGCTCCAAAGACGTAGAGTTTCATCTGATCATATAAGAAAGAAGAGAACAAGGCCGTAGTGGCGCTGACTGCGGTGATGGACGGAGTTATTGGTGGCTTCTGGTTTACCCGTTCCAGCGACTCTGGTCGGACCACGGTGAGGATACGGTTGAAGGCTTGCGAATGACGTCCCAATGGCCCAGAGCTATAGGATATTAGAGGGATCTTAGGTCCTGATAGAGCGTCCACTGCCGTCTTTAGGTGATGAATACGGAAGTTGTCTTCGGTCGATGTGGCAGGTCGAATTAATCTTGCGATATGGCAACCTAGATTGTTTGCCTTTTTGTACCACGACACCCATATTGGAGAGTCCCATGATGGCGGATCGGTGACAATAAAACAGTTTCCAATTATTTTTGTTCTTTTTCGAATCGACAGTATGCGCGAGATGTGGACATCTTCGAGTCGAAGGTCCACCGTCATCATTTCTGGCGCAAGTCTCACGGTGTGGTGTAGGAGGTCGAGATAGATGCGCAACACTTCGTCGGTGGCTGTGTGGGGGAGAAAAAGGTGAAGTATTATGGGGAGGATTGTGCTTCTTCTAACAATACCGACACCCTTGGTGATATCGGCAAGGAGCTTTGTGCTGATCTGGGATGTCAATGTGCCTTGTTCAGCATTGTCGGCGAGGTCATGAACAACAATTTGTACCACATCTGCTCCGGTAACATGTTCCTCAACGTCCACACGATCGTTCAGGACATCTGTCAGAGGTATGGATGTGGCATAGGTGAATTTGCGTTCCTCGGCAGGGATATTTGAAAGCGGGAATGCCGAATCCATGAACGGTATTGTGCCTGCTGGGTAGACGAGTGATAGGAACTTCAGGAAGTGTCGCTCAACATGTTTTAATGTCAGATATGGAGCGGGCGACCGTTGTATCAAGGATGTCCGAGAGACTGCCGATTTCATGGCCTTCTCAGTGACGTTAAAGAACTCGAAGTTGGTGCAAGATTTGAAGATGGCGTTGCTGACATTTAGAAGATTCCGGATCTTGACGTCGTCGCGGAGCTTCAGGTGGCTCTGGATGGCATCGGCATCACGTACTATGTGAATTACAGGATTCTTGGCAGCGAATTCGCGTAGGAGGCTTTGAACACGACTCTCCATCCAGGAGCAGACAATGATAGACCCAGTAGGATGGCGCTGCAGGACGGTCTGCAAGACCTTGGCCTGCTGCCTGTAGCACTCAGAAGAGCCATGCTCGGATTTATAGGCGGAACTCGAGAGGCCCATGGACCTTTGGAAAGCTGGCTCAAGGTCAATGACCTTACGCTCCATGGCCGAAGACGCCATAACGGCTAAAGTCGACTTTCCGGCACCACGCATGCCAACAAGGACCATGGACGCATCTGGTTTGAAGTCTGGAACCTCTCCAGTCAAGGGTGGGAACGTTGGAGACGGGGTTCGAGTAAGACCATCTTCATGTTCTGTATTTGAGGGAGGCACGGACTGAGAACCGGCTCGAGAGTTGACTTGAGAATTGACATAAGAGTTGACTTGAGAGGTGGTACGAGAGTGGGATTGCGGTTGAGATTGAGATTGGAGTGATTCGCTGAGTTTAAAGGCTTGTGTCTGTGGTGTCGAAGAATCGAGGTTGTCGCGGAGAATTCCAGGTCTGTAGTGGACGTTTCTCGGACGGCCATGATCGTTCGGTCGCAGCAATCCATCTTCGTGGCCAAGCATGGCCCCTAGGGACCTCTTGACGCCTGCCATTTCGTGTTGCATGTCGTTGGGCTCTGTTGAACAGCGCAGTGTTAAGAAGGCGCCATAACAACCGTGCTGTTCGCCGTGTATAGTTTGCAGTATAGAAGAAGCTTGAGCACGGGAGAATACCACTGGGAAGTGGGCTGTTCGAAGCGTAGAGTCCGATTGTCAAAGTGGGTGATGGCTGATGGATCTGGAGTTCGGCAGATCCCACCAGACAATCCGGGGCAAGAGCGGCTTGATTTGCTGGGAAAGTGTTTATCCGCCCCGCGCCGAGGTCATGACCAATCGCGCGCCTGCCATTTGGCGCTTGCATTTGGAGGCTGGAACCTTCAAACACGAGCTTGGGCGTTCTCTAACTCCGGTAGGCAACTCATCAGAATTGTTCTGAGCCCCAGATTCTCCCCGCATCGCATTTTATTTCAACACGACATCGTGTTGCATTGCCCTTGTACAGTACCGCCTTGCTCACGGTCATGAGGATCTGCACGGCAATGGCACAGGCATCACGTATCTGAGCTGACCTTTATCGACATGGGAGTACGGCATCGTCATACTAGCAAGCATCCATTCTATTCTCATACTGGGCCTCTTCCCCCTCTTTCTTCTTACTCCGTCATGCCTACTGGCCTCACGGCGCAGGCAGCTTCATCAGTATTTGGTCCATCACATCCAAGCAATGCCTCCTAGAAAACGCGAAAACGATGCAGACACCAATAGCGCTGCAGCAACAACAGCTCCTGCGAAGCGCCAACGAGTCTCCCTCGCATGTGATTCCTGTCGCACAGCCAGAGAGAAATGCGACGGCGCTCGCCCTCACTGTGGAACATGCTCTGCACAGAACAGATCATGCTCGTATACCCCTGCGTCTCGCAAGAGAGGTGTGCAGACGGGTTACCTGCGAACCATTGAGCTATCGCTTGCCTGGCTTTTCGATCAAGTCCCCGGCAGTGAGGGAGCTCTACTTCATCTACTTACGCAAAATGACGGAGCAGACGGCACCCGTGTTCTTGCAACAAAGGACAAAGCAGGCCATCGCCTCTATCGACGGTGGACTAAGAGTAGGGTTCATAAAGCTATTGGCAGACTCCTGTCCGATGAGAAGACGGCACAGAACGATACATCTGCGGAAGACTCTGGAACGGAAGACAGCAGCCCGGTTGGTCCCAACCCGCTCGACGGCAACCCATCCCCTGGACTATCGATCCAATCAATACAAGGCGTCAATCCATCACAAACGAACGCAACGAGCGCTTCTTACAGCTTTAATGACACGGACAGATCACAAATACCTACCAAGCTGACACTACCTCCTCACTGGAGACGACTTGTCGATATCTACACCTCATACACGCATAGCTGGTTTCCAGTCCTCGATCCCAGAATCATCACCAATACAGCCTTGACTTATCCTCCGGAGGGTCTCGTCATCCCGGCAACCTCTTCAGCTCTACATGCTCAACTTTGGGCTGTGTTTGCTGTGTCTTCTTTCCAAGATGCGGCCTCTTCAGCGCCATCTCGTCACAACGGATATTCATCTGACCAAATTTACTCAATTGCTCGACGACTAATTCCCTCTGACGACGAATCTCTCGAATTGGCTCATATCACTTCAATCCTGCTGCAATCCCTAGTTTTACTGGGCCAGACGAAGACCATGTCAGCGTGGATATTGATAGGTCGGGCCTCCCGTCTTGCACTCCATAACTGGGCAACAACAGCGTCCCATATGTTCCCAATCAAACAGGGCAGCGAGTTTTCTCTGAACCATGACGAAGTTAGGGTTCTTACGGCGAGCCTCATTCTGGATACACTGGCTTCTCTTTGTCTCGGCCAATCGCAAGTCACTTCAGGCGCTCGGCATAGCTTGCACTCTGTGACAATAGGCGAGATGTTCGACACAAATGAGACTTGGACTTCTGTTTCGGGTTTTGGCAAGGTGTCCGATGAAGAAGAATCAACGCCAGACTGTGCATCGGCACTGCCAACGTTTCAGCAACTTTTCGCTTTCTGTAAACTGTGGGGGGGCAGCACGGATGCAAAGTTGTATGACGGTTCTAATCCTCGACGAACTACTCCTGAGGACCTTGTTAGAAGTCTGGACGGCCGATTCTCGTTCTGCAATTCCCTTATCTTTGGTGGTTCAACACCTAGAGTTCCATCGGCATATCTGCTCCAAGGCATGTTCTTGGCCATCACACTGGACTTGGTACCCGGCCATCGCCCATCTCTCGTCTCTAATTTCATAGAGGTTGTAGAATCTTGTATGGAAAATTTTGGGCTAGGTGGAACACCTCCAATCATAACAATCTTGATGCAAATAGTGCAGCAACATGGCCATGTGAGCCGAATGCAAGAACACGACCAGACCAAGTGGAACGCGACTATGGAGACGCTCACAGATATCTGGAAACCCAAAGCCCATGGGTTGGATGCACCTAAAAACAATCAGAACACACCGAGTTCAGTGGACCCCTCAGGCCGCTCAATGATTAGCCCGTCATTCATGGATGAGTTATCAGCCGCCTCTCATCCATCACATCACACTGGCCATCCAACCCCTATCACGTCTGGGGAACTGGAACATGAGCTTGGGCGAATGCAACAGCGACAAAAGGAGCAACAAGTGTTATCATACGAACGACAAAGGTATCAGGGTGACGAACGTAGCCCAGCTACCACACAATCTATATACACACTTACACCCAACCTCACATTTCACACCCTCCATACTCCTTCTCTCGACGGCCAGATAGGGTCGATGTCTCAAAATTCGAGTATGCCAAGCCAGTTGCTGGATTACGACGCTATTCTGGATGAACTTGGTTCCATAGACTGCGCGGACGGTATTGGGGTAGACCCACAGTTTATGACAAACTTGGGGTTCGCACCAGGATGCGATCTGGGCGAGATGTTTCAAGGCGACTTCGGGTCATGATTTTATGCCATTTAATTAATTCATTTTAGAAGGCTGAATATTAAGCCATGAAGATCATTCTACTTCCTGGTGTCTGGACAGGGCACGACGACATCACGAGGCATCCAAGCCAACAAATCCGAGTGATCCGATTACAGCTCAGTTATGTCGTCACAGAATAGCATTTGCTTCATTGGGCGGTATCCTGCCCTAACAAATATTCGATAGCGCCCAATAAACTTCACGGGCAGGGGAGACACGCCGATATCGCGGTGTGAGTGGGAAACCCATGGATAAACGATAAAGGTCGAGATTTCATCCCTGTGAGCTGACGAAACAAGGTTAGATCTGCGGCCACATGGGTGGTAACGATGCGGAGACCCCAAAGCAACTGAGACATAGTGTGCCGCCTTGGATAAGTATTTATCCCACAATGTGTTCTTCCAGCGACACATCACTCTCAACCAAGCACTGAAATGATGACAATCTCAATCTCATGCTTCGACGGAAGCATCTTCTTCCCCCACAGATCCAACCCCGCAAACCCCGGACTTGCTCTCCAACTTTGGAGGAACGGTGCGGCTGTTGCATCCAGTTGGCCCTTGCTGGTCCGGATTGACACTAAATTTTTTTGGAGAGACAGACTAGGGGCATATGGATCATGCTGCCCCGAATATAAATCTTTGCCCCCCACTGACCTTGGGTTCATTTCTGCTTCTTCAGTTCACCCACTCCCTTCTTTCCAACCTTTTCTTACCAACAGCTGCAACATCTTCAAAGCAGTCAAGTCAAGGTTGAATCTTGGATAACCGCAATCATGGGCCTCTTGACTCTCAATGAGGATCGGCCTACGCCTAAGGCCGTCTACAACTGGCGCGTCTACACATGCGCCGCCATTGCATCAATGGCTGCGTGTACCATCGGATACGATTCCGCGTTTATCGGCACGACCCTGGCTCTGCCCTCTTTCGTCAATGAGTTCAACTTTGAGAGCTACGACCCCGCTGCTTTGGCCCTGACCAAGCAGAATATCGTCTCCGTTTACCAGGCCGGTGCCTTCTTTGGCTCTCTATTCGCCTATGTCAGCAGTTACTTCATCGGCCGTCGATACTCACTCATCCTCTTTTCTCTGGTCTTCATGGTTGGCGCTGGTATGATGCTGGGTGCCAATGGTGATCGCGGTCTCGGTCTTATTATCGGCGGTCGTGTCCTGGCTGGTCTTGGCGTTGGTGGCTGCTCCAACATGACACCAATTTACATCTCTGAGCTTTCGCCTCCTGCTATTCGAGGTCGCCTTGTCGGTCTTTACGAGCTCGGTTGGCAAGCTGGTGGCCTTGTTGGTTTCTGGATCAACTACGGAATCAACCAACACATGCCCTACGCGCCCGGCCAGAACGAGCACTCCTGGCTCATTCCTTTTGCTGTTCAGCTTATCCCTGCTGGTCTGCTTCTCGTTGGTGCTATCTTTATCCCAGAGTCACCTCGATGGTTGTTCTCCAAGGGCAAGCGTGACAAGGCTATTGAGAACCTTTGCTGGATGCGAAACCTCGACCGAAATGATTTGTATATCGTGGAGGAGATCAACTTCATCGATACCGAGATCGATCATTTCCACAGTGCTGTTGGCGCCGGCTTCTGGAAGCCATTTGCCGCTCTCAAGAACCGCAAGGTTCAGTGGCGCTTCCTCCTTGGTGGTCTTCTCTTCGTGTTCCAGAACGGTAAGCACTCCCACTTCTTACAAACTTTCAATGACTAACGAATTCTCATAGGCTCTGGAATCAACGCCATCAACTACTACAGCCCCACCGTCTTCAAGAGCATCGGCATCACCGGTACCAATACTAGCTTCCTGACCACCGGTATCTTTGGTGTTGTCAAGACTGTCCTTACCTTTGTGTGGCTCATGGTTCTTATTGACCAAATGGGTCGCCGAAACCTTCTCATGCTCGGTGCTGCTGGTGGCGCTTTCTGCATGTACTTCATCGGTGCTTACATCAAGATCGCCAACACCGAGGCCAAGATTGCAAGTGGTGCGGACGTTTCTCTGTCCTCCGGTGGAATCGCCGCCGTGTTCTTCTTCTACCTTTACACCGCCTTCTACACACCCTCATGGAACGGTACTCCTTGGGTTCTAAACTCTGAGATGTTCGACCAGAACACTCGATCTCTCGGCCAGGCCAACGCCGCCGCCAACAACTGGTTCTGGAACTTCATCATCGCCCGCTTCACCGTGCAGATGTTCAATGCCTGGGGCTGGGGCGTGTACATCTTCTTCGCCTCTCTCATGGTCCTTTCCATCTTCTTCGTCTTCTTCTGCATCCCCGAGACCAAGGGTGTCCCTCTTGAGGCCATGGACAAGTTGTTCGAGACTAAGCCTATCTGGAAGGCTAACAAGATCGTCATGGAGGAACTGAGACTCCAGGATGAGGAGTTCCGACATAACGTTGAAGGCGCTGATCTGCGAGAGGAAAAGGCAAATGCTGAGCAGATTGAGGGCAAGGTTTAAAAAATGATATATTAGCGACGGTTTTAAGATAGACCAAATTGAATAACAAAGCTTGTTAAATGTTACTTGCATTCTTTTATTTATCTGTGAAATGTCACCATGCACGTAGACCACAAGATGAGAGCACTGATCGTTGTTCTTAGTGAATCGGTTGGAATTGGAGCCAATGGCATTACGTCAACCGAAATGCTTTCGACAGTTTCATTGTAAACGAGATTATCCAATCTGCGAGAGGATGTATGAATGCGATTGTAGCACTGGTTTGATGGTATACGCTCCATTAAACGATGGAATGAATATGGAATAGGACATGGCAGGTTTAGGTCAATAGTCAGCTCATAGAAGCAACAGGAACAGACTTTTGAAATCTTTGAGGTTATGTCCTTGCACCATGGTAGTGTTGAAATACAAAAAGGGATAATTTCTTGGTGGTTGTTGAGACCTATATCTTAACAGGTAGAGGGTACTATCAATACGTATTCGCGTGCACCAATCGCCGCAAGAATGCGTCCGCTGCACGCCCAGATAAAATTTCATAAGTTTTATGCAATTAACTATACGATGTGCACATGTGAAGATACAGCCTCCACGGTCGGATAATATCCACCTTTGATTTTCAGATTTGGCGATGAGAATTTCAGCTATATTCAGGTTTGTCATCACTTCCGTATTCGATAATAATGTAAAATAACATGCATCAACATCTCGAAGATATACATAATATATGGTTCTTCAGATTGTAAATCGACTCTCCCTGCACACGGTGGGCATTGTCCACAATATATCGTGTTACTACAGTTCCGTGCCAAGGTTCTAACAATGAAACAACTCGGGATACGTATACATAGTCATGAGGACATAAAGACATGAGCAATTAGAAAACAGTTTATACTCCTAGCATAAGTATGGAAGGCTACATAGATTTAGTGGAGCTTGTTAGAATTTGACTATGAAGTCTGAAACGATAAGATTGTCAAAACTCCTTCGTGACCACCTTAGGTCTGATGAACGATAGAGAAACAGATTACCTGACGGAAGGCAAAGGCTACATGTCCTAGAGATACATGATCACTGTGGTCAAAGGCATTGATACGAAGGCATACTCAATCGCAATCTTGTTATGATATTCAACTTAAATGATAGTCCAAATCTTGCTAACAATACATATCCTAAGGAGCTCCATGTTCCAAAGCAGTGGCTTAAACAACCTCGCGGGTCTGTACTTGCCCCTGATGCTCTTCCTCCTTTGCACCTCCAAAGTGGATCTGCTTCTCGACTGCAGCAACGGTCTTCTCCTTGAGACTCTCGTCCTCGAACACTGTGACGATGGGTTAGCTTATGCGGGGCTTGATACCAGGTGTTTGGGGAGAAACGTACTGAAGGCAAGTTCTTCGAGGGTGCGTCCGCTGGTCTCGGGGTAGAGGAGGTAGACGATGCAGAACTCGAAGAAAATCCATCCACAGTAGATAGCCAGGTAGCGCCACTTGATGGCATTGAGGGCAATCGAGTTGACGTTGGTGGAGAAGAATCCTGCGAGCTTGCCGAAGATTTGCTGCACACCGATACCGCGGCTTCGCATCGAGTAGGGCCAAAGTTCGACGAGGTAGGCTGGGAAATAATGTTATTTGCATTCGTTCGGATATATCTTTTAAGACTTACTGTATGTGAGAGCGTTGTTTCCGATGTTGTAGGTCGGGCTGTAGGCGAAGTAGAAGAACAGAGCAGCAATACCAGCAGCATTGTTCTTGGTACCTTCGGGAGCAGCCTGGATTCTCTCGAGCGAGACAGTGATACCAATGAAAGCGCATAGCATCAGAGTAGCGGAAAGCATGTACATGTGGCGACGCTTGAAGCGGGTGATGATAAGAGCAATGACTGTGGCGTTCATCAAACCCCAGCAGGCGTAAGCCAGATTGATACGGGTCTTGACTGATGGATCGGTGTATCCCATCATCCCAAAGAGCACACCAGAGTAGTAGCTCAGCAGAGTGTTTCCAGAAAGCTGAGTGAAGAGACCGATGAAAACTGTGACCAGAAAACGGCGACGCATACCAGCGGTGCGCAAGACATCCAGCCAAGACTGCTTGGAAGTATCCATCTCGGCTTTGATGGTCTCTCGAATCTGGACGATCTCTGCTTGGACGAGCTGGGAGTTGACGTCGCCCTCGGCGTGGTACTTGATGAGAACCGCTGCGGCTTCTTCGTTTCGGTCCTTGGAGACGAGGAAACGGGGGGACTCGGGCAGGAGGCTGTATTACTATTAGCACAAATATCAAAGTCTCACCAAGTGAAGAGACCTACAAAACTGTGGCGACCTGGAGCAGAGAGGGAATGATTTGCAACAGAGAAGGGAGTCGCCAGGACCAGTTGCTCTTGGTATTAGTGGTGCCGATGGCGATGGCCGAGGCCAGAATCTGACCGATGAAGTAGGAAGAGTTGAACAGCGAGGTCAGAACAGGTCGCTCCTTGGGGTATCCAAGCTCTCCGATGAGGGCAGAGCCAGAGATGATACAGAAGAGGATACCGGCTCCGAGAATCATACGGGCGACGATGTACATGCCAACTATGGGATGTGGTCAGTGACTTGACTGGTGCGTATCAAATATCAAACTTTGTAGGACTTCTTACCGTGCTGAGCAAAACCCTGAAGAAGGGCACCAAAGATCATGATGCCAGATCCGAGCATGATGGACCATCGTCGACCGAATCGCTGAGCAAACCAGGGCGCAAAGGGGACCGCAAAGATAGAGCCAAGCTGGTAAGAGGAGTTGACGAAGCCAAGCAGACCAGGTTCAATAGCCCATTCCTTATCCGCATTCATTCGACCGTTACCCAAGTCTAGATGGATTTGTCAGTTTTCAAAAGTTCCTCTCTTTCCCAGGGGAATGAATTGGCGGCGTTTCGTACAGTGGTGGAAGTATGGAGAGAACTGCAGGGTGTTGATGAGCTGGGAGTCGAAACCCGAGGTCATCTCGACGCCCATACAGCAGAAGAACAGCCAGACGTACATGCGCCGCAGATTGGGCTTCTTGTACCATGGCGTCTTGTCCTCGGCGACGAGGCGGGTGACGATGGGGTCAGCGGCGCTGCCAATGTTGACCATCTTGGCGAGTTGTCGACTTTCTCTTCGACTTGTTCTTCTCCTTCTTTGGCTGGACTCTTGCTTTCGAGCTGGTTTATGCAGGAGGGGGCGGGAAGCGGGTTAGTTTGGCTGGGGATCCGTTCCACCGGGAGTGCTGAGGAACCAACAACTTGAATGATTTCTGGGGATGTTGTCGATCATATTATACTCGACCCATTCCCCAGGATTTCTCCTCCTCCCCCGCGTTGCGTTTAGATAGGGCATGATAGTCATTATGCAACTGTAACCTGCAACCTAGCGGTAGGGATATCCGAAATCTCCGCACAACAGGCTGAAGAGGTTGTCTGGGGAAGCAGAAGAAACGTGGAGTCTCCGCGCAAAAAGCAGGCTAGACAAGCTCTATGTTGCATCGCGATGTGGCATTCCAGTCAGCGGCCGACACACCACAAATGGCCATTCGCTCGCATCAGCCATCAGATGGGCAATGGCCGGGCCCCAACCCTGGTCACCGTCTCCAACAACACCCCAGAACGGACTCTCTAGCCGAGGCGAGAAAAGAAAGTGAAACTCTCGATTCCCCATTTCTTGCGGTTAAACGGACCGGCTGATTCTATTGTCCAAGCCCACGGCAGCCACCTTGATTGGCCCGAGCTTATGCTTAAAGCGCTGATCATCCCGTGTTAGTCTGTAGCCCGTATAGTCCTTGGAGATACTAGATTCAGAACTGGCACACGCATCACTCTGCCGAAATTGCGGGGTTGGGCCATTCGTACTTGACGCGGAGCTGCTTCCATTTCCCGTGCTTACTCTGCGTCTCTGCATCGATAAGTTTTCCCATCAATTCTGTGCCTTTGACGACCAGGGACTATCGTGGAGAGACTAGGATGGCAGGTTGACACTCGACCTTTTTTCCCTTGCTCTTCTCTTTTCGAACTAGTGGCCTAACCTTATTATAGCTATTGCTTGCTCATGGCTTTACGGATACGGATATAGGTAATGGAAATACTGTACGGTAGAATAACCGGTTGATGATGTAGTCAGCCACTTACGAGATAGATCAGCCCATATGTCACAGTGTTTCATGTAAAGTTGTGCTGACGACTGACGTTGACCCCACAAACGCTTACAACATGCCTCAATGGAAGAATTAAAGGTGCAAACCCAGAATCTTTCTCGAAGCCAAGACTTACACAAGGTATAGACAAGAAACATTAAGCTCGTCTTTCACTTTTTGGAGAAAGGGTCACATCCAACCCATCCCCCTGTCCTCAGCTTGTCAACCGTTCACCTGGGACCCTGGGTACATACGTACCACATGGGATGAGCCGGGACTTCAGGCTAAACAGCCCGCAAGCCGGCTCCCAGCGGTGCATTAGTATTTAATACCTTGGCACTCGCCAGAAGCCCAAGGGACCTTTTTACTGGGAGGGTCGACAGTGAACCCTCCCAATAGTCCCAGAAAGAAACGTGGGGGGTGTCTGTCATGTCATCAAACAGGCTTACCCATTTCCGGATGAATCCTTCAGCTCGATTAAGATGCCTGCTTTGCTTTTTCACGATGTTTCTTTGCTTTGCCAAGAGTGGCTTTTTCTATATCCATTCATAAGAGATGAAGCACTTATATTCGGACCGATGGGAGGGCGCCTGATGAAGGATGATGCTGTGTCACCCGGATCATCGCCACGAGGAAGCGAGACGGTTGGCTGACAAAGAACCACTTCTTCCGTATGTGATGCATCCTGGAGTATGAAGGATATAGCAAAAGGACAAGAGATTCGCGGCTGAAGGTGATGTTAATAATGTTGTGAAGTTTGGTAAACTATACAGGAACTCTTTGCGATTGGTAGTATGCAGTCATCAAACAAACCCGTTGAATCATGGCAAGATCTACAGTTACATGGAAACTTCGCTGTCGTAGCCTTGTATGGAATGATACAGTAAGACGGCGTTTAATCAACCTTAGAAATCACCCGCGTGAACAAGACATGTCATGTTCTTTCACTTTATGCAACAGTATCTATGGGCTATTTTCGACGTTGGCGGCTATCACCAGGGCGTGTGGTCTAGGGGTATGATGTTCGCTTCGCATAATTGTTCCGAATTTCGGGCTCGTGCAATTGCGAAAGGTCGAGGGTTCAATTCCCTCCTCGTCCAGCTTTTTGCCATTCAACTGTATTGATTGGCAACCTTCTTTTGGCTTGTATGGCAAGTATTGAAGTGATTTGAAGGGAGTGTGTTCACCAAGCAGGGGATGGTGTGGGGCGTAAGAAACGACACATGATGGTTAACACCCTTCTTTTGGCTTCCAATAAGACTTCCTAGACTTGTGGGACTCAGTTGCTTGGTTTCCAGATATATGAAAGATTCTCCTAACTATGGCATTTATATCCTAGTGCAAAGCTCATCTCCAGGCGTAAAAGCTGCTGTTAACGTTAACAACGAGTCAAACCCTATCGAGCGTATTCTTACAGAGTCCTACGCATAATCACCCTGGGAACTACGCAACTAACCACAATACAACCATCGATTTCTATTTTGATTTCATCTTACTAGGAAATCTCCGTGTGAAAAGAGTTTGACAAAGACTGCCTACATGTATTTCAATGCTGCCTCTTACATTCAGTTATAACCGCGATCAATATCACGAAGGGGAGGACTGCGTTGACCAGATCACAGCGTGCACTCGAACAAAAATAGAAAATCCATCTTAGAATGTGTAAAAGGCTGGTTCCTTTGAGTGTCTAGGCCTACACACTAGGCTTTTCCGAACATGACTAATTGGTAGACGTGGTCACACGGTTGTCGTGATAGCTCTATCTCAGTGATTTTCTCTGTTTGGTTGACGAGTTGGGTATACCAACTCCATTACTCATTTACTCATTCTATACGGGGTTATTCTATACTCATACAGGGTCATAGAATCGCATAGCTCGGTCGTGTAATCTCACTTCCAGCAGCCTCATTCGTCTCTGCAACAAACTAAAGCAGATTCCAGCCATACGGCGTAGCCTCTGCCGCGCTATCGGGTTCATTCCTCTCGCGCCAGTCATCCCAAAATTTCAGTCGTTCGTGTCCGTGCGTATGTTCTCCTTTGTGCTGGAAATATCACAACTCGTCTCTTCGGTCTCCTATCTCAAAGTCGGGACGCTTTGCATCTTTGGGGTAGTGTTCTCCCTCCTTCCACTTTTTACCGCGCTTCTCAAAAGAACCCTTTCGCCAGGTATCAACATCATGTGTGTGCAGCTCCGTCTCTCCATCTCCTTCTTGGTAAGGTATCCGAGCGTTTGGCTTTCCTTTTATGTAGTCAATGGCCTTTTTTTCACTGACATGTTCAGTCTTTTCCTCGTCCTTGTCCATGTCCAGCTTTGAAACTACAACGAATCGTTCCAGCTCTGATAACTTGATCGCCGCCAACTCCGGGAGGATCCACTTCTTGATGCTCACAGAGATGAGGTAAATTCTTTTCAGCGTCTTGGAATGGCGGCCAATGAATTCGATAAGCCCACTAGTATGTTGAGGGCACTCACGCAGATCGGGATCTACAAGGTGCAGTTCAGTTAGAACGGGCAAGGTGGGGATCAGGCTCAAAAGCTCTGGAACTTCGGCGTCTGGCGTAGCCATATCACCCGAATCATCCCTATCAAACCAAAGACTGCGACCCTCCAGCATGCAGGCCTCTTGGGATAACTTGAAGCTGGACAAATTCCGGGCGTTGCTGAGACAAGTTAAAAAACCCTCAAGATTAGCACGAACACATCTCGGACCACCTATGCAGAGGTCTAAATTACGGATGGTCGAGAATGCCATAGCATCGCATCTTTTGAAATGAGTAAGTGCAGTGAATTGCACCATGTCATGGTCCGTGTAGATAACCGTGGTGATTGTAGGTCGCTTGCTGATCGTCGTGGATACGGACAATGGGTTTGCGAGAGGTCTCAAGGTTGGGATAATATAATTATAGAATCCATTTATATATAGATATTTACGGTTTCGTCTTCTGGAGCCGAAAGGCATGGTAGGCAATGATATCTTCCGTACCTCGCGTCGAGAGTTCACAGGCTTGTAGACTAAGGTGTGCAGACCCGACATTTTGTAAATGGCTTTTCGAAACTCGTTCAGAAACCCCGGTTCAACTAAACCTGACTCGGTCCAGAAGAGAGGTCGTTCATCAGCTTCATCATTCTCAAGGGGATTGAAGTTTCTGCTGGGTTCTTCCCAAGTGACAACTCGAATCATATCAGGGAAGGTTTTTGCAATATTGAAGAATCTTGATTGATGTTTTAGTAAAGGCGAGATTCTAACATGTTGAAAAAGAGTAGTTGTAGCTGCGGTGCCCAGCGTGCGGTAAGTAAGCCTGATTGATTTGAGACTCGATTGACCTTGTTCGCATATCTTGAGGAGAAGCTCCTGGGGTAATTCAAGTAGATTCATGGCGTATTCTTGGGGATGATAAAAGTAGACAGTTAAAACTTGGGGGTTTTGAGAAATGTTGGTATGATGTGTTTATTCCAAGACGTTGTTGGATGAGAGAAGATCAGATGAGGGAGACTGGGAGGTGGTAGCCTCGCGAAGCACAAAAGTAGGTTCGGAAAGACATCCTGAGACGGGATAGTTGAGAGTACCTGCCTTATTTCAATGCATGGTTAGGCAGATTTATGTCACACATTCTCAAAAGTGAAGGAAGCTCTCACGCAACATGCCTCTGAGGCCTTGGTGTAGGGTGAGTTAAATGGAATTATTCACCACCAAGCTGTAGGCCATACTCTGATATCTTGCTTCAATGATTTCATTATTTAGTTTATATGTAGAAAGAAAAAGCAAAATAGCACGAAGTCTCAGACAAATGTTTGTAGTGTTTGACTCTAGGCAGTCATGATGTGGGCGTGGACTTGACTTCCGTGTGTGTTTGTGTTAGAAGTGTTTGTGTAAGTAGTACGTAGTGGGGCGACGTCATCAACGCAATATGGGTGTCCCTAACACGACGACAAACGTGGACAGATCTTGTACTGTAGGTATAGGCAGCTACTAACTTGGTGAACAGGCTGACAGGGAGAAATATGAGTAAATGAATAATTCTTTGCTTGAAAGCTAGATTTTCACATGCTCAGTCTCTTGTGACGCTGTTGTTGTGGCGTTAAGCAGCTGTGAATGCACAGCCACAGACATACTCGCCACAATTACCTGCATAACTTTATCCAATTTCTCTCTTTCTTTCCCCATGGTTCTCTAGGTTGTGGCGCAGTTGATAAGATATGACGCTAATTCAGGCTGGGCATCACTAGTTCGCCTCCAAACCCAAGAGACGCTTGGCAGCCGCGCAAACCGTGACAGAGGCAGCCAAGAAAGAACGAATCAAAGCCCGAGCGTCATCATGTACAAAAGACACATGACGAATGCCTTGGCTGAAACCATTCCCTTTTTTCTCCCAGTCTCTTGATTTAATTCTTGTATAAATCACACACAAATACCACAATACAGCACATACCCTCAGCTACCACTGCTACTGCTGTTATCACTACTTTGTCTCGTTGCGAGAGAATGGGCTCTCTGTTCGTCATACCTCCAGACCAAGACGCCCAGCAAGCCGCTGACTCTCATTCTTCTGCTAGGCAAAACATGCGCCCTTCTATCGAATCTTCCCTGGGCGACCAGGGCCTTGCTACCGAGCAACGCGGCCTGCTCGACCTCATCGACAAGCTTCAATTCGCACAGCTCGACGATGTCAAACTACCCCAAATCGTCGTCGTCGGCGACCAGTCTGCCGGAAAGAGTTCAGTTCTTGAGGCTCTGACAGGTACACCATTTCCCCGCGAGGCCGGCGCCTGCACTCGATTTGCGACAGAAATTCGTATGCGACGAGCGAAGGAAACAAAACTAAAGGTTTCCATCATTCCCGACAAGACACGACCTTATAACGAGCAAGCTCGCCTGCTTCAATATGGTGGTGACGTCGATGGCGACACGCCTTTTGATGCTATGATGCGAGATGCTACAGAGCTCATCGCTCCACGAAGTGTTCCCGGTCGCTTCGCTGCTCGCGACATCTTAGTCGTTGAGAAGAGCGGCCCTGACATGCCACTTTTGACTCTTGTCGATCTCCCAGGCCTTGTGCGAGTCGCCAACCGCGACCAATCTGAGTCTGATATCCAGACCATTGAGGTCCTTTCCGAGCGATACATGAAGAGTCCTCGAACCATAATTCTCGCTGTCATTGGTGGTAACAATGACTACGTCCAAGCTCCTATCCTCAAGAAGGCCCGTCACTTTGATCCGAAGGGATCACGCACCATCGGTGTCCTCACAAAGCCCGATATGACTGAGCGCATCGGTCTTGAAGAGAAGTTCATTGAGCTTGTTACAAACAAGGACAAAGAGAACAACTTCAAGCTTGGCTGGTACGTCTTGCTTAATCCTGGTCCTGGTGAGGAATGGCAAACTCCGGAGGATCGCGCCCGAAAAGAAGCCGAGTTCTTCGCCCGTGGAAAATGGGCAACTCTCCCTCCTGAGATGTGGGGTGTTGGCGCTCTTCGTGCCAAGCTCAGCACCCAGCTCCAGCGTCATATTGGCAAGCATGTCAAGACTCTACGTCGCCAGATTCAACAAGCTCTGGAGGGATGTGAAGGTCAGCTCAAAGCTATGGGCGTTGGCAAAGATACCCCAGAGGAGATGCGTTTCCAGATGGGTGAACTCTTTACAGCATCTAACAACCTTGTCACTCCTGCGGTAAACGGTAACTACAAGAACCCGTTCGGTGAGCGATTCTTTGCTAGACAATCTAGCCCTAAGGGTACGCCATCGCAAAAGCTTCGTGCTCGAATCCGCGATGAAAGTGAGCGTTTTGCTCGAAGATTCCGGCAGCATGGCCGCAAGGTTACTTTCCAGAATGACCAACCGACCGGCGGCGCCAACGGTACCAACGGCGCAACCGAAGACAACGGTCTCCCCGCAGCCGGCACGGTTGGAGATCGCAGCAAGAAGGATTTTGCCGAGTTCGAAGTTGAGCCTCTCCTCCGACAGATCAGGGGTAACGAACTTCCCCTCGACTCCAACCCTCGAGCACCGTACATCCTTTTCCAGGATTACTCCAGGAACTGGCCTGTCCTGGCGCAAGAGTACAAGGACAACGTCGGCGTCATCTGTAACGAATTCCTTGCGGATGTCATCGACCACGTCTGGCCCATGCGCATGCGCGACCCTCTTCGCATGCACTTCCTCGAACTCAGGATGAAGGACATGTATGAGAGTGCTGACTCTGAACTTGGTCGTCTCACTGACGATATGGAGCTGGAAATCCAGCCCTTCGACCCCGAGTATGAAGAGCGTCTTCGAAAATGGCGCGCCCAAGCCACTGAGAACGGCGGAACATACACCGAAGCTGAGGAGGTCTTGGAGAAGATGCTTATTTACTACGACCTTACTGCCCGCATCTTCACCCGCAACGTTATCACACAGATCGTTGAACGACATCTCCTCCTTGGTATGCTGCGTCTATTTAATCCTATTGAGATTCTTCGTATGCAAGATGCCACCATTGAGGCTATTGCTGCCGAGAATAAGGAGACTCGCGACCGTCGCAAGACACTTCAATTGCAGAAGAAGGCCATTGAAGAGGCTAGGAGCATCTGTGCTAGCCTTGCTATGCGAAGTGACCTGCGGGTGTACGAGGACGATCCAGACGACGATGCCGACACGGACGATGAAGAGCCTGTACCTCGTGAGGTCAGTCGTCGCCAGGTCGGTACACCTCAGAATGGCGCATCCCAGAACGGTGCATCTCAAGGTGGTCTCCTCCAAGCACAGGCTACCCCTCAGCCCAGTCGCTCTCACGACTCTGTCCGCCGATCGAACCGTGACAGTCGGGACGAGCGCTCTGAACGCGATGAACAGCGATCAAGCCGACCTCCTGTGCCATCTCAGGATTCCCACCAGAACAGCTCTTATCGACAAGATGCCAGCCGAGATTGGGAGCCAGTGTACCATGCCCAACAGGCTCAGCAGGCTCAACAGGCCCAGCCCGGACAAGCTCCACCACCCCCTCCTCCTCGCCCATCAAAGGTAGGCCTTGGAGACACCGAGGCATACTACGATAATGCCCGTCGCCAGGACTCATATAGCGAGAGCCCCGGCCGAAGTGACCGCCGAGAAGGTGCACGACATAGACTTGCAAACGCCATGCGCATGGGAAACTAGACGATCGGGAGATCGACTAGACTACCGAACATAGATAGTTAAGGATGGCGTTGGAAAGGAACTTGTGATATCTGTATTTGATGAAGCGATTATGAATGGGTTTGGGTCTTTTTATTGTATAGATAGAATACCAAGAGAAGGTTTAATTTTGCATATTGACTGGTAATTGTGAAAACACTGTAACGAGTTCAGCTGAAGTCCCAAGCTCCAAGAACAGTTTAACTCCATGCACGACTAGCTGACGATTAAAATAAACTCCGATTGAACTCAATTATCATGTCGTAACACGGCCAACCCATGACGACGAGATATCAAGACTTCGGAACCACGGCACAAAAAGCATACGTGGACAGTGGAAGCATTAAATCTTGGCTGCAAGGAAACAACCCAAGGAAACAGGTACGGGCAAAGTAAAAATAGTGGTAAATGCTACTATTTCCTTGATATTTCTCCGAATTCTGTGGAGCTTCTTCTCGTTCCTGAACCTGTCGCATGGGCTTCGACCCCGGATTTACGTCACATGCGTCATTACCGCGTTACACGTTGGCAAGGGTCTAAGACGGGAATAAACACGAGCTCAAGCTCGACTACTATAACCTCTTTCTCTCTTTCATCGTATCAAAGTCTTCGCTTTTATTTGTAAAGAAAGATATATTTGCTGAAATGGTTGGCAAACGTCAGTGGAACGCAGAGCAGCAGGGCCCTCGCCATCGCGGCCAGCACGTCGGCGAGGAAGCTCACCATCAAGGCTCCGATGAGCACCCTCGTGATCTCGAAACAGGTCGCTACCATTCTTTCGACGGCACGAAACAATCACGCCCTAGACCTCGTATCCTCCAATTCCAAGACGCAGCCCGCACAGCCCTCGAAGATGCGCGGCGCGGCGAGATCAAGCGCGCTCTGCTGCACGGCATCGACCGCCAGGGTTTAGAGAAGTATCGGAAATCGGACGAGGAGCTCAAAGGCATGAAGAATAAAAAGGTCCGCGCTTTCTACGAACAGCAGAACGAGCGACTTAATGATTGGCTCGAGGTCGATGCGGTCGTTATGGCTATTGCGGATGACGTGCTAGAGTCCATGAATCCTGATCCTGACCATGACGGTGACCAGGAGCGCTGCGGAGGAATTCAGCGTGTGGAGGGAAATATTGGAGAGTTGTTGCCGGAAGAAGAGAAGCAGAAGAGGAGGAAGGCGGCCAAGAAGGCGAGCTATGCTATCAACATCAACGTGGTAGCCAATATTCTTCTGCTGGCGGGTAAGACTTTTGCGGTCTTCACCACGGGTTCCCTATCGCTTGTGGCATCCCTTGTAGACTCGGCGCTGGATCTCCTGTGTACACTTATAGTCTGGTCGACGAGTCGTCTTGTCCTTTGGCGGTTGCAGGCGATGCAGCGACGATTCCCCGTTGGAAGACGCCGTCTCGAACCACTCGGGATTCTCGTTTTCTCCATCATCATGGTTATATCCTTCCTCCAAATCCTCCAGGAATCGTTCTCTCGACTTCTTCCTCCGCATGCTGAAGCTGAGGTTCTGAGCTGGACTGCTATCGCTTCACTCCTAGCGACGATTGTTCTCAAGGGGGCTATTGGCCTCGGATGTCGACCCATCAAGTCCAGCCAAGTTCAAGCTCTCGTGCAAGACTGCAAAACAGACGTGATTTTCAACACGCTCTCACTTCTGTTCCCCTTCATCGGATACCGCGCCAACATCTGGTGGCTGGACCCTGCGGGTGCAGGCCTCCTATCCATCTTCATCATCTACGACTGGGGCCACACATGTTTCGAGAACGTGGTGCGTCTCTCAGGCGAAGCAGCCGACGACCACACCCTTAAGAAGCTCATCTACCTCGCATACCGCTTCGCGCCTGTCGTGGCGGGCTTCAAGAATGTAACAGCGTACCACGCAGGCGACGGTGTCTGGGTCGAGTTTGACGTGTTACTCGATGAAAAGACGCCGTTGAATAGATCGCATGATATTGCTGAGACGTTGCAGTATTGTGCGGAGGGATTGGGAGAGGTTGATAGAGCGTTTGTGACGACGGATTATGCGGCTTCGGGGCCATTGGGACATGCGCTTGATTCAGAGTGGAATCATTAGGAGATAGAAGAGGGAGAAAGGCAGTGTATGATATAAATGAAAATTGATGGCTTATGTATCTTGGCTGTTGATGTCATAGTTTGCTCATGTGTGTTGATTGTGGGACTGCCAATGTGGGTGAGCTAAGCCGAGATGGCTTCATGTCCGTTGTCCGGGTTTACATCTGAGATATGAGCTCGTTCATGGATAAATTAAATTGCACTTTGGCATAGTGGTTGACTATAAAGGATATACATCATGAATATATTCCTTATAAAGTTGAAACTGCTCATCCGGTATCGTTCGAGCTATAATCCTCAAGATGGCGCCAAGCTTGCCCAGCTACAAACTAGTCTGGGCGTATTCTTTGACTTTACACCATGCATGTCAGCTGTTTTCCTTGATTTATTTGATACATGCTTAATTCATCCATCATGGATATGTTTAACTGACAAAGCTTTCCTGTCTAGGGTTCTCATGATGAAAGTGGACCCTGACTTACAGGGACCTTGATGTCCTCATGATGAGATGGCCATCAGGGTAACGCCTCAACACCATATACCACTGAATATGTAGATAATAAGTTAAGCCCTGATGGCCGCAAGGGTTCTCATGTTCCCAAGTGTCGATAAATGAGGGGTTCACTTCATTAAAGTCATGCTTTATAAACCAGCCTCTCCCCCAGACCCCTAACACATCCCATTCAACATCAACAACGTCAACATGGCCTCAGTACAAGTCGAAGAAGAAGTCTACGACGTGCTCATCATCGGCGCCGGCCCCTGCGGTCTCGCCATCTCAGCCCGTCTACACGAACACACCCCCGCCGCCCTCTTCACCGACGAAGAACACCGTCGCTTCCACTGGATCTCCAAGTACGGCAACAAGATGCCCCTCAAGCACGTCCGCAGCGGAAAGACATATCCCCCCAAGACCCGCGCTCAGAAACCCCAGTATAGAATGCTTGTGCTTGACGCTGATAGCGATACGTGGATGGGCCGCTGGAATAGGCTGTTCAAGATGTATGATATCTCTCACTTGAGAAGTCCTATGCTTTGGCATGTTGATCCGCTTGATCGGGATGCGTTGCTGGCGCATGCGTATGCCAATGATAGAGAGGATGAACTTGTGGAGATTAGGAATTGTGTGGGCAAGGAGATCAGCAAACATGGTCGGAAGAAGAATGGACAGCGAGCCTGTGGACGAAGGTTAGTCGTGCCTACTACACTATTGAACATTCACTAACGCTAGATAGACAAGAGTCCCGTGTTGATATCAACGTCCGAGAACGCAATGATTACTACAACCCTTCTACAGCTCTCTTCTGCGACCACTGCGAGAAGGTCGCTGCGCGGTACAGACTAGGTCCCGATATTATCCGCAAGGAAGCCCTGGAGCATCTCGACTACAGCGAAGTCAAAGGCGTCTCCATTGACGGCGAGAAGCTCTTCACTGTAACATCCAACAAAGTCCGTCGCTACGCCAGAACAGTCGTGCTAGCCGTCGGTCCTGCAAACGTAGCCAAGATCCCCCGCCTCCCTTCCATGTCTGACGTTGAGAACCTCCCGCAGGCATGCCATAGCATGCACATTACAGAGTTCCCAGATCCTATAGTCAAGCAAAGAATCGCAGCACGGCGACAGACGAATGTTCTTGTTGTGGGCGGCGGTCTCACTTCGGCGCAGTTGACGGACCTTGCTATTCGAAAGGGCGTCACCAAGGTGTGGCATATCATGCGCGGGCCTCTGCGGATCAAACACTTTGATGTGGGCCTCGAATGGATGGGCAAGTTCAAGAATGCAAAGCAGGCACAGTTCTACTACGCTGATTCAGACGATGAGAGAATCGAGATGATCAAGGAGGCTAGAGGTGGAGGAAGCATCACTCCTGTTTTCCACAAGCGGCTCAAGAAGCATCTTGCTACTAAGAAGCTTGAGCTATTCACCGAGACAAGTCTCGTAGACGCTTCGTTCGACGCAGATAGCGGAACATGGAGTGTGCAGACGAATCCACCGGTTGAGTTACCGGCGATGGACTACATGTACTTCGCAACCGGTATCCAGACCGACTTCTCCTCATTGCCGTACCTAAGCACAATCATGGAGAAGCACCCCATCCAAGGCCGCGGTGGATTTCCCTGCATCAACAACGATCTCATGTGGAATGATGAAGTGCCGCTTTTCATGATGGGGCGACTCGCAGCTTTGCGTCTTGGGCCAGCGGCGCCAAATCTGGGAGGAGCACAGGTTGGTGCTGAGAGGATTGCGTGGGCGATTGAAGATCGTGTTCGGCGGCCGGGAGAGGGGGAGGATGAGGGTGTTGGGGATCTCAGGAAGGGGTATTTGTCTGGGCATGGGAATATGTATAGTTCTTTGGTTTGTGAGTGAGGATTGCCTGTCTGTATCACAATTCCGTGCAGAGTTCCGGTATTGTCCCCTAGAGATATCCAAGTGAGTAGATTTTGGATAACCTCAGCATAAGATAATAAAACAAAACAAGTCTAATATAATTCATTGTAAAATACAACAGTCCGAAATTTTTCGGACATTTTATAAGCCCACTTTAGATCTGAAGGCATTCCAATCGGCGTCGTATTCTTCAACAAATTGCCTGTTTTTGTACCTGTCATTCGGTAGTTCGAGCGTGAACTTCAACAGGGGTCCCTGCTCGCCCACTCCCAATGTTACTCAATAATACTTTCTATTGGCCGCGAGATGACATGACACCTCTGACGATGGTACGTCGGTTCCGTAGTGCTTATTTGACCGGGTTCTCCCCATTGATATGCTTATTTATCTGTCCTTCTCTTTGTGCCTCAACGCATAGGAATATATATCCTGTAGCGTCAAAGTCCGGGACATCCGTGATGCCGAAAACAGTTGCGGCTGTATGGTCTTGTTTTCTATTATGAGAAAGAGGCCAGTCACATCCCATGCTCTCTTTGGGGTTTTGAGAGAATATGAAATGGATAGAAGACTGCTCACTGCTGTCCGGGGAGCGTACCAATACTCGCACTCTGAACTTGTGAAGCCATATGCTTCAGTGGCAATACGTTGTAGTCCTCTATAGATAGGATTCGGAGAATTAAGGTACCGTCCAGGCTTGAGCTAACTTGGAGACACCATGATCTTGGAATCATAGTTATGGAGCCCATCTTTGAGCTCTGGGCTCATATCACCAGCCCGCAGAGAATAGCAATGGACTAGATGAGATTTCAGAGAGAAACAATATAGATAATCCAACGCTGTCTCTTGGTCGCGGAGAAGTTACTAAGCAGTGGTGCCTTTGTCAGAAACATTGGCTAGGTACGCAAATACTACTCAGGATGCGTTCCGAATGTAACATACACGCAAAGCAGGCTACGGGACAGGCGTATAGATGCAACAAAGTTGATCTACCGGAAGGGAGCATTCCTCTGCGATAAGATCAGACAGAGGCTTCAAAGCTGAGCGTTCAACAGCCATTCGCGAAGAGATTACATTCTCGATGCTCGACCGCTGGGGACTACCTCTGGATTTCGTGAAAACAGCAGATATTCAGAGAACCACTGTACACAGTAGATGCAGGAAAGTCCCGACCATCTCCTTGCTGTTATACTTATGTAAAGTGTATAAATCCTACTAAATTCTTCTCATATACATAATCCTAGATAAACTACATTGAATTCGTTTTACTTTATACAATCTTATATAATCTTATATAAAGTATAATAAATTCTTACAGTATTTACACATCCCCGGTGGGTCGTCAGCGGAACTTTTGCAGGGAACTGTACATGGTTCTTTAGTGCTTATTAGACTGGGCGCCCCCCCGCTTAATGTATTTATTTCTCTCTTTTCATTTTCCTCTCATTAAAATGACACGCATAGGAACACAAAGGGTCAAGACAGGCTGTAAAACATGCAAGTATGATTTCCCCACTATTTCCCACTATCACTATCCACTATAATAGCTGATATATGCAAGACTTCGGAAAATAAAATGCGACGAGACATGGCCCACGTGCAAACGCTGCACCACGTCCAACCGCGTATGCACTGGATACAGCCCTACGCCAGCCGGTAGCTTCTCGTGGGACGTCCTCCTGCGCGCCGCCCAACCGCGTCTCCTCCCGGTGACTGACCCCGGCGAAGTGCGCAGCTTGTCCTTCTTCCATCACGCTGTTGCGCCGTTCCTCTCAGGGCCTTACGATGGCTCGTTCTGGACGTATTTGGTTGCGCAGATGACGCACTCTGAACCTGCTGTGCGACACACAGTTCTAGCCATCAGCTCGCTCTTCGAGAGCTATAGTCTGTCGCTCAATGTTGAGCCTACTTTCAACAGATTCGCCGTACTGCATTATAACCGCGCCATTAATATTCTGGTTAACCACACTGCGCCGAGTCTCGATCTTGTGTTACCCGTCTGTGTGTTATTTATCTGCATTGAGTTCTTGAGAGGGAACTCCGAAGCCGCGGTGATTCATGCGAGTCACGGCGTGGAATTGTATAAAGCGACGGCAGATAACTCGCGCCTCGCAACCATCCTCTCCCAAATGAACATGTTTCCGCTATTCTTCGTTGAAGGCGGCGATGAATTCCCGCTTCTTCGACGGGAGATGAGCAGTACCGTCAAAGAACCCCCGGAGTTCTTCAACATGGGCGAGGCGCAATCCATTTTTGGCCATCTTTGCGTCGAGTCACTAAGAATCACCCGCGCAGTAAACTCATACCAATTCAATAACGACCAACACCCCCCAGAAGAGGTGATTGCCATGCAACGAGAGGCTGAGCAAGATATAAAAGCCTGGGGCGCTGTGTTTGACAAGTTCCAGGCAGCGCGTCCTGATACCGATCGTGATGACTCGACAGGTCTAGCACTCATGCTGTGGTACAAGTTTATAAAGCTGTGGCTGTCAGAGTGCCTGGCGACGAACGAAACGGAGGACGATGCTCTGAGAGATGATGTTACAGGCTGGGTACGGAAAACAGCAGAGAGCATCAAGAATCCACAAGTAAAGCATGCCGAATTTATCTACAGCACTGGCTTCAATCTCATGCTGCACTTCACCATCAACCGTTGCCGTTATCGCCCTCTTCGGATGGAAGCTCTCTCCCTCATGCGGAAGCTTTCTAGGGACAACAAGGACGAGTGGGAGGAGCCGCTCGTAGTTGAGCATGATACTAACCATTCGGAGGAGAATGATATAAATGATGGGGCGCTGTCGCCTGGTCGGGAGAGAAATTGGAAATCGGTGGTGCTTCAGCAGGACCCTAAGAAAAAGAGCACCAAGGATGGAAATCGTCGGAATATGTTGTGGAGTTATCATCTTATAGATAAGATTCATGAATAATAATAAGACATAAAGGCGGTACAAGCCAAATACATTTTAAGGAATAAATCTGCGTGCGCTTAGAATAACCTCGTTCATTATCCCCAAGACAGCAGAACCTATACCGATTAAGGTAGATGCAATGCATGGCATCTTAACTCAAGCCTCACGTCTTGATTAAAGCTGCATCACCCCAGACCTATCGCTTTTAATGTCTATTATCCGATCTTTTCACTGCCCACCCGCATTTCTGCCCTGGGCTTAGCGGCAGTCTAGGGCCGTCCCGTAAGGCTGAGCAGTGGACCCAGTGTTTCCAATTGAGTTATGCGATTGGCCAGCTCGCATTTCAATGCGCAACCTTTGGCGAGCACACCCACCCATCTCGCATTTACATATTCGGACTAATGAGGCATTGCCAGTTAAGCTATAGATAGAATGCAGATAGAATAGATATAAGATCTGAGATTCCCTCTTGGAAGACAAATATTCATCATCAGTTCCATCATCAACATTCACCATGCATTCCAATATCAGAGCCCTTCTTCTCTATCTCCTCTCTGGCGCTTCCTTAGCAACAGCCCAGCCCGCGCCTACACAAACCCACCAAGTCACCCTTGCAGCCCGCGAACCCACCACAACAGCAGCACCCGTGGGATGGTTCACCACCACAAAAAACATCGCTACAATCGGCGGTCAAACAGAAGAACATTTCACGCTCCCCGCAAAGACCATCCAGATCGTCATCCCCACGTGTATCCAGACGCACGAGCCCGATGGGAACGGTTATCTACCCCCCGGGACGTGTAACGCCCACTGGAATTACTACCCCAGCTTTTCTGCCGCTGCGGTCTTTGCTGTGCTGTTTGCTGTGTTGACGGCGGTGCATATATGGCAGGCTGCCAAGTATAAAAAGGTCCGTATGTCACACCTAAAAGTTATCGTCATGGGAACTAATATTTTATAGTCATGGTGCTGGGTTATTATCATGGCGGGCATTTGGGAGACGATGGCATTCACCTTCCGAGCCATAAGCACCAAGCATCAGCAGAGCGTTGGTGTTCTTCTCACGTTTAACATCTTTATCTTGCTGGCTCCGATTTGGGTCAATGCATATGCTTACATGACTCTCGGTCGAATGGTCTACTACTTTACCCCCTCGCACTCCCTCATCGGCATGCCAGCCGCCACTCTAGCCGCCATCTTCGTCGGTCTAGACATCATATCCTTCACCGTCCAGCTCGTCGGCGGTAGTATGGCCGGTCCTAGTTCGCCCCCAGATGAGCAGATGAAGGCCATCCACATCTACATGGGCGGTATCGGTCTGCAGGAGCTTTTTATCGTCATCTTTGTCGTGCTTTGCATTCTCTTCCAACGAAGTATGCACAAGATGAACCAGCAGGGGGGCATTAAGGGCTTCTTCACCTCCGACTGGGGCATGCTTCTCTGCACGTTGTACTTTTCACTCGCCATGATCTCCGTGCGCATTCTCTATCGTCTGATCGAGTTCTCCAATGGGCAAGGTCAGGACAATGCGCTTGTGACACACGAGATTTACTTTTACGTCCTCGAAGCAGCGCCTATGTTCTTGGCTCTGTTGGCCTTCAACATTGTGCATCCGGGAAGGATCTTGACGGGTCCTAATTCTGAGATGCCTGGTCTGTTTTCGCTCATCAAGAGCAAGTTCCGGGGAGGGAAGGGAAAGCAGCTGCTTGATGATGAGAGTGATGTGGAGATGAATACTGCCTATGAGCCGACTCGAGCGGCTGGGTATTAGGCCGAGCCTTCGCGTTATGGATAGAAATTAGAGCCTTGAGTTTTTTGCTGGGTGTATTCTATTAGAAGGTGTACTTGTTAGTTGTGTAGCGTTAGAGTTCTGGATGTGTGTTTTATTGAGACTTCTTTTGGCTTGACAGTAGCCCTGGTCCCTCAATCTTCAAGTGATCCTGCAGCTTATCTAAGCTTGCGCTTCTCTGTTTCCTGTATGAATCCCCATCGACTTTGGCGTCTATAGTGGAACGTGACAAATTGTCTACCCTCCTCTGCTCAATTACAGCCGTCAATGATTTATTAAAGACGACCAAGTGTTGCGGCGACCACAATCCTGTGCAAAATTTCCGCCAACGAGTCAACCAGGATATGTAATAATTAAAATATCTAATATAATCTCATTTAAGACTTTATCAGAATCTGTAGAGTAGAATATTTGATCACAATTTACATCTTCTTATGTAAATTATGGGAGAGATGAAATTGTCGGAACATTTGCACACAAACTGTACAATAAGCGATCTGACAGTATCCCTTCCAGTTAACTTAACGACCGAACACGATTCTCAGGGCCCTCGTACGTAAAGCATCAATTCTGTGGGTAAATGCATAATAAAACTTGAGTATCGGGACAGCTTCAGGGTAAATACTCTTTGTTGGAACTTGACAGCAGTTTTAAGCCTCAGATTAGCGATCCCGGAAATACGGGGAGTTGTGGGCTTGTGGAGCTTCAATTAACCATAATACAACGTCGCGGGAATGCTCAATTTACACATGCACAACGTTACCCAATACGTACTCCGTCATTTGCTTCCTTCTCCAAACCGTTGGAGATCAGCACCTTCTTTTTCGTTTCGGCTCAAAGCGGCTTGTTGCTTTTCCCCTTGCGTGCTCGTTGTGATGTCATGTTCTTGACGTCACCATATCGTACTTGAGGAGAGCTCGACTCAAACCCAGCTCTAGCTCCCAAGCTCAACTTGCAATAAACATACCATCTTCAGAATAAAATTCATCTGTCGGAAGCATCAAAAGATCAATAATACAGTACCAGAACAATCGCCAACATGCGCTTCCTCACTACCCTCCGCCCAACAGCCCGCATCGCGCCGCGCCTCACAACCCTCCCCCGTCCCTTCCACCAAGCCCGCACTCTTCGCAAGGAAGAATCCAAGGATGCCAACGGCACCTTCATCGACGGCCTGGCAGAGGGCGAAGCCAAAGGCGTCACAGGCGGCGGCGAGCCCCTCGATGCTTCGTCCAAGAACGCGCCTCCCCAGCCCAAGGTGTCCAACCAGAGCATCCCCGGCAACCAAACGGATCAGTTGACGGAGGAGCAGAAGCGTGAGGTGGAGGAACACAACAAGGAGTTTGATGCGAAGCATGATCGCGGAAATAGAGCGGATGACGATAAGGTTGATAAGAACTTCTGGGGAGGGGCGAAACATGGGGAGCAGGAGAAGGAGAACGCTACGCCGCCTAAGGAGAAGAAGTGAGGAAGAAAGGCTTAGCGAGGTTCATTTTGTAATATAAAAAGATGAAGGACGTCTAAGTAACGAACGCGAACGCGAAAACCGGACATTTTTTAAAGCCGTGCACCTGATATTTAGCTCAATGTCCAGATAATTGACAGAAAATTGAATGAGGGCCACTCTTGATTGGATAAGGCACTCGTTTACAAGACGGTTGCCTTTTTCTACTGAGGGTGTGGGAGAAGTCTGCAGGTTCCGGGTTCGCAACGCAGCCAGAATGTTTGACAGAAATAATCAGCCGGTCCTAGTCGGGCAATGGCAGTGAAGTGATCAGATAATTATGCGCAATTTCGAGGTCCTTCTTTTTTACTTGCATGCGACCGCTTCACTTATACGGTCGATCGGTGTATGTTAGATGCTGGACGCGTTTTGAGGTGAGCGTCCTCAAGTTGAACTCAAGTATAAATGCCGGCTCTATTCCTCGCTTCTGATACCATTTACACACTCATATTCAAGTACCATACCCAAGAGCCCATCAACCTCTTCATCATGTCAAACCCCCAATTCATCCAAGTTCCTCGCGACCAAGACCCTTCACCCAACACTGCTCACCAGAGTACCTCCTACTCGAAGCAGATGAATGCCTGGCTGCGTGAGGACCACAAGCAGATGCCATGGCATAACCTTGCCTATGTTGCTACATCTGGCACGCAGGACAACTCCACCTCTAGTTCTGAGCCCACTCCGTCTGGGAACCCGGCTACTCAGGGCAGTACCAAGTAGCTAGCCCTTCTTTTCCGAATATTTGTTGTAGTAAGAGGCCGTTGCCAGCCCCCACTTGCTTCCATGATCAACTGTGTATAAGTAAGCTGACCTGGAGATATGTATTTAGGCGCTACATCCCTCGTCGAATATATACCTCCCTATCATTTTGCAACATCCTCCAAGCCTGGAGTAAACCATTCATTTTGTTGTGAAGTTGAGGAGACTCTCGATTGCTTGTGGGGTTTGGCATTGCGATGTTCCGATTAGAGGGTAGACTTGTATCAACTCGATTGAGGACCATGAGAGTAGGATCAGTTATTGTTAGCTAGCTTATCGTTGATGTTTACTCCAAACTTCGAAGCGAACCTTATCTGTCAGTGAATGATTTGGCTCTTTGGCCGATATGTATCATGTGTATGTAGGATACCCTTCGCTGTGAGGCAACGGATCAGTCTTTCGCACAAAATTACTGTCCCAGAATATGTTGAGCCTCATGATCGACGATGACGAATATTGAAGATGCGGCCTGGGATATTAGGCATAAGCCGTTTCTTTTTCAGCTTGCCATCCACACACAATCCGGGGGTTTACATAGACCGCCTACTGGGTAATTAGTGATAACGGGATGTGGGCGTCCCGTTAAAATGGTTCTAGATGTTCTGGATGGAACCCCATCCCCTTTCTTTTCTTTTCTCTGGTCCCAATTAGGGAGTGAGGGCTGGTCTGAGCTTTCTACCCCCCGCTCTCGGGGAGAAGAAAAACACCGGACGCACTTACACTAAAAATCACTGATCTACCACTAAATGGCGTCCGGTATTTTGTTCCCCCCCTAGCCGGCTACTGGCCACTAAGACAGATCCCACTATATTGGGATGTGTACATCCTCTAACTACTAGTTAGTACGTAGTAGAATGCGCTCCTTGTTTGCCACACTCGCGTGCATAGGTAGCTCCCCTGAATGCCCGTCTGGTGTGGGCTGCTTTACAGGTACAAACCTCGATCTCCAATATTCAGCATCTTTACTAGAAAGCATGATAGCCTCCAAACATCATCCGCTCTATTTCTCGCTGGAGATACCACTTGGGACAGGCCTTGAAGGCTTATGACTTCTTAAACTGACGGGACACATAGCCAAACAAGACTCAAATAGGCAGTACACGAATGGGGGCCCCAAGGTACTTGCTCAAGATCCAACAACCGTATCTTCGACACGCCGATGTGCGTGAGAGTCTCTGAATATGAGAGCCAACCCCTCCACAGCCGACCACGATACCAAACAAACTAGTCTCCAGCTGGAGGACCTTGCCTGTCAGAGAGACACAAGCTCCTAAGTTAGGACAAGGGTAAATGGGCACCACCACCCCTCGCCCCTCCCCCTCTGTTGTTCTTGATAAGCTATGGAATAGTCTTTAGAAAACAACCGGGGGGCCTATTTCCAAGTGGGGTATAGGCAGGTTTTCTCTGGTCCCAACTTTTTAATGACTCGAGAATCTGTACAGTACTTTGTCGAATTCCCTGGCCTGAGCTCCTTGGGCCAAAGCTTGGTTTCTTGCATTCGCCTTGTCGATCAAGCCAGTCAGGCGACATGTGAATGCCGAAGGGATCTGACGTTGGTCTCCACCGCCCAGGCCCAGTAAGACGGTAACTAAGACGCAGGGCCACAGAATGATCGAAGAAAATAACACGACTCTCCATATGCTGCAGGATCCAGTGTCAATATTAAACAATATCGTCTCTTCTTTCCTGTAGTGTTGGTCAGTCGCTGATACAACTTCCATCAAAGTACAAACCCGCTGTGTGCTGGCAAGGATGCTCCCTCATTTATAACAAAAGGTTTAGGCATCGCGAAGTTTACTCCTAACTTCCCACTGTAGGTATGCGACATACTTAGATGATAATAGTTCTCCCTTCCGCTGCGCTAAGCCATGTGTTAGGCTGTGAGGCACATTCAATCGCATTGCGCGGTGGACGAACATTGGACTTGGCCTGTGATGCGTGATACCTGCGTGTCTGAGACACACTGAACTGAACCCTGTGTTGCCCTAGCCTCACAGTCAGGGCTCTTTCTACAGCCCGTTTTCCCCTTATTGCATGTCTTGGAAGTTCTTTTCTGTTCGGCTCTCAAGGCAAAGTTCCTGTTCCATTTGTCTTCCGAGCATTTTCTCCTATTGTCTTTCCCATGAAACTTTACTCGCCAATGCGCCGAAAAGAGGCTACTTCCTAACCTGAACACACAAGACACAACCCACCATATCCTATACATAACGTATCATATTCGCTCACGTCGAATTGATGCTTATTAACACATGAGAAATTAGCTTCAAGTCGTGTCTTTTCCCATACTAATCTCGAAATTGATGGTATATAGTGCGTGGTAGCATAATTCTATAGGTCTTAGCAGATACTGAACTTGACCTGATGGTCAAAGCTATCAACGCTTTCTTCTTTTTGTTTTGCTCCTTGTATGCACGCAAAGTTCATTGAGTCTTCGAAGTCCCCTCTGAACTCCTTGGCGTGTTGTCTTCCCCCTCCGAGTATTACCTTCCGCGTGCGCACATTTGTAGAGCCCAAACAATTGTATGGGTTCTAGAGAGATTGGTATAGAATGCAACCTTACTTTATAGGCTTAGCGACACCGACACACTCCCTGCAATTACATTGCAATACCTGAGTATTGGAATTGACAAGTTGCGATAATTTCCTCTCATCTATAGCTTATATAAGATAGTGACAAGTTTATGCAATCGTGTATAGCCTTGCAAAAGATCATTCGAGGCCCAAAAGATTTGCTTCCCCAAGCAATCTAGTACACCGTGTTACAGAAACGGCCCATCCTGTGTAAGACTCTACTAGATGAAGCAGGCCAAGATCTACGCTAATTACCCCTCCTGTCAAAAACGATCTCCCAGATCTGCTACTATTTATAGCACAAGATGAATCCGCAGCCCCGTTCTTTTTACTTTGGCAATGTGGTGTAAGTCGACAACGCCTTGTAGTCTAAACATCTAAGAAGCCATCACGCCGACTTGTACGCAACGCTGGAACCACTCTCCAATGCAAAAAAAGCCATTTCAACTGCTTTTTCTCATCTTGACACCAGTTCATCGTTTCATTTTGTCATCGATGATACCTTGGAATTGACAAAGTCGGTCTCAAACATAAGGGCACCATCAGAACCGCAAAAAGGTTCGCAAAGCACAAAGGTATGCCTACTAATCCACCCTCAACGCCGAACGAAGAGGAATTTACCCCAGAGTTTACTCCAGGGACAAGGGAAGCACCTGCATTTCACCTCACCCAGGTTGGACTGGATTCGAACCAGTAATCTTGGGACAGGTTTCGGAGGACATTGAACCATGCGTTAACCATTCCGCTACCGCTACGGCTCTTTTTGGGGACCTTGATGTTTTTATGACTTAAAAACCGTTGGCCAAGGCTTCCTCAAGAAGGTGAGGAAGTCCATCTGGTCGTCGTCGTGGTCATTCTTGCCTTCCTGGTGTTGTGAGATGTGTGTTCTGCCTTGGAGACAGGAACAGCCACTTGTGGGCTCATAGTGGGTCACAGCGACATCATTCTCTTTCTGACCAAGAATAAAGAAGCAGGCGCAGCGAAACGTGTGACACCGGACGTGATAGGTAGAGTTTGGAATGAGGAATTTGTGAGAAATTTATCTGAAGCAGAGTGTGAGTTGTTGGAGAAGTGACTCTGGAGAAATTATGAGCACCTTCTCAGCAAGTGACCTCATAAGCCAGGCCTGGAGGCCCGAACCATGACGAGGTGTGAAACCGTAAGAAAGGGATAGGAGCAAAAGAGAATCGAACACAAGACGAATTTAAAATGAGGAATGAAAAGAAAAAAAATTAGACCATAGCGGTTGCTTGACCATCAGGCCAAAGTAACGTATGGTTCAGTGTCCCCCAAGACAACCATAGTCAAAGTATCACATATTATATACAATCGGACCGGTGGTATCACTCCTACCACATAAGACGCATTGCGAACTCTAGACATCTATCTGTTTAATAAAATTCTGAGCTATCAGGCTTTTCCCATCTGACTGAGTTGGGACTAATAGACTTTCGATGTAACGAGGCATGAGTTATGTTTCATCAGCATGAAGGACAGGCATGGTGTAGTTCCCAAGTAATAAACCATATTTTTCTGGAAACCTATGAGAAGTGGGCGTCCTCTACCAGCTTTGCAACCTCAAGCGCCGAAGGCGGGCACTTCTATTCTAATTCATGCACATCGATCAAGCATTGGTTCGCCAGAATTGGTCAAGATATGGCAAGTCGTATCATACGCCGGCCTGTGTCTAACACCATGTGCAGTAAGCCAACTATTTTGCACTTGTGTACGTAGTGGAGCGCGACAAATCATTGTAATGCCGAAGCTTAGTTCTTTATTGCGGAACTCGTCACGGTCAGCCAGAGTGATCTTGATTGTACCGCATGTATTGCATTCTTCATAGCCTCTCAGTGAGGTCTAGAATTCATGTAATCTAGTATCAATGTACTGATAGTCGTCGCATGTATCGACATATAACGGTGCAAACTGCCTTCCCAACTTGATGGTCAAGCATGTTCGCAAGATCCCATCGCCAATGGCCAACCTCTTCCAAAGCCCACGATAGCAGTCACGACGATGACTGATATTGATCCCCAGAATGCAAACAGTCCGACGGGACCGAGAAAGCAACAGCCCGGCTCTTGAACCTCTGCACTTAGCAGGCTTCAGAATGCGCAACATGACATGTGTGATTAGAGTTTCTCATATCTCCCAGCAATTCATCAACGGCTATCGCTTTGCAACAATTGCATATGCTAGATTCTGTATACACGGTCAGTACTTTGAAGATATCAAGACATGTAAACAAGGTGTGTATGTGAAGGCATATCAGGAAACTAAAATGGAATCATACAAGAATTCTTGTCAAATACAATCTAGCGTGAAGTTTGTAGGTCATCATGTGCGAGGAGGGGTGTAAAAGTAATTAAAGTCATGACTTACACATAATCGGTCATTCATACATATTGAACGAACATTTCGGTCCGCTCACCCCGCGTCGACTGTCCCTCATCGTATTTGTTTCAGCTCAAGATCTGCACAGCCTTTACGGCCGAGTAAGACCAGGAGATGAGTTCGATCCGAAGATCTGACCGATCGCTCCGCTGACCTGAGCAACAAGAGCCTTGATCATGCCCTGAGGCTTGCCTCTTCCATCAAGCCCATGGACAGGCTCGGTGCCCATTGTAGGAAGGACGTTGTCGCCAGCAGACAGACTAACGAAGAGCGCGAAGGGCACAAGCCACACACAAAGCCCAAAGTACGACGCGATTTGCGCGAAGCTTGGCACGTCGGCCTTGTCGTAGTACGAGGTACGCTGGTATGCGCGCGACTGTGTATCCGAGAAGTGTCGGAACCAAACGTAATGGTTGACCAGGACGAGAACTGCTGCGAGTTAGCCAAACTCAGTGCTTGGCCAGTGGGGTAAACATACCACACGACGCCAGGAACAAGGGATCAGACAGCTTCACAAAAGGGAAGCGTCGCATGTTGCCCAAGTAGACGACATGGGAAACGATCGTCAGGATCGTAGCCCAGAAAGGGAACCCATCAACCAGCCAGAGTATCGTCTGAATGACAATAACACTGTAGATAAGACGCGTCAGGAAGCGCTTCGCGATGACGCTATGTTCCTCGACAAGTTCCGACAGGTAATAAAGACCCGATGCAATAGCGAGCGTCAAAAAGCAGAAGCCCAGCAGGGTTCCGACATAGCCGACAAGAGGTAAAATCCACATGATTGCGTTGCGTTGTGTGAAGTCGCAAGCAAAGACAAGGTTGGAGCTCACATGTTGGAGAAGAGAGTTCCAAGGAGGGGAGATACGTAGAGTATTTCTGCAGATTCCAAGACAAGAAAGGAGGCAAGGAGGACACGTTTTTGCCAATCGTTTTTACTCGCTAATTTTCCTTGCATCGGAGGTAAGTATCTCCGGTCCGATCTACCCCACCACGAAATGCTTATCGATAGCCACCAAAAAAAGTCGGTTTCTGTTCAACACCAAGAGACCAGCGATAGGTACAGCTCCAGGCTTCGCGACCCATTCATTTTGTTGGAATTACACTTGTCCAGGGTTAGAGTCGCTGTATACACTCAAGTTTTTGAAGTATTATCCGCCCATCATGTCTCGTCCTGAGGATACCCTGTATGTCACCACAGCCCCGCCATGATGCCCCTCAAGCTCACAGAAACAGTGCGGCCGACGTCCATTATGACGATATCGAAGCGCGAAAGTACACGACGAGCTCTCGAATCCAGAACATTCAAGCGTCCATGACAAGACGAGCGCTGGAACTCCTCGATCTTAAGTCACCATCCCTCATTCTCGACATTGGCTGCGGCAGTGGTCTCTCCGGCGAGATTCTCTCTGCGGTCGAACCTGAAGAGGGCGGCCCTCATACCTGGATCGGAATGGATGTTTCGCCCTCAATGCTGGATATTGCGCTTCAGAGAGACGTCGAAGGCGATCTTATGCTGGCAGACATTGGCCAGGGCGTTCCTTTCCGAGCAGGAACCTTCGATGCGGCGATCAGTATCTCTGCTATCCAATGGCTCTGCAGTGCTGAGACAAGCGACACATCCCCCGCTGGTCGCCTCACCCGATTCTTCAACGGTCTCTACGCCTCTCTCAAGCGCGGCGGTCGAGCCGTCTGCCAATTCTACCCCAAGAACGACCAACAGCGCAACATGATCACCCAAGCCGCCGTCAAGGCCGGTTTCGGCGCCGGTATGCTCGAGGATGACCCCGGTACCAAGAACCAGAAGCTCTACCTCGTCCTCACCGTCGGCGGAGGCGATGTGCAAAAGAAGGGTGGCGACATCACGGGCGTTGTCGACGGTATGGAGGGTGTCGATGTCGAGGATGCGCGAAGATCCATCAAGGCCAATGCTCCCAACATGAGCAAGGGCAGCAAGGGCTGGATCGTCAAGAAGAAGGAGCAGATGGAGCGCAAGGGAAAGATTGTCAAGGCGACGTCCAAGTACACGGGACGAAAGCGACGTATCCAGTTCTAAGCAACGACATGATGAACTGCTATTTGCATTGTACGGCGTTGGTGGTGGAAAATTCATTCGATCTAGACCTTTTCAATTTGACACGGATACCCTTTTTATATTATATGAATCTGATGTGCGTAATTCTCATCATTCGTGGAGCTTGAATGCCAGGATTGGTCTTAACTCCAACATCAACCTGGGTATAGTGTGAAGTTTTACTTGTTGAACACTCATGCAGCTGGCCAGAAAGTCTCCTCTGCTTCCAAAACATCCTGCCACTTCCCCCGGACCCTTTCGAACAGTTTCTCCTTAACATCCTCGCCCTTCTCTTCAACCACCTTCGCAACGGCATCATCGATAATCCTCCCAAGATCATCGACAAAGTCGACAAACTCCTTGCAAGTCCAATTGTTAATAAACTCTTTTCTCACGGCACCGCCATCCGCATCGTTGCTGCCATCATCCCCTTCAGACAGCTGCGTCTTAGCCCAGGACCAAGCATCCAGGTAACACTTCTCGGTGCCCCAGTATATCACCGCTGCTTCAAGCCATGGGAGCACATCTTTCTCATTCGGGGCCACAGAAGCGTAGAGAGCTTCCCAGCGTCGAAGTCCCTCAAGCTTGGTGCTTGAATCAACACGGCCATCGGCACCAGTTTCGAGGTTGACGTTGATACCGTAGTCAGCAGCCGTTTTGATAAAGAACTTCTCCTCTCGGCGTATGTTGACAAGAGCTGCGACGATCCAATCTAGAAGCTGGGTTGTAGCACCAGGATCAACCCCTTGCTGCACGGTGTCGGGATACTGAAGGAAGCCGAGTAAACGACCGAGGCCGCGACAGTAGCTGTGGATGTAAAGACGGTCATTGGCAAGCCAGCGACCAAGGAGTTCCTTCGAGGCTTTGCCGTGGCCTGCGAGGCGGAGGAACTCGGACTGAGTAGCTCGCTTGTAGCCCTGCTCGTCTGAGGCAAGGAGCTGTTGAGTCAAAGAGTATGACATTGTGAAATGCTTTTTGAGTTGTTAATTGACTTGTGAAGGCAGAGATGGCATCATGATCATGACTTGATATATCTAGTAGCTTGGCGAGCGATATTATGTCATTGTGAGAGGATATTCGGCCCAACGTTGTTCCAGCATACAGGAAGTTAGCTACCCGAATAGACCGAAGATCCAGGGTGAAGACGTATGTCTAACTATCGTGATTATGTTTGGTGGTTTACCTGTTTATCCTAGGATGTTGCATCCGCTCTTTGCAGAATATTTAGTGCAGTTCCGTGCAAAGGTTCCGGCAAGGAGCTAACAGATAGTTATATTAGAATAGATTTTATCAAATATATTATAGTTAGAAGATTCTATAAATCATCTTAGAATAATATTATATATAGCGATATAAATTAAGAGGAGCTTATAATAATTTGCATAATCTTACATAGAATCTAGAATACTAGAAGAAATTGTCTGCTTGTGCACGACTACAGTCTCGGAACTTCGCCTACCCTGAAGGATATTCGACTTCAACAATTCCTGCAGATATTCCATCTGTCTTGTTGTTGATGAATTCTGATCGGCCTTTCAAAATACTATAGGCGCTGTAGTAACATTACTTGGCCAAAGTATCTGACCTCCAGTAGGGTTATCTATAATGTCCTTCAGCGCATATGGGCCAGTCAGGAAGTAGAAGTACTATTCTTTCCTAACAGACCTTGTCAGTACTATAAATAAAAACTAAGTCAACATTTAGTTGCGTTCATGCCCCCAAAATCCGGACCTCTCGGATGTAAAACATCGAATTACACCTCCCTTGAGGCTTGACTCCAAAGCCATGCAATTTCCTCCGTGATAATCCATGCCAGCCATGCGCTCTCCCTGCGACACCAGAAGCTTGGCAACGTCGATATCGTTTCTTTTCCCCCGCTAATCGCTCCCAAGAAAGAAAAGTCCCAAAGCCAAGAAAAGAAACCCCCTCGCGCTCGATCGCCTTCTTCTCTGGCAGCCGTTGCGTGATCGTCATTTATCCCCGGCTCATCGGTCATAACAAGTCCCTTAATCTGGGGGAGGATGCGTGAATGTGCCTGATTCGGGAACATCTCCCGGACAGAGCAAGGATCTGGATCAATCGCCCACTTGGTTTAATTAATGATTCGTCTCCCCCACAATAAGGGGGCGCATGCTCATTAAATCGCAAACATTTCTCTCGAAAGCCCATTGATGTTGCAAGTAAAAAGGAAAATTGTTGTTTATTTCGTTGGTCTGGGAGCTTGGAATGGTCGGTTTCAGCTACACCTGCTCTTTCTGGCCTGTTCGCGCGGGTTTCACCGTGCATTGATGGGTAAAGCTCAAATGGTGAAGCTATCAAAACAATCGACTCGCGCTAGAGAATGCAAGAAACATCCTGCACATCATCAAACTTTTTCTAAAATAAATAGATTCAGGTACGCGTACGTAACATGATGTGACAAATTCCCACAAGACCAGTCTAGATCTCGTATAACAAAAACTCGACTTAACTGCTCAATCTCGCCGCTGTATCCGTCACGAGGTTCGCCTTGAAGAGCCCCTGGCTTACAAGGGGTCTTTGGCCCATCAGCATCACGAGCTAAGCTTTGACATGCTCCGGGAGGCCGTAGGGGGCGGGCTGAGCTTCTGAAACATGGAGCTTTTGGTGCTGGAAGGGATGGGATGGATATCGTTGTCGGGGCACATCCTTTGGGGATCCAATGTTGTTGCAGTGGTTGACACTGGCTTTTAATGAATGCCACTTGCCCTCGGTGTTGACCCATTCCGTTTTCCTAGGTTCGCCTCCAACCTTTGCAAACTTGGCTCTTGATTATCTGACATTTTATACTGCAAAAATACATCAACTTCAATCTTTACTGTCACTACTACCAATTCCGTCATTATTCTACTCTACCCTGCGCTATCATGTATCTCGGCTCAGATACTGGCGCCCTCCCTTCCGGCGCCCAGAAATGGGACCTCACGCGAGTCCTCCCCCGGGAAGCCAAGGAAACATGTCACGACGATCTGCAATCAAATACCTGTGAAAAACCCGGCCTGACAACAGGAGAAACCCTAATAGTCCTTCTCATCGCTAGGTAAATCTCATTTTACTTCTTTCATTGTGGTATCGCCAAATACAAAAGAGTCTTTGGCTGACTCTTCCCTCAATCCGCAGTCTCGTCATTGCCCTTGGCATCGTAGGGCTCCTGTGCTTCTTCCACCGCCGCAAACAACGCCTGGATAAGCTCGAAGACCTCAAAGACGTGCAAGAACTCGACGACTACGGCCTCGCGCCCACCAAACCAAAGCCCGTTCAAATGCCCCAAGCACCGCCGCCGACGTACGAAAGATCCCAGGACCGCAAAGCAGATGGAAATTGGGGGAAACCGAACAGGGACTCGACAGATTCGCTAACACCGTCGCTTCGCCAAGCCATGGGCGTAACGCCCCGCGATGCGCTGGCCAATAGCTGATGAGGTGGTTGCTCGATTGGCGGACGTTACAGCGTGTTTTGACGCCTTGGAGGAAGCTACTGCAGCCTGCCGATCATTTATGCATAATGGGAACATGCACCGCACGCATGGAAAGTGGTTGTTTGAGACATGCGCTACCTGCGTGCCATGACCACAATGCGATAACTACAGCTGGCCTTGTAAAGTAAGGGGGCATTAACAATATTTGACAATCGCGAAAGGAGCTGGCATGTGTTTACGATGGCGTTTAGGAGGACAATGTGTACTTGGACGGCGTACTGGGCTTTTATTTCGGTTCCGTGGAGGAAATTGAGCGATTCTGCTGGTCGGTTGGGTCTGCTTTTATCTTTGCCTTGCGCATGACTAGCGACAGTTTCCTTAACAATACGAGAACATTTTTGATGCATAATGAATGCCTCGGCGATTGATCAGCGGAGTTTGGATGATGCCAGTTAGGGTTGACAAACATAGTTTGACATGCACCATAACATACACAAGATCCTTTAATCAACAAAAACGCTTGGCGCATCATTAGAAACGAAGCTAGAGCGTGCATGGTCTAAGTTGGGCAAAGGCTCATGACTCTCGTTGATGAAGAGCCAGAGCCCCGTTATTGGCTGCCGAAGCCGTTCAAGGTTCTTTGTCGTCATCGATAGTCTGGTTGTGGATTTTCTTAAGAGCGTCCAACTTCTCTTCTAACTGTCGAACTCATCCCCGGCAGACAACTGAGACACCAACCCGTGCTGTCGTCACACTTGGTAGCTTTGTTGCGGCGGCCGAGATATCATGAAGTGTGAAGCCTTGGGTGATTTCGTTGGGTGATTGTTTCGTGGTGCTGGATTTGGTATTGTTGAACTCGAATTGTATCAACGGTATGCATTGTTCCCATTTGGCAGGATTTTCCAGTGCTGCTATGGCGACTTCCATACCTCCTGCCATATCGCTGCCATCAGCAATGTGTTCCACAACAGTCGTCCTGCGTCCCTGGCGACGATTCTCTTGGTCGCCGGCTTGATTAATGTATTAGTTCGGCGAGTTTACTCAGTTCTTGTGTCTTCGGAACCTCTGCGTTGGGCCGTTGTCGTTATATTCCCATTGTGCCAGGTCAGCCTTGGGAAACGTGTTTTGGTAATGTACTGCCGTCGCAGCTTTAAAGAAATTGTCTTCTCCTCCAACTTCTCTTGTAATTATCGGTCTCATCTCGGACGTGTATTTGATGGCTTCTACTCGGCTAGACGTAGGATAGAGGTCACCTAGACTGTCATGTATCTGCTGATATATAATGATATAGATATATAAAATATATGATAATTATAGTATTTTATATATCATATTATCCTAATGTTACGTAAAAATATATAAAATATAAGAGTTTATTAGAATTTATATCATCTTATATATACTTTAGAAGAGAAGAGGTTGTCGAAACTTTTGCATACCACTTTATATCCCTTTCCGAAGTCCATTACGAAGCTCTAATCGCACATGGCACTGCATCCACAAGAGAGGCCTTGCAAATGCGAGACTTGCGGCAAGTGCTTTAAACGAAACCCCAACCTTAGGGCACACAAGCGAATTCATACACAGGACAAGCCATTCCAATGCAATATGTGCAATGACCGCTTCAAGTCTAAGGGTGAATTCACGATACATATATCAAGGCGTCTACAAGAACAGTTTCACAAATGCAGTGCGGGATTACACCCAAAGACAAGGCTGACCTCAGAGCACACATCTACTGGCATCTTATTATTACATCGTGGGGTAATCCTGGTGCCAGTCTCCAGTAAGGACAAGGCCTATTACCAGCGTGTAGAATGATCGCGGAAACGATTGTTTAGAAGCCCAACATCCAAGCGTAGTCCCTCAGCATGGAGGCCAGGCTTCGGCCGTGGTCTGAAGCAATTAATACGAAAAATAACGGTTCTTGTTCGTCAATCTGGAAAGGTGCTTTACCATATTGCGCCTTTAATTGCTTGATGATTCTTTGTGTCTGACCATTATCGATCGAGAATCTCCAAATTACGGAGACAGCAGCCATGGTGGCTGCGGACCGGTAGTTTGAGGCCAGCGCTTCAACGCAGCTGGCTGCCAGGATATGACACCATTTCCTTTGAGCAAGTTAAGGTAGTGTATCCTCGCGGCGGTGAAGGTGTGTTCTGACGACAGACCTCACAAATGCGGCACATGTGGTAAGGTGTTCAAAAGATATCCCGAACTCGCTCAACACATGGCAAGTCATTTACAAGACATGCCTTACAAATGCGATAAGTGCACTCTGAGAGCTCCAAGTCTCTCTGGATACTCCTTCTAAGTCCCGACAAGCCCAAAGTCCTTACCAGACACCCCTAAGTAAGTGGCTACCTCTGGTATGTTTCTTTTCCTAACAATCTGCCAGGCCTCAAGTTCCATGCCCCTCCTATCGTGGAGCAGGCAAATTCTCCGGGTACCACAGAAAGAGGCTCAGTCAAACGCAAGGCTACGAGCACCCTGATTACGGATTCATCCAGCAGTACACCTCTTGTCGACCACGAAAGAGCTGTGCGTAGAAGCAAGTATTCAATGGGGCCCAAGAGGAAAACTTTCGAAGACTCAGACGACGACTTTGACGATGATGATCGAGATGCTCAAGTTGCTCGCTGTCTGCAGAATGAAGAATTCAAACAATCGTCAATTGTTCCCCCATCGTTGTCACTACGCCGAAGCAGCCGCCTGGCCACTAATATTCCCACCCAAGCAGCTACTGCAAACACTCTGCCATCAGATTCTCTCACCGCCGCCAAGAAGCCACGTCTTGGTGCAGCAGAATCCGATGTTGAATCTCTTTATACTGACAGTGATCCTGGGGAGCAATTGGACCTTACCGACGATGATGATGCCATGGAGATCTTCCCGCAAGTATATGTCGATGATCAAGGCCTTATTCGTGTTGGACCACAACCAAAGGAGGCCCAGGCAGATATCCAATCGGCTCCACGGGAATACGCAGTAAACCTTCTCGAACGAAGAATAAAGGAGGTACATCAAGCTACCGATACACATCTTCCTGGTAGTGATCCCAGCAAACTACAACAGACAGCCTCCCAACTGCGCAACGAATTACTCTCATCACTTATAGAGTTCGACAAGGGGTGGGTTAAGTATCTTTGCGACTACACTGGTGTCCTACTTCTATGGACCTCTGGACCTCTATCCCTGTCCGTAGAGTCTATATACCCAGTGGTAATATTCGAGAGAAGTCCTGTATACTATGTGTCCCTGGATGTATGTCTCACTATGTCTTATGTGCGTGTCGTTGTGTGACTAACCACTGCGTAATTGAATCTATAAGGATAATGGCCATCGTTTCAGCACGACATGCTTGTATTTTTATGTTGGAGCGTCTCGACTTTATATATCGAGCGCAACCAGATTTATTGATCGTTCTGGTCACGGAGACCGACGTATCAACAACCTCGGCCAGAGCTGACCCGAGGAGTAAGGTTACGAGTTAATTGACGAATGAAGTTTGAGTATACAACTTTGCTTAGACACATGATTGTATCCGCTAACCAGCTCTTAATGTCCCAGGCTGGTAAAGCAAACGTTATTTTACAGAATACTGGCCAAAAAGCCGGCAGCTTGAGACAGACTCAGTGCTTGTTGTTTGTGAGCTTAATAGGACTTGTTCGATGACTTGTAGCTATCGAGTATCATAAGCCTCTCATGCTGACTGTTATATCTATTAATATGGCGTGTCTTGATATCTAAATTCTCCCCCTTTCAAGGAACGCCTTGGGTACCTCAACGTATCGACTCCTCAAATACTCGCCAATACCCTTGCCCAACCCATCAATACGATCTGACGAGGCAATACCACCATTCAAGTTATCCAAAACTCGGCTTTACAGCAATTAGTTCTCTCAACTTGCTTCAAATAGGGGCAGACTTACAAATGCACAGCATTGATACCAGGGAACTCAACCCGCTCAACCCTCCGGTCAGGATTTCCCTTGAACCAATCATCCCCGAATAACTGCTTCAGCTTCGAAACAGTCAACAGATTCCTCAACCAGGCGTACTCATCGTCGTTCCGCACAAAGAATCCCACATTGGAATTGTCACCCTTGTCGCCAGACCGCGCATGCACGACACTCCCCAGCGGCGCCCACTCCGTCGGTCCGAAGGTGAGCATGTCCACCGGTCCGTGAGTCTCCGTCGACGGCCGCACGATGGGATACGTCGCTGTCTTTGCAGGCGGTTCCACGCGGTGCGAAGCACCTGTGCTCATCTCCACGCGGTGGTCGATGGCCGACACTGGCATCAGCGCGGGGAACATCTCCATGAAGGGCTTGGGAACCATGGTTCTGAAGTCGAGGTTCATGTGGTAGCCGGGATAGCTCTGCATGCGGAGGGCGTAGATGGGTACTTTGAACTTTGAAGCTTCAATGTCTTCTTTCCGACGGGCCTGGGCGAAGACACGCAGGGAGACGGTGCCTGCTTGTTGCGATGTGGGGTTCCCAGCGGGTGTGCCGTATAGCTCGATACTCAGACGGCTGAAGTTGGAGTCTTTGAACATGTGTGCTAGTTGGGCCTTCATCATAGCTGCTTTCTCAGCTACATCGAGACCGTTGATGTAGAATGTTGCTTCAGCTTGGAAGCCGCCCTTTGCAGCGATCATGACCTTCGCGGTCGCAGGCGGAGCAAAGCCCTTTACACAAGAGACTGAAACGCGATTCGGCGATTCTTGCTCAACCTTGACTCCAGAAAGATCAGCCACGACGTCGGGATTCAAGTATAAATGGCCCTGGAGCTCGTAGAGTAACTGGGCCGTGACAGTCTCTTTCGTAACGCGTCCGCCGCCGTCACCCGTTCGACCGATCGTACAACGCCCCTTTTGGTTGATCTCAGCAATCGGAAATGCAATGTCCACAAGCTCAGGTAGAAAGTCCTTGAAGCCAGAGAAGTTGGCTCCAACGACGTAGGGGCCGCATTCGATGAGGTGGGCTGCTAGCAGAGAACCGGCCAGCTCCTCGTACTGATCTTCCCGCCAGCCGTGATACCACGCTGCTGCGCCCATGACGGGGGATGCATCTGTGCAACGACCGCAGATGACTATCCTTGCACCAGCGCGAAGGGCCTGAACGATGCCCCAGCAGCCGATATACGCTGTTGCGCAACACGGTTCAAAGCCCCACGAATCAAGTGTTTGCTCTGGATGATCAAGATGCGTAATCTGGGCACTCCGCCTCTTCTCTCTATCCATAACGACCTCTGAGACATCATCGCCGAGGACCTTGGCAACCACGCAATCGCCATAGCCTCTCTTCTCACAAAGCTCTCTGACCTTGTCATACAGGGCATCTGTGTTGAGGGCGCCAGCGTTAGTCACGACGCGAATATCGCGCTGCATGATATCATCCAGACACTCGTCGAGCTGCTCAAAGAAACCATTCTCGTAGCCCAGGTTGGGGTCGACTTCCTGCTTTGTGATTGCGTTCCAGGCGATGTTCATCTCAGAGAGCCAGTCGCCCGTGATGACATCCACGTTGCCGGAGCTTACCATGCGGGCCATGGCGTGCGGGTGGTCACCTGTTGCGCCAGAGACATTTCCGATGCGGATGGGTGGTCTGTCGAGCATTTTGGATGTGTGTGAGATGAGTTGAAGTGAGGTGAGGTGAGGTGAGGTGAGATGAGATGTGAAGTGGTGAGTTGAGGAGATGAGAGTTGGAGAGATGAGAGTTGCAGCTCTATTAAGAAACACTTTGTTGAACTTGTAAACTATCGGAATAAAGATATGTTCCTTTTGTGTATTACCTCAAGATCTTCGAGATGAGTAAGTTATCTCATGACATCTGCATTGAATGGGTTGTGGATTAACGGACTCGGCGCCGAGAGGTGATCCACTTACACGGTTCGTCTGCGCTCGGTTTCGGCGACCGAGTCCGTTGCAGTGGGATCTGCAATTGAGAGCCAGGGTTGGCACAAATATTACTTGTAACTTAGAACGAATAATATTTCTTTAATTTGATTGGGTTCGGCGAACTGAAAGAGCTGGGGTTGGTTTGTTGGCCGGGAAGAGTTGGCTTGGGACAGTCTATTTCTATTGAGACGAGATTGAGATTGGTCTTTATGAGACATGGTTCAACGCAGCTTGTCGTGGTCATATGATTCTTGATTCTGGTTTAGGTTGCTTCTGAATAGCATATAGCTGTATAAACATTATCAATCCAAATAATCTCCCACATGATCAAGTATACCAATATTGTTAGTAAAACCTATGGGTATCATCCCCCAAACCAAAGAACCACTCCTGAGAAAGCTGCGATATCGCATCATTATGGAACTCATCCAACCCAAGACTCTGCAGATCCCCAAAACAATCCCTAAACGTGCTATCAACCGTCATATTCGCCAAGTCCGCAGAGAACGGCGCAGTATTCACCGCCGCCGCAACGCTCATATCGGTGGTGTGGCTCGGCGTCGACGCCTCAACTACATCCGCCACCACGGCATCGCTTAGTCTGTCGAAGAGATCGGAGCAGTTCCTCGCGAGATCCCATCTTTCTGACACGGCGACTAGAACTTTGGAGCAGGCGCGCGTATCGTTGACGACTTGGTTTATCGTAGGCGTTCTGTGTAACCTAGCTCGTCTTGGTTCTGAACTTGCTAGATGTAACGCTTGGAAGTGATGTCGTAGAGCGAATATATATGATAATCCGGCTAGGAATACAGGATGCATCGTTATCCATGAGTAATTCATCTTCCGCGATCGATGTAGACTGGCATACAGACTAATAGCCTCCCGCGCCGAGTCGAAAACATTCTGCAGCGCAAGATTATTCACCGACGCGTCGTTCAAGCACGGCGACGGCCGGAAGAGCATAAGCACACCATTATGGTACAAAAGCCGATACCACTCCTCACAGCGAAAACTAGACCCGCTCGCTGGCGAAGCAGCAGCCGCATCGCTTTTGACAAGGGGAAGGTTCGCTGTCTCTGTATGCCACTCCTGCAACTCCCTCGCCAGCGCAGTTCGCATCTCTTCGTAGCTTATCACAGCAAAGGTAACGTGTTTGGCGCTTCGGTGTAGTGCATTTATGATCTTGCCGCATATGAGACGGTAGCGAACGATGTGTACAAAGACTGATGTCGCGGCGCGGTATTGTGGTGTTCCGTAGGGTGCTGATGAAAGAGGGCTACCGTCCTGAGGAAGTTGATCGAGTGTTGCTGATAATGGGAGGTCGACGTCGATGTCTTCGAGCTGAAGTGCCAGAGGACGACCAAGGGCAAGACTCGTCACGCGGTCGAGAGCGACAAGACTCCAGAAACATCGCCTTTTTGTCTCCATCTCTTCCTCCTTGGCTTTGCGATTCGGATCATCCTCGTTTGTCTGGGGTAATGCGTAAGTAGCAGCTCGATGGAGGCCCATCTCTAGACATGTCCGCGCAGCAACACCGATGAGGTGCCAGACACTCGTGGTAGTATTGCTCGATGTAGTTCCCATTCTGTACTGACACACCAACAGCAGAGCCTGTAACCTCTCAATGCCATCCCGAGCAAGAACATCCGCCAACATGGTCATGGCGCGGTTGTAATGCGTCTCAGCATCATAAACGCCATTCCAGTTGAACTTGTGGACTTGGGCTGTGCCTATCGCGAGGGTCATGTCAACGAAGAAGGCATCCACCGGGTCCTTCTCGCGACCTTCTTCGTAAACCGCGTCCAGGGAGCGGTAGAGAGATTTGATGGAGAGGAAGGGGTAGCAGAGGTGGTCATGGCTGCAGTATGCTTTGAGGAGCTCCGATACGAGACTCTTGGGTGGTAAGCCTGAGCTTCCTTGAGGGGAAGAGAGGTCTGATATCGAGGTTGGTTTCCATCCTGATGAATGAAGAGACGATGGAGGTTGTGGGCGCGACTGTAGTAAATTCGCGAGTAAAAGACCACTCGTCGAACCAACAAAGTGATGTCCTCCACCTGCAATGAGACTCATCTGAATGACCTCCTCAGCAACCTCCCCATCCCCAGGCGGACTCGACCCATTGAGCTGCGTCGCAGGCGACTCCTCTACCTCCCTCTGCCTCTCCCTCGGCGTAGCCGTCCCGTCGCTACGAAGCTGCGCCGACAACGTCTCGTTACTAGCCTGCAGCTCCCTTATCCTCCTCTCCAGCTTCTGCGTATTCCTCCTACGCAGCTGATGCTCACTAACAGCGTACTCGCACGCCACGCCGGCTCTTTTGCAGAGGCCGCATTGCGGCTGGATCTTGTCGCAGCGGACTTTGCGACGGTGACATCTGTCGCAGGCGGTTGAAGGCATGGGCGGCGATGGAGGCCGCGTTCGGTGGGTGACGCCGTGGAGATGGAGAGGAAAAAAGATGGGACCCCCCGCTTGAGAGGCAGAGGAGAGGGGAGTTATGGGGCTTCGGTTGGTGAAATGTAGACTAAACAAGCTTAATTGTTACCTTAATCCTGACTCGTGGGGTTGGGATTGTCTGGGTAGTCACATTGGATGGGATAACTGCATCCTTCTTTGAGTAGTATTTTGATTGTATAACCTCAATGTCTGTCCGTACCTATGCTAAGTCCAGTTACCAACAAATTGATCTATTCAGAAAGTGCATTTACCATTTCTATTCCCTCGATGGAACCTCCTTCGGATATCGTTACCCTCGCTCTCATTCACAGCATCATTCTTGACTCGATAGTAACTATTTTTCATCCTCATCGCACCCATCCCTAGTCCTTAAATAGCGTCTTGGCATACACCATTCGGCGCGCGGCCCCGTCGCCGAACATGACATGCCATCCCACACAAGCAACACATTGGTGATCCCCTCAACAATCCCCGCCCCCCGGATATCTGGGAATCTGGGGTAAACCCATGCGGGGAACAGACTTGGGTCAAGATTCTAGTTCAAATACCACTACATCCCCCCCTGCCCCAGAACAATCCCAACCATCTCATCCTCTCATCCTCTCATCCTCTTCTTTCTTTTAAGTTACATTGAAAGAGCTTGGTTAACTATGGCGGCACCTCAAGAGCAGAAGACCATGACTGGTGTTGACACCCTTGATAACGAGAAGCAGAATGCGGCTCATGAGGAGTTTTCGGCTGAGATTCTTGATAAGAAGGGTAATGGCGATTACTCTGGTGCTACAGCGAAGAGTGACCCTGAGGAGATCAAGTTGGTGAAGAAGCTGGATCGTTGGATCATGGTGAGTTACTTATTGCGACTTCAAGTCATCATTCTGAGTCCTAACAACGAATAGCCCACCCTTTGGGTCATGTACTGGCTCAACTACCTCGATCGTAATGCCATCACCCTCGCCCGTCTGAACGGCTTTGAGGAAGACCTTGGACTCGAAGGCTCACAGTACAGCACCTGTGTATCTATCCTCTTCGTCGGATACATCCTGGGCCAGATCCCCAGTAACATGATCATCACCCGTGTCCGGCCATCGTGGTACATGGGCGGTTTCATGATGGCCTGGGCTGTCGTCAGTTCTCTCACAGCCGTGGCCCACAACTACACCGGCGCCATCCTCACGCGATTCTTCCTCGGTGTCGTCGAGGCTCCTTACTACCCCGGTGCTCTATACATGCTATCGACATTCTACACCAGAAAGGAACTAGCTACACGAATCAGCATCCTCTACTCCGGCAATGTCCTTGCGTCCGCATTTGCAGGCCTCATCGCCGCCGGTGTCTTTGAAGGCATGGATGGCTTGGCAGGTATCAAGGGCTGGAGATGGCTCTTCATCCTGCAAGGCGCTGTCACTTTCCTCGTCGCCATCGTGGCTTGCTTCACACTCCCCGACACGCCGTTGACTACCCGATGGCTCACCCCTGAGCAGCGCCAACTCGCCCACGACCGCGTTCTTCGAGACACAGTCGGCGAAAAGGGCAACGGAAACCCCTGGAGCGGACTCCGCGAGGCACTTGTTGACCCTCGAGTCTGGGTGTTTATCATCCTGCAGCATCTACACCTGGCCACCAATGGTTTCAAGAACTTCTTCCCTACCATCGTCAACACACTCGGCTTCAACACCACTATCACCCTGGTTTTGACCTGTCCTCCATTCCTGATCGCCGGGGCCCTCTCCATTCTTTGGGCCAAATCTTCGGGACACTTCAACGAAAGCACTTGGCATATTACCATCTCCAAGATCGTGGCAACCTTTGGTTTTGTCCTCGCCTGCTCGACCATGAACGTCGGTGCTAGATACTTCGCCATGTGTATGTTCACCATCGGCACTTACGGCGTCAACTCCATTCTTCTGGCCTGGGTAGGCAACACTTGCGGTCAGACGACTGAGAAAAAAGCGTCGGCTTTGGCACTCGCAAACGTGAGCGCGACTTTGAGTCTCATCTGGACCCCTTATCTATGGCCCAAGTCTGATGCGCCTCGATATGTTCTGCCGCTTTCGAGCAGTGCCGCCTTTGCTGTCGCTTGTATTGCTGGAGTTTGGCTTATGCGGTGGATGTTGATTAGAGCGAACAGGAAGATCAGACAGAGTGATTCCGAAGCTACTCTATTCTACGCCTACTAGGTAAAGAGAGGAATGCTGATGAAGGCATCGTCACACTTGGGTGAGGACCCAGATGATTGGTTGGTCCGGACTCGGTGGGTCCCAGCTCTGTACAGTGTCTAGGTGTGTGTGTAAAAGTTCAGACAATTTCCTCTATTTTACAATTTATATAAGATTAAATAAATCATTATAAGCTCTTTTTAATTTATACAATTTTATATAATATTTGTTCTAAGAATATGTATAAAAACTTCTAACTATAACGTATTTCATATAATCTATTCTAATATCTTTTTAGTCTATATAATTTTATAAAATATTTCTTCTAAGAATATATATAAAATCTTCTAACTATAACGTATTTTACATAATCTATTCTAATATAAGTATCTCTTGTTAGATTGTTGTTGGAACCTTTATATGAAACTATTTATCCAGAAGTGTACCACTAAGAGCGGCCACCTTAATATACTGCCTCTAGATATCTTATATATACTAGATTTTTCTTAAGTTTATCTTGAAAGAGCAATGATATATGTAGCCTCAAATATTTCAATGCCTTATCAGGTCATCTACACCAGATTTGACAATATGAGGGCGATAACTTAATGCAGGAATCTTAGTGTTTAACACATTCTGAATCTCTGGAGGCAAGCTGGCCCATAGACTTAAGGATTTATCAGTGAGCTATATAAATAATTAGAGGGGATAACTTACACTTCGTTGAAGTGTTTTTCAACATGCTGGAGGAGATTAATCTGCCCATCGAGACAATTATTGGCGGCATTCTCCATAATTTGCTTTTAATCGCTGCCAAGCCTTTCTGAGGATATCGTCAAGAGTTGTTTTATCTTGGCTAATAAGTCGGTAGATACTCGATTTAGTGTCCTAGATTGATCTGAGACTCTAGAACTTATTGATAGTGTCGTTAATGGTAGGGATCTTGGGAGTGGTTGTCGCCATTGCCAATGTAAGGAGTGAGGATGGTGGGAGGGTACTGCGAGGGTTAAAAGGGATTCTTCGGCGAATCGTGGTAATCTGATGTGGTAGTCAGAAATAATGTTACTGAATTGTTCAATACCGGGCCACAACGGCCACAGCGTATTTCGAAAGTCTTCCACAGACGGGGGTAAACGGAGGAGATGACAATTGGGCGGTGATGGTAGTAGTAGAATAAGAGGAATACGGCTAGGAAAGTTGTTTTCAAGATGATAGTAACGACAAGATACAACACAAGCTGGAAGGCAAAGGTAATGTGCTGGACAGTAAAAAGGGGCATGTGGGTGCGTGGAAAGTTTGTATGTGCCCTAAATGTCCTAAGTAGAAGGAGCTCCTTCCTTTGCAACATAGGTATGATAAGATATTTTGCAGCCCACGATTTCAGCTCTCTGCTAATCAGACCTTGTTTGAGATTACTGGAGTCTTTGATATTATGCTGTTCCTCAAGAGATTAATCGTTGTAGTTCTCAACACCAACTGGCTTTTGCGCAGGCTTTTACTCCTTGACTATTCATGCAATGCGTATTATAATGCGTCCTCATGTAGGCTTCTTGTTTAACTTATCACGTTGGAATACGGGCTCATGGAGTATTATTAAATTCTAATAAAGCAATATCTATTCTGATTACCATATCAGATTACCACAATTCGCCCAAGCCTCCCTTTTAACCCCAGTGCCAAAAAGACAACATAGTACCGGTACCTTGAACGATTTAACCGAAAATATCAAGATGTACCAACTCCCACCATGGCTCCTTGATAAGCAGCTCCTTAGGGTCGAATTTATGGATTAGGATTCGGAATAGATCCTCTACTGCTGGTGCATGAGGAACAAGAGCAACTTCAAAGATGCGTAGCTGTTCAATACTAATATCATCCCATAGAAACGATTCACCAGGTAGGCAATCCCACTCGTGAAGCTTTCCAGTGCGGATCTTTATACCATGGATATCGCAGATCATCTTTCGAATAGAAGGTATGCCAGTTAGGTATGATCGCTGACGAGTCTGCCACCAAGGTATTGCAGGGACCCAACGACGGACTGGAATACCATTGAGGTTGCTATTAAGTTCAGTATTAAGAAACAAAGAATAATGACTTACCGTCGATTCTTAGCTAAGGGGAAAGTGACAGCACCAGCCCTCCCCCATTTAAATAGCAGACCATTCTTCAAGTGGAAGAAACTGTTAAATGGCTTCTCGCATGCGAAAGCGAGACGCCGAGAAGCAAGCACAGCGCAAGCAAAAGAAGTAGACTACGCACGAGGAACAGCAAGAGATAATCACGACCAGCAGCTAGCTGAAGAGAGTGCTGCAGTCGATGACTAGTTTCTTCCTGAGTAGTAGGTTATTACTCAGTATCAGATTTCGGAAAGTAATGTGGGCAGGAATAGTGCTTGTTTTTGGTCTTTATTTGGAGTTTCAGTATTAAAGAATACTTTTATAGCTTGCAACCACGGAGATTACCACTATTATTTAGCACAACCCCGAATTAGTTTTATACGCCCTCATACTAGTGGACCCATTGTGCTGTTATCTCGGTTTGAGCAGATACATAACAGTCTTAGTGACCTCTATCTTACGTCTAGCCAAATAGAAGCTATTAGTTACACGTCCGAGATGAGACCAATAATTGGAAGAGAACCTGGAGGAGAAGACGAATTCTTTAAAGCTGCGACGGCAGTCTTAACACTAGCGACAAAACAAATTGGACTTTACAATATATTCAAGACTGCTCAAGTTCGTGCTACACGTACAATCTCCTTCACACTGCTATTCAATCGTCTTCTGGCTTCTCTTCTTTTCTTCTCCCTCCGACGTCGCCGCCAACCCCTGCCTATCTCAGAACGCCTAAATCCGCAAATCCCGGATCGTGCTAGGTATAATATTTGATCGAGGTATGGTGGTTTCTTCTCAGAGTGTGTGCTCATGTCCAAGTCTCCCGCGATCATACGGGTAAGACAAACGAAAATAAAAAGGGAATACGCATGGTTTGTTTTGGGGGATATCACAAAAGATGCTTCATTTACAGAGTCTCGAGCTTGTCGAGGATGGCCTTGGTGAACTGGTGAGTGGTGGAGGAACCGCCCATGTCAGGGGTGCGGACCTTGCTATAGGATTGTTAGCTCTGTGCTGAAACAAGTGAATGGTGCCTAACTTACCCATCAGCGATGACGGCGTAGGTGGCCTTGGAGATGCGGTTGGCATGCTCGTCGAGTCCGAGATGTCGGAGCAGCATGCTGCCGGACAGGAGCATAGCAGTAGGGTTAGCCTGGTCCTTACCCTTGATGTCAAGACCGACGTGACGGCAACCGGGCTCGAAGACGGCGACCTCACGGCCCATGCTGCAACCAGGGACGATACCGGGGCCACCAACAAGGGCAGCGCCAATGTTGGACAGAATACCACCGTAAAGGTTAGGCATGACCATAACGTCGAACTGCTGGGGGCGAGAGACAGCTTGCATGGAGGCGTTGTCGACAATCATGTCGCCAACCTCGAGGGTAGGGTACTCCTTGGCGACCTGGTGGAAGGTGCTGCGGAAAAGACCGTCGGCAAGCTTCATGATGTTGGCCTTGTGAATGCAAGTAATCTTGGATCGACCGTTGGCGAGAGCGAAAGAGAAGGCGAACTTGGCGATACGCTCAGACTTGGCGCGGGTAATGATCTTGAGGGACTCAACGACACCCTCGACGCTCTGGTGCTCAAGACCAGAGTACTCACCCTCGGTGTTCTCTCGGATGATGCACAGGTCGACGTCCTTGTGGCGGGTCTCGTAGCCGGGGATGTTCTTGATCAAGCTGATGCTGGCGTAGATGTCAAGCTCCTGTCGCATGGCAACGTTGAAACTCTGGTGACCGGATCGGCTGATGGGGGTGTGGAGGATACCCTTGAGACCGAGCTTGTTGCGCTTGAGGGAAGCGACAGACTCGCGGAAAGCATCCTCAGTGCGGCCGGCGCCCTCCATACCAGAGACCTCGATCTGCTCCCACTCAACGGGGACGTTGTCGGCCTTGAAGACGGTCTTGACGGACTCGGCAACCTCGGTACCGATACCGTCACCGGGGATGAGGGTGACAGTGTACTTGCCGCCATACTTGGCAGGCTTGAAGATGTCGGACTGGATGGTGGCGAAGGATCGGGCGAGCTGAGGTTGTTGCTTGGCGACGCCGCGCAGCAGCTGAGTGTAAATGTTAGCAATAAGTCCAATTGAGTGTTGATGTGGTTGTGTGATCCATCAGAGCCATTTGCGCGCTGTGGCTCTTGTCCCGCAAGTATGTCCCTCCCACCAAAACTCCAATTTTCGCTTCTCGTTGTGTCGCGACGATGATCATGACATGGTGCATGCCGTCACTCGCTGCCACAACAATCCATTCGCTAACAAGCATTCCTCCCCATAACCCACAACGCAACACCAAATGACCACCATGACGCACAAAGAAAAGCACAAACATCAAAACGTACCTGGGCCGATCGAAGAGAGCCTCGAGACAACATGATGACGGTGGGGTATCTAAAAAGAAGAGAGGAGAGCTTTCTTAGGAGGGGGAGTCAAAGGTGAACCGAGGCACCGCGCACGAGGAGAGAGGAAGAGAAGGGAAAGAGAAGATTGAGTAGGCACGGGAGGGTTGAAGAGGAGGAAGATGTTTTTAGAAACAAGAGGTTAAGAAGAAAGAAGTGCAAGCAAGAGCAAATACAAATGCAAATCGCGCATGGCCCCTTCCGTTTTCTGTCCCCGTTGCCCAAGGTTCCCACGGGTAGCCCAAATGGCCCAGAAATGGCCCTGGCTACTGGCCTCCACTGCCTGAATTGACTTGGCTTGGTGGTCGCATTGGCCGAACCTCTCCATTACCGAGACTTTTTTCTCTCTCTTTTTTTCGGCCGCCGCTCGGAAAACGCGATTGTTCCGAGCTGTCACTGGCTGGGTGGGGATTTACGCCCGGAGCCTTAGTCTACAACGAGTAGCTTATGGGGGGTTTTCCTCTGTCAACCCGGCTCGGCCGCTAGATTTTACTGCTTTCTTAGGCTTAGCTTACAAGGGCTGGACCGAGCTTTGGACGCAAACGACGTCACAAAAATACTGTCAAGTAAATAACATAAGCCAATGCTGAATTAATAGCTTCATGTTTATGTCTATTTAGCCAGGCTTGTTTCAATCTCACTTCTCATACACTTATACCCGCTGTAAATAGCTTTTTCAAACCTCTGCAGACATATCATGACGACCATGAAATAACAAGCTCTATTCCTCATGTGGAGCCTTTCTGCGGGTCGAACAAAACTTGGCGCAGTGTCAGGTTTGGTTGCTGCTCGGAGTTCGTACTTACGAAACTCTTACAGGTAGAATGCTCCGAAACTAGCATCGACAATAGAAAGCAACCGGATTCATTAACATCACTTCTATGTTATTCAGTAACTCAAACACAATCGGTTTCGCTAACAACTCCAACAGCAATAGTCAATAACAACCATGATATTTTCCACAGCAGGCAGACCAAATACCGCCGGATTCTATCTCGAAATCAGACTCACATCTACGTTATAGCGGTATTCACAACCGTGACAGATCTTATTCGTACCTCGTCCTCATCCTAACCCCTCATGTATCATCAACTCGCCAACTGGTGCTCATAATCATCATAACATGCCATATACAATGCCAGACCGAACTCCAAAAAGACCTTATTGCGCTCTCAAACACCTGGCTTACCATACAAGAGACGGCTGTTAAACTTGGGTTCCCTCATCCTCGTCCAAAGGCTCAACTCTCACCAAGATTTCTTCGAGAAGTCCTTCGAGAAAACTACCAACCTCTCTGCCCATTCCAACAGGCTCGGCCTTATCGTAATGATCAATTTCCTTGCAGACGTGTGCCAACTTATACACAAGCTTTCGTAGTTTCTCATGTGCAGCCTCTGCCCGTTGCTGTTGGGGTGTAATTTGAGCTGGATTCTGTCCTGGTTTGTATACGTGTTGAAGGCTGATCTGCCGCCGCTTAAGCGCCTCTTCGAGTGCTGGAAACATGACATCGTTCAGCGCGTCGAGCTCGCCATTTGGATTAGCTGGCGCGGGTGCAGGGAAAGCTGAGGGAGCGGAAAAGTCAGACGGACTCGGCGATTGCGAATGAGCTTTCGGTGGAAGAGGTCGAGGACCCTGTGCTCCCCCTGGAAGTGGCACATGAATTTGCGGTGCAGGAGAGTGTTGCAATGAAGGAACTCTTGACTTTGTGGCAGATTGGTTAGGTCTGTACGGGGGTATCTCTGGTAGGCTCATCTGCTTCGTGGTCGTCGGTCGAACAAGATGCGTTGGCGGAGCAGGTGGTAATGACCAGTGTGGTGGCTCGAGCTGCGGGCTGGCTCTACTCTCATTCCGCGGCTCATAGCCTATGTTGAGCATGCCAATGTCGCGCTGTAGTTGACTTTGTAGCTCACGATCATACTCAGGAGACTCATCCACGGGCGCAGGAGGCATTGGCCTTAACGGTCGAGGAGTATCGGCGTTATCTCTGGCAGGTAGTTTTAAAGGGGTCTGAGGTAATGCTCTCACTGGTGATTGAACCGGTGGCTGGTATTGTGACTGTGGAACAGCCTTTCGTTGTGGGCTCGACTGCCTCGAACCTGGGTTGGGCGCCTTGACAGTCTCGAGTGATTGAGGTGCAAGATCTCGCAACTTGGTTGGGCTGCCATCACGTCGTTGCTCGCCATAATCTTCTTCGATCTCAAGTGGCCGAGACGAACGTGCATTCGTCGCATTCTCATCCAGTGCATTGAGACCTGGTCGGTTAACAATGCCTCCGCGCTCGCCAACAAGTCTAACGGTGCCAAAATCCCACATGTCCTCGTCAACTCGCTCACGTTCTGCAGGAACTCGTCCACTATGAGATGCATCCCAGTTGTCGTCGTCCTCTCCCTTATGTGTGGCTGCCCAGCGTGTGTGTCTTTCGATGAGCTCTGTCAGATATGTCGTCCGTTTGGCCCGTCTAATAAACGGGTGACGCAGCATATCCCTAGATGTCGGTCTGTCTTTGGGATCTCGCTGGAGACATAACTCAACGAAGTCTTTGAAGGCCTTGGTAAAGTTGCCTTCGAGTCGCGGGGGAGGGTTTTTGGGGATCAAAAAGAGAACCTTCATAGGATGAATGTCCGCATAAGGCGGCTCTCCGTTTGCCAGTTCGAGAGCCGTGATGCCAAGGGACCAAATATCGGCCTTGTGATCATACCCAGATTGCTTAATGACCTCTGGTGCCATCCAAAACGGTGTTCCGACAAAAGTATTCTTCTTTGTCATAGTTGCAGAGAGCTGACCCGAAACGCCAAAATCAGCGAGCTTGACCTGCCCATTGCTGCTGAGAAGCACGTTGGCAGCTATAGGTGATTAGCTATGAGCGAGAAGTAGGTGCAACCATTCTTACCTTTGATATCTCTGTGGAGCTTTTTATCTGTATGGAGGTAGTCCAGTCCCATGAGCAGCTCGCGCACTATGATGGCAATGTAGTCCTCTCCGATCAGTCCTGGCTTCATCAGGTCGGCGCAACTTCCACCTGAGCAGAACTCCATTACAATCCATAGCTCTGCACCCTTGGCGTATGATCCATAGTACTTGGTGACATATGGAGATTGTAACTCGGATAGGATAGCGATTTCCTGAATGATGTCCTCGACTTCGTCTTCGGCACTCTCTATATCGATAACTTTGATCGCAACAGCCTGGCCCGTTCGCTTGTCGACTCTGGTATCGTGTTAGCTAGAAACTCGAGCATGGGCGTCTTGGCTTTATTGTCCGTACCCTTTATAAACTTTGCCGAAACTGCCTCCTCCTGCGCAATGTCAGTATAACTTTTTATTTGACCTTGCGATCTAGTGTCACTCGGCACGCGATCACGTCGAGACTGACCTATGCAGTATTCCTTCAAGTAGAGGACCTCTGGATCCAGCGCTTCGTTCCCCTCTTCAACTTCATGCTCGCGATCCGCCATTGTGTGTTTTGTTCGTGAGGGAGCTTCCTCTCTCAGGGCTGCAACGTTATGACTGCTCCACGCTCGGTCGATGTTGATATTCGAAATTTGGTTGATTTCTGAGCAGGCCAAACCGTAGGGTTTCAACCGACGGGTATACCAGACCCTCCTCAGGTCAATCGTTATCGGAACAGCGCGTGACGTCGAATCGAGGGAGCTTCAAGTGGAATTTCGTGGTTTGGCGGTGTCGCTCAGCGGCAACCCCACCACTAAAAAGAAGTGTCGTTTCGTCTCGGACCGTGCTCGTGGAAATCACTTGTCTCAACTTTGCGATATGTCGCGTGGCAATGAGAGTAATAATAAAGAAAAAAGAAGGGGGAAATAAAATGGGAGATTACGATGTACTCAAATAGAAGGGAGACGAGGTGAGAAAAGAAACGAGCTGGTCGCACAACGCAGCCAATCGCCGTCTACGCAAGGGAAAGAATCAACATGCAGCCAAAACAAGCAGGCGCAAGCTAGAGAAAGAGCAATGAATGCACGGCAAGCTAACGTTAGTACCTTCCCACTATGAAACGGCTGGCTGGCTCTGGCTCAATGTTGCTGTTTACCTTTGGTCTTGCCAGGGCAGGTGGGGGTTGTTGAGGAGCAACCGCCCATCCTTCCTTGCCAATCAATCCATGGCACGCATCGAACGAATCGATCTGCTCATGGCCGTTCCTGGTGCGACCCTCAACCCCCTGTAAGTGGCCGCCCACAGAGGGAGGGGTCGCTAGAATCCTCCCACCTCCCCGCACCTGAGAGCGAGATCTTCAACTAGGAACTATGGAACCTAGGGCGTGGCCTTGACCAACCTCTAGAAACTGTTCCGAGGCCAATTATCGTCTATGTAATTTATAGAAGTATTTGGAACTTATGGAGCTCGTATTAGAGCATCTATGTATGACAACTTACAGAAGGACCCATTGAACCAAGTAGCTCATGACTTCTCTTATCATGATTTTGGAGTATCGATGGATGCTTTTGATAGGTGGTAACGTATGTTAGCTGGACCAAACAACGAAATTAGCTCTTGGATACCACTTACGAACAAGTCAATGCAGCCATGTGCACTAGACTAACAGGTAAGATTACCTTTTTATCGCCTGCATTAATGAATGTCTAAATAATTAGGATGCAGTTGCACTCGACTACTGTACACTGTGCTGGGGACACTTGGTAAGATTGGTGCATTCCTTCAATTCCCTGCGTTCATTTGTCTTCATTTGTCATTCCATGTCCTGCTACCTTACATTCGCTCAAAATCGAGCTGTCTAAATAAAGATAGTAACCTCCCATTCCCGCCTTCATGATAATAATCATTCCAAACTAGAATGATGCTCATAAGGGTTCATAACCTGCCTATCCCGCTAGCCGCAGCCAGTCCAATTCCCAGGGCTCCGATATGATCTATCTACAAATGCCTGATGTGGTCCCGCCCAAAGAGAAACGAATCGCCATGTCGAGTCAACGCCATTTCTAGCTCAGTCTTCAATGAACTCGATCATAACCGTCCCCTGTTTCAGTCCTGTGTCTACAATGGTCGCATCCATACTCTCAATGAGATCCTGGCCAGCTGGCATCTTCTTGAGCTCGAACTCAATCCCTTCCTTGCCTTCCAAAGGCTCGGCCTTGAGCCATTCGTAGATTCTGCGGACTTGGTCATCAAGGTTGAATCGGCGAATGACACGGCCGGTAGGGTGTCGGAACTGAATGCGTGTCGTAGTTGTTGGGTCAGCTTCAGGTTCCGTATGAGGGTTTGAGCTAGATATTTGGGCCCAAGGACTCTGCTCAACCGGCGCTTCAGGTTCCTTGCCCTTACCGGTCTCTTCGGGGGCAGGCGTTTTAGTCAAAGCATCAGGGTCGTGAAGATTAGATGTCGAAGAGCCTCCACTTCCAGAAGCACCCTCTAGACTGTTCTTCAAAGCCATTTCCAGCATCTCATCCTCGGTCATGCGCTCAACGTCCACTCTCTGAGGCTTGCGTGCTGTGGACTTGGCTACTGGGTTCTTGCTGTTGGCTGCAAGACTGTAGCGGTCGAGGAATTCAGCTAGCTCGGCGTGAAAGTCTTGAGCGGAAGGGAAGGGTCTTCCGGTCCAAACCTTGACCTGCTCACCCGTTCGAGGGTCAATGATAGAGACATGAGGATAATTATCGGGGTTTTCATGTGTCTGGTTGGGGAAGTAGAAATTGACAAACTCCTCGGCGTCCGGAAACTGCTTGTCGTATTGCAGGAAAATGAAGTTTTCTGCGACGAGGTCCTTCACATCTTGATCTTTCCAGATGTCGCGGTTCAAAGCCTGGCAGTTAAAGTCGTTCATATCCTGGAGATTAACCATGATCCACTTCTTATCTTCCTTGCCGAGGGTACGCGCCTCGTCCCATGACATTCGTGCCATGAGGTCGTAAGGTGGTCGAAACAAATCCTCAAGTCGTCTTGCATGAGCTCCATTCTCAGCCGGCTGAGTAGAACGGCGTTCCGGGTCGGCCCATATTTGCTGAGAGAATGGTCCTCCCGCACGATTGGCTATTACATTGTATCAGTTTGAGCTCATTGTATATTTCCAGGAATACTCACGTGGATTTGCCCGCCGTCTTTGTCTCAACTGTTCGAGGAAAGCGGCCTCCATTCCATCGTCGTTCTCACCACCACCCCAGCCGGGTGCCACCAAAGTCTCAGTAGTCCGTGCGATTGGGGCTCGTACGTCATCTGGGTTTACTCCTGATCCAGACCCTTGGTTGCCTTGGTATAACTCTTCCTGCAAGCGCTTCGCCATCGCCATGTCTTCCTCCTCTTGAGCAAGGGCAGCTGCCTGGGCAGCGACAGCTCTGTCGTTATCGTCTCCATTGTCGCTAAAGTCATCGAGTTGCATATCCTGGTCATCATCGCTATCTATGTGGATGACCCCCGCCGAATCTTGTCTGCCAATGTTGCCTCTGGCTGCTGCTGATGTCGACGCAGGTGCCGCTGCTGCTGGTTGCACTGTTGAAGACAGACCAGCTCCTACGCCAGACACTAGGTCAGGATTCTCGTAGAAGAGTTCGATAGCACGCTCGACGTCACTCGCGGTCATCTCGAGGAAGCTCCGGGCAACATCAGTGCTTGCGCCAGTGATGGCCATAAAGGTGGAGATGTTGTCGTCCATGGCTGGCGACGCTCCTAATGAGACAGTGGTCTTCGGGCTTAGGATTTTGTTGAGTGTCAAGTATAGAAGTTATTGAGAGTGCTGAGAACTCGGCCGGAAACACGTAGTCGACTGGTGGTATCGTAAGGTTCGGTGTAGCTCTTGTGTAGAAGCAATATCGATGCCCCGCTACCACGACAGCGAGGGGAATATCAGGGGTTGATACTCGTTCGGTTCGGGAAAATAGCGCGATTCGGAGAAAGAACAGGTCGATATCTTCGGTATTTCAGCACTTGAAATCAACGTGCTAGTAGAAAATGCAGCGTTGTTGGCAGAGTCATGAGTCTTCGAGTGCAAGGCGAAAGTTGAAGGTGCAGCGCAAGTGAAGCACAGACATTCACACAGGCACCCAACCACAGTGACGCAACCGGGTCGGTGGAGATTAGCGCCTTTTTGGAGGGGCAAGTTGACAGGGGACCACAGGAAACTGATGTCGGAAAATGGATGACGCGATTGCCGAGAAGCTACCCTGTATCACTTGGAGTATCACTTTTTTTGTTTACCTGTGATGAAGGCAGGAGAGATGAGGCTCTTTATAAGTTATAAGACAGCACTTTTATTACGAATTTTTCTGAGTGATTTAAGACTAGATAAGCCCGAGATTGGGGCTGGAAGGCTGTGGTTGAAGGTCGATCTTCGGTATGCTCCACGCCTGAACTCAGACAATTAACATTGAGAGCGCAGCAACAATTCAAGAGCAAACCCTCCTTGAGCATCTTCTAGGGTGTGGAATACTCGAGCAGCATCTTCTTAATTAAATAAAAGATAAAGTTCTTCAAATTAGGTACAATAGAATGACTTACAACTTTAAGCTCGTGTCACGTGTAGATGCTCTATTCGCTTAGTCATGATTATAGTCGTCACGATATGGTTGACTTGAGGATCGGCTGCCTCAGTTATATTACAGCCTCCCTAATTCGTCACTTGGGGCTGCCTATCTGCGCAGAATAAATCAGCTCTCTGGAAGCGCCTTCCACAGCTTGTGTTTCTGCTTATTTTTAAATCTTATCCGTCTGTTTCGAAGTTTGAACAAATAGCCTCAACTATGGCGGCAGCATCATCCAAAGAAAGGGAGCTACAGCTGTTAGACAGTGTGGAGCTTAAGATACTGAACGTTGCCAACAAAGAGAAGAAGTTACACGAGCTTCTGCAGCGATATTTACCGCCTGTTCTTGTCAAGGCGGGCAGTGAGCATGCCCCAGTTCGAGCCAAGGTTAGCACTTCATATCAAACTGAGATAGGCTCATGAATGTGATACTGAGCGATCTATAGGTGGTACAAATCTTTTCCAGGCTAAAGACATTCATCCAGCCTCCTGAGTACGTCTGAATGTTTCTGAAATTATTGGAGATATTTTGTTTGGTACGAAAATACTGACCTAATCCTAGGATCATTCTTCCAGTGGGCGCGCTTCTTGAACAGTACAAGACCAGCGACTCCCCACTAGTCAAGCAACTTGACATCTCAGGCATTCAGCATAGTATAGAACGTCTTGACGACTATGAGCGAAAGGAGCTTATTCCTAAGGCTTTATCAGGCTTCTCCAAAGATGAAGGGTTTGCACGAGCTGGACCATTCTTCAACATTATCCTCCGTCTTCTGCTAGATGCCCGGATACCCCCAAGAGGCAGCAAAGAAGACACTGAATATCGAGAAGTAATCGGACTATCAGATGAGGCTGATGCGAAGTTCCTTGCCAAGCATATTAGTATCTTCTTACGACTACGAAACCCTACTCAAAACCTGACCTGGACAACCGCAAACCCGACTCTGACCAAGTCTGAGCTCGAGTCACTTGCCGTGGAGAGCCCTGAGTCACAGAAGGTCTTTGAGAGACTCGCAGAACTAAAACTCAAGCTTGTTGCATTGCTTGCGAGCGGTGCTTTTACGGATGAGGAAAAGTTCCTGCCTGCGCTCTATGCTGCGTCAAGTTTCGATAACAGATTGGTGTCCGCGGCTGAGGAGGTACTAAAGCGAAGCTCCGTTTCCATGGAAGATGAGAGCCTAGTCAAACGTCTATTCCACGCTCACTCGATACTACCGCCCACATACCGAACTCGTATTCTAAACATGCTTTCCAAATCTACCATCTCAGCAACAATGTCTGAGGACATCATGGCTGTAGTCAAGCTCAACTTTTCAACGCAGGATCAGACTTCGGATTCCCTAACCCAGAGTTTGCTACCGAAGAGCGCGCTTGAGCAGACGAAACTTCACACTGCCACGTTTCAGTTTCTTGCCTGGGTCGCTCGCGTTGGACCGTCACAGAAAGGATTCGACATAGCCGTTCCCCTTATTGACACTATGAGCGGTTTCATTGAGGGTAGTGGCTGGCCTGCTCCGGAACGGACATCACACGACGACATTGCACTGAGATCCAAAGCATACGAGACGATAGGCGTACTCGCGAGAAGCGCGGAAATGCCCATCGAGAGGCGCCTGCAACTTGCCGGCTGGCTATTCAAGTCCTTGTCTGAAGATCCTACCGCAGATGCTATTGTCAACATTGACGGCGCTCTTTCTAGCTTGACAACCAATATTCCTGCCACTGCAGGCAGCAAATCTAACGAGCTAAAGAAAATGCTGTTGACATACATGTCTCTTCCAGATGAACCTCCTGCTGTCCGGAGTACTCGCCATGCTGTGGTCAAGTGGGCCAACCAGTGCCTCTCGTTCTCTGATATTCTAGGCCGCTGGATTGATATCCTGGCGATTGGGGCCCATCAAGACGAGAGGAGTGATGTTGTTGAGCAGGGACATAAAGGTCTTGACCCCTGGACCTACCACGCACACGCCGAGGCCAGTCCCGCCTTGCCGGATTGGAAGGAAATGACGGCTACTTTCTTTGGTTCTCCAATTAGTCCGGACACATACACAGAGACTGCAGCCCTTCCTGATTTGATTGAGAAGTCGCATTCTGTGTTCGAGAATTTCCAAGGACCAAAAATGGCTGCGTTCCCTGTTTCTCTCCGGTATTGTAAGCACATCATGTTCCTGACAGCCCTCGAAGACTTCGAAGTCGAACCATCCTGGATGCAGACTCTCGATGCACGAGTGAAAACAGACATAAAGACGCGTGAGAAGATTCTTGAGTATCTACACACAGTCGACAGCGGTTTTATAGTCTTCTACTTGAAGACATGCCTCGAAGGTGCCTATGTCAGAGACTCACCTATTACAGAGGAATGTCTTCGATGCTTCGTGGAGGTGGCATCACTCAGCCCCGGTGGCGCACTTGGATACTTGACTGAGTTTAGTGATGGCCTGTTAAACTTGGTCAAGTCTAACAACAAGGAAATCCGATCACTCACTGCTAGAGCCCTAGGCATTCTCGTATCGCACCTTGCAAACAACCCTGCCATGATCGAGAACTGTCGTAAGACTTTGGCTATATTGTTCGAGAACGCTGAAAAGCTAGTCGGGCCCGAACTTAATGCTGCTGAGGGAGGACTGTTGGCGTACAGTTATGTCTGCTCGCGCAGTGTTTATTACGGACAGACTGTGCCTGAAGATATTGAATACCCTATGCATTTTCTCACAGGTGAGAACGTTGCCTCATCCCTTTACGATACTGCACTGGAGGCCTTCGCTCAATTGTGGACTGCTGGTCTCGCTATCCCCAAGCGTGATGGTGATCACCCCCTCGAGACAGTTATCAACAAACTTATCACTCCGGCAAAGAAAGGAAATGAGAAGGCAATTCTGGCCCTTGGAAGACTGGCTGCAGGGCTCAGTGAAAGCGAAGAAGCTGCGAATGAAAATGACGATGGCTGGTCACACGGCACTATCGGCAATATCCTCAAGGAACTCTTCACCCTACACGAAATCAAACAAGTCGAGATTCAATTTACCGTGGGAGACGCAATCACTGCAACTGTAGCGCGGTGGGAATCCGACTATGTCAAACTGACACTTGATGTCGAGTCTCGAGTCAGCCTCCAGAAGCGTAATGGATCTCGCGGCCCACTTCTCACAGCTGTCCTCAACAAGATCTTCGCAGACTGCAAAGCTACCAAGCCATCGTTGCTCAAGGCGTCTGGAATCTGGCTTTTCTGCATCGTGCAGTACTGCTCGCACTTAGATGAGGTGCAGTCACGGCTGCGAGAAACTCAAGCTTCATTTATGAGACTTCTTAGTGCACGCGATGAACTTGTACAAGAGACCGCCTCACGTGGTTTATCTTTGGTCTACGAGCGTGGTGATGCGGATCTGAAGAGTGCCCTTGTCAAGGATCTAGTATCTGCCTTCACCGGAACTAGTACACAGCTCAAAGTTGATCAAGAAACGGAGTTGTTCGAGCCAGGAGCCTTGCCAACTGGAGAGGGCAGCTCCATCACTTCTTACAAGGACATCGTCAACCTTGCCAACGAAGTTGGTGATCAGAGGCTTGTGTACAAGTTTATGTCTCTTGCTGCAAATGCTGCAACTTGGTCAACACGATCTGCTTTTGGTCGCTTTGGACTGAGCAACATTCTCTCGGAGTCGGAGGTCGACCCTAAGCTATACCCTAAGCTCTACCGTTACCGATTCGACCCTAATCACAATGTCCAAAAGTCTATGGACGATATTTGGAGGGCACTTGTCAAAGACTCGGGTGCGGTTCTCAGTACACACTTTGATGCGATTTTGGATGATTTGTTGAAGAGTATCCTGGGACGCGAGTGGCGCATGCGAGAAGCAAGCTGCGCTGCCGTCTCTGAACTGATCCAAGGCCAGCCATTCAACAAATATGAGAATCGTTACCGTGATATCTGGACATCGGCATTGAAGGTACTTGACGACGTCAAGGGCTCTGTGCGAGAAGCTGCCTTCAAGCTGTGCAGAACTCTATCTAATACCCTTGTCCGACAACTCGAGGAGGGCACTAACGGATCATCTGTCCAATCTATGATGAAAGAGGCCCTGCCTTTTCTTCTTTCCGACAAAGGCATCGAAAGCTCCGTCAAGGAAGTACAAGCTTTTGCTGCCATCACCGTTATCGAGCTCACCAAGAAAGGCGGCAAGGCTCTCCGACCCTTCGTTCCAGAAATGGTCCCTCAGCTCCTCGGCCTGTTGAGCTCTATTGAACCTGAACAAATTAACTGGCACTACCAGAGAGCTGGTGAGGATAGCCGAGATCAGATTGATAAGATCCGGTCGCAAATGGTGAACCGATCCCCCATTTCCGAGGCCATCGAAAATTCCCTTCGATTTATTGATGCTGATGTCATGGCCGAGCTTGCACCTCGACTGGAGGCCACTATCAAGACGGCAATTGGTATGCCTACGAAGATTGGATGCAGCCGAGTGCTGACAACGTTGTTTACACGCCATACAAACGACGTTAAAGCCTTCGGTAACAGGTTCTTGCAAGTTATGGAGAAGCAAACAATGGACAAGAATGACGAGGTCAGCCAGGCGTATGCTCGTGCTACCGCATACATGCTGAGGGCCGCGTCAGACTCAGCCAAGACTCGGTTTTGCAAGAAGTTCATTGATATGTACTTTGAAGCAGAAGAAGAGTCACGTCGTCAAAAGACTGCAGATGTGATTGTGGCGCTCGCTAAGGTCTCGCCCGACCACTTCACTGCTCTCGAGACGAAGCTGCTTCCTTTTTCGTACCTGGGTTCTCATGATACGGATGAGTACACCAGAAAGGTGTTCAAGGAGGTCTGGGATCAACATGCTGGAAGCGGTCGCACTGTTGTTCGATACGTCCCCGAGATTGTAACTCTCGTGGAGAGTTGCTTGGACACAGCGCAATGGGCGCTTCGACACGGCGGAGCTTTCACTGCTGCAGCCATGGTGTCTGATGTTGCAAGTGCAAGCGACGCCAGCGGTCAAATCAGTGATGCAAACCTGGCCAAGATTTGGCCTGTATTCGAGAAAACATTGGCCTTGAAGACGTTTGACGGCAAAGAGAAACTTCTCGAGGCTTACCCTCAATTTGTCGAGAAAGGACGAAATCTTTGGATGTCTGACTCCAAGATTGCTGCACAAATGAAGAAGATCGCTCTTCGAGAGGCAAAGCGTAACAACGACGAGTATCGTGTCCATGCATTCCGTTGTCTCTGGAAATTTGCAAAGGCCAGGGATGATCTCGACCTACTCGATGAGATCGCGGAAATCGTTACGCCTTACCTCGAGGAGTTGAGGGGCGAGGATGAAAATGAGGACAAGATGGATATTGACACCAAGGACGGTTCCAAGGAGCAACTCACAGAGAAAACGGCAACAAACGGCTTCGAGGCAGTTGCTCGTGGGTACAACCGCAACACCATCAAACAGGACTCTCTCCCAATCCTGACCAAGATTCTCAACATCCTAAAGCCCTTCCTATCAAGCCCAAACTTCGTTCTGATCAAGCGTCAAGTATGGTACGAATGCGTACGCGATCTCATGGACGATGCCAAGTCTTCGTCTTCAGCGCCCAACGACGAGGGTGCTGTGGCTCTGACATATCTGATGAGCCTAGATATCGACCTGGTTGACACTGGTACTGAGGCGCAGAGGATCATGCGAGCAAAGGCTGTGGGTGCAGTTTTGAAAGCCAAGGGCAGGGGTGTATTTGGCCAGGGAGGTCCTGACGGTGCTCAGTTGAAGACGATGGTTAGCAAAGCTTTGGAAGCTGAGAGGTCTTTGGACGTGCAGAGGGTGCTAAGAGATATTCTTGTTGAGATGGAATGAGATTTTAGAAAGAGATATGCTGGCGGTCTGGAGAGTTAATGATAGTATCAGAATAGAAGGTTTCTACACGCATGAGTGAAAAAGGTTATAGGCCACTGCCAACGAATTGTCCGCGAAAGACTCCAAGAGAGGTGGTTTTGTTCTTCGTTGCAGACCTTACATTGCACACCTGTTCTGTTGATTTACCAACACCGGCATTACTACGATAAACTGTCCGTACAGTTGAGATATGGCATCTCGTCCCTACCTTCTGGCTAAATTGCTTAATCTACAACTTACCTCAAACAGCTTCAGATATCCATAAGCCTTGTATAGTCTACAACTTCCATTACAATTGAACGAGAGCATGAATAAAAAGGCCAGAGGCACTATTCATGCTGTACCACCACACAGGACAATTGCTCAACGTTGCACACCCCCAATCAAGCTCAACGTTTGCCCAATCCGTCCATATCAGAGACCCCTTTCTCGTTAAAGTGAAACAAACGCATACAATTCAAGCAGCACAAACAAAGTCAGTAGCCTCTGCTCTGTTTCGTGGTCTGCCACCTTTGGCTATGGGCTAGTCTGGGGCTAGAAAGACAGATCGGACGTTGAGAACGGCTATGGGCTCGGCCGGAAACGTCGGTATTTTGAGGTCCACTGCCGAAAAACTGCATCAGTGTGTGACGAAGGGCATGGAAAACTCGCCGATAACGACGCTCCGTGCACATGTTGTGTGTTGTGTTGTTGGCTGTAGGAATGCAAGCAAGTTTGTGTGTCTTATTAGCTGTAGCTGGCAAATACCTTTCTTTGCTATTCGTGCATCATGGTTCCAGACACGTTGACAGAATGTCAGCCGAGGACACTTTTGATAATCTGTCTAGCCCTCAAATGCCAGATAGACGCCGAGGGAGAAGAAAATTGTTAAGATATTGCCGACAAATTGTGGAAAAGACAAGGATTGTCAGCGTGAACGGTGGACACTCGATGCCCCGCACCGACATTGGCACTGTTGCAAGATCACAAGAGCAGTCAGATAGACCAGGTATGATGATGCCAGTCTTGTGTCATCATCAAACGGTAGCAATTCACGACCGTTCTAACCTACCGCCCAAGGACCAGTCAAATGTCCCAATGGCCAGCAGGTCACGATTCAGTCTGCAGCACACAGTTAGCGGAGAGCTAACGTTAGGGACTCAGAGCCATTGGGCTTCTGAGCCGCAATTTGCGTCACCAGTCCGCTGCTGGGTCTCCCACGAGGGTCGCAAGGTGGTATTGAACGATCTGCAAGTAGCAACCAGGCCCCTGGCCCCTACTTGATAGATGCGGCTAAAGGGAGGAACAGAAGCCTAGAAATCTGAGATGCCGATTGACAAGAGGCATTCCTAGGTGTTGTCTTCTGGTAAGTTATAAAAGAGCATTGAAACATAATTTCGAGCTCCATGTCTAAGCTCAACCCCAGCCCTCCTTCAATTGCTTCAAAAGCAAAAAGACCAGCAGGGGACTAAGGCCACTTTGTTAACAACATGAACATTATGCACTGTCTTACACCAGTCATTGGGCAGACTAGTGCCCGGGAGTTCTCCAGTCATCGTCAAGATAAAAAAGATGCTTTGTCTTGCAGCACGCTGGATGTCAGAAATAATCTTTGGTGTGCAAAGCGATCCACCAGCAACGATACCCGGAGGCCTGGAAAAACCTCCCATTCGTTGCATATCGAGCTAGCAATAAAGACGGCGTGCTGCAGTAGCATGCTCCAGTACAGAGTTCCATGTGGTGTCCTCGGTATGAATTGGCTCGATGCAGTACAGTACGTGTGCGAAAGAAAAAGAGAAAGAGGGAGTCACGATATGCGATTCCAAGGCATCGTGGGACGAAAAGTCCCAATTGAGTTGGCCCTTTTGTTAGTAAACAGGAAAAACCACTCTCTTACCAAGGAGAAGGAGGCTTAGCTCTGGTGTAGTTCGAATGGATTTTCTTTTGCTTGGCGCAGTAGGAGACCGAGATTTTGCTGAAAACGGTACATTTTGGGATGGGGTTTGTAGGGCGCCACACTTTACTTTTGAGTTAACACCCACAAGAGAAGGGTTTGTCACCCACCTGAAGCCTCAGTTAGCCTCGGCTCTAAACAGAGATGCACGACAAACATTGGACAGTCAAGTTACGAAGTGCCGTCATCTGTCGTTACCGGAAGATAGCAATAACAAACACTTGACTGTGTATGATGCTTATCTGTCAACTCGCTAAGGACGTATGGTCTGGTTCTGGGACATTTCGAAATGATGCTCAAAACTTCAGGAATGAGCTGTGATGAGCTTTGATGAGCTGTTTGCAACCTCCGGAAGGAAAAGTGCCAGGTCATGAGACAATTGACAGAACAGAGCTCTCTGCCAATGATTTGACGAGATATCTGAGACCATGTCGCAACTTTTCATCTCAGCATTGCTATTCTAAGCCCGCATGTGGCACGTCGCTATGACGAGCATTCAGCGCTATGGGAGCTTGTCCCAAAGCAAGGAAGGGATTCCGGGGTTGGCTGTTGAAACAGCAATCTTGAACTCTAGGACTGGCAATTATTCAAATCTAATTGATCAAAGGACAGCCGGAGATATTCAGATAAATGAGATGTTGAAACATTGTTACTCCTTCTGGGTGCGCCGTGCATTTGTAACATGTCCGCGCTTCGTCCGGCTGATAGGGAGGTTTGTGATAAGTGATGCTTGCTCAGTGAAACCAGGAAGCGAGATCAAGGATGCTTCATTCATACCATGCTTCTCAGGGTTCGACGATGTCAGCTTAGAGGCCGGCTGCAGCGCCATGCTGAACCTCGCTGCATTCAATGTAGCGTTGCCCGCCCGACGACCCAAGGCCCTGCCATTTCACCAGCGATCGTGTTCACTCCCTGCACTCAGTTCCCGTCGGTCGTCTATCGCCGGCTCTGACTTTATTACAATCACTTAGATCGGGCTGCTTTTCAGGCCATCAGATGAGATGCCCTATGATTTCATAATCCACTTTCAGCAGGGCTGTTTTCGCAGGGATATGGTAATAGTGCTCGTGCAGCTCGTCAGCTCCGTCCGGTTTCCAGCGCCCAGCGCTGAGCGTTCAAGCGTTCGTTCTTCACTGCCCAGCTTTCAGTCCAAACGGTGTCCAGCTCTGCATCAGCTTGGCCACTAGGAAAGGAGATAGCGCCACGCCCGCCGTCAAGGATAGCCCTGGTTGCGGAGAGCTACACAAAGCCTTTTCAGCACGACAGGCACCAAAACATGGCTGAAATCGCTCGGTTCCTGGTACTCATCATTGCTGACTCTGTTACAGCATAGCAACGAAAAATAGCAGCCAGGGTCTTTCAACAATGCTATTTCAGTCTCGAGTCCTGACGGAAGGACTTGAGCTCGAGCTCTGCTAGTGTTTCGCACAACACTTAGGCCATTCTATATCGCCGTAACAAGTCCGGTAATTGTATGCATCATGATGATCATGAAGCTGCCGAACCAATTGTCGATACTGTGCGAGCAGGCCAGTGAGGATAGCTAGGGCAAGGCCCACAGCTTTTGTTCTTGTCCTTCTCGTTCTCCTCCCTTCCAATTCTCCACATACCGACACACCCACCCTCACTGGCTTCGCTCATGGCACTTTGTAGTGAGCCTCTTCTGTCTCTTCTCCTCCAATGGGAAAGTATTTCGATGTTGTGCGTTGCTTCTCCTTCTGCCCTCCTTCTGCCCTTCCCCTCTCTTGTTAAGTTTGTAGAGACCATGCATCCCCTCTCTCGCATCTTAAATCTGCCGTAAACCCCCCTGCTTTGGAAGCAACTGTATCCGCCATTATTGTTCTGTTGTTGCCGTCGTCTGTGTACCTTGTGTTGTCGTCTCGAACGCTTTGTTGTGTTACGGAGTGTCCGTTGCTGCGCCTGCTTGCCCAGGTCCACGCTACCGTTACCATCATCTCATCTGGATTCCGTGCACCTGCAGCCGCTCCGTCACTCGCCAGTGACTTCCAAGCGTCATTCGTCTATTGCGGTGTTTCAGTGCCACCCTTAGAGAGCCCACACCAAGATCCAAGATCCCCTTGTCAGCGGATACGGCAGCCCACACCCCCTGGTCTATACTTCTTCCCTACCGGTACCCTCGTCCCCGCGTGCCCCGATTGTTCTCAAGACCAGGGCCCAAACAAGGCAAGGTTAAGAAAAAAAAGCTCGTCTTTTTTCCTAACCCTCTCCCGCATTACGACTCATCCCACGACTCTCTTTCTGTTTCCCCTCATCCATCTTTGTCCTCATCACGGTTTTCACGGCTCTTCCCTTGCGCGTGTTTCGAAAATTTGACTGTGACAGTTACTGTTGTTTTTGTTGGCGCCTAAAAGTGAGTTTTGCTTTCTTTCAGCTCTATTGTCGTCGATTCCTTGCATCTGTTGGTACTCGAGGTTTGGGGAGGTTTGTGGGATTTTGGGTCGGACATCAGCGTCATCCGACATCGCGCGCGACAACCATCGACATTATTGAACTTCGAAACAACCACCACACTCGCTGGCTCAGGAGATTGGTTCGAATTGGAAACTCGACAGTCATCCAGTATAATAAGCACAACATCATATTGCGGATCGGTCTGTTTGTCCGTTCCCGATCATCCGCGAAACGAATAGTCTTTGGTATTTCCTGCCGACGAATCTTGACTCAGCCTTAAATATCCGCCGTCGCTATCGAGAGGAACCTTGCGAGAGGTTCACCAGAACAAAGTCGAATTCTTCGACACGTACTCCGCCATCAGCGCACTCTCCACTGGGCACGGCGAGTAAACGCAAACCTTCTGATTTCGGCGCATCGTCTATACTTTTTCGACGAACAACTCGCTGGGCCAACCGCTGGAAAATGAATCCACATATTGAGTAATTAGAGGACATGCCATGGCGATGGTAGATGGCGCATTTGTATCTGGCGAATTGTTCCTGGAAGCAAAACCATGCAATGGCATGGCGGTCCACCAGTTCCGTTGATTCGATGACCTCGGTGCCAGTAAACGCCTGTTTTGGAGCTTCGAAGAACCCCTTTGTGGATCGCTGTGTTGAATATGCGTCGAATTGTTGCCTGGATTGAACCGGACCTGTCGGATAGGGAGATAGCCGGGACTGTGATTCGGATTATGGAGAGCCTCCAACCCTACGATGCCAAGGATGCGAGGACCGATATCCCTTATCGGGACTTTCACGACCGACATGGACTTGCGCTCATACAAGAATTTCTCGAGCAGACTGCTAACACTGGCATAGGTTCAGCTCATTTCGGGAACGTTTATAGCTATCTTACCACATTCCTTTGGAATTTCTGGTAAAACACTTTACCCCGCGTGAGAACGACTATTTGGCGTTTCGCAGCTCCACCACTCCCCCCAAAAGCATTTCATTGCTCGTACTGGCGTGACGGCGTCTTAGAGACTTGATTCGTTTTCGTATCTTTTTGACGATTAGACTCGACGTGAAAGGTAAATGGGACACGTTGACCTGGGTACTGAGCGTATCTAATGTCAGTTGTTGCAGGTCTTACGATCCACATATAGCGACTTACTTCGTTGTGCTTTTGGTACTCGATTCCTTGACGGTAAGCCATGTCCCGCATTATCCCCGAAGTCGCCCGCATGCTCTCTTCACACCGTCGGGCACCGCCACAGAGTTTGTGTTGGAGCAATATTCTCAAGAAATCGGGAGATGTATACTTTTGCACAAAGTTTGTTGAGCCTTGAATTTGGCAAGAAGTGCAGAGGCAGAGGGCAAGAGCCTCCTCGGGCACACGTGCTCCTCTGCCGAACTTCACCCAACATTTAAAATGCAGGCACCGATCCTATCCCCTAAATTTTTGGTGTCGCTTCGGAACTCATCTTCTGTACATCATTTCGTGGTCGCGATCTTGGTGCTGACATTTCGCGATTAGCTCTGCTACGACTTGTTTACGACGTGTACGAATTCAATACACGGTAAGTTGTTCTTCAGTCTTGCGCAATTCCTGCCTCATCCTTGCGTCCCTGGACGGCCAGTGCTCAGCACACCACTCCTTGAATACCGAGAGTCGCATGGCATTATCAAGTCACCACCAAACCGAGCCTGGGGAGCCTCTGCCTATGGAAGCGAAACCGGAACTGGAACCTGCATCATCGTTCACCCGATATTGCCTCTGCTAGACAACTGGACTTCTGATTCACCGCTGATCGTTGTCCCGATCCCCGGGCCTCGAGTGATTCAAAGTTCTCTGAAGCATTGTTCCCTCCAATGAGGCTCTAGCCTCTGATTCTGCACAGATTGGGATATTCTGCGCTTGAGTGCCAGCCCCTGCCGAGACCATTTTCATTATCATTACCCCCCGGCCTTCATAGACATTTCTTTTCTTCTTTGTCACTGTCACTTTCGCTGGCAGCTCGCAAGCAAATAAACAAGGTCGCTAATATTTCTTCATAGTCTTCTTTTACCGTTGCTCTGCTCCATCAGCTTTGTAACGTCTTGCTCTTACTTTTTTCCTCGCTTCTTGTTGAACATTCAAGGTTCGTTTCCCCTCCAACCTTCTTTTTTCCATTCGGCAACTCTTGCTTCACATTTCCTTAATCTTCAGCGTTCTTTGAGTTATGTACTGACTCAACTGTGAAGCGCATCATGGAAATGAACCCTGTTTTCTCTGGCGTTCCCGCCAACAACGGTCCCCCTTCTGGTCCAATGGCGTTCCAGAACGGCACTCCTCCTGCTCCTGACATGGGATCCGTCTCTTCCCCTCCTGGTGTTGGCCCTGACAGCCAGAAGAACACCCTTTGGTAAGTAATAGCAACCCGTGATCCATGGCGCAACGCTAATGGTTGATAGGATGGGAGAGCTCGAACCCTGGATGGACGAGAACTTCATTAAGGGAGTGTTCATGTCCGCGGCTCACGAAAGTGTTAATGTCAAGGTCATCCGCGACAAGAACTCCGGTAATGCCGGTTACTGCTTTGTTGAGTTCCAGACTTCCGAAGCTGCCAACAAGGCCCTTGGTATGAACGGAAGCCCTGTTCCTAACAGTACTCGCTCTTTCAAGCTCAACTGGGCATCCGGTGGTGGTCTTGTCGACCGCAGGTATGCTATAACATAAGCCTCCAAAGATTTGAGATGATTCTAACATTAGCTTTAGGGACGATCGTGGCCCCGAGTACAGCATCTTCGTTGGCGACCTTGGTCCTGAGGTCAACGAGTACGTTCTTGTCTCTCTCTTCCAGGGTCGTTTCCCCTCTTGCAAGTCGGCAAAGATCATGACCGACGCCATGTCTGGCCAGAGCCGCGGCTACGGTTTCGTTCGCTTCTCTGACGAGAACGACCAGCAGCGCGCTCTCGTCGAGATGCAAGGTGTTTACTGCGGCAACCGACCTATGCGCATCTCTACCGCTACCCCCAAGAACCGCGGCAACCACGGATTCCCCGGCCAGGGCCCTCAGCATGGCGGTCCTATGATGGGCGGCATGCCTCAGCAGCAGATGTGGAACGGAGGTGGTATGCAAGGCTTCGGCGGCTACGGTGGTGGTTTCAACCCTGCCACCCAGATGAACCAGTTCACTGACCCTAACAACACCACTGTCTTCGTTGGTGGTCTTTCCGGCTACGTCACCGAGGACGAGCTGCGATCGTTCTTCCAGGGCTTCGGTGAGATCACCTATGTCAAGATACCGCCTGGCAAGGGCTGCGGTTTCGTCCAGTTTGTCCACCGCCACGCCGCCGAGATGGCCATCAACCAGATGCAGGGTTATCCTATTGGAAACTCTCGTGTCCGTCTCAGCTGGGGTCGATCTCAGAACAACTCTGGAGTTGGTACCCCCTACCGCCCTGCTCCTCCCCCTCCTCACTACATGGGCATGCCTGGCCACGGTGGACCTGGTAACTACGGCCCTCAGCACTATGGTGGCCCAGCCCCTGGTCCCCAAGGACCGCCTGGTCCTCCTGGTCCCCCCGGCCCTAACGGTCCTCCCCAGGTTAGCATGATGTTCTGAATGTCTACTCAGAATACTGACATGTCCAGGAGTATTAAACCATGCAGTAATTTGACCACGATAACTCGTTGACGAAGGGGCTTTATACGATCAATTCCCCGGCACTTCTTTTTCCTTGGACTCAGCTATCTTGCCGTCTCATCAACTATCAAGTGCAGCAGATCTATCTGTTATTCATGGCAGTTTATGAGTGATACCCAACCTTGATTTCGATTTGGGTTCATGACTTTAAGTTTTATGGCAGCTCAGGATCTCAACGCGACACCACGCAACACTCCATTTCCTTGGGTCTGAATCATGATTGGCGTTGGAGATCTTCGGTCCCCCGGTGGATTATCATCAATTCAATTGATTTAAGCTACTTGCCTGTACTATGCGCTTACTTTAGTCACTCACTGCCTTTTTCTTTTTGCTTTTGACTGTCACTGTCTTTAACCATGTTTAATCTGCTTTTGCGTGATGTCACGCGTCTTTGCAAAGCTCTGCATACTATTTCCTTCTGGATCGTCTTCGTAGTCAACCCAAGCCTGTCACTTGGCCTGCGTTGGCGGCGTAACTCTCAACGACTCATTATAGGGGAATCGGTTGTAACACGACTCTATTTAACATCAGCATGGGCGCAGGCAGCGTGTCGGTTCGCGGTCAGCATGGGAAGCTCGGCCTGAGGTGCAAAAGGTGGTTGGGAATAGGAATGATCTTGGCTACGATTGAGTGTTGTTCCTGACGAGGCGATGGGGAGTTTGGTGGATGGTTTTGGGAGTCAGTATTATTCAAATCAGACCGATCATTGAGTGTTAAAACAAACTGACTCGCGTGAGTCGAGTCGCGTGACACGACGGACACGTATGAATCCCCTCTTGTGACAACTCAAGAGAACAACGCAGCCCAGCAAACTAGCTCGACATCTCCGCATCTCGAGACCTCCACATATGGAGAGCTGACGTAATTTGCTTCTCCGCGACAGCCAACGTATTTAGGGTTTCGTGTCTGATGGCGGTCGCCATTGGACGTCGAGGTAGAAGGCGTCCAAGTTTCTAGTACGTATCCAGTGCTTGTTGTTTATGCATGCAGCATGATATCTTCATGACCCCTCAGAGGTGGAACTTTATTTCACTGTGCTTTAAAACCACATTTCTCCTCTTTTGAAACTCTGCCCATCTCCTCATTTAAGATTCTCATCACCATGTCGACCACTATTGATCTAAGTTCTTTCCCTACGGCTGCCCCGGCGGCGCCATCAGCTGAGATTCGCTTTGCGGATGTGAGTTTGATGCCTCTGGAGTATGATAGGTTGACTGACTTTGAGTTCAGGTTGCTGTCACAGCAACTGCGAAAGAGTTCAAGGGCATATACCGTGATGATAAGCAGTACCATGAGCCTGATTTCATCAACACTCTTGACCGTGCCAAAGATTCTGGTGTGAGCAAGGTCATGCTGACGGGCATGTCGCTCGCTGACGTCTCTCACAACGAGAGTATCGTCAAGCAGCGTCCCGCGCAGTGCTATCTCACCATCGGAGTGCACCCCTACCACGCCTCCGAGCTGGATGCCGGTGGCAAGGCGTATCTTGACGAATTGGAGCAGAAGGTTAAAAACGCCCTCGCACAGGATACGCCGCATATTGCAGCTTTTGGTGAATTAGGTCTTGATTACGATAAGGAGGAGCATGCGTCCAAAGATGTGCAGAAGAAAGCCTTCACGGCACAGCTGGATCTCTTTGTTAAGAACCAATGGGACCTCCCGCTCTTCCTGCACTGCCGCAACGCCTTTGACGACTTCGTCGAGATGATAACGCCCTACATGGAGAAGCTCCCCCGCGGCGGTCTCGTGCACAGCTTCGTCGGCAGCGCCGCGCAGATGGAGAAGCTAGTCTCCCTGGGCCTGGGCGTCAGCGTCAACGGCTTCAGCTTCCAGAACACGGAGAGTCTAGAGATGGTGTCCAAGATCCCGCTCGACGCGCTGCAGCTCGAGACGGATGCGCCGTGGGGCGAGCTGAAGAGCACGTCCGAGGTGGTCAAGCGGTACTGCGGGAACGCGAGGGCGCTGCCGGCGTCGAAGAAACGGGATAAGTGGGATGGAAAGTGCATGGTCAAAGAGAGGAATGAGAGCTGCACGATGGAGAGGGTTGCGTTGGTCGTGGCGGGGTTGAAGGGTGTTGGTGTTGATGAGGTTGCCGAAGTGGCGTGGAAGAATAGTGTGAGGATGTTTGGACTTGGACGACGATAGGTTATAGTCTGAGGACAAGTAGTATATTTATATTTATGATTATATAATTGTTGATCAAGCATTATATTTACCGAGTAGTGAGTTGATTGACCGCAATATTTGGCCAAGTTCTCTCTGTCAGTCTTGTTATTCACGAGCGTTGTAAGTAGCTGAAGATATTTATCTGCATTGCTCTTTGGCCTAGTGTTGAGATCTCATACTCATGCGGATACCTCAATTATTGTTGCCTAATACCCTTGATACATGGCTGATATGAGCCAGTGGATCCCTTTTACGAGTACGAAACCACGATACAGCTTCATAAATGCGGTATTCGTACACTAACATGGATCAATACCAAAACAGCTTAAATCGCATCCAGGCTGCAGCAAACCAGGGATAAATTCCAGGTTGACAATAATGTCCCCTGTTCACGATGTCTATAAAACTGACACTTTGTCCCATACTTACCCCTCAATTCAAGTCTCCAGATTTCTTCCTCTACTGTCTTTAGACTCAAGATGGCATTCAACATGAGCTCCGTTCCTGATTACGATGACCTTCCTAAAGTTGAGGGTATGCCAAAGGGCTGTGCCTGGGGTGTCTTTGACCAAGACGGAAAGAAAGATAAAGTCGGAACCCTGAACTTCCTTACTCCAGAGGTTGTTCGCAATGCCGCCCTCGAAGTCAAGGATGGCGTCTCTATATCTCTCAAGTAAAACCCCCTCTCAACACCTTATGCTCAGCACTGACTCCTCTCAGCTGGCCCATCAATGCGATGAACAAACTCAACTTCCCAGGAAGAGCAGCATCAGAGCACAAGATCCTCTATATCCCCGAGAGTATGGCAGCGCTGCCCTTTGACCAGGGCAAGTCATGGGACGATGAAATCTCTTTCAACACCCAATGCAGCAGCCAATGGGACAGCTTGTGCCACTTCCAGCACCAAGACTCCGGCCTAGCATACAACGGCGCGAATCCCGACAGAGAAGCCTTGTCAGTGGACTCCACCGATTCCAACACCATGCCTACGCTGGATCACTGGCACTCACGCGGCTGCTTGGCTGGTCGCGGTGTGTTACTCGACTACGCCGCATACGCTGAAGAGAAAGGCCTGGACTTTCACCCATTCGACGGCAACCGCATCACAGTGGAGGATCTTGAAGCCTGCGCAGCGCATCAAGATGTCGAGTTCCGCCCCGGTGATATCCTACTTGTGAGAACCGGTGCTACAGAAGTCGTCGACAAGATGGACCCCATCGGGCTGGGCAAGATGGCAGCGGCGAAGTTGACAGGTCTACATGGTTGCGAGGAAACAGCTCGATGGCTATGGAACAAGCGCTTTGCTGCTGCTGCATCAGACTCGAGCAGTTTCGAAGCGTTTCCTCCTTTGAAGCCCGATGGATCAGTCGGTGGTATGAAGGATCTCGGTGAGTTTAACTACCAAAGCACCATATGTGCTTGCTAACATTGTGCAGCCCTCCATACATACTGCTTGAGCTTTTTTGGAATGTCGATTGGTGAATTGTGGGATTTGAGTAAGCTGGCTGTTTACTGCAAGGAGAAGAAGCGGTATTCATTCATGATTACCTCGGCGCCTTTGAATCAACCTGGACTGATTGGATCGCCGCCGAATGCATTGGCTATATTTTAGGGTAATGAAGGAGTCAAGATAAGGATGGGATAGATCACTGGTAATGGACCCTGTATACTGTTATCCATATCCCATGACGTACTTGCATATAGATGAGATGAATGTAGTCTTGAACATTTAATGAGCTAATAAGTACTACAGATTCTTATTGTGATATGGATGAACGGAGAACAATACGCCGTTGATAGTTCTGAACAGCAAACCAGTACAAATTCAGAATATTTGAGCGATCCCATTAGTATTAGCTACCCCAATACCGGCCTTCAATTCAACAATGCCTCATCACTTCTGCTTCTTGGTATCCCTACTCAGCTAGGAACAAACATCTTGATATTCGCTTTCTGCGATCTTAACGACGATGTGCTTGACACCGGATTGCTGTTCAATATCAAGGGCTGCGTCGACTGCGACACGAACATTAACATCGACTGTGTTACAAGCACAGTCACTGCGGGAGCAGCAGAGGAAATTGGTGCTCCAGAGACAATCAAGGTCTCTGTGCAAGCCCTGGGTACTGTCTTGGTCACTGTTCAAGCGGTAGATACCACAACTACTGAAGGTTCCATTACGACTATGACTGAAGCGCCACCAACAACCACCGAGGCTACTATCATCATCACCACTGCAGAGCCAACTACTTCTGGCATTGTGGAGACATACTCTGTTTCTTCAGATATCGTTACTGAGGATACGACTGCCCAAACTACTACAGCTGAAGTTAAGCAGACGGCCGCTGCTGATACCATCGAAGCCACAACTTCTTCTGCTGCCGCCACTGAGGATCCAGCTCAGACTACCAACACTGAAGCTGAGCCTGTCACAACTTCCGAGGCTGCAAACAGTGGCAGTGCTACTCTCGATATCAACACTAATGATGTCTTAGAGTCCATCGCCGCTACCTCTGCAGGCGCTGTTGATACGCAGACCTCTGCCATTGGAACAACTGACGTGGTCTCTAGTGACGAGACCGAGACAGCCACGCTGTCTACAGCAGTCGAGACAGTCAGCCAATCTACCAACGCCGGTACTACCACAGAGTCTTTGCCTATTCAAAAAACCGTAACGGCTACAGGTACCGATAGTCCCTCAAGGTTTGTCACTGTGTCCCTTTTATGTTACGTCGATGGCCACTATCGCAACCTTCAGCATTGAGACAGCTTCATCATCAACTTCGCAAGCTACGTCCGAATATTCTACCGATACTTCGACAGGATCCGTGAGCCAGCTTTCTTCAGCTGTGACAGTTTCGAACTCACAAACCATCATCGCCCCAACACCATCAACATCCGATATCCACGCCTCAACGGCAAAGTCCAGTCTCGCCAGCGCGCAAACTGATATATCTGCATCCCCAACTTCTATTATTGAGACAATCGGCGACCACATCGCCACTCCTTCTCCCACCGCTGGCAATGATTATACCAAGGGTTATAACGTCACCAAGACTGAGTCAGCTACTACCGTTACTACTGTTGTATACACTACTGTCAACCCCCACAAACCGGATTGCCTTGCCACCACCGAGATTGCTATTAATGTGGGATATACGCCCTGCAATTGCGCCCACCAGACCCTGCCACCGGTTGATATGACTACTGTGGTTGTGCCCTGCCAGTCCTGCGATCCCTATGGTGAGAACAGTATCTCTCTCACTGTTCCGGCTGCCGCTTGTGAGACCGGAGCGAAGTCGACCGGAAAGTCTCATGGCCAGCCCGAGGGTGATTCCCAAGGACACTCCGGCGATAAGTCCTATCCTATGCCCGGACCAAATGAACAGGCGGGGCCTCAACCAATACGCAAGCAACACATCCACACCGTATCTGAGGGTGGTTACGGTGAGATAGAGAGCCACTCAGCTTACCAGAAGAACGGTCAAACATCTGCTCTTCCCCACAAGGACTTCCCAACTTCCAACGACAAGCACTCCATCTACCCAACTGCGGTACATGGCAATAACACAGCTGTTCATACCGAAACTCCTCAACAACCCGCTCAGCATGGTCTCAATGGCCAAGGTCAAGGCGGTTTCTCAAAGACTTACATAACACAAATACTCACCGTCGCAGTAAAGACACAGGGTAGCAACTCTACAATTCTGCACACTGGAGTCCCTTCATATGGGCCACACTCGCCAATCGCTGCTACAGGAGCCATCAAGTTCAGCCCTGGATTATGGTATCTAGCCAGTGTTGTTTGTGGCGCGTTTTTGCTGCTGGCAGCCTGAGGCATATGCTGTACCCATGTCTTCTTTGCATCACTATCCATTTCTCTTTTGTGTACATAAATATTCATCCGCGAGAATGCTCGGTACATGTTCTCTTAGCTTTCCGGATTGGCAGCTATCTAAATGTATAGCGTGAGGCCTTGTTGATATAGAGTTGTACTCAGAAACAGTTTTTGCTCCTGAGATTAGGTCAGTAAATGCCTTAAAGATGAAAGTTTGGATCACATTTAATTGATCTTCCTAGCAAAATGATTCCATAATTTCTCGACGACGCCCTCTTCGCTCTCTCCCAAATTCGCCGATTTAGCAGTTATCTATCAAGACAGCCTTAGAACATCAAGTCTCCTGGAACGTGGCTGGCTCTTGATATAACAACTGTATTTTGATAACCGCAAACGTTTCGTCAGTAACTAAGAAGCAGCCCACAAATATCAAATTACCAAAGTAGCGCAGTCCAGGTTTTTATAAACAAATTACTTTTTAAGATAATGGATCTGTCCTGATGAAACTGTTGGAGTATCGGAAATAGTTGTTGAGACGTCTTAGTTGCTAAGGTACGAATATATGGTGTATAGGTTAAATACTGGGTTAGGGAATGCTCGCGATCAACCAGCCACAAGGAACTTTTAGCAGTGACTAGGATTAAAATCACAGTGACAGTAATTCAGAATAAGTGCATGTCGCTTCCATGCTTCTCAGTTGAAAATATTAACCTTGCGTGTTAAGACGTTTGACTTGGAACGATAACTCTTCGCTTCTCGGATCCTTTGAAAGCACGAATACGAATAACTTCAATAGCCAGAATCCAAGATAAGCAAATCTCAAACTTGTAGAACCACAACTATACCCCTCAAACTTCCAAACAGCAACAAAGATTACGAGGTAATGCGCGGTTCCTAAACGGTCAAGACCTTAGCGAGCTGCAGGGGCAGCCACAACTTTGGCTCGGGTCGAGATAAACGCAGACTCATCGACAATCCGATTGGACTGGAGTAACGCATATCTAGATCAGATCAGATCCGAGGCGAATATCCTAACGGTAGTGGTCCGTATTGCAGTACAGTTGGTGGTTCTCGCATTCGGATGTGGAGCTCGTATTCGTACTCTGCTTCTGAAGGTGCTCGTTTTCGCAAAAGGATGGATAGATGCAGTTGAAGTGTTAGAAGCGGCTGTAAGATACGGAGTTGGTCATCATTGCAATTCAAGTATCCTGAAATAATAAAGACCGGGACCGTGTTGTGAGGCTTGAATTCCTATTTAAATAAGAACAGTTCTCCCCTTGAGAAAATCAGACCACTCACCATTCATCACTTCACTCCCAAGCCCTCTTACTTCCGAATCCTACACTTCAACTATCAAAAGAATCACCATGTCATCTAAAGAACTGATTTCCTACGACGAGGCCAAGAACTCGGCTTTCGACAATGTCCTCCACCGAAAATCAAAAGAAGCAAAGGGCGGAATGCGAGCCATGATGAACAAGGACAGCAAAGCCAACGCCGCAGCCGCCGACGAATACTTTCAGTTCTGGGATAACAAGAAAGCCGAGGACGAGGTTGAGGCTACTCGACAGGAGAGAACTGACAACTATGCCAGTTTAACACGGCAGTGAGTTTGCCTAGGACTCTTGGATTGTGTTGATATTAACATTTTAGATACTATAACCTCGCTACAGATCTCTACGAGTACGGATGGTCGCAAAGCTTTCACTTCTGCCGCTTTGCTTACGGCGAGTCCTTCGATCGTGCTATTGCTCGTCACGAACACTACCTTGCTCACAACATCGGTATCAAACCTGGTATGAAGGTCCTGGACGTTGGATGCGGTGTTGGTGGACCTGCTCGGGAGATTGTCAAATTCACAGGGGCTCATGTCACCGGTTTGAATCTCAACGAATATCAAGTCCAGCGTGCAACTGTCTACGCTGAGAAGGAAGGCCTTTCTGATAAACTCAAGTTCGTCCAGGGTGATTTCATGGTAAGTTCGCTCCCATTGTTGACCAGATTTAGTTGTTAATTCTATGATAGAAAATCCCCTTTCCTGATAACTCGTTCGACGCCGTCTACGCCATCGAAGCAACAGTTCACGCACCTTCCCTAGAAGGCGTCTACAGCGAAATCCGTCGCGTCCTCAAGCCCGGCGGTGTCTTTGGAGTATACGAATGGCTCATGACAGACGCCTACAACAACGACGATCTCGAGCAACGCCGTATCCGTCTCGACATCGAACAAGGCGACGGCATCGCGCAGATGTTCAAGGTGGACCACGGACTATCCGCGATCCAAGCAGCAGGCTTCGAGCTCCTGCACCACGAGGATCTCGCGGCGGAAGACGAGGGCACGGCGCCGTGGTACTGGCCGCTGGACAGCGACATGCGGTATGCGCAGACTCTGGGGGATCTGTTGACGGTGTTCAGGATGAACAAATGGGGACGGCTGGTGATGCACAATGTGATATGGGCGATGGAGGCGTGCTGTATTGCGCCCAGGGGCACGAGGAAGACGGCGGATAGTTTGGCGTTGGCCGCTGAGGCGTTGGTTAAGGGTGGGAAGAGGAAGTTGTTTACGCCGATGTACTTGATGGTTGGGAGGAAGCCGGAGGAGTCTGAATAGGGGATGCTAGTGCAAGATGTTTGGAGGTTGACGATGAGTGCATATAACAGATTTGGTTGGGGTTAGAGCAAGGAGATTGAAACTATTGCCCTTGAAGCTAGGAACAAATAGACTAATATTGCAGTATTTCTTAAACAAAAAGAGCGTTTTCATCTACCTCATATAAAATAATGGCCTCCATCATACACTAAATACTCCAATATTATCTCCAGGCCACTCAGTCAGAGTATCACAGAGCTGGTTGTGTGACACTGATTTTAATGAGTAAAGATCAACGAATTTAAACAATAATCAGGGTTCTGGTAAGAAACTCCATCCTTGACTATAGTCAATACTAATATCTTAATATGGTTCTTCTTATTCTCAGACCTATCAGATAGAAGTGTCCAGGTAGAAAGCAGCGATAGGGTACCCACGTGTTGAAAGCTTGGTATGACTTATCGATAAGATTGCGGAGCAAATGCAATCTCCACTGCCGATAGTCTCACACAGCCTCTATGACCGCGCGTCAAGGATTAATCACTACCTAACGTTACGAAGCAGCGCCGTAAGCGGGAATACTAGGTATTCTTGTCTCTGCGAATGCAACATCTGGCTCGGAAGATGAAGAACCCGAGCTACTAGATTGATTCCATCGCTCAACACAAGTGCCATGTCTGTATCTGTATTCGGTATTTCATCTGTGTATCCGTATCTTAACTACTGGGCCTAGACCTGGTGGCTGGGGTCCGATCGTGGAGACAGGGCTGAATAAGGACCCCAGTATCAGTAAAGCGGAGAGCCGTGTCATTTACCGTTGTATCGATAGGAAAGCAGAACGCAACATTTCAACAGTCCAAGAGGCAAAAGTAATAGGTCTTGGCTGATATAGACCAATTACGACATATCTCTACAGGCATTAAAGAGGCTGAAGCAGCACATCTTGTTTGGCGCCCAGATGATCATCAACGCCCAGCGAATGGAGCCGCTCATCTCACGTCATCATCATAGTCGTGGCGCTTCACCCTGGGGACCTTCTTTAGCCCAAGCTGCTTATCCCTGCTGCATGCTTGTGCTTGAGAGAGATGGGATCCTGCAGCCCTTTTTTTCTGCTTTTAATTTTTAATCCCCGTGGCCCCCTCTCAGCTCTTACGAAACACTTTCTCCCCCCCCTCCTCTCTGTCCGAGTCTAGCTTGGTAAAACACAAGCTTCTCTTTAATCAATCCAGCGATTACGACTATTAAATAAATTGTGCCTTAGCGACGCGATATTCAGATTGATACTAGTTACGAAAACTCCATATCTATATACGATAAGTGGAGTTGTTGGGCGCGACACCGATTGTTAGGGACATCGTGGCTGCTGGAGACCGTACCTTGCAGCTGAAACAAAACGAATTGAACCCGGTACGACACCTACATCAGAACCGCCAGCATGTTGAAAAAGAAGGAAACCCTCACCATCATCACGCCCATTCCCGGCTTCATCCCCCGCCAACTCGCCATTGATCTCCTCCACTCCCACGGCGAAATCATCACCCTCAACCCTCTCGTCCTCTCCCACAAGCCCATCACCGCTCCTCGCAATGCCGCCGCCGACGAGTACTACAGCACCTGGTATGAGATCACCGAGCGCATCCAGTACATCCCCGGTTTAGGAAAGATGGGCTCCGGAAAGCTTACTTTCAACGGCTGCTTCCACGATATGCCGTGGGGTATGCAGTCGCACATCTATATCCCTCTCGGTATCGACATGCGAAACAAGTACCGCATCATGGGCAACCAGCCCGGTATCGAACCCCCCGAGCAGCCTGAGCTTGGTCTCGAGCAGCTCGGAGCGCCCAAGGAGGGTCTCTATCTTCGCACTGATGTCGAGCTCAAGTGCAACATCACTCTCATGAGCTTTGTCAAGGCCGAGTCGAGGAAGGCTAGTGTCGACATGGTTAACCGCATGGTCAAGAAGGCTGAGCTGCTCGACGCCGGTCTGCTCAAAGCTATGATAGAGGATGGAAAGTTGAAGACGTACAATCCCAATGATCGAACCGAGGCCAGCCAGGCGAAACAGCAGGCCGCCTTGCGACACCAGTCCTTCGCTGGCGCTTCTCCCGGCCCAGCGCCCTTGAGTCCAGGCCCTGCCTTCTCCCAACCCTACGGATATTCTCAACAACAGCAGCAGCAGCAGCATATGCAACCGCAGCCATCACCAACGTACCCTTACGCGCGTCCAGACAACGGTGGATCTCAGTATCCCCCCAGCCCAGGCCCATACGGCTATCACCCAGCCCAAACACCGCCACCCGGCGCGCAATACCAAACACAGCAGGCCCAGCAAGCACCGCCCATCCCGCCCAAGACCAACATCCAGAGTTTCCCCATGGAGCTCCCCGGCGACTACTACCACCCGCAGCAGTCGCCCAACATGCAGCCGCAGCCTAGCCCCGGCCACGCACCCAACAACTACCGCAACTCGACGGGATCTTACGACCCGCGATGGTCGCAGTCGACCGCGTCTGCCGTCGACTCGCACCGCAACAGCGCGTACTCGCAGCACTCTGGAGGGTTCCAATCGCCTGCACCCCAACAGCAGAGTTTCGCAGCCGAGTTGCCTTCGCATAATGAGACGTCGGAAGAACACAGGCACTGAAGCTGCAGTACGTTTGGGACTATTAATGAACGGGGTTTTGTTTAATAGCGACGTTAGTGTTTTATTTTGTTGGTTTGAGCACATTTCTTGGGGTGCCGCTGTTCTGGGATTAAAATGATACACGGAACAGGCGTTTGTCAGGACGAATATTTCTCGGATGTAGATACCTTATGTTAACGATGTCACACTTTACAGCAATCAGGAAGACCAGAGTAAACCAGGCAGGTTTCTCGATAATTCAACAATAATGCAACCGAAGGCTTAGCACCCACGTCTTATAGTCTGACAATCCAGATCAATCCAGGCTAAATGGTTCATCGCATGAAATTTGCGAGTTCAACTATTTGGTTACACTCTAGTCTTCATGCGATGCATCATGTGGCCTTCGTTGACTCGGGTAATCATACTTAACAAGACTCGGGCGGTAAGACATCGGTTGCGTTACTGTTGGATTATCGAGAAACCTAGCTGGTAGGCTTCTGATTCCCTGGTTTTAATGCGAGTGATGCTTATACCCTTTTTTGTACTATTGAAACTTTTCGGACATACTGTGTTTCTTTGTAAAGTTCCCTTGTGTGAATAAATCTCCAGGCTGCGACAATGGTGAGTGCCGAGCAATCATCTGCTGGAGAAAGGAATGTAGAGAGATATTATGCCACGATGATAAGAGACCCTCGATGTTCATCTTGCGCTCGGATACTTAAATAAACTGAGACGGAATTCGGACGGTCTTGGCTTACTCTCAACATGGCCTAAGCCAGATGCTGCTGTTGTGTTACGGAATTGCGACTTGCGGAGTTTGGGCGGATCGGGATTCAGCCTCTGTCGGCGACTTTATAGACATGCTCGACAACATCGAAATGACATTCTCATGGGACTGACGGGGAGATTAGTTTGTCTGCTTTGTAATATTGTTAGAGAAAAGCCGAAATAATGCCTTTGGAAAGCTGGAGGGTTGGCATAAGATGCAGCATATCTATGCAGAAGTATCGGTCCAATTCCAGAAGTATTGAGGCTTCAATCGTCTGTTTTATATGCTAGTACATCTTTCTACTTGACATCCTTATTATGCCCTTTGTCCAGCCCAGCGTCGAGCCTTTGCCTGCTGGCATAGACCTCACCAACAAGACAGCCATAGTAACAGGCGCAACATCAGGCATCGGCCTTGAACTCTCCCGCCAACTCCTCGCCCTGAACCTATCAACGCTTGTCATTGCAGTACGAAATGTCTCCAAGGGTGAACAAGTTCGGCGAGATCTCTTGGCTGAGAACCCCAATGCCGTGGTGGAAGTGATGAAGCTCGACATGGAGGACTACGACAGCACAAGGGCCTTTGCTAAGGGTTTTAGAAGTGCTCATGGAAAGCTGCACTTACTTATGCTGAACGCTGGTATAAGTGATATCCAATTCAGTCTTGCGCCGTCTGGTCATGAGAAGAACTTTCAGGTTAACTACCTCTCCAACGTTCTTCTGACTCTTCTCCTTCTGCCGGTTCTTGAAGATACTGCGCAGAAAGAGGGATTCCCAACACGCATTACATGGACATCAAGCCGCATGCATCTCAGAACTAGCCTTGCCAGTAAAGTGCCCCTCAAGAAAGACGAGGGTATCTTTGAGCACTACGACGCCGCTGGTGTGGTCCCTCCTCTCACTCGCTACGGCGACGTCAAGCTCCTCGTTCTTCTCTTCCAGCGCGAGCTCGCCAAGCGATACAAACCGGAAAAGGTTATCATGAACCACTTCTGCCCCGGGATGATACAAACCTCTCTGACTGATATCCTGCCGTGGTACATCCGTCTTCCAGCGGTGCTGCTTGTAGCGCTGAGGGCAAGGTCGGTGGACAAGGCTGGTTGGATCGGACTCAATGCTGCGCTGGTGGTTGGTGAGGAAACGCATGGCAGGTTATTGGGGGATAAGGATATTGCGGAATGGGGAGATTTTGTAACGTCGGAGGAGGGAGAGAGGGTTCAGAAGTTGTTGTGGAAGGAGACGGTTGAGGAGATGAGAAGGATGGTTGAGATACCTTCTTGGATGGGGTGATGTATGCTAGTCGTTTGTCTACTATGGGAATTTTGTCGATCTACATATTGGAGTTCTTTATTTTGACTTTTATGCGACTCGAAGCACTTGGCTGCTCGGAAGATGATGCACTGGCGAGTAATGAGGGCCTGGCTTATCCATATGGGAAGCGGTGGCCTCAAAAGTGAAGTAAGAAGATACTTCTGTTCAATTGCCTTCTTTTATGTGGAACATACTGTGGCTGTTGTTTAGCCTGTTGCATTCGCAATGCGATTCTTTCCGTCACACCTATGCCATCAACGACTGGTGGGAATCAACATTGGAGACGGCTTTGACTTTTCAGCTTCTGCAACTTATCATATTTCCAAAGATTTCATCTCGATATTACTTCTTGCATTAACTATACACACCAGCGATAGTCGGGAATGGATTCGAAGTCGCTAAATGACTCGTGGGGGATGCTCAATAGTCCCCGCGCTCCCTCTGATGTCAACAATCTTTAGGCTTCGGCAGCCATGTATCCATGTTATTCTAGACCTTGTAGGCTTATAACTTGGCGACCTCTCTCGACAACCTTACAAGTATTGCCGGAAATGACCATCGGTAAGGTAATTTTGTTGGTAGCATTGTATGCCTAAGCTCCCCACTTCTGATGCAGGAGAGAGGCCTCAGAACGATAGTTCAAGCTTCGACGGGTGCAGCACAAAGCAAGAAAATAAGTGGAGGGTTCAACTTCTTGCCTAATTGTAGATAGCAATACTGACGGTCATGATAAATAGCTTCCTCAAATGAAACAGGCTCTTCATGTCCGTGTCCGTAGGAAGCGGCGCAGTTGGTGATGAGTCTCACTAACGACAGGGGTTATATACGCGCTGGTCCAACGGATCTCAGTATTGCCAACAACCTCTCAGTATATAATCTTTGCAAGAGAATGTATCTGCGAATATACAAAAGACATCATAATTTTTAACATTGCAATCAACACGACCTGACCTGTCGCAGCCATGGCTCCAACTCTCAAACAAATCGTGATGAAAAACATCCGCGACCATCACTCAAACTCAACCTTTGAGAGAGTCCTACAAACAAAAGATGGTACTTCCTCAGAGCAAACACCGGACACAGCGGCTATGGTTCGCGACTGGGAAGATATATGTCAGAATAAAGGCAAAGAGGGCCAGGAAAGGCTAGATTTGGCCATCAAAGCTGGGAAGCCCGACGTTCCTAGTATGACTGATGAGCAAATTAGCCGCATCACCATTAATACGTCTTTCTCTAAAGACCTCGACAGCGACACCTCCGAGGGAAAACCAGAAGAGAAAGAAGAGGATCTCAAGTTTGACCAGTACAAGCACCATCAATACGTGCGGCGATGGGGTCTGTTCTCTGACTCGGATGGTCGTGATGAGGAGTGGTTCATCGCCGACCCGCCTGTTCTTGAAGAGAGCGACCCTCAATATTTATGCGACATGTGTCGGCATATCGACTTCAAACGCTTATTTTCGGAGCGAGGCCTGCCAGGAAATCACCTCCCAGGTGCAACCCGCATTACGCTATTTGGGATTCACAAGGTGATGGACGAGAGAAGTCAATGTGCCTTCTGCAGATTGCTGCGAAAGAGAATCCTTCACGATGGCATACTCTCGGACGTTGAGGCGAAGGACTGGGTTGGCATGTCTTTCAGCCTCAATGTTCTAGACGATGGCCCTGACTATGCTATGAGACTTGAAGTCGAGTTCTCGGATCAAAAGCGACCAAAGTCAAGGCTGATTATACATCTAGTCGATCAGGAGTCAGATCACCTGCAGCCCCTCCATGGTCTTGAAGTCAGTCGGGATATCGCTGATATGGCTTGTCTCCGAGGTTGGCTTCGTACGTGCAAAGAGGACCACCAGCCGCAAGAGGCTAATTCTCCCGAATATCTTAAGCCTCTGACAGACAAACTGAGAGTCATCGACACATTGGACAACTGTATCACTGAAGTAGATACACCCTGCGAGTACATCTGCCTCTCTTACGTGTGGGGGACTGGCAGCCAAACGCAGTGTACAACCAAGACAAAAGATCAACTAAGCAGACCCGGAGGGCTAGATGATGCCCATCTTCCTCAAACCATTCTCGATGCTATCAAGGTCACCAAGCAGCTCAGCGTGCGATACATCTGGATAGACGCCCTCTGCATAGTGCAGGACGACAACGACGACAAAGCAAAGATTATATCCAACATGTCGCGCATTTACGCCAACGCCCTGTTGTCAATCGTGGCTTCTACTAACGTTAACCCCACGGATGGACTACCTGGGGTTGGAGTTCCTCGGTCGCATGGACAGGATATCGAGAAGATACAAGGGATTACCCTTGCTGTCGCTTTCCAAGACGCGCGACAGCGATACTCCGACATCGAAGACCAGCTGTGGAATACTAGAGCGTGGACTTTCCAGGAGAGGATTCTCTCACGACGCTCAGTCTACTTCACAAACTCACAGATGTGCTTCGTCTGTCCACATGGCGCTACGTTTGAAGACACCGTGCCTGTCACGCATCCTGGATACAAAGTCAAACCGTTCCACGACCAGACTCAGCTTAGCTCCCGGGCTTTCGATCTATGGATGCGCATATGGGTTGATCCAACACAGTCCAAGTTCATTAATAAGGCCTTCAAGAGCGACGATGAGACGACAATTTTTGTCGGCGCAGATGAAGACCGTACTGGCGAAATGTGGGATGATGTTCCGCGCATATACAAGTACGAAGCCATCGCCAGCTCAGATACCATCGATGCGCCTCTTATCAAGGGCAACACCATGTGGGATATGTACGCCCATGCAGTGGATGCATATACAAAACGAAACATGACATGGCAATCCGACGGCGTCAATGCCTTTGTCGGTATCACTGATCTCATTCGTCGCGGAACCAACACCAAGTTCTGGCAAGCCATGCCTGAGTTTGCGCTTACACAGGCTCTACTATGGTGTGCCCAAGAGCCGCTTACGAGACGAAGGTCAGAGGATGGAAAAGCCTTATTCCCTAGTTGGTCATGGGCCGCTTGGAAAGGGCATGTTTCATACCGCGGCAGGGGGTGGCATAACGCTATATCCTTTGCTCCAGCTTCAATGGTGATGTGGTTCTTAAGAATGACTCCTGAAGAGGCGATGGAGATCTACATGACAGAAGAGAGGACACAGGAAGAAATCGACGAGTATCGACAACAAGTTGGAAATGCTAGCAGTCTGCTCCGACAGCCCAATCCCATTGAGCTACTCAACTTTTACCACGAAGAACAAGGTTGGAAGGTCGAGCGTGATGAGACTCGCAATCAGCATATATATGTACACGATGCCTATCCTGGCGTGAGGCTAGATCATCCGATGAAGCTCCCTGGCCAGTCTATCGTTGAACTACCCTGCAAGGACAACGGTTTGTACTTTCGCGCCAAAGCAGTACCAGCACGGCTATGCGAAAAACCTGCCACAGCTCATCAGGCTTCTCCCATACAAGACAACTTCCTCCAAATTGGTCTCAACGATGAAGATCGTTTCTCCAATGCCCGCGCACCGTGGCAGCGCATTATCTACCACCAGGGCTATCGCGCCGGAAGCCTCACTCTCAACGTGCCCCTTGAAGAACTCAACATCCCCTCGACCGCAGAACCCAGCACAGAGAGATACATCTTCGCCGCGATAGCCCGCCACGGTCTTCCCCACATGGCGCCGGCGCCCATCGGCTGGGACAGATACTGGGGCCTTGATCCCATGGGTTTCCAGGAAAAGGTCTTTATGGAGGAGTGGACAAATAACGGTACCGCACCCCCTGAGCCTGAAGAGAATGTCGAGCCGGACCCGGAGAAAGTCAATGAGACAGGGGATCCGCGGTGGGATCTGGGTCGGTTCGGTATCCCGACTGTGATAGATGTGTGCGATGTACTGTTGCTGAGAGAGATTGAGGGGGTTTGTGAGAGGGTTGGGGTGGGAAAGATAAACCAGTGTGCGTTTTCTGCTGCCAAGCCGGAGGTTGAGATGTTTACTCTGATGTAGCCTATGCTGTGGTATGTTGATTGGGTGTTGAGTTATCTTCGCTGAGCTATTACTGGCATCGAGATTGCCGGAGGCTCGTTGAAGCATAATCTTCTGTATTTAGGTCACCATATCCTTTACAGCTGTTCTTCCTATGATCACTGCTCCCTTGAAAGGCCAATATCCAGCAGAGATCTATCAATAAAATACGCCCTCTAACACGGCAGCGACATCCAGATGTCCGTTCCTAATAGCCCGTGATCGAGGCGTCTCCCCTTCCTCATCCTCCAAGTATTGGTCAGCCCCTACGTCCAGTAGTATTTGGACCACTGCATAATGGCCTTCTTCAGCGGCATATGATAGAGGTGTCCTTCCGTCATTGTCCTGATGATTAGCCGTCCAATAATTAGAAATAAATCCTACCATTGCTTCGTGACCTTGTTCTGCCATATACGACAGAATAGTCCCCCCGAACTTGTCTTGTAGGTCCAGCTGAACCTCACCAATCTCTAGCAGTAATTCTACCACTGTTTCATGTCCACCAAACGCTGCAAGCCAAAGCGGCGTATGTCCAACAAAATCAGGGTCAGTGCTAATAAATGTAGGCTCTGTGTTGGCTCCCTGTTCCAGTAGCATTCGGACAATGTCCGTATGGCCCATCTCTGCTGCATGCGACAGCGGGGTTTTCCCAAAATCTTCGTCGTTCATCGAATGCTGCTCAGGATCTGCGTTGCATCTTAACAGCAAACCAACGACATCCTTATGGCCATGATACACAGCAAATAAAAGAGGTGTCCATCCTTGATAGTCATGCTTGCTGCATTGTGACCCAACACCAGCTCCATGACCAATCAACATCTTGCTCGCTTCCACATGTCCATACTCTGCTGCGAAAGATAACGGAGTTCTCCCTGCGTGGCCACCATTGTTTGAAGGCGGCCATAAAGACTCCTCCTCCTTGTTTTCATGCTCCTCCGAACCTTTGGAATCTGCTTCGGCCCCGGCTTCAAGAAACAGGGAAACAATTGCTTCATAACCAAGTTCAGCCGCATAAGAGAGTGGGGTTCTGCCTTGGCTATCTCCAGAATCTGGATGAAATCCTGCCCTCAATAGTTCCGCTACAAGGTCTGCAAATTGGAAATATGTCGCTAAATGTAGAAGCGTCACAGACTCTGGCTTTGGAGGATCTGCGAAATAGGTGCGGGCTCTGGATGATCCCCCTACCATCAATACAGTAATCGAATTTTCGACCGCTGATCTGTCGTCGGAAAAGATCATCAATTCTTGTGTTGGAAGTGAGGATTCGCGGGCGTGATGGCCCCAGTGTCTCGCAGCATAATCATAGAATGGATGGGATGCAAGCCATTCTTCCAGCTCTTGCAGTTGGGTGAAATTGTCTCTCGGAAATCTATTCAACGAGAGGTAGTCCAGGCAACTCCTGGCGATGTACTGTTCTGTGCTTGGTAGTAAATCGCTGGATCTTGATTTGAGATATTCTCGGAGAGTAGGGTGAACCAGTTTTACGATGTTTCTGCTCCGGTCAACAGTTACTAGTCCAGCGCACATGGCCAGCAATTCATCTTCATCGAGCAGGTCTGAGCTGCCGACTGCTCGTTGTAGTGACTTGGCGAAGAGAGCATACTGAAGCTCGGTCACGGTGAGCTCTCTTCTTGCGTGTGTGAGCCACACAAGTATCTGTTTAGCAAGGGCGGCACGATATGGCAGCTGCTGTTTGATCTTGTCCATTGTTTGTTGGTAGAAGCCGACCAATGCTGTGTCCCCTTCAGATTCTGCCTCTACCAAGCTGATGATCTCAAGAATAATGTCTCTCTCCGTGGTCTGGTGCCTTAGAGGGTCCAAGTGGAAACGGGCGAGAGGAAACCTGCAATGTGTAAGCACATATCTCCATTTAGATGCGAGCGAGACCTACATTCCATCTGCAGATTTCAAGATTACAGTTTTGACAAAGTCTCGAAGAGCACTGTTCTCCTGGAAGGGCCCTGATAGGTGGCTCAAATAGTCATCGACATATTCGGCTACATCGTGTTCTGATGCCGGAAGGTCCAGAAATACCAGATTGCTGAAGTTGGGTTCCATCTCCAACGTAATGTTGGGGTCGACCAGTGAAGTCACTAAAACGTTTATGCCGTGCTGCTGTTGAAGACGGGCAAGTTCGAGGAAGATTGTTTCCCAGGAGCTTTCAACTACTCCGCACTCGTCAAGAGCGTCGATCACGATGAAGACTCTTGAAAACTCTACAATCACTGCTTGAATAGTGTCTAAGACCTGCTGCAATGATGGGCGAGTTCTTTCAATCCGATGCGCCTCATAAAGAGACTCTATAGCAGCTGGTAAGGAGGGCAAGCATCCGGCAAGCTGCTTGAGAATGCACGCAAATAGCTGGTCTGGTGTTTGCTGGTCGCGTCGTTCGAAGTTGCAGTAAATGTATGCTAAGCCAGTATCTAAGTCTCCATAAAAGCGAGTGGTGAGATGATCAATGACAACTGAGGTTTGGAACGTGCCAATTCGCTGGATACCTTGACAAAATAGAAACTGCCCGTGGGTAGCTAACCAGGTAAGGCATTCCTTTGAGTCAAGGAGCCAATATCCAGTTCCAGACGGTACAAGACTTCGGTACTCGCTTTGCTGTGGCCTATAATCGGTTGTCGTGAGCCAGTCAAGGACGTCTTCGCGTACTGGAGACGTAACGCAATGACCTTGTTCTCCTGTCAGATTTGGCACCCGATTTAAATTCGCAAGGACTTACCATCACTCAACAGATCCTTTACCGGTTTCTCGCTCTCTATATCGCGGGGTTGAAGATGCTTTAAAAGCTCCTTTGCATAGGCTGCAGCCACGAATGCCGCGTGCCCCCTCCAGTCCTCATTCCTGTGAGAATCCGCATAGTCGCTGATACCTCGAATAACAAGGCAAGGTAAGTCATGCCCAAGCTCTGAGGCATCCATTTCAAAGCAGAGAACATGACCTCCCAGTTTATGGTTGAGTTTGTCGCGTAATTGGGCGTCCTTGATAACTCTGTTCCCAGATGTAATTAACCCATGGTGGATTAGAATTTCCCTTGGTTCTCTCTTCACAATCATAGACTTGTCACATAGCTTACAACCCTCTCCCTCGGGGTCTGTAACGTGCTTGCAATCTGTCTCAAATAACAGATCTTCGAGTGAAGCCGATTGCAAATAGCTGGAGGCTAGTCGTGGCTGCAGCTCCTTCAGCCTTTCCAAACACTCTGGAATCTTGGTCCCTTCCAATGTATCTTGGACTTTCAGCGCAGCCAAGGCTCTGAGCAGTGACTTAGGAGGATCTCTCAGCGCCGCCGTTTGCTCAAATTCCCCAAGAGCCTTGCCAAAATCCCACTCGATAACACCTGGGTTGCCATGATTAGGTGTACCGACCACGACATCACCAAGTCGAACCTCGTTAGATGGAACACCGGCCCCAACACCAACCATGAGCATGCATTTGATCAATGGGAAAGTGACCATCATGTACTTAGCAGCTGTGTCTGCTGAAATACGCCCAATCATACCCTTAGGAAGGCAGGTGACAACAATGTTGTGACCACTGATAGACCCAAGGGTATAAGTATTCTGGTCATCCGCTGTTTTGGAAAGGTTTGGGTGTTGCTCGTCAAGCATGGCCGACGCTGCAGTTAGCTCTTGTCGTAGTGCGCATATCCATCCGACCGTATAATCAGCCTGTGTCCAAACCTTGATCTCTTGTGATGCAGGACGGCCCATATCATCCTCTTGGCTTTTCTGTGTTGAAGACATCCCAGGGCTGGAAGGGCGTGAAGGATTGTCAGGTTGGTGGATGAACCCATATTTAACTGCGCAGGCTAGTTGACTTTCATGATCGTCTGGGAACTCTTTCCTTTTTTCTTCTGAGATCACGTTCCATAACTCGGTGATTCTTTCTATCTCGGACTCGTCCTCAATCTCGCAGTATGCAGGCCATCTATTGGCAGAGTCTTTCTCGGTCTCGTGGCAGTCACAAGAGACATTCAGGCACTGCAACTCATTATCTTCGTCGATTCCTTCGACATCGCGTTCGCTATTCTTGCCTGCTTTAGCGTCTGATATGGAATCGCTCATTGTATCAACAGGCTCCCCTGTTTCCCTAGGGGCCAAAATCAGCGCCACGTTGGCGAGGTGTTCACGAACATGCTTCTCTAGCTTCTCGAGCGCTTCTTCACGATCCTGATGAGAAGGTCTTTCCTCAATTTCTATTGGGAAACCACCGCAGAAAGGACAGTCTCGCAAGGCGTGCTGAGTGCTAACTATGCTGTGCTCGAGAACGGTCGAACGAAGTGAATCTTTGACCTCTGTTGAGTGACAATTTTCCAGGTGGTCATTCAGCTCATCTGCGCTTGAGAACATTTTGGGAGAAGATGTCGTATTACAATGCCAGCAACGCCATTTAGGTTGGGTATGAGCGTCGCGCATATGAGCAAGCAATCCAGTAAACGTATCTGAGCATGAAAACGGGGAGGAACATTCATCGTAGACGCAGAAGAAAGGCTCGAAGTCGTGGATCAAGTGGTTTCTGATTCATCAATGCGTTAGTCTTGTAACAACCTATAGGCCACTCGTTATATACTCACTTCCATCGCTCGTACCCTCTAGCTTCATTCGCTGGACATACCAAAAAGCAGAACGGGCAAGCAAACGAAGCACCTCCGGGATCAAGCTTGGGTATCGGTGGAAGGGCGCTGTTGAGCACTACAGAAGCGACGGAGCCTCCACGTTCAGGAGCTTTCTGAATCGGACGAATCTCTTTCGTGTTGTATTCGGTAGGCACTGTTTCTGAGAGAATTTGGCTAAACAGAGCCCGTGGCTCAAAAGTGGGCAGGCCCTCGGCGTTTTGGCTACCAAGTTGCGGCTGCGCTGAATATATCGTGTGTTCGGCAATCCTTTTGCTGTCTTGTAATGGTGGCTCAGGGCTGCTCAAAGTTGAGAGTTTGTTCTGGTGCTTCTCCAAGTACATAAACCGGACTCGGCGTGTAGCAATCGATTCTGCCATTCGCTTTCGTAGAGTTTCGCTCGCTTTGTTAAAATTATGGTCGATCTTTTCACGTGCTAGACGTTCAAACATATCGTACATTGGTCCGTTTAGTTTCTTAAATCGACTCACGCGCTCCTGACGATGTTGGGTTCCAGCTAAGCGGATAGACAGCCCCAGCTGGCGAAGGCCAGTCATGGTATCTTCGATGGAAGCCCAGATGTTTGATCCCTTAGATTGCCCGGGCAAAGGCTCATCGTCATCTGATGACTCAACGAGCCTGTAGGATGGTGTAGACGAACAAGTCGAAGAGTTCTCAGACTCGCTGGCCGATGAAGTTCCATCGTAGTAAGTTCCCGTCTTTATCATAGTTATTACATCCTCTAGTGGATTGTCAGATTTAATTTGTATTCAGAAGAGGGTCCTAGTTACCGAGGTATCTCTCCAGTTCTATGAGAAGCTTTTCGGTTAGGTGGCTGACTTGAGGTGCATCCTTCAAACGGTAGGCTACTGAGAGTCGGCCCTCGTCAAAGATACCCAAGTTGGCTGCCCAAATGTTGAAGCTGGTCATGATGTCTCTTGCATCGGCAGCATCAGTGATGGAGTCAAGAGTAGACATCTGGTTCAAGAGATCTCGACATCGGATCGACAACTCTCGGATGCCTGATAACGTCTGTTTTGAAGTCGGAAGCACCGAAGAGTCATCGACTTGATCGTCCATCTTGATCAGTTGCCCTGGTACTGAAGAAACAAGAATTTGGTGAGATGGTGCGTTGTTTTCAGTGATCAGGCTCTACCCCCAGAACATCTCCGCATATCAGCCACAACTGTGACCATCAAACAAGGCCAATGACGGCTGCAGCTTATGACAAATATTGCTTATTGTGCAACGATTGATGCCTGCAGTTTGAACAATCGGGCTCTCAAATCGGTTTTCTCGCCCTCTTGACTAAGCAGCTGCAGTGCTCCTTCTCAGCCATGATGATAGGAGATAACCCCGCAAACTCCCCAACACAGCATTATCTTGACATCGAAGCACAGTTCTGTATCGATGAACATGTTTTCCTGGCTTGGAGCTTCTGCTCCAATCTGCGACACGAAAGACCTCAGTCAGCTACTTGAACAAATCTTACCCGCCTTCAACACCGTTGCTGAGAGGGTCTGCGACGACCTTCGCGACGTTTCGGACGACAAATTGGTAGCCAGCAGGCGAACATCATACACCCACTTCAACGTGCAGTTTTGTTCCTTACAAGGTGTTTTCGAGAAGTGGGACATCGCAGACACATTTCACCGCTCGTCGGAAGCTGAGCAAGCCGAGATCAAAAAGAACATGATGAAGATCCTCGATGAGCTTGAAAATGTCTTTCAGTCCCGGAAAAACAGAGTTGCCGCAGAGGCTTTCGAGCGCCTTGGCTTTGAACGAAGGCCAGAAGAGGTTTACCCAAGGCTTCGCGCGCTGAGCAGGGTACTTCGTGGGAATGTTTCACGCGACGATCAGTTTCTCTGTGACATTGATTGCATTATATGCATCCACAGAAAACGCGGCAATGAAGAAAGGCTGGATCGAAAACTGAAGGCAGCTGCTGACTTCTTTCTCAATCTGAAGTCATCCATCACTCCGTCAGACTTTTCGTGTCCCATCAGACTCTCAGACTATCCTCTAAAGGGACTGAGGCTACTGGCAGACGAATTATTCAGGGTTTTGCATGAAAGTTGGTCTTGTAGATGTCACGTCAACCGGGAAACGCGACTCAATTTGACCCAGCACCAACAATTCCAGACATCTCCTGCTTGGGGGGATTCATTGCCCCGCGAAGCTCGCTTCAGAGTACTGTTCTTGAATGGCTACTGCGGTCATGAGTGGCAAGATGCTGATATTTGTGTCTACAATCGAGAGTAAGTCGTGCATTCATGGGGATGGGTGGGACTAATCGATTTCTTAGTCTCTTGCAAAGTTTCAACCAAAAAGTCCAAAACCGCTTTTGTCAAATGCTTCAAGCTGTTGAAATGGGAGCTCACCTCCGAATGGCTGTGTACAGGCAAACACTTTGGGAGCTGCGAGCTGGTATTGATACCGATCAGTCATTCGTCCCTCAGATACGCAGCGACCAATTCACGTCCCTACGTGACTTGCTTCAACCTATTGGGAGAGACAGGAAGTCTTTAATATCATCTGCCTCCCTTGAACACCGTCTCATCTTGTCGTTTGTACTAGCAACATCTTTCTTGCACTTCTATAATGGGCCATGGATGCCGGTGAGTCTTACCAACAAAAACATATGTTTCTTAATGTCAAGGCGACGGACACTACCAGATATAACCAAACCTTTCTTGAACGCGAATATTTGCGATCAAAGAGAGACCTCACCCGAAACGAGCCTCAATCAGCCACATCCATGTCCTGGCATCCGAGCGCTGGGCGAACTTCTTTTCGAAATAGCGCTAGGAACACCTATCAACATTGACAAGAGTCAAGGTTCATGTTGGGAAACCATTAACCGAGTAAAAGATTGGAGAAGGAGGTGTCAGACGGGGTCTAGAAAAGTACATGATAGTTATTGCCAGGCTATTGAGGCCTGTGTCGATCCGAATAAGTTCGGGGCTGGAATTCTCTCGCGACCTACAGATCAGCCCGAAAGCATAAAAGATTTTATAAACGAGGTCAGGAAACACATTTTCGAAAAGGTTCTATACCGCCTGCAAGAGGCTCTTGACAAGTCTTACCGTATCAAGGTGGACACCCTTCACTCCTATATCACCGACAAAAAGGATAAGTTTTTGCCTGGATCTTTCGATCACGAAGATGAGAATGAGCCCGAAAGGTAAGATAGAAGCACTTCCACAATAACACACTGGCTGACGTCAGGGTCTCCCACAGACAAGAACTTGCCAGGGCATGGTATCAACACCTCGGCGGCGTACACGATCTCGTCTATGGTTATGAAGATAAATGCTCCTTTCTTGGAGATGACGTCAAAAGGTCAACTCTAGTCAAAGTTGCTGTGCTTGATACAGGGCTTCAGCTATCGGAAGAACTCCAGGAGAATTACATTGACGCAGGAAGGATCGATACCTTAAATTCTTATTCCTTCGTCACTAACACTGGAGAGTCGGCGACCGAGGACTGGAAAGTTGACTGTGATCAACACGGATCAAGAGTAGGGCAGATTATCCTCGATGTTTGTCCAAAAGCCGTATTGCATGTTGCAAAGATTTTCAGGTCGAGGGAGGATCTAGCGAACCCTGTCATTGCAGAGCAGGTTCACGATCGCATTTCGAAGGTCAGGTTGTCTCAAAGATAAATATCATAACGATATGCTGATGAATCTAGGCAATCTATCATGCCGCCAATGAGTGGAAGGTGGACATGATAGTTATGTGTTTCGGCTTCGATAAATCAATACCCGCCATCGATAAAGCCATTGATAACGCCATCAAAACTGGTCGTCCCCCATTGTTCTTTGCAGCCACCCGTAATGATGGTGCTAATAAATCAATGGCATGGCCGGCAAGAGATCTCTCAATCATAGGGATTAGCTCTGCCACTGGCGAGGGTCTTGAGTCCACATTCAACACATCAGAAGAGGATGTGCCGGTGATTTTCCACGCTCTTGGCGAAGGAGTACCTCTTGGGCTTGATTCCTTTGGAAAACCAGACAAGGATACAAAATACGTGTCCGGGACCTCTTATGCGACCCCAGTCGCTGCAGGGCTGGTGTCAAATCTTCTGTCATGTGTCCGTATGGCCGTGGAGATTTGTCCTGCACATGACAGGCGTTTATACGACCACATACCAGAAGCATTACGGGGAATGAAGGGTATGTTGAAAGTGATGAGTCAAAAGATGCAGACGAAACATGCTCGTGGTGATAAGTGTTTAGCTCCCTGGGATTTCCTCAGCATGGAACGGCTAGGGAAAAGGTCGATTTTGGAAGAAGTAGATGAGGTGTTGAGGAAGTCTTGAGAAGAACTCTGGGATTGTCTGACATTTATATATATACCCGGAACCGGCGATACGGAGTAAGAAAAAGGACCTGCGGATCTATTCAAAGGAAGAACTACTTAAAGCTTTTTCTAATCTAAACTTTAATGAATATTCCTACGTTAGCTTCATAGTAACTATTTTTAAGATATACTTCTTGTTAAATTCTCAAAAGGTTATCGCCTAGAGTGGTTTCAAGACTTCAATTGTTCAAGTAGATAGTACCTAATGAGTCACCCGTGGATGTTGAATCCCTAGTCTCTCAGCCCATACGTTCCAAAGCTCTACATATCATCGCCAACTTTCTCCTCGTACGTTTCGGGGAATCCGAGATTTGCCTCCTCCTCAAATTCGAAGAGGTCCCCGATCTTCTCCGAATCGCTGCTCTGTTCTCCCTTGCCGTAAACAGCACCCTTTACATAGCTCTCATTCTTGGTTTCTGTTTGACCCTTCTTCTGCTTGATCCTGGTGAGCTGGTAGGCGAAGATATAATCAGTAGATCCTCCATAGGATACACCCTGCTTGTCTTCAGACCTCCAGCTGGCGTCGGGTCCAAAGTCCACTGGAGCGCCCACGCTGGTGAGAGCGGCCTTCAGCTCGCCCTTGACGGACCGGTCACGGCTACTCTCAGCGGTAACGCTTGCTCCCCTTGCGACCTTGATGCCGGTGATCAAATAAATGGGCTGTTTTCCGCGATGCACATGGAGATATGCCTTCGCACCCGCATCCTCAAGTACTTGAGAGAAATACTCGTCGTCGGGTAAGAAGTATTTGGTTTCCAAATGATCAAACCTGTGCTTTTCCATTGATGACTTGATTTGACTGAAGCTTAGGCCTCCGCCGATAATCTGCATGCATTTCGCCCAGAAGCCGACATTGCCCGAGCGCACCTGCTCAAGAGTGGTCTCCCAGTCAGTTTTGTCTCCATCATAGATATCAGACTCTTGGATTGAGATGATGTCGCTTTTGGCGATTTTGCTCTCTGGGTTCTTGGGGTCTTTGATGAGTCGCCCAAGGACAACAGTGTTGCTATCAGCGGGGATGTCCCAGTTTGGGGATGGAATGTAGGTAGGACTGTAGGAAGTCATGATAGTCTCTTTAAAAGAAGCTTAATTACGTGGAGATTCGGACACACGGAATAAACTGTGAAGACCAGCGGTTTTTCGCTGTAAAAGGGGGTGGATAGGTATTGTCAGACGACTATCAACAATGAGAGTAGCGGGCGCTCTCAGGCCTATAAATAGAGGGCATATACGATTGCGAGCCTGAACAGTTCCTCCATCCTGCGTGACATTTCAGCTGTGCCAAAACGGTCGCAAACCGGGCAGGGCCATCTGCAATGCCAAGTGGCATGCAGAATCTCGGTGAAACACAGCGAATAGGAATGTAGCAACCTGCACTTTGGTATCACTTAATTTCAGCCACTATATCTATCACAGCACTATTCGCTCCTGGCCTGCTTGTATGTCCTCTTCGTCTTGGCGGTGGGGTAATTTATGTATTACTTAAGTTTCGTTCTTGAAGACCCTGAGAATTGTTAACCCCACCCTTCCAAAAGGACATCAGCAACTTACCCGTGTGATACATCTACCGATGAAGAACTCTTGCAAAGCCCTTTGGCGGACATTTCGGACAGAAAAGATCATAGACAGACTTATCCACCCCCTTGATTCTTCCACAGCCCCCAAAGATCCCAACACCAGATTCACCTTTGGCGAAGTGGCAGACTATGTCTTCTCGCTTCGAGTCGAAGCGGTAGTTGCACCAGGCGCAGGTCCAGTGTGTCATTGAAGCTTCGCACATGATTCTGGTTTCAGTGGTTGAAATGTGAGAGTATTTTGTGTGTGAAATTTGGGATGGTGGTTTGGAGCTTGAGAGATGGGTGTTGTGGTTGAAGCTTGCAAGGACTTTTCGAGATGGGTTGGAAGGGCAAGATGTTTTGAGAGAGATGTTTCACTCTGGTGGGATTTATATAGATCTCCTTTCAAGGTTTGATATTCAGACTTTTTGAGAGAGGCCAGATGATCATGCATGAGGAGTCATCTTATGAGATGTGTATATCGTGAAGCTTGTATGTAGGTTTTACTTTATGACTGTGAAGGTTGTTTCTATTGTGCCCGGAAGCTTATAATGAACGACTCTATTTCTAAGAACAGTGCATATATTATCCCAGATTTGTGGAGGCGAGGACTCGTGATAGTGAAGTTGACTCAATACACAATGCATCGTGACCTTTGGCATTCTATTGTTTGGGCCCTCTTTTTATTGTAAGACTGCGCCTGGGGAGTTCATCCAGACTTCTACTGGTCGGTATGAGTCAAATATTAAGTTGCTAGATATTTGAAATGAACTCAGTTAACTCGCCGAAGTATTAAATAAGGTTGTTCAGGCATATAGAGGTCTTGTAATTCAATATTCGAGTGATTCTAAGCAATGTGTGTTATTAATATACTTCTGTATGAACACCTCATCAAATACAGACCAATATTGTAGGCTATAAACTTGATAGCCAGCAGTACTTATAAAATCATATCTGGTACTAAATCATATGAATGGATCGTCTTCGACAATTATTAAAACATTACCGTGCTCTGACGTCACAGAATCGTATGCCGTGAGACGCATGTCAACTACAAGGCGTACAACAACAATACAAATACCATCCCTATTCTCACAATCATCTTCATCCAGCACTTCATCTACTCATATTGGCATACAATTTCCATAACATACCAGCATGTCACTCAAAACAATCAAAACACGTACTCTGGAAGTCGGTTACTATGACCACGGCTCTTCATCAGGCTGGCCTGTTCTTCTGTACCACGGCTTCCCATATGACATCCATGCCTACGACGAAGTCGTTCCAAAACTAGTCTCAAGCGGCGCACGGGTTATCGTACCTTATGTACGCGGCTTTGGCCCTACACGCTTCCTCTCCGCTTCAACCGTGCGGAGCGGACAGCAAGCAGCCCTTGCTTCAGATGTCATTGAACTCATGGATGCGCTAGGTATCGAAAAGGCTGTCCTGGGTGGCTTTGACTGGGGAGGCATGTCTGTGTGCGCTGCGTCGGCGCTTTGGCCTGAGCGTGTTGTTGGGTTGGTTTCGTATGCTTCGTATGACATTGCCGATCTTGCGAGTTACAGAAAGCCAGTAGCACCAAGCTTGGAGTGTGTCTGTTGGTATCAGCACCTTTTCCAGCAAGAGCGTGGAAAGGCATGTCTATCTGAACATAGACGAGACTTATGCCGTATGCTCTGGCAGCAATGGTCACCGACGTTCTCATTCAGCGACTCGTTTTACAACCGCACGGCCGAAGCCTTCGACAACCCTGATTTCGTTGACGTTGTCATCCACGCCTATAGATTCTGCTTCTCTAACGCAAAAGGCGATCCGGAGCTGCAGCGGCTAGAAGACGTGTTGGCATCCCAGCCCAAGATAAGTGTGCCGACTATTACCCTCGATGGGCTGCAGGATCCTTTGAAGCCAGGCGGTACGGCTGCGCATGCGGAAAAGTTCTCGGGACGGTATGAGAGGAGAGAGGCTGATGTTGGTCATGCATTTCCTATGGAGGCGCCGGGGGAGTTTGCGGATGCTGTTCTGACGGTTCATAATTGGCAGAGTGATTAAGGTGAAGGGAAGTTTTTTGATGGAGGGTTTGGGACATAGCTCCTTAACATGCTTGAACTCATCATGATAATGAAGAGACTGGTAGAGAACTTTCCACATATAGCTCAACTTGGCTAGCCAGTGTACTGAAAGACTTACAGGAACGAAAAGTTTGATATGAATAACTAGAATAGTAAGTGCGAATATATTTTTCGAGCTACTCATATTAGCCAGAATAAAATGTAAGAAAATCAAAAGTTCTAGTTGGCTTGCATTGTATGCGAGTACATAGACAATTCCACTTGTCTCAAATGGCCAGTCTCACAAAGCGAACAAGTCAATAGCCGATTCGGCATACTAGGAATGCTTCAGATAATAAGACTACGAGCAAATCATGACATTCTCTAAACAAGGACTAGACCTACATACCACGTAAACCAAATATATTTTATTAGGTTCTTCTAGGTAGTTGGCCATTCAAACATTCTTAACCAACTAACCAATTAAAAGCCTCGGGCTCTCCTTTGACAACTTCTGGGTTGCGGTCGGTCCCGCCAACATGGCTAGCATGGCTAACGCAAACTCTAACTCGAACCTTCAACACGAGTAAACGAAAAGCCAAGATGAAATTCTGCATGACGCCGGCGTCAATGAGGCGCTCATCAGCGAGGGTAAAATAAAAACCGTGGAATTTCTAATGGAATGGATCATTGCAGCTATGTAAACTCACTTCTATTGATTTGACCAAAGTACTACCTAAACTCCAATCCGGTATACATTCCCTTCATCTTCACAACTCCCAATTCCTCTCCCAAAAAAACCCATGCACACATCACCCCCGACGGTATTACCCATATCCGCCATAGCGCCAAAACTGCGCCGCTGGCAATTCGTGGGCGATCCCGATCTCGAAACGCGCGTCCATCGCCAAGCCCAGAATCCCTTCCTCGTCTAGAAGCCCTGGGCCTGGCCTCCCCTCCATGCAGGTACTGTACCTTGTTTTTCGTCACCCCAACGAACAGCGATCCCTGCCCCGTGCGGTAATTCTCCTTAATCCTTGCTGAGGACGTCAGCCAAGAGAAATTGGCAGACGCGCAAATGCTGTACAACGCTGTGTAAAGTATCACGAACTTTCTTGGGGCCACAGAATGCAAACACTTTAGGTCTTGTAGTAATTATGGTTCTTGTCTCTGTTCTTGTTCTTATTCTGTCATGAATGGTATATAAAAAACCCACGCTATGAATCAACTCCTACCCAAATGAATCCACAACCAGTATCTATAATAATCCCTTGCCATCCCGGAAAACCTCGTCATACCAACGTGTCTTCTCCTCATCAGCTTCATTACTTGATTTGCAGATGGTGTCCCAGTCTGTCGGCCGTAGCTCCCAGGCCTTTGTGTCTCTATTCTTGCCAAACAGGAGCGACGCATTTCCCCTGGTCTTTGCGCCGTATGACCATACCTCCAGATTGCCCTTGTCGGCTGCAATGGTTGCCAACGGCGTTGTAGTGTTTGCTGTCATGTGCACCTCCAAAAGGTTGCGCAGCTGGGGGAAGTACCACGTCTTATCCCACCATGTCGTCCTGCGGCTCTTGAGGCCGTTTTTCCAAGCATTGTGGTGAATCGCGACAGGGATCGATGTCGTCCAGAAGTCAACATACAGCGCTACATCTCCCCATGAACCTCCGTGCTCGGTACCATCGCTCAATTGAGCAAAAGGAGCTTCTGCGACGGAAATGTCGCCGGGGACGCTGTCAATGCGTGGGGGTGAGACGCCTGCCTCGCTTGAATGCTTGGCGATAGATTTCGGACCGTCGAGAGACACGAAAGAGCCGCTATAATCCGAGTAGCAGGTCGGGTAGAAAAGTTCCTGTGTGTAGTCCAGACCGACGTGGTATTCGAACTCGTCTCGCGCCGATAACGCTGCCAGCTTGCCTGGGTTGGAGCCGGCAAAATCGTCCTCCTTGACCTGTCTACGCCAGAGCTCTTGTTCGCCAAAGATCTCTGCGAAAATACCCTGGTCACCAGCGAGATCCTCGCTAGACCGGACCTCAAGAAGGTCTTGGTCCATGCGATCTTTGACGCGCTGGAAGTATCGGCGCATATCGCCTGCGGGGCCCATGAAACTGCCACTGTTGACGAACTTGGGGCGCATGTACTTGTATTTCGAGACAGTGTAGTCGGTGAAGAAGCCAAACACGTCCTCGGGAAGTGTGCTATCGGGAACGTCGTGGCAGTAGAGGTTCGAGATCTTGTCGCGCGGGGCGATGCATCCCTTTTGCGCGGCTATCACAATGGTCTGCTGCATTGTGTCCTTGTCGAAGAAGCCGTATTCCTCGGCAATTCGTCGATTTGCCCTTTCGTTGCTGCTGTAATACCGGTGCATCATAACGCTCGGTGGTAGTTGTAGCCAGATGTCGTGGGCGTCGAGCATCAAAACGAGATCCTCCTCTCCTAATCTTTCGTCCTCGGAGACCTCATCCCCAGTGGCCCATTGCAGGTAGTTGAGAGTACCAGTGATTTTGCCCAATTGCGAGGGTCCAATGCCATCTGCGTCGGTGTGGAATTCTTTCTTCCAATTAACGATAACGGGCGCTGGGTAGCCCAGAGCAACAGCGCTGCTAACAACCTTGCAGAGATCGGGGCTTGAATCGTCGACGGGCAGTACAATGACAAACTTTCGCTCTCCCGCAGAGATAGTGGCGGGGGTAACTTTGTGGTCGTGGAGTATCGGTCCGGTCGGTTGCCAAACACTATGATTAACGATCTTATCGCGTGGTCAGCGGTTTGCGAAGCTTGATAGGTGAGGAGGTGAATGGCATACTAAGTAAAAAAGTGAAAATGCGACAGTAACAAAAACAAGCAACACAGTGAGTCCCTTCCTAACCAATCTCCAATTTGAGCCATTCACACGAAACCTATGACGAGGACGCGCAGCGCCAGGCAGGGAGATGTGTGAAGGCATGTGGCATGGAGTAACCAGAGAGGTATGTATAAAAGGAGAAGTAAGAAGCAGCAATGAGGTTTTTCGTATTCGATAGCAGGTATGTAGCGGGAAAGGGAGGGACGAGACAGGGTAACGATTATTAAAAAGTGGCACCGTCCTGAAGGAATGTGCGCCAGGTATTGTATAAAACAAGAACAAAGGAGGGAAGAGAAAAGGAACAATTCAAGGAAGGATGGACGCCATGGAAGAGTTATGTTTGAAAGTGGACGAGACGAGGCAGACAGGAGTTCACAGGAGAGTGTACTCCGTACAGTAGATGGGTACATCGGTATACCGGCAGTCATGGTGTAGGGATATAGCTCCTCCCGCTCTAAACCCTGCCAGGTATAGACAAATATGGGTACCTCATTTTATCGAGCCGCAGCAAAGTACCGAGCATCGACGTCTCCCATATAAAAGCTAGAAAAGATACTTGTTCCAGGCTTCAGCCCTTCCTCCAAGTTTGGCAACGCAACGCGTGCTGACCAAAACTTGCGCCCCCAATTCCCAACACCTGGGGGCTAATTCGAGACAGATCATCTCAGTCTCTGCAGCGCTGATTGGCCAGCGCGTGTGCTAGGGCTGTGATTTGGACGACACACGCCATGGTAGGCGAAGTTGCTAGTTTCTAGCAGCGCATCCTTCTGGGGCGGCGCCTCCAAGGCATCTCCCGCAAAAACAGTGGGAGCAAGTTACCAAAAGTTCCAGATGACGCTGATCTACAAAAAGGGCATTCCCATGTGCAGCTTGGTGATGCTGCCAAATGCCAGGGAAGAGAAAGTAAAAAGCCAAGCGTGTCTGTTCCAAGTTATAGGTTTGCTCCAAGGCTAGCCAAGTCAGCCCCCAAGCATTGGCAATGCCAGTACAGTAAAGTACATTCAAATACATTCAAATTTTGGTACTGCAGTAAAAGCCCCACAGCCCTGGAAGCTAATCCACGGGCGCCCCAATGTTAACGTATTACCGCGATGAAACATTCCTTCAGCGCACGAACCTGTCTAGCATGTTGCTAATTAGATGTCCTCTTGTATTATGCTAAGCAGGAGATTTTTCGGTCAGGAAAGGGGAAAGCGTCCTATTAATCTGCGTAAAGCTAGCACGGAGATTTGGGCAAGCAGACTCGTAAGTAGACCTTTGTCGTGATCGTGGATTATACGGATACAATGCCATTAGCCTCGAGACAATCTCAAGACATAGCCGTCAATTTTACATGCATGAGAAACCCCTGAATAGAACAACAGCCACGTTGTGCACTCCAAAACGCATCCGACAGGCGCAAAACAGCTGAGTGGTCAGAATGAAACAAGTCCTGGGCCAGCCACGCGCCAGTCAGCGGGAACCGACTGATGCGGTGTAAATAACAGGGGATAATGATGGGCTGTCACCGTGTGGAGTCCCAATTCTAGCCATCCACAGGCGGCATCTCTTCAGCCCGTCTGACATTTAACAAGGCGCAGTCCCAATTCCCAACGCTTGTCTCCTATGATCTACGGAGCACCCATGAACAACTCAGAAGTGTCCATTACTTACCGGCACCGTGACGATGGGTTAGATTACGAATATCCCGTTACAGAAGCGTTTTAAAGCTATTGCCGTCTTGGTTCAAGAAGGTTACTTTAATGTGACGCCGCAGATCAGGAGAATTAAAAGAAATGACGACAATTTTCCCCATCCATGAACAGAGACAGCCGACCGACTACGTAACCCATCCCACCCTAGATTCTCAGCCGAGAAATCGGGCATTTCCCCTTTCGGTTTGACTCGTCGAGTAGCTGAGGTCTTGCTTTGTCAAGTGTCAACCGTTGTTGTTTTTGCCGATTTACCGTTCCTAGGTGGGGGCCGAGACCGGGGGCTGTGTCTATTGAAATTTGGACTTGACAACCAAAACCGGGCGATGGATCTGCAAAGAGTGCGTGGTATCGTGACGCCTACTGGATACCTAGAAGCAATCCTATCAGGTATTTTCGAGTTCCAGGCATCAACTTTACCGGTGGATGGGCATCGTCACAACTTCTAGGACTAGGCTGTCACTCAACCTTGATATATACTGTACTTTGACAGTTGTACGCAAATCCTGCACTTAATAATTGCCCAATGAAACCCTCACATGCAAGAGTATTCACATGCCCCTCGGGCCTTGGCCATCTCTCTACCTTGTCAACATTAGGAAATAACCGAACCGCGTGTCCCTGCAAACCCAAATACACAATACCCCAATCACCATGGACCAGTCACTCATCACCACAGTTTTCTCAAGTGGATAGCATACTCCATCACACCAACAGCAAAATCCCCATGCTTCGCCATAACAGGCCTCATCTTCTGCCGGACCGACGGGTCGAGAATCAACGTCCCGACAAGGCGACACACAATCTCACGCATTGCAGTGTCAGTAGGTGGCGTAGTCTGATATAGCTCGTCGACAATATCAGGAAAGCACTCGGCCTCTTCCCAAACAATCTCGACTGAGCGGTAGAAGCGATCGCGTGCCAGCAGGCGAAGAGCTGGGACGTCGTACTTGTCTGCCATGACGTAAAGACGGAGAGGCAGTGTCATGTCGTTGCGTAGATCGGCTAGTTGCTGCATGGCTTCTGTCTTGGTAAGGAGTGATATGTCTTGCATTGCTTTCGCACGTTCTTTTTCATCATTCCGAGTGTTCTCGTCGTAAGAGTTCTCGTCAAATTCGGTGTACTCCTCCTCTGGTTCCTTTTCTTCCTCTTCTGGGTATTCGTAGTCTGGATCTATATCATGGCCGATTTCATCAGTTGATTCGCCTTGTTCAGACTCTGGTGTGTTCTGGTAGACGCCAGGTGGAACTTGCAAGTTCTGCTGGACAGTCTTCGGGTCCAGCATAGCCGCAGTAGATGGTTTGCCCCATGTAGAGTTGACGCCGTCACTGTAAGTCCCGGTGTAAAGAAATTCAAGGAAGCGTTCTACGACATCTGGGTCATCTTCTGGTAGTTCCACAACTCGCGACATGGCTTCCTGTGTTTTCAAACTGTCAGTGAAAAGCCGGACCTACTGATCACAAGTCTCTATTTCCACCTAGCCTGGCAGCGGTATGTACCTTGAAATTGCTACTCATAGCCTTATCAAAGAAAGAAGACTGTGTGCACACAACAGCACGGTGAGCTTTGAATTCACGTTCACCACAAACGATGGTCATGTCTGAGAACTTGTCGCTACCGAGTAGAGTCGAGAGAGCAGCGTGAATAGATGTGCCGCAGAAATCATCGATATCGCTGTGATCATCCTCCCTGTATCGACTCCCTGTGGAGGAAGGTGTGCGAATGCCATCATGCGGGGCTTGCGGCATTTCACTTCCTGCTGCTTGATTATGTGCCATCTACACTGTATGCGTTAGTTATCTGATCGAAGATTCATATAATTTCAAGTAGACTTGCTATTGCTGGGTCCAAGCTGTTCCTTTACAGTGGATGATAGAGATAGGTGTGTCCAGGTTCCGGGTTGCTGAGCCTCAGTTGAAATTGTGGATATCTGCCCCGCGGTAGCCTAACAGGGATATATGAGTCGGGCTATCTGCCGGGTAGGTAGTATACGAGGTGAGTTTCGACCAACAGGTGATTAATATTCATCGAACTTTAATCATAGCAACCTAATACGAAACACAGGGATACATTTGATAAATTATTCACATTTGTAATCATCTTAGATGGGCCCGTGCAGAGAACTCTTTTGTATGGTTCTCTGTCATAAAGAAGCCAATAAGGACCACTGCTAAACCACGTTTACTAATCGTAGAACAGTGATGAGAGTGAGGGCCCCCTTGATGGCTTCGTACGCGCCCTCCGATCGTGAGTGGGCAAGAAAAGCCCCTGCCAGAGGTCGTCAGCAAAGTCACTATGCTTCAGCATAACCGGATGAAAAGTTAAAAGCATTCCCTTGTTCTCATACATCTTCCTTACCAAGGCCTCGATGGCAGCCTCTCGTATCACCCGGTCTACTGTCGATGATGTATTTTGGTACAACTCATCCATAACCTGAGGTAGATATTTCCACTTGTAGTCGTCAAAAGCAATTACAAAGCGCTCCCGGGCTATTCTCGCGAGTGGCTTGACGTCATACTTGACTGCCATTACATAAAGACGGAGGGGGAGTGTTATATTGAAGGATGGGTTACCCTGATGAGTCTTTGGGAGTCTCAGATATTCTTTTAGATTCTCGTCGAAGCTCCCCTCACGCCACGTTCTTGAGTCTCTTGTGTTCTTGTCAGGATACCTATCATCTGAACCAACATGCTTGTCTGCTCCCTTGGCGTCGTCGACTTCAGGAAAATCCGATAATGATTTGTCGTCAGTCATAAGGAACCAGCTTTCGAGGGCCTCCCTCAATTCTTCATGTCGCTTTCTACAAGAGCCACACTTCTTTACGCCGTTGGTATAGTCTCCTCTGTAAAGAAACTCGAGGAAGTATTCAAGAATGTCTGGATCGTCATCTGGAAGCTCAATTACACCAGTGATGGATTCCTAATTTCATAGAATTAGCCACGTTCAACCAATAAGTGTCCTGGGACTTACCTTGAAGTAGCCGTTCATAGCCCGGTCGAAAAACGAAGACTTGCGGCATACCATGTTACGATTTACATAGTAGACCCTTCCGTGGCACTTGATAGTCACATCTAAACGAGTATTTTTGCTCAGAAGTCTCATGACGGATGTATGATCGTTGTAATCGAGGCAATTGCACAGTTTCTTTGCGAAAGAAACCGTATGAATTCTCGGGGCCATTGGAAGAGCTAGGAACCTTGAGAAATCAATCATGTCACTTAGACTCTTCGGTGTGAGATAGGTCCGACGCACATCGGGATGATCGGGCCATTCGGAAAGGAGCCCTGGATATCTCTTAGCCTTGTTTGCCAATGTATTGTACCTCATTGGAAGCATTAGGTAGTGTCAGAAAAGATTCCCGCTAGTATGTTACAAATATGACTAGAGTTGTTGACCGAGCTTATGTTGTTGAGTTTCAAAACTTCGATGGAGCTTGGCAACGAGACTATATAATTCAGTAGGTAGCGACTGGCTCTGCATTGTTCACACTGGCGATTGCTAGAACATGTTTTTTTCTCTACCATAGGCAGTCATTCATTGTTCTCTATAAGTTGTTGTGACAGTGAAAAGAATACCCTTTATGAATACAGGCCCATCACGTTGGTGAATTCCCCATGTCCCTTCGGCATATCGAACAATCCCTATACGACTTTGTTGATGAATGGGCGTGGTTGCACTGGCTAAGATGCACTGCATACTAACATGTCACCTGGCACTTTGAGACCATGACATCCAATATTTCCGCAGTGAATCAATTGTGAAGTCGGTTGTGGACGCAGCGTAGAGTGACATTGCTAAATTGTCCGATAGTAACCTGATGATAAGTTTACCACTACCTAATGTTCATCTAGAAAGTAACTCTATTCACGTGCCTTTTCAACAATCCCAAATATCTTCTATACACAATGCCAAAGTTATAAAAAATAGGTATCTGCGAAAGCCTACGAACTGTGTTGAAGTAACCTATGACCTAGTTGGTCCGCTCCAACATGTAATCCATAACCCCAGAGCCCAGATCACCATGCTCGTTCATGACCTGCACCATTCTCTTCCTCATAACATCGCTCTCGGTCTTAACAACAATCAGCTTGCATAACGCCTTCCAGAGAGCCCTATCCTCCTGTCTAGTAGAAATGTAAACATCCAGCACCACGTCTTCGAACTCATTTGTGTCCTCCCAGCTTGAGCCCTCCCAGGATGATGTTACCCAGCGCGCTTTAGCTGCCACGTAAAAGCGGTCTCTGGCAAGAAGCTTCAGTGCGGGGATGTCGTATTTGTCGGCCATGATGTATAAATTGACTGCCATCGATATCTCGGGTGGTAGTTGGCTTTTGGGCGAAGCATCAACTGGCTCTGGCTCAGGCTCAGGCTCCACTGTCTGTGCTGTCGGCGCTGCATGCGACAACCTATTTGAACGTCTGATAGTGCGTACTGGCAAAGACGGAGGAGGAACTTTATCCACAAACGCGTCGACAACAGGAGCTTCGGGTAGAGAATAATCGCTTGGAATGGGGCATCGCGGGTGGCCATCGAGCCTGTCTTGGAGCTCCCTGGTTGTTTGGGCAGTGTCTTTAGGTGGACTGTTTCCTACAGTGTAGGTTCCTGTGTAGAGAAATTCGAGGAAGCGTTGGAAAACCTCAGGGTCGTCGTCTTTGCGGCTCGAGATCTTGATAGTGCGCTTCTAGAATCGCCTGTCAGCAGGAGCTCGCGCAGTGCTTCACTGTATGCTACCTTAGCTATAGCAGTAAATTCCCTCTCAAACCATGGACACTGCGAACAGACGACAGCTCGGTGAGCCTTGAACTCGCGACCTCCGCATTCGATTACGATATCGTGATATTTCTCGCTCAGGAAGAGTTTCGAGAACGAAGCATGGACTGACGCAGCGCATAGGTCGTCCACGGATTTCTCGTCGTCGCCTGGATCTATGAACTGCCCCAACGCTGCATCTAAACTGTCAAGCAATACAGGCACTGCTTGAGCAGCATCCGTCATCTCGGTATCTTGCGACATATTGATGTCGAGGATAGGTGCAGAAAGGCGATGTTTTGAGGAGACCGTAAAGAGCGAAAGATGCAGATTAGTCCGGGGAATGCAAATATGGTTGTGAATTTCGCAAATATTTCCTGGCTGTTACGATGGAAACAAAAGTTTAGAAAATGTGCCGGAGTTTGGCTGGAAGATGGGAAGGGTGAGCAAACAAAGCAGGCAGGTGGCGGTCGGAGTAAGAGCAGAGCAGCTTATCCGCAGAAGCAGATACCCGCTTTGCAATCATAAATAATATTGTTTGGGCAAACTACGCATTAGGTGGGAGATCAGGTTTTATGAGGTTTCTTCACATCTCCTTGTATATTGATGCACATTTCCGTCAGTGGCCTGCAGTGTCTTGCAAACATCACCACCGCCAGGCACGGACAGTATGTACGCCATCAGCCAAGACGCAATCATCAGATTCCTACGTAGACGCAAAGAATATTGCCTGCCTAGCATACGTCTTAACCCCCTCCTGATCCAGATCCTCATCCTCAACACGATCCATCTTCCACTTCTCAGGCCACTGACTCCCTATCATATCCGCCACAGCCATCGACCACGTCTCCCAGAACACCTGTATCTCCACCCTCCAATACCACGACGCCCAGAAGCCCACCGCCGACAGGACAATAGCCACGAAACACGGTGCCAGAACAGCAGGTTCTGGCCATCGCGTGATGATGAAGTACAGGGCTGTTCCTGCTCCTCCAGCCCAGAGTCCGAAATGTACGAGGAAAACAAATGCGAAGAGGATTGAGATGACTATAACACACATGATGCAGCAGGAGATGAAGTATAGGAGATACTCGGCAATGGCACGGTTGCCGACCGAGTTGAGACGGCGGGATGCAGAGCGGGATTTGGGCGTGAATCGGTTCAGCATCGTTACACGAGCTTCCATCGCATAGAGCCTGACTGACGGCGATCTGAGGAAGCTGCGTACCAGGTATGTTACGAAAAAGACTATGCCGAGCGACAGACCCCACGTCCACATCTTGGGCGGTGACTCGGTGAGTTCTGCGACTTGCATGGAGAAGATGGCCGTGATGAACGACAACGGGATGAAGAAGAAGGCGAGCTCGGTCAACTTGTTGATGCCAGATGTTTGATCGATGACGAGGGCGGATTGGGCAATGCCAGTTGAGGCGACGAGAAGATTGAGGGTCTGCTCGGAGCGTGATTGGAGAGACTGTAGATCATTCCGGAGCTCAAGCATTTCATCCACTATTTCCTCGGACAAGTTGAGAATATGCCTGGACTTGTTGATATGATCGATCCACTCGCTCAGCTCCTGCAATGTCGAGCGAACCCACGCTACATTCTGCCTTGTCATAGTTCCAGCAGCTTCTAGCAAGTGGATGTGCAAATCAGCACCGAGGTCCGCATCGATATGATCCTGCATCAGCCGGAGCTCGGCAAGGAGCTGCCACAGGTCGTCAAAAGAGAGTCGTGTGAGAACAGACGGGATGACGGAATCATCTTGGTTAAGCTCATTGGTGGGGATCTTGCTGATGTATCGGTACACGAGGTCCATCGTGGATAAAGAGTACTTGCGCGCAAAGTCACGGTCCCGCATATAGGGCTGACGGAACTTGTATGCGGTTCGGAGTTTGTCTTGATAATCTTCGTCGAATTCGGAATCACTGGAGTAGATAGAGTCAGTGTCGTTCCCTTTGTCCTCTACGTCGGAGGTCAGTTTTCCCTTTGTCTTGTCCTTCCTCTCCTGTGCTCGTTTTCGTCTTGCTTCTTTCTTTTCCTTCTTCAGCTGCTCTTTTGTGAATGGTGGTGCGGGTGGATCAAGGTACGTCTCATCCGGGTCAGCAACCCGCCAGAGCTCTTCATCTGTATATGACTCAAACTCCATAGCTCTAGGCATGAACGTCAGAGAAGGGGTCTTCTCTTTTGTCTTATCATGCTGCATGGTTCTTGACGGGTCAAAGACGAGAATGACTGCGGATGTTAGTTCGCAGTCCATAGTCTCGCTGTCTCACTGGGCAGATACTCACTGGTCTTCCTGCCCTTCTGGTCTACGCTGGACCAGTAGCCCAGACCCTCCGGAGCCATTACCCTGAGATCTCTGTTATGCCAATATGTCGGGTTCTGCGGAAGCACGGGGTGGAATGTGCTGTAGGGGCGGTACACGTTGGATGTCTTGGTTCGAGTTGAGGTGCCTTCGATCTCATTACCACGATGATCAGATGGTTGTGAAACATCAAACATCTCTTTGCCCTTCTTTTTGGCCTTCTCCTCTTTCTTCTTCCTTTCTTTGATCTTGTTTTCCGCCCGCTTCTTTCTTTTATCGGTCATGAGTAGACCGTACTTGTCCAGAACGACGTCTCGCTCGATTGTCCAGCGTCCATCAGAGATGCGCTTGGCGATCTCATCCTCATAAAAGCCTTTCCGACCCAGGTAGTGAAGCAGACCAAGACGACCCCAGCGGAGATGAGCCCATTTCCGAGGCTTTGTCCGGCGAGACAAATTCCACTCCGTTCGTTGTCCTATCCCGGGGAGAGGGCGATGGCGAAACCGTGTTTCTTGCTCAGCCCAGTTCATCCATGCTGCGTTCTTCAGTTTGAGCCCGCTGTCGCTTGCGCAGTACCCTGATGATATGAGCTGTTCGTACCAGAACTCGGGATCAACCGAATACAGCTGCCCTAATACGCCCATAACGAAACGACTCAGGTCACTGACCATGATGACACGCACCTGGGAGCCTTCAGGTCGCGTGTCGAGGGCAGCTGCGAGGTCCCTTTTGGTGGTGATAAGCTCGCTTCGCTCTATCCTGTCATCTGCATAATAGTCAACGGTCGAGACAGTGACAGATTCCAATCCCTCGAAACGCTCTCGCCGAGTCACGTTGAGCCATCGCGGATCCCATCGCGCTCGGTTATCCAAGTCATTCATGTACAATTCGGACATTGTCTCTATCCAAAGTTTGAGATTAGAGAACTCTTCTTCGTCGGCATTCTCCTCAGCTATGTCTTGTCGAATACCTCTCGCAAACGTGTCCATGTCGCGCTTACTCCTCCCAAAAGACAGGGGATGAGGCAAACCCTGCGGCCTTTCGGGAGCTGTGACACCTTTGTCTGATCCAAACGAGACCTGTGAGGCATTGTGTTCGTCCAGCGAGTTACGCGGGACAGAGTAATAGGGCTTCCATCTTTGCGAGGTGGGCCACTCAAGATCAAAGCCGCTGAGGCGTTCCTCATCCTTGGGGCCGTCACGCTTTCGTTTAAACATGATCGATAATGGCGCGTCAATATTATGTCGATGTTAGATTCAGCCTTAGCAGGAAACACCCCTGAAATTAGGCTGAGGCTGAGAGCGATGGAACCCTGGCCGTTCTAGGCCAGGTAGGGGTTGACAACCTGCATCTGTGGGAAGTAAAAAGGGGATCATTGTGATTGATCCAGATGTATAGTCAGTTGCAAACAACGGGTAATGTGTTCTGTCGCATGCATTTGATGGCTTCAAAAGCAATGATTTAGCTGGCATTCCTTGCGTAGTAAGTTGAGGCTCCCACATGGATAGACCGTCTACCGCGATAAGCGATGTAATCCCAGCTATCGTTTTGACGGGAGCCCCATTGTTTATCGTGCATCTGTGCACTAGCAAGGTGAGCTCATCGCCTCGACCATTTCATCACTTGGCATTCTTACAGCTTGCGGGAGTCTCTCATGTAGTAAATGATGAAGAGTAGCGGGTGACTTTATTAGCACATATTGTCAAAGCGGTCGATGTAAAGTGGTACAAGCTGGGCTGAGTACCTTACTAACGTTGATAACGGTACAAGCTCATTGGAGGGAACGACTGGATAATCGAACCAGTTATCGAACTTTTTGTTAATCAAGGTTCTAATGGCTCATAGTAAACTATGCTATAATTCTTTTACTTTATGACACCATAAGACGGGATAGTGGCAAGCTGCTGGTGGAGTGGTTTATGAGCATTGAGAGAAGGATGCGAGAAGTCCGAGACTTCATTAGCCTCATGATATGAGTATATAGATTGAAATTTGTCCAATCTTATTATCAATCAATCTCGGCTCTATGGTCTAGTCGTATGATTCTCGCTTTGGGTTACCAATTTGCGAGAGGTCCCGGGTTCAATTCCCGGTGGAGCCCAGAAATTATCTTTTTGCGTTTTTGTCTCATTGTCATCATCAGCTGTTGTCATATTGTTTTTGGCGAACGGACTCGATTACAAGCTCAGATAGTTTCGCCACACTTTCAGCCCAGCTCGGGAGGATCATCTGATTTGCCAAAGCGTGGGGCCGCGGTGGGGTCTTCCGCTCCTCATCTCTGGCTGCTCTGTCGTCCAATCTTGTGAATAGAAGTCGCTGGAGTTTAAAGGTTTGCTTTTTATTTTTGAATGGGATTGTTATGGCTCCGTAGCATAAGTTAACAGGCCATCACGTTGCACCGTAGTCTATATATTTTCTTTCATTATTCTCTGACGTTGGCGCCGGTCCATGACCCTTGCATACATTTTCTGTCTTGTTCCACAGTTTGGTCGTGAACCATCGATTTTTCTTTATCTCATAGCAGTACTATCAAACCTCACTACACCCAAATAAACTTGAAATAATTATGAACCTTCATCCGGGGAAAACAGTCTTTCATAGAGTCACTAATATTAGATGTTTTATCATGGCCTTCATGGCGCTTGTGGATTACTCTAAAGCTCCGATCAAATCTGTTCGAGGTGCAGGGTAGCATCAATTCGATCAAGTCCTTATTGTCCAAGACTCTCGGCAGTGCTCACTGAAGACCAAAGTGACAATACTACAAAATGCCTTGTGAGTATAACTTAATAACTCCCTCACCCCCTAAATCCCTAGCATAAGACCTATTCCAACAGTAATATCCTTCGTCGTGAATAAAGTATGCCGTACCAAGACCCAACTCGGATAAACTAAGCACCCGCCATCTCAATCTCCCTACCCTTCACACTCCTCCACTCAACCAACAACGCGCCAATAATGGTCGCCGATGCAGTCCCAGCGCCAACGTAGAAGCTCGTCGTCAGCGCGTCGTTGTACGCGAGAATCACCCCGTCCAGCCACTCAGCCCTGATGACGTTGCGGATATTCGTCGCGCCTGTGGCAATCACAAAGTACGGATCGAGCCCCGGCACATGCTCGTGGATCTTGTTGATGAGCGTGTTGGTGAAGACGGTGTTGCCCGCCGTCACGCAGAGTGCGCCTCCGAGGGTTTGGGAGAAGACGATCAGCGCTGTGGCCGTGGGGACGTCGACCATTTCGCACACGACTTGCACGGCAATGAGGGATTGCTGGAGTCCGATGCCTACGCCTATGCCGGCGATGAGCTGGTAGCCTACCCATTTGGCTGTTGATGTCTCTACTTCAAAGGTGGTGATGATGCCAAAGCCGATCGCCATGAGGATTGAGCCGGCGATCATGAAGGGCGTGTAATAGCCCCAGGTAGTAACAGCTGCACCAGCTGCCATGGCAAAGAGGACGATGCCAAGAAGCATGGGGAGGTTCCTGACACCAGACATGATGGGGCTTTGTCCCTGCACGGCTTGGAACCAGATGGGCAAGAAATACATTGCAGTGAGGAAACACGCGCCCGTATTGAACGAGAAGAAGGCGCCAGCCCAAACAGTGCGCATCTTGGCGATACGAGGAGGCACCGTCGCATTCTCGTCCATCTTGATTTGCACAAACACAAACAAGATGAGCAGGAAGGCTGACAGCATGAACAGGGACGTGATGGTTGAGTCATCCCACTCGTAGTCAACGCCGCCCCATTGCAGAGCAAGCAGAAGACAAACAATGGCAGGCATGAAAATAGCGGTCCCAATGGGATCGAGCTGCCAGAAGCGCACTCGCCACGTTGCAGGCTCGATATCACGCTCGGGCTCAGGGAAGAAGAAGAAAATAACAATCACGGTGATAGCACCAATGGGGAGGTTGATGTAGAAGCACCATCGCCAGGTTACTTTGTCTGTGAAGAGACCACCAAGCAAAGGCCCCGCGACGGAAGAAATTCCCCACATACCGCTGACGAGACCAGTATAGATAGGTCTCCTGTGAAGAGGCACCGAGAAGGCAAGGATGGTGAGTGCTCCGGCAAAGATGCCAGCGCCACCGACGCCGGCGATGGCTCGTCCCACGATAAGCGTGACACTGTCAGGAGCGACACCGCATATGAGACTACCCACCTCAAAGATGGCGATGGCTGTTAGGAACGTCCACTTTATGCTGCCGTAGGTATACAGCTTGCCAAAGAACAGCTGCAGTGCGGCTGTTGTAAGCATGTATGCCGACCCGTACCACCCCACGTCATTGAGACTTTCGAAGGCGTCGGTGATTCTTGGAATTGCGGTTGCAATGATGGAGTTGTCTGTGACGTATGAGTTGTAGTTCAGTAATCAAGACGGCGTACTAACCCAGCGCCATGACAAAGACAGCCAGACAGAGGGCTAGAGTGATCAAGGCGAGCTTCAAACCAGTAGGATACTCTTGTTGAGGCCCATTCTCTGCTCCGCTCGTGGGAGGTGACTGAAGCTTCTCAGTGCTCTCTGTTGGTACAGCAGACCGGGGTCTGATATCGTTATACCGCACAGATCCCATCACCGGATGAGGAGCTTCCTTACGGTGGTAATCTGGCATGTTGTAGTCTGCAGGCAAAGACCGAACACTGAAGTTGCTAGGAGCGATTGACGACGGCCGACTTACACCGTTGCCGTCCTTTGACTCGTTGGAGCCTGAGCCGCCAGGATGCGTGGCGAGCCAGTCGTCAGCATCTCTGGCGAGCTTGGCCGTCTCCGAGTCGAAGTTGAAGTAACGGGATGATTCTCTCAGTGATGAGTACAGGGAGTCCTTGGGAAGACGAACACTGAGCGAGCGACTGGTCGCAGCCATCGAGTAGTCTGGGGCGGACATGATAGAAGCCATCTTGAAAGGTGTGCTGTTCTGACAGGTATGAGTATTGGGAGCGGAACTGTGAGATACCAGAGATCAGTCAAGAACGCTTCCCGCTGGGAAAACACGCCTTTAAGCTTGATCTTGACATCGTCCATCACTTCTGCAATGAAGCCTGCAGCGGAATGTGACACGACGGAATCTTTCCAAGAAGTCCATGCTAAGTCGATGATGAACATCCCGTCTCACCTCGGGGGCCAAAGCCAAACCCACAAGAAAAAGAAGAAAACGGCTTCTCACAAAAGATCTTCACCTGCAGTTGTGGCCTGCCTTGCCAGAGCACAAGGTGTGGCATCCCGCCCATAGCTACATGGGGGCTTGCCATGACTTCAGCGGCATCATCCAAAGAAAGCGTGCTACGATAAGATCGTGTGGCCCATCTCTCTCCAGGCCAGAAGCTGCGGCCTCAGCGGAGACCGGAAGCCGTCGGGGGCTTGAGGATGCTTCGGATCCTTCTATAAGCTTCAGTGACCGCCGCGGATTCCATTATCTCAGCCGCTTTCGCCGCCAGTAAGCTCGTAAACAGATCTCTGTAACTTGAAGTTGTGGCTGAATATCTAGACGGGATGACCGACTCCTCCAAGATAGAGGCAACTGGTGTCTAGGGACCATACACTCTCACTATTGAGCGAATGCTTGATTCCCGGCTTTAGCGAGTTCGCATATAATCACGACCGACAGGAAGCCATGCATGCGGAGCGTGTCTACTTCGGCATCAATCTCGTCATCGGTAGGCGTAAATTGCTACACGATATAAGCAAGAGGCTTGAGGAGGAGAAGCTGTGTCACCATGTTAGACCAGTTTGAGCTATTTAGAAGAGAATGATGATGGTCAGAACGGTCCCTACTTTTGAGGTTTCGCAGCATGGCGGACTTTAAGGCAAAACCGAGACCGAATGTCATGTCAGGCCTTCGACGTGTAGTTTCCTTGGTCGATTAGCTTGAACATCGGAGGACGGGGTTCTTACTACCAATCCTCTGATCTTCATTGCGAGTGAGTCAAAATGACGAGAATGGGTGGTACAGTTGTCGCACAAGGCGTCGACAAGATGCTAGTAGCCTACCACTCTAGGTGTAGTTGCTTTTAACATCAGGCATCAGTATACGGAAGTCCGGAAGCTTCGCGAAGGCTTATGGATTATGAGTTCGTATTGACAAAGGCCTGGTGTAGGCCACAAACTATGCTTTGCTCTAGCATCAAGGAACAAGTTGATATGGGTGAAGTGAACAAGCAAGTATAGATGTATGTTACTTCAATGTATGACAAGAGACAGCAGAAACACAGTACAGAAGACCCACATATCCCTAATCCATTCAATCATCAAGATGACAGGCCCAAGCTAGAGGCTAGTATAGCCAGTACGTACGCATCAAACACAGGATACGTATGTGGTATTCAGATATCCCCCGGCATACTTAGCAATTCGAAACGGCGGTAGTCCAGTTGAGCATCTGGTTCTTTATGCTCTTGATCTCCCTTGAGAGTTTCTGCAGGTGCTGGGGTATTAGGACGTAGCCGTTTTGCTACCCTCTCAACAGTATCTGAATTGAAAGACTCCTGTGAGCTCGCCTGAGCCGGCACACTGAAAAGAAGCCTTGCAGGATTATCCCCAGGACTTCGGCCGAGTTCGGTCGATCGATGAACTGTCCGCCTCTGTGCTTGAGGTTGGACAAAAGGCATAGGGACACTGCCGTTAGATGGAGTGTACAGCTGCTGCAAGAACGTTTGCTGCGTCGAAGGGTCCAATCCAAATAACATGTCAGCGAGCCTGGGAGAAACTGGCCATGCTGGGACTTGGTCAGAGTTCTCTTTGAAGACTTGCACCTGTGGTGTTGACATATGTGACGAAAAGTCTTCAGTTTGTGGAGGAATTATGTTAGTCCAGGACGACATTTGAACATTGAGTACTTCGGGCTGAGAGTTCAGACCTGCGGAGAACCCTGTACTTCCAAGGTATGTATTCTCATGTTCTGAAGTGACATGGTCTTGAAACGTAAAGGGTGACTGGAGCATGGCTACCTGGTCGTTGATGTCAAAGTTGCTATTGGCTTGCGGTGTGGTGATAGATGTCTGCTGGCGCTGCCACATGGCTGGGTTGGGCCATGCAATCTTCAGGCGTTCGAGAATCTCTGCACCATATTAGTATAGGTATCCAACATGAGGGCCGTTACTAACCTTGGGGCGCATGTTGAAAGGAAAATACTACAAGATTCTTCAGTTTTTCGACATGCTTGTTACCGGTCGAGGCATGGGAGACACCTTCGCTAATGATAAGCTTGAAACGACCGAGATTATCTGCCGGACTCCAGTGGCGCTGGGACAGAAGTTCCTGCTGAAAGAGCGGAAACTTGAGAGTTTGTTCATGTAGACCATTTTCGATAATGTAGGGTAATTTAATGGGCTCCTGGATGGAGTTGGGTTTGGAAATGGATCTGCTAACCATTAGGAACGGCCCCGTAAGATCAAAGAGTAAACACACGCAACAAGGTCCCCATCGATGAAGAGCTTGAACTCAAAGACTGGGCATTCGCCGTCTTCAATAAGCTGGCGAACAATCGGTTTCCATGAGTGGATGGAAATCCGAAAGGGTGTGCCAGCCTTGAGACTGGGGACAAAGCATGTAACGGTTGGAAGAGCAGAAGCGTGTGGGCTCATGGACTCTACGATTTGTCTTAGTCTCTCGACAAGACCTTGGAAGTTCGCTTACCCTCATGTTGTATGACATGGCAAGCCACGTTGAATTCTCGAAACGGAACTCCGGACTCTTGTTCGAAAAGGAGAACGTCCCAATCTTCGTACCGCATCGTGATAGATGGAGTAGAGGTAAGGAGAGGTGATGAACAGAGGCATCTGGGGTCACAAATATAAGGTAATGGAGGCATTGCGGCTCGTCCCGTGATGGTTCCTTCCAAACATCTCTCTCGTTCGTTGTGTTTGTGGGAAGGAGAGGACTGGCGTTTCTGATACGCATTTTAGCGGACGTTGTCCTAGACTGATATGCATCCTCGAGGCTCCAATCTGAGAATGTTTAACATGCCATTGGACGAGTTTGACTAGCATTTGTACAACAAGTTTGTGTTTTGTGATGTTCACATACAAATTGGAGTGTTGTCAAAGAGTCAATAAGGCTGCATCGCATCCATGGATTACTGGAGGATCCCAGTTGACTGTGGCCTTGTATACTGTACCCAAGCCAAGTTCATTGCTACAGTCATTCGTAGCCATAGTTTACGAGCTTGTTAATCACAATCATAATCTCTACCCACTTCATATCAGTTGTTCGATTGGTCAGTCATTTCGGGTTGCGCCTTTGTCACAGACACCAGATATCCATTGAACACTGCACTTGATCGATTCATTCCATTCTTCTTATGTACAGATGAGCATTTTAACTCAAGGATCCTCATCACCCTCCGTACGAGCCTGTCGATTGTTAGCCTGCGAATATCCACGCTTTGATGCCCACTCACCCTTGTAGCTCCGGGGCCACCAAGCTCTCGTTCCAGACCACCCTCGAATGATCGGGGGTAAGCTGGGCGGTCGGGATAGTTGAGGTAGACGATTCCGGTGACGCTCATGAAAACAGCGATGAAGGTACCGACCATGACGGCTCCAGGTCCGGCGGTGGTCCAGGTGTACTCCCAGGGAGAAAAGATTCCCAGAACATCGTTATCCTCGTGAATGGGTTCACCAAAGTTTCGTCGCTCCTGAGGATCCCACCAGTTGGCATGAGGGTCACGGAACTGGCGCTTGATTCGGGGTGGGTTGATGTAGCCGCCGTTCTGCGATATTATCAGCTTCTCGGCCTCTCCTCATATCGTCTGTCACTGACCATTCCAGGGTCCTCTGCCTCAGTCATCCTCGGAGCTTCAGGGTACTTCGCATCAATGACCTTCTTGTCGGTGTACTGATCGGGGAGGAAGGTTCGTCGCTGAATCGTAGGGAGTCGTCGAGCAGCTGTCATGCCGCTGCGCAGGGCCGAGGCCCGCGCAATTCGTTGAGGGAGCATCTGCAAACGAAGTAAGATTTAGCGACATCAATTGAGCAGTTCCATCCTCTGCAAAGACTTACCTCGGCCGATGGGACAGTGCTGTCGGCGTCCAATTGCTCTGTGACGTGATAAGATGGCTCAGTGTTGATGCTTTAGCCAATCGAGGCTGTGATGATTCTCAAGCGAAATACGGAGCCTCAGGCATCAATCGCGCTGTCGGGCCATTTTCGGTTAGCTCATTTGGAGGTCCAGGGGCGTGCATCTTCGATTCTTCCCCAGCTCAAAAGTTTTGCTGACGATATTGGATTTTGCGACTAAATTCCCCGCTGTTCGCCCGCAAGGCATCTGAACATGTGCAAACTTTGTATGAATATCCGCTGAAGCGCTACGATTCTGTAGACATTAATTTCGCCCCCGCAAATGATAGCTTCGCAGAGAAAACGCCCCCAGCGTCCCTTGTCTCCACGTTGCGACTATGCCGGAGACCGCGTCGCCCACCAACGTGCTGCCCAAGTCGGACCCTGATGCCATCAAAACTGATCAAGACGCGCCTAAGGCGGAGACCAATGGAGATGACGCGTTGAGCCGGAATATGGATGGCAATGATGAAGCAAATGGCATTGCCACGAATGGGGATCATGAGCACAACGGCCACATCCATGACGACGAACGACCTTTAAAGAGGCGACGCACACGAGACTCGACACCCCCTCCAAGCACGCCTAAAAAGTTCAAACCCGAGTCGCCGCCATGGAAGAAAATATCTGCCGATGGTCCGACATCATACACCGAGAATGGACGTCGCAAATCTGGCCGCATCAACACCCTCCCGTTAGATGAACCACCAAGCAAGGCCCGAAATACGAGACGATCTACTACCGGCGCAAAGTCGAATACCCCTAAGCCGAAGGCTGAAATCCAGTTGACTAATGGCAACTCGAGAAAGATGCCAAACGGCTCACACAAAGCTAGCCCCGCCACCAAAGCTCCCTCGAGGCAAACACCCGCATCGACTCCAAAATCTGCATTAAAGAAACCTGCGACAGAAACTCGAACTTCTTCCCGCTCTACTCGACGTCGAAGCCCTTCTCCGCCTTCTAGAAACACGACCAGATCCCGAAGATCGGCACGATTTAACGATGCTTCTATTGCAGATAACGCCATACAAGACTCGAGACATCCCTCTCGCAATGGGACCAATCGATCTCCCCGCATAAAATTACGAGTCGGACGATCTGGCGATATTCCTCTTGTCCATCCTGATCAGGTTCGCAAAAAGCCTAAGATCGGCACCAGTTTTGAAGACTTTTGGACTCGAGGTGGGGAAATACCTGTTGAGGATGGTGGACTGCAAGCTTCCGAAGATGGACCCCAGTATACCAATGAAATGGCCGAGAAAGATGCTCGTGTCATCCTTCGAATTGAGAAGGAAGTTGAAGATGGCGGGATGCTGTCACAGGGACGATGCTCAGTATTTCTCCCGGAGCCGGCGGAAGAGCCTCCTCGACAATGGGCTCGACAAGATCATATGGTGAAAGCTATGACGAATTTCCGGAAACTCATGCTGGCGGAGCAACAACGGCATCGACTGGCGGCAAAGAAGGTAGCTGAGGCCTGTAGGGACGAGTGGTTGAGACGTCAACCTAAATCAGAAGAGGAGATTGAAGCCGAGCAGCGGACTTTATGGATATCTCGGTACCGCCTTGTTATTAAAGTGCTCTTTGGTACATGGGAGAATGTTCGCGCCGAAGTCAATCGCCGACGGTTGGCCGAGTGGGAGCAGGAGGAGCAAAGGAGAGTAAAGGCAGCTCTCAACGAAGCCGTGAATCTTTCAGAGCAAAAGCTTCAAGCCCGCAGGACAGGATTGGACTCGGAGCAGCTCTCAGAAGAGGAGGAAGATGGATTTGATGATCTAAGTGACGACATGAGCATGGCCGACGATGACGACCTTGGCCTTGCCTCAGGAGAAGACGAAGATAATGAGGATGAGGAAGCCGACAGCGAGATAATGTCATCAGACGAGGAAGAAGGCGACGACGACGAGGATCAGAAGGATGTTGGTGATGAAAACCTGACACAGGAACAGCTACAAGCGAAATATGCCCATGTGCCTGAACTCGAGAAGTCTTCAGCGGACGTCGAAACGCCAACCGAACCCAACCAAGACGACACGGATGCAGTTGAGACTGCGCAAGTAACTGCGACCGAGAATGCCGAGACGAGTGATGAGTCTGTTGATATGGATGACGATATGGGATCGACCGATATGGACAACAGTGAGGAAGTTGACGACGACGAATCAGAGGATGAATCGGACGAAGACGCGGGCGGCCTTCTGGGACTTCTTTTTGGCAAGTCTGAGCTGAAAAAGATGAACAGTGAGGCTGTTGTGGAAGTACCTGTTGACCAGAACGAGAAGTCTGAGATATCCGAGAAAGCCGCAGACGCGACACCAGAGTCAGAGATCGATGAAGACGATGAGATGTCTTTGATTGTGATGCCCAAACCAGAACCCTCCGAACCTACAGAGGAAAACCACAACACATCGAATCCAGACAACGAACAAATACCAGAAGACCCAGTTGATGCAGACGACATGGCATTGGACTCACCAACAAAAGATGTACCCGAAATTAACGATGCGCTCCCCGAGGCACATCCAGTTGAGGACAATGAGGTGGTAATGACTGGTACCAATGCAGAACAGCCTAATGAGGAGCAAGCTTTAATTACAAGCCCTCTCAAGAAGCACCACAGCCCGGCAACTGAGCCAGTCACGAACCCGCCTAGTCGCGCTCACAGCATGTCGCCCCCTCCTACATCCGAAACTAAGCCATCGGAATTCGACACCGCATCCTCTGGAGAAATGGTTGTGGATAAACCTGGAACCAGTCGCTCTGCTTCACCGCAGCCATCATCGAACCACAAGATCGAAGTGCCGTTCCTTCTCAGAGGAACTTTACGAGAGTATCAGCGCGACGGTCTCGATTGGTTGGCAGGTCTCTACGCCAACAACACGAACGGTATTCTTGCTGATGAAATGGGTCTGGGTAAGACGATTCAAACAATCGCCCTGCTTGCACATCTAGCGTGCCAACACGAGGTTTGGGGACCGCATCTTGTGGTCGTGCCCACTAGTGTCATGCTCAATTGGGAAATGGAGTTCAAGAAATGGTGCCCAGGTTTCAAGATTCTGGCATACTACGGTTCCCAGGAAGAAAGAAAACGCAAGAGACAAGGTTGGAATAATGACGATGTGTGGAATGTTTGTATTACTTCATATCAACTCGTCCTTCAAGATCAGCAAGTGTTCAAGCGGCGACGTTGGCATTACATGATCCTTGACGAAGCACACAACATCAAGAACTTCAAGTCTCAAAGATGGCAGACCTTGCTGGGATTTAACACACAAGCCAGACTTTTACTTACTGGCACACCTCTTCAGAACAACCTCACTGAGCTTTGGTCACTCCTCTTCTTCCTCATGCCGGCTGAGAACGGGGTAGGCGGGTTTGCCGATTTACAAGAGTTTCACGACTGGTTTGCCAAGCCGGAATCTCAGATTTTGGAGAGTGGAAGAGAGCAAATGGACGATGAGGCGAGAGCGATCATCTCGAAACTGCACAAGGTTCTGCGACCTTATTTATTACGTCGCCTCAAGGCCGATGTCGAGAAGCAGATGCCTGGCAAATACGAGCACGTCGAGTTTTGTCGTCTCTCAAAACGACAGCGTGAACTCTACGATGGGTTCCTCTCTCGGAACGATACCAAAGCAACTCTAAATTCCGGAAACTATCTGTCCATCATCAACTGTCTAATGCAATTGCGAAAAGTCTGCAATCACCCGGATCTCTTCGTCGACCGGCCGATCATGACTTCCTTTCGCATGCAAAAGTCCATCGTCTCGGACTACGACGTAGTTGACCAACGGGTGCAGAGACTACTCCGAGATCCCAATCCTATGAAGGAAACCAGTCTGAGCTTTCTCAATCTCATTCCCACGCAGTCCGAAAACCTTTCCACCACACAAGCTGAGCGAATCTCACAGTTGAGCTCACGTCGTGCGTTGATGGATTTACGAGAGGCCCAAAGAGCTCGCGCTCAACAAGCCCACACCAACCTCGATCCCTCGACAGTCGCATCAAACATTGCATACCTGGAGAGTGGCGCCAGGTGGGGACGTTTTGAAGAACTACAGCACTGCGTCTACATAAATGCGTTGCGTCGCCAGAAGAAACCGATTTATGGCAAGAACTTGATAGAGTTGATGACTCTTGGTACCGATAAAAGACCTTACAAGCCACGTCCCAAGGTTCCCCGCCAGGTTATGGCTTGGTTTGAAGAAGAATCTACACTAATACAATCCTTGATACCCACGGTCAACCAACGTGCCGACAGCTTCAAAACGACCATTGAGAAGTTCTCATGTGTTACACCAGCGGTTGTGACCAGAGATATGGAGCAGTTCGTCCTCGGCCGTAAGGGTGTGGTGGCTTTCACTGAAGAGGACCTCAAACTCTCAGCGCCTGTCCGGTGGGCGCCATTTCTACCTAAGGAAGCGCCTCCAGATCCTTGGCACGAGGGTCGTATGCGACTTAGCATTCAATTCCCTGACAGACGTTTGTTGCAATACGACTGTGGAAAGCTCCAAATTTTGGAGAAGCTACTGCGAAAACTTCAAGCTGGTGGCCATCGCGCTCTCATCTTTACACAAATGACCAAGGTCTTGGACATTCTGGAACAGTTCCTGAACATCCATGGCCACAAGTACCTTCGCTTGGATGGTGCTACGAAGGTGGAACAACGCCAGATTCTCACCGATCGATTCAACAACGACCCTCGAATCCTCTGCTTTATCTTGTCAACTCGTTCAGGAGGTCTCGGCATTAACCTAACAGGTGCTGATACTGTTATTTTTTACGATCAAGACTGGAACCCTGCCATGGACAAGCAATGTCAAGACAGATGCCATCGTATTGGACAGACTCGCGACGTTCACATCTACCGCTTGGTCAGTGAGCACACAATTGAGGCCAACATTCTTCGAAAAGCTTCGCAAAAGCAGATGCTGGATGATGTGGTCATTCAAGAAGGAGAGTTTACCACGGATTACTTCAACAAAATCTCTGTAAGGGACGTTCTCAGCGAAAAGTTGGACTCGAAAAGCGAAGGCGTGGATGCTGCAGATGCCGCATTGGACAGAGTACTTGGCGGACCTGACACCAACACTGATCAAAGGAGAGTTGGTCGGGCACTCGAGCAGGCGGAAGACAGAGAGGACGTGGCAGCAGCCCGCGTCGCGGAGAAAGAGATCCAAGCCGACGACGCTGATTTCATTGAGAAGCCTAGTAACAATGCTTCCGGTACATCAACAGCGAGACAAGGAACCCCAGCTGGCAAGTCTGTTCTGGACGGCGGACTGGATGAGATTGACACTCCAGTGGAAGAAGATTTGGAATACAACGCATGGGGTGACAGGATGCGCACCATCGACGACTACATGCTCAGCACAATGGCAGAGCACCTCAAAGACACCAAGCTTGAACTCCCCAAGGACAAAAAGAAGGGGAAGAAGAAGGGCAAAGACACACGCAAACGATAAGCATATAATAGCCATAGCCGTCGCATGGCAGACACCAAAAGGAGACACATTCTGTATACTAGTAAACAAACATGATTGGGCAACAAAAACGGCGCGAGCGGGTCATGACAAAACACGGCAGGGTTTTTTCTTGTTGTAGAAAGGGGTTTATAAGGGATTAAAACAAGTGCTGTTGGATGTACGACAGCAGGTTATGGCGGTAGATGGATGGACATGCATGGAGTTTTGGAGAGGCATGGGTTTTATTGAGAGTATATACTAGACTTGTAAGACTTGGATGAGAGAAATGACAGTATTGCTGCTCTACGATTGATGTCTATGTGAATGTGTATAAATGGCCTTGACATGTCATACGCCAATTACGTCGATTGAGGTCGATCTTAAATAGCCAAGACGATGGATGGCGATCATGTTGCTTCGCCCCGCACAGCCCCATGAGTGAAGCGGTATATTTTACTGAATGCCATTGACATTGACACTACAAGCCCGTCAACATAAGAAAACAGAGCAATCTTCGTTAGCCATCTCAATCGTGATCAAACAACTCATCAACATGTCCAGCGACTCCAAGGCCCCCGCTGAGGCACCCTACGACCCGCCCCCGTCATTCCAAGAGACCATGGCCGCAGACCCTCCAATCTTTAAGACGCAATTCGCCTGCATCACATTCAACATGCATAACCGCCTCAGATTCATCAACTTCCATGAGTCAGAAGTCGTTAGACTCAAAGAAGCCATCAAGGCCTCTTGGAAGCCTGGCGTCGTGCAGACTCGGCCGTATGGAGAGGCTACTGAGATGTGGCTCCGCGGATCACCGTGGATATATAATTCTGACGGGGTTGATGATGCGAGACTATTGTTGCTGGTTATTCTGGAGGGGCTGTTTGATATGGGATGGGTTCTGCAGGGTTCGATGGATGTTGTAAAGAAATCTGAGAGTAAAGGTAAGTACTTACTCTACTCTGAGTAGGTATGTACTGTTTGGCTAAGCAACTAGACTCTCTCATCTTTCGCAAACAAGACCCCGTACCACCGCCGTGCGACTGGCTCTGCATGTCCTTCGACAACAACGACAAACTCAAGATCGTCGGCGGTCCTCCACCAGACCTCAGCGAAGCAGTGCAGCAACTGTTCAAAGGCGAGATCCGCCGACGAGAAGTGACATCTGAGCGTCTCAAGATTCACCTCGCCGGATTACCATGGAGTCCTTCCGGCACCGACACTGTCAAGACGCAGATTACGCTGCTGAGGCTGATCGAGACGTTTGAGAGGTATGGGTTTACGATTTATGCGACGGTTGGGTCGGACGAGGGGTCGACGGATGTGTTGGTTTGTCAGAGGCAGAAGGATTGGGTTCCTGGGGCGCCTATATGGCATCGTTAGAATGGAGAACAGTGGTATTTGTCTTTCTGGAGAAAATCGTATTTACTATAATTGATGTTTGAACTTGTTTGTTGGAGCTGTGTTTTTGTTCTCTCAGTGTGGCTACCAGTCATGAAATGGCAAACATCTTGCATCTACCTCAAATAACGCGGCTTGACGCAGATGCCCTATTGTTTTTTATAACAAATTATTTGGGCAGCGAAATACACCAAATAATGAGCAATATCGAAGAAGCATTGAGATACCACAAACCTTATCCACATCTCACCAATTGTGGGAGTGTTGAAGATTGTCTGCACTCTGCTCTTACACTGTCACGCTGTTGGCAACACACAAGCAAAGAACACCAATCGTCACATACCGAACACTGCCTAAACATTTGAAGAGATTTATTTGACAAATTTTCCACATTTCCTAATTTCCTAGGCTACCGCTATGATTCACGGCTATCCACCTTGCTTGTTTCTGCTGCGCACTGCAGCAAGCCGATGAACAACATACATCCAGCTTGCCTTCCAACTCTGCAGCGACGCTGGTCTTTCTTATATCAAGCATCCTTTATTTCTTCCTTTCTTCCTTCGGGATTCCTCTGCATGTTTAGAGCTCCCATCACACATCATCCATTGGGTTCAACCCAGCGATAGCCTCGCACCACCTTCACCATGCCCGACACAAACCCTCTCTATGTCATGAAAGACATCCCCGGCAAAGGCAAAGGCCTCGCCGCTACCACAAAGATCCCCAAGGGCACCCGTATCCTCGCCGAGGCTCCTCTGTTCAAAATCCCTCAACATCCTACCGAGAGCGCTGAGAATGAACGCTGCGTCCTTGCCGCGCTGAAGACACTATCCGAGGACCAGCGACAGGCCTTCTTCTCTCTGTGCAACTCCTACGCTGATCTCAAGCAGGAAGTCGGTATCGCTGAGACGAACGCATTTGGTCTGGGTGAACAGATTTCCACATGTGCTGTCTTCTTAGACGCGTCTCGCATGAACCACTCTTGTATGCCAAACGTCCTGTACCGATGGAACACCAATACCCAGAAGATGACCGTCCACGCCACCAAGGACATTGATGAGAACGCAGAGATCACTATCAACTACCTCGCAACTTGGGAGTTGTATGCAGTGCGACAGGATAAACTCAAATCGGCCTTTAGTTTCGACTGTGACTGCAGTCTCTGCTCTCTACCTGTTGGTCAGCGCAATCTCAGTGACAGGCGACGCATCGAGATAAAGAAGCTTGAAGAATCTCTCGGCGACGGGTCTGGTGATTTGGCGAAAGAAACCCCCCTCAAAGCCCTCCACGATGTGCGAAAGCTCTTGCATCTCATCAAGAAGGAGGACATTGTCGATCGACTCCTCCCCCGATGTTACTTCAACGCCTTCCAGATCGCCATAGCACATCAAGATCTTGCGAGGGCCATGATATTTGTCAAACGATCATTGGAAGTCGAGATCATGCTGGAAGGATCCGACAGTCCCAAGGCAGAGCAGCTGCAGACTTTGGTGGACGATGTCGAGCAATACCACTTCGACGTCTCTTCGGCCCAGTGGAAGTCTACGGCCACCGACGTCCCCAAAGGCCTCGATAAGCCCGATTTTGAGAACTGGCTCTGGCGGTGCGAGGGATCTCTTAACATCCAGCCTACCGGCCTACGCAACGACGCAGCTTTTCCAGCTTTCAACGATCTCCCCTGGGACGACGACCTCAGCCTGGACTATTACCGTCCCCGACGTGGCGATATCTACGAAACTCGTAAGCACTGGGCATTTGTTGGCGAAATCGTCAAGATCGAAGCAGTCTTCCGTGTACGCTTCATCGTCAAGGACAAAAGCGGTCATGAGCTTCTTGTGGCTTTCTACACTGATCTCCGCGGACGTGAGATTTCTCCTTCAGTGCTGAGAGTGGGATGTACTGTCGTGGTGCTCTACGGCACGAAGCATAGCTTTTTGGATGGGTCGGTTGGGATTCGCCATGAAGATCGAGAAATGTTAGACGTAAGTACGGGTGATATGGGTGCTTTGTTACATGGCTAATGGGAGGATAAACAGATCTTCCCCGTCTCGTTAGATAACTTGCTGCTGCTGAGCGACAAGGTAAATATCTACGCCACCGTCACCAAAGCGATGAGGACATGCCACGGATGCGACAAGAAGTCCACCTCGTTGATGAAGTGCTCCAAGTGCGGCTTCTTCTGGTACTGCAACAAGGTAAGACCTCTTCCTCGCATAAGCGGCTTCTTTCTGACACAGATAGGATTGCCAAACTCGTGGCTGGAGCGAGAACGGACACAAGGCAGACTGCAAACTTTTGCGAAACGATAACTTGAAGGGGCTGTTTCTCGTCAAGTGGGACAAATTCAACAACCACTTTGGGTTTCCGCTACAGGTTGAAGGTTGAGATTTTGCATAGGGGTTGAGGTCGGGCATCGGTTGAGTGGTCCTAATTTCCGTTGTCTATGATGACCCACGATAGCATATGTGATATGGGTCATATCCATGTCAGGACAAAGGGAAGTAATGGTGGGCATGAATCGTGCCGTCCTAAAAATCAGGTTCCATAGGGGTTGGTTGTAATAAAGCATACTAACTCACTACAACGTGCTTTTCGATTGTGAACCTAATAGCTGCTCTATGTTGCGTATGCGGCAAATAGCCCGTTTGCGAAGTACGTTATCTACTGAGAGTTCATGTAACGTTTCTGCGAACAGGGTACGTAACAAAAGTATATGCAACTCAAGGTGATACATCTTTGACAAAGCTAAATGCTGGGTTATAGTCAGGCAGTGATTATATGGACGAACCTCCTCACTTCCATTCTAGGTAGGCATAGTACCATGTAGAAATTTCTATAAATTCCTTTAGTGTATTTTGTATAACTTGTTATAGACTTTATGGAACTTTACTAGATCTTACAATACTTTACAATATTATACTATATTTATATAGGCTTTATCAGTTATTGTTTTGTATCTTATATGTTCCTACGGCCTTGTATATATCAAGTTGACTTCTTATGCGAATATGTGGAAGTGTACGCGCACATATACCTCCCAACCCACAGGCATAAGCGATATCAAACGAACGAAAATTCTATTCTAAATCCATCCCTGGCACCGTTCACCCGAAAACCTATCCACTTTCGATGGAGAATGTCTTTCAAAACGGCCCAACAGCCTCACGAGAACCAACCGCACGGCACTTGGTCCTTTGAAATTCACGTCCCATAGATCGTCAAAAATGCCGGCCATGTTCCCAATAGCATTGACCTCTTTATGATATCTCCTCATTACTAGTGTTATTGACCGGAACGGCATGAGAAAGAAAAAAATGCACGTGAAAATACGAGACCAGGATCAGGGTGTGGTTTGTCGGTTTTATTTTTCGGATACCTGTCCACCAACCAGCTGCAACCAAAAGGGGGCCAAACACAGACACACACAATTGGACGATCTATGGTCGGGCAGTTATTCTTCCAAGACATTGTGTCCCCGACGATCACATAGCGTTACCGTTTCTGCAACGTTGTTGTTACATCGGGCAGATACAACCGTATTGACTCAAGCACAAAGACTCCCCTTCTAACGCAGGGGGCGGCAGCGAGGGTATCTTATCTTATACTCCGTAGAATGGAGCATTATCACGGATGAATGGCTAGATAGGGCAACGGGAGATGGATGAGTATGGGTCTGACGTCGTAATCTCCCCGGGAGGGGGCCTTGTCTTTTTAATATCCATAGGGGTTTTTATTCACAGGTGAAAGGTTTATCCTAGTCTTTCAAACGAGCTGTGACGTTCCAGTTGTGGTTTCTGCAACAGAAACCAGAACACCAAGAAAGTTTATTCGTGAGGTCTATAAGGTAGTACAAACTACGGATAGTTTACTTTTGCTGCTGACTCGATCAATAGCCGGAATTGGCCACCTTTGTCCTGTCATCGTAATAGGAAATTAACACGCTTAGTCTCTGTTCTGTCATAAACGACATCCGTACTAACGGTATCTGACGGCTCAAGACTGTCTGTGCTCGGCAGGCAGAAGGAAATGAATTCGAAGGATTCTTCTGCATCCACATCCGTAGGGTTCCCCGAATCATTTCAACATTATGCATACTGTCATTGTGCCTCGGCCACTGCCACTATCCAGTCCATGCGTTCTTATCCCATGTCGCGCGTAGACGCAATACCCGTCCGACAAGGCATATTAAATATCCGTACTAGTCGCATCCTTCAGGCCTCAGGTTCGGTTCCAGGAACAAAAAGCCCTGGGCTCCTTGTTTAGGGCTGGTTTCCGAACGTAACAGGTTAAACAGTCCAGGTTGGGTGATAGCCAAGGGATTTAGCAGCAGAAGCAGTGACGCCCGTCCCCATTTATGGCCCGCCAAGTTCATTTCGAAGCTCCATTATGCAAAAGTCTATTTCAATTACCGAAGCATATGATATCCATGTAGTGGGTTTCGTTAAGCATTGGCTGCTACCGGCTGCTGTCGTTTAGCAGGCTTGCGGTTGATCTACGCGGCAACAGCGGTTGAATTATGGATCCGATTGGTTAACAGGCCATGTCGAGAGATCTACAGGTGCTATTGTTAGCGTCTTGGTACTGACTCGTAGTGCCGGGCAGGTTTCAGCATGGCCCCTTTGCCGACCAACGACAGATGCGCAATTAAAAGACGTTTTGCTGGAGAATTTTAGTGAATCGTTAGTCAGTGCCTTACGAGCTGTTACGGCGAAGCTAAGTATTAGACAGAGGGCTTGTTTGACGCTTGTGTGCTAATACGTCGAGTGCACAGAATGTTACCGTTGGATTTGCACAGACAATGGATACGCAGTTTGTTGATAGCACGGCAGTTGAATTCTTCCCCGTAACTTGACTTATGCCATTGAATCTCTTACCATGAAGAACATTCTTATCATGGAGTATTATTCGGACACTGCTGCATCTCTCGGATCCTCCATACTCCGCCAAACTGCTCAACAGGCCTTGAATCCTTGGGGTAGCAATAATATGAATAGCCCAACTAGCGCCAGGGGCAACCAGTCGGGGAACCCAAAGCCCACAAAACGATCGGCACTGAAGAATCAACCCTAGATCCATGCAGAGCAGGGTAATTATGTAAACTGCCAGGCTCCCAGGACTCTCAAGTCAAGGCTGTCGAGGCTTGTTCCTTGAATAGGGCAGTTCATGCACACGCTGTCAGGATGTTCACCGCTGACAGCGGTTGGGAGGATGACTCGCATCCTGTAACCATTGCAACTTGGCCAAAACAAGAAAACACCCATCGTCTGACTGTCGCTGAATCGTTAGACCTGTCTAGTCTAATAGACGATGCAAGATCGTCATGGCATACACCTCGCCTGAGTTAGTGACCCTCGTTACCCGCGCCCGTAAACCTTAGTCCATCGCCCTCTATTACTCCATACTCCTCCATACTCCATACGGATAGTCAACCCCTTCTCCCCTCTAACCCTTGTGGATATCTTCCCTCAGCTTACGACTCTCCACTGATGCACGTATTTGTCGATCCTGGTCTGGGCTCTAAAGATTTGCCGCGATGGCTCGCTCAATCTCATATATATCCTCAGCAATGGACCCTCCCCCTCTCAGCGGAGCCGGTTTCTTGTCTTCGCTAATCTATTTGATGCGCGCGCGTCTGTCTCTTGTACTTTTCTTCTTTCTTTGATGTTGATGACTTGATTGTGACACGTCGACTACCGAACACGAATAAACTCGAAACTTCTCTCCACGGAGCATACCCATTACAAGATGGCGTCGACGACTCCGACGGAAACGAAGCAGCCCGATTTGTGGATTTCGGAATTCGTCACGTTTGCGGCAGCGACTGTTTTCATTGGATTGCGTTTATTGAGTCGACGGCTTACGAGGATTGAGTTCTGGTGGGATGACTGGTTCGCCATTGGATGCTATGTACGTCCACCGATACACGACATTCATCAACATGTTGGCTAACATCTCAGGCCGTGGCTATTGCTTGGGTAGTGATTATCCCTCTCTGGATAGAGGAGGGTCTGGGACTTCACATCAACGAGATCAAGTCCACCAAGACCAAGGCGGAGATCTTAATGCAGAACAGTCTCCTTCTATACGTTGCCGAGCTATTCTATGCGACTGCCCTGTTCTGCGCCAAGGCTTCCATTCTGAGCTTCTACTGGCGCATGTTCCGAGTTACAAACATCAAGCTACCTATCCAAATCCTTGGTGCATCTGCCTTGATCTGGATCATCATCCGAGTGAGTAACCTCTTCAATGGACCCGACCATTGGTCTAACAGTTATAGACAATCATGGGTATCTTCCACTGCATCCCCGTTCAGCGTTTCTGGGACCCTTCCGCGGGAGGCTCATGTGCCATTGAGGATAAGAAGTTCTTCTTTGGCACAATTCTGGTCCACGTCATTCTCGATATTGCTATTCTCGCCTTGCCGATTCTACAGATTCGGAAACTGCAGTTGCCTACTCTCCAGAAGATTGGTATTATGCTGATGTTTGTGTTTGGTATTGTGTAAGTGCAGCCACGACTACAACAAAGACCTCGACTAACTGTGATCAGCATTTGTGTTTCCGCCATGGTAATTATCGTGGCCAGTACGCAGTTCGATGCTACTTCCGAGGATCTTACATGGAATCTATGTACCATTGTCATCTGGGCTTCAGTTGAAGTCAACCTCGTTACCGTGTCGAGTACGTATCAACTATCACCACCTACCCTGAACAACCACTAACCAGCCTCAGCATGTCTACCCACCGTCCGACCAGCCTGTCTTTACATCTTCTCCTGCGGCAATCCTTCATCCCAAATCGGCTCCGGCTCCAACAGCTACGGGGGTCCCAGCTACGGCCGTAGCCAGACCAAGAACACGATCCGCCTCTCGACCCTACCGAACAACAAAGACAACGACGAGTCCAGTTCGACACACCAGCTTGCCGATTCCGAACAAGGCCGCGGTTCCATGTCTGATTTTGAAACCCACGCCATGGACCGGTACCGTGGAAACGTGGCTACCGTCACTGGGCCATCGCATGAACGGGGATCAGATGATGAGTTTCCCACTGGTACGTCGTTCGGTGGAATTATGGTTAAGAACGAGACGACTGTGCGCGTGTCGCCAAGAAGCAGGCATTCCTAGGCGGACGTGTTAGAATAGAATCAGTTTTGATCCGGCTATAACTACTATGCAGCACTTACACTGGTGCTTATAGCTATATGTATAACATTATAATGCTGTTACGGGCATGGATTGTAATTAATATCTTATATCTAACGTCGATTTCCTTTTGAAAAGGGAACTATCTTTTATGTAACATAGCAAACTATTGCAATTGCGATAATCGGAGAGAAATAGCAAGTGTGAATCTGAGCTACAAACTGATCTTGTTATTCAGGGCACAAATCATTAGCCATAGAATACTGCGTAGTGGATCGGCGATTACTTGAATCATATTGCGGGGCGCCGCTGAAGTCTTGGCAATCGTCTCGACTTAGCCAAAAGTAATGTCTTTTCTGTCAGCCGCTTCAGACACGTCGTGAGTGCTTGCTCAGAATGACGACCTTCCAGTACACAGCTTTGCAGCAGAATGAGATTAGGGTGCTTATTCTCGATGCAGGTGATGATGAAGACGCCCTCTCAGGTACCCTTGTCGCTGTTGATCATGTCCCCGGCGAGAATGTTACTCGATACGAGGCAATGTCCTACACCTGGGGCGACCAGTCAGATCCAGATTACATACATCTGCGGCATTCGGAATTTATCACTCACGGCGAATCCCCTGGATCACTACCCATTGGTCGCAATCTGGCCTCTGCTTTACGACAAATCCGTCACAAAATCGATAGCCGAATCCTCTGGGCCGATTCAATATGCATCAACCAGCAGGACCTCGATGAGCGAGCCGCCCAGGTCCAACGCATGCGCGATATATACAAGTACGCTCAGCGCGTCATCGCCTGGCTCGGCCCTGCAGACGGCCACAGCCCCATCGCCATCGGCTTGCTGCAAGAGCTCGCTGACTGCATAGACTTCACCAAGGGGGACGAGGATATCTTGAACAACCGGATGACCTTTAAACGTGAAAAATATGACTTTATCATGAGTGGGCCCGCCCATGACATCAACTCCTGGTCCAAACCGCTGCCCTACTCTGACCAGCAGTGGAAGGCTGTAGCATCCTTGATATCGCGGTCCTGGTTCCGTCGACTATGGGTACGCCAGGAAGTCCTGCTGGCAGGCAAAGACACTATATTGCTAGTCGGGGGTAACAGCATGCTATGGCATCATTTCACGAGCGCAATCGAGGTAATTGCGCAAAAAAGGTCGGCATTGGCAGGCAAGGTCAAAATTCACATGATGATCGAATTCACCAACGTACGCACCTTTCGCATTCTTCGACACTTGACAGACTTTTTCACGCTTGTAGCATACACACACTCGTGTGAGGTTACCGAGCCCAGAGACAGGGTGTATGCCTTGCTGGGTCTCGCAGATGGCGACTTTACTAGGAAAATTGTCGTCGACTACAGAAAGAACGCCAAGGATATTCATCGCGAAGCTTTGGTTCGGGCGTCGACGTATCATCAGGATCTCAAGCTGCTGTCGCTTTGCGACTCGGCGTCCGAGCCGACGTGGATCCCTGATTTGGAACGGATACAGCAACTGCGGCCCATAACTTTTGGCCGCGCCGCCCTTTGCTCAGCCGAGAGGGGACATGCCATTACTAAAGAGCAATTGGTGTTGCAAGGAATCCGCTGTGACTACATCACGGAGCTGATCGGACCCCAGGACGGCCAAAGTTCCCAAGCACAGCTTGAAGCCGCTCTACTAAAGGCAGCACGTCGCTTTCTGGGTCATGATGTGGAGACTTGGAACTTCCAAAAGGTTCAGCAGTTTTCCCTCACATTTCATGTAAACGACTCATACATTTATCCTCCACTCATTAACAAGGTACAACAGCAGTTGGCGGAGCGAATCAGCTCCAACAGTGAGACGCTCGGTGCCCAACTCGAATATTTAACTTACTACATACATAATCGGTCCATATACCTGACTAAAATGGGTTATATCGCGTTGGGGCCACGGAATTGTCAACTTGGTGACCCCGTGGTCGTGTTCCTTGGCTGCCACCTTCCCATGGTCCTTCAACCGATCGAGGATGGCGAGTACAAACTTAGAGGTCCTTGTTCTCACCCAGCGCTCTTATCCAGCGAAGCTCTTCTTGGTGAGATGCCAAAGGGTTGGAGACTACGGTACACTAGATGTGTTGAAGAACCTCTGTTTGAAAATGCAAAAGGAGAGCGACAGCACATCGACCCGCGGCTGGATGATATTCCTGTCCCGCAAGACTGGGAACTTAGGTGGAGGAGTGATGGCACCCCGTTTTGGTATATTGCTAAGGAAGATCGGTGGACGAACTTTGACCCGAGACTCACACTAAAGAGACTTAGGAAAAGGGGGGTTAAGGTGGACGATTACACCTTGCGGTAATAGGTTTGAAGAAGTACATTGAGATCCGATAAGAACCTTATATAATTTAGAGCAGCAACAGGCGATGACACAGGATCATAAGAGAGTGCATAGAATAGTTCTTCTGTGGGAAAGAAAGAGAGAAGAAGAAACAAAGTAGGCATATAAAGGTTCTAATAATTTTCTCTATTAAGGATTTTACATAAAAATACATAGATTGTCATTAGTTTCTCTTTATTTCAAAAATGTATAAATTATAACTAGTTTTTCTTAACCTATGTTATTTAATTTAGTGATATTTTAAAATTACATCATACCTTTTTCAATTATGATATACTTTTATATAATCCTTTCTATTATGTCTTTCTCTTTTTAGGTTATTATCTTAACTTTTTTATAATACTTTATTAAAACCTATCGATTTGAGATATTGTTGCTTTTCGGTCTGTGTAGAGACCTCTATTGTTGATATTTTTGTGGATTTGATTGGGACAGCTGGATCTCTTTTTAAAGGTGCTACCAGGCTTCACATAAATATCAAAAACCTAAGAAGTCTTACGCCCATAATGTTAATTCACTTACTCCTTGGCACTTACTCCTTTGTATTTCCTCTCGATATACTCTGCTTGACGTGCAGCTCTGCAGGGTGATAAAACATTCTAATACAAAGTAGGAGAAGATTGAATTAAGAGCTTATAGGGAAATATTTGTATCGTAATGGGCGGGAACCCAAAGCATCAGCTTCAATAGAAGGTCTACTTATCAAATACCTGTAGGCACTCAAGCTCTCAAGATCTCTAATACATGGGCATGCTGAAAGAGCTCGATCTGCTCATCCAGACAAGTGTTAACAACATTCTCGATAGCTTGCTTCCGACTTCTACAAACTTTACTGTGAGAGTCGCCGAGAGATAGATGCTTGATTCAGTCTCCTAGATTGATCTGAGGAATTCGAGCTTGTTGATGAGTCTCTTTGTGCATGTGTTTCTTTTTCAAGCAGTACAATTGGGGATTGACGTTTTATTAGTCTTCTCAAAAGCTCCAAACTTGTTAGAAAGGGATGCTTGGTGGTATGAGTCTTCTGATATCAGGATTGGCTGGTGATTCAACTTCTTGGGACCCATGGTGGCTAAGTCGAGGCTGTGCAGCACGTGGCGCTGTAAGGCGTACTTGACTGGATGTCTCCACAGCCTCACCTCAGCACTCCCTCTTCAACATCATATTATTGACCTCAGATTATCCAATCAATTATGTGGGCATCAAAGCTACTCAGAGGTCGGAATGCAAGGTCTCTCACCAAGCAGTCTGTTGCAACGGCTGCTTCTGCACCAACATCCAAGGCTGATTTCAGCGCAAACTCCCAGGCCTTTTCAGTTGCGGTCACTGAGCTCTTAGAGTGCCTCGATTTTGTACTTGACCAGTTAGATGATCAAGGTATGCCTGTTGAGAACTCTTATATTGCTAAGTATGTATTGATTTCTACTTTTTACAGGAGAACACGGAGATTTGTTACAATTTCACCTTTCGCGGCTAGCTAAGGAGATATCGAAATATGAAAACTCCAAGGTTCGCGATGAGCTGGCAGAACCATGGATAGGGTATGTTTGCCGAATCTTGATAGAAGATTCAGACACTGACTTGTAATAGTGATCACGATCTTGTCCAGTTGTTGCTTACTGCATGTAGATGTGCATGTTCCGTTTACAAACAAGACATACAACCAGGAGGTGACCTCGTCCCAGTGATATCTCGCACACCGTCTATTACAGGAACAATTAAAGCCACGTCTATATGGAAAGAAGAAGATACCAACACCCTCTTTGTTTCTATCCGGGGTACATCATGCAAGGCAGATCACCTCGTGAATTTCAACCGGAACCAAAAGGATGCAGCTTCGCTCTTTGTAAGTTGACCCACTCTAGACGCACTCTCACTAACGGTGGTCTAGACGTTCCCAGGCTGTCAAAAAGAAATCTTCGCCCACAGTGGCTTTTTGGCCTGTGCCACTACGTTACTTCCATGGCTGACAGAAGAAATCATTCGTCAAGTAACAGTCGATGATAGCCTGACACACATAGTCTTTACTGGTCATTCAGCTGGTGGAGCTGTAGCAGCTTTGGTTTTCCTACACTTCATCTGCCGTTGTCCAAACTCATGTAAGTCTGACTAAGGTTATTTGCATTTCAGAAATTGATGGATGGTGGAATAGTGTTGAACATTCAATTCTCGCTCATAACATTCGGAGCTCCACCAGTCACTTCAACAAATATCACAGAACTAGCCCAAAGTCTGCCTCAGACAAAGCACATTTTGGCAGTTGTCAACGAGCATGATCTAGTCCCACGAGTCGACCAGTCATACATCGCATCGATTATCAGTTTATACAGATCCGCGTATGGGCTACCATTAGCCGAGCTTAATACTGCGTTTGCAAACCACTCTAGAGCAACGACTAATCACGATACACATTGGCAACTACCGCCGCCAGATTTCTGGGTAGTCGGCAATGTCATTGTGCTAAGAGCTAAGCTTGCTCTGACTGAGGTTCAACCGAGAGCAAATCTGGACAGCACTACAGCGGATATGCCACCTCAGAAATTTGATATCCTTCGGGTATCACCGTTACAGTTTTGCAAGCTTTTGTTCTTTGAAATCAGTGTACATAAACGTAAGGTGTACCTTAACAGATTGGAAAAGCTGGCGCAACAAGATCTAATGACGTAATCTTGACCTCGCCTGCTTTGTCCCCGATCTCATCTTAAACAACACTTGCGATGAGTCACAACTTCCATTTCTATACAAAACCGGCATTACAGAACTTGAATTTGTTGGACACAAGTTTCCGACTACAAAGCTTTGCGCAACCATGAAGAAATTGAATATTTGGATGGTCATCAGCGTGAGATACCGAGTCTTTGATCAATCGGGCAAGCTACCTTTCAGCATTGTCTTTGGTATCTGTCGTCGTTCACCAGATGATACTGATCCTCGACCTATACGCTTACGTACAAGACAAACGATTCTTGATGTTCCTTATGCACTCTCCAACAACCTTCTTCAGCTCCGCAAATACAGCGCAAGGACCAAAACAGATATACAAGTCGATGTTGGGCAGCTGAATCTTAGTAATAGCGAGGAATCCTATCTAACGCTCCCCTCACCGGTCGGCAGAACGGGAAACTGGAAAAGGTGTTTATCAGAATACCACTACCACGTCGATCCACAGAGCGAGCTTGCGTCTTTGCTTGAACCGGGAGAGCAGTACGCGTTCCAGAACTTCACGGGATGGGAGCTAGCAGCGGATGCATTTTCATACATCAATGAGCAGGGGGAACCATCAGCACCAGGAGATAAACAAAAGTTACTCAACCGCAGAGTCAGTGGTCACCCAACCTTCCATGTGGTGAAGTCTCTCTCTTGGCCCCCAGAGCTTCAAGTCTGGATGCAGAAGCATCAAGATACGAATAGCAATCCTGCGCTACTCGACATTACGGTGACCAACATGGGGAGTGAAGCCATCACTGTCCAAACTCACGGTCGTCAACGTTTCCTCACTCCACACGGCGCATTTCAACCAGAAGAGTTCCAACGTGATGATGACCGTCCTCGTATCATCGATCCAGAGAGACCATCGCCTAATGACACGATCCAAATACTTGACATTTCCACGAACAAAGTCGTACTCGGAGCGAAGAAACTTAGTGGATACGTCCAATATCAGATCCAAAAGGACCTTCGGCCGAGGCTAGATCTCTTAATAACGTTAAGGCCTGGGGAACCTCTTATCAGGCATGTAAATGTTGGAAGTCTGGTGTCAAACCTGCCGGATGGGGAATATGGTCTTCGGATGGAACCCAGGGGTATGTGGTGGTGCATTGGCGACTGTAAGGACTGGGATGGGGACCGTGTGCCTCATGATCTTTTCTCAACTTTGATTCCGCCGCTGATACTAAAGTGCCAAGATTCTGTAAAGGTAAAGGTGGAAAATAGAGCTATTCTACAATAGATAGTTATTAATTGAAGTTATGTTTAAGTACGCTCTCAACATAACTCGACAATGTTGACAACCCCGATTCCTATTTTAGACGAACTGGTGAAGAGGTTCAAGATACTCAAATCAACATAGAAAGCTGATTTGAGCATATTTGAACTTGTATGCCATGACAGTATAGCTCTAAACGATTCGCGTCGAGACCAAAAGGAAGCTGTATATAGCACGCGCTGCTAGAGTGCGACCAACCCGAAAATGTAGCAGTTCATTCTTGTGGTAACTTTTCTGGCACCTCTAGCCTTAAATATCGAGAGATACGCTTTCATGGTTTGTATTTACAGTAAAAATAACATTAAGGGGACATATTTCCTCTTGTTTCTCTTACTTCTCAACACTGGACTTCTCCAACGCCTTCTTACCGATCTCAATTAGTTCTGCATTCGATAAAGTGTCTTTCCCAAATCCTGTCATAGCCTGATCGAGTAGCGCAGCCATCATCTCAGCCCTACCGATACTTGGGACACTGATAATGACGTTTGTGAAGAGACGAAATGCTTGTTTCACAATGCCCATGTTGGGGTCACTGACTAAACCCTGCTTGGTCACGAGAACCTGCATTCTTCCATCCGACAAATGTGCACGCTCGATAATCTGCTTCTCTACTTGGCCCTGTGGTCTGTTAGCGACAAACAGTTTGTGTTATTGAGGCGACATACGCGCAGGAGACAGTAGTCTCCAAGGAACCATGGCTTCTTGGTGGGGTCTCGTTCGGCGTTGCAGCCGCTAACGTATATAAATCGAAGAGGCTCTGGGTTGTCCTTGCGTGGAAGTTTCGCAAAGGTGTCGGCTGCGTAGAGGGCATATTCGTAGCAGATCATGCGGACCTGGTCCCAAGTATACTGTTTTAATTTGCCAGGTGTGACTCCGATGAGCCTGTGCCGGGTTAGACGTTGATCGCGTGCGAAGAGTCTATCAGACGTACCATATACATGCGTCTGCACCAGCGATCTCATCCTTGACGTACTGCGGGTAGTTCTTGAAGTCGGAGCAGCTAACAGACGTGAACTTTGACTCTATTTCCGGCTTTCGTAAATCTTCCGGAAGTTCATGATCGCGACGTGCAAGGGCTACGACTGAGTCGATTTGAGGGTGCAGAAGCGCTTGGCGGACGAGTTCTTGGCCTATGAAGCCAGTTGATCCGGCAATCACGATCTTCATATCTAGAGACTCGTCGGTGTCGTGAGCAAGAGTTGAGAGAAGCAAAGGTGTAGAGCCGATTTTCGTCGTGGTATTGATAGGTTCCGTCCTTTATATCTAGGGGTTTAGCTTGTCGCAGCCAGTCTTATTCGATTCATGCGTGTGAGAATCTCGATCGTGAGAATCTCGATCAGATAGGCCATACTGGGCGCTGCCTTATCTATACAGCCCCTCCCTCCTGACGTCGCCTTCATTGAAAAGACAAGCCTCGATGATCTAGACGCCTCGAAATTCACGCTATATTCCATTCAGCAAATGAGCGAGCCCGCGAACGTCTGTTCTATCAAGCCTACTGATTTCCAGAAGCGGGAGATCAGAGCCCTAGGGACAGGAACGTGGCGCCGGATCGAGGAACATATCCATTCCTCGGGTCATTCCTTGCGAAGGAAACATCATTAGGGTCCACTAATTGGGATCTAGATAAAGCTTGATTAAGTTTGCGCATCTACCGTGGCTTTCCCATTGCAGCCCCCATTCCTCCCGGGCTGTTAACGGGTAAAGCAGACTGCCGCAATCAGTCTGGTACCCTAGGAGAGTTGTGTGACATGCGCGCCTACTACGATAGACAAGATGTAAAAAGAGGTCATCATGATTGATCTTTGACGTAGACAGAAACTTCGAAAGTTAATAATGATCTTCCATTTGCCTCAACATAAATACCTAGAAGAATGTAAGTTGTGGCCATGGATAAGAAGGGCACCTTGCAAAAGGCCATGATGTCTTGCATGGAGCTCTTCAGTGGCTATAGCGGATAAGACCTAACGTTAGAAGGCCTAGAAGGGCACTTGGAACGCTGACCAATCATTTAATGGCTCGAACTATTGAAGCCTCATTTTTGGGGAACACCACGATTGCACACAATAAAGTTAGTAGCCAGTTTGTTAGCCGATTTCAGTCAAGTCGCCTGTGAACACTTCTTAGGGGCAGGGAATTACGGAAGAAGAGGTAATTGCACAAGACGACAAGTGGGAAACAGGTTTGGACCCAGTATTCTATCCTAGTTCCTACTGATTGCTCACTCTTAACCCTTTATTTATGACTTCATAATTAACCTTATTTACCGTTTTCCATCACTGTTCCTAAGGTTGGGGTCGAACTCGTCTTGTACAATGCCAGTCCCAGACGGGATAAGTGATGCTGGGATTCCCCCAGAGATATGAAATGGTGAGGGGCCATCGCCATAGATGTACTCATGAACCTCCTTATCCAGACAAATATAGCGACCGAAACCATCGATATTCACTGGCGGCACGGAAATACCAACATGAATTCTTTGGCTGCTGGGTCGGTGCCGCCAACCTAGTTTGTCTCGTATGTCTCTCAAAAGTCCAGCGTAATTACTACCTTCAACCATAGATAGGAAGCTCAGTTCGACAGATTCAAGTGTCGACGGGAGCTTGGCGAGAAAGGATATAAGATCGTCCTGCGTAACTTGCATACCGAAAAGTCCAAAGTGCTTTAGCTTTCCTGTTGACCACTTGACTATAGGGAACATATCCAAGAATGAGACGAAATCTTCTGTTGACACTCCTCCAAAGCCATTCCAGTAATCCGTCTGGAACACGAATCTCTCTAGGTCGGGTGCTCTAGCGAGGAGACTGGAAATTCTTCCGTCTCGATAGAAGTCCCAGTCTTCAACATCAAGGTCCGCAACGTATGCCGTAATCAATGAGAGAGTAAAGCTTTTAAAATCTGGCTGCTCAAAAATCTTGCAAAGATTATCATATTCAACGTTGGGATTTTCAAAGAAAGAGCAGTCAATCCCTGTCGGAAGCTTATGACTGTCGAGAGCAAGCTCGGAGATCTGGAGAGTTTCGGCGTACTCAGCCAATACCTTCGTGACGATGCAGAAACCGTGCCATTGTTTCCTCTCCTCGTAGTTCTCCCAGCCCTCAGGATACCCATCCGGACGATCATATCCAAGGCGCTCATCAGACGGCCATCCTCGAGGCAATGGGTAAACGAATCCTGAAGGGAAGGCACGAATCATTGGTGTCTGATAGAAGGGCATAAAGAGATAGCCGTGGGTTGCTGGCGTGACAGTGACCTTATTGAGTCGAGGGAAGCGTTGCACGGCGTATCGAAAGGCTGTCTCGTCTGCCCCGGACTCCAATACTGCCTCTTGCTGCTTTATGAGCAGATTCCAATACGCGATTGAATCTCGAGAAGGCATTAAGTTATCAAGCTGCCTCTGTTCTTCGCTGTCGTTGTCTCCTTGCTGCCCATATTTCTGTTCTAGGCGACTGCTGGTTAGGAAGATGCTCTCTTTACAAAGTTGAACAAAGCGCCTTGAGATCCATTCTTTATCCTCATTCGCAGCAAGGTCGTCAGGATCCCTCTCGTCTGCACTATAGCCACAAGGGCCATCGCCATCTCTGTCAGGAATACTCTTCAAGGTAGCATCATCCCAGATAATTTCCTTGACACGATGGCGGAAAACGTCGTGGTTGGCAATGGCAGTTAAAACCTCTATATTGCGTGGATTGGCAGAAATATAGACGCGATTAAATCGTAACGGAGATTTATCTCTCAGATATCGATAGGTAAGGCGCAGGTTCTTGACGTCGCGATTTGGAAGTAGGTTGCAGATGGCACTAATTAGCTCACTTGGTAAGGATTGGAAAGCTGGTGAAAGGGTTTGTTGGGTCATGCTTGAGGGTGTAGAATAGTTAATAAATGAGAAACAAGTCAATTTTTTACCATAGAAATAGAAATAGTTCATAATATTATCGTGAAGTTCCACTAATCCTTCCATTTGTGGAGTCTTTATTATCTATCTTGCTATCCATCCTGTTTAAATAAGAGCTTTGTGGGCGAATCCCTTTTACCATATCAATCACAAGGCAAAAGTCGACCATCCATTGGCAGTCGAACGACCGTTGCATCAGTCGCTTACCAAAACAACAATGAGTGTGCCTTGCACAATGCGAAAGCAGATCAGCGACGCTCCTCTGAGAGCTGCGCGCTTCAATTCCGCCCCTCCTTCAACGCCCGCATACAGTGACCGAGACAATCATGCGCCAGGCTTCACGCAAGGCAGTTCTTGGCCATACGTGGAGGACAATTGACAAAACCTCCCTTGAAATCTCCCATCATGTACTCATCTGCGAATAGACTCATCGCGCAAAATGCCTTCCATTGCAAGCTTTTTGTTTCGCTCAGCTCCAGCAGTCTCAAGTGACAGTAGCGGTTCCCATATCACCAATGCCCCCGCCATCCCCAGCACGAGTATCGGACCTGCAGGTGAATATCTCCAAGATGAGCTGCTCAAAATGTATTGGCAAGGCGTTGAACGCGAACTTCCCTATTTGTTACTTACCTTCCATCGCTGGCAAACACGCAAAGATTCGTCGGAGTTCCTCCCCGAAGAAGAGGATGACCATATTCATGGTTATGATACTTTCATCGATCAAGTCAACGACGTCTCGCGCCAATTCCACGAGCGCAACAAGAGAAATCAGCGATCAAAACGACCAGAAAAGCCGACCAAGAAGGAAAAAAAGGACTCTGCAGACCCTCCCTCGTACGATGAGGTCTTGCGAGGTCGTGGCTGGGATATCTTTGCCGACATGAAAAGCCAGAGCATCAAGGGCGCTGTCAGAACCTCGCTTAGTGAGCGCAAATTACTGGACCCAGCGAGACGCAGAGCACGCATGCTTCTACAGTCAGCACAGTTCCTCGACATCGACAAAATAATCGAGCATCGAGAACCTGAAGAAGCACTCTCCTTTTGGAAAAGGCCCGCTTCGGCTCAGATAAAAGTGTCGTGTTATGATGACCTTGATCAGCCCGTGTTTGTTCCACAGCATTGCTCCGAGTGTAGGTCAACTATTCGGGGCTGCACTTTCCAAGACACCACCAACGAAAGCATCGTCATTTGTGAAGGATGTTATCGAGCGAGGTATTATGGTATGACTCGCTTCGTGAAGAAGTACAAGCAGTGCTGCCTACCAGATGCCCTGACGCCAGAAATAAGCCGCAAGCTTTGCTACTGTTCGTCTGTTCGTAGACGCGATAAAGACGGGCGTTCTCGATCATTGTGGCCTATTGATCCTGAGCTTGACGCCGGGAACCATATCAAAGGTGGTGCTGGTCGTGTTGGCTGCGGTCTGTATACAGTCGCTGATCTCTACGCGGAGGCAAAGTTCACGAGTACGCGTTCCAAATTGGCAAAGCATGACAGTCTACTTCATTTGAGGAAAAGGGATCCCAACGGTGGAGAGATACAAAAGCCCTCGGGTGTATCCAGGAAGCAGCCAAGTAGGCTCAAACATCTTAATGAGACCTCTCTCCCCGAGTACGGCTACTCATATGGGTTTAGTACTGAAGCGCCGGAGGATATTCCACCTTACTTACGTTCGACAATTGAGAAATATCCTTATGGGAATGTACACATGGCTCTACGTTTGGGGCCTCTTATTATCGAAAATGGCGTTGCAAAGTGAGTATTCGCTAGCACCATATGGACACGAACTGACATTCACAGTACAATGGGAGGTGTACTCATCACCAATCGAGATCCTCCTTCCTTGCAGATCATGCGCGATCCTCCAGAGGACATCACCAACTGTCTACTCCTCACCGGCGGGACAGATCGCAAGCTCTATTCCCAAGACCGACCACGACAGCCGAAGCGGTACAAAGCCTTTATGAAGCAGGTCGTAGGCGGCGCCTTCTGTGACTTTTTCGAGTCCGGTGTCGAAGACGAGCTCATTGATGCGTTCATGCATGAGAGCAGCTGTCTGGTAGAAGATGGGATGACTTTTGCCGAGCAAGAGACACTGCTTGAACAAAGCACCAAGCGTCTCCTTCTACATGTCAAAGAGTACCTCGCATCGAGAGTCCAGGCATACATATCGAGTATCACCGCTCGTCTGCTTGATCCAGAGGTTCAACTCCGTTGGCACTATCGCGGGAATAATTGCCAGGCATTCTGCGACAAATTAATCGATCGAGACCTCTTTGGGCCTCTCTTCGCTTCCCCGACAATGCATGGCCAACCAAGGCCACTTTACTTGATGAGTTTTGTATGTCGACCAGGGTCAAACGTCCCAACGCGTGCATTCTCCAAATACGACGTCCCAAATGGCCTTACAGAGGAATACCTATTCAAATTCCGTTATGGGCGTCACGACGACTCTGACATTATCGATACGCTCGCTGAGTACTGGACTGATTGGGGTGCCTTTGAGGGACCCATCTATCCAAGCCAGGATGTCTTCCCATGGGACTGCACGGAAGCATATGATCGCTATCCTGGGAACTGTGGAGATTGCAACATCTCCAAGCATGTTCTCGCATTCCCGTTTGACTCTTGGTCTATATCTTCCCTACATCTAGCCCGAGGAAGGCAATTGTATCCTCCCATGGCAAAGCCCAGCACCGAAAAGTCAGAAGAGAAGAAACAGCACACAGGTCTCATGACCGACGCCGACTGGTTCAAGAACCGTACAACCATTCTCCTCGGTCAAGACGCTCTCTTGACAGCTGCTGTCGCAATGGCAAACTGTAGTCAACTCCAGGCGTCCACGACGTGGATCCACAACCACGAAGACGAGACCATGGACAGACTAAAGCTCGGAGGCATCCACCGCGCACAACCCTTCAGCCACCACTTCGAGAAAGGCGCCTATCATCAGTACTTCGTCGCCGACTGGGCTTTTCTCGCACAACCGCTGCGAGTCGTCGAGTATGAGAAGCTGAGAGACTGGCGAGCGACAAAAGCAGACGTTGGCGTAGCAAAGACAGATGATGGCGGCGGCGGCGGTGGAGGCTGCGGTGGAGGCTTCTTCTCTTGCGGTGCTGTGGCAGCCGGGTGTGCAGCGGGGAGTCCGGGCATGGCTGGTGATACCTGTGGGAGTAATTGTGTGTCGAGCTGTTCGGCGGGAGGAGATGGGGATGGAGGTGACGGGGGATGTGGAGGGTGCGGTGGGTGATTTATCCTTGTTGTCGGCATTACTACTATTGTACTGAGTCATTGATAAGCCAAGCATAGCAAATTAAAATATTTATGATTATCTCATACAAGGACGTTATCCCAGTAGCTTTATGTGTGATGCCCAGCCCAGTGACATTCATGCCGTCCCTTTTTACAAAACCACCATCGCGCCCGTCTTCTTGAGATAGGATACAAACATTCCGCACAATCAATGGTCCTCGGCAGTGTTCTATCTAAATAGAACTCATCTCTTGCCTCCTTCATAGCCGTAAGCGTCGCGCCATCCAGACTTGCACACTGTCTACACAAATGACCACCGCCGTCCTCCCACTGCGGCTGCTGGAAGGTACAGCAGTTTATATGCTGCATTTCCAGATCTTGCATGTTCCATTTTGCGTGGAACGGCCCGGCGCCTCCTGGTGCTGAAATGAGGTAGCAGGGTGTACACACGGCGTAGCAGTGGGTGAAGTGGTCTTTTACGCGCGAGGATCGGATCGTTCGCTTTTCCGATTTGCAGTCCTGGAAGCGTGTCAGCAGTGATTGAAGGTTGGAGTTGTGTACTTACATCGCATATTACGCGCTCGCACGACCAGCACTCGCTCTTTTGTCCATCCAAGCATGACGCTACGCACAGCGACTCTATGCGATCGCGGCGGGATGAAGAGTCCATCGATGGGTAGAATACCGCAGTGCGCGTCAGCTTGGACGCCAGCGAGAGGTTGACTAGATCGTCGTAGTGAAGATGGCGCGCGACTCGTTCAACAATATCGTCATCTTGCAGAACTAATGCTAGGGATTTTTCTCGGCCAGTAGGCTTCTGCGACAAGAGCTGTGCGACGTTATATGGCCATCGCTTGGGTGCTTTCTTACTTTGAACCGGTAAGAAGAATCGTCTAATGATGATCGCTGGAATACTGATGAAGCGAGGGAAAGCAGCAATCGGGAATAACAATACATCCTGGAAGGCAAGAAGTATTCTGTTTAATTGTTAGCTATAGCTGCATGTACAAGCGCGCGACAACTTACATAAAGAAGATGCTCATGATCTTGCCCAGGCCTGCACCAAACGTCCAATCCGACGTCCCAGTAGGAATCGGGTGTCTACAGTTTTCCACAACAGAGAACAAGATAATAGCAATATCGACACATAGAATGTAGAACGGCCCTCGACTGCGCTGGCATGAATCCCATTTACCCATGGACCCTTCTGCTTTACAGTTCGTAGAAATGATCGAACTGACTATCGGCCACAGCACAATCCAAATACCCTATCTTCATCAGCGCCAGATCATTTACAAGGAATAAATACCCACAAGGAATTGACGTCCTCTGTCTAAATGGCCTAGACGCCACCATGGGTTGAGCACGACGAGAGGCCCATAGATGGCCAAAGGAAGAATGCTCCAGAAGCGAATCTTTGTGAATCCCTCTGCTGACTTGTTACAGATACATCTGATGATTGGTATCATCAGAAAAAACCATAATATGATAAAGATAATAAAGAAGGCTTCATGAAAGGTATCCATAATTGCATGATTGACCGCGACTGTCAAGATGGGAGTTGAGAGTGGTGAACATGAACATGATCAAAAAGCTGCAATTGCGAGCAACACCCTTGGTTTATCGCGGAATTCCCCCGCATTCATTCGGTCGACGGATTGAGAATGCCTTGGCTGGATGTCCTCTCTGACCGGGCGTAATGCGCTACCTCTTTTGTTTCGTGTGTGGGGAAGTCTCCGATTGGAGATCTGGACCAGCTGATGTCTGATGTGCAGGGGTGAGCCACACCGTCTAAGGCGTTCTCGTGGCGACTTGAAGGATTCTGCGCTGTTAGGCAAATCTACTACGCCCGGGGCTGCAAATCTTCTCGATATGAGGATTATTATACCTTAATACTCGAGATCGTGAGAAACTATCTAAATTAGCAGTTACTGAAAAGATATTTTGTCTGTCTGTTTTGCCCAACATGTCCTTGGAAGACAGAATCACTAAGCTCTCCCTTCACGAAAAGAGCAGTGATATGGTCTCAAGTCCATCCCGCCCCAACGACCCAAACGGAAAGCCCTACGAAATCGCGAGCAAAGTCGAAGACTTCCCTATAATTCCCAACCCTAATATCTTCAACTTTGCCAATACCCCAAACACCAAACCACCAAGAAAGTCAAGCTCTCGAGACCTGGCTCTGCCTACTTTGGCGGAATGCGCAGCTCATCTTGAATTTCTCGAAACGCTTTTTATTTTAAGGCAGAAAGTCCTTGTATCAAAAGAACTTGATGATGTATTCCTGATTCATCCTACAAGAGAGACAAAGACTGGTTTTCAGGGCGATACAAAGACTTTAAAGGATGAGAAACTCTGGGAGAAGAGACAGGTTAAATGGCCCAGGTTTGTCGGTTTTGCTGTCGTTCGCTTTCTAGCATGGCGCGAACATTTCAATAGCTCCAAGGTGGAAATCACACGAGATAACCTCCCGCCTCTGGATATCCTGATGGTGTGGCACTCGTTCCTTCTCAATCCTCGGCTGTTCTGCGTCAACTGCTCAGACGAACCTCTTTTCTCTGTCAAATTTCCGTGGAAATATGTTCACAGTGCTATCGACAATGGCGAATGGCAGTTAAGTCTTCAACCCGCGGCTGCAGCCAACTACAAAGAAGCTTCTGGATTCTCTCCAGATCTATTCCATGACATAGTTTCGTGGAAAGACCTAGAATTCAAGAATCGTTGGGGCATCTCTCAGCTTGAACTCGGCGGAAGGCGCTGGAAAGAACTAAGTGAGGGCCGATGTCGAGAGTACGTGAACCACTTTAATCGTTTCGATTCGAAGCTCGCCGAGGATCTTCGCGATGCAGTTATCCGTCAGGGCTCTTTTGTCGAAAAGATGAACTCTTTCATGTGGATTCGAAGTCCTGCTCTTGAAGGGACACTCCGCCGCGGCATCGCCCGCTATCTCAACTTCTGCAAGCTCCTCAAGATGTCCAAGACGACAGTTGTACCAACCCTCGACATCGATCTTATCTGGCATACACACCAGTGTACAGCCACACACTATGGGCAAGCAATGAAGGTCTTGGCTGGCAAGTTTGTCAATCACGACGACACAATTGAAAAGCCGCAGCTGGGAGATGGGTTTGCAGAGACAAGAAGATTGTATCGCGTGTATTTTGGTCAGGAGTATCGTGCTTGTGGATGCTGGGATTGTCAGGCTTTGTTGACGGAGCTCGAGGGGGCTTTGGAAAGGGGTGAGGAAGACGTTGATATGGATATGATTGCTGCGAAGGTGAAGGAGGATGTTTTTTATCATCGGGCTGTTGAGTGGTCGAGGAGGCATAATGTGGATTTACCGAGACGGCGAGACTAGAGCCAGTTTAGATAATTTCATCAGAAACTTCTCATAGTATTTCTACATAAGTATAGCTCAGGTTTAGACCAATTTTCTTGGATTTTATATGATTTTTAATATTTACTCACAACTAGCTATAGTATAACAGCCCCGTTCTCTACCCGTATCTTCACAACGTCCTAGATACTGGAACTCGCAATTTGCAGTACGGCATGTCCTAGTCAGATTAGCAGGCTTTTCTACGAGAATGAAACAAAGAGACCAAATCAAGGTGCAGACTGAAAAGTTATAAAACCCAGGATCCATCAATAGATACTTAGGATGGCACATCGATACCGTACTTCTCGTAATTGAAGTGTTCCAGACTCGGTATGCTTTCAGCCCAACCATCATCAATCCCTCCTAGCTGCCAGTCATCTCCAACCTCAAACCTTCCCGTTCTCCCAGCCAGCACGTCCTTCTGTACCGCTTGATACTCAACCGCCATATCTGGGTGCGGTACCCAAATAACCCTCATCCCAGCCCGTCTTGCAGCCTCTACCCCAGCCACGCTATCTTCGAAGACCAAACATTCGTTAGGCATGATGGGCTTCCCGCCAGATTCTGCCGTCGAGTTCAACGACTGCAAAGCGACTAGATATATGTCGGGCGCTGGCTTTCCTCGGCCTTGTCCCACTCGTGGATCATCACCCAGGACCCTCCTGTCAGGCTGGAAGAAGCTAGGCAGCCATTTCGTTTCGGGCCTTGAAGTTTTTATTTCGTAGCTTTGGCTCTTAGTACTAGATGCCAATGCCAGCTCAATCCCGTCTCCAGAAGCGCTGCGTGCACGGCTGAGGTTTAATAGAAGCTTCTCCGCACCAGGCAACGGCTTGCAATTCAGGAAATGCAGTCGCATTTGTTCACTTGATTCACGAGCGAATTGTTCACGGGAGATGGGTAATTTTGCCCACTGGTGAAACGTGTCGCTATTTATCGAGTTTGGGATACCCATGAGCTGAGCTCGAATCGACCGAGTAAAGGCAGGCCTTCCATACTTTTCAAGGAGTTCGTTCGTGCTCAGAGTGATCATGTCCTCGGAATTGATGAGAAGCCCGTCCATATCGAAAATACAGGCCCGGATTGCCGGGAAGCTGGTGGTAGTCTTTGTGAGCTTCGGGATTTACCTCATTACTCTCATGTCGATGACCGATAAAGGTCGTACATGGATGTCTCATTTGAGGGCACTTACTCAATCTTAAGAGAAACCATAGGTGCTGAGAGAAAGCCGACTTTGATCCAAGTTGACGGCACCGAGAGCGAAATAAGGGATGGGGTCGAAGTTGGGATTCAGGTTGTGCATTTCAGCGTGACAGTCGGCGGGGGGCTTACCCGCCAATGGTGATTGAAAGTGACGGTGGGGTCAGCGGCTACCAATACCATGTGTTACAGTGGTCTTAAGTTTTTGACAACAACAATGTTACCGTTCAATTATACAAATGATCCACAAGAGAGTATTTCCATAAGAACTACATATTGTTGTGACAACGCGAAGAATGACGCGATATAAGCTTCATTGTTCATATAAAGCGACTTGTACGTAAAATAACTACTTCAAGTTACGTTTTAGGGTACGTGAATCTCGTTCGGGAATAAAAACAGGCCCGGAGACAAAGGCCCACCAAACAAAGTGCGCCTGCTAAAACATAGCTCCTTTTCTCCCGTGGGGTGCGCTTGTGATGCAACAATCGACGACAAATGACGATGAGACGTGCCTGACATCATCCACTAACAGCCTGGGCCAACTACTTGGTCAGCGCCAGGCGCAATCAAGCTCGCCTTTATTTTAGTTCTGACGTAAATTCTATTTCTTCCATGAAATCAATAATTACAAAATGGAGGACACCACACGCCCAACGAGACAGATAGCTGCAAACCTCGATACTAATGCAAATGGCGACGCAACTCTCTACACCCGCGTCCAGCACATAACCACACAAACCAATACACCCCATGAAGGACATACATACAGCCCGCCTGTTGATCTCCTCGAGGTAAAAGATGTGGGCTGGGACACTTTGCAGGATCGATCAAAAGACTATGCCATCGATGGCGTAACGAATGAGGATTTACGGCTTCTTGTGAGAAGATTCAATAAGGTTTGTAAAGTTTTGGCAGCAATAAAATTTGTAACTTGGCAATTGACACCAATAATACAGCATGTTTTCCATGTCAAGCACACGCCAGAGCTTCCTGAAGACGAGTTGGATATGAATGTTGCCCCCGAACAACAATTCTCCTCAAATAAGCTCCGGTCAGCACTTGAAAGGCTCTACATGGGTGTTGTAGGTTTTACGGTATTCCTTTTCTTCAACTCATACTAACATGGTAAGATGATGGGGATGATGATCTCAAAGCAACACGTCGCAAGATTACAGTCGTGGCGCGAACCGAGACGAACAGCCTCTCTTTGCATCGTAAGTTAGCTTACTCCTCCGAAAGAAAATAAAAACTAACCAGCGACTAAGGCGTACTTTGTTGCTTGGTATCTGGAACTTCTTATGCCTGTTTTATGGACATTTTTAATGGCAATGCTTCTCTTCCCTGAATTTCGAAGTATTGTATTCCCACCTTGCCCGCCCTCGATGGTCCACTACCAAGACGGAAGTCTGGTAAAACCAGCCGCTGGTATGCTAAGCACCACCGACTCAGGTACAGGTGCGCCAGAAAACTTTAAAGGGGAAGCTCTCGAAAAAGAAGCCAGTAACTTTGTAACCGGACTCGTCGCTCTTTCAGTGAACACATTTGTCGTCAAAGATCCTCAGCATGGTGAATCTCAAAAGGGAGGCGGGAAGATAGCTGAATTACCGGACCCGAGATCGTTGGCCACAAAGATAGTCACTGCGAAGGAGAAAGCAACTGGAGCGGACAAACCGTCGTCTGACAAAACCAAAGCGCCTATACAAGATATTATGTGGAGTCAGATGGAGCCCATACTGCGCAAAATGTCCGTTATTTGTGATGTATGGGAGCGCGGTGCAAAGTAAGTATATCGCTTTCTGTATTTGAACTCAGCTGACAAACAGCTTTGTTGAACCTTCGGCTCCTTTCCCAAAGCACAACCACAGGATTGTCAGGATATTTCTCCCACTTATCATAGTATCGACATTTGTCTCATGCCACACAGTTTACAGAATTGCCAGTCTTGGATTTGGTGTTGTGTTCTTTGGCAATATTTACCTATCGAATACATACGAATGGGCCCTATCTACTGCGGTAAAGTAAGAATCCCACAACCTTAAGTGACTCAAGAAACTTACACCCTAGCAGATTCACGTTTAAAGGAGTCCCGACGGATTGTCAAGTTACTATCACGTTGCTGCGAGAAGGCGAACGGAACAAAACGCCGCTTCTACCGCCACCGGTACCAACTGGTCCACCTTCACACGACCGCCCCTTGCTTGACGATGACGTTATTGGGGGATCACTCGGTGATCGTCCACTGGGTGCAACAAAGGCCGAGATTCAAAAGGCTGGGGAACGAGATGCAGGGATGATCGAGGACACTGGAGGTGACGACCACGTAAGTAACCCAGTTCCATAAGTTTAGAGGCGCGGCTAATGAGTAGTAGGAACACTGCAAGCCAGGCAGCGGTGGAAAAAAGCGAAGCAAGCTTATGAGTATCATCAAACCTGTCGCTCAAGCAGCTGCAAAGACCGTGATCGGCGTGGACAAGCTCCGAGCAAAAGCAGGCTCCGAGTCTGCAAAGAACCGTGTCGGAGCTGCCTCACCAAGGGAAGAAGCCCCCATCGCCGGCCCAGTTGAGTTTACATGTCGATGGCATGGAGAGAGGGGTTTCGTCTATCTCACCACCGACACCGTATCCCCTTCTCTGTGCTTCTCAAAGCGATCTTCGGTGGGAGATTTGGATAAAGAGATATACCAAGCAGTCGAACCAGCGTGGGTTATCCCAGTTTCGCGGATTACTATGATCAACAAATACTCTGGCTATGGAGCCAAGGCGAAACTCATGGCTGGCTGGGCACTGGATGGTGTTATCTCAGATGGAATGGAAATAGTTGATAGCGAAGGGGGGACGTTCTTGATCACTGCCATGGAACGCAGAGATGAGTTGTTCAACCGGCTTTGTTCTATTGGCGATCAGAAGTGGGAAATTTGGTAGACGATATGATCTCATCTACAACTCTATTCTCTCATCCAATCAGCATCCGGTATGGTGTAATGGCTAACATTTCGCGCTCTCACAACCTGAGAGAATTGTTCCGCGGAGCTCAGGGTTCGATTCCCTGTACCGGAGATTCTTTTTGCTTGTTAGGGGGAGTTCTCTATTGACAAATACAGAGTTATCTATTACCTCTATCTAGTGTGTAGTTATAATATCTATATCACCCAGTGGTTCCACGGGCTCCCATGTACTAGTTACTGTATCGAATGCCTTTGCTCATCCCCCAGATGAGATTGATACCCGGTTTGGAAGTCGTTGGGCTACTAAGGTTGGAATGTATCGTCATCTTCTTCGTTGGTGCCTGCCCCTGGTACTTCAACGTGACCGTCGGCGTCGCCATTGTCGTCATCTTGGACCATCGCTCTTGCCTTGCGGCGACCAAGAGGGAGAGGGGGGAAGGGGGTGAGGGGGGTTCAGAATTTCCTCAATGCTAATCCAAAACCTTTGGTTCCTGTTCTGTGAATCACCCTGCTCTGACAAACACTCATCTCTGACAAACACTCTGCCCTGACAATCACTGTTCCCTGACAATCACTCTGCTCAGTTGTTGTGTCTTTTCCTTCAACAAATCACGTATCAAAAGCTCGGAGGAACCGCCTCCGTCCGTCTTCTGCAGATATCCAACCTACCCTCCAACACGTAAGTTCAAGAATCTTCAGTGTTGGGGTATAGATACTGATATGGCATGATGATAGGGGCTCCGAATCGTTCTCGCACCCATGCGAAAAAGACTGATCGATCTCGCGCTCGCCGCTCTGCGGCAGTGAAAGATGATGTAAGTTTGTCCTAGACTAACATTTGGCCTATCGTGGTGGGATATTCGCTGACGGTTTGTGTACTCTAGCTCCGTGCTGTAAAGCGCCAGCAGTTTATGCATTCCCCAGACCTGTGCAATGCAAAGCTGGAACAAGAAATAGAAACGATGTCAGAAGTGTCGGGTCTCTGCATCGTGTCGACAAAGGCGCGGAACAAAAATGATGGGTATATTCAGATCAGCCATGGGGGGGCGAACCACTTTGCATTGTTACATGAGATTTTGGCGTGGAGTAGGGGTTTACACCCTGCCCCCGGTCAGCAAATATCGCATCTTTGCGGGAACCCAGCATGTTCAACAGCGTCGCATATTGTTATGGAGACTCCCTTGGAGAACAATGGTCGGAAAGGCTAGACTAATACGAGTTGTTGGTACCCTGCGCTCCCTGTGGTAAATCTTTGGCGACGTGTCCACACACTCCAATGTGTTGTGGTAAATTCTTGGCGATGTGTCTACACACTCCAACGTGTATTCCTAGTGCGCTTTTTGTGATTGCGGGTGCTGGTAGTTAGTTGGAGGGTGGAGGGCGGGCATACATCTTGGGAAGACCTGCTCGCGACAGGCTTATGTAGCATAAACAACAATGCTGCATGAAAAAGATGAGAGTGTCTTCGGTGATAAACGTGTATTTTACTTAAAGACTACGCCGTCACGGCTGAGGATTTTCAACGGTCGCCTATCGGTCACGGTCTTGCCGGTTATGTCTACTTCATTTCTCCCGTATGGGTCTGGTGTCGCCAGTTTCCGCATATCGACAGATATGACCGGGTGCATTCTCCTCTTCCATCTGTGATTTAGTTCCGTTTTGGGGTATCTCTGGGGGTCCTGGCATCTCGCCATCTTGAAACATTGTGAATCTTTCTCTGTTGATGAGGCCGAGCCATGATATCATGTCCAGCAGAGTTTCGCGTGACGACGTCGCAAGGATTGTTCGGACATCTCGTGGACGAGTTACTTCTTCATTGGACTATGCTCTCTGAAGGAGAAATCACTAATGGTTCAAATAATGTAACATCCCGTGCATAAAAAGAATAAGATGTTTTCCAAGTCCAGAGATCGAAATCCAGCGCCTCACAACATACCTTACACCTCACGCAACAAATTCTCAAACACATGCAAAGAGACGACGTCAAACAACACAGCGCAGACATATTATTAACAACTCTAACAACAACAGTGGGATCGCCACTACCGCAAAATACACTCAAACTGCCGGCCAGCCAGACCAACGGGTTAGTCAACCCGCCTTAACAACAAAGGTTCTTCAATACAACGACATGGCAAGATCATGATCAATACAACGTCGACACGTTCCAAATGCCCCCAATAGGTGCTTTTGACCCACCAGTTCCATTCGGAATGTTTACACGAACACAGATCAGCCCCGAAGAGAATAGACATATGAAACAAATCATAGTTAGAAGAAAACGTACAATCTAAGCATATGACTACATAAAATTATATAAATTCATAAGAACTTATCATAATTTAGATCATTCGAAATCTGGAGTAAAGGAAATAGTCAGAATTGTTGTACATTAAGCTAATCAAACTACCTGACTGGGAGAACCTGAGACGGAACCCATCAACCACCAATGGCTTTCATCAATACTCCTTTTCTGCAGCAACAACACATCAATCTTATAAAAGGTTTCGATTGTAACAATTAATCACTTGGTAGAGATGGTTCGGTAGTGGTTACTTTGTATTTGTTGTATTATTACTTGTAGTCTATGTATGCCTCATTAATCCTGATATTTCCTCCTCTTCATTAATCCAACTCATTGGGTATTCTTTCCACTCATTAACTAAAAAGTCATTATAGTTCCCGTCTCTTATGACATCTTGATGCTCTCATAGGTGCAGGAGTTGCCCTGGTAGATGTACTCCCTCACACTCTTGGTGGTGGGATGGTCACCACCAGCATAGTCGACGATGGAGATGCTCTTGTAATAAGCTTCAAAAGGACCTTGGCTGAAGTCTGTTAATCCCCCAGCCCACTGGATAGTTCCGGGCGCGGCGTCAGGACGACCGGCAGTCCATGTTCCCATCTTGATCTGGCATGGTGTTTGGGGGAACCCGCTGCCACCCTTGGCATCGGCGTAGTTGAGGGTACGCACAACGACATCGTCGATCATCCAGTTGATAAAGGAGGACGTCCACTCGATAGAGTAGAGATGGTATTCATCAACAGGGTTTGCAACAGGGTGGAAAGCACCACGGTCGTATGTGCTCACATCACCCTTGCTGAAGTAGTTGGACTGAACTTGAGCATTGTCTCCGCCTAACCACTCATAGTCTACAACCATTTATTAGTATCATAATGATATAAGTATTTAGAAAAGAGAGACATACCGATCTCATCAAGGTTGTCAGACTGTAGCACAAGGCTGGTGACGATACCAACGCCGTTAGAGGCCTTCAACTCGACATCAACACGGCCAAAGAAAATGTATTTGCTAGTCGCAATTGTAGGAGCCTGATCAAGTCCAGTAATTGTGAAGACAGCGCCGTGTTCGTTATGTGAGATTGATGTGCCAGCGTCTTCGGCGAAAGCATCACATGCTCCCTTTGTGAAGTCACAGTGGACAGTGTCCTTGCCAAAAGCCGGGTCGGCGGGACAAGCTAGAGAGTGTAAGTGGTGTGTCAAACCATGTTTGGGTGAAGAATGGTAACTTACTGGCTGTGAGAGGGTTACACTTTGTGAACGTCTGAGCTGAGACAAAGGGTGCCGCGAGGGCCAGAGCGTAGATGGCTTTGGAGAACATTCTTGCGGGAAGTTGTGTAACGGAGGACGGCAGGAGAAGGAAGAGGTTGTCAGCAAAGATGAATGGTAATACAAAAAGGCAGGAAATAAAAAGATGAGATTTGTCTCTCACGCACGTTTAATATAGCACGAGATTGTTCGGATCAGGCAATTGGGTGAACGAGAGGCTGGTTTAAATCAATTTTGGCTGGCTGGTGGTATGGAGGTTTCCCTTCCCCAGCCCCAGCCTTGGCCCTGGACCCCTGTCACTGCCTCGGTTTATATCAATCAGACGATGGGTGATGGGTGATCAGTTCTCGTATTCCCTGCACTTGCGTTCACTAGCCAACCCCTGGCAAGCCGCTAAAGTGCTAACCACCCCAAAAACTCCAACAACGCCGCAACGGAATGGGATCGATGTACACCAATAGCTCGGTCGCGCTAGTCGAAACCGTCCCTGTCCAAGCCCAAGACAGAGAGGGCTCGAGTGATTCACCAGTTCCTGTGGTGAATAAAAAAACGGCTGGGACGGATTAGCCCAAACTCTGTCTTCTGGCTGCCCAGATGCGCTAACTAACAATAGGTGCCAGTGGGTGGCTGGCACCATCGGCGTTTTACCGACCAACGATACGAGCTCCCGACCGTCCTTTTCCCAAGGGTCTAGATCTCAGTGGACACCCACTTTAGCTCTCGCAGGCTGCGGGTGAGCGGGCTGTGTGCGAGCGAGCGATATGCGCGAAGGGACTTACGCTAACAAGACGCAAACAAAAAGGGAAAAAATGTCGGCGGAGGAGCTGTTCCTTTCCTGTTGCTGACGTCAGGACAGCAAACAGCCCACTACTTGTCTACCTAGACTAGGTTGACAATCCAGGGACTTTGAACTAAGCTGAGCCGATTTCCGTCTATGATCCTGGTATTTCTTCGTGTAGACTTTCTCGCAAGGACGGAAATCGGCTCGGCCGGACTGTAATGCTGGTCACCCATACGAAATGCCCAGTGCCGAGATACGAGACTATCAGAGCCAAGACGATGTGAGGTTGCAAAAGAGAGTCACGATATGACCCGTGCATACAACGTAGTATGTATTCCTCTGGTGTTTTTTGTCCGCTTTAACCGATAGTCTGCCCTCCTTCATCGCTCTTAACTGACACCTGCATTACGCGCCAACTCGATTGAACCCTTGATGATGAGCCACACAATCCAGACCAGGGCTGTCCACTGATAACGATCAGTGGAGCTGACATGGATGCTGGGGCCGCTTTGACAAGTTCGTTCTTCCCCGCAGCACGAACGACAGACAATCTGCACGTCTTTTGTTTCGGAGAGTTGTAGATCTCGCGCATCTTTATATCTCCCTTGCGAGCATGGACCGATTTGATGTCATTGAGGGAAATTCTCAATTGATAGATCGTCCAACACGAGCTAATTGTCTCAATTGAAATTGCGATAAACCTTTCTTTTGCCAAGCGCCCTAGACTTCGGATAAGAATCATCCGTTTAATCATCGACTAAGCTTCCTTATGTGGGCAGCCCATCACTCAGCTGATCCGTCATGAGGTCTGATATCCCTCGTACCCCGCCCCGAGCAAGCATCTTCAAATGCATGCTCGGGCCCCCCAGCTACCCCAGCAATGGATGTTTGCAGCAGTCATCGACACTTGGCACTGACCTGACCGCAACAACCTCTCTTTCTTCCCCGCTCTGGAAGGATTACTCCTGCTAGTCTAAGCATCTTACACGCTTTGATCAGCATGCGAAAACGAAAAATACCTTCCCGATGAAGATATCACGACAGTAAATCCCATGCATGCATGCAATGCATAGCTCGGCTGGATTCGCTTCAATTGTCCCCGAGCAAAGCTATCACCAACGGTATCTCATGCAATGGCACCTCGCATTGCACAAGTTCCTCTGGGGCGACAAGGCTGCGGTGAGGAGAAGCTCCAAGCTGCACGATGACTTCCAAGCTATCAATCGATAGATCTCAGCCTCATAGACTAGCGCTTCGGGGTGAACACCAATGCCGGGTATCCGTGCATTTCGGACTCAACGGAAAACTCCATCACGTGAAAGAGGAGCAATACTCATGATGCGTGCATTGTGCTCCATTCGCAATACGGTTGCGAGCAAAAACGGAGGAGGCCTTAGTCCAAGGCACAGCCGCCCTAAACGATGGTAAAGCTCTAAAAATACCCGCTAGCTCAGGCTTTCACGCCACGACCCGAGGCGGACTGTTGCCACGACAGTGAGGCTCAGTTCGGAGGACCCGAAGGTAAATTTGACCGCTTGCATATCAATTCTAACGTTCACGGTTAAGTGTGAAAATGACATTGAACCCGGGAAAATGGTCGAAATTGAAAATACGGCCTTGGCAACCGGCGGGCTCGGGTTGTGTGAGTGGCCCGGCGAGTGTCGACCAAACAATGGGTTGGTAGTATCTGAAGTGGCTAGATAGTAAAATAGACTCCTACCAATGACAACGCTATATCGCGATTCACTTCACTATATCCTCCAGAAACGATAAAATAATATTCAACACCCGATATATCTCCCACATGGTATGTCACTACACATCAAGCCTCATCACAGCCGCATGTCCCTTGGTCCCAGAATCATCAGACTCTCTGAACCAATAATCTCGAAGTTCACAAGTAAAACCAGCATAATCTTCTTCCCTTTGTTTACCTCAACAGCGTATCGCTTCGTATAATCAATAAGCTGATTAGCCAAACCCTTGCGTCTTTCAGAGGGAAGCACGTAGATAGCATTGAGCACATAAGCCGTCTCGATTTCCGGGGGGACTGGACCAAAATAGGTTGTTCCGGGGTCGAAGTTCTGTTGCTCCTCCCAATCCTTCGCAGCAGTTGCGGCATTTAGCGGGCCGCTTAGCACAAGTGATGCGATCCACGGTGAGTTTAGAGTAAGGGAGAGATCATCTTCCGAGTCAGGACTGGGATCCGAGATGACGATGGTGTTTAATGCGGATGCATTTTTCAAACGCGACTCCCAGATCTCTTTTGGGAATTCGACTTCGCGGGCATAGGTTGAGCTGAAAGCCTCTGGAGACAGCTGGAGGGATTGAAGACGGTAGGTTTTGAATTTTTCGACAAGTTTGTCCCATTGAGATGGGTCTAACAAGGATTTTGGTAAACTAATGACTTTGCTTGACATTTTTAATAGTGCTGGGTGATTTCTTTCTCCTCGTTTGTTATGATTGTGTTTTGATGATTGGAGGCTACTATATGTAGTTGATTGGAAGTGAAAATGCGGAGCAAATCTGACTGTGAGTCATTCACGGTGTTAGGCAGATATCGTGAATTGTGAAGGCATGATATATCACTTGCATGACGCTAGAGGTGGCATGAAACAAATCCTGGTATTTCACGTAGAAGCGGACGACAGGAATATTCATGGACAATTCTTTTTCGCGACCTCTCTTCTTTGCTGAACAACCTTACCACAGTTAGTCTAAAAAGAGACAGAAAGATATTGTGATTGTATTTCAAAGCCCTCCTCTGAACATATTTACGTTCCAACTGGTTCGTGTTCGTGCTCCGATGTAAAACCTGAAACTTCATTAGCAAAAGGAAACAAAAAGGAAATATTATTAGAAGTTGATTATTACGGATAGTAAAATACGTGATTCCGCTCGGGATTGACCCGAGGGCACTTCTTGGCACTCTATTTAACGGGATGGAGTGATGGAGAACTACGCAATTTTCCTCCATCCCATAGCCAACCATCAAATCGGTCTCTTTGCCTCTCTTGTGCATCTTAACTCGAAAGTTACAAGACAATGTTACGCCGTAAGTCAACTGCAGACTGTATCAATGATTCGTTCAGAGGGACAGAGTCCGACTACCCTTTATACAACTCGATCTGCGAAAACGACATATTGACGTTACAGGAAGTGCTTGGCTCTCCCGAGGCTTCATATTTGTTGCAGACTGGCGATGGCTGTTGGGGCACTCCGCTTCACGTGGTAATCTATCTGGACAACATCGAGGCAGTAAATCTGCTTTTGCAAGCTGGTGTTGATGTTGCTACCAACTCGTCTGTAAATGAACAGCGCTTGTTACCACTGGCACTTGCAGCGCGTGTGGGCAATCAACGATTGCTTTGGCGATTGTGGAACCATCTGCGCTCCCAGTCTGAACCAGAAGATATTCCAAATGTTGATTCTTGCCCTTTCCAAGCCTCGATAAACGGGCAAATCCCCATCTTACGTTCTCTAGTAGGCTGGTGGGAGTGGACCGCGGAAGCCAAGAATGAAGCCTTGTTTTGGGCGGCACGAAGCTGGAAGGCATATTCTGCCGAGCTCCTCACATCCGAGCTGTCCTTCAGTCAAGAATCCCTGAACAAGGCTTTCGGACTTGCAGTGGATTTCAAGCCTTTATTGGGGGACGAAATGAGCATCGATTACAACGGCGACGATTATCTCGAACAGCAACTTTTGATTTCGCACTTAGTCGACGCTGGAGCTGATTCGAACGTTATCGTTGACAGGCAACCTATTATTCTGACTGCCGCTCGTCACATCAATCTCGTAGGAGCTTTGAAGGTGTTGCTGGAGAAGGGAGCCAACCCTAACGCTACCGACCAGGGAGGGAAAACAGCGTTGCATTTTCTTGGCTCACCAGCCGCTATACACCAAAATGGACCTGCTGTGCGCATGAATGAGATCGGCGTTCGCCTTCTTCTTGGCCATGGTGCCTCTGTCCTGCAAGGAGATGATGCGTCTGGAGCAACTCCTCTCCATGCGGCTGCTTTTAGCGCCAATCCCAGACCTCTTTAAATCCAGACTATCTATATTATAACCCTTAGTAAAATATTATACATAATCTTTATTACTATAACTTATAAACTAATTATATTAAACTTATTAAAATTATACATTAATAACAATTTAAAACTATATTACTTTAAGTATAGTATTATTTCTAAATATTATTAACTTTATATATAAAGCCGTAATATATAAACTATTATTAATATTTTTATAAAACATAACTTACTGGCTATAAATATAACTTCTTTACCTTAATAAGCCTTATTTATAGTATTAAGTATTTATAATTTAAATAGTTTATTACTCTTTAAATTATATTTTAAAATTAACATTAATATAAACCTAGAATAGTTTAGTTTATCCCTTAGAAAACCTCATAGTTATAATCTATTAACCTAGCTCTTTACCAAAGGTAATAATACCTATTTAACCGTAAACTATAGTTAAATTAATCTATATCTTTATTAATAATCTATCCAGCCTGTTTTTCCTCTTTTAGAAGGTTTACCTTATGCTATTTCTAATTAAGAAGTGATCTAGTAAGGTAACTCTCCTTTTATCTATTTAAGCTTTAATTAGTTAAAACGCCCTTCATGTTATGACATAACATCTCTGGTTTAACAATACCTTCATTTATCAGTAAGTCTAGCAAAATGCTTATCCCAAATCCATCCTAACTTTTCATGTGGATCCTCCTGGTTCTTTGCAAGCCATAGGTCACCGCCTTTGTTACCAATCTTAAAGACATTAATAACGTCAAATATCTATAGAAATAGTATGTTTAGAATCTGAATATCACAGGAGTAAGTCAATATAACTTACCTCTCCACTTGTATAGCATAAGTAGGGGTACCCAGCGATAGACTTATCAGTGATTGCATTAAAGTCGAAGAGAGATGCTGCGAGCCAGAGAACCTCCTGACTACCTGTATTGTGCAAGAACCCTTTAACTGTTGGCATTTGGTCCTTGTCGCTTGGAATTATGCTTTGCTCAGTGCCTTCAGCTTCGTCCTCTTGATTTGTCCAGACCACTGTTCCATCAGCAGAAAAGTAGATTGTGTCGTCTGAAGTAACTATATCTTGCCAGTCCTCTGGTAGTAGTGCGACACAAGCCCGAGCATATAAAATAGATCCTTCTTCGTGACATATGGGGCACTCTCTACCATGTCCAGATAGACTCCAGACAGCCTTGCACACTAAGCAATGGAGCATTGTGGGTGTGGTATCCTCAGGATCCTCGCTGTCGTCGCGGTCTAAATCCGAGATATTAAGCTCCAAGCCGTCCACTGCGATAGGCAAGGCCTCCAGGGCAAGCATCTGCTGATGACGTGCTAGATGTCGACAAAATTCCTTCATATTCTGGGATATTCCAGCCGGAGGAGTCCATTCATCGCATAGGCTGCATGCAGAGGAATCCATACGCTTTGATAGGCACTGGCAGGCTTCTAGAATCGTTTCCAGCTGATTGTTATTAACCTCCTTGTGCGCGGCTTTGAAGTGGTTTCTCAACGTGGCCACGCTTGAAAATGTCGTATCAGCTTCGTTGCACAGGATACAAACCCAATCTTGCCTGTGGGCGTTTATCTCGTGACGAAACCATTCTTCGCGGGTCGAGAAAAGATCTGAAGTGCAATCTTTAAATGTGCAAACGTAAGGCTGCAGATCCGAGAAAACGTGTCGTCTATTGTAGTCAGTTAGATAATCTCGCCATGAAAGCTTATATAGTCATTGAAAGAATAGACGTGGGAAGCCTTACCTCCACTGATTCCGGTCTGCTACCTCATGGATTGTCCGACAATACGGGCATTCTATCGGCTCACCATATTGCAGCTGAACACCATTAAGTACCATATCTGGCAAGTCAGGAATCCGACGACCAAGATCCTCTCCGTATGAACTAACAAAGGATGTTGCTGAGGTGAAGATTGAGTGTCTGGATTCTTGCTCTGTCATTCCCTGTTGTTTCCCTTCCTGGAAGGTAGTTGCCAGGGTGCTCTGAGCTCGGGCTGAGGCATTAGTCTCATCCTGCATTGGAGAAGCCTCTGAGAGCTTCTGGCGATGGCTTTGCCTATACTGGATTATTAGACGCCTTTTGGTGATGGCATTACCCAGGCGCTGTGCTAGCCAAGGTGATTGTCTGACTTTGGGGAATTTATCTTCCACATGCTTGATATCTGGGGAAGTCTCAGAGGGGACGAAGTCAGTTAGCTTAGGAAGACGCCCTTTAGGCCTCATCCTGCGTAGCAACGTTGACAAACTGAAAAGATGGTCTATGGAAGAGCGCAAGTTCGCCAGGAGCTGTTCAAGCTCACTTGTTGGTTCGTCTATGGCCCCTGGTGTGCTTTGGGCTTTGCGATTCTGGTTGACACCTGCTATGATTTGTTGAACTGAGAAGTCCCGCGTTAGGTTGCTGACATTAATCGAGACGGGGCGGCGACTTACTTCGACTAACAACGCTTTGCAGCCTTTCCAAACCTCGAATCACACTCCCCCGTTGTCTTGGAGCATCCCTCAGGCGTGCATCCAAGGACGACATAGATTGCTGAGGCTGGAAAGCACCGATATTCCAGGCCCATACACTAAACCTACCGCGCTCGTTGTGCATATATCCCACATGATGGCTATTAGCTGAAAGAGATGCGCGTCCGATTACTTCTTGCAACTTTGAAGCACAGTCGTTGGCTAGATTGGTAATAGTCTCATTTAGATTGGACGAAGCCATGTCTCCGAGGGTGTAAGAGTCAAAATTCTGAATCTTCTCAATCTCACCATCAGCGTTATTGTTCGTGGGAAAACGTCAGTGGCTGAAATAGAGACGGCAAACCATTGGCTATCGCTGGTGTTTTCAGCCGCAGCCCCAAATTCTTCCCCGCTTTCCCTCCCAATTCTCAGCTTCCTTTATCCTCGTGAGGAGACGGAAACTTTCAGGAGTACTTGCAATAATCTTTCATCACTGCAATGTCTGGGTTTGAGATTGCTGGCATTGTCCTCGGTGCATTTCCAATACTCTATGAGGGAGCTAAAGACTTGAACACTCGTTATCGCGACCTCAAGTCGTGGTGGCAATTCGAAACAGAGTTCGAAGACTTTGTGTCAGCTATTGATCGCGAGTTTGTCACCTTTACTCAGAATCAAGAGATACTGTTGGCGCCAGTAAATATACCCGATGAAGAGCGTGAGCTCCTTCTGAATGACTCCGAAACTCTTCTATGGCATGAACCTCGAATCCAAGCTCTGCTGAAGGACAGGCTTCGAGGTCGATACTATATATGGTACATGAAGCAGCTATGCGATATGAATGCGGCCATTCGCAGACTACTTGACCTTTTGCCGCTTGAGAAAGTGAGTCACGGAAGTCTTCTCATGGTCTTGGTCGAGTGCTGACATTTGGCAGGTATGCCAAATTGACTCAAACAGTCTTGCAAGTGAGCTATCTAAACTGAAATGGAGCTTCAGCCACAAGAAGAATGAACTCATTGCGATTATAAAGGACCGAAACGAGGCCATCTACACATTTCTTGATCGAGCGGCTCATATTGAAACGAATATCAGATCGACGAGATATGCCTCCCATGCATGGCAATATCTCAATGCACAAAAAGAGGCCTGCTCTTTATATGAGTGCTTACAGAATTACTGGACATGCAACTGTCTGAGTAATCACTCGTGCGGTATTAGAGCCAACACAGTTCGCCAAAATCCGAAACATAGGAATTTTGCACTAGTCTTTGAAGAGGGTGTCAAACTTACAGAAATTGAAATTAAAGTGGCGAAAACAGATTCTCATACGACGAATAAATCGTCTAATAAAGGCATGCAAAAGGTCTCGGAGCTCAGCCAAGACGTGGCGGTGAAACGCCGACACAAAAGCGTACGGAGTTCGGTTCTTGCAGCTTTGGCCGTCTCTTCTCTCTCAACTGTTGGGAATCCTTCTAGCTCAGGCCAAGGACAGAGTCCACTCCAGAAGCTGGTAGCCAAGCTGAAAAGGTCCCCGAAGCCGGGAGTTGGGTGAGAAGCCTGGAAAGCATTTCAAAAACGCCCACCATTGACATAACTTTACAGTGTTCTTGGCCCTGATGAAGATCTTGCCATTCCAGCCCCACCGCGCGTGAGGTTTGCTGGAGATGCATCCCCTGCAGCCCCGGAAACTGTTGATCAGATTGAGAACATGTGCTTCGTGGCAAGGGGAGAAGTAAATCAACCTTTTGTCCGGTCTCTAAGTACTGGTCTCGGATCACAGTTAGTCTTCCAGCTGGTTGATTATGACACAAGCCAAAATGAGGTTGTAGCGGTAGAATCACTCGACACATTTCTAGAAACCACTCCTGGCATGAGTCAAAGGCTTAAAGTTGGCCTTCAACTGATCCAAACTGTCTTGGCCCTGGGAGGCTGCCCTTGGATCCCCGAAACATGGAGCAAGACAGAGGTCCGTCTTATACGGGACCCAAATTCCACAGTCCCAATTCCATATGTCTCTCATCAGTCGATCCGCAACACCCTCAAAGGCAAGCAAATGGTACAAGCCTCTGTTCAAGCTCGAAGCAGCCTCTTCACAATCGGGGTGCTTCTATTGGAGCTTCTGTTTCAAACCAGGCTGGAGAGTTTGCCAATACGTAACGAGTACCTCAGTACAACTGCACAAGCAACTCAAACGGCTGACCTCTGTGCTGCTATTCAGTGGCAGAAGAGCGTGGAGGGACAGTTTGGCGACAGGATTGCAGATGCTATTAGGCGATGCGTGTTATGTTCTTTTGAAGCTCAGCCAGACTTGAGTAACTCGGCGTTCGTCATGGGGGTTTGCACCAGTGTTCTTCAACCCGTGGAAGAGTTTTTGTCGGCTTGGACCAAGGAGTGATAATATTGAGGGCTAAAAGGTAGATTGGCCACTAAGTTTAATATGAAGCCTGTATACTATTTAGTCTACTTAAAACTGTTCCTAGAACTTTAAAGATGTAAGGATAGGGGAAGGTGCCCATCCGACCAAAAGACCAAAGATCAACCAGTTCAGACATAACATGTCTGAACTGCCTTCCACATCAGTATATAAGGGGCCTCGGCCACACACACATGCGTGACACTGTAGGTCTTCCAATACCCTTACAAAACAGTTAGTAAATTAAGTTTTATTTATTACTAAATGAATATATATATACTTAGGTGATTTATAATATTATAAATTAGGCTTGTAATAAATTATAAGTTAAGGATATAGTTTCTATAACTTAAATTATAATTACTTCATCTTTAGAATGTAACCTAATATATAGTTAGTTTAGAATAAGTAAACATATATAATATAAATACTTTTATCTTATTAAGTTAACTACAATATTATATAGGGTTAATTAATTTTTATCACTTACTAAAGGCTTAAATATTAACCCTATCTAGTCTTTTTTGTTTACTAACGTTAGGTTATCCAGGTCTTAAGGTGTACCTAGGCTATACTTAGGTCAAAGTAGTAGTTACTTAGGGTAATAGGCGAGAAGGGAAATACTATAAGTTAATATTTGTATTCTATATTAGTCTGTTTTAATTTCAAGTTTAGACAATCTGTCTCCTTTATCTCTTTTTCTTATCGTTCGCCTTATAATTTGGTTTTGTCTTACTTGGACGATTTGCCTCCTCCTTCCCTTTTATCCGAGATTCTTGTTACAGCGTGCTTCTAAGATATTTAATAGCCAAGTTCGGTCGAGTTCCAACCTGGATTAATCGCACTACCAGCGAAAGGTCTGGTGACTCTCGAATCTAAGTAATAGTCAGTTTGGATCAATAGTGATACTTTTCTCCTTGATAGGATAGTCGCGGATAGATCCCTAAACCACAGAGAGCGTTAGATATCTAAACGTCAGTCTTTAACTTTCTAGCGTTCTAGTGTCCCTGTGGATCATTGACTGACTACATTGCGGTATAGAAAAGAATAATACTACGCAGAAGGCTCAATGTCCAACATGGCGCCGTCTTTGCGAGGCCAACAGGACAATGAGTCTGTATCCTCTATCGACAGCTTCGATCCAGACCCCACCGTTGTACAAAAGACCATCACTCGACAAGAAGCTATCGATCAAGCCGAAGATTTTATTCGCAAGATTAGTAGCCTTGACTTTGATCAGGACGCTCTGAAGCCAAGAATGGCCGAGTGTATGAGCGAACCTGTTCTCCGGGTTCTGCCTCCTGATCTGAAAGCCAGTGTCCATATGTGGTGCTGGCACTGCAATTTGGAATGGTTCCACAAGCTCTCCAAATTTCTCGACGAGGATCTCACAGAGTGGAACTACACTGTTGAGGTTCCTAACCGACGAAAGGATATGGCTTTGTGTGACCTCGGTGCGGATATCCTTCGCTCCTACGTCGCCGACTTGAAGCCACTGCGCAAGAGACTCCCTGAGCCAGAGCGCCGAGAACTCGTCAACAAAGTCTGAAACGGTCTAGCACTCTTCGCCGACTATCACGATGAAAAGATTCGTAGAATGGAGACTGAGACGCGGGCTCAACTGCAACACGAACGAGACTCCATCAACGCTGAGCGAAATGCTTTCATTGCGGCATCTGAAATTCAGAGCCAGGCCATGCTCGTCTAGAGGCAGAGTATGATGTTTGCTATGGAGAAGCTAGATGCTCTCATGGAGGGTCCTCGATTGTTTCCCGTTCTTGAGAGGTGGTGTTATCGGAGTCTCAGGGAGGAGGGAATTGTTCCTATTGACCTTCGTTGCCTCGCCAAGTACTTCTGTAATGATCAAGAGGGGTATCGTTTGGCCCAGCTGGAGGCGTCGTTTATGGCTGGAGAGACGACGGGGTCTTGAAGGTTGGGTTCGGTGAGTTTGTTTATCATCTAGGTTTTAGGTATCAAGCTAACATCGGAAAGAAAGGGCTATTGAGACAAGAGTCAGACAGATCAAGAAGCATCTGCCAATAATACCAGTAGATTTGGCCATGATGTGGCTGGAAAATCACTGGATGTAGAGTAGCAGTCATGGAAATCAAAATAACCTGGTTGTCATCGCCACGCGGGAAGCTCCTGAGCCTACTCTTGGTGGGTTTGAGAACTGTGTAGACAAATTATTCTTTTATCTCAAACGGGATCCGATCATATTTCCAATCTCATATTTCGGAGAATTATAAACAAAGCCTTGAATGCATAAGTTATTTTTTCAGGTGGGAACAGCCGTGACAGCTGGCTGTCAGTGACGAAGAGTGGGGAAGGTGCAGCACTTAATATCTAAATTCCTTTCATAGATCTTTTGGTTTTCTTGAAAGTTCTGTTCGTTCCTTCTCTCTGCAACCCACTCGCTGGATCAAACCAGGTAATGAAACCGGCCCTCACTTTCCCTGCTTGTTTTGACTAATCTTGCCTGCTAGATTTTGAAAGATCGTCTTTGTCAAGCAACCTCCCGATAAAATATCTTCAGAGCAAGCAAACAACAGCCAGCAACGGAACTCAGCAATCAACATGGCCCCTCCGCAAGATGACTCTGATATAGGGTCGAGAATCGTCTTCATGATCAACCTCGGCATGAAGGTCCGCAACATTGGAATCGACGTCTGTCCCAAAATGCCAGTCAACGAACTCATCCGCGAGAAAACTCTGGCATTCTGTCAAGGTATCGTCGCTGAAATTTTTGAAGCCGCGGGAGTCCGCAAAGACCAGGCTCGCCAGTGCTGGGACGAAATGGTAAACCGAGTCATGAACGGCGGTTTTCTCAAAGCCACAACCCTTGCCAACTACGGCGGGTGGAAGTCCCTACACGTCCATATCGAGGAGACCTTAGCTCTACAAGCTAAGACAGACAACATCGTTTGTATGCCAGCATCTCTCCTTGCTTCTGCCATTGCTGCCATAGCTTTCCGAAAACTCCGACCTCGCAGTGGCAAGGCGTCAAAAGCACATAGGGATTTCACCAGGATGTTCGGTGACATGAACATCATCCAGTGGTTGCCCATTGCTATCCGTGTCTGGGAGAGGACCGAAGGCCGTCCTTTCATCATCGAGCTTGGTCAAGAAGGAATTGAGCCTGTGATTCGCCTGGAAACCCGGGAGGGACAACCGGTGTGGATTGTCAAAACGCGACGACAAGCCCCCAACATTTACGAAAACGTGTTTCGCGACGCGATCGACACCGACACCCGAGATGAGGAAGACAAAAGCTTTATGGCTGTTCCTTCTAATGTTTGTGACCGGCCTCTACCATCTGTCGAGAACGACGAACGAACCCCTTCGAAGTCAACGCTCCCGAGCACCCCAGATTCGAGAATTGACAACGACACAATCCGAGAGTACGCTCGCGAAATGAAAAAGCTTGGGAAACGACTCTCGAGCCAGGAACGCGCGACTGTGAAGCGTCTGCGTAGGGGAATCAGCGAGTTCGCAGATCATGCCGACAAAAAGGATCAAGACATGATGTCGGAAAGAAATGTCAAAGAGTCCGAGCGCAAGTTCAAGTCTGGCAGGAAGAGTATGAAAACAACTGTTCCGAAAGCCAAAAAGCCCTTTGACGTGTACGGACATTACAAGGCTCTCTAGAAAAGCAGCTTGAACGAAAACGGCACTATCCCCGAGAGTCTTCGTGAGCTTGTTCATCACCACTGCGATTCGAACCAGATATTTTACCTGACAGAGATCGAGAGAGATTTTATTTCCGAGAGATCTGCACAAGACGAAGAGGGCGAGTACTCCGACAGCTGATTCAAGTATCTAGAGTAGATTGCCAAGTTTTGGTAACGAAGAACAATGCGAACAAGGGCGAGAGGAGGGACATACAGGCTGCTATACATGCTGGGCGGAATCAAATACAAGCGTGTGGCTCTTGGTGATCAAGTTAAGTCCCCAATATTTTGTTTGACAGAATAAGGTTTAGACAGGATTCTTCGAGGCTGTACAAAGACCAGACATAGAACTTTCGAATAATGGAGGAGACTCATTATGCTATTACATTTTCTGAACAGACAACCTAAACAACGGTTCCATTTGGAATGTCCTGCAAATCCAGTTCAATGACAGAAGTTGGATGACTACCTCGATCGATACTATCCCGAGGCTGAGGCGGATGATCCGATACGGCATTTAATTTCGTTCATTTTCATTTCCTATACATTCAATAAGATACGGGCATATTTCTAGGCAGCAAAAACATAGATGCTTTATAGCGCTGTTACAGTTCAATCGTAACACACCCCCGTGAGTCAGCACAGGCTAATAGCCCTTCGGTTAACACAAAACCAAAGAAAGGCCTGGTATGAAAACAAATACTGGTTTCCGAGTTTATACAACCTACCATCTTATCATCCCTGCTACATCTTACCACAGCAACGATGGGCACCTTCCATCAATTTATACATCTTCCATACGACATAAGATACAACATTTATATCCTAGCCACGCCCCGACGCGTGGTCCGTGTTGAGGAGCGGCTTTTGAATCCCACAGAAAAGCAACCCTCGTACGAAACCCACGACAGCTATTTCGACTATGCATATGAAAGCTTCTGTAAAGAACTAGGAAATGGCTCGCAGAACTTCAATCTTAAATTGCACCCCGACATAGCTCACTTCGCGCACAATTGGCGGAATCAGCTCACCTGGCCATCGACACAGCGGTCTCTGGATGCATATGGCTTCACCTCTAGTCGGCCGGCCTATGAGCCTTGGGAGCCGTCGAGGGACACACCGCATATTCCAACCGAGTGGCTCATCGACTCTCCGGAACTTGAATTCGTATTGACCCGCAACTGCTATTTGTTCAGCTATGCGGAGATCCCGGTATTCTTACACGTCTGTGTTGAGTCGCGACAAGCACTTATGGAATGGGGTTATCGGCTGTTCTTTTCGACGCGCACAGCTGGACCCCGCACCTGGTTCAATCCAAGGAGAGATCGATTATACATTCCCTTCAACCAAGAAGACTTCCCTCGACGAAATAGCGATGAATATGCATCGTACGAACTACCACCGATCCCTTACCCACGTATCAAACTTACGTTGCTTTCGGGATGCAAATGGGATATCGGGATCTACGGTGTGCAGGATTTGAAAGAAATCAGGAAAGTCATCCTTGGAGCGCCTGGGAGGATCGAGGATGACACCCTTGCTCTTTACCTCAGGAGAATTCTTCCACTTCTCTCCAATGTCGAGGAACTATTGCTCGAAGATTGGTCGCTAGATGACTTCGATTTTTGGTTTGACAATACCACCGGTGCACCGATACTACCATCTCCCGATGCAGCCTCTGTTCGCTGTGTACCTGTTGAAGACATCGATGTCGTAGGGTCTGCCTTTTGGCCAAGCAACGGCCCATACGAGGAATGGAGAACGAATTGTTACACAGGCACTCTTACCGACTATTTTCGTCCCTTCAAGACCACTTCTTCCGAACCTTACCACGCAACGAAAGCCAAGGAAATCCAGGCACGGCTTGTTGACTGGAAGTCCAAATCCAAGACAGCCCAGAAGGCGGAGGTGCGGATCCCTACCATTCGTCATGTCAACCTCGTCCCAGAGTCTTGTGTAGAACTCTACATGAACAGCCGGCACGGCCTCTGGAAGGCCATCAGTTCTCTTACGGACGACGAAATACGAAAGCCAGATTTCAGAAAGAGGTTCTCAAAGATGAACGTGTTCCCGCTACCCTTCAACATCCAATGGCGCAGTGCTGGGGAGTACCGCCAGGGATGGCTTGAATTATTGGATGATTTGCAGCGCCGTGCTGCAGGAATAACGAATCCGATGCACGACGAAAATCAAATTCAGGCTTGGTACTTGATGAATCGGCTTCACATCACAGAACCACTGTCTACTTTTCTATAGATAGGCAATTCTCATATCTGGCAGGTAAACGACCTTCAGGGAGTGCATGCCATTTTATGAGGGTCTTTGTGATGGAGAAATGATAATTGAACAAAACATTAGATAGCATCCATAAATATCTTACGATTATAGTTATATGTAAAGTACTTTGGTGCTTTTACTTGCATACCCAAGTAATCTTATACTATGGTCTGCGAAACGGGTGGGCTTCCGTATTCAACACATACTCATCCAGATTCACCAAGTCTGGAGGTGAGAAGATAAGGTAGAAATACTTCAGGGTTTCGGACAACCAGAAACTCTGTGGGATTCGTCAGTAGAAAGTAATTAGTCACCAGTTGCAGTAGCTTACCTCCATGGAGTCAATCTTGACAGTCTCTGGATCAACAACATCCGCGATGCCTGCATTGGCATGTTCCGTGGACGTGTACCGAACAATGGCCTGGAACATATCCCACGCCATATCCTGCCACTGAGGATCTGCTGTGATGCGATACATGATGAAGATACTCTCGATAGCTTCTGGTCGAAGTAGATATCTTGGGTCTCGGGCATGTTGAAAGCCAGGAGGAATGGACTTTCTCTGGGGTTTCCAACGATCATGTTCAAATGTGCATGGCTCAAGGGTCGGACAACGCGCAAGGTCGAAAATCTCGGGCATCATGCCCGTTGGAAACGCCTTATAAGCCCACCCACAACCTCGAGCGAGTCTCTCTCCAATATTGACATACTCCTCGATTTCCAAAAGCTTGCCGCCCAGAGCAAACATTCCTCCTGTAAAGCAGGTAAGATGCTGGCTCTCAGTACTCAACTCGATCTTGTTATCGTTGACGCGAACGTCGCCAGAGAAGAGAATGTCGTTTTTTTCTGGAAGCATAGGTCGGTAGAGAAGATTCTTTATCACGACATCCATGGCTGTACGATACATGACCTGATAATTCTCATCAACGCCGCCTAGTAGAGCATGCATCTTAGGCAGATACTCATACAGGGAATCGGCGAGTGCTCCGAGGGAAAAGGTGTTGTCGTGTACTTGCTCGTTCTGGAAGTCGAGACAGAGCGGCCACATGCCCGGTAAGAGCGTATGGTTCTGTGTTTTGATCAGAAATTGCGTCACACGATCTGTGGCGTCGTAAAACTTGGGATCGCCGGTTATTTGCGAGAGTCTTGTGAACTCCATGACCAAGGAACTGGGAGACGCAGAGGGATCGTGAATTCCAGCAATTTGCTTTCCGTTGCGGGCATCCTCGAAGTTGAGCCAGAAGCCGGGTAGCCGATTAGGCGTGTCAAAAGCGACATAAAGCATCTCTCCAAGCTCAATGGCCTTCTTAAGTATGACTTCCTCGCCACTTAGTTCATAGGCGCCAAGAAGACCTCCAAGATGACGAATTGTCGTTTCGAACAAGTTGACAGCGCCTTCATGAGTTTCGCCCCAGTTGAGCGTAGCTGCCGCTTGAGCAGCCTCGCTGAATTCCGCTTTGAGACCCATGATCCAGAGGGTATCTAGGGAGTCGACCAAAGTGGCTGCCCAGCCTCCAAAATTATCCTTTCCTTTGATGGAAATGGGCATGAGTTCGTCTTTCATCCAGGCATACTGCTTGTATGACTTATAGCTACGGAGAAACTCATCTCGAACGGCTTTTTGACGACTTTTCGTAGCTGAAGTATGTTTGAATTTCCCGTTGTTAGCCTGGACTTGGGGCAGTTTATGGGGCTTTTCAGTTGGCAAGGGCTTGATATTTGGCGGAGGAAAGAATTGGCGTTGAGTAGACCAGTCGAAAGAGCTTGGTTTGAATTGTAAGCGACTCTTTGGTGCAGATCCAGGCGAAGATGAAAGGTGCCAGAATAGAAGTAAACCGACGATCGTGGCGACCAGCACCGTGCGTGATTTACGTAGCGAGGGTGGTGAAGAAAGCCAGAGCATGGTGCAATAATTGAAAAGGAAACAGACAAGAAACGGTCGAAATGTCTCTACTTCAACAACTTCAAATGAGCGACGTATGATATGGATACTAGTGGTGCTTCATGATCGCCCTTGGATCAAGAGTTAAAAAAAGACAGATGCCACTGATAAAAGCAGCCTGACGCTTACATGAGGAGCAACCCACAGATAATGACGAATCACGAGGCGTTGTTGGTTGACCCTTGTATTTCATCCCTGGTAAAACATGTGAATGCGCCAATCACAAACCTCGCTATCGCCAACGCTGAAATTGCTCCTGAGTCGAAGGGGGCTGGGCGCGTAAAATGCTCCGTTACAAATAAATTCCATACAATTTTTATGCTGTTGGCTCTATCGCTTGAGTAGCTTCATGCTGTTGGTTGTTAGTCGGTGGGTTGTGTGGTGGTCTGAGCCAGCGTCCAAAATGGGGAGTTTTCACCATCCTGTTGTCCAAAATGTTTGCAATGTCTGTTTCTCTTTGTTTTAGATTGTTTTCCTTCTTATGAACCAAAATGCGTCGACTTTTGCCTTTGTTGCTGTTCGCTTCGGTGACGTGCGCTTCACCTTGTGATATAGAGCCTTTGTCTCTCCCAATTCGCGATGTCCAAATTCTACCCAGTGTTAAGAAGTCTCTAATGACGGGGATCCCTGCCAAGATTGGATCTCCAGAGCAGGATATTGTACTTCTCCCTTGGGCGTAAGAAATCACTAGGCGTCTCATGACTATCGTTAACTAACTAGTTGAATACAGTGAGTTGAACAACACTTGGATATACGACGACCAACCCTATTGCGACAAGACGGTTATCTGGAACGACCGAATCTGCAAAATCCGAAGAGGTGGACTGTACAGCGAAGAAGACTCGAAATCCTTCCACAAAGCCAACGACATCACGAACGCAGGCGGCGCCACAGATGAGGCAACCTTCCAGGGTTCCGAAGCCGGAATCAAGAAGCTCGTATCAACTAGTCTTGCTGGCACCGACAATATTACTCTCGAGGGGGCACCGGCCGTCGTGGACTTTCCGATCGGAATACCTCGTCTCAAATGGGATGCTGGTTACACCCTGCTTCATCCCCTCGGCCTGGGATCTAACTCAACCTACCTCAATGCTCTCCGGGCAACAGGCAAGATTAGTTCGCGAGTATGGTCAATATTCTGGGGAAGGATGTGGGTGAAGAACCCCATTGATGGTTCTCTGGTACTCGGCGGCTATGATGAGGAAAAGGTTATCGGGAAGAACTACACGGCACCACTCGTCTACGATGATTACACTGGCACTCCCGGCTGTTGGACTGGCATGAAAGTCACTGTGTCAGACATCAGGGTCAATTTCCGCGATGGCTCTGATGAGAGCATCTTCCCTTCCAACACTGCGCTGCCGTGCTGTATTGTCCCCCAGAGACAACTCCTCCTCGAGGCGCCTGGCGCATATGTTTCGAACTTTGAGAAAGCCACCGGATTCAATCATACAGAGTCCTCGTTTGGACTTCACTGGTCAGCTCGACTATTTGATGCTGATAAAGTGTATGTTGCCCCTGTAACTCTGATCATCAAGCACCAACTAACCTACGACAAGATTTGATGGCGATATTACCTTCCATCTCGACTCTGGCTTACAAGTCAGGGTGCCAAACGACCAGTACATCGTTCCTTTCGTCGACATCGATCGCAGTGGTGCTCGAGTTACCAAGTCAAACGTCAAAGAGCTGCTGATGAACGGTGTTGCCGATCAACCAGCGACACTCGGTCGGTATTTTCTCACCGCCGCATACCTCATGGTGAACCATGATGCAGGAACATTTACACTGTGGCAGGCCAACCCATCGAGTAAAAGCAAACTGGTCCGAGTTTTTGACCAGGAAACTGCCGATAAGTGTGGTGAAGATGCCAGCGGCATAGTCCAACCAACTGCAAGTACAACACCGACAAAAGAAGATGAGACACAGCCGACTGAAGAGACAGAAGAAGCGTCTTCACCCTCTGGGGCTGTTATCGGTGGGGCAGTTGCTGGTGCTGTGGTTGGACTTGGCGTAGTCATCCTAGGTATCTTCTTTCTCTTGCGTCGAAAGAGAAACGCCAAGTCAAGAAATCTACCGCCTTCACCGCCAACTGAGATTCAGATGAAGCACGACAAATCTAACTACCCGACTTGGTGTCAACCACAGGAGATGCCAGGGTCTAAACCAATGCCGTCGGAAATGCAAGGACAGTCACATTATGTGTACGAGTTAGATAACAATACCTCTACAAGGTGGTCATTTAGTCACTTGGGTGGTAAATGACCTATCAAGCTGCGAGGTTGTAACTATAGCATATTAATTTGATTCATTGTAGGTTTCTGAAATTGATAATCGGAAGAGTCTGAACAAGGACACAATCATGCGATCTTTCTTTAACTCAAAATTTATTCTGTTGTGCATTAACTATTAACGTATTGGTATATAACAGCGTCTTTATACGTTGATACAATAAACTAGATAACACTATGGAATCTGTACTGTGATAGTTACAGAAGATATTGGTAAATGGTTCACGCTAAGTTATTTTCATGTGATGACATTCGATCCGCTTCAAAGCCTCAGTATCCATTCATTATCCAAAACATTTGAATGTCCTCCACGGTCAATAAAGTCTGATTCTCTCACACCTTCTAGCTTATTCTGCTTCGCGGTGAATAAACTTTGAGCTTCTGTGCACAACTCGAAGTGTGAAAGATAACTTGACTTGGAAAACACGCGGTCGCGATCACAGATGGGTATTTTCCCCTTCTCGTGCTGAATCTCACAGCCTTTGCAGTTCAACCCATACTCGACACCCCCTGTGCGCACATCGTACCACGGATATACTGTACAAGACATAAAGCGATGGACCTCCTTATCATAGCGTAGTCCTATCAAATGGCATGCATCTTGGGTAAGAAGACCGAGGGCTGATAGCCTGGTTAAGGACTTCAGCTCGGCCAACAATGATGCTGGTCTTTTTGCTGGATGTCGATCGAAAGAATAGATCCCAGGAACTGTCCGCAGTGTGTTTCCGAGTAGGTTGTGTAGACGCTTTGGAAGTATTTTGGTGAGTCTGGAAAACGTTGACAGGGTGATGACACGTAATTCGGGAGAATTTCGAATACATGAGAAACAGCAGCGCGTGATAAGTGGGAGAAATAAGAAGCCTCCAAATTCGTTGCAGTACGTGCAATTCTCACGCGTCAAGGCGTAGTACAAATCTTCAATCGTAGAGCAGTTGGCTGACCCCACTCGCACCAAATTTCGAAGACACTCTAGGCCATACCTCACGACGAGCTGGAATTCGTGAAGCTCATTCGAGTAGTTACGAGCCCGTCGACTAGAATTGCGGAACTGCAGGTAGGAGTGAAGGTCCAGACTGCGTAGAATAATATAATATCTCGTTAGGAAGTATCTCGAGGGTCCCGAGGCTCGTGGTAGATAAATCGTTAAAGATTTGAAGAAAGTCGAGAACAATTTGCTTTTCAAAAGGAAGCGATGGGACAAGCACAAGATCGAAATCACGACGATGATATGTGCAAACGTCAACGACTGTAGCAGGATCCATGCTTTTAGTTGTCTTTTTGAAGCAGTGATAGTTTGTGACTCATGTGAGCGTCTTACCTTCTTGGAGATGATTATCACTGCGGCGTAGGTGATTTCGGGCCGAAGTATCATCCGGTCGACGTTCACGAGACGTCAACTTTTCGTCCTGCTATGCAAACTAATAGAACAACGTGGAGTACCTAGTAATTAGTCGCTGTTCAAGTATGAGGATGGAATTAAAAACAACATCATGCGCCCTCAGAGGCTTTCTACACCATACGAAAAGAAATTAAGCATTTAACAATTTACAAAACTAGCGGAATCACAAAAAGCTTCATTTGTAGTTTTCATATGTCTGCTAAGCTACCTAGGTAGCGAGTGTGATATCCGAATATCGGAAAACAAAAGTATTTAAACGAATGTCCAGTCTATAAGGTCTCTCATAGAGTCTCATAACCTGAAGTGAAGTCAAATATCCAATTCTGCAGTATTCCCCGAGTCTCTCTCCTAACTTTACCGGGTGGTACTACTGACCACAGATGGCATTGTTTGGGTCAGCACTATGTAACCTTGTTAGCTGACGGATGATATTGTACGAGGTAATACGTACACAAAGTTCCATCCTGAAACTGTCGAATCACCGCCCTTGGAACAAGCGTTGATCTCATTCTGAAGGCGCAAAACGCAGTCAGCATCGGCGAGATCAAATCCCTGGCCAGTATTCGTGTTCTGAACCCTGAATTCAAGCCTCTGCGTCGGCGAATGCTGGATGCACAGACTCTTGGCCTGGCCAGGAAGATAGCCGCCCTGGAAAGCGCCAGTTCCGTCAGGGCTTCGACATGCGTGCTCGACATGGTTGCGAGCGGCGTCTCTGTCCTGCCAGTCGTCGCCGCTGGTGAAGCATCCTGCTGAGACGGGCTTGAGGGACATGCCGATGAAGGCACAGAAGAGGGCGATGGAGCTGAAGGTCTTCATTTTGGGATACAAGACGGGGGTATTTGGTTGAAAAAGTGGTTTAGTCTGCAGTGTCTGTCTGTTTGTTTGTTTGTGATGAAGGTTAGAAGAGGACGGGGACGATGGCTTATATAGTAGTTGTAGACCCTTTTTTTAAGACACTACCTATAAATATACTGAAGTGTCTATCATCATAACCTCAGACTCCCACACCGTTCACCTCAGAAGTCCTAGTCTCAAGAATAAGGTCAAAGACGTAAGCGTGTAAAACCACTTGACGATCCTATCCGGAGTTCCGTATTCTCCACATATGTTCGAAAGACGATCTTTCTCACTCAACTCGTCATGTCTAATATTGAATGAAAAGATGTCATCCGATGGATTATCCTTTGTGAGACTTGAGTGAGAAAGCCGAGAGAGCTGTTTCACGAATCACGTCAGAAGGATTCTTGGCCAAGGTTTTGCCCTCAAAAAGAAACATCAACCAGTAAGCACAATTGCATGAAGATGCATTTTCAACAGGATCTTGTAGCACAATAAGCTGAGAGCTCATGAAACTACCAACGAGTTTAATGTCAATGTAGGACAATCTGTCATCTTCTACCACAAAGTCCGTGTGAAAAGCCATTTAGCTTCTTTGTGGCCCTGAACTATTCTTAGACGTACTAGTAATAATCCTTCAATAACATCGTCACCGGACTTTACAGTTCTACCTATAATAGTGTCATTCTAAGGTAAGCTAGCATTAACTCTACCTTGCAGGATCCGTATACAGGTCCTCCTCTACAAGTCGTTAGTCCGTAGGTGTTGACATCTCACTCCGTTCAAGGTATGACGAGGCTGTGTAAGCGCCTTTGTATACTCCGAGGCCCGACGGGAAAGCTACCGATTTAGGAACGATCTTGCCACAATTGCCACGGGGCTATAATATAAAGATGATATGATATTTACGAAAGATGTTCTATTTTTGACGGCCATTGCTGTTGAAGGCTGGTAGTTATCCACTGGCCTAAGACATTTCTCACCTGTGGAAAGCATTTTTTGGAGATCTTATGGAAACTGCTGTGTAACCATGATCCATTCCATCGAGATGTTGAATAAGTCTGTCCCATCATTGCTTATTTGATTTCATTCATTGTTGCTGTGAAAATAATATTTCTATCTCGTCCCCTGACAAGCTATCAGAAGAAACTCAATGCCGGATCATTGTCATCCGCCCAGTCATAAGTCGATATCGAAATCCCTGCATTACTCATAGACTCGCACCACGTATTGTAACCATTAATTATAGAAGCCGCCTCACTATCAGCCACGCCAGTCATGAATGATGTGTTGTCGCAATATGTGCGGGCACCTTCTTCTTCCAAATGTGGCCAGCACAACTTGAGTGTGATGTCGCGACATTTGGAGCTGTTGGGGTTCAGTTCAGCCATGGCACCCATGATGGCGAGAGAGGCTTGGATCTGTGAGCGCCAGTCAGGTGCTAGCGAGTGATGAGGGTTCTGTCGTAGGCAATGAACTGGGATCAAGGTCGCGTGGAACAAGAAGTATCTATCATTGTTAGCTCGTTATCCAAACTAGAGCATATAATCGAGAACTTACAAGATATAAAACGCAGCGAGTCTTGAGTGTGAACGAGAAGTCCAATATCCTTGGATATGCGTGATGGATTCCTTAGCCGCATCGAGACATCTGAAAACAGCCAAGTTTTCACTACTCGTCAAGTTCTGCTGAGCATTTTGAGCCGACGAGCGCGCCCAACGCACTAGGAAAGGGCGGTACATGACAATCCTGAGATTTCGATAGCGCCATTCTGAAATGCCCATCCCAAGCGCATATTCAGACTCTGGTGGCGGAAGAGCAAGGTAATAGTATGGTACTTGAGCAATCCAAGAGCCGATGCACACGTCATCTAGAGTAATTAACTCTGTAGCTGTTGGGAAAGGACTGGTGATGAGACGGTTGTAGACAGGCATTGTGCTGAGGTGGTAGGCTGACTGGACGCGGATGTATGTGTACATCGTTATGCCCTCTACTTCAGGCGGGCAGTGAGTGGAATCTTGTGTAAGATCCTAAAGAGTATCAGTAATCATATCCTTTAAAGAACGAGCATCTACTCACTTTCTCGTGTATGTTCTGAGGAAACGCAGTCTCGACACCAGCCTGCGGCCAATTCAAGGGTCTTCCATAGGTGATAGTAGCGCCCACGTCCAGAACACACAGACACCACCATATCCTACGTCGAGTTTCGCTTTGCAGAGGAGAAAGGCTGTTTCCTTCTAAGTCTTTGTGGAGACCAAGTCCTATCGCCAACCTGATAGCTATACCACCATAGTTGAAACCAGTGTTCGGTTTGTTCCGTTTCTGCATATAATTCGATGACAAACTGAAAGCTTGGACAAGTGTCAAATTGCCAACCTCGAGGTAATTTGAGAACAGACTCTTTTGCGCTGCTTGGAATATTGGTAGATCAGTAGCATCGGCGACGTTGCTACTCGCGAATGAACCCAAAGCCGCAAGGATGTTTGCGAGCGTGTTCCAGTGGCCTTTGTTAGCACAAGGCAAAGTCCCTGCATACTGCGCTCGGAAGGTCGGTTCGTGAACGATGGGGAACGTAGGATGATAAAAGACAAAGAACGCGTCGATGAGGTTCTCCACCGCCACTCTGGTTAGCATAGCCTGAGAACGAAACCACTGCGAATGATCAGAGTGTTGTTGGAAGAGAGACTCGATCTCATGGAGTGCCGCGTCGGCGTCAACTTCCTCTCCATCTGGACGAGCAGATAAGATCTGCCGCAAAAGAGCGGACCCAGAAGCAGCGCCATAGTAACCTCTCTTTTGGTCACCGATGGTCAAAGAGGCCATGCCGTCCATAATGGCTTGCGAAGGGTTTCCATCGGCATGGTTTGTGATAGACCAGTTGGCTGGATCGTAAGTACCCCACGACGTTTCCTGTTCGTTCCATTCAAAGTCATCAGCTGTAGAAGATATAATTTCAAACGGCGTGTCTTGTGACCCAGTCCAAATTCCTCCCGTTGCTTCGGCTTCGCCAATCGGTGCCAAGAGGAATGGATCTGTGGTGAAGGTTGCAGCATTTGATGTGCCTGTCATGTAAAGGCTATTGTCTGGTGTTTGATTTGGTAGCTGTAGTAGATTGTCGGTATTTCCTTGATTTGGCAAGCTGGCCAATCCTGCTGATGGTGCTAGTGTTGGAGGCGTTGGTGTTGCTTCAGGTACTGGCGCAGGCGCTGGTGTCGTCTCTGGCGCTTTTTGTGAGACTAGACTTTCTTTGGGTCCTTCCAACATCTCCGCAATCTGACTGTCGGTGTAGTGGCGCCTCAAAACGGTTTCAGCCTTTTCAAGACGTTCCTCCAAGAGGGTGAGTTGTCTGTACCACAGTCAGTAGCTAGCTAGTAGATACAGGTGCATAGACTGCGGGACTGTACCTCCGGGTCAACCTGGTTCTGCTATGCTTGTCATACAGACAGTGACGTCTATACTTCTTGCAAATAGTGCAGACGGGCATGACACCGTCGCATTTCACTTTCCGTCGCCGACATTCCCGGCACGTAGGGGGCTCTTCTGCCGGAGCCTCGGTCCTGGGGGCTGTTTGAGTAGCAGACGGCTGAACTGGTTTGACATCCATGTCTGACACGTTGGAAGCGTCTCGCGCCAAAACCTTGAAATTGTTTCGAAGATGAGATGTTGAGAATTGAATTTGCGAAACGTACGGCATGGCAAAATGATAGTCGCCTAATCCCTGTACATCCCCGCAATTTCGCTAGTGTTGTTCGGCCCGACTTAAGCACGAGACCAGCGAATCAGGACCTAAAATGAGGCACAGAAAGGTAAGCTGACAGCCTGACATGCGAGTCGTCACATGAGATAAAACTATACGGATAAATATGCTGGTGTTTGAGAGCTGATGAAGAAAAATCCAAGTAAACGGCCACCCAGCGATTGTATTCACTGCATAATGTAATTCTTATAAATCCATGTTAAGGTGGCGATATCTCGGCAACGTTCAATCATGATAGGACCTTCTTCCAACCTGAAATCCACGTACCCTACATGATTTACTGGAATTTCAACAATGTAAAAACACAACAAATGGAACCCTTGCTCAAATATATTTGTTAAAGAGATTCTACGACTAGTCCATCAAGTACGTAAAACCCATTCCGTGGAAATAGTCAGAAATCTGCAACTACTCTAGCCGTGCCAAACACCAAAACTGGACGTTTAATATGAGAACTTCTGCCCAACGAGCTCCTCACTTAACCTCCACAATAGCTCCGCCTCCGTTGAACTTGTAGCCCATGGTCTCACAGTATCGGTGAAAGGGTCCGCCAAGCGGCACTCTAGCAGATAAACCCCATTATGTTCTGTCCGTGTCAGTGTGTGAAGAAATATTGAAGAGTGATCTACTAACCTTTGAGATCGGGATCGAAAGCAGCAAAGGCATGTGTTGCGGCGCCGACTTCAGCGGATACTGGAACGCTAGACCAATCGACCCAACCCCATGGATCTCCTAAGGCACGATCTGCTTCGACTACGTCCGTTAGCAACAGGTGTCACTTCATAACTTATCGGAACACACCTAAACTTTCCAATCCTTCAAGGTGGCTCGCCAATGACGTCTCAAGTATGGCACCTGGGTGAAGGCTGTAAGCCTGTAGTCCACGACTACCAAGCTTTTCGGCCAGCGAGATGGCAAACAGCATATTAGCTGTCTTTGATTGGCCGTATGCGCTCCATTTATTGTATATATCTCCGTTCTATACGATGATTTAGCACTCGATCAACGGTTGAGAGTGTAAAGATCTCTTACGCTGAAATGAGGGTCACCCCAGCGGATGGCTCCCAATCGATGGCCGTTACTAGAAACACTGACCACACGAGGTGCTTCCGAGGCAAGTATCTTGTCAATGATGAGATTTGTGAATAAGAAGTGGCCGATATGGTTAGAAGCGAATTGACTTTCAAAACCATCCTCTGTTAGTCTGAAGTCGGTCGCCATAACCCCCGCATTGTTGACCAATACATCAATCATGGGAACGTCAGTCCAGTCATTAACTTCCTCCGCAGCGGAGCGAACAGACTTGAGAGAACTCAGATCAAGAGTCAGAAGTCTTGTCTTGAGGTTGGGAAGTTTCCCTGCCAAGTGGTCTGCTGTCTGTTGCAGCTTGCCGATGCTACGACCAGCAAGAATAACCAGCCCTGGCTCGGCTACGGCGATGGCTTCAACGAAAATTACACCTAGACCTCCAGGGCTTACACCCGTGGTAATAATTGTCTTACCCTTGATGATCGGGGCATATTCTTGGGCGAGTTGATGGACAGTGGTGTTGGGGGAGTGTCTGGCCATGATGGTGATTGGTAGTAAATGTTACGAACGAGAAAGCTTCGAACTCTGGGAGAATGTAGATGGGAAACTTGAAGGAAGTAGAAAGACATTCGACCCTTTTATACTTTCCATCGGCAATCATTAGACATGTTAAATCCATGTCTTTTGTGTACGTACATAATGCGATCTGCAGACCATATTCCCAACTTTGTCGATTGGCTGGCGTCAGCCAGATGCGAAGTGGGTCGGATCACCCATGTCCCTTAGTCTTTGAAAGACAATAGTGACTGGTGAACCAAGAAATACCATGAACGATAGGTAGGATAAAATGTACTCAAATATGATTGCATCAAGGCTCACTATTTGGCTTGGCCTAGGGATTGTAATCTAAGTTCAAATAGCTGAGGGAAAGGACCGAAATCGCCTTGTGAATGTACCTATGTATAATTATGTCCTCATAAACCCTTCTTTTTTGTAAATCCATGCTCCTATACTCGGTATTGAACATGGGAATCCATCAAGGCAAACTAGCATCCTCCTCCTCATCCAAGGCTATTACATCAACGTGAACCATCAATCCCATTTCCATCCTCCAACCGTTATCTTGTTCTTCCCTTCCGATTCCGCGTCTTACTCTTCTCCATGAACCATTTATCATGCAGCCCAAAGTAGTCTTATGAAAACATGGACAAATCGACTCATTCGCTTGAAAATCACGCTGGATACTCTCGTAGAGAGACGTGGCTATCAATGATGATTTTATCGCCCACCTCGCAAAGGCTTCCAAGGACGTGACGGAACCCTGCAAGTCAGAATGCACTGATGAGGTGGCTGCGACTCCTGTATATCTTCTTTCAACGCCTCCGCACTCTTATCTCCATAGTGACGAGTCGTCTTGACACCGCTTGACCATGATGAAACGCTATTTGGCACCTTTCGAGAAGGGGAAGTTGGTGACAATGTAGAAGATGCCCACAATTCCCTCACGATTTGGTCGAGGGCATAAAAGATGAGCGATGCACGTTATATTAGCGCTGTGAGCTTGGCGTTCATAGAGAGTGTGACAATAATAAGGTTGCTTCATCCAGTCCGAATAAGTTGTACCCAGCCCATCACTGACCTATCATCATCACTTCGCTTCACATCTCTTCTGTAAGGCGCTTTGTAGCTATGTGGTATGTCTATTTGTTAAATTCTAGCTGACGTCGAGACAGTTGTTCTTTTCCAAATGTACTTCTTTCTTACTTTTCGCTGTGTAGGGGCCTCACCCATCATTATTGCTGTACGGAGTAGGATTTGATGTGATTGACTTCTTTTCCAAAGGCGCTGGCAGACTTAACATCAATGAGAATATTTCTTAAAAATAACTGAAAGACCTTATAATACTGCCATTCTATAACACAGCTAATAGTACTCCTGACTCTCTCTCTACAGCCACTGTCCAGTCTCAGGGTTGTACCACCTGTTGTACGCCTCATGCCAAATACATCCTGACGGGGCCTCCGGCTGCTGCTGCTGCTGCTGCCGCTGGCCCGACAATGATGACTCACCTCCGTATCCGGCCGTCCTAGATGTTGATCCTCCCATCATAGGGTAGGTACCGCTCGATAGACTAGGGTCTAGAACCGTACGCCTACCTTTCTTGACCATCACGCCCTCTCCTTTTACCCAAACATTATCATACCCCCCAGGGCCTCGTCCTACCCCCCCGAGGTAGATATGCACCTTCTTTCGACCACCACTATCCCCGCCCTGAAGTTGTGCACTGACGTGATTCTCGTCAGCTTCTGTTACCCCAGTCGCACTATTGGTAGTCGTCTCATGTGGCGCGGCTCTTTAATTATAAACTGTTAGTGTTTTCCTTTTTATATCCTAGTCCAAGGGGTCTTACGTGATCATGCCATCTGCGTTTCCTAGTCGGTATGCCAGAAGAAATATAAAGTTCTCTGACAGAGCTTTCAGCGTGTATAGGGGTGCTCTACCAGGCCCTGCCTCACTCTGCAATCTAGATATGGCTTGAGTTCCCCATCGCACACGGATACCATTGATATCACCGTCAAAGCTATCTGCCGGAAGACAGTATTGGTATGACATGATAGGTTTCTATAATGCTAGGATTGATATGCTTTTGATACGATAGGCCGTATAAGGTAACAAAACAACAAAAGATAATACGAAGAGAAGAAGAAATGAAGAGAAAGAGAGTTTATGGATATGATAGAGAAGAAAGTAAGGATGATTGTTCCGATAAATATAAAACTGTAGTATTGGCTCTGATGAGAAGGAATATATAACTTGAATACAGGGTCTTCGTGGGGTATAAATACTCGCATTGGGGCGTGGAACTGGTTTGAAATAGCTAAGTAGCTACCTGCTTATGGCCCTCCTTCTCTTGCAGATTGTATGGCATTCGAATATATCGGGAGTGCCTTGTTTGTTTGATACGTGTGATGCGATCATCCCTGCACCCAACCATCACACCTAGCATCACTAAGCAAGGGTCCGCATAGCCCCAGGGCGGCGCTTAGGTCGGCGTCACGCCAGAAGGCTCTCGTAGGAACAGCTGCTTGGATTAGGCGGCAAGTATTTACAGCATATCACGAACGGAGTGGAGGGGCCTTCATAGGGCGGCACGTAAACCATGGTGGAGTGGCCCTTACCGCTGGGGTGTTGGCCACTGGATAGCAGGCCAAGGCATAGACCGACCTCCAAAGCGAACAATTATAGAACCCACAGGGTCTATTTATAGTACCTAGGTTTGAGCCAACAACTTTTAAATATTTATAGAAGTGTCTAGTTGCTCCTTGGCGTAGCGTGATATTTACAGATATACTATTGGCTGAGTCTCGAAGTGGGGTTCTGGGAAGGGTTTTCCCCCCCCGATTCTGGACCGCTATCTACATGTATATACATACATACATGTTATCATCCCAATATTTTAACATACAGGCTTTGTAACCACTCCATGTATAATGAGTGAGCCAGAGGCAGCAGCAGGACTCGACATGGCGACTACAACGCCCTCTGGGAGGATGGGGACTACAGATCATGGCGACTTTGTGGACTCGGAGGATGAATATGAGTTCGACGAAGTGGCAGAAGACCCAGAACAGTATGCCCGAGGCTCATACTATCCTACATATATTGGAGAAACTCTTGCCGACAGGTATCGCATAGACCACAAGCTGGGTCATGGTGGTTTCTCTGTTGTCTGGATGGCTTATGATATGCTCAGCAAGAAAGATGTTGCCCTCAAGATCATGGTACCCGGAAATGTTGGAGAGCATGAGTACCATATTCAGGGCGAGATCGCCAACGCTGTGTCAGATACTTCTCGTCTTCTGCTATGCCAAGACACCTTTGTTCTCTCGGGCCCGTGTGGCCATCACCGAGTACTTGTTCTCCCGTTGCAGGGCCCAAATCTCAGAGACCATGTCCGAGAGAAACCAATCGTTGCCCGGATGCTGGCTGCAAAACAATTGCTACAAGGCCTGGGAGCACTGCACGAAGGTGGAATTATACATCGTGGTAGGTCGCCTCGGGCAGGCTTTCCGTCCGGATCCGGCACAGACACCAGAGCTCCTTGTATAGCTAACCTTGTGTGTACAGATTTGAACAGTGCCAATGTCATGTTTGGATTCAGACCACTCAATAGTCAAGACATCACCACCAAGTACCAACATATTGGACGTCCTCGGAAGATGATGGTGCCATATGTGCCATGGAAGCCATGCGAGTTGGTCATGCCGATGGCTCCGCAGAAAGAACTGATAACGGATGACATTCACCTTGGAGATTTCGGCATGGCGATTCGAGACGGCACACCGGTAGTACAGAAAGTGCAGTCACCTGCTAAATACTGTGCTCCAGAACGGGTACACGGCATGAATCCAAGTTTCGCATCTGATATGTGGAGCTATATGTGCCTATTTGCCGAGTTGTATGGGAAATATCCCCTCTTCTCGGGTTCAGCCAATTCTACAGTCATTTCATTCATTGTAGACACCCTTGGTCCACTTCCGGTACAATGGAAAGGCTCATATGAGGCGGGTGGCTCATGCAATCCTGAGTGGTATAGCCAACTTCGGAAGCCTAGCCCCTACCTCGGCCTCGAAAATAAGATACCATTACTTCGGCCTGACATTGATGCAACCGAACTACAACTTGTGCTGGATATCTTGCGATGGGGATTTTCATATCTACCGGAGGACCGCCCAACCGCTGCACAACTGCTGGAAAGCATCTTATTCAAGGACCTGATGGCTATCTATGGGCTATAGTGCCATACGGACTGGAGTTAAATAGTATGTGCAGATAATAGTATCGTCCTTATATCTTTATCGAGTAGCTTGTATGGTAATATGATAATTCTATAACCATTTATTATGTGTGAGCCCCCTTAAGTGGTCTAGTAATGGTGAGGTCTAAAGGTAGCTATGTATTCATTATCCCTCAGTATGGGAGAAACTGGAAATTTGCTTAAACTCTACCTAGCAAATATGGAGAAACTGGTCTCACTTGGGTAATTCTGCCTTACCCACCTACAGTTGGTTTTATTTAAGGCGTTGGTTGTTAGCTTTATTTGTGATCCCTGTTATGGACCTTCAGTCGGTTGATATTCTGAAACTTTCGCCAAGGGTCCAGCCAATAAAAGTGCGCCTTCAGGGCCATGATCCACCACATATCTGAACCAACATTCTTTCCCAACCGCCTGCATACCTCTATCAGCCTAGCTTGGATACTCTGGTAAGGTGAAAAGCAATTGTAGCACCAACAGCTAAAGTCGGAGGTTACTTACTTAGGCAGTTAAGAGCGAAGGATCAGCAGAAGGACCGGTGGCTTTGTTTCAATTCGAAAAGTCTGAGCCAACCGAGAGCTGATACCCAATTAAATGCCCTGTTTCTAGGCTTTAGATTACCAAAAGCATTTCTACTCGCCTGGTGAGGCATATCTAGTAGCTTCTACTTAAATGTGATCTGGTGGCTTGATGGATAAATGCTAGCCATGGTGGGACTATTATCTACGTAATTAGTGGCGCCACCTTGGTCTAGACTGATGGGCCGATCTCAAAACTGGCGAGATAAACAGCTCGGGAAGTGGATGATATACGCTAAAATCGTGAGAGAGTATATTTTGCACATTTTTAAAGTCAAAAGCTAGGTAATCAAAGGATATACGCTTTTTAACAAGCATCTTATTTTTCTAAACGATTTCTTAGTATTTAACTTATCTATCTAGAAATAGAAGGGTATAGTTGAAAATGATTATTTTTGATGTGAGTTACCTACCAAATTGCTCAAAACTTGACAGGATAGTCTGTTGTCTCTAGCTCCTCCGGATATTCCAACCCAGCATCCCGTCTCACCCCATCCATGACTTCCATAATAAGAATCGTCTCATCCAATCCCAAACAATTTCCTTCCTGGCGTCCCTCAATGATAGCGCGCCCAGCATCGTCAGCCTCCCAGAATAATCCGTGCCCTTCACCTTCTGGGTTCACATGAGGACCAAATCCACTATACCAGCCACTCCCAGCACCAGGTCCTGGCTGCGGCCTTTTTTGTCCTCAACTGTGCCATCCTTGAGAATGAGTCTTGTATGAGTGGGGCGGTATGTTGTGGGGAAGACTTGATTCTCTCCTTGTTGGCCTTGGATGCGCACGCTGGGCGCTGATGCGTCCGCAGTCTCAGCTACAGTATCATTTGATAAACCAAGTGAACACGTCGCAACAGCGTGAGCTGGTCCACCTTGATCTACCTCTCGAGGAAACTCCAGTAGCACGGTCACCATAGAATCGACGCCAGTGCGGGGGTACTTTGCCACGATAGACTTGACAGTAGGAGGCTTCCTATCTGCCGTGGGTTGCGTACTGTAAAGTGTTTGAAATACCCAGGCCAGACTGTATATACCCGCATCCAGTATGATTCCGCCGGCAAGGCGTGGATTCACCATGATGTGGTTGTCATCGTCGAAGCCACCGGCGTACGCAAGACTATGCTCGAAGAGGACTCGTTCAACCGGCCCCAGACGACCGGATGAAACTACATCTTTGACTTATGCCGACACAGGAAAGTATCGAGTCCATAGTGCCTCCATGAGAAGCACATTCTTCTCCTTTGCTTTGGTTGCCAGCGGTTTTGCTTGACTACCGTTGACAGTGAAGGCTTTCTCCAGAAGAACATTCTTGCCAGCTTCAAGAAGAAACATAGTATTCTGGTAATGATGCGAGTGAGGCGTGGCGACATAGACTACGTCCACGCTTGAATCAGCAGCGAGGTCTTCGTTTGAATTATACGCCTTTGCGTACGACGGCGCATCGTATTCTCGAAGAAAAGCCTCTGCTTTGGCGACGGACGATGATGAAGAAACTCTACTTTCTACACCTTGCTCAAGAGCAGACCCGAAGCCAGAGCAACCCCCCTCCTATTAGTGGCGCTTATACTAAGCAGAGAAAATACAAAAGCGACCCGAATATAACTAGGCCCAATATTTGAGATATCGCGAAAAGAAAAGGCACCGCATATATCTACTATCTAAGATAGCCGCAGAGTCTCTCTTAGGTAAGACTAGAAGAACATAAATAGTTCAATGATATTCAACCTCATGCAGTAAAAACGAACTAGCTGTCATAATATAATAACTGGCCCCGGCACTGATTCCAGAACCTGTCTGCTCAATCCGCATCCTTATTATTTGTCGGGGCATTTCGAATTTGAACATGTCCTGACTCTAACCTTCACCAACACTTTCTTGCCATTCTCACCTGTCTGCCAGACATCGACGAAGGTGCAGTTGTCTGCTGTTGCCTCGAATTCGACTGATGCAGAGTTGACAGGGATGATGGTGGAGGATCGCCTGAGGGATCAATTAGTTGGTATTAAAGTCTAGGGCAGGTTTGCAGAGGACTGACATTTTGATATGTCGCACCGTCGTGGGTCTGGTCGAGGAGAACTTGTTTCTGGTTGTATTGAGTGGTGTTTCTTTGTTGCTAAAATAGTTGAAGCTGCCTTGCGACGAATGGGGCGGCGATGACGGTTCTTATACTCGAGACCCGATCAAAAGCAGAATTACGCCGACTGGCCACCATTACACAGACTTTATCAGATCTATGTGGCTTATGCGGGGTTTTTTTAATCCTTCTGGCTTCTACTTGGAATATCCCTTCTAACGCAAGTGTTCGGGTCAGAAACAATGCATCGATTGAAGCCACAATGCATTCCAACGGCGCTGTTATCTGAGTTGAATCCATTCGAGTGGGATGGAAGCGGCACGATAAATGGATGGCTCGTATAAAATTTTGAGACATGAAATGATCTAGACTGGTGCACTTTACTTTGAGGCCCCCCAAATTACAATTGAGAAGCAGCCAACATCGATCGGAGTGGATGGCCGTGTGCCAGATAGAATGAGAGAGTCATATGATTTGAGGCCTTTTCTCAATGATATTATGCTGCGCTATCCCTTTCTGCCTTTTCTCGCAAGGCAGAATTAACCGAATAAAGCCTTGGTAGTTGGGCTGTCCAATGCGAACATAAGAGATAATAGCGCAGGTTACACAAAACTCGCGGGCCAAGTTACCAAGTCATCAGCAGCTAATTGGCTGCCCAACTGGCAGTCATTCAATGAGGCTCCTACAGCTGAGCCGCATCTTTTTCAGGGGTTTATCACCTCCCCGCACCCTGAGTATCAGGCAACTTAGTTTCTGCCCCATCCGCTAAATAAACCAAACAACAGCAAGTCTCTTGATAATCTTCAACCATCAAATTCGAATCTTGACTTTTTTTATTCAATCGCCAAACGTCTAGCCCCCAACCCCCACTAAAATGGACTATTGTACAAGCTCCCTGAAACCTTTCTCTGCCAATGAGGTCTGGGAAGCTAGCGCAGGAGACGACACTAAGCTTGTTTTCTCACATACCACTATCGTGGCCGTTCAGAATCACCAAGTCTACCAAGGGACTAGTAAAAATCGGCTAGAAGGCATTGATAAAACGACCATCATCAAACAACTCTCCCCGATCCCTCGAGAGGATATCTATCCACCATGCCCCCCTCAGCTCACTCGCGCTCCGGAAATCTACATCAAGGTGCCTGACCTCAAGCTTTATTCCCCTGAGCGTAAAGGCATCATCGCTCAGCGCCTTTTGCACGAAGCTGGAATCTACCAAACCTTGCGAGAACACCCCCACCCTAATCTAGGTCAAAGCCTAGGTTGTGTCGTTGGGAGAGACGGCCTCCTCCAAGGGCTGGCACTCTTCAAGTACAAAACCACTCTCTTCGAGATGGCGCACGATGTTTCCTTTGAGCTAGGTCAGCGTGATAAGTGCATCACTGCTATCAAGTCCGCTTTGGATCACCTCCACACCTTAGGACTTGCGCACAACGACCTCAGCCCTCTCAACATCATGTTCACGGACGATGGGGAGCCTGTATTGTTGGACTTTGACACTTGTCATCCCATTGGTATGAATTTAGAGAAAGGTGGAAAAGTTGGAGAATGGGAGGGGATTGCGAGCGCGGTCTACAATGAGTCGTCGGTTAAGTGCGACTTGAAGGCATTGGAGCATTTAAATTTGTGGTTGGAGAAGAAGTATGAGGAGATGAACGCCGTTGTAAGCAACATATGATCTCAAGAACAGCAAAATATTGAAGACAAAAGTCTATCAGGCACATCGGCATCGTTGCCCCCGTGCTTGGTCCGTTCACCTTGACGGGATTTATGGCTTCTCCACGTAACGATTGGTTCCTCAGGAGTACTGCTTCTTTAGTGAGTAATATTTATGACAGTAGGGATGATTGGAGTTACTTACCGACTGGTAACTCAGCAATAGGAGCTAGGTGAGTGATTTCGAGGGGTAGTATTCTAGTTTTACTATTTACCTAAGTAATGTAAGTCCTTCTGATATGCCTTATTACTATCCAGCTCCTGGATTAAGCCTTTAAGCAGTTCCTGGCTTGGCTGGAAGAACGGCCTACACATAACAATAGTGTTGTTTACGAGTTGTTCATAATACATAGCCAAAAGGGCTTTTCGAGTGCTTATATGACAAAGGATGTTGCTAGTCAAGATGGCACTTGCGGAGATAAAGGTCAATCTTACGTGCGCTGGGGGTCCTTTCAATGGCCGGTGCTACAGTGCTGCAGGCTTCTTTGGAACGAGCACGTATTGTGGTTCAGGATGGTAAGTGTATTCTTTGTCTGTGAATATGAAATTCTCGATGCTAATTTGAATTTCAGTCAAAAAGGCTTTGGGCGTTGTAATTAGCTCTTGCTTTGGACTGGATATTAGGATTCTGTAATAGTATGACAAGGTACGGGTACCTACTCCGTGGACGAGAATGAATTCGATACTGCACTGTTTCTCCTTCTCCAAACGTCTTTGTAGGTTATGGCCATCGCTTACACTCTAACTCATGAAGGCCTTTCACCTGAGCAAGAAACAAATTCAGAGTCGGAGGGGTTAATGTTGTGAACAGAGCCGCACTGAGCATAATGTACATGGCAATCCACAATGCCAAGATCCATCTCCGTAAGGTTGCAGGGACGGAAAAGGTGGAGGGCTAGTAACGGCGCGGTTAATCATTAATCCGAAGTTTTTCCGAACGGCCCGCTTTTTGCGATCACCAGCATGAATTGAAGCAAAGAAACTCAACACCTTCACCCAATCTGCTTGACACGCTCTTCCACTTTATCTTCATCAATTATTTCTAGTGCGTATAGGTATCATATACTCCCCATCGAATCAAGTGTCCAATCAAGTGTCTAAAGATAATGTTTCGATCGCCATTTTTGAGTGTATGAAACTATCAATTTCATCTAAAGATGATATCAACTTTGAATGCCACCATGTGAAGAACCACTTGTATCATGTATGAAAGAGACCACAAAAGCGCGTCGACTGAATCCGAAATAATTTCCACCACGTAAGATCTCCCTTGGCAACCTTTTGACAAGTTTCATATAAGTGAACCGTTGTCCTTCTCAAGAATTATCCTAACATTCCTGAAAAATGAAAAGACCTTGTATCCAGCAGTGTAATAAAGAGCGCGTAAATCGGGTTTCCTCTTGTAACTTCTGTGATACTGAGTTAGCTACCGTCGTCGATTATAGACTAACAAACCTACTCAAACAGCCTAGGATTATCATGTTAGTGTAGATTCACAAATAATGTCAAAGAACAACTCTCACCTTTCGTCTTCGGTGGCTTTGCGATCGCGGAGAGATCTTCTCACTTTCATGTAAATAGCAAAAACTCCCATGATTATTTATCATCCCGTCCCTGTAATTTTGGTTTAGGGAACGTCCTGGAGTGGAGGATGTTGAAGTTGGCGATATCGGATGAAAGGAGGCGGCAAAGGTGGAAAGAGAATCAAGTTGTTTATGGAGAGGATGGAGGCCAGTTTTGTAAAAGCCATGATGAAACTCTCTTCGTCCACGCAGACGAACCCAAAACCTCCAAATCTTCATCAAGTCACGAGGCAGCCTCAAAGTACTGTAATTTGCTGTCACGATTTAAGCACATCGTGGGCAAAGACAAAGTTTGCGTATGTAAGCCAGCTCTTTGACGATGTTGGCTGGTGTTGAAAGAAAGTTGAGGTTAAATGTAAGAGTCCACGTGGAAGAGTTTCACTGTCTACTTCTGGGGCTCCCCGCTGTCTGTGAAGTGATTTCTCTATAATGAACATGATCTTAGTACCTGTGTTAAAGGCTGTGCCATTTAGATGGTACTGTCCAGCTCGACAATGGCGTTGTAGTCTAATGTTAGTTATTGTTAAGATCTTTGAGCCGTAGGACAAAGATAATGGATATCTCATGAGTGAAGATAAGGAATATTAAGTCTTTGTCTGACTGTAGATAATGATAAATCTTTGTCGGAAGTTTATCTGGAATTATAAATTTAACTAATGTCACGAGGTTGCTGGATAGTGTTAGTATTCCAACCCTTAGCCCTACGCGGAATGAACAACGTGGAAAAAGAAGCTTTTTTGAAAGAGTAAGATCAACACTGCATTGACCTTACCCCTAACCTCTATATCCGCCAATACAAGAACAATATCCCTTCTACCGTCACCTCTTCACTCCGCAAGGTTTCTAGTACCTTCTGTTGCCTCTCCTCCGCCCTCTTCCCGAAGCCTTTTACAACGACGACACTCCTCAACCCAGTCCCCCTCGAACGGTAAAATTTCAATTCCCAGATCGCAATGTCCCAGAAAATGCATTTTCGAAACCTGCTTGCAAGGCTGACGTTTTGTCCATCGTCTAGCTATACCCTTGCAATTAAAGCACCTCGAAATTGTTTCAACTTGCCAGCACATTTGACTTACCGGATTCTGTGAATAGTTGCTGTTATTATCTAGTTTGTAGCGCTGATGTGGTAGAGGTGTGTTCTTCGCCTATATGAGTCCAAATGTAAGTGGGCTAGAATTAGCACATGGGCATAAGGTATGGCTTTATATGCAGTTTGTGGTATGGCGATTCACTTCTGGCCAAATGAATCACTGGGTATGCTGCAGTGACAAAGGCTATGTGTTCGGTCTACCGCGTCCTTTCACAGACCATGAAGTCAGGTGCTAGTAACAAGATCACAACGAGCTTTAGCTTCAATTCATGTTCCTGTGTAAATGGCCTGCGGAAACGTTGTTGGAGCTACTCTGTTACCCGGCAAGGCACATTGTGCTATTTCGCAAGCTACTCGTCGCTAGACATGATAAGGCACTGTAGCTTATAGGTGAAAGACTTGACGAAACCCCCCAAGAGAGTTTCTTGCCACTATATCTCACGAAGACAGAGGTCATTTAGGTAGCATTTGGCATGTCTTAGACTAAGTTATTGAACTATTTTACATCTGTAACTATCACCGATCTGTTTTCTTCATCCTCTTTCTCAAAATCGTAGCAATTTCAAGTCAACTATGTTACAAGAACAGAAAAGGCAAATGCCATTAATAAAGTCATATCGTGTCTGATAAGAAATTGAAACCATTCTCAAGAAAACCTCATAGTATACACAGCCCATTTACACAAGCGCAAATACCTAACGACGTGCATAGATCAAGATTCGCAACGCAGTCCGACTCGCTAGAGCAGTCCACATCATCAATACAGGCGCCCTGCTGGCAGCTCTGCCCAGCATCGCACTCCGAGTTGGCTGTGCAGGTGACAACTTCTGGAGCAGGGCCGCAGACTGCATCCAAACAGATACAGAGACCCAAGAGGCAGAGAGGTCTGAGGGATAACAGACAATCGACGTTGTCAGAACAAGAGTCAGCAGCCCCATTGCCTGTGTTCGAAGTTGAGACTCGACAGAAACCATCTGCGGCGCATATCTCGCCTGCAACAGTACAGTCACTATTGTCCGAGCATGGGGCTCCAGGAGTGCCAGTATTTGGGTCATTAGTTGGGTTGGAAGAACCACCCGATGTGAGAGTGACGAAACCACTGCTAGGGTTGGCCACGGGTTGGCATAGCAAGTTGACACAAGCGATGAGACCTAAAGCATTTGCTCCAATGGCAACTATACAGTCCTGATCTGTAGAACAGTCAATATCGGTCGCGCTGGAAGCAGTGGGCTGAGTAGTTGAAGCCGCAGCGTTTGTGGTCGTCGTACGCTCTTGGCAGATAAGGTCAACGCAAATAACCAAGCCCAAGACTCCCACCCCAAGAGCTGCCACACAGTCTTGATCCGAGGAACATTCTACATCATCACCCAACTGGAGAGAAGGGGGGTTGGTAGCGCCTGCATTAGAGCCAGAAAGTGTTGCTGTTTGTTGGCACAAAAGATCGATGCAAGCGAATATTCCCAAAGCACCTACTCCTATAGCCGCCACACAGTCTTGATCTGTAGAGCAGTCAATAGGCTCGGTGATGGAAGGTGCATTATTTGAGCCAGTCGTTGAAGCTGCCGAGCCCCCATTTCCAGTTGTTGAAGTTGGCTGAAGCTCGCAGATGAGGTCCACGCAGACATAAATTCCCAATAACGATATTCCGAGAGCAGCTGTACAGTCCGAGTTGGACCCACAAGGCACAGAAGTGTCTGTAGCCAAACTTCCTGCTGTTGTAGTACTGGGGGCCGCAGGGTCTGTTGTAGATCCGCTCCCTGCAGCTTGCGAACCACTTGGTGTTGTGTCCTTGACACATACTGCATCGACACAAGTGCAAAGGTTGAGTAAGCCATCTAGACACAAACCGACGTTGGCTAAACAGTCATCGTCTTCGGTACAAGTTGTGACTCCATTGTCATCTGTAGGTGTTGAAGGATCTGTACCTTGAGTTCCAGAAGTGGTGGCAGAGTCTTGGGATTGTGTAGAGCTGGCATCAGGATCGATGTTTTGAACACATACTGCGTTGATGCAACCACAAATATTGAGTCCTGCGAGAACACAGAGATCAACATCGAGTATGCAATCACTGTCCTCTGAGCATGATGTGGGAGACCCATCAGTAGGGGAGGAGCCTGACCCTGTGGTTGTAGTGGAAGGCGACTGTCCTCCGGTCGAACCAGTCCCAGAAGCTCCAGTGGTTTCTCCACCTTGGCCTGGGTTGTTGGCTGAGCTTGTATTTTGAGGATCAGGTTGGCAAAGTAGATTCAGACAAATGCAAGCAGCATCCGAAAGTGCGCATAGGCCTACCGAGAGCCCAGCGCAGTCTTCGTTTGTATTGCATGGTATGGAGTCGGTCTCGCGGGGTAAATTTGAGGTCGTTGTTGTCTGAGCCTCTGTTTCCCGTCCATTGCTTGAGTTTGTGGTAGTTGAACCTGAGCCTTGTGTAGCTGTACCACTTTCCTGGCCATTGATATTTGTGGACGTCGAGTCTGAGCTTGAGCCTGCGCCTTGGATAGCCGTGCTACTTCCTTGGCTATTGAAGCCTCTGGACGTTGAGCCTGAACCTAAGCTTGAGCTTGAGCTTGAGCCTTGGATGGCTGTGTTGCTTTCTCCGTCAGTAACGTCTGTAGGCGACGAACCGTCACCTCCTCCATCTACTTCACTAGTTGGGATTCCTTGTGGGTTACCAACCACACGCGAGCTTGTGGTTGAAGAACTACTTGTGATATCTTCGGCAGGGTTAATGATTGGCGCACCGTCCGTTAAGATTGTAGTCGAAGGTCTGCTTGAGGAACTTGTTGTGTCTAGGCCGGGATTGATCACCGGAGCACCATCAGTCAGAATAGTAGTCAACGGGTCGCTTGACACGCCTGTTGCTTCTGAGCCAGGGTTGACGACAGGTGCGCCATCAGACAAAACAGTGGTCGGTGGTGTCTGATCTATAAGACTTGCAGTTCCCGAGTTACCTGCGTCCGATGGTGAAGAATCCGAGGATCCCGCTGACCGAGAGGTTGTTAGTGCACCACCAGCAGGTAGTGAGTTGTTTGGCGCGGGATCGTCTTCGCCATCTGAGCCTCCACCTCCTTGTACACTACCGGTTTGATTCGGGGATGATGTAGTTTGTGAGCGACTGCTGGATGTGACAGTGTTCCCGGAATCGCCATTTCCTGAACCGTTGCCATCATCTGGACCGTCATCACCAGAACCGTTATCAGATGGTGATCCAGAGCTTGGTGTCGCTCCTGAACCATCACCGTCAGACCCGGAGCCATTGCCGTTGCCTGAGTCTTCGCCATCATCTGAGTCACCTTCAGAGTCGGATCCGTTTCCTTGAGGTGATACAGTAACAGGATCAGTATCACCACCAGAAGCTCCGTCGTTATCGTTCCCAGAACCGGAACTGTCATCAGAGCCGTCTTCTTCTGAGCCCAGGCCTTGTGTGCTGCCGCTCTGAGGGTCGTCATCTGAAGAACCGTTGCCTGAAGAACCGTTGCCTGAAGAGCCGTCGCCTGAGGAGCCACCGTTAGGAGAGTCTCCATCAGCAGATACCCCTCCAGTAGAGGTGCCGTCATTCTGGCCTCCATCTCCGTCGGCACCATCGCCTGAAGGGGAATCACCATCAGCTGCATCATCAGAACCACTTCCCTGTGGTCTGCCAACACCACCTGATCCTGAGCCGGAGCTGGAGTCATCAATAGGGACACAAGCTCCATCCTGGCATGTCTCTCCAGTAGCACAAGAGACGTTGTTACAAGCGGCTAGGCCACTGTTTGGTGTGCAGACATTGCCTAAGCAGACCTCGCCACTGCTGCAAGCCTCACCTCCACAAGAGCTTGTGTCACCGAGGGCTACACAAGAGTCTTGGATGCAAGCATAGTTGATTGGGCAGTTTGCTCCAGAGGCACCGCAGTCTACCGGTCCATCAGCAGCGACGCACTGGTTGTCGATGCAGGCGAAACCTGGCTCACAGGCCGATGTAGCTTGTCGGCGAAGCAAGCGCATGAGACGGCTGGATGGAGCTCCACATGAAGAAGGGTCTCTGACTGTTGAGCACTGCCCGTTGATACAAACTGAGTTTCCAGTACATGCTGGATTACAAACTGATGCAGGAGAGCCTGTGCCGGTATCTTCTCCATTCTGATTCTGAGAGCCACCAGCGCTGCTGTTGTCGGAACCATCTTGACCTGACTGGCCATCTCCGTCTTGGCCGTCGTTGCCTGAATCAGAATCCGATCCAGGGAGGTTTCCGTCAGAAGATGCTCCGTTTGTGCCGTCTCCTGACTCTCCACCGGATGCTGAGTCTTCTCCCTGTCGTCCAGCATCGCCAGAAGTCCCCTCTGGTCGAGCTGAAGTCGCATCACTTCCATCGGATGAGTCTCCTCCCTCTCCTGAGCCATCGTCATCCTGCCCGTCGCCGGCATCACCACCACTTGATCCATCACCGCTTGAGGAACTCCCAGTGTCTCCATTTATTGCCTCCACTTTATCTAGCACTCCAGGTAGACGTGCACCGGGGCCTCCAGCTCCAGCACCACAAGCAACTCTTTGGGTATTGGATTGGTGGACCAGGTTGCTGACACATTGGCCAGAAATACACACTTCGCCGTTCTTGCATGCTCCTGAGCCGCCTCCACATTGGGAAAGATCGACTGAGATGTTGATGGGCACACATTCGTTGCCCAAACAGTAAGATCCAGGTTGGCATATCTGCCCAGATGAGCCGCAAGTCTCTGTCTGGACCACTTCGGAGGTTATGCTGAGTGACTGACATTGCCCAGAGACACAGAGCTGGCCAGCAGTGCAGTTCTTTCTGCTTTCTCCTTCACCACATTTGTAGGTATCGGTTGAGATGAAAACTTGACGACAGAACCCTCCACGACAGGATGCGCCAAGGGGGCATTCGCTTGTCCTTTTGCAGGACTGGATGTTTGTTCCAAGGATAAAAGGGACACAAGCACCTTCGAGACACCAGTTGCCGGAACTGCAGGTTGTATTTGAAGGTCCGCAGGATGCTGGATCCGAGCCGATGTTGATGTTTTGGCAGTTGTCATTAACACAAAGAGATCCAGCAGGACACTCTTTGTTGTCGACACCACAGCGACGAGAGTTTGCTGCAACCTGGATTGCCGCACATTGTCCTCCATTACACCACTGACCAGGCTGACATGAAGGGGTGCAGTCCTTAGTATCTGAATCATCAGATGCTAGGTCCAGGGGCAAACATCCACCAGCAACGCAGAGTTCTCCAGGCTTGCATGAGTTACCACGCTTGCCACATTGTTTGGGGTCGAGTCCAATGGTGACTCTGGAGCAACTGCCCCAAGCACATACCCCGGGAAGAGGACAGCCTCCACTATATAGCATGCCCGTTTCCTGGTAGTTAGGTTGGCCATCACAGGGGAGAGCCAATGTTGTAGTGGGCGAGATGGCCAGAAGTGTGGCCAGCAAAACTCGCCAGCTCATGTTATGAGCCATGATTGATGTTTTGTTTGTTGTTGAATTTGGTATTGATCGACCTGAAGGTGGACGAGGTAAAGGAGATGATCCTGGACTTATATACATCCTGGACTCTGGGTTTGGTATGACACTAATATGAGTGGCACTCGACCCTTTTCCTCACCAGGAGTGCCTATCCAGTCTGATAGACATGTCGTCATGTAGACCCTGCTTTGGCATTTTCTTTAAACTTCAAGTTGCAACGGTTCATGACGAGACCTCTAAAGACTAGAGCCTGCCAACAGTTTGTGGCATCTCCATGTCTGCCAATGTCATCAGCGGCAGTAACCAGGACAGGAAAGTTTAACCTACCGGGTTCAAACATATTTGTTCATAGTGCTCTCATGGCGCCCCGGCGTCTCTCTCACAAGATTCGGGTATATCTCCATGCGTTGCCGGTTGTCCATAGTAGATTTCGGATCCGTCGTCCTTCCGAGTCTGGGGTGAACTCTGAGACCCTCCAACGCCTCACTTACATCGTGATAGAGTTCATATCATCTCTTAGTGCCCGGTTGAAAACCAACCCACCAATGAAAAAGATGATGGGCCTTCCCAACGTTCCTGACGATATGATGATATGATGATCCGGGGTGAGCAGCTGAAGATCTCTACCAGCTGCGCGACTGTTTGCGATCGTCATGGTGTGGGAATATCTTGGAAGCCGGTGACAAGCGAAAAGGTATGGGCCTAGTAGACGCCTCAATTCCCATCATCTGGTGTCAGTAATAAGCTGTTTTCGGCGGCGAAACGGGTAGGCTAAAGCCCAAACCAACGCGGCTGTGGAGCTATCATTGCGGCCCGGGTTTGGTTCGAGAGAATAACCATAAAATACAGATTAGCCATGGCGAAATCAGACATGTTTAGTGTAAAGTGTAAAGTGTGTAGATATCAGAGGCCCCTCAGGGAATCCAAAGCCGGGTTTTGTGAGTCACATGCACCTTCCGGTGTTCATGCCTGTGGGTATAAGAGCGAAACAGGATCTCCTAGTCAATAGCGCCTGCCTGTTAAATGTCATGCAGAATGAAAGCGATTGGCTGTGAGCAACTGACTATATCGAGGCGATCTTTGAGGTTATCTCCAGATTTCCGCTTCACACCCAATCAAACGGATGGAGATCTTTATGAGACATGACAAGTGACAGTTTATCGTATTTCTAAGTTTGGAACTACATCAACAGCTGGCGGTCAGTGTGTTCCGCATTCTTGGACTAAGCCCATGAATGTTGGTCGAACTCCAATACTTGGGATAACTTGCTGTCATTCCTTGCTCGTCGTGTTATTCAGAAGGTGGAAAGGCATCCTGTGACCCGAGTTGCATATTTGAAGTTGGAAATCATACCATTCTTGTGGCGAGGACGTTAAACCGTTGGTTGGTTTTGATTTTCTCCCCACACATAGTGACATTAGTATCGTCTTCAGGACTTAAAACAGCCGCTATCACTCCAAGCTATCCCCATGACCGTCAAGACTAATCAGACTAGGAGCCTGTTCCGCTCAATTCTCTGGTTTCGATCTGATGTCATTGCATCTTTAGTTTGACACCTTTTCCGGATCTTGTTCCCGGTGGCTTTGTCTTGGCACCAGGGGTTTTCGCATATTCGATACGGAGAGCCTCGCTTAATCAAGCCATCGCCTTGTTCGTCTCCTTGGGTCCAACCTTAAACTTAAACCGACCAACAAAAAGGAATATGCGAATGCCCGTTTCCGGGAATAGACGTGGTCGATCCGTGCCTTGTACTTACAAGACATTCTCAACGGTGATAGACAAACTTGGCAATAGGTACGCTCATACGATGCCATGACGATCAGAAACGATGCACGATACTAACGAACTCCGGAAATGCGACTCTCCGACTATTTTTGTGACTGGTCGCTTCCCCTTTGACGCCATTGCTGCCACGGGACTAGCTCACAGAGCCTCAGGAGGAGCCAAGGCACAATAACCGCTTCCAACGTCATGTCTCAACATCAGATCATGTTCACAAGAACGTCAAACCTACTTTGTGAGATATGAGACGAAGGGACTCTCTCATGCTTAGTATATCACGTCTTAGACTAAATATGCAAGATCAAACGTACCATCTGACAAATCATCTCGAGTGATACGCAGGCAGGTGTAGTAGTGATGTGCAGCCTGGCAATCTTCCATGTCCAAACCTCTGGGACTGACGATCCGCACCGAGAGCCCGGCCCTTTGAAGCAGCATCAAACGTCCAACTATTTTTACCTGGTGGTCAGAAATTGGAAGCGTTGAACGACTCGTTTATTTGCGGTTGTGATTGGCTGCAAAACAATCACATTCCTTAAAGGCAGCTAAGAAAAGTGAGAGGTACCGCACAGGCTCTGTACCTTGTGAGGAATCCAGTCCTGCGCGTGATGAACGGTGTTCAACGGCTGCTGACTTCAATTTCACATACGTCACATCTTTGTAAAGAGAATTGCCAGAGATTCAAGAATATAGCATTTGAAACCTAAAGAGAGAGGAAGGAGCTGGCAAGGTCATCCCGCGGGGATGTTGGTCTCCTGTCCAATCAAAGGGCTGTGATAAGCGAAGGACCCACAGCGGCCCGGCCGATGCAGGCCGCACCCCCAACATCGGAATCCGAGTTGAACATTGAGAATACAGCACAATACGAGGAATCAGATATTGAAGCAAAAAGAAGTCACCTAGAAGAGCAAAAGTAAACTCCGGTGCGGGGAGTCGAACCCCGTTCTTCGCGGCTCTAGAAAATCAATGAAAACGCGAAATGATAACCGGTACACCACACCGGACGTTTGATGCTACATGACGAGTATATTATGCTCTATCCTCTCCAAAGCCAGATATCTCCACACTAGCAAATGATCTAAACAAATTGGGATGCTCCTATGAATCATGACAAGTCTCGGACATGTCAAGCACCTTTACAAAACTGCGTGCTCGAGAATTGATGCCATCGTGGCAGCCAAGTCCTCAGGTACAACTGTTCAACGTTCCAAGAACTGTGTGAACCACTTGTAGGCAAGTATCATCCCTTAGCCCCCCTAGTAGACTACAGAACATACGTAGTAGACACTGAAGAAACCCTGGAGTCTTAAAAGAGCTCGGCCGATCGTCTACGGGTTTCTCTAAGGAACCTACACGATATACGTCCAATACGTCTATGAGGGGGATCAATTATCCCTCGACGTGTGAGTTCAAATACTGGCATAAGTTTAACTAAGCATCTGGCCCGTTTTGACAATATAGGCACGATACGCATACAGTACACTAGAATCGGGACATAAACTGCGAGAGACTTCCTCAATGTTCCTTAGAAGGAAAATCCTAGTCGACCTTTCATATTGCACAATGCAAACAACTTCTATTTATCACACCTCAGTAACGAAACTGATGGTGATGTGCTTCTTAGTTATGCCATATATGAATTAAATGTAGGCGTCATAAGTACAGGATTAAAACTATCATTAATATAAACAAAACTCGTAGCATACGCTCTATTAATATTAAATCATTCTTCGCTATTGATATTATATAAATTGTAATAAACCCTTCACATTTCTCTATATTCATTACCGTAAATTATATCGTAGCTCTAGGGTCCGACCAGCCAAGGTGTTAGCAATAGCTTGGGGTGCACCTTATACTGAAAAGGGTGCCTTCCACCCTCTTTATATCGTATGGATGGATATATAATAACCTCGACTAGCAAGAGAATCAGTAGGTGAGGAAAAGTATCCAACTTCTTTCACAAGTTTGAACTGATATACCTTGGAAGGTTGTCTGTTCATCACACATTCTCTCTAATTGGCTCTTTAGCCTGCAAGTACGATGTGTGGTTCATTACATGACAGCTATTTCAAGGTTGACGTCCGGTCTACCACGCCTTTGGTTGGAAGAATATGAATCTTATCTCTTTAATGGCCCTGGTGTATCATTGGCCATCGCAAACTTGAAAGTTCAGCGTGATATCTAAAAAGACCTTGTCAATGGACTAAAATCTCACTGACAACGTCAATCTCTGGCCTACCATGGGCACGTAAACACGGATTCGCCAAAGAGATGAACATCTTCTGGGGCTGTGTTCATTTGAGGACTGCCTGATATTGTGTTCGAAACCCTTTTGAATGATAATCTTTTTCACACAGAATTCCATTGAATGAGCGTTAATACAAATAGATGAATTATGGCGAAAATCAGAGAGGTGCACTTCATAGTCTCATTGGATTAGACAGCCACTATCCACAAGCCTCAGCACGACCGTACCCTGCAGGGTAACCAAGATCTCCATAAATCTTCAGCGTAAACCAGAATGTTTATTAGTTTGCAATCAGCCTGCAATACGGAATTGGACATTAAAATCTCGATCATCTTAAAAGAATTTCTCTACCGAAAACCAAAGTTGTGGTGAATGATCTTAAGGTTATCTATTATGCTGGGCAGAAGGTCGTACAACTTCAACATCGGAATACCCTCACACCCGACCAACCACCACGAAACAATGACAGATCTAACAACGAAAGTACGTACCAGTTAGAACCCTCGACTCAAAACAACAACAATGCTTCAATACGATTATACGAAAATATCTCGAAAGGTCGACGACAGATTTGATCAGTCAGCAGTGTGGTAGCTTTCCCCGCATTCTCCTCTATTCAAGTCGTTTACCAGATCCGAGCATCCGGCATTCTTTATCAACCATACACAACCCGCCAGAAACAAAGCACTTCAAGCAATCACGGAGAATAATGGCTCTTCAAGATACGATTTGGTAATTTGTTCTTTTTCGTCAAGTCTCGTCTATGTTTGCTTTATCATCTAGCTCATCAATCTCCAATGCTTGCTTTGAGATTATTTTCATCCACCACCTGCTCCACCATGCCCATGGCGAGACACTCCACAAACGAGTTTTCCTAACCCTTTACCAGAAACCAATTTGGAACAATCAACGCTGACAGGAAACAATTCAGAAATTCTATTACCGATCCAAAACCATGAAGCTGCTTAAGCAACGGGCTTGATGGTAGCAGGCGGGGTGCCGACGTGGTTGCGGTTACGGAAGAAGAGAACTCCCTTACCGGCACCCTCGGCATCAGCGCTGGGCTCAACCCACTGGCACATACGGGCGCTCTTGTACATGGCACGGATGAAACCTCGGGGACCGTCCTCAACATCAGCGCGGTAGTGCTTGCCCATGATAGGCTTAATGGCCTCGGTAGCCTCGTCGGCGTTGTAGAAGGGGATGTTGCTGACGTAGTGGTGAAGGACGTGGGTCTCGATGATACCGTGGAGGAGATGGCGGCCGATGAATCCCATCTCACGGTCAATGGTAGCGGCGGCGCCACGGACAAAGTTCCACTGCTCGTTGGTGTAGTGAGGAAGGGTAGGGTCGGTGTGTTGGAGGAAAGTAATGGCAACTATCAAGGTTAGTATTGATCTTCAATCTGCAATAAATGGAGCTTACCGAGCCAGTGATTAACCCAGAGGTAGGGAACGAAGTACCAGATGGCCATGTTGTAGAAACCGAACTGCTGGACGAGGAAGTACAGAGCAGTGGCGGTGATGGCAATACCGATATCACTCATGACGATAAGCTTGGCATCCTTGTGCTCGTAAAGAGGGCTGCGGGGGTCGAAGTGGTTAACACCGCCGCCAAGACCGTTGTGCTTGCCCTCGCCACGACCCTCCTTCTGGCGCTCGTGGTAGTTGTGGCCGGTAACATTGGTCATGAGGTAGTTGGGCCAGCCGACGAGCTGCTGGAGAACGAGCATGAGCAGAGTGAAAGCAGGAGTCTCCTCAGTGAGATGAGCGAGCTCGTGGGTCATCTTGCCGAGGCGAGAAGCCTGCTGCTCGCGAGTGCGGGGAACGAAGACCATGTCACGCTCCATGTTGCCGGTAGCCTTGTGGTGCTTTCGGTGGGAGATTTGCCAGCTGAAGTAGGGGACGAGGAGGGAAGAGTGAAGAACCCAACCAGTCACATCGTTGACAAGGCGAGAGTCGGAGAAAGCGCCATGACCGCACTCGTGGGCGATAACCCAGATACCGGTAGCGAAAAGACCCTGAAGAATGGTGTAGACGGCCCACAGACCAGCGCGGACGGGGGTTGAGGGGATGTACTCGGGGGTGACAAAGTTGTACCAAATGCTGAAAGTGGTGCCGAGGAGGACAATGTCGCGAAGGATGTAGCCGTATCCCTTGAGGGCAGAGCGCTGGAAGCAGTGCTTGGGGATGGCGTTGTAGATGTCCTTGATGGTGAAGTCAGGAACCTCGAACTTGTTGCCGTAGGTGTCAAGCATGACACCGTACTCGGTCTTGGACTTGGAAATGTCGGCCTCGGACATGGACGAAAGCGAGGTGGAAGAGGCTGAGTGCCGGGGAGAATCCGAAGGAGAGACGGCGGCAGACTCAGTATCCGTCACAGTAGTTGAGGTGACGGTGCGTCTGAGAGCAGGGTTCTGCTTAGGCAGAGCCGAAGTCGAAACGGACGCCATTGTGAGAAAGAAGGTACACGGCCGACAAAAGTCAAGATGCCGAAGATTGATCGAAGTACCAAAGGGAAGAGGGAAGAAGGGGAGGTGAAAAGAAAAAGAGAGTTCTGAGACGACCAAGGGGGGTTGAAGTTTTAAAGTGTTCCCTCCAAGCCAAGCGTATGCGTGGATGGATGCTTGCTCGGCAAACGTTTTGTTGGGGCGTGGAGCCTGGAAAAAAGGGCAGGTAGGTACGGTACTCTGCTGTACTGGACCACGGGCAAGCAGCCTCTCAGCGTGGCGGCAACACAAAGCAGAAACAGCGGCGAAAGCGGGCAAAAACAGGTGGAACGATAAAGGAAACTGGCAGGTATGTTGCTATGTACAGGACTGACTTTACCGCTTTTCCCTGTGTCTGGCAAAAAGATCGGCAATCCCTTGAAGTGAGTCAAGTAACAGACTTGCAGAGCGATAAGAGGGAGCCAAAGTGCAGTATCTATTCTTGATTCACTGCAGAGTGTTAATTTTTTATATAAAGCCTCTTTACTCCTAATACTTCAAACTTCAAACTTCAAGATACTGCACAATTGCTTCAAAAAGAAGCAACATCTCCAAACCGAAAAATAGACGCGCCCCAAATTCGCAAACCAAAAGAAATCCCTACCCCAGAAAATGCGCTAGAAAAAGGGTCGTGCTTCTAACTCACCCCTGAAGGGTGGCAATATTTAGCTACAAGCTCCCATGCACAGCAGGTACCGTTCCCGACATGAATTGACGGGGCGTCCGATAGAGCTGTTTTTCATGATGAGCGTGATGAATTGTCTGGCTGTGTCTCGGCTTCTACTGCAACCTGACTAACCAGGCTTGCAGGCTTGGTATTTTTGCGGAGTAGGCTGGCTGAAACTCATCGTTTAGTCCGTGCTTGTGCAACATAACATGTCACTATCTCCATTAAGCTTCTCGATAACGGTCATCAGATAAAATGGCCCTCTCAATGGTGGCTACAATGCCTTCAGTGATGTTCTGTCTCTTGACTCTTCAAAGTGTCGTTGATTTTACTCGCCGACGTACATCCGCTACCGAAGCCCGGCCCCGGTCCACTTCTCCGGCTGGCGGGAAACCCTGAGCCTGAGCTGGAACAGTGGAAGCCCGCAGTGGCATGACTCTGGACAATCAGTCGCCTTCAACAGCCTTTTGAGATTTTGCCATCGACGGATATGCAAGATGCTAGCCACTGGCTTATTACCTACAACTGCGTATCAGATGTATCCTCTATCTTTTAGTCTAGATCTTCACACCGCCTGAAGAATGGATCTGCCGTTGCTAACGGGACATGGCCGACATGATGCAAAGAGAGGTGGCTTAGATCCGAGCATTTTACACGTAGAGATATGAAACTTTGGTGTATTGTCGCACACACTCGGCCTCTTGTGACAACATGATGGCGTCCTGGCGTCCAAACAGAGTGTGCCGAGCCTCACGGGTTTTCCAGCAGCTCCTCCGAATATGAATTGTTCGCCCCTCTCAAAATCGGGGGTTCCAGTTGGGAGCTTATGCGGGTCAAAGTGGCTCCAAGATGGCCTAGGGCTGGAGATCATCGACATGTGAATCAACCCTTGCGTTTTGGGGAGTTGGGAGACAAACGGGGGGAACCGGGAGGGGACAGCGTCGACGTCGACGTCGACCACGAGAGGGGTGGCCCACGCTTTGCCAAGAGGACAAGGCTCCCCGATCGTGGCTGTCTCTGATTTTGTTGACGATGTGAATTCAGCATGAGTCGATTGGTTACGAAAAGGCGGGAGCAAAAGCTCAGACAGCGGGCAGGGGAGATAAATCTGGTCGAGGCCAAGATTAGCCACCCGGGCCCGTGTGGAGCTTCGATAGCAGTGATAAGAAGAAGTCAAGGAGTTTCATAGGAATAATCGCCTCTGTGTATATCGAGATCATTGATATTATGGCTGATGGTTGTCTGACGCGAAGCAACGCATCATGGCTGAAGAGTTTACGCTTATCGACATGTGAAGATGATGATGATTTGGAGATGAACCGAGGTGGAAAGGTCAGCTCGTGCAAGATAACCTTACTTACACAGAACGGCAGCCACTGTAGAGCACCCTACCGTTACTTGTCCCTCTAATTGGTGTCTTTTGATCAGTTTGTTGCAGGCTGGTGCAGCTTCATTTGCATGCCGTAAGCCAAGCCGTTGTTTTCTCTTACACAAACCCGGGGAATGAAATGACAAAAGTACGGATACGGCACAGCAACCACAGTGCATTACCGAGACTTGTTGACTTTGACTTTGACATCCGAGCAATAGCCAACCAGGGGTCCTTGAAATCAAGCTTTTGAAGGGCCATTCTCGACTTTGGGTCTGAATGAATTATCCGGAACATTTCTCTGCTTCTTTTTGGTGGAGAAAAGGAAAGAAAAAAAGAAATCTGACATTCCGAACACGCACGTCCCCTCGTTTGACAAGAGCAACCCCATGTTGATAGCCAATTGGCAGCAAACATGGAATTTTTCTTTTTTCCTGCTCCTCTTCCGTTCTGTTGGGAATTTTGTTGAGTTGAGCGGGACCCTTTTTGTCTTGGCGTTACGGAGTACGGTCCAGGGTTCTCGATGGAAGAGCGGGGTGGGGTTGGGGGGAGGGCTCCCGTAATCCCGATACGGGTTGGATGGTTGTGGCGTAAACAGGGGGAGGTGAATGGCTACTTGACTGCTTTGAGGCGTATTCCTTTCAGCTTCATGTTTCGAGAGATATTCAGTATTGCCTTGGTGCTTGTGAATATCTCTCCAACTCCAAGGACCCTTTAGGCCCTGACTCAACTTAACAGCGCAGTCAATAGTGCATTTAGTGATGCTGATACAGTGAATCACCCGCAATTAAGTTATTCGCCCCTGCTCTAGGGTCCAAGCGCCCCACGTGTCTTACCCGCCTAGCCGCTGTTTTGGAGGCTCTTGCTTGAACGTTGACTGCTGAAGCGCAGAGAGGACCCTCAACCCCGCCATGGGCCTATTCTATAACCCCTCCTTTTCGTTGGAGTTGGTCAATTTCTGATAGCAACAACAAGACAAGATAACTTCAGTAGATCTCCAGCTTTTTTCTGGCATGAGAAGAAATATCAGTGATTTTATTATTGTCCGAAGCTGATGTTTGCAAGGATTCTACCCGAATCGTAAAATTGTAGGGTCTACTTATTTTGCAGACTTGTTCTGCTGCAATAAAAGTGTTGGTCCCCCAGGCTGCTCATGATCCCCGGGTTTCTCTTCCGAAGTCAGGTCATGATGGTTCGATATCACGAAATTCACTCGGCTTGTCTTTCTCCCTTAGTACCAAGATATCCATTTTTGGCATTCGTTGAATCCCCTCTTGAGTGCCTGCCAAGATGTACTGTACATGAGGTCCAATATTCGTCTTCAGCAAATCATGGTCCTATCCACCCCAATTCACCCATTGTCCTGTTCTCCCGACCAATTTCAGATAACTTCTTATAACAGAGCAATTCTTCAATACCCCCAGCAAATCTTTGATATCCCCAGCAAACGTTCAGCCCCCCCAGGTCGCCTTCCATAGTATTCGAAGCTCCAATTGGTGAGCATTTAGCTTCGCAGCCCTCTCTCTAACGCCTGTTTCTCTCTACTAGAGCCTTAAGTTGCTCCTCCATCCCCTTCATCTGATTGCGTAGAGACAGGTTCTGTCGCTCGGTTGGCATACGCTGGAACTCTACGGTGTTTTCACGCCAATCCCTGGGTCTCTCGTGGTTGCGGTCGGTCCCTGGCCTCCATCTGTCCAGATACTCATGCGGTCTGGATTCCCGCGCATACCGTTGTTCTCGGTAGTCTGAACGCTGTCGATACGGTGCATCCCTTGGCGGAGAAGGTGAGGCCGGTCTTCGGGGTGTTCGCGGTTTAAGCGGAACATCATTTGGGTTACTATGTCGCGTTTTCTTTTCATTACCACCGTTCTGTCTGGAACGTCGTGGCGGCGATGGCTGCCGACGGGGAAGTGGGTTAGAGTCAGCAAAGGAAAGTCTCCCCTCGTCTAAACGCGGTCGTTTTGCTTCGTGTTGAGTTGTGGTGTTTGAAGCTCGTTCAACCGTATCTCTGATAGTACGATTGCTAGGAATAGCGAGACTAGTTGAAGGTGGGTCAGGAAGCTTCCGCTTGCTCGCAGACTGGTCTATATCATATCTAGATGGTGGTCTTGGAGGAAGACCGTGGGTCGCTCCAGGCCGAATCGTTCCAGACCCTTTCAGTTCACGGGAGTTGCAGCTCTCTGTCAAAGGCTGTGTTGTGCTCTTCTGGTCCCTGGCAGGGGGAGGGATCCTGGCTTCGGTGGAGTTCAATTCAGTGTGTGCGTTAGATAGATTCAAACTGTTGTCCGCTTCATGCTTGTGTCTGGCCGTGTTGTCGCTGTTGTTGCGGTCGAGACGCCGTGATATCGCGCTCTTCAGTCCTGGCTTGAGGTCTATAATGATTGACAAGAGGACTTCGGTGTCCAGTATTTGACGTTCGTCTCGATTGGAAGCATCAAATAGCGTCTGGACATCTCTCGTAATGTTTTGATAGTCCGCTGTTGAACTACTTTTTGGTAGCAAAGTCGGTCGGGCGAATCTTCCGAGCTCACCACGCCGCTTCATCAAGCTGTCCGAAATCCAGTTCTTAACATGAGTCTTTACCATGCCTGATATCTTATCTACAACCAATGGTGACCAGACAATGCTCTCGAAATAGCCGCGATTGATTTTGCAGAATCTCTGCACAAAGACCTCGTTCTACGAGTCGATGAGACCATCAAGTTCTGGTTGTGACGGAGACACTGGAGGTAAATTGCCTTCTCGTAGGAGGGTCCTCCGCGGTTGACACCAATGGTCAATTGCCTCCTTTACCTCTTTCCAAACCTTGAACTTCCCCCGAGTGACCGAATTCGACTCTAGCTTCTCCAACAGATGACTCCAGAATGGCTCTTGGTAGTGTAAAGGAGCAGGATTCATTGCAAGATATTCGTCCTTAAGACTCAAGCATAGCTCCATGACTTTTATTTTGAAAATGCCACCGAGATGTCTCCGGGCGATTTCTGGCGCTGCTTGAGCTTTTATGGCTGCAGCGAGTGCATTCGCGTGGTGGATTGAGCCCGATCCCAAGCCGCTGTCGGGTCTGGCTACTGGCAGGCTAGAGCTAGAGGAGGATATGGATCCTCGTTGCTCAGTCGTATTCCTCAGTTTGAACTGGTCGGCTCTGGGGCCTTTCGGTGCGTCCTTGGGCGGTTGAGCATCATTGCTCTCAAAGTTCATCAACGGTTTTTGGCTGTAGGTGAAGTTTGGTAAGTCCATTGTTCTTTTTGGCCTTTCTTCAGCAGAGGTCCTGTCAAAGGGAGCCGAAGTAGCTCCAGTTTTGTAGCACGGTTTCTTAAATCGTATGTATGGACCTGTTTCTCTGTCGCGCGTGAGAGATGGAGTGGCTTGTTTAGCAGCCATCGACTTGTGGGAGCTTGGAGTCTTCGCCTGATGAGGTATGTTCTGCTGTCGTACTGGGGTTTTCGAGCCGCTCGCGTCTGCGACTGGCGGCGGTGCATCTTGAGGTTCCCTCTTCTCAATAGAAGAGTGATGCGGGCTCTTCATCATGGTATTCGGCATTTCGCTGATCGTGGTCACTGGAGGGGTGAGGTTGCGTGGATGTCCTGAGAAAGAAATAAGCAAAGTCGAGGTTAAATGAGAAGAAGATAAAGAGAATATCTTTAGTTCTCTCTATTTACCTGAGGTTTCTCTTTTATTCCGCGGATCCGTATCCGGGTCTGCGATATTCTAGTACTTCGTGGCACACTTCGCAGAGGGTCTGATGGATCGTGATGGAGCACATTTGTTGTCGTTGCATGCAGAGTGGCCAGAAAGGTGGTGGTGGAGGTTGCGTGTTTGTAGGTGGAAGATGTTTGGTGTTGCTCAGGAGGGAGGTTGAAAGGTTTAGAAATCTGAGCTGCCTCCAAGTTGAGACGAACCATGGTATGCTGCGTAGGTAGGTACGCACCCTAAATTAATCATAAAGGCTTCGAGATATTTGTTCCTAATAGGCAAGTTAGGGATTACTTAACTTCTCAGCTTTATTATGATCCTTCATTGCAAAATATGATGAGTCTACCATCCGATATCTTTTACTACTTTCTACAGCCATCACTAGTCACTAAATCTAGCCCACATCTCTTAGAGGTCTCATATATTAGCGTCTTATTGGAAACGGATGGGCTCAATGTCTTTGCTGCTGGTGTATATCTTACAAGTTGTGTATTGTTCTATGCTACCACTCGCCTGTCGTCCAGCCTCTCAAGCGCGTTTTCTTTCTCTCCTCTATCTTGTACACCAAGGCAACCCTTTTCCTGATACATCTCCTGAATGAACCTTACAAGCAACCAGTTCTTCCAACGTATAGCCATCGACCAACTGTGAGGCTTCCATGCGAATAGATGTGCTATGAAAAGCTCCTAAGCACTGCTGAGCAATAAGGCCAAAGAACTCTTTAGCAACCGAAGGACCCTTGTAATGACAAATCGTGGCGGTTCCCTTCAATGGCCATTTAATGCTGATTCCTTTGTCAAAAATCACTGTTTGCGCATCTCCTTGATTGCGCGGTACATCATTGTCTCGCGCTCGTTGGGCGACAGAGCTTGATACTCTGCCGTCTCCTCACGGAATCGAGATGTTTCGGCATACTTCTCATTCTCTGAAGCTCTTTTTTTGCCAAGAGCAACACTTCGGCTGACGCTTTTCTTGAACTTGAACAACCTGTCTGACCGTCCAGACAGTGAGGGATCAGGTGTCACAAATAATCCCGGTGACTCCTGAGAGTGCAGTGTGGCCTTGGGGGCAGGGCTCCCGTTCTCTCCAAAGTCATAGGGGTTCTTCCTCTTCTTCGTTGCACCAAAGCTAGATCTAGGAGGCACCGGGGTCGGTTGCGTTGTGGCGGACGATTCTCTGCCCATGCTGGAGCTGAACAACTGTTCTACGGATGGGAATGGAGAGGTAGGCGAAGATGGTGGACTACTGCCGAGTTGATGCTCTTTCAAACATTTTTTCTTTCTCGCTGGTCCTTCCGGGGTGTTTGGGGCTGCCAATTCAGTCGATTTGTTTCGAATGGCAAGACCCTTGATAGCGTCTGCTGTCGCATTTCTCCCATGTCCTTTGTCATCGAGAGATCGAAGTGTTTGATGCTCGAGCTTTTCTTGGGCTTTGTTTGCTCTGATTGCCTCCACGAATCTGTTCTCAAACTTCTTGAGCTCGGCCATGACACGGGGTGTCACAATTGGTGTACGCGGCTCGATCGAGTCAAGAATTGAGGGCTGGTAACAGGATACATCATCTTCCGCATCCTCAACGTCTTCAATTTCTTCAATGTCTTCAATGTCTTCAATGTCTTCATCAATCTCGTCGTGATCTTCATTCGCAGACATTCCGCTGCCGCCATCGTGCTCTTCGACATCGCCCACCAATTGCTGGCGCAGATTCATCTCCGTACTTGGAAGTAGGTCCGCAATCAACGAAATCACAGCTTCCGATTCCCGGATTAGAGTCGAGCTCTTTCCTGTTGCATGGATGCGACCCCTGAGATGGTTCAAGTAGGCGTAGTAAGTTTCTGGTGAACTATTGCCTTTCAATGTGGGTGCTCGAATTAACGATTCCAACTCATCTATTCTTCCCTGCAGCTTGTTCTCAATCAGTTCAACAATCTTACTTTCCGCAAATGGTATCAAGATTTCTTTGACTGCAGGCCAAATCTTCTCGTCAAAATCCGTCATTGAAGTCCCAGGTTTGCACAGAGGTGCTACGGGCTCAGGTACGTCAAGAGGTTGTTCAACTGGGCGCTCGTCAACAAAATTAAGGAAGCCACGATGTTCGCGACAGAAGCGTGTCGCATAGACCGAGTTCCATTGGTCTATCAGAGCGTGAAGTTCTATCCCTGCATTGGTTGACTTGTCAAGGGTGCCATCTCTTAACTCGTGCCTCCGGGCACGACACCACCGATCTACCATATGTTTGAGATTCTTCCAATTGTCCTTGTACTGCGAATGAATTGGGAGTTTAGATGCGACGGCTACCCAGAACTCTTGCTCGTGGTGCTTAGGTTGGGACAAATAGATGTCTTTTAGTGTGAAACAAATCTTGAGAATCGACTCTTTTTCATCTGGGATGTAGTCGCTCGGACGAGCCACTGGGTCTTCTCTCTTTTCGGGCTTCTGGTTCTCGTTTGCTTCGTCTTGCTCCTTGCCGTCCTTCTTGTTGGTAGGTCTGGGAGGGGCGTTGTTTTGAACAGGGGCTGTCTTCTTCACAATAGCCAGCGGACGGTGACCAACAGGGTTGAGATCACCTCGTTGTGCTTTAGGTCGGTCAATCCCATACTAAACATGATTAATAAGGTCTCTACTAGATAATGGTTTGCTCGCTTACTGGATCATTGCCATTGGGTTTCTGACCACTTGAGGGTTGTGACTTTTGGGTGGAAGGTCCTGCTACGGACTCTGTAGACTGAGCCTCATCATGACCAGTATTGCTGGTTTCCGTCGATGGAATCTTTTTGAAAGCATGTGGTGTGTTGAAAGTCATGCCGGAGCCTCGTCTCAAAGATGGCTCTCGGTAGTCGCCCTGTGTCTTGGCCAACTTGTTGTCATGAGGCCCAGTGCCTTTGCTCTTGATATTCGCCACGCTGGATTGTCGCGATGGTTTAATTTTGAATTTCTCAGGGGAGAGGAGAGAATCTTCGTCAGACTCTTTTGACTGTGGTTTGATGGCTTGTTTTTTCTTCGGCAGTGGCGTTGGTGTGTTATCAGCGAGATAATACCTCAGCCAAGACTCATCTGAGTCTTGAGTCCCTTGACGAACTGAGGATCTTCCCATGTTGGAGAATGTTGGCTCCGTACCAAGCTCCAAAGAGTACTCTCGGGGCGCCTGCTTTTTCTTCTTGGACGACTTGCTCATGGTGGGCGAATGAGGAAGGATGAGGGAAAGGGAGTCAAAATAGGTGAAGGGTGCAGTATAAAGTGTAAGAGGATGTGCAAAGAGTAGAGTGAAGATTATGAAGGAGGAAACACTTTGCGGAGTTTTCTTCAGAGAGATCTTGTGCAGTGTGGTCGAGAAATTCCCGAGTGTAGTAGCGTGCAGTGCGAGGCAGATGCCAGCCAGGAGCACAGGCACGCACCTCCACGATGAGCAGATGTAAAAGGAGTGGGTACAAGTAGATACTCTAGATCGATTGCAGAGAATAAATACCCTCTGGTGAAGCTTGAAAGCTTTAGGGCCTGAGACCCCTTGTGATTCAGTGCCTACTGGCCTCTTGAGGAATTCCCTAGTTAATAAACAAGGCATCAGCCCGAGGAACAATAGAATATCCCCTCCACTTTGAGAAAGAAGTGTGTGTAAGATCTTAATATTAATACAGAGAATTCTTATAACTCATCTCCCGGGGATATTCAGTTGAGCATAGGTGCCTAGGTGCAGCCCAGCGAGATAGTTGCAAGTCAGTCCAATCGTTAACATGAATATTGGAAAGATTCCTTTTTCTCCTGTTCTGTTATTACTACCTGCATAGGTGTCTAGGTAGGCAAGCTTTCCTTTCTTCTTTTGGGGGTATTTACGCGAGGTGCAGGTGGTTAATCTGCCAGTGCTACAAGTCAGTACAGTATCATCTCACCCAAACCACAAACAAACACCAACACAGTAAGCAGCGTTCCGCATAAAGAATAATATTCATATCTACTATCAGACTTCTACTATTTTCAGAAAACCGCCGTCTTTAAGCCCCCTTTAAGCTACTTATCGAGCATAAAATCCGACTATTACTCCACCTGTGTGATATGTTCTTCGACAAAGCCAATGTACTGACAAAGGCTCGAATGCAATATCAACAACATCGCCCATCTAATTTTGCTTTTCTTTGAAACCATCGCTTCGTAACAACATGACTAAACAATACTACGCCAAACTCACAACAATCACCAAGGCACCAGCGCGCCGTCGGACTCGATCACCTGCCTGAGCCGCTGGGGCATGAAGTCGACCCACACGTTGATCCTTTCGAGGTCGAAGGTTGCCCACGAATCCTTGACCATCTTTTGAAGCGTCTCGTCCTCCCAGTCCTTGGGCGCCTCCATGGCCCATTGCTTGCGGTGTGGCCAGAGGCTGTCGAGAGGACTCAGATCCGGGCTGTCGCCGCAATTGAAGTAGTAGCGAAGGCCGTGCTCATCTTTCCACTGCTGGACCTCATTCACCTTGCTCGCAGCGCCGTGGGCAAACGCTTCGCAGTCCTCTTCGAGAATGAAGCTCTGCGGCCCGGTGCTGGTGAGCCAAGGCTTGATTGTCTTTTCGAGGATATGGTCCTTGTACTCTTGCATGTTCATTACACCTGTCGTGTTTGGACTTGTCGAGTCTTCGTAGAAGATTGCATCGCTCTTGAAACCATATCCAACTGCCACCCAAGCATGAGCTTTCCTCAAGTCGCGTGGCCAGTCAGCCTCAGGAGTCTTCCCGCACTCTTCGCAGAACTTCTCTCCAGGACGGGGAATCAGACGCATCTTTCCATCAAGACCAAATCCAAAGTGAAGCTCAATGCTGAAGCGAACAGCTCTCCAATCTTGTGCCTGGGGGTACGCCTCGAGCATGCGCCTGGCATACTCAACCCTCTTCTCTCTGGCCTTCTTGTGCACCCAGGTTCTCGGACACGCCAGGCATCTTCGATATCCCAAGGTACCCATGGTTCGGTGTAGCGTCCTGGGATTAACATCAACCTCAACGCCAGCCTCCTTAGCCAATCCATGCCAGTTCAGATTAACATTGACATATCGATCGTCCCACAGAATCTTTTCCATCTTCTGCTGGTCGTCCTCGGATATTTTAAGTGGTCTCCCGCGCGTCTCCTCCCACTCGGGATCATTGCGCTTAGACGCGGGGACGCTGAGCGCGGCATAACCTTGCGAACGCGACAGGTCAAAGTGCCGAAAGATGGCTGACTTGTTGACAGGCAGGCCCTGGGACTCGAGGTACGAGATGGTGCCTCGAACCATGGCCTTCTTAGGCGTGTCGCCGTGCTTATATCCGGACGGCATTTGGTCGCGTCGCCCGCTTCGGGGATTTCTTGTGGTGTAAGTGGGTGGAGAGAATGACTGGGACGGTGGTGTTTGGATGTTTTTGTCTGCTCTCTTTGTTTTCGCGGTAAGTGGTGAGGGGTCAATAGTTGGTAGCGATCACGTGGTATCGTCAGTCCAGTTTCATCTTCCATCTCGTCTCATGGATGTTACCAAAAGCGCTTGTCGAAGGAACTTGTTGAAGGAACAATGACACGAAGCTATCGTGTTGGGCGGTAAGACATTATGGTTTCACGAGAGGGGTTAGTCAGGCTTTTCAACATTATCGTCCAGTCCAGTTAACTCGAGTTGAATTGAACTTTGTACCATAAGGCTAAAACGACTTTACCCTACACCAAGACTATTCATGGAGTAAATTGTTCAGTCTTCAATTGCACACTCATATGATGCACGGGTTTTAATCGTATTGATCTAGCTGAATGTTTTCTTTTCTCAATACGAGCTTTTGGGAAGATACTTCAAGGCACTCTTATCAAGAGACACACGAAATACTTTTATGACAGTCAAGTAATAGCGTTCTGAGCTCATAGCTCAACAAAACCAATGCCCAATGATGCACAGCAACATTTTCTCCCAGCGTATGTTCCAACAAGCAACTTGAATGATCATCAAATATGTTGATTCAAAATATCGTCATCCAATTACGGACAACGGCAATTACGAAGATTAAGAAAACACCGCTTTGTAGCCTCTCTAGACATTTCGTTAACGTTCCCTCCACCTCCCATCGAGTATCCGCATTCCATTTAAAAAAACGCCGTGAAATGGAGCAAATGCTTCCCCGTCTATACCGAATATACAGCTTCTAAATCGAGCCGCAGGAGCCTTTCCAAACGGTGGCCCAATTAAAACGCCTAGGCTTTTCCTGCCTCGCGGACTGACATCATGAACTTGTCCTCGGCGCCAACTTCCCCAGCAACTCGTGCTGCAGAGACCTTGGCGTTTCTTTCACCAAGTATCGCCTTGACTTCATCGGCTGTCTTGGCGCCGAGCAATGTCATCTCTCTACTGAGAAGAAGTGCCACGGCTGCTCGGATCAGGAGAGCGTCTCCTTCGAAGACATACACGTCCCATAACCGGGCTGCTTCATCGATGGCTAGGTGTTGTGTGAAGATGGCTGTCAGGACTCCTGATAGGGACTGTTCCAGATCGGCAGGTTGGATCTTCTTGGTAAGATGCGCGTGAAGCGGCGCAGACTTGAGAGAAAGCGTTTGCATCACCAGGTTGAATGCGGAAGCTTGTGCGCCGGGGTCTCCTGTATAGAAGGATAGAGGTAGCGGGCGGTTGAGCACATTAGCGAGTGCGACGAATGCGGACCCAGCATCGGGTAAGTTGAGGAGCAGCAAGGCAGCAATTGTCTGACGGACTTGGTTAGCATCTCGGTAGCACAAAGGTGGCTGGCTATACTTACATTGCAACCCCGTACATAGCCAATGTCACTCCTGTACATGGCATACGCACTCAACACGTCAACGAGACTCTGGTGCAGCGGTCCTTCGACCTCAAAAATACGGAGATCCTGCCAGGTGTTCTGTGCAGCGTCCTTCCGAATTTCTCGAAGCCATTTTGCCCTTCTAACATCCTCTGGGTCGCCCTTGTCGTCTTTGACTCGAGCTTCGATCTCTTGAGCTCTTGCAAGAGCTGCTCTGAATGACGATTCCGACAGACCAAGCTCGTTACCAATCGCTCGACCCCATATGACTCCTCGGCTACGGGGCGCAATGCCCTTCCACCAAAGCTCTCTCGTCCTGCGTTCGCGAATAGCGTCATTCCATCGTGGAATTACATCCCTCTCCCAGATTTGCATCAAGTTATCCGCTGTGCTATCTCGTCCTTCGATCTTAGCCCTGCGTGACGCTTCGCGTCGCTCCTCAGCCTTGGCGCTCGCTGCCATCATCTTCTGATATTCCTTCAGGTGTCGGCGCTCCTCAGCTGGATCTTTGGGTGGTAGCCATGAGGGGCGAGTCCGGCTCAAGACTGCTTCCTTCTCCTTGGAAACAGGCAGAGGATCAATCATGATGTTGGTTTTGCGAAGAGGCGGGAGTTCGGGAGTCGACTTAACACGCTGCTTCCTGTCATACGTCTCGAAGGATCTTCGGGATGCATTCCATGTGTTGGGACGTTGGCCTGCGGGGCGTTTGGTTTGTTCCTCTATTAACTCATCGGCGTGCTCCTCGAGCTTTTCTGTCAGAGTCTTGGCTTCGTGATTCAGTTCAGCCAACGCAGCATTCCAGCTGTGCGCTCGTGTCTTCATGGGGCTACGAGGGTTGTCATCGGTCTTCCAGGTTGGTGATCGAAGAGAGCCTTGAGCTTGTGCGATTGCAGGGGTTCCATTGCCGACACTTCTGACGCGTTCTTTAGATCGATTGGGGGAGGGCGATACAGAGGAGGGACGACTTGGTGTGCGCTCCTGCATAGGCCGCGGCGAGAGGGGAACATTGTCCAGAAACATGCCATCAGGAATATCGTCACCATCGTCTTCGTCACATTCTCGTTCGAGGTCAGTAAATGACTTGCGATCGCGGCCGGACTGCCAGCTGCCTCGGCGAGGCTTTTGAGGGAAACTCGGACCTCTCGGGTCTTTCGGGTTGAGTGAAGAAGCAGGGCTCGGGCTTCGGTTTCGTCGATTGAATTGAAGAGAAGCTGAAGATGGACTAGTTAGAGTCTTTGGTCGCGAGGCTGACATGGGCTCTGTCAATGCGCTCAAACTGGTGCTTCGAGGGTTGGAGGTGTAAACGTTGGTCTCGAGAGTAGGGAATGGCGGTCGAGCTTTGGATGCAGTTTTTCCAGCTGCAAGAGTTCGGCTTGAAGGTTTCTTGTTCAGGCTGGGACGAACATTGACTTGCGACGGACTCTTCAGGGTAACGTTATCGTCGTCGAGTCCAATTTCTTCAAAATGGCCGACATCGGCCAGGACGCTGCCATCGTCGCTGTCGAAAGATTGGAAGGAGGAGGTTTTGGAGCTCTTTGAGGTAGTCATTCCTGGAGGAGAGTCGGGACTGGGAAGATAACTGCCGGTATCAAGAGTACGGATCATTGTCGCATCGCCTGGGAACAACAAGACACTGGACGAGAGGACTCTGTCGACTCGCCCGAGGACTTTTGGCAATTGGACTGTCTAATGGGATGTGTTGTGCTGTTGGGTGGCTTTCGAATTGGTTCGAGATCGTGGCTTGTGACGCTGTCGTTGCTTGGTTGAAAAGGTCTCACTTCTATTTTGTTCAGCTGCGTCGTCCTGAGCAGAACTGTCTGTGCTTTGGTTCGTCGAACTTGGCGGTAAACGTTGTTGTTATGCACTGAATATCGGGGGGAGACGTTTCAAGATTGCCGGGGTTTCGCTCAATTTCTAAATGACGGGGCTGAATGAAGCCTTGCTAAAGCAAAATCTGGGGCGAAAAAGGGATACGACAGCGAAAGTATGGAGTGAACGCGGTCGATTTTGAAGGTTGTTTTGTTGGGTCGGCGAGAGTGGTATGATAGGGATTCAATCGATCAACGATAGACTTGGTTAAGTTTGAGTAGGTAGTTTAAAGAGCAACAGACATGTCCACTCCCATTGGGAAACGACCGAAGAGGAGAACAAGATTTTGCAACCCCAGACAGGGTAAGCGGTCGAGGCCGGGATGACGAGGGAATACCCAAAATTAAGCGCGGAGTACGGAGTAGAGAGGAGTGGCCTCCAAAACAAAGGGGGATTAGGTAGTTTAAGGTTCAAGGGTTTTGTACGAAGAAGAAGGGTTGAAGAACGAAAGATTGATGCAGTGTGTGAAGACTGAAGAGACAAGGAAGGAAATGAAGGAAATTGATGACAAGGAGAGCGAAGAGCGAGAGGAGAAGAGAGGAAAGGAAAAAAACGAGTGAAGCAACAAGTCAAAGTCCAAGTCAAAGCAAGGTCAAGTTAGGATAAACCGGGAAGTGGATGACGATCCCCAAACGAGACGAGGATGAAGGACAGCGCCAGCGGGCCAGCAGCCAACAGCCAGCGCAACCAAGCACTGAACAAGCACCAACAAGGGGATGATCCCACCCACACTTTGGGAGTCTTGACTGCAAGAAAAGATGCCATGCTTGTAGCTCATCATACAAAAATAGCCCCACGGTGACCTCCGTCCTATTTGCCCAGGTGGGGGCCCATGCATGTGGGCTGTGGACATGGCCTTATCGGGGCCAAATCATTCCAGGGGCTTGCACTGTATATCCTCTTCAAGGACTGTGTAAGCCCAGCCTGGGAGAGCCTGCATTGACAGTGCCAAATACTATCAAGCCCCCCTGCCATTAATCTCGGCCGCATATGCGCGGCTAATAAACAAGTAGTACCAATCACGTCTCACAACATTCACGTCTTCAGTTTTCACGTCAATATTGTAACTCGACGAAAAATACAGCAATTTCGCGTCTTAATTCGTTATGGGCTTCTCTGCGGCCTTTGCGGATATGGACTCTAAACAAGAACCTGTCTCATAACCCATTCCATCGAAGGTCCTAGACTACCACGGAGAACTAAGGGCATCAATCTGTCAGCTTGGTGAGGCTTGCTAATCCCTGTACCCTGTCCTGCGTTATGTCTCCAAAAAAGTGTGACTTCATCTATACGTGCTTGTTACATTGGCCATAGCTATTGATCCATATTCTCAGTTCCCGATCTCATCGTATGTCGATCGCTTCTGAATTCCTTCGACGTCCACAGCTTGTTCCCCCTGTAGATAACTTTTGATGCTTCACTGCATCTGCATGCATCTTGGCGATCAGATCTTCTCCGTCGGAATCGGAGTCCTCAGACTCGCTCTCGTTATCTGTGTCGCCTGGGATGAGAAATGCTTCCACTCCTTGAAGCAGTCTGTTCTTTTTCTCGCGCTTCAGCTTCTTCTTTTGCGCTTTCATGGCCTTTCGGTGGTCGGCTCCTTTTTTGAACTCATGATTTCGCATTGCTTCTTTGACAAAGATGTCGAGAGCCTTTTTCTTTGCCGTGAACAGTGGGACTGGTGAGCCGACTAGCTTTGAGCACTTCATTGTAAGATTGTACCAAAAGTTGCTGTATTGCGTGTCGGTCTTGATACCCCTACGTTCCAGTTCCGCGGCTACGGCGTGTGCCTCACGTTCGGTTAACGATGCAGGGACACTCCAGTCGACGTCCCAGCAGTACTTTTGGTTCGAGCTGTCGTTCTTGTGGATAAGCACCTCGCCAGTGGCCACCTTCTTCTTGAACAGAGCGACTGTGGGCTTGATGGCGTGCTCTGAAACACCATCTCGAATAACTTGAGGCTTCATCTCTTTGTTAGGAGGCTTGGTCCAGTTGCTGTTCACGACTGGCTTCAATTGTTGCTCTTCAAGTCTTTTCTGTATTTCATCTTCAGACTCTTCCAGATCTGTCGTACTTTGTTCCTCCGTCTTGATAGGCTTTCGGGTGGTGCGAACGGGTCGCTTGCTGCGGACTTTGGAGGGCGTCCCTTGATCAGAGGCCGCGTCAGTTGCAGCAGTATCGTCTGCAATAACTGCTAGACGTGTCATATCTTTCTCTATAGTCGAGTCAGTACAAGTTTCACAGGATAGATGTTTGTTGCCTACTTTGTTGAAGCCATTTAGATCCTTTGGGAAGGGGGGTTGCAGGTCGATTGATGCTTTTAGGCGGAGGCGACACCCAGTTCTTCGATCGCAAATCCGACAATGTCAATGTTTTGTTGGGAGTGCCAGCAAGGGGTGATAGCCTCTCATACGAGGTGTTCTTGGTCCCAGGCTCATTCTATGAGGCTCTGTTTTCAGAAGGTCGGACAATCTTGGCTTGCTCTTTACTATGTTTGACTCGTTCGCTGGGTGACGAAACCAGGTATTCATCTCCAGAGAGTGGAGAGATGTCAGGAAAGGGGGAGTACACCGTCTCGTTGTCACTATCGTGCCCTCGTTGTCCGACAGATCTCTTGAGAATCCCTTTGAGGCCGATAAGCGCATCTCGATGATGGGGGCGGAAAGGTGATGGTGTACCAGGAGTGTGGCTCAGTAAAAGCTTCTCGCCACTATAAACCGGCTGAAGTTCATAAGCCAACGATGAAAGGCGTTTTTCAGGGTTGTACACCGAGCGAGCGGGATGGGTCTTCATGCTCCCAGGCATATCTTTCATACTCATGGTTGAGTCATTATCACCAAGCAATGGAGTGGCGACTTTCGGAGAGACGATTTCTAGCGGGAGCTGATATGACACAGGCGGTGATGATGTGAAGCCCTCGATGCCAGTAGGACTGGAGTTGTATGAGATAGGTGTGGATGTGGTAGATTCAGCTTTGTCCTCATCGGTATCGTGATGGATCTCGTCTTCACCAAGGTCGGGCCCCTGGTATTCTTCCTCGCTATCGTCGCCGGAGGGCTCGTCTCGTCTGACTGCGAACAGCTTCCTGGAGGTTGGAGTACTCTCCAGCTTTATGAACTTGAGGTCCTCGTCATGTTCCTCGTCGCTATCTTCTTCACAAGATGAGACTTGTCTCAAGCTGCTTTCTTGCTTGATGGACTTCAGTACACTGTCGCTATGGGATTCCTGCTTGATTTCCCTTGCTGAAGAATCGTCGTATGGACATTCGGGTGCGGTTAAGAACGTGAGATCACAGTCGGGAGATACACTGCTTTCATCGGAGGATGGCAGTGTTCGCTTGTTAATATTGGCCTCGTAATTATCGCAGTAGCTTATCAGAAGGTCAAGGTTATCATCATGATCACCTTCAGAGGACGGTTGAGGTTGCTTCTGGGTATCAGAACTATCCTCTACTGGAGTAGGTGGAACTGGTTGTGCGCTTGTGATTGTCTCGTCTTCCGAAAAGTCAGAACTATCTGAAGAAGACTCCTGAGTGAGATCGATTTGAAGGCTTTGCACAGGGGACGGCTGAACCTTGACAACTTGACAGTCCGAATCGTTATTCTCGTCTGCATACTCTGCATCGAGAAAGACGGGAGTGTCGACTGAGTCGCCTACTCGTCGTCGTTTGACATTTGCCTTTTGCTGGATGAGCTGCTGGCGTCTCTTAGGAGAAGGTAAAACTTTCTCGATGAAGCAATCGGACTCGTCGCCACTTTGGGGGGCAACGCTTTCACGGGGGGTGTTTTGTTTCTGTTGTGTTTCTTTGGTAGGGGTGCGCTTGGGTGGCACAGAGCTGCTGTGGCTTAAGTCTGCGGTAGTGCTCGATGTCAGGCTGGATAGAGCTGGATGAGGGGGCACAAAAGCTGTTTGACGCCGACGAGCGACTGTCTTTTTTGGCTTAGACGATGCTGTAGCAGTGGCAAGGGCAGACGCTTTAATAGAAGCGAAGCCCTGTTGAGTGGCGGGTTGGTTTTCAACTTTCGCTTTCTTAGCAGGGCGAGCTCGTGGACTGGCGGCGACAAGCTTGCGCTTCGGGCTTGGCGATGGCTGTACTTTCTGGATCTTACAGTCGGAATCGGAGCTTTCACCAGATGAAATGTCGAACGGTGTGTGCGGAGAACTAGCTTCTGAGAGTTGAATGGATCTGGTTGGTGTTCGTTGTCCCTCACTGCTTATCGCGAGTCTTTTGTTTGCACGAGGTGGTGTTTCGAAGACACGTTCGTTATCTTCCTCGAGGGAACGCTTCTTTGATACCTGCGAGGAGGGCATATTTCCAGAGATGGGAGTTGAAGGGATAGAGGGATTGAATGACGCTGCACGAGGTGGCGGCGGTTGGGATGAAGCTCGTGAGCTCTGAGGCTTGAGCTTGCGACTTGGTTTCGGCATGGTTCTTGGTGATCGTTGAAGTCTCTTGGTGTGCTGCTTAGAAGACATCAAAGGTGATGATAAAGAAAAGAAGTCGGATATCTTGGGTTGCTCCATTCCCGTGGTAATTCACCGCAACAGGTGAAGCAGCGCACGAGAAGGTGTTGGGGTGCACACTTGGTCAGGCAGATGAAATGAACGAAGTGGTATCGAGAGCTGAAGAAATGAATGAGATGTTTGCGGCTCTCACGATAGTTTGAAAGATAATATCGCAGTGAAAGTACGTTGAAAGAGCGATGTGGAAGTTGCGTTGTTGATGTTGAGGGAAATGAGTTCGGGGGAAGGAGTTGGTGCACAGGAAGTGTGCAGAAGTGAATGTAAACGCGATGACAATGCAAAAGGAACAATAGATTTAAACAATAAGTGATGCCTATTGTGACTTGCCAGTGCCAGTTTCATTTGGCAGTGGCAGAGCACTGTCAAACGGGACTGCCAGTTACTGGCACTGACATAACATTTCACATACAACTGGAGCGAGGGTCTGATTTTATTCGTCATAAGGCAGGGTTGGCCCACGATGGTCCTTTTTGCATTTCCATGCCGCCGCATCTATGGTATCATTACAGATCATCATGGTCTATGCACATTGACTCATCCTCACTAGCTACCTGAGTCCAGCCTTACATACGCTCTCGTCGACGAGGAGCTGCCCGGATAATATCGTCAACTCGGAGAAGAAGCTAGCATAAAACGTTAGAATGAGTTCAATGATACTTCAAATATGTGCTTACCTCTGCGGCCTCGCTGGCCGAAGACACAACAGCCTTCTTCAACTTGTAGCTCTCAATAACACCGAGCTCCCGCATATCAGTGATACCACCACCAGGGGTGGTCAGATCCAAGCCGTATGTTGTGAGGCCATCGTAGAGGGCCTTTCGCAGCCTAGCGACGAGGTCTCCAGAGTCGAGACCAGCGTTGTCAGCCAGGATAGTGGGTAGCTGTCGGAGGGCCACAGCAAAGCTGGACACGGCCAATTGTCGCTTGCCTTCAACGCGGGTAGCAGCACCCTCGACTGCCTTGGCCATGAGCATCTCGGCGCAACCACCACCAAGTGTAGTTCGGGGCTCCTTGACAGTCTGGGACAGGACAGCAAGGGCATCGTGTAGACTTCTCTCGGCCTCGTCGAGTAGCTGTTCTGTAGCACCTCGGAGGACGATTGTGCAAGCCTCTCCTCCTGACACACCGGAGAACTTAATGAGAGTGTCCTCGCCAATAATAACCTCCTCAATCACATCACAGTGACCAAGCTTGACCTGTTCGGGGTGGTCAAATGTGGAGGCGATCTCACCGCCAGTGACAAGGGCCAAACGCTCAATGCCATCAAAATCGGCGTGCTCAATAGACATGATACCAGCATCAGTGAACAGCTGCTCGGGCCAGTTATAAATGAGTTGTCGGTTGATAAAGCAGTTGATGCCGTGTGCCTTGATCTTCTCCACCTTGGCCTTCATCTTCTCCTTCTCGGCCTTCTCGAGCTCGGCCAGCTTGCTTGTCGAGCCAACCTTGACACGTGCACCAAAGATCTTGACCTTGTCGGTATCCATGGAAGTGTTGGCCACCAGAATCTTAGCCTTTTCTAGTCGCTTGGGCTGGTTGACACCGATCTTCTTGTCGAGAATGAAACCCTCATCGAGGTAAGAGTCACTAAGCTTGCCTCCAGCCTTCTTGATGATCTGGATATGGTTGAGGTCGGAAGATTTGAGGCGGAGAACGGCATCGACAGCAAGTTCGGCGAATTGAGTACGGTCCTGGGCAAGAACCTTGGAGCTGAGTGTTGTTCGGGCAATGGCGAGCAGATCTTGTCGGAAGGCCTCGGGGTTCTTGCTGTGGTCGACGGCTGATCCCTCCAACGCCTTCAACGCGGCCTGGCTGGCTATCCTGTAACCCTCAATGATAGTCTGGGGGTGGATCTTCTTATCGACCAGCTTCTCCGCCTCTCTCAACAACTCGGCAGCGAGAACAGCAACTGAGGTAGTACCGTCACCGACTTCGTCATCCTGGACCTTGGAAATGTTGACAAGGACCTTTGCGGCGGCGTTATCGAGGGCGATCGACTTAAGAATGGTGGCACCGTCGTTGGTAACCATGATTTCGGCAGTGGAGCTAGCATCGTGTTAAAAGGGGGGTTGTCGACCGCAACTTGGGCGCTACATACGCTGATTGTAAAATCTTGTCCATACCCTTGGGACCAAGGGTGCTCTTTACGAGATCACCAACGGCGATGGCGCCGACAAAAGCAGAGAGACGCGCATTCTCACCCTTCTCCTCGGTGGTGCCCTCCTCAAAAATTTGGGTTGGTTGGAAAGACTAGGAGGGGCAAATGTTAGCACATGCTGATTGATACCTGTAGCTACATGTTCTCCAGTATCAAGAAATAAGCAAACTCTGTAGAAGGACAACACACCATAGTGGGCAAACAATATGACTGTGAGCACGTCGAAACCTATAAAAACGTAAGAGGTTATCGTCGTCGTCAACGTCAATGCTTCAGCCTTGGGGTAGACGTTGCAGCCTTTTTTTCTGGAGCTCCCAGCTTAGCAAACAAACCAAACAGCAGCCCCTCCACCGCCAAAAAGCCCCCACGTGACTTGCCCCGCGGTGGGAGCCTCATGTTTCGGTCCGGGAGGAACAAGGGATATCATTTCTCCGCATCGCGCACACTTTCGAAGCAAAGTGAAGCAGAACACCAAATTTGTACTGCTCTAGGTTGGCCACCGCAACATCAAGATTCCGCACGTTCCCGAGTGACGTTCCCCGCGGTTTTAGACCAACTTCTGCGTGTCTCCCACAGGTCACATCCCACGCGCGAAAAAGGCCATTTTCGCAAACTTGTGCTCAGTAGCCGAACCCTCCAAAACCCTCGAAAAAAACCATCCAGAAACAAGTGAGAGCGGGGCATTTTTTCTTGCACCCCTCCAACAACAAATATCGCCCATCATGGCGCCTTCTTTCGACCACCTCCGCGAGGCCGACCTTGACGACGACGAGTTCAACGAGGATGATATTGATATCTCCGATCTGCGAGAACGATTTGAAGTTTCACTGGAGCAAGGATATGACAGCTTCGTCGTCATTGATGGCCTACCTCAGGTCACAGAGGAGCAGAAGCCCAAGCTGGTCAAGTTCTTGTTGAAGAAGCTCAACACTGTCGGCAAGGCACGAGAGGACTCGGTACACATGCCCATGGGCGACGATGGAAAGTCTCTTCGGTAGGTGCTAAATATGGCTTTGAAGAAGCATCAAGAGCTTGGAGCTGATACCATTCAAGATTCGCTTTTGTTGAATACTCCTCACCCGCCGAGGCTGCCGCCGCTACTCGCCAGCTCGATCTTACCCCCCTCGACAAGAAGCACACTCTTCGCGTCAACAAGTTCACCGATATCGAGCGATATGGACGAGAAGGTCGCATTGACGAGACCTACCAACCCCCTCACATCGACGAGTTCACCGAGAAGGAGCATCAGCGATGGTTCCTCAAGGACCCCTCAGGCCGCGGCCGTGATCAGTTTGTCATGTTCCGCGACGAGAACGTTGGCGTCTACTGGAACAACGAGAAGGACCAGCCCGAGAACATCGTTGAGCGACAACACTGGACTGAGACATTTGTTCAGTGGTCTCCTCTAGGAACATACCTCACCTCCGTCCACGCCCAAGGTGTTCAGCTCTGGGGCGGCCCTTCGTGGGCAAGACAAGCCCGATTTGCCCACCCCTTTGTGAACCTTGTCGCTTTCTCTCCTGGTGAGAAGTACATCGTCACATGGTCCAACCGCCCTATCTCTATCCCCGACGAGGGCCACCCTGCTCTCTCCATCGACGACCACGGCAAGAACTACGTTATCTGGGATATCGCGACCTGCTCCCCTCTTCGATCTTTCGCTAATCTCGAACCCCCGAAGGTGGAGGATGGCAAGCCCCCGCCTAAGATGCAGTGGCCTGCCTTTAAGTGGTCGTCCGACGATAAGTACGTCGCCCGCCTCAACCCTGGCCAGTCCATCTCCGTCTACGAGCTCCCCCGTATGAACCTTCTCGACAAGACTTCTATCAAGATTGATGGTGTTGTGGACTTTGACTGGGCTCCCGCCACCCCCAAGCGTGATAGTATCAAGGAATACGAGCAGCTTTTCTGCTACTGGACTCCCGAAATCGGCAGCAACCCCGCAAAGGTCGGACTTATGAGCATTCCCTCAAAAGAGGTCGTCCGATCCCTGAACCTCTTCAGTGTTAGCGATGCTAAGCTTCACTGGCAATCCGACGCCGCCTACATTTGTGTCAAGGTCGACCGTCACTCCAAGTCCAAGAAGTCTCAGGCCACCACACTTGAGATTTTCCGCGTCAAGGAGAAGGGTGTTCCTGTTGAAGTTGTCGATACCATCAAGGATACCGTCATCAACTTCGCTTGGGAGCCCAAGGGTGACAGGTTCGCTATTATTTCCACAACCGAGCCTGTGGGCGTCACTGCTGTTCCCCCAAAGACTGCTGTCTCTTTCTTCTGCCCTGAGAAGGCCAAGAAGGGTCAGCAAGTGGGTAACTTCAAGCATCTCCGAACACTCGACAAGAAGAACAGTAACGCCATTTACTGGTCACCTCGTGGTCGCTTTGTTGTTATTGCCACCATTGCCAACCAGCAGAGCTCTGACCTTGACTTCTTCGACCTCGACTTTGAGGGCGAGAAGCCCGAGGCCGAGAAGGACCTTACTGCCAACCTTCAGGCTATGAACACTGCCGACCACTACGGTGTTACAGATGTTGAGTGGGATCCTTCGGGCCGTTTCGTCGCCTCCTGGGCTTCTGCCTGGAAGCACTCGGTAAGCTATACCTGCTACATTTATTCAAGAGTTTTTTACTAACTGATGCTAGATGGAAAACGGTTATCACATCTACGATTTCAAGGGTGAGGCCCTACGAGAAGAGCCCCTTGAGAAGTTCAAGCAGTTCTCGTGGCGTCCTCGACCCGCGACTCTGCTCACCAAGGAGGAGCAGAAGTCTGTTCGCAAGAACCTCCGAGAATACAGCCGTGTCTTCGAGCAAGAAGATGCCGACCGTGGTGCCTCTGCCGATTTGGCTGTTGTTGAAGCTCGCAGACGCATGCTTGAGGAGTGGCACTCGTGGCGCGAGTCTATGGAGGCCGACGTGCTGGAAGAGCGCGAGGTTCTCGGCCTACCAAAGGACCCTCATGCTCCTCTGCTAGAGGCCTACACAAAGTCTTTGGAGGGCACAACATCAGAGGAGGACCGAGTGATTGAGGAGATCGTGGAGGAGGTTCTAGAGGAGAGTGAGGAGATTCTCGCTTAGAAGGCTTCACTGCATTCATATAGGAGTGATTTGCTTGTATCTCGGTAGAAAACTGGTCAGGGCGAGGGGTCACGTAATGAAATTCTTTGTCATGTTACGAAAGGATAGGTCCAGTTACTTGGACTCTCTAAAAGCATTTTCTGGAGTAATCTATTTTCGTCCATCGCGCTTCGCTCTTGATTGATCCCAGTAATTGTTGGTGATCGGACTTTTTACAACCTCTATACATATTTCCGTAGACTATCCACACTTCACCAAGTTCAACGACCGTCTCTCAGGGGCGGGTACGAGGAGATAATACCTTTGGACTTGGGCAATAATCATGTCTCAAAGCCATTGGGTTGTTAAATTGATAGTGTTCCGAATTAGATCGGGTGTATGGACCAGAACCTTGGCTTAATATTTGTTTAAGACATTCGGCATCTCAGAAGCCGGCATGGCAACTCCCAGACACGGCGTCCTTGATACTATTACCTGCGGTCTACAATAAACGTGAACGGCAGCTCTCGAACATGTGAATGTGTTCTAGTAATCCTTGAATGTTGACGGCTCTGGATGACTAGATTGAATCGATGTTTACGTTTCCATATCTTCCTCTCCCTGATGTTCCGCATCTGTCATCGCAGCTACTGTCGCCAAGGCCTGTGAGAAGCAATCTTATCGTACAGACTCAACACAAATATACCGACATAGCCGTCTTACCTTGGCGAAAGCTGGGCAAGGACGCACGAACACCGAGGGTTGGTCGCACGCAACGACCCGGTTTCTAATGCAACAAATGCTGGCCATTTATTTCCGCCACATCATATTAAATGTCTCCTTTGTCATATATATAGTTCCTTTTCGTGAAATGCTTACACGTGTGTAATAGGAATGATGATTTAAGAGGACGCAGGGTTTCTTATCGCATCGAATATATAACCTATAACGGAATCTGTGATAAACCCCATCACCAACACCAGACGCCAACTCTCCTGCACAAGCCATTCATGGCCGTCCACGCATTCTTCTCTATTATCAAAGCTGTATACCACTACTCTTCTTCCACTCCGAACTTCTTATAAGGCTGGCCTGTTGCGATTGCGAATTGTGCGAGTCTCTTTCGGCCAAACTGAAATACTTTAATACTGTCCGATTCGAACCATAAGCCTTCTTCTAAGGCCTGGAACGGTGCATCATGCGCATCATAGCCATTGTTCTTGCTGGCTTTACCGCCGTAGCCAAAGCCTCTTCTGTTTCTGTCGCGTCACCTATAGCTTCCACGGAAAGCTTACCAATGGTTGTGCCAATACCTGCTCCGGTCGCTCAACCGATTGTTCCCGGTTTTACAAGACCAGAGGATGTTCAAGCTGTCATTCGAAGACTCAACGGTCTAGCTTCTGGTGTCTTTTTGCAAGTCGATAACTTTGGAGGTAGCGGTATAAAAGTTCAAGTCATTTGGGTACATGATTACCTCCTGTTAACTAGAATATCCTTTAAGTGCTGACAATTAACAGAATGCGTATCTGCGCTGTCGGGATATGATAGACGGGATTGAAAGAGCGTTCAACGGTATAAGCCACCGACACACGACCCCTTTTGGGTTTAAAGAGCAAAGAGACATTTGCTCAATGTTTGACTCGGTATGTAACGACTTCCACAATGGTATCGCTATGTAAGACGCCAGGGCGAACCTTGACCGACTAACATTCCACTCGGCAAGTTCGGCATCAACCAATCGAAGCTCGTTACTGTGTTGGTCAAAGACTCGGATTTTATAGCGACGAGTGGCTTTGCCAAACATTTTGGACATTGCTTCGCTCGATTACGGCCTGCGATGACCAAATTTATCGAAGATCTCACGACTTACACGCCGAACTGCGATCTCGAAATGCTAAGAAGGAAAGACCAGCTTGAGGTGTCATATGGTGGTGCTGTGGGGATAATGGAGGATCATCACGAGGGGAGCTCGGAGCACATTCCTTTGCCCCTGGACTGAGGTCATCGTCTTGGTATATTTCATGGTTGGTGCACGATGCCGGTCTCGAGAATGGTCAGTGCTGCCATCCTTATCCGTCCAATACGATTTGCACATCCTTACCTGCAATGGATCAGACGCACGACTGTGGCTTAAGCAGGGTTGACACTGATAATGCATGGGTTAGACAACGGTCATGCTTGCGAGATCAAGGGATAGGCCCTACTAACGGACACACAGATTTGAGCGGAGGGTAGGTAAATAATTGCGTTCATATATTTTACAGTTTAGATGAAACATGAAGACAGTGTACTCAAAACAATGTTTCTATCAAAGTTTTGGAACTCCCCAACTCCCTATAATCCGGAGAATCGAATCGTGGTTTTATAGATACCCAATTGCCAGCTTCAATTAACATTGAGCTTTGCCATTCATATTTTACGCCGTCTGCAAGATGCAAGCTGCTGTCTGTCAGGATGGCGCTGAACAGGTTGGCAGATGCAGGGTAGTGAACATTTCCACCACAGGAAACGCAGCAAAGCGTTTCAGGCCTAGGATTTGCCACTGAGGGGGGACTCTTTAATTATTCAGTATTAGGGAGACCATATCATTCAACCGCAGGTAATAGTTACATTCAACATTTACCAACTACACAACAACTCCTACACCGTACTTCGTACCATATAGTTGGAATTGAATTAAAATGGAGCGCCCATTTCAAGGAACGCGGTTGGACGGGCTAGACGGGGCCGGTCCCCGAAGCACAGACCATCAGATCTGGGGTGAGGTTAAGCGAATCCACAAAGGAAAGAAGGAGAAAAGGTTACGTGAACAGGAGAGATGACGTGGATCACAACTGTCTAGCCAGCTTGAAAGGAGTATTACCGTTGTGTTCATACTGTCAAAATTAAGAGCAAATTTCTGAACAGCAGTAACCCAGCCCCCGAGGTTGGGAGTGGTTGTTGGATGAGACTCAAGGGAGGGATTTACAACGGCACTTTGATGTGTGCATTGTCCGATGTCCTTTGACCTCCTTTCATGGCCTTCCCCCACCTTCCGGATATACATACTTGAACAATGCAAGGGAAGTAAGTATGATGCCCTGATCACTACAGTAGCCGTCTTAGTTAGGGTTTAAATGGTGCTCTGTCTTAGAAGAAAAAGCATGCCAAGCCTGTAGGGATTACTTCTCTTTTATGTCTTAGATGCAGGATACAGGTGCAAGTCGAGAACTAAGCCTTAGCTTATGGTTGTTGATCCTAAGTTTAGATTTACTTAGATAGTTAGGAATAAGATTATACAAGTATATACTCTCTAAGGGAAAGCTTTATAAGTTTATTCGAGATCTATTAGTTTTATAAAGATTCACGTAATGTTTACTGTACCTTGGAATAATTTATAGATTTCATAAGCTGTAACATGGAACATACAGTGCGGAATACACAACACACGGCCCTCATACCTGGCTCAAGCCACTTTCTCTTCCTCGCCTGTCCCTGGCCTTCTTTCCCTTTTGCTGCCCGTCCGTGCAACCGGGATTGCCCACACTGAGAAACGTGCTCGCCCCCCCCCAAAGTCCGTAAGTGGTGTCAGCAACCGTTCCAGGGCAGGGCAGAAAGAAGCAGTGCCGTGCTCCCTGCCCAACCTTTCCCCCCGTATTCAATATTCCTTTTCTATCCTTTCATTCAATTCTTCCATCTTGAACATCAACCTCCCACTCCATATCCATCTCTACAAGTTGCACCGGTAACCCACATTGAGCCCAATCAACGACCGAGGCTTCGCCGAATATTGACTTCCCCTCCCCACCGCTGAATTCGCGTCCCACTCGACGCTTATAACCCACGGCTCCAGCTCGTTCTCTCCTACCAACATCCGGTCTGGCATGGTTATTGCCGCTTTCACGGCTACCGCTTTACGATACTCGAGAAACTGGTTGATGGGTTCCATGTGATCGCCCAACACGTCAACCTTGCCGAAAATGCTGCGACGACCTCCGGGTGAGGGACGTCGATCCCCACAGCATGGACTCTTCATCGCCTTTGCTATTATCATTTTGCCCTGGCTACTTGTCGATGCTCAGCAGCAGTACCGACCCGTGGCCGGCGTTGTAAGCCAATGGGCTGCCACGCCTATTGACGCGATCAAGGCTAGTAGCGAGACTGTCAGAGACGTAAAGCGACCTTTGAAGCAACGACAGTCCCAGCCCCAGTCTCAGCAGCAACAAAAGAACGAACGAAAGAGAGAATACGAAAACATCAAAATCCCTGACGATGCGAGCGCCCTCGCAACTTTGGCTCCGGACCAGTCCGTAAGAGCACCAAACCCTTCACGACAGCGGTCTAGCAGTCCTCTTGCTTATGGGCTTGCTTCGCCGCAGACTGCCCGGCGTAGTCTGAAGGACTGGGAAGTAGAAGACTTTGTGCTTCTGGCGACCGTCGATGGAGACCTATATGCCAACGACCGACGAACTGGAAAAGAACGTTGGCATCTCGAAGTCGAACATTCCATGGTAGAAACCAAACATTACCGCTTGGAGGAATCTACCCTCAACGAAAACTACCATCCAATCGATCATTACGTATGGGCAGTCGAGCCCAACCGGGATGGCGGGATATACTTGTGGATTCCGGATTCTGACCATGGCTTTATCAAGACTGGGTTTACCATGAAAAAGCTAGTTGAAGAAGTAAGCCCCTATGCTGATAGCCACCATCCCATTGTCTATACTGGCGACAAGAAGACGACAATGATGACACTCGATGCCGCTACCGGACGAGTCCTGAAATGGCTCAGCTCCACTGGTTCCCACGTTTACGAAGCTGAGAGCTGCGCTCGTCCGGATACTCTGTATGATGCAGAGAACTTGGAGTGTAGCTCTACTGGCACCATCGCTCTGAGTAGAACCGAGTACACTGTTAGCATTCATCGACGCGATAATGGCCTTCCTGTTGCCACCCTCAAGTATTCTGAGTGGAGTCCCAACAATCGTGACAGCGACCTTTTCGAGCAACATCACTCTTCTCTTGACAAGAAGTACATCACAAGCCAACATGACGGCAAGGTCTATGCGTTTGACTACGCAAGGTCCGGAAAAGCAGAGCCCCTGTTCAGCGAACATTTTGCCGCACCTGTAGCGCGAGTATTTGATGTATGCCGGCCAGGAGATGCCACATCCGAAAGCAATCCCGATCTTGTTGCTCTCCCCCAGCCACCAATGCCACCGCAAGACGAGACACACGATCGCCTGCGCAGCAACAGTATCTTCCTCAACCAGACTCGAACAGGAGATTGGTATGTCATGTCTGGGCGTTCATATCCTCTTATTATACATGCCCCTGTTGCTCAAATCTCTCGCCCTGAGTGGTGGGACAAATCCCCTCCCGCCTGGGACACTATCAGCCACACCAAGATGTCGAAGGTTTTAGTTGGCACCCATTTCCTCAACAATGATAACAAGAGAGGAGGACCACATATCCCCAGTTTACCTGCGGAATCGATTGAGGCACCAAGGGACTATGATATGTATAATGCACACGAGGATACCGAGAACAACGTTGAGTCCCCCGCGGAAGTAGACTTATACGACGATTCCATCTTTAACCTTAAGGCAATACCTGGCAAGGCCGCGAGAACCATTCAGGATTTCTTCACCAACCCTATGATGATTATCATATTTTTCACAGTGTTGTACTTCAACCAGCAAAACCTTCGTCAACACCTGCAGCACGTCAAACGGAAGGGCATTTGGAACGAACTGCAGAGCATTTTAGGTCTTACAGGAGCTAGCCCTTTCGAAGATTTGGATGATGGCGAGAGCACAGACGCTGAAGGCAACCTTGATTACACACTCAGACAGGACTCGGAAGGAAGCAAGGGAATGGACGAGAAGCCCACACAGAATGCAAAAGAACCCCCAGTACCTGTCCCCGAGTCATCAATATTGGAGCCTGATGCATCCCCACAGAAACTTGACAATGAGGCGGAGTTGAGTGACAGGGAAGCGACACCTAAACCCATGGAACTGGCTGGTAGAGCCAAGCCAGAAGCACCCACCAAGACATCGATCGATCCCAGCACCCCTCAATCCCAGGCAAAGACTGTATCAAACAACGCTGGTCAGAATGGTATGCCTTCAGAGAAGAAGAAAAAGGCACACAGAGGGCGGCGTGGAGGTGTCAAGCATCGAAAGGGCCGTGCTCAAGATGCGTCTCTGTCTCGTGGCGATGATCCTCCAATGGGTACTGTTGAGGACGCCGTGAACAACGCCAAGAAGCTAGGAGAAAGACCAAACCTCGAGCCTGATGTCATGACCATACACAGTGACATGCAGTCCGTGACAGGTACTGCCCTTGTTATAGGAAATATCACGGTGCATCCGGACGAGCAACTGGGCACGGGCAGCAATGGCACCTTGGTTTTTGCTGGCAAATTCGATGACAGAGATGTGGCTGTCAAGCGCATGCTAGTACAGTTTTATGACATCGCCTCTCAAGAGACTAAGCTTCTGCGAGAAAGTGATGATCATCCAAATGGTAAGCCTTAATCAACTATTGCAATGAAAGATAAGCTGACGCTTTTAGTTATTCGATATTACGCACAGCAGACACTGGGCGGCTTCTTATACATTGCACTAGAGCGTTGCGCTGCATCGTTGGCTGATGTTATTGAGAGGCCTAACCATTTCCGGGATCTTGCCGATGCAGGCAGACAAGATATACCCGACATTCTCTTCCAGATTGCCAATGGTGTCAAGCACTTGCACTATCTCCGAATCGTTCACCGGGACCTCAAGCCCCAGAACATCCTGGTCAGCAGAGACAGCAACGGAAAGCCAAGAATGTTGGTCTCGGATTTTGGACTGTGCAAAAAGCTAGAAAGTGACCAATCATCTTTTGGCGCTACTACCGGCCGCGCAGCTGGCACAACCGGTTGGCGTGCCCCAGAGCTTCTCCTTGGCGATGAAGTTAGAGAAGTCTCGATGGTAGAGGCCAGTACACAAAGCGGCTCTGGCTCGGTTCTGGCGGACGACAGCACAGCGTCTAGACGACGTGCTACACGATCCATTGATATCTTTTCTCTTGGACTGGTCTTCTTCTACGTCTTGACCAACGGATCGCACCCCTTTGACTGCGGAGATCGATACATGAGAGAAGTCAATATCCGAAAGGGACAATACGACCTTGACCTCCTTGACTCTCTTGGTGACTCAGCACACGATGCCAAAGATCTCATAGCGAAAATGATCAGTCAACACCACATAGATCGCCCGGACGCGGAAGACGTCATGATTCACCCTTTCTTTTGGGCTCCCAAGAAGAAACTTGCGTTCTTGTGCGACATGTCAGATCATTTTGAAAAGGAGCCGAGGGATCCGCCGTCGGAAGCACTAGCTGAGCTCGAGAGCTACGCAAAGGATGTGATTAACAACGACTTCCTGAAAGCCTTGCCGCGAGACTTTGTTCATTCTCTTGAGCAGCAGCGCAAATACACGGGTTCCCGTGTGCTCGATTTGCTCCGAGCGATAAGGAATAAAAGGAATCATTACGAAGATATGTCAGACGCGCTCAAAAGGACCGTAGGCGCCTTCCCTGAAGGATACACCTCGTTTTGGACCCTTCGATTCCCTAATCTCCTGATTTCTTGCTGGACTGTCATAAAGGCTCTTGAATTGCACGAAACAGACCGGTTTCGCGAATATTACAATAAAAATGACTTGGAGAGGTTTAGGTAGATTCTAATAAAATTATGTTCTCTTAGTCTATTTCTGTCCTAAAACCTATAAAAACTTAAAAAAGTAAAATAAATTATATAAAAAGTAAATCATATTATCCTAGGTATTATAAAATTTAGATAATTTTATAAAAATAAGATAAAATTTAATTAAATTTTTATTTTAACTTTTTAAATTTTAATAAAATTATGTATTATATATTTAGATATTATAAAGCTTAGGAAAACTTATGGAAGTGGTAAGCAAAACTAAACAACTGCGCGGTCGCCAATATTCTCTTAATATCGTCGTTGTACTGTGAAATCTGGAAACTGGTCCTGTACATTCCTCACCCGTAGGCACAATATAATCCCGTAGATCTGAACATCAACTTGCAGAAAACTGCCAGCATTTATTTATTCATGTACATACGTGAGGTTTGGTTCTTCAACACTAATCATCTCTCGTTACATCACAGCGTTCCTTCAGTCCAATGGCCAAGATATCTCGCTTCCGAATGAGAACCAAATAGTACACACAGATCCGACAAGAATAATTTACCCATTCTACCAAGGAAACACTTTAGCCCCACTGCACAAGAACCTTTTTACCCTTTTTGTTACCCTTCTTCTTACCGCCCGCCTCATCGTCAGCGGGCTCTTCACCAGCTGGTGTACTCGGCCCACTGCCGGTACCCCAGTTGAAGCCCGTATCGCGATTTCCATAATCGCGTCGTACGGCGCGGCCATTCCCGTAGCCGAAAATCGTAGTTTGCGGTTTTGGCGCGTTGGGAAGAGCAGGGAAGGCGTCGTCGCCGGTAGGACGAGGAGCCGGACGGGGACGGTTGAGGGTTGTAGATGATGATGTGGGAGTTGGAGTTGTCCAGTTGGAGTTAGAAGTAGAGGAGGAACCCCGACCAGATGAAGGTAGAGATGGGAACGCGGACGAAGAGGCCTGTGGAGCACTGACGGCAGGACGAGCATTCCATGATGTCGGACCGCCTGAGGATACAGGTGCCGGGCCGCCAAGCCTTGTACTGTTCTTGAGCTTGAGAACACGATTCGAGTATTTCTGCGTGACCTTTGCGTTCGGTACAGCTGGGTTGGCAGATGCTGCGTTGGCCCAGCCACTTGAACTTGAGGTTGCGCCGTGCATGCCACTCAAGCCCGGTAAGCTCGGATAATCCTCGTTAATGGCACGCCAGTCCTGCCATGCCTTACGGAGGGCATCGGCTTTGTTCTTATCTTCGTAGAGATCTGCAACCTCTCGCACCATTGTGCCAAGAGCGTTGGAGGAAGTATCAGCGAAGAGGGTGAAGAACGCATCGATGAGTTGGGGTGCGGTAAGTCCACCTTGGCGATAAGAGGAAATGTGGTTTCGGAATGTAGCCATACGCTGGGTGTCGTTTCCAAGGAGGTTGGATGCTCGCTCAACCACAGCGCCATGTCGTACAAGTCGAGCACGCTCCTCAGCGCTGAGATTGGCTGGGTCAGGGGCAGTGGCAGACTCGATGGGATTAGCAACGTTTGTCTGGCTGGCACGAGGAGTATTTGATGAGTTGCCGCCACGAGGTTGTGACGAGGCCTGAGCTGGTGTAGGAGAAGCAGCAGAGAGTGCGCCACCAAACGTGCGGTTCGAAACAGACTGCGCAGAGTGGATAGCCATCTGTCGCTGGAAAGCGATCTCGTCACGTCGTAAGGGTTGGGCAGAGCTGACAGGAACCGGCTCCGCATTAGGGTCACGGCCTCTATTACCTCCTCTTCGCCCGTCCCGGCCCCCACGCCGACCTTCATCTCTTCCACCGCCGCCTCCGCCTCTCTCCTGCTGATACGGTGTTCGAATGTCAAATCCTGAAATATTGACGACTCGTGCGTCTCGACCTGACACCTTGCCTCCATGTTCGCTTAACTGATGAGCTTGCAAATCGAGTTCTGATTCAAAAACCACAAATTTCTTCTCCATGCATTCACGATCACCGCAAAGGTAGTGGTCCTTCTTAAAATGCTCTTCCAGGGCGTTGTAGTCGAGATAGTAATGGGGGTGTCTCGAGTCTCGTCTGTCACAGATAAAGCAACGCTCGTGCTTCATTCTGCAATGCTCGTACAACTTGTCGTCGTCGTAAAAGCGCTCTCCACAGAATCCACACAATGGGTGGCCCTTGAAGCCTGTTTGGTCTGCTGCACCAGGCTTGTCGTCTCCATGACGCATGTGCTTCTCTAGTTCCTTATCCGCAAACAGCTCATGCTCATGTGTGAAAACCCTCTTGTTACGAGTGCATAGATCGCACATTTTCTTCTTGTGAGCAGATTTGACATGGCGGTGCAGATCAGGCCAGCCGAGGCCAGCGAAATCGCACGATGCATCGGGGCAGTTGTACCGCAGGAGGAGAACTGTATCGCCCACAATATCCTCTTTTGTGTATTTGATGCCGATGTTGCTGTCGGTGGTGGTTATGTCTTGTTCCGCATATTCCTCGAAGCGTTTCTCGGGGTCGTCGGTAAAGATAACATAGGGAGCTGGGGTCTGGAACGATGTCAGCTTTATCCTCTTGGAGACGAGGGAACGATAAACTTACACGACAGTGTGCACAATCCTTTGTCTTATAAAGGGCTCTCATACGTAGACCGCAGATATGGCATGTTGTATGGTTGCAAGGCGCAATTGAGTGGTGAGCAACTGGATTGGCGCAGATGAAGCACACTTCAGCATCGTCATCTTCAGCGTCTTCGGCTGTTTTGCCAGAAGCCATGGCATGGGCTCTAGAAGCTGCCGCGGCGACATCTTGAGCTGCTGGGTTGGCGGGAACATCAGGAACGTTCGAGTTGTTGCCACCACGACCACGCCGTTGACCTCCTCGTCGATTCTGGTTTCCCTTTCCTCGGCCTCTTCCTCTGTTGCGCTGACCGTCGCCTTGGGGTTGGGAGTCGGAGGCTGTTACTCCAGTGTTGTTCTCTCCTTCTGGTGGAGCCATAGCGAGCGGCCCTGAGCTTCTAGAAGCTGGAATTTGTGCTGACGTGGGTAAAGTGGAAATAAAGGGTAGAGCTATATTTATGTCGCTCCACGAGGGATTGTCGAGTCGTCGAAATCGATATTTATTGTTGTAGACTTAGAGTCAACTGTAGATTTGTTTTGAGATAAAGCTCCGAGTAAGCTTGGAAGATCGTTGTGTCGTTACGAAGGGTAAATGGTCGAAGTTCTAGTGTGAATAGCTCAGAAGCGAGGTGATGATGTCGACCAGTTTTTATTTGAGCGTCTGCCTCTCTCATGGCGGGGCAGAACTTCCCAAAGAGTTAAGAGTGACGGAAACTGCCTTTCCACGGGAGATGCGGTGGCTACACGCGCCACTTCTACCATTGTCTGTGGCTGAGTAATCTCACACAAGAGTCACGACAGGGGCGATGCTGGAATTATTAGAGTATCTGATTGGTTTCCAAGCTACGAATCGATGTAGGGGAGTCATCGGCAAGACACATTCTAAATTGACGAATATGGCATACGGTGTGTTTTGACTCATCGTGGCTCATCATGGTCAGCTACCTGTTAGAGAACCTGCCTTGCCAAAAGGACTGGGATAGGAAAACAATATCTTCCCTGCCCCTCTGCTTTAACGAAAGACACATATTGAGTTCAGTCAATTGTTTACAAGACAGATGCTGAACATCAATAAGAAGCACCGGGTGATAGTACGCTTTCTTAAAATATTGCTTGTGAATCGCTGATATTAAGCACCTTTTGAGATCATCCTGTTGTTTGGCTCCAAGACACCTCCATCCATCATCTTATATAGTACCTAGCTGGATAGATACTATATACATATTCCTAGCTGCCTACCGACAACTCTCGAGCTGTCATTATCCATTGCAAAACATACCAACTTTACGAGCATGGCCCTGCTGCAGCTCGTTACCGGCATCCTTGTCTCGTCCAAAACTCAAAACCTCTACTAAAATCACCCGGTATGCTCCCCTTTTCCATATGATGTTTGATCGCCGCCAAAGGGAATAAATGAAACATGAGCAAACCATGAATACCGGTTACGCCATCGCGTGCCCAAAACGCTGTCATCGAAATCCTCGTAGAGTGTCCATGTGCCATCGTGTAGCCGTAGTCGCTCTTCTCCTTATTCTTCGCCGACAGGATAGAGGTGGCTGCCAATGTCCTTGTTCATCCGGAACATGTCCACTCTTCCTTGTTTGAAGACTGCTTGCATCTTGTCGTCGCAAATAATTTGACGCTTGTCCTTAGGGTCTTGAAGGTCGTTCGCTTTGATGTGCTCCCAGAGCTTCTTGACCACCTGGGGCCGGGATAGCTGAAATTGTGTGAGCACAGATACTCTCCCAGACGAGGGAGCCATTGAGCTGGTTTACTTACCTGGGTCTCACCAACGAGCTCAGAAAGAGTTTCACTGAGGTTGAAAGGCTTCTGGAAGCCACCACCAGCTTTCCTCTTCTTGCCAACCTCGCCATCTGCCGGCTCTAGATCGCTATCGTCGTCGGCCTTGACCTTCTTTGCGCTCTTCTTGCGCGGTGCTGCCTTCTTCTTGGTCGGCTTTGCTTTATCGCCTCCTCGTGTCTTGCGTCCTCTGGCTAGACTGTTCTCCTGCGCCTGTAGTTGGGCGGCGAGCTTGGCGTCCGTATCTTCGGAGGGTGATCGCTTGACCTTCTTTCGTGAAGGCTCAGGTGTCGCAGATGGTTCGGTTTCGCCTACGTCGGATTGGCCGTTGGCTGCGCCATTGGTAGATGGAGGGCCGGCGCCATTGTCAACTCCCGAGACAGCATCAAAGCGGGCTTCAATCAGCCGTTTTATGGCACTCTATCGTATGCGTGTCAGAGAGAATGGATGGCAAGAAAACACAAGATGTCATGAGATATGGAACGACAAGTCAGTTGCGCGTGCACATACCTTCTGCTCGCTCAAATCTTGGCCTCCAAGGGCATCTTCCAAACCCTGCCTGATCTTCTTTCGCGAGATAGTTTCGAGGTCGGATGTCTCGAGGATGTTGTCGATGATAGCGGTATAGCGCTCGCGCTCCTCGGTGGTTACTGTTATCAAGTGGTGTTATTCAGAGGCTCAGGTTGCGAGAGGAGTCTGTGCAAAGGGATGCTGGGCAGCTTACAAGGGGTACTCATGATGGTTTGGCGTTGGTCGCAAGACAGATACTTTGTATTGTGGAGAGTTGTACAGGAGAAAGTTGATGCAGAAGCGGCTCGGGTGCAACTATAGAGGGGCCTCAAACGGCGGGGGGTCTGCGCAAACAAACAACAACGTGCGCCTGTGGCTGTTTGTGAACGAAGGACAATGGAATGCGATCGCGGCAGAGAGGAAGAATGCGCCGATTATCGCGAATATCAAAGCATGTCCTGGGTCAATTATGCGCGCGAGCTACGGTTGGTGCGTTTGGTTGATCCGCAATCAACGCGATAGGATATGGAGGTCGATGGTTGGTCACGCAGGTCCCGCGGTCGGTCGATTGCAGTGGACGAACTGCGGCATGGAAGGAGGAAAGTGGGTTGGATAGACGATAACCAATGTGAATATGGTCTGCAGAGTAAAGAAATAGGAGTATAAAAGAGACTGCTGAAAAGCTGTGTTTGGATGAATGACGGAGTGAAGGTATCGCAAGCTTACGTCGGACTGTTGTGCATGGATCAAGTTGATGTTCGCACGCAACCTTGGAAGTTAATAGTTGACCAACGGCAAGCAAGCCACTGCGATCCCCTTCCGATGAGGCTGCAGAGGCTCTGGTTTCCGTGGCTGGTGACTGGGGGTTGACCAATCAAGTTGGAAAAGACCTGGGTTGACTGCTCAATAAGGAAAGGTCGGGGACGGGATGAAGCGTCTTCATCCACAATCGTCCCTCACTAATTCAATGCTATTGTTTGTTTTCATGTCACGTGCATGAGATACGCCTTTGTCTATGTTGTGAAGGGCTTTCACTGCACCACATGTCAATAAGATCCTCCCTAGGTAAGTACTTGGTTGTTCTATTTTATGGAAATAAATCAAGGCAATCGTTCATTAAAATGTCCCCATTTTCTCGCATAAGTTCTATGCGCGAAGGCAATCGGTGGGGTATCTACTGAGCCAAGAAGTGGCACCCGCCAGCATAAGCACTTGGATGATTGGGGTGCTTATTATTACCACTTTTTGTGCAACCTTCAATGTTGTAAGTGCAATAGCCCGCTTGAGACTGAGGTTATTAGTCTTTGTAGACACTTCCCACCATTGAAACACTGCAAAGAATGCTCATTTTCCTGCAAATCACGGATTTGAGTTTCATCAACTCCGGTTCTCGGGTGGTCGATTGCCCCGCGTTACCGAGAGAGTTAGCTCGTAATTGAATGAGGTGATGAGTGCTACGACGTATACCTACCTAGTTAGATCTTCAACCTTCCAATGCTTTGTCGCAAGATTATAATTCATTCAACGATTGAGAACTTCGGAAATTCTGTTATTTATACCAAAAATGCCGTTGCCCGCCAACCCTCTCAACGCCCTTAGCCAGGTGTTCCCTCCTAAGCCACAGTTCACAGAGGCCAACGTGCCTGACCTCACAGGGAAAGTAACCATTGTTACTGGAGCAAACACTGGTGTCGGTCGTGAAATTGCACAAGTTCTTTACAGCAAGAATGCGACTGTCTGGGCCGCTGCCCGTAGCGAGGAGAAGGCTCGAGCTGCTATCGAGGGCATCAAGCAGCAGCATCCCACTTCAAAGGGCTCCATCAAGTTCATGAAGCTCGACCTTGCTGACCTGACGACAATCGGAGACTCGGCCAAGGAATTCCTCGCCGCTGAGAAGAAACTCGATCTCCTGTTCAACAATGCTGGAGTGATGACGCCACCAGAAGGCTCGAAGACTGTGCAGGGATATGAGCTCCAGCTTGGAGTTAACTGTCTAGGTCATTTCTTGTTCACCAAGCACCTCACGCCTCTCCTCCAGTCGACGGCCAGATCGGCACTCAAAGATTCCGTCCGTGTAATTTGGGTGTCTAGCTCCGCAGCAGACGTCCTCTCGCCCCCTGGTGGATTTGAGCGTGACAACTTGGATTACCACGAGCCGCGCAACCTGATCCATAAGTATGGAACAAGTAAGGCGGGTAATTACTACCACAACACAGAGTTCGCCAGAAGATATAAGGAAGATGGAGTCGTCAGCGTGGTATGTACCTCCAATGCTATAGGGGAATATGTACTAACAAGCCAGTCCTTAAATCCTGGCAACTTGGCCAGCGAACTTGATCGCACCTCGCCATGGTGGATGTACTACCCTAGAATATTTACCACGTACCCTTCCATCAATGGTGCTTACACAGAGCTCTTCGCTGCCTTCTCTTCAGAGATTACACTTGAGAAGTCTGGTACTTGGGGTAAGTGTTTTATCAACCGCTAAAACGAGTCTACATGCTAATGTGGTTTAAGTTGTTCCGTGGGGTCGATTTATGCCTATCCGCCCAGATCTACAGAAGGGAGCGCTGCCTGAGTCTGAAGGTGGCACAGGTATGGCGGAGTGGTTCTGGAAGTGGTCGGAAGAGCAGGTTAAGCCTTACTTCAAAGGCTAAGAGGGATGTCACTAGATGTCGTAAATATTTAAGATATACCATCATTCGCACGTATGGATCCTTCTGCATGCCACATGGAGTAGAGAAACTCTTTTACATAGAAATCTCAAGTGGCGAAGTCATGTAGTAAGAGCCATACTTTCTGTAACCACTAGCTCAATCATCAACACCCACATTCTCAAGTGACGATACCAAACTCGAATCCAGATCCCTCATCAAATCTCCCCAAAGGAATCCACTTGGCGTATCTGCCGACCAAACCTCGTTATCTGGCATATTGAGAAGGTCCATACTGGAGAAAGCTTGCTCGCCGATACTCATGACCTTATAAGCACCCAGCCCTGATGGATCATCCAAATCTTCCGAGCTTTTCTGGTGGTCGGTGGGTGTTGTCGCTGGCGTAACAATGCCGAGCCTGGCACAGAAAGACTGAACAATTTCCAAGCACTTTGACTGAAGATTGTAGGTCAACTGTACACTCTTTTGAGAATCAGACTTCTCAAAGACGCGGGCAGCCCGAATCATTGTCCGCCGTGCTGTGGGAGATAATGGGCAGATAGGATAACCACAGGCAAAGCCAGCGAGGGAAAAAGTCGCGATTTGTTGCCAACCGACAACTTGAAACCAGCCAGTGAGAATCTCTGAATCACGAAGAACCTGATATAGCATGATTGTCATCATGATGCCAGAGTTTACGCAAGTAATGCAGTGGTTATCGCTGTTGAAGGTACCAAGGGCTGGCGTGGGCAGGAACGAATTGAAAGTCCGAGTGAGCATGATGACCAGAGAATGGTAATCCAGTTCCAGTATGAGACGCTGTCTTTGTAGCCACAAAGGTTCAGTCTGGCTAAGATCCAGTGTCGAACGATCGACCGAGAACGGCACGCCCTGAACACGCGGTGCCTTGAGGTCCTCTGGTAATTCCTCCACCCAGCTCTTAAGACGCTTGAACTGTTCGTAGAGATACTTTGCACATTTCTCCCGAGATGAAGGATGTTGATAAATGTCGGAATAGCCAATCTCTTCCAAAACATTCTCGATGACTGCCATTAACTCAGTGTGAATTTCGCGAACGATCTGGAAAAGAGTGTGCCTTTCGTGCTGAAACCGGAGCCAATTGATGTCGAAGGGCCCGCCAAACCCAGGACCGACAAGTTGAGCCATCTCGTCAGACTCTGGATCTGTTGGATTGTATATCTGGGAATTTGGGACTGCGAAAGGACGGCCTAAATGTAAGGCGAGTTGCGTATCTAATGTGATCAAACATCCCCACAGCCTGGGGCCTGTATTTGCAGAATCCGTACCGTCAAGGGAGTCGTCATCATCATCGAGTTGCAAGCCAATGGATTCTGCTGCAGCCACCGCTGATCGAACCATCATGTAGGCCGAGTTGGTCTGATTGAAGGTCAAGAGATATATGGCACTTAGGAAATAGCATTGCACTGATCTCAACGTTGGAGCTTCTGAAACATGACCCAAGGCCTGTTGTGATCGAAGATAGAACTCGTATCCTGGCTGATCAGGCATAACAACATTTTCGGAGGCTGTGTATGAGGACCCAAACTGGATACATAGTGCGACAACAATATCAGCCAATGGACAGCTATATCTTATTGTATCGTTCTGCCATAGCGAGCCGTAATGCTCTCGGAATTCAGATTCCTCGAGCACAGGATAAATGACGTGGTAACCTTGCCAGTAGAGATCAAGGAGTGCGTCTTGTTGCACGCGTTGCAGTCTATCGCAACTCAATGGACTCGGGGAAGCTGGGGGGGTAGGAGTTGGAGGTAAACTGGTATCAATACCCCCCCTGGTGAATGTTGATAGTCGCTGAGTGAAATACATGAGTGATGATGGCCCATACTGAACACCATCCACTCGAACCCCTTTCAACTTTGGGAGGCGTCTGGTAGTAGAACTAGACACTCCATTGGAGACAAATGGGCTTAACAGCTTCGCCTCTAGTTGTTGGACTTGACTTCTCAGCCGTTGGACCTCCCTGGATGCTTATAAGTCTTGCGCCCATTCATATGTTTAGGACTTACAACTAACTTTGTCGCTGCCGCAACGCTCTTGAAGTCATCGCGACCCGAGTTTACACACTCCCTCTTAGCTTGCTTGCAATTTCGACATGGCCTGGTTGAATCACATTTGACCCGAGTAAGGCGACACCAGTCACAGGCGCGTGAGACCTGAGCTCTCTTTGGGCGGGGTTGTGACGTCGGTGAAGAGGAAGGTCTTTGGCTAGACACCGAGTTTGATGTTGCAACGTCAAAAGTTGTGAACATTGGGATTTAAGGTGTGATTAAGAGTTGACTGATGACAAGTAGACTATTTCTTCCTTATTTCAAGTTCGAGCACCATACAAGCCTCGTGGGAGAAGGATGCAGAGACAGGGGGGTTTATGCTAGTACAACCCATCCAACATTTGTCATCAGCAAACCTTGAAGTGGAATGCGTACCGTATGAGACTGCCCGCCATATGTGGCTCGTGGCTCAGCCTCAACACTGGTAAAGATGCTAACATTAATAATAAAGCCTATAGGTGCTCCCGCTTTAATATTAGAAACAAGTAGAGGAGCGCCTGAGACATTACGACAATGTGGTTTGGCCAATGGCAGATCCCATAGAGTCTCCAGATGGCCGAATAAGGAAGTCGGAGCAAACTCCGAAAACTCCTTATGAACTAATGGCGTCTTCTCATGAGTAGACATCAGTAGGAAAACACTTGCCACGCTTCGTAGTTTTCTCGGTGAAGCGGAATACAATCCTTTTTTTGTTGCCATTAACTCAACTCTTGCACATTGAAGGTGGCACACACAATGTTACGTCCAAAGGCAAGCAGGCTGCAACTACCCGTGCAATAAGACGCAGGCGCTGGTCATATTCTCGCTTGCTGGATTATCGGAAGGAACCAATGGAACCCGGCCAGTTCAATCTTCATCATGTTTCCTCTTACCAGAGGCCGTGTTTCCTGATTCATCGGTTGATTTTACGACTCTACTTTCAACACATTCTAAATACTTGCCTGACCTAAACCAAAGACACTCCGTGTGCGATGATGATTTTATGGCATTTCCTCGCTTTTCTCAGCACACGTGCAGCAACTCTTTGCAGATTGCCCAACCAGAATGACTACACTATCATTCAAGGTATGGTGATCAAAGTTGAAAGATGTGGCCATCAACAAGATTAATATTGCGGACATAGATCCGTTCCTTGGCGATATTGACCATGGTCAGCCAGGCATCGTCCTTAGAACCTTGTACAATGATGACCACCTTCGTTGGTTCATGGTTTATCAAAACGAAATCGACTTCAAACCGTACCGTGCCATGAATGTACGTATTCTGCATGTTATTCCACGCTTCTCCGACTAATACCCCATCAGATCCCGCCCAATACGACCGTCTTCATTGACTTGACAACCTCCTGTTCTACATTCGCCGGAAGACTCATCCGCGGCAATAACATCAACTTTGACGGCATGGCCCACAACTTGGGTACATGGGCTGAGGTCAACTGGGGGAGTTACCCATCCGCGTACGGGGGAGTGTCTGTAATTGAAGGTGATATGTTGTTTTGACCCAGTCAAGGAACGAAGCTCACGTTATGTAGGCAACGACGGACCAATTCTCTTCCAGTCTGAGGATCTAAACACTCCTATCATGGGATTCCTGATTGATATCATAACTGCTGCACCGAACGAGTGCCAGGAAGTGAAAGACAGTGGAGCCCTGGCGCTGAAGCCAACTGACAAAAACGGGTACGATAAGAAGACACACAATTTTACGAAGAAGATGCTGGACAGCAATAAGGTTTCCATCGACAACACTCACGATGCTACAACCATGTCCCATAACGGGAGGTTGAGAATCATGTTTCTTCAAGGAAATCATTAGCTGAAGTGATAGCTGCTAGCGGATGCTGGAGTCAAGACTTGTCTTTAGACTGAATGATCTAGTATATTCTAACGGTTTAGCACATGCAAGATAGAGTGGGCGTGCAAAGATTCCGACAAGTTCCTCCTGAATTTTATATATACTTACATAAATTCCTTTAAGCTTTTTTTAATTTATGTAGTTTTATATAAAGTTATTCTAAGATTATGTATCGAGTCTTCTAACTATAATATATTTAATACATCTCCTCTTAGCTTATTGTCGGAGCTTTTGCACGGCACTGTAACAAGCAAAATTATCGATCCCCTTTCAGATCACTCTTCATAGCCGACAACCATTCTCCTGTTTCATGCTCGATAAAGTGATATGCCAAATGCGGCAGTTGAAAAGAGAACGGAACCTGGGCTTACCCCGACGCCTAGAAGTGATCATGTGGGGTAAATGGTAGTCCAATGGTGTCCTGGGCTTGCACGTTTACAACGACATGGAGAAGGGCGTGGTATCTCTACTAGGTGGCATGGATGTGCATGGTATGACGTGTCTCCCAGCGCTCTGAAATAGGTACTGACTGTAGATCTTGATAGGCGGGAATTCAAAGTGCGGGTGCCGTTTGTTTCTAATAGCAGCACAAACCTATTCACAAGAGCGAGTCATGCCAAGTCCCTCTGGTAATGAAACAGTATTATCATATTATACGTATATTCTAGATGGGCACAGAAGAAAGATTGATAGTGAGTTGTAAGTTTTATTTGCCTTTTACGATCGAAGATATTCGATCACACTGCTTCCCCAACGCACTGCGCTCTTATAAGTCCACATCCCTGGGGCGTTGCCTTTAGCAAGACCCTCGATAGCGTCAGCGAAAGCGGGACCGAGGCCTTCCTCCTTGACCTGGCGGACTGGGTATAGATAGGTCTTGAAGGAGAACAGGATGGCACGTGTCTTTGGTAGACGGGTGACAGTCTGCAGCTCTATGCGGAGGAATGTCTGGAAGGGAGTGTTAGATTGGCTGTAAGTACGAGGTTGAGCCTGAGTTTACCTTTTCGATATCTACATCTTCATCGTTCTTGTAAGCGTCATCGCCGGTGATGTGATTGCCCTTGCAATTGAACAGTTCTGTGTGTGTTTGAACAGACCACTGTGACTGTTAGCTTGACACTCATATGTTGGCCTCAGTGGTATCTCACGTTTGTCCGCTTAACGCTCTTCCCTACTTCTACTTTGGAGAAAAACCTCTCCATACTAGTACCAATCTTCTCATACGAGGGCACAGGAGCATGGATCTCGACAAGAGTCTTGCCTAACTTGGATGAGGGATCAAAACCAGCAGGGAAACAGCACATAAACGCAACAGACCGATGGCCCTCGGGTGTCTGTTGTAGGAGAAAGAAGTCTTCCTCGATGGTTTCGCCAAGTACACGTAGCGCAGCATCCATGTTACCATCAGGTATTGTTGGGAAAGTCATCCCTGTAACAAGGTTCTCGCAACTAGAGTTGTCGTTTGAGAGTTGGAAGATAGTTGGGAAGCGCTTGGGGAGCTGTTCAGTCAAGAGAAAGGTGTATAGTTCGCGTACAGCAGCATCGCCTTCGGGAGTGCTACCGTGAACCGTGGCTCCATGGGTAGCGATAATGCTTCGTCTGCGGGTGATGCGATCGAGGTAATCCTCGTCGATGGTGATGAGCTCTGATGGAGTATCTGCTCGGATAGCTACAAAAGGATTAGAAAGTGTTATTCTTTTACTTTCACAAAAGAGTCATACCCATAGTGATGTGGTAAGTCGGTTTGAACGGGCGTAATTGCCGTCTGGGTGCAGTCTTCCAGTCGAAATCGTGTAACGGCTCGATCACCGGCGCCTTCTCAGGCTGCACAACTTCAGCCTTGAGGGGCTGCGAGTGCTGTTTGCGACTGCGCATCCATCTCTTTGCCTATGAACCCATTGTTTAGTTATTGTGTATGAAATGAGCATGGTTGACTCACAATGGTGGTGACGACCCAAACTGACACTACAACAGCAGCGGGAAGGAAGAGCAAGTTTGCAAAAGGATGCAGAGAACCGTTGAGTGTGTGGGTCGATGCCATCTTTGAGAATATAATTATAATTCCAATAGTACTTAATGAAATTATGGTAGGAATAGTAGAATATGAAGAGGCTTCAATGCCTTTTATCTACAATTCCCAACCCGATGAGAGACAGGAAGTCGCTGATCTTGTTAGTCTTGTTCTCCGCACGCCGATATCGCGTGGAGGCGCCATCCTGATAACCTTAGCAGCTTGATGGGTGGGTGTGGTGCCGTTTGGGGTAGACGCTATCAGGAGACCCCTCTGCTCTCACATTAATGCCGCGATGTGGAAAAGCTCATTAACATTATCTACCAAACCAGTAATTCTATCCGTCTAATGTATCCGCTGGTATCATGCATCGTATATACGGTCCCGGGTCGACCGGGAACAACAAATATCGTCCATAGTTCTTATCCTTTCACAGTTCCCACAACAATTCTATCACCTCGTCCTTCATCTCTTCTATCTTTGGTTGGGGGTTCTTGGGGTCGGCCACCTTTTCTCCAGGGCCTGGGATGTCATCCTCTAGACGGTGAATGTAGATTTGACGGATGTTCTTTCCAACCATCTCGGTATCAACCAGATGATAGCTCTTCTTCAAGCGTCGATCCATCTTGGACCTCATAGGGCTCAGACTCCAGTCAAAGCCCTTGGCGCCTTCCCAGCTGCCCTCCATCTTGTTCAAGTCAACACTCTCCAAACCTGCGGAGTACTGAACAATACTGTAGCCGTTGGTCAAAACTGTGTCAGAGCCAAATGTGAAACGCTGCAGGAAGCAGCTGCCACAGAATTCGGAAATCTTGACCATCTTGTCAACAGGAGCCTGATGCCATGACTTCCAGTGGTGGAGGCTCATTGGAAGACGTCCAGACTCATAAAAGCCGCTCATATCTCCACCCATATCCAACTGGTGGAGGCCCTTTACGATCGTGAGCTTTGTCTTTGTCTTGGCGGTGATGCACTGCTTGAGTAAACCGTCACCCTGAGGCACGTGGTTGACTTTGAGACAATCCTCAAGATGAGGATTCAGCTCGCGAAGCAGGGCTTGGCTGAGGAAGACTCCTGCTCCTCCAAAAGCCATGTAGCCGTGGTGCTTGACTGCGTCGTAGTTCTCTGATAGCCCACCTACGTACGCCGGAAGCTTGTGGTCGTGTTTGGCGAGAATCTTGCTCATAGGATAGAGAGAAGGGAAGAAAGTATCGTCGTCCACAATAGCAGTCCACTGGGTCTTTGGTGTACTGTGTTCAAGAAGGTCGCGTATAATGGCGAAATGCTGCTCGTTCGAAGTGATGGCCTTGTTCCATGGGTCCTTGATGCTGAGGTTAATCCCATGCTTGCGGAAGTACTCTGTAACCTCCTTGTATTTGGGTTCATCGCCTGGATCTGTGATAACTGCCAATAACTGTGCATGGGTATTGCCGAGCCAGCTCTCAAACTGTGACATCGATTCGTTCAACCGATCGAGGCTTGTCGCAACGCCAAACAAAAAGCCCGAGTAATCCTCTTGAGGGTATGGCGGAGGAACCTTCAGGGTGACAGGTTCGCAAGTGGGTTCGGTCCATCCTTCACAAGCCTGGTCAAGTTGGACGATTTGGCCGCTCTTGATCAAGGTGTCTGGGTTCTGTGACACAACCTGGCTATCGAGCTTCTTGTCCACAACAGGGCGGATACATCGCTTTTGGTAGATAACGTCCCTTGTCAAGCCGTAGGCAGAACGTCGAAGATGGTCGAGAGTGGGGGTACACGATGGTGCAAGATTGAGATCAGGTCGGTCGGGTTTGGCTTTTTCGAAACTGAAAGGTAATGACAAGAATCCTCCGTAGTTGAGAAAGATGACGGTCACTACGACAAATGCTAGGGCAGCAGACCTGCGCCGACCAGAGCGATGCCGGGAAACCATTGCTGATATCGCAAATGTCGCAATCTACTTATATAGCGAGTTTAGAGCGGTAGGACGCTCGTATGCCGATGGTAGTGCCCGCACAGTTCGTAGCGGATCTCTCGTTCGTTCGCTCACGTCAAAGATGCTCGTGTGCAAGTCGGATCGTAAAGGGACGTGATTATCATCCGTTGAGAAGGCTCGGAAGAGATTTGTGGGCAAGAAAGCCGCTGTCGCAATCAGATGCAGCTAAGGAGTAGACAAGGCTTGGCGCAAAGCAAATGGAGCAGAATGACGATGCTGCAGATTGCGTATGTTCGATAAGAATAGGTACACGCGTGGTATCAAAAGTAAAATGGAAGAAATATATACTTTCAAAAAGCGGAAAGAAGGATGCAGATGCAGATGCAGAAAAGCGCCAACCAGAGCCAATGCGATGATGTATGATACAAACTCAAGATAAAGAAACCTTGGCGATCAAAATGTTAGGGGGTCGTGAGATGGCCCCCGGTTCTATAGTGGGGCGGCCGCGAGTAAGGTGCTGACTCGACAATTTTACTCCATAGGTAGATTCAATCATGAAGATACAGTTACATCTACAATAATACACAATATGGGTGTCTTTTTTGACTGACAGCCGTACTTAAGAGCGATATACATCTAAAAATCTCATACATGTACGTGGACGAGTTTCGGATCTTCCGGCAACACTCTCGTGCAACACCACCACACAAAGGCGCTTATAAGGTAATCTTAATTCCACTTCACCTGAGTCCACCCCTTGATGTTTGTCTCCCAGCTCTTGACAAGTGTTTTCGTTGTTCCCTCGCCGATAACCTCCAAAGTGTGTTCTGCGCCCTCAAAAATCCATTTTCTTACCGCTGGCTCGAAATCTCTCCCGTAGACTTGCTCTTTCAGCTTTGTAACAGCCTCTTTGCCCTCTTTAAGTGCCGTCTCAGAGGCAGTGACAACATCCTTGATCTGTGCTATGACATCTTTCGGAAGATTGCTCTTACCAGAACGGTCACGCTCCTTCTCGCGGTCGTTAAAGGCGATAATCCACTGTGCAGCGTTCTTTACCGCCACGGCAGTGTCGCGGAGAATGGCAAGGGAATGGAATGTGCTGAGAGTTTTGACTTGCTCAGAAGGGCCCTCAAGAGAAATAAGGTCAAGTCTCAATGTGTCCAAGGCAATCTTGAGTGTATCGACGATCTGAGCAAACTCCTCGGGGATGGGGTTGGCTCTGTTGATGCCAGTTGTGAAAGGAATAAGCGTGCTTAGCAGACCGATAACCTCAAAGTAGGTCGCCTCCTGAGAAGTAAGGTCTGCACTGGAACCATTGGAGAACTTTGTAAAGGAGTTACTCAGCTGCCTCAATGATTCGAGTACAAAGATCTGGTCAGGAACCGCGGCTGCTGCAGAGGCCTTATAGATGGCCGGGGGCTTGTAGCTCAGCAGCTCATGGAAGGCCTCAGAGAGCAGCGACAAATGAGCGCGACGATTCTATACGTGTTAGTGATGCTTCAAATGACCTCGAAGAATGCATACCGTTGGTGCGGGTCCCACTCGCAGACGAGAATAGATGGGTGGTCGAGAGCTGCAATCCCATGAAGGGAAAGATCCATAGTCGATGTTGTCAACAAGTTTCGTATCATCAGTGACTTCAGCTATTCGCCATTAGCAACTATCAGTATATTTACAAATGATAAACGACTTACCAAACCGCGGGTCAGTAAAGACCTCGGAAAAGTTCTCTCCCATGATTCGGTCAGTCCTGGTCTCCTCGACCAAGCTCATTACCCGTGTGCAACTCCAGCGTAGGTCTTCCATGTAAGTAGGAATATCGATCACACTGCTGTAACTGTTCGACTCAAAAGCATCGATCAAACGTCGAGGCATTCGAAGTTTCAGCGAGTTGTTGTAATGCGAACTCAGCAGTTCCAAGAGTTCCCAACCTGTCTCGTCTGATGGTGAGATGAGAGCTGGTGATATAGTGGAAAGGTGGTCGTAGAAGATGGGGGCGAGAGAGTCCATGATGGTGCGCTTGACGCCCAGGGTATCCCAAATTTCACGAGCTCGTGGTGAGGAGCCAACCAAGAGATGCAGCTGCACGAGTAGAAGGGATATTATACTATGCTTCGGGGCCAAAGTGAGCTGATATTCGAGGAGTAATAAGGCTTGAAGGAGAGGGGCGTAAGAAATAGGTTTGCGAGAGATGTCGGTAGATGGAGGGAATGCGGCCTGGACGTGGCAAAGGGCAACAATGACAGCCAGTTCTGGTCTGATCTCGGCATCCACGGAAGGGCTTTTTGAAGTCAGATCTGCCAACGACTGATGAGCCTTGAGCACCGCCTCGGAAATGCTTGCAAAAGCAGGCCCAGGAGAGCTGGCATCTACATCCGTCTGAGAGACAATACACTTGCGCAGGGGTTTATCTCCAGGTATAGTGCTGTACATCGACGGGCAGGTGGCCGCAAAGTACTGCAGCTTGAACGAAAGGTTTCGTACTCTCGCCGACTTAACCTCATCCTCCATATCCTCCGCTAGTTTAGGAGCATGGTCGTAAGCAAGATGCTTCATTGCGGAGGGGTTGAGTTTCTCCACAAATGGCTTGATGTCATCAAAGCAGGCAGTGTTCGTGCCTTGGTCGTCGATGTACTTGATCAGCTCTTTGAGTCGGAAAGATGAGGGTTCGTTCTCGACAAGGTCGTCCTCGTCATTTGATGCAAGGTTGAAAGCTGCTGAAACGCGTGCCAGCAGAATGATGCGCTTGTAGATGGGTCTCAGATTCGGCGATTTGATGAACTTCAGAAGAAGGGCTTGTACAGTCTCCTCGACACTATATCTCGTCAGTCAATGTTCAGCAAATAGTTGAGTTCCAACATACTCTGGCTTGACTGTCTTTATTTGAGCAGCAGCGTCGATGAAATGTCGCCAGACTTTCCAGTCTGCCGCCAGAAGACTCGGCTGGCCACTCTCATCATCGACCGATAAGCAATCCTTGCATAGCTGGAAGATTGCCTCAAAGTCTTGCTCTTGCTGGTGTCGAGCGATGGTTCTTAATAATAACTCTTTCCTGCCCTTTTGGAACTGTACAAACGGGCTGAAGACGGGGCTAGAGGTGAGTTTCACAAAATCTTCTTTGGAACCGTGCTTCTCGGTCACATCGTAGAACAGTAGAATCTCTTCTTCGGTCTGGATACTTCGGGGCTGTGGTTTAGCGGCGTCGCCTTCAGTGGTGGCAGCCTTTTATGATAAGCGAATGTCCTGGATTGTGAGGAGAAAGGGGTGTTACCTGTTCAGCTAGTTGCGCGGCGCGCTGTATTTGTTTCAAAGAGAGCATTCCATACAGCTTCTTCTTCTCAGGAGGTGATTGGGGACTCGTCTGTCACATGTTAGTCATGCTCGACACGAGAGGTGAGCTACCAACCGCTAATAAATGTGTGATAACAATATTCCAAAACATGAGTGTACGTTCTTGAGGAAATGATCTATCCAAGGTTGCTGCAATCTGTAAATGTCAGTCGATGTCACACGTGATGACGAAACCTTTCGTACCTGTTGAGCGCTGACAAGATCCCAGTGCAGCAGACATGATTCCAAACAGCGGCTGGCACCAATCTTATCTTTGGGTGCAGCTTTGACAAGACGTGCTCTCAAAGGACCAAGTGTTTCGGGATATTCATCCTCCTCATTTAGTCCTTGGGCGGCCCATTCGAGAAGGTCAAGACCATCAACATCCTTGACTACAGTTCCCTCTCTGACGTACTTGTCAATGGCGGTTATGGCAGCGAACTTGGAGCTGGGGTCATCCAGCTGGCTCTCAGCGCAGATTTTGACAATCTATCAAACTACGTTAGTCTATGGGTATAGCATGTATGAATTTTGGAGTTGCCCACCTCATAGTACTGGTCGTTAAACGTTCGAGCCCGCTTCTCTGCAAGACGAATCACAACAGCCCAGTTGCCATCGTTAAAGGCAGTCTGCAGCTGGAGGTCGACACCGTTTTTAAGGTTGGGTCGCTGTTGCCGATTCATGAGTGTCAAGCTTCACGCCACTTTCCTGCTCCAACTGACTGAAATGGACTGAATGAGTGAGAGAATGTGAAATTGAGATGAGAGATTCCGGCGGATTGTTGGAGGGGCTCGAATTGAAAGTGGGAAGTGTGTGGAGGGGCAGATGGAACTGTGGCTGATTAAGCTTGCGCCACATCGCTAGTAGGACGCTACAACTACGGATATCCGCATACAAATGTCAATTTGAGGACGGTTATCATTGTGTCTAAGTTTTTGAGATTTCTGTTATGAATTCCGTTGATATTATAAGCTACCTAATTTGGTCTTTGGATCGTGTCGTGGTTACTATATTCAACAGGCGCAGTGTAAGTTTAGAGGCAACGAAGCACGTACGATCAATATGTTTTAACTCAAAGGTCGCTTAATCATTGCAGCATAGTTTACTCTTACAGCTCAACATAAAAGGACAACTTTTGTAAAATTTAAGATAAAAGGCAACAAATTCTAAACATAAATATTACATAAAATATAGCAATGTCTAATAGCTATCACGATCCTCATACCAAAGACTAACTCAGGGCTTCTCCTATTCCCGAGTCGTTAGTAGGGCGTCCCATCATCAGTTTTGAGCGAACCCAGCATACGGCACAGCTTTCAAGACTAACTTGGTTGCTAAAAGATGGATAGTACTCGCGCTCCTGATTCCGCGGCTTATCGTACAGGTTAAACGAGTGCGCCTCGGCGAACGACGTTGCCCCTATCACATTTACCTCTAGGCCTTGGCTCTGTTACCATGTAAGATTTGTAATAGAGCACTCGGGCGATACTCTGAAGAGTTTTTAACGGGCTCGCCGAGTAATATGTCCGACTTATATCATTCGGTATCACCAAATTTGTTGGTATGTTCTTCCCATAAGCGGCGGTGTGATCATGTGAAGCTCCTTCCAACCTCACTCACGGACTCGGGACGCACAAGCATGGCTATGCTTCTCTAAAACTTAAACCGTGCAACTAACTGATTTATGAGCCTCGGTCCGTACTTGATGAATCGCTTTTTCTCATTGCTGCGGCTCTGTTCTGATTCTGATCAGCCCTATGTTCGTCAATCTATAAAAGACTCTGTCGAGCTTCAATCTCTAATTTCGTTGCTTCAATAGCTATCAAAAAACTTCCTCCATATTCAGCCAAAGAACATGTCTTCTCTACCAGACAGCGAGTCTATTGAACTAGTCGACCGACCTGTGTCGCCTATCAGCCTCGCAACCGAAGCAAGAGACGGCCCCGACTCCACCGGCACAGACTCTACTAGCACCTCGAAGCACGAAGACGTTTATGACAACATTCAATCAGTGAACGACACGCTTCTAGATCCAGGTGCTCCATTAGAAAACACAGGTCAACGAAGGGCATCATTTCCGACAGGATCCCCGGTCGAAAAGCATGTCCTGTATTCTCTAATCACCATCATCGTCATCGGCACCGCTGCCATGATATCTACATGCTGGTTGATCGCCTATATTCAATCCAGATCAGATAAGGGCTATATCAAGGCCGTGGTGGTGGGCGGCAAACTATCCTCAACCCGTGCCAAGCTCATCGACGCTGCCTTCTCCATGCTGGTCTCGCCAGCTGTTATCGCAATCGCCAACTGGCACATGTTCAAGCTCGCCCGTCTTTCGGCCGTGAATGAACATCGTGCACGAAACTCGGCGGTCAGCATGAAGGTCCTTGTTGAGGTTGCGAGCACTGATTGGGGTTCACTCAGTCCCCTGAAGTTCTGGACCTTCGCCCGGTCGAAGGCACCTCGTGTTATCTGCCTGGGAGCTATCGCCGTTCTGTCGGCTCTCAGTTTCTCTTTGCTAGGCAACGTAGTCGCTTATCAACAAGCCGGAGTCGATACACCTACACAGGTGCTCGAGTATATGTAGGACACATACTCGATGCTACCTCAAGGTACGGACCAGGTAGCCTTGGATCAACCTTATTCCCAGGCAGAGACTTCACATGGGCTTCAACATTTGCTCGTGCGTCTACAGTCAACAACGCTCGAGTCTTCCGAGGAAGGGTTGCTAGGCGTCAATGTCTCAGGCTGGTCTAGATCGACGTTGTCGCCGGCGGTTATGCAGCTCTTCGATGCACCAGTTTATCGATTGCAGCTGTCTTGTACACCTTCAAATCTCCAAAACGTGTCAACCGATCTCCCAGATAACCATAACCCCCACCTCCGAATCGCTCTTAATGAGTCACCAGTTTCTGAACTAGAGACGGCCAAATATCAAGCAGAGTTTGGCTTGGAGAAATCCTTTCTTTCCATGGAACAGTTGGACAATTCGAACGAAACGTACCCAGATATCAGATACCCCTTGGTTGCTTTCGGTAGGACGGCTTTCTGGATTGGTAGTATCCAGCTTACTCAATATGATGGTCTTGATGGGATGACTGCCACAAAGCGATGGGGCAGTTTGAGTCCCTTTACTCAAAGCAGCGTGGCCTTCCCGCAACTCGGTATCCATGACGACACCTATAATCTGACTTTCTCAGGAGTGGCATGCCATATCAACAGATCGACTGGACGTGCTGATATCAAAGTGAACGGGAGTGACTGGTCTGTTATTGAGAATACCCTTTTTGGCGAAAAAGTTGAACAACAATATGAAATGCCCATATTGAGCGTTGCGTCAGCTGGAGATGTGTTCGACGACGGTGCCAGAGGGAAAGCACCTGGACTCGGTGGCCATCTACTTCGGGCTGCACTCAACGTAAAAAGTGAGGCGAGTCGTCCTTCCTGGGACTTGGAAACCCTTGCAGATGCTTTCCTGTGGTACGAAATGGAAAGCCGCCACGTATTCATGGACAGCGAGCAACCGAACAAGGCCATGCGGTATCAAGTCCTGTCCAACATCGACGAATACACCATGACATTCATTCCGTGGATTCTCCTATCTGGCCTCATTGCGTTGGTGGTCGCATGTGGACTTTCTGCTGGGCTCTCACTTGATTCCTGGAAAGTACACTCTTTAAGAAGCGGGAGAATTCTAGATTCAATCCGATTGACAGCTGATGTGGGAATGGCCCTCGACAAGCAGGTTTTTGAGAAGTGTTCAACATGGCACGGCACAAGGCTGAACAAGTGTGCCGATGAAGCGCGTTTCCAATACGTGGCTGACATGCGGTTGAACAGTGAAACAAATACGTATGCTGTAGGTATCTGCCTTCGACAAATATCACGGCCACATGACTGAGGGACGATTGTGGGGACAGTTTGTGCTGGTGCTGCTATGGTGCTGCAAACATCCGGAAATGTGAATGGTGAGGTGATTAATTAGTTTGGTAGTTGCCAAAAACGTCCATTGTGTTGTACAGCCTTCGTTGACTTGTAATCTCGAGTGGTGCATCTGTTTCCCCAACGTCTGCCTTGTAGCGGCATCCGCCTCCTCTGGTCGCACAGCATAGGGTCAACCCCACGGGAGCCTGGTCGCGAGTTACAGGCTCCATGGTAAAGAGTGCCGAGGGACGATTGAAACACAGCTGCATGTCTGCTGCAGTCGTACTTCTGACAGTTTCTGAGGAGGTGAAGGTTTAGTACAGAGAACGAAGAGAAACAAGACATGTGTGATCTGCGCACATCATTGTAGACTGCGACATAAGTAGGCTGAGGTGGGTTATTTTGTTAGATTAAATGCGCTGGTCATACATAGGTCTGATGTGTCTTGGTAAAAGATTCCCAAACCTCAACTCCATGTTTTTGTATAGTACAAGATCGTTAAACTCCTTTCGTATGTTACAATAACCTCGCGGTCGCCACGTTTAATCGACGTCGCAGGTTCGTGATTTCCGCTGGTAGATGCAGACTGAATTAGAGCATTAGCTGCTCATTTAAAACCAGCCACCGCTCTCCTTTCTGCGCTTCTCGGTCTACAGCACTCGTTAGTCCTCCGGTCTATCAATGTGATGTTGATTGAACGATAAACGTACCCACACTTGCTTGCAGTCACGATATGCCCTGTCAATCAATCAGTGCTGCCTTTATATCCTGGTCCAGACAACGTACTGGAAATAATCTCCGCACATGTTCTTATCGCCTCCATTCCTGAACAGACATCTATAGCTCGCCTGCGCAGCCTCCTGGCATGGATCGTAGAATTCGCTCTTCGATTTACTAAGCAAAGCGACGCATCATCAGTGTTGAACTCGTCGCATGGTGGGGGCGGTGTCTTACGTCTCGAACTTCCTGCGCTTAACGTCGTTCCATGGTTGCGAGTCGGCCTCCTTCGTCTTGGAAGGCTCGGCGGTCTCAGGTGCGTCTTTCGGCGTAGAGGACATCGTGATGACGTTTGCGAACGATGGAGTATTTGGAGATCATGGGAATGGAACCGCTGGGTTGGATGATTTGATCGGATAGAGTTGAGGCCGGGCCGGACGGTACCAAACACGGTTAGACACCTCGATCCACGGCCGTCTAAGACGGTGGCATGTAGAAACCACGAAGTCCCTCTGTGTTAGACATCCTCAATGAATAGAATTGGTGGAGTCATCTACACCAATTTCTCTTCATTTCTCTGTATATGTGCTCAGCTATATATATAACGCGGAAGGCCCAGGCATCCTGCTGTTGCCGACGGCCCAGCTCCATGTTCCAACTTGGGAATATTCCAACCCACGGCGCTCACCCTATACCAAAACCATCAAACCGGACAATAAGTTGACTTATGACAAAATAGTGGTCTTTGAAGTCGGCGCATGTCTTTGAAAGCTCGATCAGTCATTTCATCGAATTCTTTACATGCTTCTTAGTGTTTTTCCGGTTTCCTTGAAGTACTACGAGGGTTAATTGGCAAAAAACCGCACTCACACGATCGCCTTGACTGACCAAAGGTTGCCGTTTTGACGGCTGAGCATTTGCACAATCACAGTCATGATTCTGTTCTTAGTATGGACTAAATTTTACCGATCACCAGAAACCGTCATCGTTCCAAGCCTTCATTTCACCTTTTGTGCTCTCCAGTAGCCCATCCCTTGCCTTTTGTATTTTCCTGGTGGTTTCTTGGCTGCAACACAAACCAACGTCGAACTCCTTCAAGTCATCATCTCCCATAGTCCCCAGCGCAGCAAGGCCGAGGTACGAATGGTACATGTCCGGCGGGCCCCCTACAGCTTTGGAAAACCCACCGATGCGATGTTGTGTGACGTCCAGCAGATATCGCCGTGAAGGAGTGACGTTGATGATTGATGAGTTTCCAAGCATCTACACAATATGTCAGAAGCTTATTTAAATGGCACTTCGGGTACTTACAGCAAGTGTGCCGCCAACCCACCAGCAGTAGCATGTGTCGGCTTTCTTGTTCCATCTTCCATTGAAGCCAACATGGCCGTAATCGATCTCGCCAGCCTTTGGCTCAAGGAAGTTCTCCTCCACTTCATCATCTGCCTCCTCTTTCACAAGATATGGGAACGAGCGAGCGGCCAGGAATTGAACGAGGCCTTCACGGTCGGGAATGCCCTCTTTCATAGCTTGCTCAGGAGAATGGGGCGATGTGGAGTCAAGTGGTCTGTCTAAGAGAGATAGCGCAGCAATCGCGCAATATGCGTATCCAGCTAGTAAAGTGAGCGATGAGCTGGGGAGACAACAGCTTAAGAGTGCATACCATGAGATTCGTGTTTTGAAGACTCGGCTACTCCACCATCATATGTCTGGATGTGTTAGTACGAGGATCGCAAAAATATCGATGGCTTACCTGGCCCCTTTTGACATGAGCAATCATATCCTCGATGTTCAGATCCTCCACCCATCCGACATCACTCTCTTTCACGTCCCCTCTTAGCATCCACCGAATGCAGCTCGCAAGATAGCTGTGCCTCATATCTCTGCCGCCCACAATATCCCCATTCCAGAGATTCTGTCCGAAACTCCCATCTTTTCTTTGAAGTCCCTTTAGCCACTTCAATAATCTCACCCTGTCCACACCCTTGAAGGCCGATATTGCTTCTTCTTCGTTCTCAGCCGCCAGCCCCAACAGAACGAGCGCAAAAAAAGTTGCTGCGATATTGGCTGTGCCCTTGAATGCTTCTTGACCTGGTAGAGCATGCGTTGAACTTCCGCAGAAACCCCCCTCCGGATGCTGAAGACTGAGAACCCAACGGCGGATAGCGGCACGATCAGAGGGATCGAGGGGGACAGAGAGAAGATCCAATGCGGAAATAGTGAAGCAGGCGAATGTGAGGCGGGTCGAGTCGTATGCTGTGTAAGGAGAAGGGAGATATGTTTTGTGACAGCGCTGCCAGTACTTGATGTGCTGTTGCTTATCCAACGAGGGGTTGCCCGAATCTGACATAACGTATAGTTCAAATAGGAGAACAAAGCATGTATATAGTCCCTCGGAAAGTGAAAAATAAAACGACCAAAAACAATGGTTTTAATGTGAATGCATTGTACTGGGTAAGTTGCTTATTCTGATACAATAAGCTCATAGCTTCGAGGAGCATTGATGGTGGGGCAATCACAGAAAGAACCAGCCACATGCACAGCCACATCTCGTCCCGAGAATGTCCACGAGGTACCCTGGCAAGCTGATTCGTCAGTTACGACAGGCACTTCGTGAAAAGCCCACTATGGCGCTTGCGTGTGACGCAACGTGTGTCTGTAGTCTAAAACCTACAACCCCTGGCGAGCGACCCTTTACTGTTGGGTGTTCATAAAAAGGTTCAGCGTGACCACAAGCTAATCAAGTGCTATAGTATAGTACACTTTGTTTCTGGGGCATCTTCTTTTCAGGCTCCCTTTCAACAGAGTTTCGCTTCTCCTTTCGTTGTCTTGGGTTCCGATCTTGCTCCGTCTGATCCTCCATCCTTTTGGCAACTGGCTACAACTTCATTCTGCGGCACACGCGACACATCGAACCAAACCACCTCCAGCCAGACATTACCTCTAGGTAATCCGAACCACAACCATGGCGCTCATCTCCGCCAAGACCATCATCACTTCCGTCTCCCTCTTCCACCTTACGCTCGGCTACTTCTTCCTCACCAATCCAAGCTCCATCAATGAGCAAGCGCTTGTCTACATGATGGGCGAGAGCATGGGAATGGTAAGTCCGATCGCAGTGGCTCGTTCAGTCTGAGGTTCTTGGCGATGCTGACTCTATATCTTCAACAGCCCGCAGCCAGAGGCTTCGAGCTACAAAGCCCCCCTCTAGCGTTCCTCGCATCCATCCTCGTCTTTATCGGCTTCAGCGACCTGATGTCCCTTTCCATGCCCGACGAAATCTGTCTGGTCTTCCACTGGGGAATTCAAGGTTCGATATCTCGGTGGATTACTACAAGAAAAAAGCTAACCGTATGATGATAGCACCGCTACGATCCTTCCTGTCGCTCGGTTTCGTCGCCTACATCTTCCTATTCGGTCCATCATCTCCCATGTACGACAAGTCCTCCCGCGGCCCCCTCTCCCACCCGAGCGCACATAATCCGTCGTACCGACCTGGTGGCTGGGGAGGCGATATGCTTAAGAACCGTCTGTTCTTTACTTTTATCTTCATCGAGACAATGACATGGTTCTGGGTCTGGGTTACTCTGCGAGAGGAGCGAGATGCGATTCTGAGCAAGAAGTCACGAAGACGAAGCCAATCGCATTCCCAATAAATAGGAGAAAACGTCTAGAGGATGCTGTCTTTTTGGGATGAAGCTTTGGTGAGACTACGCGTTTCTGGTTCATTCAAAGCTGAGGTTGAACACGATTATTTTGTTCCAAGCCCGGTACAGCCCAAACAGCATTGTAATGCATCTTGGTCATGAATTGTCATGATATATATATATATACACGCGCCTAAAGAGCACCGCAAACACAACTAAAAAACACATAAATAATAATATGTTAAGCTCTATCGTTCCATGGTCGTATATAACAAAAAGAGGTATCCATAAGGAGCTATGCGCCAAGCCATTGTTCGATGGCTACGACAAAGCTTGTTGAGAATCATAGAAAGACAATAACACAAACAGTAGCGCGTGTAGAAGAACTTTTAAAACACCATGATAAGGCATGCCCGCTTCCAGCTTCCATGTAATTATACTAGTATCCTTCGTCAAGTCATTGAACCCCTTTATTAGTATAGTAATGCAGAACATTTATATCGCAGGTGCCTTTTCCGCAGCAATAAGACTTCCCCGCTTGTTTGGGATGATGGTAGGTGCAGGTTCCAAGTCTGGTTGAGACTCATTCTCTTCGAAGATCTGCTCTTCGATCATTTCGCCAGGGCGACCTATCACCGGGCTGAAGACGTCAACCTCTTCGATATCGTCATCTTCATCTGAACCTTCATCCTCCTCTTGAATGGTGATTTCTCCGGACCGGCGTCCCAGGCCAGAGGCACTAGCGCTGCGGGAATGCGACCCAGATCCACTGTTGCGTTGTCCTTGAGAAGGCCCACCAAAGTTATTAAGAGTTGGACCCTTGAACAAATTTCGCTTTCTTTTGGCAAACATGATCCCTGAAACAAAAGGATTAGGCGATCCAGGAGCTGCCGATGGACCTTCAGATGGCATACCTTCATTGAACATGTTCAACGTCGGTGGCGTGGCGCGGACAAGACGAATGTTCGATGGAAATGCAACAGAAGTTGGCGTCGCTGGTAGAACCTTTACTGAATGGTGAGGCGAGTGGCCTCGTTGGAGCGGGGTTTTTGACATGGACGTAGAAAACGAAGCAGCTGAACTTGTAGACGACGCCTTGGAATGGGTGTGATGATGGTGATGAATCGAGCGCACTGAGGATACTGAGGAGGATGTCGACTTTCGGCCTCGCAGTCCAGCTGATGACCGCCTCACAGTCGACCTTGGCGTGAGGGGAGAAGGCGATAGTGACTGCCGCTTGTAAGATGTAGCAATCCGAGGTGGCTGCATGGTCGGTGACGCTAAATTACCCGAGGGCGTTCTTTGGACACTGCTCCCAATTTGATATGTCTTTTGGCCATTAGCTACAACTCCCTTTGGTAGAGCCGCTGTCGGCTGGGTGCCTGGCGAAGCCGTGGTAGGGTATTTGCTTGTCTGCGGTCGCGAACTCCCATCCTTGCTGCTGGCTGTGCTCCCCTCCTTTTTATGGAGATCGGGCGTACTCTGACTCGTCCGCCGGGCATGACCACGTCGTCTCCGTGTTGCGCTCTCAACAAGCCAATGTGTCACATTCTTCCAGTGGGATATGAGTGGCTGGCTAGGCCTTCTTCGTGGTCTCTCGTGGCCGTTCTGTTGATGGTGAGCATGTTCACTGCTGCCGTTAGAGGCGAGTGCATCCGAAGTAGTTACCAGATGAAGGGTCGAGCCTCGAGACCGAGCACTCCGTATCATGCCCTCCTTAGGTGGCGGTATAGGTCTGCGCTGGCGAGATGTCGATACAGACCGAATCGAATCCTTGTCAACAGGTGGTGGGGGTCGATCGTCATCTGCAGTATTCCCAGAGTCCCTACTAACTTCGGGAAGTTGTGGAAGATCTGACACGATGTAGTCAACGTAATGTGCGCTTCGCCGCTCGCTTCTTCCCCTGTTTCGGGAATTCGATTGTTCCAGTCTCAGATGTCGTCCTGTGCCGTTTGCTTCGTCGACTTCGTGCAGAATAGGTGCCATCCTTTCTAATCGGCTCGACGCAGCGGAAAGTCGTCGTATACTTCGACTGTCGGGCTCTCTCTCCCTTCTCTTCTTTTCTCTGCGTTGCATTTTGCGGTGCTCCTTTTCTAGCAAGAGAGCCCACCAACCAGCTAGCGCATCGCATTTCTGCGCAAGTACGCTTTCAATCACCCCATCAATGTTAACACCGGCGCTTCGCATTCTCTGCAGACAGTCCTTCTCTAGGGGTGTTGAGAAGGGGGGTGCCTGCTGGACGTTCAATATGGCTCTTTGAGTTGGAGCATGCTCTGACAGGAATGAATTAGACATAATCTCGGGCAGAGTTGGTCGCAAAAGCGGCCTCTTGGACAGTAGTCCCCTGATCAAGGGAATCGCATCAGGAGGCATGTGTTCAGGAAATTTGGGATCTTCGCTCAAGATCTTGGTCCGCGTCACATTGTCGTCGTCATCGTCGAAAGGAAGTTCTCCGCATAGGAGTGCGTAAAGGATGATGCCCAAACTCCAGACATCGACCTTCTCTCCAGCATATCGTTCTCCTTTGAGCATTTCGGGTGCCGAGTAGCAAATGGTGCCGCAAAACGTCTGCAAGTGGTTGGTTCTGCCCTCGTATTCTCTTGTGAATCCGAAGTCGACGAGTTTGACGTTTTCGTGTTTATCGAAGAGAATGTTCTCTAGCTTGAGATCGCGGTGAACGCAAGACTGGTTGTGAACGTAGCTAACCGCACCGACGAGCTGTGTGAAGATCTTTTGAACTTTGTGGACTGGGAGCGGGCCGTTTTCGAGAAGATGGTTGTAGAGTTCATCGCCTGGCAATGTTAGCAGGGCACTTGCTAGAAATAAGCCAGGGTATAGTTACCGGAACAGTACTCAAGGACCATCCAGACCATGTTCTCCGTCACAATAACCTCGTATAATCTTGCGATGTGTGGATGTATAAATTGTCGGTGGTGGTGGATCTCGCGCGCGAGGTTGGAGTCGCCCTTGTTGGCAGACTTGAGGACTACCTTCTCAACGTTAGCTATTGACGTGGAGATGTCGCGGGGATATTGCGGACCTTGGAGCCATTTGTGAGCTTGTGTGATGCAAGGTAAACCTTGCCGAATGAACCTTTCCCGATCAGCCGTCCGAGAGCGTAGTTGCCAACAGATTTGAGGTCATGGCTCGCGAACTCACTGGAGCTAGGTTAGCGAGTGCGCAGTAAAGCAGGGAAGAGAACGTACTCGAGAAGCTCTTGATATGAGCGGGCAAGCTGTTCAGTGTCAGAACTACATCCTTTGCTAGATCCACGTTTGTCTTGATGTCTGCCCAAATAACATACCTTTGCCTTGCGCACAAGCTCAGCTTGTCCTTTTATGGCCTGCATCCCTCCGCGCCGGATGCAGCCTGGCCACGCCGCGAAATGTGAATCGTGTACGTTCGGTCAAAAGTGAGAAAATGTTGATTTATTTGGAGCAGCGGTGGAGAGGCGGTGGGAATGTGTCCCGGCGATAGCGGCGTATTAATTTGGAACTGCGACGGCACATGCAGATTGGCCTAGGATGCGGATTGAATGTGGTAAGGACAGACTCGCAACGGCGTAGTAAAAGTTGAAGCTCAAATGTACAACATCAAGTATGGTGTGTATCAAGCTTTTTGTTCTCAATGAGGTCGTGATGGATGTTTCGTTTCGGTTCGTTCGCAGTTGTCATTTGTCTGCGGTCAGACTGAGGGTCGGTGGACAGATGGAGAGCGATTCGCTATTCGTCAAGCAATGCACGGTGATGATCGAGAGAAATGCAGGATACAGTTGAGAGGACGGCAAACAAACATAAGAATAAGACGCAGAAAGAAGAGGAACAAGTGATTCTTCAAGGTGACGTGACGTGACAACTGTTTGTTGTAGGGAGCGAATGTTAAGGTTTGGGGTAATAAATTTGGAGCTGGAGATTGGATGTTCGCGGGTGTACAGGGGTACTTGTGACGCCAGTGTTGGTTCACCCAACGGGGAAGTACCAGTCAGCAAAAGCTGATTTCTTCAAATTCCTAGACTGGAACAAGACAGCTATTGAAGGCAGCAAGACGTGAAAAGAATACAATTTGATGCATGCCATAGTATAAGCATACTCCAAACAGAGGCCAGTTAAACTTTGGATTTTGGCATAACTCATCGGCGCCACAAGACGTTTGTCTTCAAGACTTCAACGGTGAGCATCGGACGGGGAAGCGTGGATGCTGATGAGTTGGACAAGGGGATAAGCACGAGCAGGGGACTTCGATTCGCCCGACGATGGGATTGAGGCCCTTTAATCAAAACATGCAGGCCTTGCAGGGGGCACCATTTGTCCAGGTCTAGGGTGGGTTGTTTCTACGGATTATCGACAACAGCGAGGTTCACAAGAATAAACTATCTTGGCATGACTCGTGTAATAACAGCTCTTTACTTGGAGTTGGTCATCCAGGAACATTTTGCTGTTAACATGCTTTGGGACATATATATCCGATTACGGCAATCCAGAGCTTAACAAAAAGAACTTGCAAGATCTATGACGCTTGAGGTCCATAGTCCACGGTTTGACTTATGGGAGGTTACCTCGCCACTATTCATTCAATAGCGATTTTACAGTTCAACGTCTTATTCGAACAAACATGAGAGGGATCGATAGACAGACACATTGTTTTCTCGGATCTCCAGGTTGGCTTGGACGATGTATCCAGAAATAAATGTTTGGCCCTGCCTTTCTCTCGTTGTTCACCAGAATGAGTACATGAAAGCATCAATACAGCACAGTTGGACTTCTGGCCAAGTGTCACCATCACCACATATTGCTGTGACCAACAATCATCCTGATAGCAAGTTCCTGGAGTTGAACCTGATGCCCCTAGGCCATATTTGTCCATTGGACTTTGCGCGTGTTCTTCCTACATGTCGATTCAGAGCCAGGGTCTATCAGACCAAGTTGACGACAGTGGCGCTTCACCTGCGGCCTGGAGAAGTTAAAAACGCACAGTCGTTGACAAACAACCCGACGCTGTCGAGGCTGTCGTTTAGACGGTAGCACCCGATAATGGGACGGAGAGTCGGATATCGCTGGAATCTACCCAACAAGGTTAGCTGTCAAGTCGTGTGAACGGGTAATCTAGCCTAGCCCAGGTAGTTGACGTGTGATTGTGATAACTTGTCTAGTCCAAGTGCTAGCGAGGCTCTTCGGAGGCATTTCATAACCCTCACATACCTCACCACGAGTCCATGACCCTGTTTCCCAGTTCTGAACTGCGGATCATTGTGGTTGTTGACTCATCACATACTCTCCAATAAACGATCTGATTAATCATTCGATCATGACGATACCATCAAATTTGTCTGTTTCATCTACGAGCAGATTTGTTCCTGCTCCGGGTCGCTTACATACTTCATACTGGACTTAGCCATCTAATTTCGACGTAGGATAGCAGTGCTAACATGAAGACGAACAATTAAAGAGATGACTCCTGGACAAACTTGTTGTGGTTGTGTTATGAACAAAAACTAGCCACAGGGGAGAGTCTTGTTGGTGGCCGAGTCTAGGAAACTCAAAGCCATCAACTGGTATGCGCGGGTTGAGCAAAACTGGTTATTAAGAGAGTTTTTCAGGTCCCAACCGCCAATGCTACCAGCGAAACGTCACGATAAGGTTTTATGGGCGTCCGATATTGGCTGGCTCAATTCGCTTGCCAGAGCTTCCTACTGCGGGTGCCTGCGCCAGTAGCGCCATCAATTGAGATTAAGGTTTTTTACTTGAAGCTATTCACATCCATAGCTTGGATCGGGTATAGTCTGTTCCTGTCAGCTTCAAAGCTAAAAGCCATATCCATGCAAGCCCTGTTGGGTCTGGCGATCTCAGGACAAAGAAGACGGAAATGTCAACTGCGTTGTTGTTGAAAGAGGCATCTCAGAGCAATTCACCACAGCATCAAGTTTGGTCTATACGGAGTCTTAGCCCTAACTTCATGGTACGCAATCTGGGATCCCATATCTTTACAGCCGGCCCAACCTACCCACGAAGCGTTAGATGCCCTCTCTTTGGAATGTGGCGTCAAAAGGATGGGATGCCCCGAGCCCGTACCCACTAGCTAACACATCTGGAGAGCGGAACACCATGTGGGTTTAACTCTCTAGATCAATGCTTTAGAGCATCCACAATGGGTATGAGTTGGATGCGTACCGATTATCAAGCCAGTATTGGACGCCAGTGGTAACTCAGGCGTTGGTCTTGGCTCAACTGTCCCCAGGAATGATCTATTTGAGAAGATCATGCCCCCAACCAGCTTGGTATTTGTTAAACCGTTCGAGCTTAACTATTCAACGAGCGTTGAACAAGGCCTTGTCAATTAACTTTCCTTGTTCAGCCTCCCCAATTACTCAAAATGGCGAACAAAACCAAGACTCTTCTCTGTCTGCTTGCCTTTATGGCCTGGGCTGAGGCATTCTGGCGAATGTCATGCAGTATCATCCAAACTGGACGAGTTGACCCCATAATTGCACCTGGGACATTCTCAGCACATGTCCACAAGCTCTCTGGTGCCAGCAATATCAACATCAACTCAACATTCGAGAGCCTGCAAGCATCAAGATGTACTTCTTGCGAAGTGCAGGATGATAAGTCTGCCTACTGGACACCCCAACTCTTCTACCAGCATGCAAACGGCAGCTTCCAGATGGTGCCGAACGGTGGCACCGTTATATACTATCTTGGACGTGGAGAGAACAGGTCAAACACTGAGCCGTTCCCTCCAGGATTTAAGATGCTGTCTGGCGACAACTTTGTTCGTTCATACGACTCCAAGAACAAGACATATGGCAACTCTAGGTTCAAGGGTCGCCCAGTGGCCGACAGAGTTAGCTTTGCCTGCCTCGACAGCTCTGGCCCTTCGAAAGAGCGCAACTACATGTGGAAGACTGACTGCGACAATGGCATGAGAGCTCAAATTCACTTTCAATCGTGCTGGAACGGCCAAGACTACCAACGTGATCAAAGTCATGTCGCCTACATGTCCCAGATAGACAATGGCATCTGCCCTCCAAGCCATCCTCGTCAGCTCCCTCACTTATTCTTCGAGGTTATCTATAGTGTCAATAACATCGACAAAAGCAAAGGCGGGAGATTTGTGTTTGCAAATGGAGACACCACTGGCTACGCGTTTCACGGCGACTTCCTCAATGGCTGGAACCCAACAGTTCTTGCGACAGCCATCAAGAAATGTATCAACAACGATTCTATTGGCGGCGCGATATCCAATTGTCCCGTACTCGCTGCTTCACAGACACCGTTCTTCAGCGATAACTGTCCCGAGATGGCACCTCTCGTGGATGAGCCTATTCGAGGCCTGCTTGATGCTCTTCCAGGCTGTATCAAACCTTTCAGCGGTCCTGGACGAGCATCACCGGCAGTATGTGACTCCAAACCCTCCATTAACAACCTCGGCGATGGCGGTATTGGAACGATGTTCGATCCCGCCATTGGAGATAGTGTGGGCTCTTGGAATTTCGTAGGCTGTGCTTTGGAAGGCACAAAGCGAACCCTGAACAAATACGCTGTCACCTCTCGCAATATGTCTATTGAGTATTGCACGGCGTCTTGCAAGAGCCAAGGCTACCCACTTGCTGGCATGGAGAATGGTCGAGAGTGCTACTGTGCCAATTTACTTACTCCAGGAGCATCATATACCAAAGCTTCAACTTGTGCATCATCAAGAAAGATGACATGCGCAGGAAACATGACCCAGTATTGTGGAGGACCCGACTTCCTTACCATATGGAACGACACCTCATATACACCACCCGTTGAGCTTATTGTTGGCCAGACTCAGATCTCTTCGGGTCTGGCAACCTACTATGGTTGTTTTGCCGAAGGAAGCAGCGGGAGGGCACTCTCGTCTGATCGTACAGCAGACGTTGTCGGCATGACCAACGAACAATGTGTCGCGTTTTGCCAGGCAGGAGGTTGGGCGTATGCCGGCACAGAGTATTCCCAAGAATGCTACTGCGGCAACGAGATCGGCAATGGCGGATACGACACGACCGATATCTCCCAATGCTCGATGCAGTGCAAGGGTAACATCTTCAGTTACTGTGGTGCCGGAAACAGATTGAGTGTTTGGAAGATCAAACAATCCGATCAACCCAAAGGCCCCATTACGGCTCTCAATGGAGCTGCACTCTGGTCAGGATGCTATACAGACGGAGGGCCAGGTGGACGAACACTCCCAAGTGCTGTTTTCACCGGTTCTTCTGTTTCACTCGACACATGCTTCTCCTTCTGCAACAAGCTCAACTACCCTCTCTTTGGAATGGAGTATGGACGAGAGTGTTACTGCGGCTATGCGCAGAAGACCCAGGCCACACTGGCGCCAGATGGCGACTGCAAGACACCTTGTGCTGGCGATTCTACCCAGAAGTGTGGTGCTGGTAATCGTATTTCCATCTGGAATAATACGCTTTACACACCTACAATTAGCACGGAGGGGCTCAATACTCCCCCCAAGTACCTCGGCTGTTATACAGAAGGCAAGAATGGCCGTGCTCTTGGAGATGCCAAAACTACGGATAAGAAGATGACACTTGATATTTGTGCAACATTCTGTTCAAGCAAAGGCTATCCCTACTTGGGAGTTGAGAGCGGAAAGGATTGCTACTGTGGTAAGAAAGGACCATCTAGCGGCAGTGTTGAGGCTCCTTCGTCGGAGTGTAGTGTCCCTTGCAAGGGAGACAAGTCACAGAAATGCGGCGCGACCAACAGACTCAACGTATACAAGCTTGCCAGAGTGTCTAAAAGCAGCTCCTCTGCCAAGACAACATCGAAAGCTGCCGCAGTAAATATTCAAGGTCACAAGCCTACATCGAAACATGCCACCGGCAATTCGAAAACGACTCTTTTGACTGCCACAACTAAGGCTCCATCAAAAGCCACGACGTCGACTACGAAAGTCGGGAATAGCAAGGCAAAGTCTACGTCGACCCTGAAGACAAAGACAAAGGCGCAGGTTAAAACAACCTCGAAGCCTGCGAAGACAACACAAAGTACAACAAAGTCGACAAGAACGACTTTAAAGGCGAAGAAGACGGGTTCGCCACGGGTAGTGAGGATATGAATTTATGTATAAGATACCTAATATTAATGAGACATGATCACTTTTATACTTCACACTCCTGGTTAAGGGGAATACGCATTGTAGGAAATAAGTTTAGGCAATACTATATCATCTTTTAAGTCATTACATTTGCAAGGACTAGTAGGAAACTGCAAGCATTAGTACATATTAGAGCAATCAAGTACGAATAAAAACATTTAGTAAACATCAACCTGCTACCGAATACAAGAGAGAGGGAATGATAATACCCATGCGGTGAATGATGTACAAGTAGTACTGGACGGCTCGTATTGTGCATCCCATCAACTTTTGACCCCTCTCGCGCTTTGAGCATTGATGGCTATGGTTTTCCCAGCTTAAAAAGACTGGAAATCCCAATACACATATACAAAGACGCCCCCGAGATGATAGTAATACTCTTTCACAGAGTTACCGGACCCCTCAGGTTCCAGACATCGCGAACTTCCTGTATAGCCCTATTAAAATAGTGCCAACATCCAGTGACACTATGACCTCCTCATCCCACTTGTCCCCAACTCCTCCGATTGCTCAAAGCAAGCCCATCTGTCTCAGCGTATCTTCCAAGAGAGTGACACCAGCCAAATAGATCTTTAGCTGTTCATCCAGGACCTCAAGCATCGGTTTCCAGTCCCGTTCGAAAGTTCGTGTTTTTCGCTGATAGACAAGAGGGTTTCAGCGGCTGCTTTGTCATCTCCAGTGTAGCAAAGAAGATGTACCAAAAGTTGGATGTTGTGGCCTTTGGTCTCTTTAACAAAAACGGTATAGATATCGTTTAAAGTGGCAAGGGTGGAGTTAAGTTCTTCGGACAGGTGAATCATTGATGCGTTGTACTGCTCAGCCAGTCCGGAATAGGGTCTTGTCGTAGGTAGTTGGCTAAGACAATAGTCCAAATAGTCGACACGCTGCAGAAGAGTGGTGCCAGAGTCCAACACGTGCCTTATTTGTCCAGCCTGAATGTTGTGACGTTCTCGCATATCGGTCACACGTTTGGCAATTAATGCACACTTCCGAATAGTTGCCCGGAGATCGGGAGAAAACTGATGGTTGTGGGAGCTCATTTCAACGAAGAATGTGGAAGGAACTGTTGTTCGTAGGTATGTTAGTGAGTTCAAATCATGTACAACGTATAACTTACTCCTAGCATACGTTTTGCAAATGTTTGTGCGTACAAGTTACAAACTGGATAGTAAAATGGAAGAGGGAATGTAGTTGACGGGGTTGTTTGGGTGAAGATTAGTAGGCAAAGAAGCTGGACGTGAATGTTACCTGACTGCTCTTTTAGATGTGTATCGGCAAGTACTGCCAACAATCATTGCCAACCATAGACGCCCAGACCAAAGCACCCAAGATATGAGGCAAGAATGATGATGAGATGGAATAATACTTTACGTTCAAAAAGTGTTAGACACTGGCCGTAAACCGGAAAGAGAATTGCCGACCGTATCCATTCATGGGCATCTAGAGATCGCTCCTCTCATCCAGCGGTGCCAGAATCAAGACGGATGATTTTTTGGCTTCGTTCTATCCTGGACCTACGACTCCGAAAATCGCCTTTTAAAAGCGACCAGATTCTTGTCTGTTCTCGATTTCAACTCCACCCCTAGAGGCATATGAGTAATCCTCTCAAGGATGACACAAGAGGTATAGAACATACATTTATTTAGAACAAGTCAACGATCTCGAGTACAATTTTCTACTCAAGCCACCCTTTTCGAGCATGCCCTCAGGACTACATTTTTACCTCTTCAGTTAAAGTTAACCTCAAGGACATTTACCGAAATCACTTAATATGGCCGATCCAAATTTTATCAACGTCACATAGGCACTGAGGATTGTAAGAAACTGCAAATTTTTTATATGTTTCCAAAAGTCTATTCAGCCAATCTTTCACATAGCCCAAAGTCGTACCAAAGTTCCTCCCCTGATACCTGATTGACCGGCCACTCGCAATCTTTATCACACTACGAACATGCACTCACGTGGACCAAGCAAGTCCTTGATACTTCAAAGCCATAAGTACAGACTCTAGAACACAAAAGTTTGACAAAGTGGCTCTTGACTTTAACATTCCTCCGAGAGGCTTCTAGCTGTCATCGCACAAGGTGTAAAGACCAGGTTGACGACACACAAACATTCCATCCGCAAAACGATCATTATGATAAGACGAGAGCCAGAGTGGACCAAGAGTATCAGTTGTGAGGAGGCGATAAAAGAATGAAATCAAGTGAGGCGCATCCAAGTTTGGCAATGAACGATCGCTCATATAACGACGGGCCAGCCAAGCAAGAGCCTAACAAGGGACGTCCGAACATCAAGCGTGGCGTGACACTGCTAGTGTTTCTATCTATAATCTCGATGAGTTAGAAATTTAATACTTCATTTGTAGTGTCCATTTAAACCGATATTAGACTAAGCATTAATACTCCAGTTATACCTATCATCTCTTGCTTTCAGCCAACTAAATTCCTCTTTCCCCATCTATGTGATGTGTAGTTGTGTTGTATTGTTGACTTGTTGAAGCCTTACGTCCAGGTGCAGGAGCAAACCTAACTGCTTTGCCGACCTCAGCAGTGATTTCTCCATAACCCCTAGTCCGTCATGTCTGTGATAAATCGAAACGTCAGACCACTTACGAACTCCTCCGAGCCTATCTCGATACTGCATCGAACTACCTCGTAAAAGTTTGTCTCGTATGCCCGCAGGCGTTCCTCTTGTTCACGAGTCTTAATGAGAACGGCCTTCCCATGGACCAAATTAGAGTGGCCCTCATCATCTACCAAAGCATGGTATTTTCCCCAAGTCTTCAAAGCTCCCCCTCGAACTTTCGCTGCGTAGTATTGAGCTTGGAAGTCGGAACCAAGGAGCCTTGCTAGAACGGATGGGTCGGCAAGGGTCCCGTAGAAGAAATACCAGACGGGATATTCATTCTGTGCAGGACAAGGTAGTTTATCTGATCCAAGTCGATACTGAGGCAGTGTTGTATCCAGACCCAGCGTTGGGTAAAGAGAGCTCGACGAGAGATCCTTTGATGCATGCAGATCCCGGACGAATGTTGGCACGAAATCTGGGTAGGGGGATTCCTTTAGCCATCCCTCAATGGCCAGCTTATCTATCCCGTTGATCATAAGAAAGGAACTGGTTTGTCCAGAGAGGTCGGTAGCTGCAAAGGTTTCAGTTGAGACTGATGATAGACCAGCTGCCTGAACGATTGCTTGGACACTGTTCAAGGGTCCTTCAAGCTTGATCAAGAAGTTTGAGGCTCGAAGCCTTCGCCTCTCCTTCAAAGTGATCTCCGGGTGTTGGTTGACCGTATCACGCGAGATAAGACCGCATAAATGTTCATAAGACTCACGGTCGTGTCCTTCAGCCTCCTTCCGCTCTCGAACGAGGGACCAGTGATTGTCAGAAACAGTGAAGCGGACCAGGTCCTTCCGGTGCCCCGTGATCTTGTTCTCCGCCACTGCAGCAGAGTAGTTGAATAGCTTTTGCCACTGAGCGATAGTCGATTCCAGAATCTCATCATTGGTCTGAAGCGCCGACGCGGCTTGCGCCATCCCTTCGAGCTCGTCAAGGAAGTCCATGGTTCCTCTTGTATAGGATGGCTGAGCGCAAGCTGTGTGATTTGACAGTTGTGATGTTGATGAAAGGAAGGGAATATAATAAGAAGGAAGAAAAGCTGACAAGACAGAAGTCAGCAAAGTATTTTATACCTTGATGAAACCTTACATTAGGGTAAAGTGAGTGGAAGAAAACTGTGTTTTTTATCTGTGTAACTTTGATCTTTCTCGGCAAGAGATTGAGTAAAGTTAACTTTAATTAATTGAATTAGGGCGAAATACAAAGGAGATATGATATAAGCATTGGAGTAATGCTTAAATTGGAGAGGCTTTGTTGAAAAAAAAAACGGGATAAAGTTAAGAGTAGTGAACTGAGTTGCTTTACCAAAGGCTATGTGAAGTGAATGTCTGGCTTGATATGACGCCGAGATTACCAACAATTATAAATCTCGCACGATATAATTGTGATGCGATAGATTTCTACTACGGGTTCATGGAAATTATTTGCAATGTCATGAGTGACATCGCTTCGCTATTTGTTACAAATAATCCCATTCCACGTCGTTGCTTCACCATAACCGCTCACTCCAATATGTAGGACATGATACAGGCGAGTCAGACGAGCAAAGCCGCAGCTGGAGACGTAACAATGCCATAATCTAAGGGTGACAGCGATGCCGAAGAGCAGCAATGAAGAGCTTGACGAAGGAATTATTGGTTAAACACCATGTTTGGCCTACACAGATGTACATTTGATGGCAAATAAACATAACGCAGGAGGGATCGAATTGAAACACTGCCGCTCAGCTTTACAGTATTTCATATTATTCAGCACCGGCTCGCAACTCCGACCAAGTTATGTTCTATTAAGATATCACGAAAAAGAGATGCTTGTTATCGTATTGATGCGATCTCGGTCTATATAAAAAGCGGTGTCATGCATGTAGATCAAGAAATTAATCGTGAAAGAGAATGATATAATAGCGCTAGCTATAACTTGGATTAAATGTATCCAAACACCTGTGCTCGGAGAAACCTCGAATAGACGCACCACTATGTCCTCAACCGGGAAGGCTTGTGTTTCGTGTATAATGTTCAAAAACAGTAGTCGAAGCAAGAAGATATCGTCTAACACAGCCCAAAATTGATGTCATGCTTTGTCATGATGTAGGACAAACCTCTCGGACCAAAAGCTCGGGGATCTGGGTCATTCCAGAGAAGTTCAACCAAGCGTGCACCAGCCTTTACTGCGCCAGGTGTGCGAGTAGCCTTCCCGATCAATCCTATCCTAAACACTCGGATATGCTCCTGGCGTCGCGAGCACGAAGCGATCATGACTCCAGGCCAGAGAAGCATTCGGCGATATGGAGATTCGCTAACGAAAAGGGCGTAGAAGAAAGGCATTATCTTGCCGATTCGCATTTCGAGTTCAGCTGCCATGAGTGGATCGGCCAGTAAGTCCACGTGAAATGCCGAGTGTAGATAGACAATGAGTGCGTTCTGGTAGATAATCGTTGCACCAACGGCCTCTTGACGTGGACGAAGGCCATCGCGGTTTTCTTCGTATGCGTCGAAGGCTTCCAATCTTGCAACCATACATTCATATTGTGTCTGCAGGGCTGTAGGTATACTGGGATCCAGTAGTTCCTCCTCGCGACGAGCTTCAACGAGTTGTGAGATCTGCGGTATCATCTCAAACAGACGCTGTCCGAAACCAAGCAGACAACCTCGGGTTTTGTAGCCGTTAAGAACATTCAAGGAATGTACCGAGGGATCAATATCCACAGTCTGCTCGGAAAGCATGTTGCGAGGAGAGATAGCCAGCTTTATTGCATGATAGGCGTACAGCTCCAAAATAAATCCTCGCATGTACTCAAGCTCGTTGTTGGACTGAGGAGCTGACGCCAGCAAAGCTATGTACTCGCGACTGGCTTTCAGATGATGATAAATTGCGCCTCTAGTAGTTCCCTGCATGTGCTAGTGATTGTTAGCCGGATATCATTGGAAGATTGCAGTGCTGCTGGCTGCTTACATCATAAATACAGAGAAGCTGCAAGATTAACAGAACTTGCGACGACCTTGTCGATCTAGTCTGCGTGTCTGTTGCAGGGATGAGTATGCCCGTGTCATAAGACAGCAGCTTTTGCAGACCTGCCAATACACGTGCGAAATGACTACGAGTCACCACCTCCAAGCCGCGACCCGCGACTGTAGTATCGTTGATCGTAAGGTGAGCTCCCGCAATGGCAAGCACACAGTCAAGGACTAGCTGGTCTTTTGCAGCCAATGGGAGTAAATAGTTGATGAAGGGGTTCCCATCCACGGTAGGCCCCCGTGTCAGCATGTCGGCAGTGAAATCCAAGTACTGCTGATAAAGGGGCCGCGATTCGGCGCTTAGATAGGCCAAGTTGCCATAAGTAAGAGCCGCGCGGGGAGATAAAGATGAAGGTGTGTCAGTGGCTTGCGGGATCACCAACGTAGCGGGTACACTAGAGTCTTCAAGGTTGAAAAGAGGTTGCTGATTGGAGTTGTCGATATAGTTGCCGTCTTGCGTGATACCATTAGAGTGCGTATCTGTTTGTTGATTCGGATCTTGAGTGGGCCAAACGCAGTCCTGCTTGGAACGAGTGCATCCCGTACAGATTGGCTTCACTTCGTCACATTTCTTACGCTTGGTCCGACAAGTCAAACAACCATTTCTAGATCTTGGGTGATTTCGACGCCACTTGGTAGGAAACGGGGCACCTCGATATGGGAGCTCTTGACCATCCATTGTTGTTAAGAGAATGTTGTTAGTCGACTGATAAGTGGTGATGGTGATCTAGACGACAAACAACGGGGAATAAGTACAAAAGACAAGAAAGAGGTAGCCTGCAGATCTCCTCCATTTTGCTTTGGGTCGTCATCTATGTAGGGCTGAGAACAATAAGCCATGATGTTTACCTTGATACAACATAGCCTTGCCCGATGAGCCTCGATGCGGGGAGGAATTTCTTATCTAGCCGTTTATCGACATGATCCATGGAACTGATTGGTCAATTTTCGCCGTCATACAAGGATGAGAATCCTCCGAATCCTCTGCTCCACTGATATCTCCCAACACGATGGAACGGCGGACAATTGTTAAACGGGGACCAATCAATGCTCTCAAACACGAATTAAGAATTCAGGGCCCTTTGTTTAAGAAGAATCCTTTCCCCATATCCGCAGCGTGATTGGTTGTCTTGCTACTCTGAGGCGGCACTAAAGGAAGCCGGCAATGTCATCGCACCCATTACCCCAAACGTACATCATGAACGGATGCTAGCAGTTAGTCCGACTCCTACCGACTTTGAGTTACACAATCTGAATGACCAGGAGTGAAAAGAGGTGCATAGCCTCAATTACTAATTGAAATCATGATCCGATACCGCCGTAACAGTGCACGCAGTTTGTATATATTGGCAACCATCAACGTCGTAGTCAAGATTACTAGAAAGTCATTTCACAAAGCAACACGACTTCCAATGGTAGGATTAGCCAGTTGTATGAGGCAGAGTACGAACTGGAATGCTAACACCTGACGCGTGGGATAGTTTCCGGGATAATAGCTCGATTATCGGCAACTATATGTGACTGCCCGTCATTTATTGTCGTGGAATCGGGTGACTATGAAGGAGGAGGTAAATATATACTATCGAATGAAGACGATTGCTTAGGCAGACGTGGAAGAAATCGACCAGTGAACCGACCAACAAAGCTACCATACAAACTATACAACAATGTCCACTAACTCAGCCGTTTGTCGTATCCCTGTCAGCATTTGGGTCTCGACATGTGATGTCCAGTTTACTCGTGTCTATGTTTTGACAATCATACACTGGCGGCTTCAAGCTTGGAACCTTGACCGTGATGTTGCTTGCCGCGATATTACTGCAACGCTATGGAGATGTTAGATGAGTTTGTTATATGGTTGCATCAGTTGTACTTACATCAGGCGCACTGCAGACAAGAGATCCCGCTCGAGGATCGAATTTCTTCGACACCGTGCCCCAGAAGTTCTTCATCGTGATATCCTCGATGGTCAGGTTCGCCTAGCGACGTCGGTGAGTACTTGAGTTGATGTGCAGACCAGGGAAACTTACCGGAAACTCATTGCAAAGAGTCTGGTTCTTTTGGCCGTAACATTGAGTGATGGTGATAGCGTTGTCATTGTTCTCGTGGTAGAAACGATCATATGTAACGTTTCTCACGCGGCCAAGACCACCTCCTCCGTTCAGCAAACTTTGAAAAGCAGTCTCAATACCGGGCCACACCTTGATACGAGCACCGTCACTGGCGTTGGACATGGAGATGTTGTAGATATACAGGTTCTCCACGATATCCGTCTCGCCTTTGTACTGACCCAGAGAACCAACACTGATACCGTGTGAGCCGTTGCAGACAAGGTTCTGGACGACAACGTTTGTACTGTTTGGCTTGAAGGACACACAATCTATAACTCTTAGTAATCCGTAGCAACCACGTGAGAGCAAACTTACCATCAGTGTTGTCAATCACAGAGTTCTGAATGACTACCCTGTCTGAGCGATATGTGTCCCAGCCGTCAGAATTGGCAATTTTAACACCGTTCACGCTCTTGGCCTGCAGATCAAGATCGCTGATCAATACATCAGTACTGTTGATAATAATGTTGAACCACTAGAAAATGTGAGCGTGAGCATGGTCTATATGGGATACTGTCGAAACATACGTTGGGTGAGTTTCGCATGCGCAAGTTCGACATCGTCAGTCCATGAGCATCTTCAATTGTCAACAAGATTGGGCGTAACAACTGTACAGCAATGGTTAGTTCGTATAATGACATTTTGTTGTTCTGATCTGACATACTGTCTTGTTCTTTGCCATCTCCTCCCAGTATGCCTGTCCTTGGCCGTCTAGTAAAGACCCCTTGTTTTTCAGGTCTCCGTAGATGTGAATGTCTTTACCACCAATTTTCCAGAAAGAGGACATGTTTTGGAAGTCATATTTGAAACTGTTCTCTGCCCAGTAATAGGGATCGGACTTGAAGTTCAGAGTTCCAGTAATGACCACGTCCACGTGAGCGAGCCAGGTCAAGTCAAGTGGTGAACCAACAATGTATTCCTGATCAAGGACAATAGTACCTCCCTTGTTACACTTCTTGAAAGCCGTGAGGATACGAGCAGCATCATCTCTGTCCGCTCCTTTACCAGGCTTGACATAGCAGTAATGCTTTCGTGATCGGGGCGGCGAGTCGGGGAATTTTTGACCAGTCCCATAAGGTGCCGCCTCTATATGAGGCCGCTTGAGCACATGGTGAGCAGAGTTGGCAGATGCCGATGACACAAGCGCGCAGAGAGCGGCTAACGAAAGAAGATTGCCAACAAACATTGTCTTTGATACTACCAGTGCAGTCAATCGAATATATTTGTTTGGCGATTGAGACTCCCCTTTATACTCGGAAGACGTGGGATTCGCATGAACAGATCCAGCACGGCCATTGGTGGATTAACCTCAATTGACTTCAACGTTCACAGGGGTGATGGCAGATCATTGCCGAAGATCGAACAAATTCCCCCAGAATCGCGGGGGAATCGGATAATTGTCCTATTCCCGTGGCACATATAATTCTGATGGGGGTTGGGGGTCAAAGGTTTGGGGGATCTGGTGGGAAAATCATCAAGGCACATAACATTGAAGTTAACCTACCCCCCCGACTTACCATACGTCACCCTCAACCACAGCATATACACTCGCCCGTGACAGCGTCATCAGCTAAAAAGAAGTCTTTCCAAGCTCCCCCAAAGTAGTTTTCCAGCAATAATCTTTCATAACATAAGGGACTACACATATGCGATCATTGAACCTGATCATCATCATGTACTTATATTCAACCCAAACTTCAGTACTACCTTGACCAAGTCACATGACTCTTCCTGTAGACATTCAACTTCAAACGATATTGAGTAATGCCTCCATCGAAAGTTAAAAAGTGCTGCCAATACACTCACTAGAACCAGAATTATAACTTTTAACTAGATAAGGTGGCTGTTTTTGACACATTGCCTCTTGTGGGTTGTTGAGCTTCAAGAGAAAATGCCAAGTAGAAAAAGCAGGCGCATATTAGGCAGCAGTCAGAAATTTCCTTACTGTTTATTAGATGATCAAATTTTCTATCTATAAAATGAGAGGTTATTTACTTTACCCAGAACTTCTTTCTCTTGCATAATAACATCTTGTCAATATGTTTCAACAGGCCCCCATTCCGGATCTTCCAACATACCAGAATAGGGTAGATAATACCCCCAAGTCCTTGAGATCTTCTATCGCCATTAGCGATCTCACGGCACTACGAAGTTTTCTCTCAGGTAAGTTGGACGAATCTAATGTATCGCATGGCGCGCCACTACACCTTGCAATCTATCTTGGCAATACAGAAGCCGTCGACATCTTACTACAAGCTGGCGCGGACCCTCTTAAAGAGCCAGCATTTCTCGATCTGCCGTACCTCACGACGCCCATGGGACTGGCCGCTCGATTGAGCAACCGTACTATTCTCCAAAAGATATGGCGACATGTCAATCCCGATATCAATACCTATAATATGGAAGCCTTCGATAGTTGCTTAGTGGAAGCAGCACGATATGGTGATGTCGCCATATTAGGTGATGTATTGCACTGGAGTCGGAGTAATTGGTCGCCTGAGTCAAGAAGCAGGGCTTTAAGTGCCGCAGCGGAAAATTGGCATGTCGAAAATCTGCAGTTCCTTCTCTCCGAGATTCCATTTGAGGAAGGGGCACTGAACATTGCATTGGCTCATGTAACAGTTAACAAGCTATGCTTTGAACATCGAGATCAAACCGAGGCTGAAATCGCTGCACGGTCACAAACGATCAAGGTTCTTATGGCTGCTGGAGCTAATCCCAGCAAGCCTGGGCCTAGATGGTTGTGCATGGGTGAGCCTCTGCTTATATGGACCGCTCTGTGTAGGCAATTGCATAGTTGTCTGAAAGCATTACTCGGTAATGGTGCGGATCCCAATATTACCAGCAGTCAAGGACAGACTGCATTGTGCTACCTAGGAGCCCGGGTCAAGAGAGACTTTTTATTCCGGAGAAGAATCGAGGATAACGAGCCGACCGAGGATGTATTTCATACTCTCCTTGTCTACGATGCTTCTGTCCTCCATCAAGATATAACTGGGAACACTCCTCTTCACTTTGCCGCATATGGATCGCCTCTCAACATCCTCCAGCTACTTCTGTCAAGTTTGCCAATTGAATCGCAGAGAAACGCGCTCACAATGCGTAATTGCAATGGCGAAACAGCCTTGCATTTCGCATCTGCAGGAGGTCAAATTGAAACCATCACGTATCTCTTATCTAATAATGTTGGCTCGGACATTAACGAAACTGCCTCCATGGGCTGGACACCATTGCTAAGAGCCTTAGCGCCCACGGTCCCCAGTCTTGCAAGGACAAGAAAGATCGAGGCAGCTCAGTTACTTCTAGCCCACGGTGCCGACCCTTCAACAAGTACACAGGATGGCTGGACACCGCTTCATTGCCTTGCTATGAATCCCAGCAGTGGGAATGCTGAAAGGGTTGATGGGATCTCACAGCTGATCGAGACACTGCTATCGGGTGGTATCTGTATCAACAGTCGCGCTTCCTTTGCATTTGACAATCCTCCAAACCGCTCAGTAAGAAAGCATAGAGTACAGGACGGTATCGACTGTGGATGTCTTGAGTCACAGTATATTGAGTCTCCTTTTGAATGGGGAAAAGTTCTTCGATCCGACCTCACGCCATTGCATATTGCCGCGGAATTCGGAGCACTTGATGTTGTAGTGGCTTTACTCAGGTACGGAGCCGATCCTGCAGCCGAAGACTCTGAGGGTAATTCCCCGGCTAGGTTAGCAGGTGATTCCAACAATTATTCTTCCAGCAGTGAAGCTCGAGGTATAGTTATAACTATGTTGATAGAAGCTGGGGGATCATACTAAGTTAATAGATACCGCTAGAGCTTTCAAAACAAGTTAAATCGAGTCTAGAAATGTTCAAGCCTGTTCTATTTTAATTATTCTATAATACGATCCGATATCTGGCAAGCAGGGGTTGCCGCTTTTGACTCCATAGTCCCATTGTCTCGCGGCCGAGGTTTTTGCTTATCAGTTGTGCAAGAAGCTGTGGACCAATTGTGAGCGACCTTCCAAAGCAGAATGCACAGTAGATCAATTTCACACAATTCTGTCAAGTAGAGCAGCTCTCGTCAATGTCTGGAGAATGGCGGAGAATGCTATGAGCTTATCTGATCCGAATCTAAGATTTCGGCTCCAGTACGCTACAACGAGACCACTTCATTCACGCTCATCATCTTTCCCCTCAGATTGCAACGGACTAGAAATAAATGAGAGACGAAGAAGCTGGTTGCAAAGTAGTTTGCCCAAGCTGACACAGCGGGACAGCCAGCTTCAGTAGCTTGGAGGAACTGACACCTCCAAAGGACATGGGTCGTGGAGAAGTCTATCAGTCGCAGTGATAGAACACGTTCCTGGAGAGTCCAACCGCGAGTATTGGTAGGATTATCGATATCACGTGGTGTCGGCTCTACACACACGGCGAGGTTCTTCTCAACGCCAGACCTGCCTGACCTGGTTGAATACGGCAACGATATTGACGTTATAGATTGTAACACTTGTCAGTTTCTGAGAGACCACTCTGTAATGTGCGAAGCACTCGACGCCGATATTGTGATATAAGAATGACTGTAGATGCAATGTATTCGGTGTCCTCCTCCTTGCTGTCCTGAAGGATACAAGGCTGTCAACACATGTATACTCAAGATTTAACCGAGAAGTAGTGACCACAGCCACGCAGAAGTTTAGGCGAAGACAGAATGTCAATTACTTTCGATCGTTCGGGCAGTGATGCTGTTGTAGTATTCACGCCTTGGTCTTGCCCTCCCCAGCAGTAGATGAGTGCACACCACTGGACACACCTACCACGCTCGTGCAGATGAAGGCTGAAAGGGCGATTTTCCCGAAGTATATGGATCATACTCCGTGGTAAGAAATCATCCAAGGGGAGGGAGCAGGAGTCCCGGTCGCAATATTGACCGCAGCACTCACTGAGTCGTCAATGTAGAAATTCGAACACCTCACCAAAGTCAACTTGCCAATTGATGGGCCTGAACGATGTGTCCTCGGCAGCCGCACTCCCTGCGCCTCAACCAGCTAAACCATTTCAGGATTGGTTTATGTCTCACCAGCTTCAGCCACAATTCTCGTGGCATCAGGCTGACTTCTCCAGGTGAGACAATGAAGGCCAAAGTTCCCTCATAAGGTTGTGAACAGAAATCGAGCATTGCCTCAGCAAGCATAGTTGTCGCTCGTTGTTGCCAAGCATGGAACTTCAACCATCTCACGTTGAAGATGCGGGAGCGTGAAATTGTATATGCCATAGTTCTCCTCTTTGATTTGCTGGTCAAGAACGACACATGATAATGCTCGCAAGGAATGCAAGTATCATCACGTGAGTGGCTGGAGAAGGGATCCAATGGGCGCTGCTGTTCAGCCAGCCGTAAAATGTCGCTGTTTCCAAAGCTCAGCCGTGAACATTGTCACAGCCAAAGCAGTCCGTCACAACCTCCAATGAATCTTCCACTGATGATGAAAGTGTGGTCTTACTACTACTACGTATCATTCGATCAATTATTCCGACAACGAGCTGTCCCTCATTCCTCATCTTAGCAGCATGGGATGAAATGAGCTTCTTCTCATTACAACGAGCGGCTGTGTATTCTTCCCAAACCACCCATTACATGTCGCACAGCATAGTTTCATGTGATCGAACGCTTTTCTATGCCCAGGATGTTCATATGGGGTCTCTATGAGTTTTATGGGCACGAGATGTTATCTGTGACATCAAGTTTGTTGAGACATTAAATATTACATCGGATCTGCTTGCCTTCTCTTCGAGAAAGGCGCATCTTCCAACCCCAAACCGTTGTTTGCGCAAGCTTTCTGAGCTGAGACATGTTCTAGAAGAGGAATTTGCATCCCTTAAGTCACTCACGCCATTTCGCACATTGTAAGGGAGAGCCAGGCGAATAAGGTTATTGGTTAAGCTTCGAAGCCAAAATGTATCCAAAGTAATGTTATGCATAATCAGGGCGATGCAAGGGAGATTTCTGAAGAATTGATCAACTCTCCCTGATCGCGCCTGGCCTGAAAGGTTGTTTACTACCAATGGACAGCCCATGGTAACTTCAAATATCTGATCAACTCTCTCCCGTGCATGATATGCGTGTCCCCTTATTGCCACTTAGTCCAATGGTCAAATGCCACATTCTTGACTGATCCAGGGTCCGGCGATCCAAAATATTTGTAGTCGTTTGCAAGGGAGAACGAGTTGCTTTCTTGTAATTTTAAAGCCAAGACCCTCTGCATGGCACATTGTTCGATCTGCAAACATCACTCGCAACGGCCTATGATTCCAACCGGTCATTCACGATGAGTCTGCCGTTATCTAGGATATTCTCTGTTGCTTTTGCAACACTCTTCCTAGCAGTCATTGCTATCAAGACTTTCTTTCCAGGAAATGACCCGTATCGTTGTCGCGCTCTCAAAGACACTGGGCGCTGGATCGACCCGCCACGGGATGAAGAAGGCAATAGAAACCCCTTCCAGAAGTGGCAGCCGGATGGATGCATGCTCAACCACTATGCATCGAACGACATTCGACGATGTTTGGAGGACCGGCGAATCACAATTGTCGGTGACTCAACTTCACGATATGTGGCTCATGGGTTCAGCCGTCTGGTAAGTATATAACAACATCAGTTCTTACCACTGACCGGTACTAATGCATTGCTTTCAGATCGATGAGATGCGATCCGATCTCGACAGAGAACAAGATAAAATGCCGTTGTACAGAGGTTTCAACATGACATACCATGGTCAAATGATTCAGCGTCTCCCTAATGTCTGGCTCTCTCCCCATGGCGCTCCGGGCCAAGAACAGTTCGCCAGAAACCTAGAGGCCTTTCTGGGTGAGAAGCAGAGCCCGCCATCCATTATAGATCAGGAAGGACCAGCATTATTATATATCGCCGCTGGTGTCGCATTCAATAATGAGCATAGTTTAAGGCCAGAGCTCAAGTCCAACATAACCAACGACACTGCGATCGTTTCTTGGGAAAAGCGTTTCAAGACATATAAAGATCGCTTAACAAAGATTGCCAGCTTCGTCAAAGAACATACGCCAAATGTCGACGCCTTTACTGCCCCTATGGATCCGATCGATGGTTTAGGAAATCAGATCTTTTATGCTCCTCCGACTATTCCTCTATATCTCGGTAACAACTCTGAACGCATGGAGGACTCGCATAGAAGAGAAGCTGAGGTCTTTGACATGCACGATTGGTTACACGACATTGAAGAGGACTGGAGGCTTCCTTTCGTGTGGTCGATTTCGAAGCTCACAGTTGGCCAGAAGAAGGCTTGGATCGATCCAAATGCTACAGAGCTTCATGTTAGACGCCAGATCGCAGATACTCGGGCAAATATCCTTCTCAATCTGAGATGCAACGCAAAGCTCGATCGGATAAGATCTTACCCTTACTCGCGCACATGCTGTACCGACTACGGAACCAAGCCAATTTCTCAACTTGGCTTCGTCTTCTTTGGCATTATTTACTTGGCTGCGTGTATTGTTTGCGAGATCCTGGACATTTGTGGCAGCAAACCACGACAGAACATATTTAACATGAAAGTAGGATTCCTCGTCCTAGCTCTGCTCATGTGCTATTATGCGGATCGAACGCAGATGATTGCCAAGGGCAGCAAACTGAGGTCGCCAACGGAATTCATTATTATTTGTATGCCATGTATTGCCGTTACACTCGCCACAATTCGACGTTCGCCTTCCCCGCCTTCCAGGGATCTCACCATAACAATAACGGCAAAGGCAGCAGATCAGCCTTTTCTTTCGCGGTATCAGACTGATGAGTGGAAAGGATGGATGCAGTTCTTTATCCTGATCTACCACTGGACTGGAACCATGGAGAACTCTGTATTCTTCTTCATCCGTGTATGTGTGGCAGCATATCTTTTCCAGACTGGTTATGGACACACTCTGTACTTCCTCAAGAGGGGTGACTTCTCATTCAACCGTGTGGCAGCTGTTCTCTTGAGGTTGAATATCCTTACTTGCCTGCTTGTCTACTTCATGAACACCGACTACATGTTCTATTACTTTGCACCTCTTGTCTCCTTTTGGTTCCTGGTAGTATACACTACCATGGCAGCTGGAGCAAAGTACAATAGCGATCCGCAGATGGTGTTAGCTAAGATTTGTCTCTCGTGTCTCATCGTCTCATCGGTCTTCTGGGCAACTCCTTTCACCAAATGGGCGTTCCGTCTTCTCAGGCTCGTCTTCAACATCCAATGGAGCGATGCGGAATGGCAATACCGTGTCAGACTCGACATATTCGTTGTCTACGTTGGTATGCTGGCTGCTGTCATCAATAACGAAATGAAAAGGACAATGCTTCACAGCGGACTTCGAAAGGTACTCGCTTTCGCTGGTGTTTTTGTAATTGGTCACTACTTCAGAGCGACAGCACACCTTTCGCAGACGGAATACAAGATATGGCACCCATTCATGTCCTTTTTCCCTGTGCTAGCATTTATCGCGTTGCGGAATGTCTGCAGTCATGTACGGAACTACCACTCAATGGCCATGGCTTGGTTGGGTCGTTGTTCTTTGGAGTTGTACGTCCTGCAGTTCCATCTCCTGCTGGCAGCCGATAGTAATGGGATTCTAATCGTGGATGGCCTTTTTGGAGATGGATCACTTCTTGGAGACCGTTGGAGGACCTTGGTAGTAATTGTTCCGATATTCCTGTGGGTTTGCAGCTCGGTGGCCGAATCCACGAGTCATGTTGTCGGTCTCATCATGACAGAAACTTCAGATGGAGATGGTTACCAGAAGCCAGGCGTTGTTGAATCGGAAAAAGTCAGAGGATCTACAAGTCTTACAGGGCCAAAGGTTCGTGTGGTGGGTATATTGGGAATTATGTGGCTACTGAATCTTGCAACACCGGGACATATACTCCCAGTTCCTCAAGACGGTGGTCACTCTGTTAGTAGCTTCCCTTCCCAACCAGCGGACATACCGTATTAGGATGTAACTCAGCACAGTCATGAAATCGAAATCAGATGTCCTTGTTTTAATTATGTCGATTTTTACCAAATACCTGTTTCTTATTAAACGTATTGGAAAAGTGACAAAGACGAGGTGGGTGCCATAATAATATTTGAGGAGTGTCTAGACACTGACCTGGCCCTATAGCCTTTGTATAATAAAATGAATATCCTAGTAAACCACTCTACTAGTGGAGTCACATTAAAATAGCTTAAGTATAGCTCTGTTTGTATTGTTTTCTTCATAGTTTAAGTCCGGTCAGTTATTCTTCACTTTTATTTAAAAATAAATAGTTTATATAAAATAACTAATTAAAGAATACTTCCTTTTCATAAATTTATCAAGGTTTTACCAGAGATTCTTAGTCTAGCATAAGCTAAGAGCTAGGATAATATTAGGTTTGGTATATTAGTATAATAGGTAGTATTATCAAGGTAATATACTAGTCTATACTAAAAGTATACATTATTACCGCTTGGATTATGTCCTATAATACCAATAAAGATATTATATTGGAAGGATAAGGGAAGGTGCCCATCCGACCAAAGGACTAGAAGTCAACCAGTTCATATATAACATGTCGGAACTGCCTTCCACATCAGTATGTGAGAAGCCTCGGCCACACACACACACACAGGTGTGACACAGTAGGTCTTCTGGCTTCAGCACAATACCCTTACATATATCTCTTAATTGTTGCGAGCTTTACGCACATGTCACGTATACGCCGCTTTCTCCATCAATCGTGTTCAAACAGCCAGGAACTCCGATCAGTGCCAAGACTCTGCGATCAGCAATAATCCAGAACGATCAGTACTGATCCCTAAGGCTAAGCACCAACCCCACATTTACCTCACTAATCCTCAACGAATCACCAAATCATCGAAGTGGCGTTTGCGAAGGAGTTTCGGATGAGCCGATTACAACCCTGTCCGGTACCTATATAAATGACGAAGAATACGATTGCGTTACCAAGGATAGTCTTGAGGGACGGGACCGTATTAACTATGTGAGGAGTTGTCGTTGTCGTCGCAGTCATCCTGACTATGTTACTTGTTCGTGGTGCGCGGGCACGTTAGTTGTATGCCACTGCTCTTGCCAATTTACTCAGAGTTGCATTTTACAAAATATCCACTAAGCCAATGCATTAGGATGTGTTGCTAAGCCCCAACATGTATAAACGGCGCCCATAAGAGGGGTTTATCTCTATATTTGCTTCGTGCCGTTAATATAGCGTTATGCAAGGCCCACGCGGGCTCATTTTCAACTATTTCCCCGTTCTTTTGTTGGAGCAGTGATTGATAGAACGAACGGGCTATTTCCACACAGATGTCATCATTCGATCTCAAAAGGCATCCCACAACATGTGGGAAACCAGCCATTTGAAACCCACTAACCATATGAAGCATCTCATCCCATAGCTGATGATTCTTTATTTCTGCAGTCGAACAAGCAGAAAGATAAGCTATGTGGCCATTGACTAAGTTCAGCTTCGAAACGGCATACACCTCAAGGTGGTCTCGCTCGGGCTGGCCATCTCGGAACTGTTGTAGAACCAGCCCGCTCTTCGCTGGGTCTAGAAGGTCTGCAGAACCGTGGCAGGCAAAGTGGGCGATATAGCAGTCTTTCAACTTCAAGCTCACATCATGCGCGCTTGGCAGGTCCAGGGTCTCAGTTTGAAGGGTCGCCGGAAGGACTTTCATTATCTCTTCTCTTTCTCTCAATACTCCTGGCAGATCATCGCATGTAGAATCGCCTCCTGTACTTCGGCCTGGCGTCGTAGACATAGTGACGATTAACATGGATCCCTTCGTCTGTTTTGTTGCAGTAGCTCGTGTTCTAGCAAACCCAAGGGCTTTGATAGATGGAATATATGATGAAACAACTCTACTCAAAGTGTTCTCCGCGCAATTGATAGAATGTGACCCAGCCGCATGGAATGGCATTTTGCTGGCAACACCAGTCCCAATCCACCAAACACGTTGAGGGTTATTTGCCGTAGAATGTTTTGTGTTTAGTTCTTTGAGGATGGGGTCGACGCAAACATCCCATAGCCAAAACAAGTATTTGCAATATTCTTTGTTTTTTTTTTCAAACCGGCGCCAACTCCCACGCCATGTCCACTTCTTCTGAAGCCAAGTAGCTGCGTCGGAGTAAAGCAGTTTCGGAAGATTTAAGGACTTGATACGGGATGAACACACCAATATAGCATCGGAGCGAAGTCCAGTGACGTTAACGATAATAATTGTGCCACCACCGGCAGAATCTTGCATCTCGGATACTGTTTGGCCAAGCAAAAAGCGTTCATGACCCGGCAAATCTCTGATTTCTCTGACACATTCATTGAACTCGATGAGGAGAGACTGCCGTTCCCCGTGTTGGCATTGTTGATCTGGGGCAGAGTTGCACCCAAGTGGAGCGTATAAATCACCTTGAAGCTTTTCATATCTTGAAGCAAGAGCGGGATATTTCTCTCGCAAAGGTGATAGGTCGTGTCGTATGTCTATCAAATTGCTTATCGCGAAAGCTCTGCCTCTTTCCAAGTTTTGCAAGGCTTCGACCGACTGGTGTAATGAAAGAAAACTCGAGCAAACGTCTGATCCAATGCTATAAAAGCCTTGGACGATAAACTGTCTGTCTTTCAGATCCAGAGTGTTGGTGTTGATTACCGGGAGCAGTTCAATAACTGCTTTGCCAAGCTTGGCGGCTACTTCTATCTTGCCCAGTTTAAAAAGGAGCCTCAGACACCCTGCAGCAGCCTGTACACGCTGGAAAGGAACAGCACTTTGACAGTGCCAAGCAGCTTCCAAGCAATTCGATGCTTCTTCCAAGTCTGCAGAATCATTATGTGAGAGAAAGCGATCTTGGAAGCATTTCCCCAGGTTACTTAACCATCCAGCACGAGACGGGTGATCTGATGGAATCAGGCCGAGAGCAGTCTTCGTGAAACTTATCGCATGCTCGAGGGCATTCGTATCTTTTGTGATCCCATATTTGCTTGAAAAGCAGAGTCCCAAGGTTCCCAGCCTATCAGGGTAGTAAATATGGCTTTTTGGTGTCAGTTCAATTGCTCGAGTAGCGAGCTGAATAGCCTCTTGTATATGCATATCGGTTTCTGTGCACTCGTAATAGCTTCGGAGAGCGTTTACGAGGCTGGACAGGAATATAGCAAGATTTGTATCTTCAGGAGCAGTTGACTCCACAGCTTCTCGGGCAGCTTGAATAGATTCCTTAAGATCGTCTATTTCGCCTTTCCGATCAAAGATACTGAGTAGGCTAACACATAGATTATTCAGCCAGATGCCGCGGTTGGGAAAATCAGCAGGCAAGAGTTTCATAGCACTTCGTGCTGCCTTTACCGCCTCTTGAATATCAGCCTCTTCATGTACGGTTCGATATCGTACTGAAAAGCAATTTGCAAGGTTGTTCATCCTGCCGGCCATATTCGGGTGGCCCGTAGGTGTACTCTTAACTGACTCTCCAAGAACCTTAATAGCCTCGTCCAAATTCGCCACATCACCATTTCGCTCATAAAAGGTGGCGAGGCGGTTCCCATAGTTGTTGAGCCACGAGGCTCGGTCGGGGTGGTCGGATGGTGTCAGCTCAACTGCTTGTTTGGCCCACTGGACAGCCTCGATCAGATCTGATATATCGTCATTACTTCTAAACCGGACCGCAAGCCCGTTCCCAAGCTCAGTTATTCTCTTCGCCAGCTCAGGATGCCCTTGTGGAGTTAGGTGGACTGCCTGCCGAGCAACTTTGATTGCCTCTTTAATATCTTCTATCTCACCCAATCTCTTGTATCTCACTGTTAATAGAAAGGCCAAATAATTGAGCCTGTCTGGCAGCGCCGGGCTATCATGGCAGTCTTTGTCGTCGCAGCCCCTTGCGAACTCTACCGCAGCATTGATGTCTTTTATTCTCCCCGAGTCCTTGTACACTTCGTATGCCTGCATGGAGAGATCGAATAGCATATCGGGTATGTCGCTGGGGTCAGCGCCGAGCAGCCGCAGATTTTGGACGATTTCTTGAATATTCATTTTCAATGCGAATTCAATTTGGAACTTTTGGCCAACAGTTTGTTTGGGTATTTGGTGTTGAAGAAAAGAGGGGAACTTTCAGATCTGCGGATGCAGTGTGGAGCAATCAGAGTAGCCTGGCACGTGATCAGTCCAGACTGCTGCACTTTTGATTCAGCCAACACGTAATTGTACCACCAGTTTCTCTTGTTTCATCTTCGCGCTTATGAAATATTCGGTCTCTTGTGTATCCTCCTTTGCATACTCGATTTTCCATAGTCATGTCCCTCTCCGTCATTCCTACAGCTGTTTTTCTCTCCCCTGAAGTCGTCAAACTCGGTCAATTTACCGTCAATCTAGCACAAATCCATGAGACAAACTATTACCCGGACAACGGAGAATCGCCAACATCGACGATCGCTGACTTTCACTATCAAGGACATAGGCAAGATGATAAGCAGACCAGGTTCCGAGCGGTCTTGTCATCTCTGATTTCTGCAAATCTTTTCAGAAAGTCCGATTACTCCATTCACATTGCGCCAGGTCATGGAAACAATTACCTACTATGTGATGTTGATCAGTGGTTCAACACAACTCTCGACAACGATGGTGCTAAGCGCTTCATCCAATCATGCGCTATACGCGGCGATAAAATCTTCATGGTTGTCGGAATGCAGACGCTAATTGATCCACGCATCACGATAGCTTCATCTACAACGACAGAAGCCGAAGGCCAGTTTAGCGTTCCGAAAGACATCTCCCTAGCTGCAAGCGTTGTTAGTCCTGCATTTCAAGCGGGACATCAAACTGCCAAAAATCAAGGGTTGGAGTTTGTAGTTCCTGGGGAGCGCCTTTTTGCTTTGCTGTATCGCAAGGTAGAGTTCAAGTGGCTCAAGCGCTATTTCGGTGACCGACCCGTCTTAGATCGTACTACTCGTCGGTGGAACTGCCTGGGTGACACTTGGCGAAGCATTGATGATTCCAGCGGTAGCGACGATGAAGACAAATCCGAGGATAGTGATGATGAGAGTAATATCGGAGATGATGCTATTGAGGTGACCCTTGGGGAGGAGCTGGGAGTATCTGACGGAGGATGGGTTACTGCGCACTCTGACAATAGGCTATATGTGCTTCCCAAGACTTAGCTAGATAAGCTTCTCTGAATTAAGGATGAATGCTTTTGCTTAGGCCGATTCTAACATGACCGTAGTTCAGAGATGCCAATACTACATACAGACATCTAGGAGTGGGTGTATTACCCACTACATACCTAGAAGAGTCCTCCTATCTTGACCAAAAAAAACCTACTAGGTCGTACATAATTCGAGTCATTATTATAGTGGATAGCCAATTAGTATTCTGTGTTTATTGGGCTCTAGGGCCTTACATAACTTGTCAGTCCATCACACCGCTGTGGGATACTACTAGGGGTTAACGTACCTGCCACGCCGGTAGTAGCATAGACTTACGTTAGCAAGATTGTAGCAGCACATCTGTAATACTGTGGTAAACACATCTACATTGGCTTAAATATAAGCAATATAAAATACTATACTTTTACTAACTTGGTCTTGTAATAGCTTTACTTAGAAAATAAAAGAAGCCTCTGTTTATAAGTCCTAGTTACTAATATTATAAAGCCTAATTTTAAAACCTAGAGGGTTTCCCATTTATAGAAGCTATAATTTATAAGTATTATAAGGGGTGGCTTCTCCTAAACTCACTTCTTAGACTCCTACTAAAAAGCACTTATATTATATAAATAGTAGCTATTATATCTCTTTCCTTTAATAAGTGCTAATAGACAGTACTATTATAGATAATGTAAAAAACTCTAGTTTAATAAAAACATACAAGGTAAGTAAGGGATATTATTACTAGTAAGGAAGAGAATAAAGTCATTAGTAAATAGTAAAGAAATTATATAAAGTAAAGGGTAAGTAAGAGACATACTATTTTAATAGCTCTATCTATACTGCTTAAAGCTAAAACTAGCTCTAAATACTAGGAGTTTAATATCTATATTATTAAGCTTAAAATAAATAGCTTAGTACTCAATAAGGGCTTTCTTATAGAAACATACCTTTTCTATTCTCTTTACCCTTGTATAGGAACTATAATTATAAAGTACTTACTGTATATATACTACTTATTAGCCTTTACTATTACAACCTTAAAAGAAGCAGTACTTATTACTGGATTTAATAGCCCTAGTAATACTTTCTAAACTTAAATAGTAAAACCTTAGTTATAAAATTTATTAATATAGATTCCTATGGTTATTTTACTATAGATAGTATTTATAAATTATAATAAAGCTTATATTACTATAGCTTTATTTATATATAATATAATTAGTAAGTAAGTAACCTATATAGGTAAGTAGGCTATATTTATATACTTCTTTTATTATTTACATAATAAGACTATTATAGTTTATTTAATTAATTAAGATTTCTTATTCTATTCTTACCTCAATAACTTTAAAACTACCTAAAAGGTTTTAAAATTATACCTAGCTATATTATATATACCCTATATTTTCTATCCTATTATATATTAATATATATTAATTATAATTATTACTATAATCCTTAAGTAAGGATTATAACCTTAATTATAATCTATAGATTATAATTATAAACCTAACTATAATTGATTAGATATACCTTAAGTATATATTTATATTTATTAATACTTTTAAAGATATTAGCTTACTAGCTATTAATATAACTTCTTTACCTTAAGAAGCCTTATCTATATTACTAACTATTAAGAGATATAATATTTCCCTATCGCTTAGATTATATCCTATAATCCTATTAATATAAATCTAGAATGGTCTAGTTTATCTGTTAGGAAACCTAACTATTATAATACACTATAATGCCAAATACCTAGTCTAATTAAACTATTTTAAATACTACTCTTTAATAATTCTATAATTACCTATATATTAATATCTATTTAATTAATTATTTATAATACTTTTTATATAGTTATAGTACTTTTTTCTTTATTCTTTTATTCTTTTTAATTTTTAGTTTTAAATTAAACTTTATCTTTTTACTTTAACCCTTAACTTTCTTAAGCCTAGTATCTTTAAATCTTCTAATAATATTAACAATAAAAATAACCTTCTCTGAGGTTAAAACTTAATATAATTAAAATAGTAAAAGTTATATATAATAACTGAACTCTAATTAAACTAATGTATATAATAGCTATATATATAAAAGCTAACTTCCCCTCCTATACCCCATAACCTAATCTATACTATAAGGTAGTTAATTAACCCTTATAGCTATAGTCAGTCAATTAACCCCTAGTCCCCTAACCTTCAGTCTATATTACTAACCTCTTTTATAGCTACTACTTAATATAATAAGTCCTACTATTAGAATTATAGATATCTCAATCACCTATTCGACCTATACTTCTAGCTTATTACGCCAAGCCTTGTGCTTCGACTTGAATGTCTCGATAAAGGAGGTCTTGGTCTCGAAGACTAGGCCTTCTGGGAGCCTATTTTCTAGGCTTCTTAGGCTCTTAAGCTGCATTTTTATATACTCTAAATCTAGCCTTTTCTTTTCTTTATAAAAGAGTGCTAAAAGCTTATAGCTAAAGGCTATTAATTTAACCAAGCTATAATTATCCTATTTATTATAGGGAGGTGATAGAATATAGCTATTAAAAAGGCACTCTATCTTAAGATCTCTAGCCTTATATTTAAGTTACTAATGCTTTTACTTTTCGTACCTCTTGAAAGCCTTATTGATCTGCTCGTAGTTTAGGTCGAGACTTATATTGCGGTAGATATCTGTGATTTTGAGACTTATCGTGTTGGGTGGTAGCTATGAAAGAGGTTAGCGATAAGGATCGAAGGGTAGGGGTTAATTAACTGACTATATATTACTTGGCTTGAGCTTTGCTTCTTGATTCTAACCTTTATTAGGTAGCTATAAGGGTCGATTGACTAGCTTGTGGTGTGGATTAAGTTAAGGGTATGGGGGAAGCTAGCTTTTATACATACCGCTATGTAAGTTATATATATATTTATTTAATTAGAGTTTAGTCACTATATGTAACTTTTATTATACTGATTATATTGAGTTTTTAACCTTAGAAGAGGTTATCTTTATTATAAATATTATTAAAAGATTTAAAAAGCCTAGGCTTAATAAAGTTAAAGGTTAAAATAAAAATAAAATAAAAATAGAAATAATTATAAAACTATTAAAATAAAATACTTAAAAAAGGTTGGTTAGACTAGGTATTTAATATTATAGTATATATAATATACCTAGGTATAATTTAAGGACTTATTAAGTAGGTCTAAAGTTATTTAAGTAAGACTATAATAAATAGTTTTAATTAATTAAATAGATTATTATAATTTTATTATATAGATAACAAAGGGTATATAAAAAAGTAATTTACTTAATTAGTAAATACATTATTTCTTTTTTATTGAATTCTATTTATAATAATACCTGAAGTATATTATATTAAAATAACATTAAAATCTTTCATTCTATAATTACTTTAAAGTAAGCTATTATATAAGTAATTACTACAAAGATACATTTAGTTAAGGCACCAAGATGATTTTTATTACAAGGAACTATATAGATAGGAGAAGGTACCTATTGAAGTAAAGACTAAAAGATTAATCAGTTCAGACATAACATGTCTGAACTACTACATCAGTATATAAGGAGCCTAGGTCATACACACACAGCAGACACAGTAGGTCTTATATACCTCTAGCTATATCTTTATAGGAACTACTAGCTCTTTATATTATAGCAATAGAACAATAACCAACGAGTCAGTATCCAGACCTTTTGCCCAATAGCTATCCTATACCTACTAAAGACTGGTCAAATATTTGGTTTAGCTTAATCTTACCTAAAAATTAAAAAAAGTTTTCTTTTACCCTATATTAAAACCCTAATACCAATTAAGAACCGATAGCTGTATTGCAAAGAGTATTGTCGTCTAGTTTAATAGCAGTCCTTTAGCTTGTACATTGAATGTCTATAAATAGATCTGAAATTTCATTTGCATATTAAGAGTTTCTATATAAGAGATATAAAGCTGTACTAAGATATCTTCTAGTAATCTAGCGATATTAATAACCCCCTTGTAGTTATGTTAAAGAATACCGTTCAGTTCTACTTATGAGTTGTGCTATCTATAAAGGTGTAATATTAATTAGGGGGGAATTAGGATAAGTTATGAATGATGTTAATTTTAACTTATCCTAATTTCTTTATTGGAGAAGTTCAGTTAAAACTATTTAAATTTCCTTTTCAGACAACAAAATGCGGTCTTGGCAAAAGTGTTAAGAATATATTCATAATTTGAGACGCATTATTAAGTACGTCGTCTTCTAATTCTTTCTAAAGCTACCCTTCATAGAAACCAAGCTTTCATTATCATGAAACCCCTTATGAGGCTGACCCAGAAGGCTTGGCTGACACATCAGGCGGTGCGAGCTTAAAGCCGGGGCCGTGACGTTGAAGAAAAGCTTGGGATGTCACAGTCTTCACGGTAGATTCATCTTCAAAAGACGCCAGATGAACATCCCGCCCTCCGTATTGTGCACTCCCTCGGTCCAAATCGGTAAGTGCGTTAATGGTTGCGTTATAGCTTGCCTCGTCTATTTGCCCGCCCACATAACGCGCCTGGCCTTGCACATTGACTCGCCTTGCGACAACTAGGTCCTTTACGGTTGAAACCGTGATACCGTAAGCATTATCAGTCATCGTTATGTCTTCAAAGACGTTGGCACGATCCATTACCAAGTCATCGCCGGCATCAGCAACCACGTTCATACATTGACGGATGCTTTCCTTTGTCTCCTGTAACTGTGCCAGTTGATTGATATCATCTTCAGATAGGTTCGTTCTCAATTTCATAGCATCCATTCTCTGATCGATCTCGTTCCCATGGTTTTTAAGACGTGATTCCAACAAACTGATAGAACTTTTAGCAGAACTCAGACTACTTCTGATGTATTTGTTGGCTGAAGGCTGTTGGGAGAACTGCTGATTCTCGCTGGATATTGATTCGAGTGATTCGATATGCAAAGATAGCTCAGTGCAAATCTGGAGACCTTTTCGAGTACTCTCTTTCTCCTCAAATAGAGCAAGCCAATCAGTGCTATCGGACTCGACGCTTTCAGCATGGGGCACAGCCAAGCTACGTGCTCTCTCATCTAGTCGCTGCATGTGCTTTTGTAGGTCGGCGGTTGTATCATCTATCATGTCTTTGTACTCTTCAATGACATTGCGTGTGACAGCCGTAATAGTTCTATAAGAATAGTCATTAGTTTATCTCATACACTAACCTCGATCATGGAACCGCACATATTTGCACTAGCCAATGCTATATTAATTGTTGATTTGTACCCAGCAAGCATGTCTTTGAAGTCTGTGATATCTCCCTTCAGATACTGCTGGCCAATCCAGTCCCGAAAGCTTGGCCGAGTTCCATTCGAGTGTTTGGTGCATCGAGCAATAAGCTTGCCATATTCCTCACAAGTTTTTCCACACCGTAGCAGAGGCAATTCGAGAGAGTCGAAATTAATCTCAGGGTGATTCGTGACTGTCTCGAGGAGCGATTGCAGGACTCCAGTGAGATCGCTCAACTCAGTTTTGAGTGCGCGCGCATTGGCGTCCTGGGTTTTAAAACTGCGAACAGTCTTGAAAAGAACGGTGCTCGATTGAAAAGCAAATGTCACCAAAGCCAATACTCCTGAAGCAACACTTAGACCATCTGCCATTGTCACGGTGTCATACAAGTAAGTATTAATGACAGAGGGGAGCCGAAACAGAACTTGTTGTTGACGGTGAATTACTATGGAGGAGCGTATTAATACCGCACAATCGCCATGCTGACTATTGCATTGTATCCAATGAATGAGACTCAAAGGGCGTTTATGCGTGGTTGCTTATTGGCTTGGTCAAGCTGGCCAAGCCAAGTGTGGGGGGCCGTCAGGCTCCAGTCAAGACTGATAGGCCTTGCGGAGGAAGGACGGTTTATCTTAGGCAAAGGATGGCGCTAGTCCATAAAATGTATAGACGGCTAAGAATAGCATATGTTGAACCGTAAGTTGTGGTCAGATTGATCTGTGTCTTGATTCATGATCTATTTGGCCTCTTTCCCCTCTTTGGGTAGTCATCATGCGCTATTTCTATTTGAGACTAATCTGGTCAGGTGACTTTCCTTTCCTCAATCCGAGGTTTGGTTAGCCAGAACGCTCTTCGTGTTATTACATAACATCTCGGGTTTAACAGGGGTAGACAGGAACGACCGTTCCGGATCTGCCTAAGCGGGGTTGCACCAATGTTGCTTCGTTATGCATCGCCCAGCTGAAGAGATCGCTGTCGTTTGCAGGGCTTTTAAACCATATGATTGGCAATGCGCATAGTCTCGACAGGGGGCTAGATAAGAATACCCATAGGCTACCTACTAGAGTTATAGCACCACCCAATACTTAACAACCTCCGCACTAAACATACCTTTAGATTTCTTATACTGTTAGCTTAACTGTCTAAATTGAGGATAAATATAGAGCCCGACTTTATTCCTGTCGCTCTGACGAGAGATGTCTTAAGCTTTAGTTACTATAGTGATGCGGCCTAGGGCGAACCTCAGAGTAATCTCCAGTATAGTCAGTGCTAGCGTCTCTAGCCTAGATGAGATCTTCGAGCTCTTTCTTCTCTCCGTAGAAGCTTAAGTCTAAAATTACTACAAGATAATTAATAGAGACTTCTATTCATTATCTATGCAATATCTTAGTAAAGAAATAGTAACTTACCTGAAGGCGGTGCGGTCTATGCAAAATATCTATTGTTTATAACCCCCACACCTATCTTTCTTCTCTTTTTTTAACACTTAACCACTTTTGACTCCACCTCCATCACGAACCCAACCGCCCCTGTGAGAATGGCTGAATATATCAAGGAAATGGTCGGAAACTGCCAATATTGCCCTACACGATATCCTGGAGGAAGGAAAAACCCTGACAACGTCTACTACTCCCGCAAATGGGGCTATACGGTCTACCGGACATACTACAATAAGGAGTCTGATGAAGCTTGGGAAATGCTCTTATACTCTCTGGAACATCAGACCAAATTGGCATTGAGCGGCTTTAGAGAAGAGGGTGTCGATGAAGATAACGTGCATATTGACCCCGAAAATATTCAACGACTGAAGAATTTCCTTATGATTGAAGGTCGTGAAGACCTTTCGCAATTTAAAGACCTCGATGCTCAAGGTATTCGGGATTTCTGGAATGCTAAGGAATTCAAGCTAGAACAAAATATAATACAGATACCGGGTCAAAGACGCCGGTTAACATTAAGACCCGATGAAAGCCTTGCCATGGCAGATTAGGTCTATCGATTCGTACTACTCGCTGACGAGGCAACTTTCAAGGATATAGCAAACGGCGAATTCGTTGTCAAAGCTATCTCATTGCAGCTGCCGGCGGGGAACAGTTGGCCAGGAGCCTGGATGCGAATCCCGATAGGTTATCTATTGGACCTATGGTTTTTGCTTTATGATTGGTCAAGCAGTATAGAAAAGGCACTGGGGTTCAGTGGTTCTGAGGAAGAACTTCACTCTTGGATCTGGCCGGGTGATGATGATCGCCGTAGCACTGCGAGGTATTCTGAGATTCGAGGCTTCCCACATTACAATAACCAGACGCACTTTGAGGATTCGTGGCGGTAAGTAATATGACATATTAATCGAGTTATCAAGAGGACTTTGGACGGTTGAAGCGAAAGGCATGTTGAGAAGCACAGCCACCTTTTTAACTTGTTCCCTTTCCCTTTATTCTGCCCTGGCGTAACCAGCTTAATTGGCTTGATCTTCCCCCAACAGCACCTATTTCGGAACAAACCAGCGGACATGGCTGACATGACTTAGCAGACGACGCGCTGGACCTACCGAGCCGGATCAAGAGGGAAATTTTAGGAGAGTCAAATTGCGGAGATCTCCAGATTCGTCACCGTCAGCCCATGCCTCCTCGGACGACGAGGATAGGCCTCTACGTCTCGGACTAGTATTAGAGGCCCGACGAAGGAAGGAGCATGCATCTGAAGATGTTGAAGCCGCAGACTAGGTTAGCACTCGAGTGATTCAAGGAGGATGACCAAGATGGAGTTCGAGAATGCAAGAGACACTTCGATCTCAACAGTCGTAGAAAATATACAGAGAGTGATTCATAAGAATACGCATTAAATGAGGCTATCAGAAGGATGCATATTGAAGTAGCAGCCAAGTAGTTCGAGGGAGGTCCGTGCAGTGATGCATCTATTAACTATAACGTTGCACTTTTAACTTATATCTTACCTCTTTTATTATACTCCCGCGCAACAAGCTCATTTGTTATTTTCTACTACCAACAGCATCTTCGTTGCACTAAAGCTCAAAAATGTCCGACATAACGGACATAATCAAAAGAACAATATACCTAAGATACAAGTTTGGAGGAGGGTTCGAAAATGATCTCGAAGCGAGGAAAGATCCTGTTAATGCCCATCTTTACCGCAGATGGGGATACCCTATTTACCGCACATATTACGGTCCAGGTTATAACGAAAGCTGGAGCACCCTTCTGGAGTTGTTGAAGCAGCAAACACTGCTGGAACTCGAATCATTGGAGGGCAAAGACCAGGATGACGTATAGAAACTCAAGAAATTGTTCCATCTGGAGGTTCACCAAGATCCTACCATCTTCAGGGGACTCAACATCCACGAGCTCCACGAATATTGGTGTAACCCAAAGAGGGATATAACTCGAAGTCCAGTTATGGTAGATTCTTTCTTTCAGTTCTTGTTACTGGCAGACCAATCGGTGCTAGAAGACATTGAGAAAGGGGTGTTTGTGGTCAAGGCTGTTTGTCTGATTTGGACCGAACATGATGAACATTCGGGGTTCGGATGGATGAGAGTCCCAACAGGGAAGATGGTGGAGCTATGGCAACAACTCATTATTTGGCAATACAGGATAGATAATGCCTTGTGCTTTTGGGGATCTGAGGAAGACCTTCACAAATTCATCTGGCCAGGCGATGGAACCGGTTAGTGCTCCAAAGCCTGTCCTGTATATGAGAAGTGGAGTGAGTAGAGTCATGATCAGGTACATTCACGGCTTTATGCGTGCTGGAACAAGTATACCGTGAACTTTTGACCGCTCAACTTTTACAAATTCACCTCTATGATCAGGTCGGAACTGACTCGATAAGCCCATAAGCTGTCATACCCTAGTCTGAGGACCATGTCTAGCGTGGCCGGTCCGGACCTTTAACCAACACAGCGTTACATCGGAGTAGAGACTGACCTGCAGCTTATAACCAACAGCTCGGAATACTGCGAAATGATGTTGGGTCTGCAATTCCCATATGTAAAAAATAGCAGAACCAACACATAACCGTAAGCTTTGAAGAAAAGCCACGGAAATTTCCTTGGCGATTGGGCCGTCCTAGCCGGCCTAGCAAGCTTCGACTTACCAGGGTGAGCGGTGCAAAACTCTTGGCGGAGGGAATTCCGCTGCGAGACTCGAGGTTCCGTGATCTGTTTTTGGGTATTAACGGCGCTCGGCTTTCACACGGGGATGAGGATGGATCGACCACACTCTAGCTTTATGATACAGGGTATGTGTTGATACTACTGTTGAACAACTGCGTTGACTTATGTTTAACCGTCCAATTAATGAGATCACCACCCCAAGTTTGCCTAACATAATTTTCTTTTATAATTACATCGAGTTTTATTCAACATATGTTTCAATGGTGTTACTAGAGCTTGGAGTTAAAAACGCACACTCAAGCATGCAACTTCACGCCACTTTAAATCTTCCTTAGAAGCAAGTCTGGCCAGTAATTCACGATTCGAGTAAGATATAGATGCGAACAGAACTATGACGTGCATAAGAGGAGGTCATTAAATAAGCGAACTGTATGTACAATGTCTATCTACACCCCAACACAGACCCAATAGTTGACCCAGAGCTTCTCACACCCCTTGCTAACTGTAGGATTCCATTTGACCAGCTGAGCCAGGGCAATATTGTAGTACTTCTGGATCGAGGTGCAAGTAGTTGTAGAAGTTACCTGGTGGAACTTCTTACAGTTGCTGACCATCTTGGGTTGAATTGGCGAGGGCGTCTTGACACCATAAGGATCTACATATCTTACTGGGCCAAAGGTTCGTGTGATGGGCATATTGGGCATTATGTGGCTGCTAAACCTTGCAACACCGGGACATATTCCCACAGTTCCTTAAGATAGTGGCCATTCTACCAGTAGCTTCCCGTCGCAACCAGCGGACATTCCATATTAGCATATCATTTAGTATATTAATTGAGGCCGTATATAATGGAATAGACTCAACATTGGCTAGGATTATACCCACCCAATACCCAAATGGCTAGCTACAGTAGGCATGTAAAAGTTCCGAAAATTTTCTATGCTCTAAATTATTTAAAGATTATATACAAAGTCCTCTGACCATAGTGTGCTTATTATAGTCAGTTCTAATATACGTACCTCCCGTTAGCTTATTGTCGGAACTTTTGCATGGAACTGTAGACTCGACGTAATTGCTGAGCCCAGTACGCGCCAGTCACCATGATAAGGTCAGGCTCAGTGTCTTCACCAATGCATCTATTGTTCAGCTTTTCCTTCCACTCGATCGAGTAGTGTATACAAGTCGGGGGCTGTTTATTGTAGGCGGGCGTCGCGTCCCATATGGACACTTGCGACACGGGTAGACGGGAGCGACCGTTCCGATTCTGCCCAAGTGGGGTTGCATCAAGGATGTTCCGTTATCCATCGCCCAGCTGAAAGGATCGCTGTCGTTTGCAGGGATCTCAACCCATATGATTGACAATGCGAATGTTCTCGACAGGGATGATCTACAGTCACGAGATAAGGAATGTGCCTTGTGGGGGGGCGGGGTTTTCACACGTTCCCCGCTCATTTTCGGGTGTCTGGGCTTTCTTCACCCTCTCTTCAACCTCTCATGTTGTATTTCATTTCGTCGGTCATACTGTCGATATTCTCTATCGCAAATATCTCTACCCTTCGTATATCAGAACAAGCACCATCGTTCTCGGATGACTTTATTGAAAGCAGTCGCTCTCTAGATGGGTTAGCTCATCCGCACTCTTATCATGTCAACATCATTGCCTCGCCCACTCCGCCCGAAGGATCGTCGTGGCTTCGAGATAGCCATTATTTGCGCTCTGTCTCTCGAGGCTGATGCGGTCGAAACCTTGTTTGACCACTACTGGGACGATGAGGACCTGCCTTTCGATAAAGAGTCAGGCGACCCGAATGCCTACTCTACAGGCGTGATCGGCCGCCATAACGTTGTTCTCTCATACATGCCTGGAATGGGTATAGCCAACGCAGCTACCGTAGCTTCTAACTGCGGTAAAAGCTTTCCAGGTATCAAACTTGCCCTTGTAGTTGGTGTCTGTGGTGTTGTTCCATTCAAACCCAATAAGGACGAAATCGTGCTTGGAGATGTCATCATCAGCGACGGTATTGTTCAGTACGACTTCGGACGACAACTGCCTGGCCGCTTTGCCCGTAAGGACACGCTATTGGACTCACTGGGCAGACCGAATCTGGAAATACGAGGAGTCCTGGCAAAGCTCAAATCACTTCGGCATCGCCGACAGCTAAGTGTAAAGATAGCAGAATATCTCGATGTTCTTTGCCAGGAACCAGAACTTCGTGCTGAATATCCTGGTGTTATGGAAGACAGACTGTTCAAGGCATCCTACCGACATACGGAGGACCGGAAGTCATGTGGCCAGCTCGGATGCAACGGAGAGATTGTGTCACGAAGCCGCTTAGAGGCTGCTGGGGTCCGTCCTTTGCCTGCTGTCCACTTCGGTTTGATGGCGTCCGGAACTTCAGTCATGAAGTCTGGCGAAGACCGCGACCGAATCGCTGCGGAGGAAGGCGTCATTGCATTTGAGATGGAGGGTGCTGGGGTCTGGGATAGTTTCCCATGCATCGTGATCAAGGGCGCTTGCGACTATGCTGACAGTCATAAAAGCAAAGATTGGCAGCGATATGCAGCTGCTATGGCAGCAGCTTGTGCAAAAGCTTTTCTCAGCTTCTGGGTTCCTTCGTCTACTCAAGGTTCGTTATACCAAGCCTCTGGCGAACGTAATTAATCGTGGTTGAAGATATCCCATGCCTGGCAGCAACGAGCAGCCTTTCTCGAGAAAATCAAGATTGTTTTGACCAGACCAGAACTGCAAGTGGTATCCATGAAGGTCAAATTGAACCTGTCTTTCTAGTTCCGTTTTCGGAAAACGATCTTTTTGTGGGTCGGGAGGATGTTCTTATGAAGCTACAAGGTCTACTGTTTGAACAAGGGCGGCAAAAGGTCGCTCTGGTCGGACTTGGGGGTATCGGCAAAACTCAGATCGCTCTGCACCTCGCTTTCTGGGCCAAAGAGAAGAAGCAGGACTACTCAGTCTTCTGGGTGCCAGCGCTTAGTCGTGCCAGCTACGAACAGGCATGTGTGCAGATCATAGACGCTCTCGGTATCCCAACTTCTGACAAAGGTGATTCCATCGAGAAAGTTCGCCAACATTTGAGTTCAAAACGTTCGGGCAAGTGGCTTCTTGTGGTTGACAACGCCGATGACACACAAACCGTCATGGGCTCAGCAGGTGTGGAGAGCGGCATATACCGATCGCTTCCTCAGAGCGAGGAAGGGCGAATCTTGTTTACAACACGATACCGAAAACTGGCAGTATCAGTTGCCGGGCGGAACATCATCGAGATACCCGCAATGAGTCCAAGCGAAGCGACAAGCTACCTCAAGGAGGCATTGATTGAGGAAATCTGTTCGAGTGATGAGGAAGTCATGAACCATCTGTTGACTTTACTGACATACCTTCCACTGGCCATCACACAAGCGGCTGCATACATGAACGAAAACCAGAAATCACCCATAGAGTATCTACAGCTCTTTGAGAACACAGATCGTGACCGAATGGAACTGCTCAGCGCCGAGTTCCAAGACGACACAAGATACGAGCAGTCTCAAGATCCTGTAGCCACTACCTGGTTCGTCTCGTTTAACCAGATCCGCAGGACAGACGAACTTGCCTCACGTCTTCTGATGTTTTTGGCTTATGTTGAACCGAAGGCGGTGCCCCTGTCGATGCTGCCTGAATGCGAATCACGCCAGCAAATGACTCGAGCAATTGGAACATTATGTGGCTATAAATTTCTAGATAAGCGAGGATCCGACAAGGTATTCGACATGCATAGCTTGGTACATCTGGCAATAGAGTCATGGGTTGCGAAGAATGACTCGGGTAAAATGCAAAGCC